CTGCCGGCTGCCGGCTAACGGGCGTCTAGGGACTGCCCACGGCCGACCCGCTGGCGTATCCCTCGTCGACGAGGTCCTCCAGCTCGTCGTCCGCGCTCTGTAACGCCCACGGGGCCTCGGTCTGCCGGTCCTGCCACATCTGCACGATCTGTAGCGCCGCGGGATCTAGCCACAGCGCCTTCTCGATTATAAAGAACCGCGCGAGCTTAATCACGCGCGAGAGGATCGGGGGGTAGCTTTCGGGATCCTGCCAGCCGTTCGCTCCGCGGTCGAGCACCGCCATCACGCAGACGAGTGCGTTCTTGTATTCGTGGCTGCGGTACCGCTGGTTCAGCAGCTCAACGCAGAACTCCAGACACGCCCGCTCGCGCCGTTCGAGCAGTCACGGCTGCAGCGTCTCGTCCACTGCCTGAAGCTTTGGCTGCGGCTCGGGGTGCTGTACCAGCTGCCACAGCCGTGTCCATTTCTGCCGCTGTCGCGCGGTAAACTGGTATGTAGGGCTGGCCCAGTCGTGCGGGTGTTGGGTGCGCGCGAAGAACCCTAACATCTGCTGTTACGGCTGTACGTGTTTTTGCACGCTGGTCTTGTCCATATACGCGAGCAACGGCTGGTGCGGTAGCTCGCCCGCCTGCGTGCGTACCGCTTCTATACAGATCGCCTGTCCGCACCGCTGCACTGTCCGCTGGCTCTTCCGCGCTAGCTGCTCTACCGTGCAGAACAGCACCTGCACGCCCTGCTCGACGGGGTCTACTGTATCGGGGTGGGGCGTCTCGATGCTGCGCAGTAGGTCGGCCAGCGGGATCTCCCTCAGGTACTCGGTCCATCCCGTTATGCGCAGCCACGGGTTCGCATCGCGGGGCTGGGTAGGCTTCACCGGGGCCTCGATCCGTATCGCTTCTGCCGTCTCTCACACCTGTACGATCGCGTTGACCGCCTACTGCGCCTGATCGGAAACGGGTGAAGGGGATTGGCGGCCGTACGGGTAGCAGATATGGATATAATGGGAATTACGACTGCTAAAGAAGATCTGCTGGTACGAGACGGTCCGAAACGATCGCTGCAGTGCTGTCTCGCTGCGAGCCTGCTTAGATGGGGGCAATCGGCCACGGCGGGTTTGTTGGGATCATTGATGAATCTGACGCCAATGCTTTCGCAACGATTTTATCGTAGAGGCGATAAAAGAGCATATATGAGACCCGCGTTGACAGAGTAATCCGGTAGATAAACACGGGAATATAGGAAGCAGATTATCTAACTCTTTCGGAATCTGAATGTTGATGCTATCTTGCTTAACTTAAGGCCATTGCTGAACGGTCTAGGCCATAGAGATAACATCTGTATGGGGTAGTTGATGCTGTTTTTTCAAATGATTTTCTATTTCGGATGGCCGTACACCATAGCGGCAATAGCGGCAGATAAGAACCTTAAAACGTGGGAGTGCTTGAAAGAGATCAGTCTCTATAATGGTATGTTGTTTGTAATAGTCTCAGTGAAAAGAAAGTGTTGAAAGATATCGGGATTTTCCTTTGAACAATAAATATATTATACAACGGAGAACGGCAACGGCTGACGGGCGCTATCTCACCAAAATCAGTCCCGATCAATATCTCATTTTGGAATCCCGATTATAGATGTCTACATATAAATATAGCTCTCAGAACTCGTAAGATTATATGTAAATAGCTATTTTATTAATTGGCAAACGTAAAGGCCCAGACTTTACCTGTAGCGTGAGAAATAAGAAATCCAAGTTGAACTGACCATACCTCAAATGTAAACCGACCATGCCTTAACCCTAACGTATTCTGGTCAATGAGCAGCCTTCGGGTGGAGACACCCTAGACCGATCATGCCTTTGGTCGTTCAACACTATTTGAATAGACCTCGAATCCAAGGAATTCATGCCATTCTCGGTTAACGGCCCGATACTGCCGCTGCCAAACCTCGACATGGTCTAGAGTTATTATATAAAAATAAGAAAGACCCCCAGTTTTCCTCTATCATTGCAATTTATATTTGCGGCTGCTTTTGCCTTTTAGTCCTACCGTCCTCTGCCTCCGTCTCCTGATTACCAGCCTCATGTCGCCTCTTACATGGCCCTGCGGGGACCTCAAACCCTAAAAACTCATGCCACTGGCGGCTGATTTCCCGGTATTGTACTCGCTGCATCTCCACATGTCCAGGGGCCTCTTGCAATCCCTGTGCGTAGATTGTCCCAGTCAGCCAGAGGGTATGGCCGGTCTGTTCATTTATACTGCGGTGGTTATCCATCCAGTAGTCTCGTTTGAATCTATCGCAGGATAAATGAATCTGGGAAATTGCAATAGTCGCATGTTGATAGAGTTTAATATTTATTTACATATTTAAATGGACACGTGTCTTTTGTTTTAACATTGTTTGTAGGCGGTTAACATTCCAGTTCTCCTGGTCCTTAGGCCAGAAAAAAGGGGAGGCGCTAGCAGTCCGTTTTAGGATTATTAGCTCTAGATCTTGCCAGAAAGGGAGGACAAGTCAGAAATAATAGACTATTAGTTGGCTGACTGTCATTGATAGATAACGGTGGATGATTTTGGTCGAATTTAGGATATGATATTTTTTGTGATAAATAATTACGAGACTGATCAAGCCTTGTTTTAGAAAGATACTGCGGTGGTGTTTATGAATACTATTATTATGCCGGAGGTTAAAGAGTTCGTTTTTCTAGTTAGGCTAGCTAGAGATAAGATGGCAGAGTAGAAGCAGATGTTGAAAAAAGAGTTCTATCTACTGAAAGTATTTATGCACGGGGGAATGTTTCCATTTTATTTGGTTCCAGATCTGATGCACATGAAAGAACCAGGATCAAAGCTGGTTAATACAGATGATTTGTTAGAAAAATCATTGTTTTTCAGGGGTAAGCAATGTTTGATTATATGGGTTCTGGAGAAAGTTAAATCTTGTTTGATTCTTAGTTATATTATCGCGGAGCTGGTTCAGATGAAGAAAGGAAACTGCAATCTTTCAGAACTGGTTTTTTTTTTTTTCTTTTTTTTCAACAGGAAAAGGGCGTTCAGGGCCTGTCTGGCCAGCTGGATCTGAAGCTGAACAAAATTGCGGAAGGCGCTCATGTTCAATTCTAGTTCTTGGTAATAAAGGATCTGCTAATTATCATTTCAGTAGATCTGGCCTAGGCTGGTGGTCATGTTCCGCATCTTCTTGCTAAAGGCGCGCAGTCGTGTGATCTAGGCGAAAAAGAAGTGGATATTATAGAATATAAATCGCTCGCGTATCTTATTTAGAGTCTTAGATGTGTGGAGAATCTCTTTTTGAATGGCTGTCTGTATTGTCTGTTGAATCACCAGTAACTGGGCAATCTTAATCAAGGCAAAAAAAAATTGATGTAGAAGCAAGTATCCCGGAAGATCTGCTTTTCTGTATTCATTTCTAGGATAATTAAGAATCCCATTAGGATGCTGTCAAAGAGATCTTCAGTAAGTTGATGGTCCAGGAGGGCGATAGAGAACTGGAGACATGTCTAGTTTAGTCTAGTCTGTATCTTGTTCTTTTTATCTTCTTTCTTCCTATCCCTCTTCTTCTTTTCTTTTTTTTTCTTTTTCTCCTCTTCTAATCTTTGCAGGGTCTGGACGCGGCTCATCATGCGATCGAGTCATGCGGATTGAGACCGGATTAGACAGTGGATCAGGCGAGTAAACTGGCCGGGTGCGGTGGATCGATACGTGAAGCAGATCAATTGTTGTCAGATCCAGATATAATGTTGGTAGATGATGTTTTAAAGATTCATTAGTAGCGGGCAATTTTAGGCGCGGATGCGGGCAAAGATGCTATTAATTTGCATCAGATCAAATTTATTGATTTTTTTTTTTGAATGCATTGGCAGGTCTAATAGATTAGATGGGATATATTATTTGCAAGATAATCCAGCAGCGGTTCAATAATAGAATCTGGAAAAGTATCTAGCTGAACAATTGCAAAGAAGTTTTGTCTTTGGATATAATGTATTCATTGAGTCAGATTTAATTAGGGGTAAATCTCGGTGGTGCTTTGACGGATAGAAATAGTGTTATATGTATTTTGTGTTGTTGTTCGATGGATCTGGATATTAGATATTATTTGGATGTGGGTGAAGTCCGTCTCGTGGAGTAGAAGAATTTGACGGGATTTTGCGGATAAAATAATAGTAAAAAAGTTGTTGTTTGTTTGAAAAGAAAAAAAGCGTTGGCAGCTGACCGGCAGAAAAAAAGTAAAAAAATCTCGAATTGTATAATGCTTTTTTTTCAGGAGCTGTTGTTGAGGATCATGTGTTTTATTTTGGTGTTTAAAGAGTGTTTTTTGTAATTAGATTATGTAGGGGCAATGGAGGCAATGATAGTCTTGATGGATAGAGAGTTCTGAAATCGGCGCGTTGTCGGGAGATGGAATAGAGTAGGGTTTGCCGGAGGCAGGGTTTCAGGATGGTTGTTTAAATATCTGGACATTGGTATTCTGGCGGAGGGCTCTGGTGACAGCAGAGGGATGTTTGGAATGATGGGAGGCCAGATGGGCTGGGGCATGGATTAGTAACACGGCAAATCCATAAGAGGTGCAGATCTATAGCCGATAGACATCACAGTAAGTGAAAAGATTTATGGAAGATAGATTGGTGGATAGATTGGTTTGTAAGGAGGCTGGCCAGTTGATGGGTAGAAATAGAAGAAGGGAGGAAGGCGTACAGGAAGAAAAAAAATAATTATTGTTGATGGATTTGTTTTATCGCATCTTTACGCGTTAAATATATGCGTGTAGGGGGGTTTCAAGTTTCAAGATATGATCTGTTTCTTTTAGTTTGGACAGGCGAGAGAGTGATGAGGGTATGCATCCTGAGAGACGGGACGACGCACAGAGGACGAATCAGGAGGGGGGAAAGGGAAGTGCAGGTCGGGTGCGGGACGGCCTACGTGGTACAGGCCGCCGCCACAGCCAACGTGGATGAGAATCGCTTGAAGAGCGTTCTGCGTCTAGCCATGACAAACCGCCTCTTCTGCGAGCCGAGCCCGGGTTTCGTGGCCCATAATGCCGCCTCGGTCCTCTTGGTCACGTCGCCTGCCCTGAACGACTGGGTTGGGTACACCTCCGAGGAGACCTATCCCGCCTCAGCCAAGCTGGTCGAGGCCACCGAGCGCTACGGCTCCAGCCAGCTCGCCAACCATGCCGCTTACAACATTGCCTTTGACACCGACGAGCCCATGTTCGTACACCTGCAGCACTTCCCGGAGCGGGAGCGGCGGTTCGCAAACACCATGGTTGAGATGACCTCAACGGAGGGATATGGTGTGCATCATCTGGTGGACGGTTATCCGTGGGAGGAGGTCGAGGGCACAGTGGTGGATGTATCTATCCATGCCCCTTTTAAGACTACTTGGTACTTCTTGTGTGTGGGTGTTAATGTTTCTCTAGGTCGGTGGTTCAACAGGCCATGCGAGCGTTGCCATCAGCCACAAAGCCCCCAAGGCCAGGTTCGTAGTCCAGGACGTCGAGGGGGTCGTTGAACAGGGCCGCGCCGCCTTGCCTCCTGGGCTGGTAGAACGCGTCACTTTCCAGACCCACGACTTCTTCACCCCACAGCCCGTCACAGCAGATGTCTATATCCTGCGCTTCATTTTGCATGATCATCCCGATGCCCGGGCTATCGCGATCCTGCAGAATCTCCTCCCTGCGATGAAGAAGGGCAGTCGGGTGATTCTCAATGAAGGGGTGCTGCCGGAGCCATTAATACTCGGAAAGAGTGAGGAGAGAATTGCACGGTAGATGATGTGTTGCTTTGAGTGGCCCAGCAGATAGCTAATCTATGTAGAATTATGGACATGGAAATGATCACGACCTTTAACGCGCGGGAACGCCCGCTTGAGGACTGGAAGAAGCTGTGCCAGGATGCACATCCCGGACTGCAATTACGGCGCTCCTACAAGCCAGCTGGGAGTATAATGTCCATCATGGAGTTTGTCATGGAAGAATAGTAAGCACAGGCTCGTGTTGGGCCTTAGCTGCTCAGAGTTTCAATATCAATGGATCCATATATTTCTTGATACAGTTATCGTTTTCCCACATAAGACGATCCTCATGGGTACCAACAATTGGCACCATCTAAATACGCCTATATCACCTATTCTTGATGGTGTGCAACGTGCGCATTATTCATGAGGTGGATTACGGGATCTCTATCTGGGAGGCTTCTGTGTGAGGTTCTAGTTTATGTCAAAACTATTAGTCCTCAATAGCCTACTATGTGATTATTGTTCATTGAAATTGGAGTCGTAATTAGCAAAATAGGGAAAAGGAAATGAAAACATCAACAGCTTATAAAGAGAGAATAGGGGCAGAGATAAATCCGGGAGAGGGTAAAGCTTTGAAAAGCAAGGTCACTGGATGTGACGAACTGACGAACGACCACGAAGAACCACTATATAGAGCGATGCGCGTACCAAGTCTGTTGACATGGTATTCTAGCCTTTTAGTAGTCTAATGGTTAAACGTTCCATTCCAGGCATAAACTAAGCGTTCTGAGTGGTACAAGCGCACCTGCCACCGACCGTGACAGCTTATACATTCAGACATTGGCGTTTTGAACCGGTTGGTGGAGAACCAGACAAGGATCTTTTTCTCCGGCCTACCAATAATTGTAGTATTGATTCCCTCCCCTTATATCTAGCCCAGTCCAACGGAGTCCACCCGTTTTTATCGGAAGTTTCCATATTCACAGTACCGCTATGTGAGAGCAACCGGACGACTGCCTCATTCCCGGAGCAGACCGCCCAAGATAGAGGCGTTCGGCCAGTGAAGCACGGGACATCCGGATCAACAGTTTTGTGCTCTAGAAGAAGATGTACCACAGCCTCATGGCCCCTTCCTGAAGCCCATGAGAGCGGTGTTCGACCACTCTCGTCCCGGGAATCTGGTTCAACATCTCTGTGTGCAATCAGGATTTGCACCATGTGGTCGTACCCCCCCCTTGCCGCCCACATGAGTGGTGTCCTACATTTATCGTCCTTTAGATTCGGATTAACGGCCGGATGACATAGTAGCAATTGTGCAACTGTCGTGTATCCTAGTCCCGCGGCCCATGACAATGGGGTCCGACCTTCTAGATCCTGCGAGTCAGTGTTCACGCCGGTTTGTTGTAGCAGTAGCTTTACTACGGCTTCATTTCCCCCTTTTGCAGCCCATGATAGTGGTGTTTGGCCTGAACTGGACTTCGAGTCAGGCACCACCGCCGAGTTTCCAAGGAGCAATCTCGCCGTCCGTTCATGGCCTTTGCCTGCAGCCCATGACAATGGAGTTCGTCTTAGTTCACAGTCTGGGGCGTCTGGGTCGACACCGTCCTGATTGAGCAACAATTCCACAATTGAATCATGCCCTTTTTGAGCCGCCCAAGATAATGGTGTGATGCCAGTATTCGACGGACTATTAGGATCAACTAGTGGATGGTTTAGGAGACGACTCACGACGGGTTCGTGTCCTCTCTCAGCAGCCAACGATAATGGCGTTCGCCCATTTCGGGTATCCTTCGGATCTGGGTTGATGCATTTGCAGGCCAGGAGCAGCTGTATAATAGTTTCATGCCCCTTATCAGCTGCCCAGGCTAATGGTGTCCAACCATGCCGATTATCCACGGAATTCGGGTCAGCATTCCTCTCCAACAACAGCCGGACACTCCCGACGCTCCCTTCACCTGCGGCCCATGAAAGTGGCGTCCTGCCATTATTGCCCTTCGAGTCCGGATTCACACGACTGTCTCTTAAGAGCTGACGCAGTATGCCTTCATTACCCAGCGATGCCGCCCATGACAAGGGCGTCCGGCCGTATCTGGATTCCGCAGCATCCGGGTCGACAATCTCTTGATGCAAGAGAAGTCGCATCACTGCCTCGTGCCCTCCAACAGCTGCCCACCACACCGGTGTCCGTCCGGAAAAGGGGTCAGCTTCTGCCGGAAGGACCCCCGGCTGATCTAGTAAAACCCGGACGATCCTCTCGCTACCTGCCTCCGCGGCCCACATCAATGGAGTCATACCAGTGTCGGGATGTGGAGCAGTTACGTTGACCTTCTCTTGAGCTAGTAGACGCTGCACCAACAGAGTAAGTCCCAGAGTGGTGCACACGATTAGGTCTGTGAACCCGGATGGGCAAACGGAGAAGTCAACCGAGAGCCAGTGGATTGGGAACCACGTCAAGAATCGCTTAGTTTCAGTGTCACAGACATGTAGGGCTGACTGTATAAGAGCCGAGTCTTCTGTTACTTGAGCTTCTCGGAAATGGAACGACCAGCACTCTGCCGTGTACTTGAGAAACTTGTGTTCAGTACTATACTCATCAATGGCTTTTTGGAAATCATGGATATTGATGTCAGCATCTATCATCATCGGTTCATACTCAAAAGCCGGCAACAGGAGATAAGCGAGACAGATCTCTGCCAGAACATGGTGTGATTCTTCCAGTCGCAAGGCATGTTTCCAGTAGCTGGGAACGCGTCTTCTTTGGACTTGCTGGGGACTAGGAGCCGCGGTTGATAAAAGAAACTGCTTGACTGTTTCGTGGATGAAATAGATCTTTGAATCGATCACGGTGACCAGGAGGCCGCAAAGATTTTTGATCCTGGTAAGAAAAGGCCTCTCCGGTTCTAGATCCAGGTCTTCATGTGATCTGGTGTGTTCGTCTATTGCAAGGGCAAAGTTCATCTCCTGGATGGTAAGTGGGCGAGTCGCTGCGACAACAATATGGAGGAGTTTCTTTGCCTCATCCATGTCAGTGCTTCTCTTCAAGATTGCCTCATACGCATCGTCAACTGTTCTTGGCATCGTGCTAATAGCCTTTCGTAGTTTCTTCTCCGTGGTTATATGTGGATCATTGCGAATGAGTTCAATGATCAGCTTCAACCACAAATACGTTCGGTGGGTGACCTTTGAGAGCTCGGTCTCCAAGAATGATATGGCCGATCCCGGAAGGCCCAAATACGTCACGAGATCTTTCACTTTCACTTTAATCACAAGGTCTATTTCCTTGCTGATGTGGGTTGCCTCTTCCTCTCCCGATAGCCGGGCCATCGGTTGGATAGAGACGAGGGTGTTGAAAAGGCGTTCAATGTCGTAATAAGGACGGCTGGTGACGAGGAACTTTAGCCTATGGGAATTGCTTCCTTGTTCGTTGCAGAAGAACGAGGTTAATGTCTCAATGAGTCCTTCCATCCCGATTCCATCACGTCCGTCCTTTTCACACTCATCGAGGCCATCCAGAATACACACCACCTCACCAGCCTCTGTATCTCGTACTGCAGTTGTCAGGATGCCCCAGAGTGTATCAAACAGATACGGAAGCTCTGACCCGTTCTCGTCGAACGCGGTCAAGGCGTGCTTACGCAGCGGCTTATTCTGTGTCAGCAGCTGGTGCAGAATTGCACACATGGCGTTTGAAACGCTCCTCTGCGTTGGGTCGTCTTCCTTGAAGAAGAAATAGCACGTAGTGCGAGAGGCTGATGAAGCCAGTTCTTTGTCGACAAGGGACTTGGACAAAACAGATTTCCCGCAGCCAGGATCGGCCGACAACCAGAGGAGGCTGGATGTCTTCCTGTCACGCCATTCAACGAAGGTTGGGTGCTCCAAGAACCATTGGCACGTTCCATCGACCCGATCGGGATTCCTGGCTTTAAACAATTCGTAGTTAGACGTCCGGAGTGTCTGGAGGGACTTGGAGGCCTGCTCTTCGTCCCGTTGGGCCTGCATCGAAGTTCGGACTGAGTAGACAAGTGAGCCCGTTAGTACGCATATAATACATGAATAGGATGGGACCAGAGGATGAAAGTTATAGACACGGGTGATGTGTGCAGGCCATTTAGACGGATGCAAACGAAGGGGAAAAGAACAGAGTGGGGCGATGTTTTCTGGCCTTTAAGCTGTCGAGAGTAAACTACAGACGGCAATGGCCCCAACAACAGTATCTCCCGCTCATGGCTGCGGTCATAGTAGGATCAAGGCATTGCAGGGGAGAGTTGAGAAGGGTTGAGCTAAAGTGCTCTACTACCTACCTGTCTCCGATATCACCACTTTCAATGTGCGGGTATTGGCGACCTCATGAGCTGGGATTATCATCACAAGTTCCTTCGCAAATGCGGCCGCAGCAACAGCCGCGTACTCTTGCCATACTTTGTTCTTGTGGGAGTCCGCATAATCGCAGATGCCTCGGATGACAAGGCATTGGAACTGATTCTGTAGCCCTGCTGCCTCCATCTCGAAGCAAAGAACGCCACCGAGATCTCTACTGATCTTGTCTCTCTTTGTACCGTCCTTGATTACCTGATTCCCAGACGCAATGAGTCCATAGTGGACGGCTGGCGCGGATCTCGGTATTCGAATCAACGCTTTGCCATGGTCGCATTCCTCGCACGTCTCATTGTCGTCGACATGACTGCACTCGGCTGGAAATAGAACATCTGTCATGTCCGGCTGCAGAGCATACTTGGTCATTGGAGGATACCTGGCCATCATATCTGCTAGATATGTACCAGTCTTACTACCTTCGAGGTCATGGTTCGAGATCAGCTTTGACAGCGCGGCCATCAGGACCTGCGGTGGCCGATTCAGCGATCCCGTCCGCTCAAAGCCGCCACCAGCTCCCACGGATTTGCCAAAGTCCCACTGCACGACACCCCCGTGCTGTCCCGTTGGCATGCTCACTACCACATCCCCCAGCTGAATTTCATGTCGCTTGCCAGGCACGCCTCCACCGATGCCGACCATCAAGCCAAATCGGATTGACCTAAACGTCACCAGCATCCGACTCGCGACGGTAGCTGCAGAGTTGGTCCCTATTTCTCCCAACGGGAGACACGCAATGGCAATGTTATGCGTCCCGATGCTGCCTAAACAGTAGGTGTTGTAATCGCCTGGAGGTACGTGAAGGTCTGGATGGATATTGTCCAGCATTGCCCGCGCCGCCGTGAGCTCTTTCGGTAAGGCACATATCCATCCCACAGTGTAGTCGTCGTGCTCGAGGCAACCCGAATGCATGTTCCACGATGAACTAGTATAAGCCGGTTTACGGAGTAGCTAACGAGTGGGTGGTGATAAGGAGACATTTTCTAGGGTGAAAAGGATGGATTGCCCCCTGAAGTTACGGACAAAAAACTTTCCCCGATACTGACTCATCGTTCAGTATTTTAAAGGAAATTACAGTGGATTTCTTTTTTGTTTTCTGGTAATACTACTGGGTAATTGTCAGAATAAAGCTAGTCACTATTGGGACACCTTGTAAATATATATACCTAAAACCCCGCCCCCTTAGGCAGCGGACACGGGAAACGGTCCAGGATGATGCCTGCAACACCGCAGGACGTCCATGCGAGTGGTCAGACGGGAGTCAGACGAGTCCTTAATCCGCCAAGAACGAAAAAAATTCGAAAAACGAAGATCACGATACAGAAGAATATGAGGACCAATGAAAAACGTAAGCGAATTTTGGCGCAGGTTTTGGCAGTGCAAACGCAGCGTCATTTTGCGGGCACCTCGCGGGCGGTAGTTAACCCTCTCACTCAGTTCCTTCGTTTCAGGGCATGGTTCTTATAGAGAGGTTGACAGATAATCCTTCCAACTATAGTCGAATCAGAATACCATATAATCGACGGTAGTATTTGAGACTTGTAGGCGATTTAAGTTCAAGTGCTTGTCAACCTTACAGTACCACTAGCCAAGAACCACGTTTAACAGTTCCAGTGCATTCAACGAAAGGGATGGAAAACAAAAGAATAAAGTCAGTGGACACTCGCACCCCAATCAGTACACGGTTTGGCAGCAAAATTGCTCTTTGAAACCCAATCCGGCTAGCATTGGCTTGATCTGCTTGACAAAAGCAAAAAGAAAAAAACCAACAATTCCGAACCTGGTGATAGGTTTGTTGCATCACCAATTTGGTTGGCTGTGAGAGAAGCACCCCTGGCCAGCCAATCCGAATCTCTCTTCTGCATTTGATTCTTGGCCAGGCAGCTCGACTCCGTGCATATTCTGCCCATGCCGATGACGTGTACGAAGCTCGGGTTCCTTCCAGATGAGCCATCCAGATCTGGTCACCCATTTTGGGGCTTGCAGCCACTGGGTCCCACAGTGGGAACAGTCCACGTCGTCGTGGGGGAGGGAGTCTCGCCCAGCTACAAGGGCCTCAACAATAAATGATTGTGTGTGAATGCCCCTTCTGAGCGCAGCTGCAACCAGGTCGTCGAAACCGCCGAGCTTTCCGCATCTAAAGCATCTCGGTTTAGGTCCGTCGAAGATGAACCCATCAATGGGGAGGGACGACCACTCAACATCAAGGAGCTCGCTGAGCCTCGCCGCTTCTCCTTCGTCGATCAACCAGTAGTGACCGTCTTTGGGCATTTGCTCCGCAATGTGGTCTGGGAGGGCGAAAGACATTTTCAGGGCTGGTTGCTGAGGATGTTGGAATAGTCTTTGTTTCGAGTCGGACGTGGTAAATTGAAACTGGAAGTAGCGGGGCAGCGAGGAGATATTTATACCTAACTTTTAGCGATTTGCGACATTCGCTCGTTAGATACCTGCACATATCTCTCAGATGATGAGGGGGGAGGGGCTTTAGGGAGATCTGACAGAAGTACCTCTATAATAGTCACCGTATATTGAAAAAGGATTAGTCGTGCATGCAGCTCGCTAGCTTTATCATGCCTTTGCACCCACTTGTACTCCTATGAATCATCTCGACTTCTTCTGTAATTATAGCGAGCTAGTTCTGGAGGGCAGAAATGTCAGTTCAAGACCGATTATCACCCGCAGCGAAAGACAGTCTGAAGACACAAGGCCTATTCTTGCTGAATGCAGACCAGTTTCAGCATGTCACAAGCATAAAGCAGGTACAGTTTGCTGTCGACATTGTTGCGGTACACGGTATCACAGGCAACGCCTACAGCACCTGGACACACAAAAATGACAAGCTTTGGCTCCGTGATTTTCTTCCTGAGACTTTACCAGGCGCCCGGGTATTTACCTATGGATATCCCTCAGTCGAAACATTTACTGCCGGGCCCAACGAGCTTTCAAATGCAGCAGTGGCCTTTCTGTACGAATTGACCCTTCAGAGAGAGCCACAAGAGGTACGCGACCACCGAGTGCCTGCGCAGTTTCTTATAGCTAATTTGGCCTTCAGTACAAGTTTCGCCCCCTTATCTTCATTTGCCACAGCTTGGGGGGTCTATTGGTGAAGCAGGTAAGCGTCAACTACCATCAATCCTCGACGTACCTATGGCAAGCCAATGCCCAGTGCATGTCCAACTGACCTTTTGACCAGTTGTTCTTGACAACCATGTTGGCTACTGAGACCTATTCCAGCGTTCATGATTCCATACTTGGTATATTCTTTCTTGGAACACCTCATCGAGCATCTCCGACGGCCGATTTCTCCCGGGTATTGGTGAACATTGCCGACATTGCCCTCGCAAGCCCACTCAAGGATCAGGGATCTATCTCAAAAGCACTTCCGCTACTAGGTGATTCCCGATCCTCCAAAGCTCTAGAAGACCTATCGAAACAATTTGACGACCAAATACGCGACATAAAAGTAGTCTCATTTGTTGAGCAGAATACAACTCCGGGTCTAAAACGACGAGTAGGTACAGAATTTGCAAGACGAACAGAGGAAGAAAACTAATAAGATCATAACTACATGCTGTTGATGATGTTAGTGGAACAGCAGATATCCTTATCGAGTCTGTCGAGGAGATGGAAGGCTGCGATCACCGTGATGTGGCCAGGTTTGCAAATGTCAACGAACCCTCGTACATAGCGTTGTTTGGTCATCTTGAGGCTTTGGTTAAGGTCTGTATCTTGGACTAGATAACTCTGTTGTTATTCAACATTTAGGTGGACCCAAGACACATATTATGCACTGAAGTAACGGGCTTGTAGACCAATTCTCAAAAACTCTGTAATTTAGTTCCTGAACGGTGTACAGGAGGAGCGACCAAGAATAATGAGATAATTCTGGACTCAGAGCTATTACTACAATGACACCGTTTATGTGATGTAAAATTACAGATAATAAATGCGGTGCCTTTCCATAAACTGGGTTATGCATCTCTACCAGCTGCAGTTGTGAGGCACTTGAGGGGATTTCGAAAATAATGGAGAGGTAGCAAAAAGGGTGCGTATCTTGGCTCAGTTACGCGTGATTCACGTGTTTTGCCAATTCCAACCCACCTGCAACACCATTAGGAACCAAACCGGATGCCTATGCTGCATCGTACTGCAGACTGCAGGTGAACAGGCTGCTGTCAGCCAATCCATCAGCCTCGGCCACGCCAGACACCATGTTACTGTATTACCGGCAACCAGAATTATCTCCGCCCTGATCATATCGAGGATATGGTGTCCAAGTAGGATGGGTCAAGAGGCGGATCCAAAATATTCCCAAGCCGTCGCTCGATGTGATAGATCACACAACCCCGCCACTGTTTGACCGAGAAGTATCCGATGGCGTTAGGTATACCAACTGCAGATACTTGATTCGTTCTTGTCAGATGAGACCTGCCAATCCTTTCTAGGATAGAAAATTGTCGAAGACGCTAGGCATCCCGAATGGGTTTACCATCATCATGTAACCACAGTACCATATTCGAGATCTATCAGTCACCAAACAAGATCTTTGGTATGCTCTCTGAATAAAACAGGTTGTCGCAGTCCAACGATTTCAAAAAGATGCAAAGAGATTAGAAAGGCAGACCAGCTTTTATTCTGATGAGACACGAAGTAAAACTGTACAAAAGAGGGGAAGGTGCAGGTCTGAGCTGTCCTGCAGATTGCTGTTTAATCAGCCGCTTATTGTCACGAGAACGTAACCGGACAACAAAGTGACGTGACAACAAGCCGGCGCAGTTCTACCGCCCACCATCACCAAAACGCTCAATTTCATTAACTCGATCAAAAATAAAGCAATTTTATTGCTCAAAAATGGAAAAAATGCAGTAAATTTTAAATAGACTCTAATTTCTAATTAGATAAGAATAAAATTTAGACATTTTAAGCAATTGTAATCTCTCTAATTAAAATTACTATAGCAAAAAATTAACGCGTAAAAGGATCTTAAATAATTATAATAGTTTAATTTTTTGTCTTTTAGCAACTTTTTCATTAGCAATTTGATATTTCATTTGATTGTTTAAAGTGCCTTTTTTAAAGATATTAGTGTGAAGCCTTTTTAGTGAGATTTTATATTAATTAATTGCGCGAAGTTATTAGATTTCTTGTTAAAGAAACATAATATTTTATGAAGTCATTGTAGCCGCTTGCTATATATTTTCATATATTTGTTCTAAGACATGTAAACATCAAGAGCTTATAAAGAGAGAACAGAGGCAGAGATAAATCCGGAAGAGGGTAAAGCTTTGTAAAGCACCGTCACTGGGATCGGGCAAGGGATGGAAAAAACACAGTTTGTTTTCGCCTTATACAGCAAGGTCGGCCTACTTCAATATCCTCGAACTGCATGGCTGAGGATTCCCCGCACCTACGTGCACTCCGTTTCCATCATTGTAACGCCGCGATGGCGGGTGATACACTCATCTGTTGATTGCAGACCATCGTCATAATAATGTCACTGGCATGAGAGAACATGAAGAATTGAAAATAGAAACACGATAATCGAAATCCTACACCTTGAACCAACTCAATCACCTGAACTAAACAACAACGATCCGATCCTCCCTTCTCCCCAACTCCTCCAACTCCACCACAGCAGCAACAAACCTTCCCATCAAGCCTTCCGCCTCCACTTCACGGATCTTCCTACTTGACCCCCCAAGCATAGCATTCAACCTTCCGTTTTCTGGAAACGTAACGAGATGCAGATTTTCTGGTGTGCGCACATCCAGCACCCACTTTGACTCGACACCTGCAATTGGACAGGGAAACCCCAGCCCCGCGTTTTGGTGCGTGAACGCACACCCGAACTCTGTTCCCACTGGCCAGGGCGATGCCCGCGCGACGATCTCCCGGAGGTCAATGTTGGAGTACGGGATGGCTTTTATCTGTTGGTTTTGAACGTGTGATAATAGGTTCAGGGCCGTGGTGTCAGGGACTATTGTTACCCTGAATGGGGAGAAAGTGATACATGGCCCGGAGACGGTTTCGATATCCTTTAGCGCCGCATCCCGGCCACTGGTGACCTGACCAAAGACGATATCGCGGGAATTGGTTGTGCGCGCTAGAGCAAGTGCCCAGGCTGCCTTTAGGAGGGAGGCGAGGGTAATTCCCGGGGGTGGTGTTGGAAGGGCCATGGAGCGGAGCACTTTGACCATTGACTCTGGCTCGGATGGTGGAGAGGGGGAGCAGTGGGACAGAACGTCTGTCATTCGGGAGTTTTGGAGGGTGCTGCGCCAGAAAGACAGGGCTTTGGGTGTGATTTGGGAGTGGCGGAACTGGAGATATCTGGGGAATGGGAGGCGAGGATTGAAAGATTGCTCGTTGTTGTTGTTGCTGCTGTTGTTGTATGCGGATGCTAAGTCTTCGGACAGGAGGCGGAATGAGGCGCCGTCGTATTGGGCGTGGGTTAGCCGGAGGATGAGGAGGTGAGAAGTGGGCGATTGGGACAGGAGGAAGGGTTGGAAGTGCGGGGAGCCTGGTGGGATTGGGATTTTGTCTTCTCTGAGAATGTTGGTTGCGGATGCTGCGAGATCCTCGCTCATGACCTTGATGAGTTTGAAATTTAGTTTGCGCAGGACAATTTGCAGATGGGTATCCTGGTAAGGGATGAATACGGTTCGAAGGATGGCGTGACTGCGGACGAGAGCATGGAAGGCAGTCTCCAGACGCTCTGTGTTGATATGAGTGGGCAGATGGAGTTGAGAGTAGGTGATATCCTCTTCGACCATGAGCCGGCTTTGAAACTCGGTGGTAGGGACGACATCAACCACGTCCTGTTTGTCAAATGGGTAGGGTGGGAGCTCAGCGAGAAAGGATTCAAGATCAGTGATGCCGAGCAGAGACCCTGGGGAGTATTCGGATACAGAATGAGATTCTGAATAGCTGATGAGTTTGGCTAGATCGGAGAGAACGGGATGGCTGAAAATGAATGGCACCGGAAGATGCAGACCCTGGTGGCGAGCAATGGCTGACAGTTTCATGGCTGCGAAGGAGTCTCCCCCAAGATGGAAGAAATCATCGTCTGCCCCGATTTGTTCCGCCGATGTTTGGAGTATGCCGGCCCAGAGACCTTGGAGCAGCTTTTCTCCTTCAGTTGCTGGCACACGCTTTGCAGACTGGACAGCGGAGAGTGCCTGTATCTGTTGACGAGTGAGAGTCGCCGCTTGTTCCCGCAGCAGCCGCCTGTCGACCTTGCCGTTGGAGTTGTGTGGGATATGCGATACTCGAAGAATAACACCGGGAACCATGTATTTTGGAAGTAGATGCCGCAGCTGGACTGTTGCTGTTGCGGCCTGAGCTAGGAAAGCCGGACTGGGAGACACGAATAGTGTCTCGCTACTAGCAGTGGAATGGGCGATGAATGCCATTAGGGTTGGAGAACCTCCGCTTGGAATTACCACTTCAGCCACGACTTCTCTCACATCAGGGAGCAGATCTCGCACATTTTGTTCTACCTCGCCAAGCTCAATGCGCTGGCCGCGTAGCTTAACCTGGGTGTCTCTGCGGCCGATGATGCGAAGGCTACCGTCGGGGTTGAGCTGAAATAGATCCCCACTTCGATATAGCCTCGTAGTGCTACCGGACCTGAAAGAGCTGAGCCATGGTGGCGTATCCTCGATATAAGCCTCAGCGGTTCGTTCGGTATCACGAAGGTAACCGCGGGTGACCGTTGGGCCTTCAATCAGCAGCTCTCCAACAACACCCAAGGGAGCTAGGCGGGTGGGATCAGACGGCATGGTGATCCACGCCACTGCGCCAAACATTCGTCCAATCGTGCCTTCTCGCCAGCCGACGGAGGGGATTTGGCTCAGAACATTGCAAATGGATGTTTCCGCCGGGGCGTATGCGTTGACCAAGTTAACTCTGGAGGCCCAGGTACGGATGTTATCCTGTGTGACTGGCTCTCCTCCAAGGACCACGGTCTGTACTCCAGGGATATCGTCTGGCTGGAAAAGGCTGAGGAATGAAGGCGTCCAAAATGTCCAATTGACATTGTGCTCATTGATGAATGGGGCGACATTGTTGAGGCGATCGAACTCGGAGGGAATGCAAACACAGCCACCGTGGACGAGGACGCTGAAGACCTCGCCGAGACTCATGTCAAAGGCATAGGAAGCCCAATGCAAAGCTCGAGTATTTTCATTGATATAGCAAACAGGGCTATGATGTCGGATGCTAGTGCAAAGGTTGCGGTGTTCCATCACGATGCCTTTTGGCTTTCCTGTGCTGCCTGAAGTAAATGCGACAAAGGCTGCATCAGAGGGCTTGGTGTCAGGGGCTATGAATTTCTCCACCATCTCTGTTGCATCGAGGATAGGAACGGTGATCACTGATACATTTGCCCCAGTCATCAGATGTTCGTTCGCAGCGGAGACAATCACTGATTTGGCGGCTGTGCGTTGTAGAATTTCCTGGATGCGTCCCTTGGGATGGGTTGGGTCTAGGTTGACGCAGGTGGCTCCGATACGGAGGACTGATATCATAGTGATGATGCTCCATTTGGAGCGCTCGAAGCACAGCGGGACCAGTGATCCTGGCTGGATACCGAGCGACTGAAGATGCTGTGCCAGTAAGCCTGATAGTAAATCGAGAGTACCATAAGTTACCTCCCCGTCCCATGAGGAAATCGCAGAAGCTTTTGGCCGCAGAGAACATTGCTGCAGAACAAGGTCGTGTACGCAGGATTCGACAGACGACGGGACGACGGAATTCGACTCCACCATCTGCTGATGGTCCTGGGGGCTGACGAGGTTAAGATCCCGGATGTGAAGGCCATTCAAGACATCACTTGACATTTGACGCAGAATGTGCTCGAATTGCTGCATCATCCTAGTCGCCTCCACTGGATGGACCACTCCCTCATCATAGTTGACAGTGACAGCAACATCGCCATTCTCTGCAAGGTGGCACACCATAAATAATGCAACACTCGCAAAAGCATAGTAGTCCTCGTGTTCGCCTCGCACATGCGCGATGGCATTCCCCTCATGTTCACTGGAACTTGAAGGCTGAATGACAAGTTGACATTGGAAGCTGCATGCGGTGGCCGCCTCAGGGCCTAGCTGACGAATGTACTGCAGACCTGTCTGTTGGAATGGAATCATGGACGTAGCCTTTTGCTGCATAGCCTTCATTGCTGTATCCACGGTATCTTCGGCCCGGACATGGAAACGCACAGGGACAGTGGCAAATGTCGGGCCGGTGATATCCTGGATTCCAGAGACCGAAGCGCTTCGTCCGTTCACGGTCAGCCCGTATAGAATGTCCTCGGAGTCCGTGTAGCAAGACATTATCACAGCCCAGGCCAATTGAATCAAGGTAGGCGCGGTATATTCTGTGTTTGCACGGGCCAGGTTGGTGATGCGATGTTCGAGAGATGACTTTGGAGCAGGGATGTATCGAGGCGATGGCAGAGCAGGGAAGATAGGGGCACTCAAGCTGGTAAATTCCGACTGCCAGAAGGCCTCTGTGCCCTGGACGTTTCGGATGTGTCGAATAAAATGCTTGAAAGGCCTTGATTGCAGTGGCTCACCTCTATGATACGATGCGTTGACTTGGTCCCACAGCAGCGGCAGGGACCAGCCGTCATACAATGCATGGTGTAGTGTGAGATGGAAGCTGCCGCTTGCCTTGACAATGGCGAAGTGGGCTAATTCGCTGTCCAATGTCATTGTGGGGCGTTTCACTTGCTCATACTCTTCTTGAGTCTCGAACACATGCCAGCGGATTGAATGACGAACCACCACCTGAAGCATATTCGATGCACCTAATTGGACGATGCGAGTGCGCAGGATGGCATTAGCGTCGAATGCCTTGTCCCAGGCAGACTGGAACCTGACCAAGTCAACGTCAGCAGCTAGGTCGTAGTCAAACCTCGCAATGTATTGACCGGGTGTCTTTGCGGTCAAGGTCATCAGCCCCTCCTGTAGGGGCGTGCATGGGTAAATGTCTTCAATATCGTCCATGCAAATACGGCACCTCTCGGCGGCTGACTTGGCTATAGACTGTTGACTTAGGACATTGTTCTCAATCAGGGCAAAAGGCAAGACATCGTAGTTCGTTTCAGTAGCATCCGCCCCTGCGGCAGCGGCCAAATCACGCAACCTGGGATGATTGAATACATCAGTCATATCAATGGCATAGCCAGCCTCACGAGCAAGGGGAATGAGCTTCATGGCGATGATTGAGTCCCCTCCGAGGCGGAAGAAATGATCATCGACGCCTATGTCCGACACCTCTAGATTGAGAACCAGCGCTAACAACCGTTGAAACACCGATTCCGCTTCAGTGGAGGGCGGCGTTTTTGTCGAGCTTATAGAAGTTAGATTTTCCATTTGTTGTCTTGTGAGCGCTTCTGCGGCCTCCCTGAGAGCCCGTCGGTCTGTTTTTCCAGTCTTTGTCAGGGGGATTTGATCCAGAGGAACGAATATAGTAGGCACCATGTAGGTGGGTAGAACCTCATCGAGTCTGGATAACGCCGTCGCGATGCCTTCCTTGAAGATATCACCAGAGTCTCCAAAAATCCTGCGTTTATGGGAAATAGCTTCTGCACGATCTTGCAGAATAAAGGCCATGAGCGCTGCTGGCCTGCTTTCTCCGGGCGGCTTGACGACCTCCGCAATGGCATCCTGAGTATTGGGAAAGCATTCACGCAGATGAAACTCAACCTCGCCGAGCTCGACACGCTGACCACGAAGCTTCACCTGTGTGTCCTTGCGGGAGATATAGTGCAAAGATCCGTTCTCGTTGTACTTGACTAGGTCTCCTGTTTTATAAATAGAGAACCTTTGGCCGCCGACAAGCTCTCGAAGCCAGGATGGTGGTGATATGAATGCAGCTGCGGTCTTCTCCGCCTCGTTGATATAGCCGCGACCAACGCCTGGTCCCTCGATCAACAGTTCACCCACGGCTCCGAGAGGCAGCAACTTCTCATGGTCATTTGGATCGACGACCCACGATCTGCAACCCACGGCTAAACCGATATCGCGTCCACTGGTGGTTGCAGAAATAGGACCCGTCCCAACACACATGATCGAGCATTCAGCAGGGCCATACGCAAGATGGATATCCAGTCTATCCTGCCAGGCCTTCAGCTCCTTCGCGGATATCAGCTCGCCAGCTAGAACCATGGTCTTTAGGCTCGGGAACTCGGTCGGGTCTAGGATCCTTGCCACAGAGGGGGTAAGGAAAGCCCAATTGACTTGCATATTGGCGACAGCACGCGCGAGGTCTTGCGTGCGCTCGGCTTCAGAAGGAATACAAACACAGCCACCATGGATCAGGGTGGTGATGTTTTCATAAACACTGGCATCGAAAGCATACGAGGCAAACTGGAGAACCCGGGACTCGGAGTTAAGATTGAGAGCTGGCCCCTGAGCAAGCGCGGCTGAGGAGAAGGATTGATGCTCGATTACAACTCCCTTTGGTTTGCCTGTTGAACCGGATGTGAAGAGAGCGCAGAATGCACTGCTTGGCACTGATGGTCGCGGAGGCTGGGACGTGGCGGCAGACCAATCTTCATGGTCGCTGACAGTAACCACATGTTTTGCAAGTGAAGTAGAGGTACTTTTATGTGCTTCAGATGAAATGATCACGGAGATTCGGGCATCATCGCTCATCCCTTGCAGACGCTGGATGGGATACGATGGGTCCAAAAGAATAAAAGCTGCACCGCATTTCATCACACCGACCATGGCAATTATGGCCCAGCGAGACTTCTCGGAGTAGATTCCAATGTAGCCCCCCCGGGAATCATCGTACTTGGAGAGGTGAGTTGCCAAGGCAGAGCTTAGACGGTCGACTTCAGCATATGTAAAGTCGCCGTCCCAGGCACAGACAGCCTGGGAGGTCGGCCGGGCGAGGCACTGGTCGTGGATCAAGTCATGGACACACCGATGGACAGGTGAGAGCATCTGCGGGCTGTGGGCTTCAAGATTCCTTTTGTTGAAGGGGCCGAATAGACTGAGTTCGTGGACCCTTTGCGCGGGCCTCGACGTGATGCCCCACAAAGCCTGCTGGAACGCATCGATCACATTTCCGGCCTGATTGTCCGAAAGGAAACTCGTCGCATATAGCAGCGAAACGCCAATGGATTCTTCTGATACCTCGATGTTGATACCAACATCGTACTGAAAAGTCAGCGAGGATTAATCGCATATAGTTGAACACGCTTACCTCGGTACCCCCCTCGGTCTTCAAATCCTTAAACACAAGACTGGATCCACCCGAATGCTCGTCCAATTCCCTCTGCACAGACATGACGGTATTGAACAGCGCCCTATCCGACACTTTGGCACAGCGTGTCTTTTCTCCCAGTGCCAGAGTCTGATGGGTCAGGCTTTGCACAAAATCTGCTTGATTTTGCTCGAGCAAATCCAGAATTTTCGCCGTGCCCTGTAGAGATATATTGCAGACCAGCATGTTGATGAACGGGCCTACGGTGATGTCAATGTTGGGAATTGGAACATCCCTTCCAGACGTGACATAGCCGAAACACGCGCTGTCCGAATTAAGGTACGTTCGCAAGACAAGTGCCCAAGCTAGCTGGAATGTATTCGCCAATGTCACATCATAATCATGACAGAACTGACGAAGGGCCTGATCAAAAGGCACCGTAATCTCGACGTGAGAATGAGCGACTGCATCGTTTGGCTCAGATGACCCGGGGAAGACGCATGGCTGTACATCGCCCAGGTATTTTTCCCAGTAAGCGCGATCGTCATCCAGTGGCTGCTTCTCAAGATACTCGAAATATTCACGATAGGTAGCCGGTACCGTTGGGGTTAGCCCATCCTCGTACGCCTGGCACAAGTTGCTCCAGAGGACCTGACGAGACATGCCATCTACAACAGCATGGCTAATGTCTAACAAGCAGGCCGCCTCGCCTGAGGGAGAACCGCAAATGATAAGACGAGTCGGCGGTCTCAATGGTAATGTCGCGGGAAGCTCGTAGTCGTCGAGTCGCTTAAGCGGGTCATCTGAAGGGGGTAGGATGATACACACTTCTTCAAATGGGATCTCCTTCAGCACGGCCTGATGCTGTGATCCATCCCGGTGCGCACTGTCAAAAAAGATGGTTCGCAGAAGCGGGTGTCTTTGAACCACCTGCTGCCACGCTCGGCTCAGTTGCTCTAGATCCACAGTGGAGGCGTTACGTGAGTGCACTGACCAGGACCATCTGTTCCGATAACGGAGCGAATCCCGGGCCTGGCTTAGTAGGATGCCTTGCTGGATGGGTGTGCAAGGATAGGCGTCCTCGATCTGGAGATCTTCTTTCTTCAGTGGCAGGATGACGCCTTGAATGAAGGTCTCGAGCTCCGGATAGGTATACGGCAGTAAAGGAAAGTCGGAGAGCGTCCACGTCACCTCCTTGGTTGGTAATACTGATGCTGCTGTTTCCAGAGCTTGGTGAAACCTTTCTTTCCATTGCTGAAGCAATTGCTCGCGGTCTGTGCAATTCACGGTGAAATTGAACACCATATTTGAGCCTCGGATCTTAGCCGTGATTCCAATGGGTGCGAGATGAGGTGGGTTCTCGGAAACGGAGATGGGCTGCAAGAAAGGTTTGAATTGTTGCTGAATCTCATGGCCATGATATTTCAACACAACAATCGGAGAACCGGCAGTTGGAATCGAAGGAATGGAATGTCTCCGCCGTTCGTCCTTGGTCTTCCGTACGATTTCGAATAAGTCGTCCGTTGGAGTGACAGAGACGTTGACTGACGATAGCGTTAAGAAAGATCCAACAGTCCGTGCCAGACCAGCGTTGGAACACCGACCGTCCTCTTGATAATACATCGTGGGTGTTGGGCGATCGACAAAGATCTGAGCAAAGGACTGCAATAGCGTTGCATGAAGCAGCTCTACTGGTTCGGTATTGAAGGCATCGTTTGCTGGGCCTAGCAGAGCCTGGGTGACTTGCTCCGAGAGACTGAACTCCCATTCGTGAATACCGGCATCGCAGTCTGCCTCCCAATAGGTGTCTCTGTCCGCTATTTGAGCAGGTGCCGGCGTAGCAGTTGCATGCTTGGATTGCAAATGGCACCAATCTTGGAAGGACGACGTTGATTGCAGTGGGGATCTGCCTTCTAAAAGGGCATTGAGGTCTGCAAGAATGATCCGCCAGGAGGAGATGTCAATGATCGATTCGTGAGCTATTAAAGAAAGGAAGCATTCCCCGTCTGCTTCGACTTCGATTCTGTCACAGAGGAAGATGCGGCCTTTCCGCACGTTAATTTCCTTTTGACGTGCGGATACAAAGCCAGTTGCATCGAAGGACGACAGAAGGTGCGATTGATACATGGAGTCATGTTCGAGGACTTCGGAGATACTCTGGCTCCATTCCCCTTTGCTGTTTTGAGTAAATCTGGCATGGAGCATTGGATGATTCTTCACAACCACCTTCAGTGCATTGTGAAGCATCTCAGAGGATATGACCTTGCTAAGTAGGAGCACAACACTCTGACAGCAGCGATTGTATTCTGTTGCTGTGTCGAATATCATCTGCTGCATTGGCGACAACTCGAACGCCATACTCTGATGGCCAGCATTTTCAATGGTTAGTAGAGCTTCGTCTAACTCTTCAGCAAGCCTAGCTATTGTCTTAAATCGAAAGATACTTGCAACATTAAGCCTGAGACCCTTGGAAGTGCATTGCGCAACAACCTGCATGGCACTGATCGAGTCACCTCCTAATCGGAAGAAGTTATCATCCAGTCCGATAGACCCCGCCTCCTTGCGTAGGACGTTGGCCCAGAGCTGCTGCAAAAACCGCTCTGTCATTGTGGATGGGAATCTTCTGGTGACATTGTTCGCATGTGAAGTGTAAAGCTGGAAGCGGGAGTTGGATAGACTCTTGGTAGCCTCTCGCAACCGTCGACGATCCACCTTCCCACTGCGGGTCAATGGAACCTGTCGAAGAGCCAGGAACTTGCTAGGTATCATGAAACTTGGAATGGACTCCGAGAGTTTGCTTTCGGCTTGTTGAACAGCTGTCCTGAAGGTTGGCCTCGGTGATAGGAAGAGACTTTGCTCCTCGTCCGAGGCCTCTGGATCGTGAACTTGGTCACCATCATCCAAGTTTCGGCAAATGTAAGCGACAAGAACTGGCGAGCTGCTTTCCCGAGGAACGATGATTTCTGCAACTACCTCCGCTGCCAGGCCAAAGCAGCTTCGAACATGATACTCGACCTCTCCTAGCTCGATGCGCTGCCCACGGAGCTTCACCTGCGTATCCCTGCGCCCAACATACCGGATGGAACCATCGGGGTTATACTGCACCAGATCGCCGGTCCTGTAGAGCCGGCCCGCGCCATTCTTCGCCCGAAAGCCCCGCAACCATGCCGGTGTCGCTATATAGGACGCGGCTGTCTTCGCGGGTTCGTCTAGATACCCCCGAGTCACAATTGGGCCCTCAACGAGTAGCTCACCAACAGCCCCGATGGCTGCTAGCTTTCCTGGATCATGGGCATCTGTGATCCATCCCACACTGCCATACATATGACCAATCGTTCCTGACCGCCAACCTCTGGGTGGAATAGGTCCAACAGTGGTGAACGTGGCCTCCGCCGGTCCATACGCATTGATGAGAGTCACTTTGTCCGCCCATGTGTCTACTGGATCGCGAGTGACTGCTTCGCCAGCAAGAACGAGAGTCTTCAGCGAGGGAACGTCTGCGGGACCAAACAAACTAAGGGTCGATGGTGTCAATAGAGCCCAGTTGATCCTTTGTTGGCGGATGACATTGGCCAGATTGTTCATTCGGTCCGATTCTGAAGGCACGCACACACAGCCTCCTTGAGCCAATGTGTTGAACACCTCGTAAATACTCACGTCGAATGCATACGACGCAAAATGCAATGACCGTGAGGTACGGTTGAGATTCATTGGTCCGCTGTGTGCGAGGATACTCGTGCTTAGGTTGACATGCTCCATGACTATTCCCTTTGGAGTCCCTGTGCTTCCTGAAGTGAACAGAATTATTGCACCTTGATGAAGTGAGACCTCTGGGAGCTTCACAGAGAGCGGCGGCAGACTCTGTATGAATGATTCTGTAATCAGAACGATGTTGCTTTCCAGATCTTGAACGATGCTGTCGTAGGTCGCCGATGCCACCAGCAACGGTGGGGATGTTTTTTCAACAATATCCTCTATCCGTCGACGGGGATGACCATGGTCGATGAGGACGCATACACCACCAGCGCGAAGAACAGCCAGAAGTGTTACGATAGTCCATCGAGACTTTTCCAGGCACACGGCTATCCTTGACTCCGACTCAATGATTCCCAGACTGAGCAGATACTGGGCCAGCCGGGCGGAATAATCGTCAAGTTCAAGATAAGACAAGTCCCCATCCCACGCGCAAACAGCTTCAGAATGTGGCTGGATCTTTGTTTGATGGAGAACGATACCATGAAGAGTTTTTTCGCTGGCTGCTGGAATGTCTCTATTCCATTCCATCAACTGCTCCATATCGTTACTACTAGTGTTGCTTAGGCTGCCGATGCAAAGGCTTTCGTTCGGTAGCGTCAATTGCTGTACAATATTCCGCAGTTGTTGCAACATTCGAGTCAATTGAATCTCGTCCATCACTTCCGAGTCAAATGTCGCCTCGATCTCAATGCTGTCGGGTAATTGCTTGCATATCAAAGTAATGGCGTACGAGCTGAATGCATCCACCTGAGACAGGTCTTGAACGGCGGAAAACATGTCCGGAAACCGTTCCTGCTGCGGCTGAATAACCATCAAGCTTTGGAACTGGCATGCAGCAGCGGCATCGGGTCCCAAACGGCTTATATTCTGCAGGCCAGCCTGTTCGAATGGGACCGTGGAAACAGAGTGATCTTGGACCTGAAGAAGAGCTTCTGCAATTGTAAGCTCAGGATTAACGTGCAGCTGGATTGGAATTGTGGCGATGGTTGGACCAGTCATCTCCTCGATATCTAACACCGGAGCCCCTCGGCCGGTCACGGTGATACCGAAGACTATGTCTGGGCTATCAGTGTAAAGAGATACAAGGATAGCCCAGGCCAGCTTGAGTTTGTTTGGGGCGGCGAAGATACTGTGGCCTGCATCCTGTTTTACTGGGATCACACAGGTTCTCTTGACTGTTGGATTGGGAATGTATCCCAGAGATGGCAGCCGAGGGAAGACAGCCGCTTCCAGGTTGACAAAATGCTCTTTCCAAAACCGTTGTTGGGCGTCGGTATTGCGAATAATGTAACTGATGAATCCATTGAAGGGCCTCTGTTGAAGAACCTTGCCGTGATAAGCCGCTTCAACCTGCCTCAGAAGCAGCGGAACTGCCCAGCCGTCACTCAACGCGTGATGAATCACCAGTGTAAAATGCTTCGACGGCCCGGGACTTAGTATGAATCTGACAAGGCGCTGCCCGGCATTCCAGTCTCCATGGTAGCTATTAGTGGGCGCCTCCCATGGAACTGCCTGGCGAAGGACCGCTTGGTACATCGCACCACTGCTTGTCTGCACGATACGAGTACGCATGATTGGATTTGCTTGGACAACCGCATTCCAGGCTTTTTGGAACTGATTGATATCCACAGAACCTGGGAGTGCGTAGTTGAATACGACGATGTATGCACCCGGACGCTTAGCTGTTAGCGACATGAGACCTTCTTGGAGCGGTGTGCAGGGATACACATCCTCGATTGCCTCGCGGCTTTGCAGTTTACACTGGTGCTTGACACAGTCAATGATAGCTCTATGATCTGTTTCTGGTAGGAGAGAGAAGGGGCCAATAGTGTCTTTCTCCGCGACATCGAGCTGACGATCTTCCAGCCCTGCAGCGATCTCGTCCAATGTCTGGCTGTAAAGAGTACCCAGCTCGAACTTCAACCCCATTCGCCGCGCAACACCAAGAAGCTTCATTGCAGTCACAGAGCTTCCTCCGATGGCAAAGAAACTGTCATCTAAGCCGACTTCGTCGCGAGGAACGCCTAAGATCTGAGACCAAAGCTGCTGAATGGCCAGTCCCGTGGCGGTAGAGGGTTGTCGCTTGTCTTCAGACGAAGTAACATCTGAATAACATTGGAGTTCCTGTCGCGTCAGCGCTGCAGCCAGACTTCGAAGCTGGCGACGATCACTTTTTCCGCTTGTCACTAATGGCATTGATTGCAGCGGTAGGAAGACCGTAGGAATCATGTACTTTGGAATTGACTCCTGAAGCTGAGTTCGAGTAATCTGCGCCTGTTCTCGAAAGAGACCGCTGGGAGGCATGAGCCATCCGTCTATCTTGCCTTCTGATGGCGTTTCTTGAAGGATGAAAGCAATCAGCATAGGCGAGTCCGCCATATCAGCCGGGGCAACCATCTCGACCACGACATTGACGACGGCCGGGAATAAGCGTCGAAGATGAAATTCAACTTCTCCTAGCTCAAGGCGCTGCCCACGCAGCTTGACCTGACTGTCCTTGCGTCCTATGTATCGGATTGACCCATCCTCGAGAGCATAACAGGCCAGATCCCCGGTCTTGTATAGACGCCCGGAAGCATTAGGTCTGAACTGGCGATGCCAGGCCGGGGGATCGATAAATACCGACGCGGTTCGGTCAGCATCATTGATGTACCCCCGACCTACAGGAGCGCCATCGAGGAGCAGCTCACCAGCACTGCCAATTGGAGCCAATCGGCTGTGATCATCCGGGTCAACAATCCAGCATGTCACTCCAGCTCCGAATCCAATATTGCTTGGGTCAGAATCGTCAACCAGACATTCTCTCGCCATGCAAATCACTGCACACTCCGTCGGACCGTACGCCTCAAAGAACTGAACATGCGGTGCCCATTTTCGCATATCTTCTTTTTGGAGCGCCTCGCCGCCAACGACCAGGGTTCGCAGCGTAGGAAACTCGTCGACCTCAAGCACGCGCGCTAGTGACGGCGTGAGAAACATCCAGTTGACTTGCATGCGACGCAACGCAGCAGCCAGATCGCGCTGGCGCTCGTCCTCGGAAGGCACACATACACATCCACCGACTATCAGAACAGTCAAGATTTCGAGTAAACATGCGTCAAATGCGTAGGAGGCAAATTGCAACACCCGTGACTGGGCATGCATATTCATCGCTCGACTGTGGGCCACAGCGGTGGTAGCCAACGAGCGGTGCTCAATCACTACACCTTTGGGTTTTCCGGATGTCCCCGAGGTGAAAACGGTGTAGGCGGCGTTTCTGGGCTGAACGGGTACGGTGATTTCCTTGCCGACCTGTGTCCAGTCGGCGGTCCCATTGTCGATAATAATCGCATCTGCCGCGAGGCTGGTTACTCGCCCTGCAGACTCCTTCGATAAAATCATCACCGTCGACTTCACGGCGCGGCAGATCTCCTCTATCCGCTGAGTCGGGTGCGAGGGATCGAGAAGTACGAAGGCGCCGCCCGCTTTTAGGACGGCGAGCATAGCAACCGGGGTCCAGAGCGATTTCTCCAGGCATACAGGAACAAATCTCTCTGGGCCCACTCCATGTGCAATCAGCTCATACGCCACGGCGGAAGATAGCACGTCCAACTCGGCGTATGTCAATTGACCATTCCAGGCGCACACTGCAGGGGCCCCTGGCTGTGTATCACAGCGGTTCCGAATAAGGTCATGGATGCAGAACTCCACCGATGATGGCGGCGGTGTATTCCAAGCCTGCAATTGAAATAGTTGCTGGGCGTCGATTTCGTCTGGTAGCTCTTGGGTGCGTATCGTAATATCGGCCTTTTCGACCTGAGCGGCCTCGCGAACGGCGTCCAACTGCGCCATTGACTTTGCGGCAAGGTTTTCTGAGAAGGTAATTTCTAAGGATGTTGGTATTGGTTCAGGGACATGAAGATATTCGGTTGTGCTCTTTCAAACGAGCGCCATGACAATATATGGGAACACTTCTGCTTCAAACCCTTACGATCTACCTCTTACCTTGTTGACGAGCTTCTCCATTCGGTATCCATCTCATGCACACTAAATCAGACTAATCAGTGCCCAAGAAATCTACAAGGAAGAAGGCCGCCTCCGCCGACTCAGCCCTTCAATACATTGCGTAAGGGAGTTGCCCTGGTCTGTCCAAAGTGGCAACGCCACCATCTGCAGCAAAAGTTGCGCCTTCATTCCGAAGACCTGTTTTGCCATTTCCCAGACACCCATGTCTCAATTCTCGAACTCTATTGGAGGAAAGATTTTATCTGCATGATGCCCAGCGCTGCATGTGCATTGCAGTAGTGTGCCCCCTTAGATCGGATAAGTCCAACTAGTGGATCCACTTAATGGACGTAGCCAGTTTTCTCGAGAACCACTCTATTGGGGTGCTTTCCCTTTGCATGATGGAGCTCAGCTACAGGCAATATACTCCGGTGTATGCACTACGGAATCAATCCCCGAGATGGGTCCACACATTGGGCCAAACCGGCGAATCAAAAGTGAAAGAACCTCCACAGCGCCATCGTTGCGTAACACGCACTTATGCAATGTGGGTTTGAAATATATGGGATCTGCTGTGCCGGGGTGGATGAATCCTGAAGGATTCATGATTCAGCTGGTCGGGGTAGTTAAGGATCTGAATCCCGGCACGAGCATTTTCACTTTTGCGGGAAGTTAACTCTGAAATTTGGCATGTTAGAGCATGCGTGTGGGGCGTGCTGCAGGGTACTTTTGTTTTATTTGCATCGTTTTCGACAACACTTTCGCCACTTCGTGACGAGGCAATCTAGACCTGCCTCTGCCTGCAGGACAGATTGGAGTACCTGTGGAATGGACACATGCACTGTGCGTTTGACACCTGGAATTGGCCTACTCAGTGCTTGGTCAGCGCGTCCTGTTAACAGAGAATCACGCAAGATGCAAGCTCCAACGTCATGTCGTACAGTACGAAATCTATGCACCTCTATCCCGGTCCTCGGAACATTGCCCAGATCGAGTGTGGCCTTCAGCTGTCCTAGGAGACGCCACTAGAAATACTGGAGACCGGCGTAGCCCCACAGACTGCTGCAGCCATGACTGGAAGAGGTATGGAAGGATGACTCCAGCATAAACTCAGCTACTAGGGTTCTCTACAACCCCGGCAGAGCAGCAGGTCAGCAAGTGAGGGCTGCAATCGAATCCCATTGGCATGTCCCATCAACATACAAGCCAATCTCGGCTATACAATTACCATGTAAATGAACACGGATTCGCACCGCGCACGAATACCAGACTCAATTTACCAAGTACACCCAATCACCCCAAGATGTTGACCGACCCATTACTCTCCAGCGTGGCCCTACTTCACGATATCCGCCAGTCAGCCGAGCTCCTGGACCTGAGATCAGGCATCATCTCAGGGCTATTCTCAACGCCCAAGCGGATGCCATCCCTTCTCCTCTGGGATGATAAAGGGCTGATGAACTTCGAAGCCTGGACGAAGAGTCCAGCATACTATCCCAAAAGCCGGGAGCTCGAAATACTGCACAACAGCCGGCATGACATTGCCCGCGGACTGCCAGACCGCTTTGTCCTGATTGAGTTGGGCTGCGGGTGCGTTCACAACTTTGTTAAATGCCCATATACTAACGAGCATAGAAATCTTATCAAAACAGCCGCCATCCTCTCCGCGCTCGAAAAGGACCGCCAGGAGGTTTATTACTACGCGCTGGATGTCTCTTCGGACGCACTATGCAAGAGCCTGGGTGCTTTGAGAGAGCAATTAAAGGGTGCTAAGAACATCCACATCTCGGGGCTCATCGGTACCTACGAGGACTGCGCAGACTGGCTCGGAAGTTCGTTACCCGCTGCAACTGTGACTTTCTTGTGGGTTGGCAACAGCATCGCGAATTTACGACAGGAGGACGCCAGCATACTGCTAGGCAAATTTCGCCAAGCATGCCGCAAGATCTCAGTCGAATGTAACTTCCTGATCTCAGCAGACGGCTGCGCAGTCGAGGACAGACTTCTGAAAGCATATTCCCCCAATGAGGAGCCATCGCGAACTTTTCTTTTTCACGGTCTACACCATGCTAACCAGTTACTTGGACGTGTTGTCTTCGACGAGAATGACTGGGACTGTATTTGTGAATACGAGAAGGAACAGAATGAGCTGCATTTCAGTTACGCGCCGAAGCGGCACTTGGAGCTGGATATTGGGCCCTCTAGTGTTGGGTTTGCCAAGGACGAGAAAGTGCGCTATTTCATGAGTGGAAAATGGACCCAACAACAGATGAGTGCGCTTGCTGAGAATGCGGGCTTTGAAATTGGGAACGTATGGAGAGATGCGCAGGACGAATATAGTAAGTCTTGATTCTGAGCTACGGCCTTTCAATACTGACTCTTTTTCTAGGGTTTTATCTTTTGAAGGGGGTGTGATTTCGGTAGCTCTAATCCTATTCAATGGACCATATTTACTTCTAACACATATTCGCCTGTAGATGGAACCCAAGACGTATGTAGTTGAAAGACAGCACGAGGGTTATCTGCGCATTACTGCCACCTTATCCTAGGCTTTGTCCCATTGATCCCCCGAAATCATCCGTCTACATCAACATACGGTACGAAAAGGCAGAGACCCATGCCGCAGTAGGTGGCTCAAAAGCGCTACAGGTGTTCGAAAATCCCGCAGGACTTCAAGGCTTTGAATGATCAAGTCATAGAAACGAATGACGCGAATGAACGGAGCCCTCCTGTGGGTTCATTTCCAGCTGTCTGAGGGACAAATTTCTACCTTGGGGTGCTTGGGCACAGACGGAGGACGGCGGTTACATACGGCGCAAGTGTATCTATCTTTTACAATCTACTGGCGGTAGTAAGATGATCAGGAAATGGTGGGTTGAGAAATAATCGTGTCCATGTCGGTGTACTATCTTCAATATACGTGGATTCAGGGGGGGCGGGGTATAGCGATGGTAGTAGTATGGATCAACGTCTGACATGGAAACGATGAATCGTGGAATCTGTAGTGTTTGAATTTGTCTAATCCAGACTACGATCATAACATCGTTCAAACCGGACTCGCGGACTCCCTGGCCGCCAAAACAAATCGAAACATAACTACCCGGCCGAAAAAGTCTGCCCCAAAATAAGCACTAAGCCCTCCATCCGCATACGCGCAACCACCGATGTCATTACCAGCTCATCCAGTATTGCCACACCGGCTCGGCCCGCCAGATCCAGATTGACCCGCGGGCCAGGTCCTCGCTCGCGTACGGTGTACTCCGTATGCAGGCGGGCCTCGATAATCACATCAACTAGACCAGATAGGGGTTATTCGAAGCACTCGAGCTGATTTGCATGCGGCAGAATGATTCACCGGCCAGGGCGGGGTTTCCTATTCGCGAGCGGGGACATGGTTAGGTAGTTGGTGAGGAGACGATGAGGGATTTTTTCTTGATCAATCCTTCGTGTGATGGCTTGATATGTATGTACACAGTAGTTTATGAGGATCTCACTAGTTAGGTGTCTTTACTTGGGGTTGACTGGCTTGGATTCTGTATTGGCGGTGGGACTGGGCATTGCCACGTAGCCAATTTCCGAGTTTTCCGACTCCATTATGCAGCCATTCGAAATGGTCCTGAGGGCCACCGGTGCAATTCCGAATTACCATGTCTTATATAATCATTCCATTACTACAGGCATGTAATTGCTGCACTGTACAAATAAAAAGGTACGGTCAACTTCAAAATTTTATCAAAAAAGCGCTGCCATCGCCACTTGTCGGAACAATCGGATATTCCCCGAGAGTATATATTGCTATCACACTAGGATGTGGATAGTAATCTGACGCTGTCATAGACCAGATTTCAGGAAGCTGTACCAGAAGTACTAGGTCCATAGCTAGTACCCAATTACGCCGCCCATCCTTCATCATCTTCGCAAAGAATTAGATCACTCACGCGGCGCAAACAATCCCCCTGGAAGTAACCTTGTCCAGGCTATACGGTGTATATCATGCATGCGGAGTATTCTGAGCTCCGGAGCACTTACCACCTTCGTCTAAGTAAAAGCAGCTACCAAACTCAGCAAGCCACGATCCTTCAAGATTGAGCACAGTAGCCCCCCTGCCACGTACATCGGTTAATTCGTGGGGTCATTGCATAAGTGGCGGCTCGTAAAGTTCGCTCTGCAGACCAGCTTAGTGTCGCTGTGATGACCCGTTTCCCAACAGCTGAGGATTGGAGATCTGCGCGGTCTGGGATGTGGCCATAGCGGGATCCCTGTTCCGGCTAGGTGATTTGCCTTCCGGTATATTGGTTTGGGATTCTTGGGTTCGCTGCTGCTCGGTTACTCCGAGGAAATTCCACACATGGTGGATGAAGCCAATCTAGCAGGACGCGAAATATAAGGTTCCATGTGCAAATCCGTTGTCCGAATGTCAATCAATCTCATTGAAGTTTCGAGATGACTGTTACTACTATTGTCAACGATGGTGAGATTGTGGTTGATGAACCTGGCTATAGCGCTTCTGACTGTTTCGCAGGCTCGTATGCCGTCAAGCCCCCGTTCGTCAGTATCCACACGGCGCGAAAGGACCACGGCACCGAGTTTGAAGCACTCGGGAAGGACCTCACGGAGGCGATGAGCGCCTATGTAGGCTATCTGAGAGACGAAAAGCTCCCATTGCCGTCTCTGGACCCCAGTGCAGTGGACTCTCCGGCCGTCAGGCATGCGGACGGGGTAGCAAGCAAAGAGAAGATCATCGAGCTGGCGCAGGAGATCTGCGCACGGACGATGGATCCAAAGATGAACCTTTTGATCAGCTCGTTGCAGGTACTTACCTTTCCTTATATCCAGACGCAGCTGACATGGTAGTTCCACTTTTGCTCGTGTCTGCAAACGGTTCTCCACCTTCGTGTCCACGAACATATCCCAAAGAATGGAAATGTTGCGGCCAGGGACCTCGCAGCTGCCGTTGGTGCTGAAGAGGCACTATTGAGTATGTCACCCTTTGTCGCAGCGCGAAGCATATTAACAGGCCAGCGCGCATCATGCGAGTCCTCACAAACAAATACATCTTCGCCGAGCCAGAGCCAGGCTACTACGCCCATACCGCTATGTCCTGGAGCATGCGTGGACCAAACGAGTACCACCTCCTAGCACACAGGTAGAGCCTACTACACAACCCAGCCATCCCATCCACCCTAACACTCCCAGACTCGACGAGCCCTTCCGCGCCTCCAGCCGCCAAGCAGACGCCCTCGCCGCAGGGGGGTATCGCGAACCCCGCAGCAACGACTCCTTCGGCTTCCATCTGGCGTTTAACACCCAGCGTAATTTCTGGGACTATCTGGCTACCGAGGACCTCGGCCGGAGACAGCGGTTCGCGCGCGCAATGCAGGCCGTCAACCTGAATACGCTAGACGTGATACCGGAAATGTACGCGTTCAACAAACTGATCGCCGACGGCGGCGTGATTGTCGATGTTGGAGGGGGGTTGGGGCAAGTAGCCAGGAAGATCCAGGCATACTATCCGGACAGTGGGCTGCGATTCATTGTGCAGGATGGGTTTGCTCCTGTGGATTCGACTACCCGCGATGTGTCGGGGGTGGAGATCCAGCGGCATGATTTCTTTGGCCCGCAGCCAGTGAAGGGTGAGTTTTGAGGGTTTTGATGGTGAGGAATTGGCTAACAATTCAGGCGCCGCGGCGTACTTCTTCCGACACATCTTCCACGACTGGCCCGACAGCACGTGCGTGCACATTCTCAAGCAGACGGCGGAAGCGATGGACGCAAACCGAAGCCGCATCCTGATCTGCGATCAAATAGTGGACGAAGCATCGCCGTCAGTCCCGTCGATGCTGTATGACATCGACATGATGACGCTGTTTGGTGGGAAGGAGCGCACACTGCGGCAATGGGACGCGCTGCTCAAGGCGGCAGACGAGAGGCTGTACGTGAGCAGGATAGCCAAGAAGATGACGACCACGATCATTGAGGTGTGTGTTGGGGATACAAGGTAGATAGATGGCTTGACTTGAAGCAAAGCAATACAGTACTACCATACACCGGATTATTACTTGAATCTACGCCTGCATTTACGGGCCTCGGGGCCTGACGTAAGACCATCCACCATCAAACCTCTGCCTTGCCTGGAAGTTCTTGATGACCTGCAAGACCCGTTCAGAGGTTTTGTCTGATTCCGTCAGATGGAGAGCCGATATCCCGCCTAGGGTGAGGCAAAAGGCTTTCGATGGCGGCCGCATATCAATAGGTAGATGGCAGGATACCCGAGGGCCTACTCTGGAGTACCCAATCTTGGAAGAGAAGTATAACTTAGAGTGCCGCTCGCATTACCTACCAGATGCGCTGTTTCACACTCGTATCCTCATTTGAACCAAATTGTCATCATTCCATTCTGTCTATTAGAGAGCGGACTGACGATAATATCAATGCAAATCGGACATGGAAAAGGTTTTTGCACTTCAGATGCCCTTGGACCTTGCTTTACCGGCTCATAAAACTTGGCCTAGGTGTCTTAAGCATCTCTGGTGTGTGTCTTCATAGCTCAAATTTGCGCTGCCTATTGATCACCCCGATGTGTTCTCCTGTTCCCGCGGGGACTTATTTGACTCTCAACAAACGCGCGATGCATTGGCCTTATAGACATGGCGTTATGGGGCTATGGGGCTCACTGCGAATAAATGACTATAATTGGCTTCTTATGCCCATCAAACACTTATAAGCCTCCACTGCCTAGGTCAAGAATCTTCAGCCATGATGTGAATATACATCTATTCAGCGACCCGTTTGGTGAGCGATTTCTTGAGGAAGGACCTGACGGTGAGAGGTCTACAATGTCACGTGTGAGGACAATATGAATACTCAGCTGAGGTACGGTCTTGATTCTATTTCTGATTATCAGAAAACTTGCAATATCTCATCACTCGAAAGAAAGCCTAAACTGCCACAATGAAGCTTCTCAATCTTCTTGCTTTTGGCACTCTGGTTGCCTTTGTCTCTGCCGCCGCTCATGAGCGGGCTCCCAATAATGGCTACTGTACTCTTGGGACAAGAGACGAGAATGGCCAACTTATCTTCAAGCGGCGTTGCAACTAACTGGGGAGGAAGTGATTGCCCGGATGGTCAGAAGTGTGTTTGCATTCCCACTGCGGACCCTTGCAACTGCATTTAAGGTAGCATCGATTCACTCGATTCAAGTTTCTGAACAGTGCTGAGCAATCTTGACAGAACATTGTGGAGATGATAGTGCATTGAATGGCCAAACCTCAGCAGTGGGTATGATTGTACAGAAGGTAAAATTCCTCGTCGTGTTTCCTCTTCTGGCTGTGCTATGACTTCCTATTATTAGAATGCCCCTGGCGAAGTTGCGCTTATTAAGATTGTGTCTGAGTCAATATATCAGGGCTGTCCTCGGTCTAGTCCTATTAGAGCTTAGTGTACATGTCCCTTAGCGGTCATCGCCTGCTTCTTAGGATTCCAAACAATTCAACACCATGTACAGCACTTAGACATTTCAGTCGCAGAGAACAATCCAGTCGTTGCCACAGTCTTCTGCAAGATCCTTTGCTTTCATCCCAACCCTCTTACTCCATGTTTCAGCAGTTCCAGGTTCGACCAGTTCTTCCGCCTCGAGGGAAATCAAAACCTGGACCGTCCAATCTTGACAACGACTTTTGCCGTCCCTGGGGGCTGGCTCGCCCTGGATGACCTGAACAGCGTGTGCGCGGAGTCTGGTGTCCAGAAGCGCGATTCTGCACATCCCAACCGCTTGCTGCTCTTTGATATTGACGGCCTGACGAGTGTCCGCTTGATACCAGAGCCTCGGCAGGTCTATCACTTGTACGTGGTAGAGGTCACCGTAGTCCTCTCCCGGTGTATAGAAAATGAATCCCCAGTGAGATCGGTGGTTGGGATCATCTCCGTTTCCAATCGCCCGTATGCAGAGTTGAAAGAACATGTCCTATAGTACGCGCTAAGAAGGATACTCGAATTATACATAAATAGTGGACCGACAAATGATAGAACGGAATCGTGGTGAAGACGGGAACTTGAGACGGCAGCAGCAGTAGTAGGAGAGTCGAAATGGCCCAATGTCATACAATAACGCGAGTATCTCGGTGTAGAGCGAGAAGAGAAAGATCGGTGAATTCGTCGTTAAGCCGCAGTAGGAGGGCAAGCCTTGAGGTCGACGATGCCTCAGGCTGATGTCAGTCTTGGCAGACATACCCACGTGACTCGTGGGTGAATCCCTCTTTCTGATCCCCCCCTTCCCATCTCCCTCGAACTTCATCTTCGACTCCATGATTTCGCAGCGCCCGCTACAAACAGACAGTCATGCACCGCTTCCTGTGCAGTCTTGAGGAATTGACTGCCCTCACACAATCCAGGCCATCCACAGCCTCTGCCCTACTGGTCGAGAAGGGTGAACGCTAAGGATTGGGTCCGTAATAGCGTGGAAGAAGACCAGCTTTGGCCCCCAAATGTACCAATCTTCCGACCAGGCGCAAAAATGAAACCGCGACCATCTGCACTCCACGGCAGGACTATAAAAGCAGCCCAATCCCCTATTTTCTTATCGCAAACCATGCCCCTCGCCTCAAGACCCAGCCCCCAACCGCCGGTCATCTTCGACCCTCCTTAGCCAGGTGCCATCGTGACGACCGTGAAAATGCGACCCTGGTTAGTTTGGGCGCTGCCCGCCATTCTAACGGGTAGGTATGGAAGGCACCGGACTCTCCATAACAAAAGGCGCCCCCGCTAACCAGGGACAATAGGCGCGGCCGCTGAAGAGTGCCATGGTAATTTCACCGTCCATCCCAACGACAACACCACCCGGCTCTTCGATTCCTGCACCACGATCGTCGGAAACATCAACATCGGCACGAGCATTGACGGCGAACTGTACCTTCGAGGCATTTACAATGTCACCGGCACCATCGAATTTCGACCGGACCACGACCACGATCGCGACTCCCGACCCGTTGTCCATTTTTTCAACGCACCCAACCTGTTCCACCTGGGCGGACTGAAGGTGCACGAAGGGTTCTCGGTGTACGAGCTCTACTTACGAGGGTTGGAGACCGTGGGCGATATTTCGGTATATGTGGACGAATACGCGCTGAATCTCGAGCTTGACTCGTTGGTGGAGGCGGACTCGATCAACATCAGTCGGGCCCTGAGCACGTACGTTTCGCAACCGTGTCGCGCTATTCATACCAGGGCTAATGATTTGGCAGTCTGGATCTACCCGATCTACGGACCGTGCACGGTGCCCTCACCATCGACTACCATGCCGCCAATAGCAGTGGCGACGAGCCCGGGAGCTCCAATCATGGCAGGATAGACTTTCCTTCGCTGGAGTTGGCGGGGTCTGTAAACCTGGCGGGCGCGACGGAGAAGTGAGTACTGCTTTTGCCTCTTGGACCAGCGAGAGTTTGTGGAATGTTGGTCTGTTAACGCCACACATCTTCTAGCATAACACTCCCTCGATTAACGACCGTCGGGTCCCTCAACGGGTCAGGGTCCGAATCCGGATTGACTCTGCACATGGAGAAACTGGAGAAGCCGTTCCATTTGGACTTGCCGAGACTTCGATCTGTGCAAGACCAGATGAATCTCTATGGCAATGTGAAAGAGTCGGTTACCGTTTGCCCTACCTTTTCTAGACCGATCGACTGATCCCCTGGCGCATTTCTAGAGTCCACGCCCCCCGACTCACCAATTTCACCTCCATCAACATCACCTCCAGCACCAATCTCGACTGTGACGCCTTCCTTGCCGCCATAGAGAAAACCACGCGGTATCCGGAGGGTAGATCGTCGGTCGCCTGCAGCTATGCGCCCTCGAAGGGGGCTCTGAGTAAAGGAGCGAAGATCGCCATCGGCGTTGTTGTTCCTGTGGTGGCCATTGCTATTGCTGTGGGGATTGTGTTTATCTGTGTGAAAAAGAAGTCTCGAAGGGCGAGTCGGGCGAGGATGGAGTTGAGCGGGCTGCAGGCGTTAGAGAGGGAGAGAGATGCAGCCACGCCCCCGCCGCCGTATTCTGCGCATGGGAGGTAGACTTTTCGGTCTGTTGATATGATCCTACTCGAGGTAGGGCGTTTGCCTGTAATGTATAGTCCTGATTTCTTCATTGGCGAGGTTTGTGTTGTGAAGTGGTGGTGGCACCGTGGCCTGATCCAAATGCCTGATTTTCGCGGCATTCAACCGGACGCGGTGGACAGTACGGAGCATAAGTCTGGCTACCTAGGCAGTCTGCGGATACGAAGTAACCAGGAAATCCTCGAGAGATGCCGTCTGGTCCGTTCTATGTGTGACCACGAGCAGGGTGAGCTGATCGTCCAACGTCACGACTCACGACAGACCACCTTTGCCCCCGCCTTCGATCGTATGATCCCCTCGGACTCTGGATATACCAGCCACTATCCATCTCCAATCTCCGCCTTTTTCTACTCCGTACGATATTCTACAACTGAACTGAACTACACATGACGATGACACCAACCACCGTGATCGTGATCGGCTCGGGCCTGGCCGGCCTGGCCAGCACCGTCCAGCTTCTCGCCCAGCGTATCCCCGTCCTGATGCTGGAACGCTCCGCCAAGCCCGGCGGAAACAGTATCAAGGCTTCGTCCGGAATCAACGGCGCGCCGACTCGGTTCCAATCCCTTCCCAACCTCGACAGCGTCGCTACGTTTTACGCTGATACGGCCACTTCCGCCGGCGCACCATTTATCTCCGCCGCGGGGGCGGAGAAGACCCGCAGAGAAAAGCTCGTCGAGACTCTGACGTACAAGTCCGGGGAGGCGGTGTCTTGGCTGACGGATGAGCAGGGAGTGGAGCTGAGTCGAGTAACGCGCTTGGGTGGACATAGCGTGGCCCGGACGCATCGCGGTGCCGGAAAGAAAACGCCCGGATATGATATTGTCAGCACGCTGTTGAAGCGAGTGAGTGAGGACGATCTGTTTCGCATGGAGACAGGTAGGAAGGTGACCAAGCTGCTGCGAGAGAAGGACGGAGCCGTGACGGGGGTGGAGTATACGCTGGTCACGGCGAGCAACGAAACCGTGGTGGAGAGGGCCTACGGGCCCGTCGTCGTGGCGACGGGGGGCTTCGCCGGCGATGCGCGCGGATTGTTGGCACAGTATCGCCCCGATCTGGCTGGGATCCCCTCCACGAACGAACCACGCGAAGGGACGCAGCCGCTGCTCCAGGAGATCGGGGCCGCTGTGGTGGATATGGACCGCGTGCAGGTGCATCCGACGGGATTCGTAGATGGCGCCGATGCCGAGGCGGCGGTGAAGATCCTGGCAGCGGAGGCCCTGCGCGGGGAAGGCGGCATCTTGGTGCGAGGAGATGGCATGAGATTCGTCAACGAGTTGGAGACGCGGGAGAAGGTAACGGGCGAGGCGATGCGGCAGGCGGATCGACTTCCCACGGAGGCGACGCAGTGGGATGTGAAGCTGGTGCTGGACCAAGGGGCCGCCGCGGTGTTGGAGACGCATCTGGGCTTTTATATGTGGAAGGGGCTGATACGCAAGACGACGGTTGGCGAGATGGCTAGGGAAATGCCGGCGCTGGAGAGCACCTTGCGGGACTATGCCGACGTGGTGGCGACAAGGAAGGAGGATGAGTTTGCACGCGAGTCCTTTGGGAACTGGACCCTGACCGACGTGACACCGGAGTCCGAGGTGTACGTGGGCAAGGTGACGCCGGTGGTGCACTTCACCATGGGAGGCGTCGTGATCAACGAACATAGCCAGCCCCTGGATTACCACGGCCGCCCGATCCCGGGTCTCTGGGCGGCGGGCGAAATCACCGGCGGCCTCCACGGACAGAACCGTCTGGGAGGATCGTCGCTGTTGGAGTGCGTCGTCTTCGGCCGCATTGCCGGAGAGGAAGCCGCGGCTTTCTATCGGGCCTAGAAGGGTGGATGGTATTGCAGGCCTTGTACGGCCGGTGGATGGAAGTCGACTACAATGATCTCTTGCATTTTCTCCGCCCACTCTTGGATTAAGTAAAACAACTGGAACATAGTATAATATCCAGATGATGCCGGATCTCAGACGATATTTTGACAGTGGCACGAAGGCCTGACCCCCTGACCTGATAACACTTCCCTACAAAGCAACCAACTACAGCGCAACCAGTTCGGCACTGCCGGCATGGAAACTCCATCGCTTCTTGCTATCGGCGCCCCATTTGCTGTTCTGCTGCAGGAAGAACCAATAGCCCACGCTGAAGAAGACATAAGTCTCCGGGTTTTGGCGGATTAGTTGCTCGTTGGTCGGTTTGTCGGCCGTCTCTCGCTTCTTCGGACTGTCCAGGCGTTCTCGCATCTCCTCCCAGTCGTCTGTCAACAGTCAGCCATGGGAGAACGGTCTCGCGTCGGTGCGAGGGGTGCCCAGCACTTACAGGTAGTATCGGGCGTGTCGGCACTGCCGAGGACGAGATGGAAGAGCTCGTGGTAGAAGGTTACGCTTCGTGAAAGGACGCCCGTGATCCGCTTGTTTTTAGGGGTCTTGGACCCAAGCGTGACGCTAACCCCCGCGGTGCTGCTGAAGCTACGCGGGCACAAGGTGATGGTTGAGGGCCTGGTCATATCCTGGGCGGCCCCGACGCTGTCCGAGGTACAGGGCGTCTTGCCTCCGTAGTCGCTATCGAAGACGTACTGCTTCAGTTCTTCGGACCAGTAAGGGACATACCCGTTGCTTACGACCTCGTCCTTCTCGTTCAGTTCCCATAACATGTTCCGATATTCCGGAACATCCTCAATCGGGATTTCGCTCTCCGAACCATCCTCGTTGATCCTCTTCAAGTAATGCGAGCTGTCACCGTCAAAGGCCGAGTCCGTTCGCCGGAGTTTCTTGAGCCATGTGTCATGGCAATACATCCGCGGCGTTTGGTCCAACGGGAGCGGCGTTCCCTGCAGGAACTTTTGTACTTTCTGGAGGTTTCCTGTGGCACGGTCAGCAGTCGGATCGAAGACTGTCGAGTGGCGGGTCAATGGCGAACTCGCCCTTGACAAGAGACGTTCCGGAGCCCCCCGGGGTTAAGTTGAAGTATGTTTTGAGATACCGTACGGCAACGGAATACTCGTCATTTGATTCACTTTCTGCGTGGCTAAACACCTTCAGGCCGGCCTCTACCAAGGCCTTGCTTTCAGATAGCCATGTTTCCAGCGTTTTAGCCCGCGATTTACAGCCGGCGTTGGCGTCGTTATCCAGGTTGACCTCGAAGAGAGAAGCGATGGTTGTGTCCGCGATGGCGGGCACAATCAGCAGCCAGCAGAGGAGGAACGACCGGAGGTCCATGATAGCAGTGATGGACGGTACGCAGGGAAACAGAACTTGTGCCACCGAGGGACTTTTTTTGTCTTATGCGTTCACCACTCTTCCCCTGGTCTGGCTCGGTAAAGACTGGTCCCGTCACTATACCACGGACTAGCCAGGCGGTTTTGATTAGACTGAGACATGAAGCCTCAAATCCTTTGTGCCAGAGAACATCGGAGATTACCAGATTACCGCTCCGTACGGATGAGTGGTCTAGGAACAGACTACTGAGTACTGCCCGATCCACCGTCCCCTTCTCGTGCAAAGGCAGGGATTGGCTCCCGATCTAATAGTTACCACTAGTGTCCGCACTGGAGCATTGCCTCGATCTCTTGTCGTTCCTGGCCCCCAAACGCTAGAAAAAACCCTGCTGGGTTGGTACTAGGAGTAGACTCCGATATCACGAACATTTGAAGAAAGCGTCCCTTGCCACTGCCGGTTTATCCGTTGGCGATTGTTCACTAACGAGCTCGGAATCAACGATTGGAAGTGGGCCACTCCGACTCGGCTCTGGGCTGGCCTCGTAGCAGAGGGCCATGCGCGCTCTCGAAAAAGGTATGTAAGAAGACCTGGTGGTAGCGAGCCCGCATCATTTTGGCAACGGCCATCTAGATACCGACCTATTCATTTGTCGTTTTGGGCAAACATGGCGCCCTTGTCGTTGATCTTCCTGACCACGGCGCTAGCTCTGATGGGCACCCATGCCTCCTCCGACTGCTGGGCCACTGTCCACAACGAAACCGTGGCCTGCTTTAGCGGTGCGCCTATTGCTTTCAGCTTTGATATGGACACTGCCGCCGACTGCCAGCACTGGTGTGGCGAGGTTGAGAAGTGCCACTCATGGCTCTACGTCGCCCATTCCAGCCAATGCGACCTTCACCGCAACGCGGCGCTGAGCACTTCGTTCAGCAGCGGCTTCACCTTTGGCGGATGTGCGCCCACCCTTGCGAATGCCACCGAGGCTTCTTCTGACAGCTCTGTGAGCACTAGTACTCGCGTGGCAACGGAGCCGACCGGTTCAGTATAGTCCCCACCCCTTGTGTTTGTCGCACCTGGAAGTTGCATCTATCTAACCGTGGAAACTATCTCTCTAGCCGGAGCCGAAGCGCGGAGCGGATCACCATAGGCGTCGAGCACATGGCCGCCACCACCGATAAGGGGGTCGACGGACTTTTGCCAGAGTTGGAGGGCCGGCGCGTGGATAGAGGAAGGGCGGCTAGGAAACTTCGCAGTGGTGTGATAAGGATTGAGATAGTTTTACGAGCGAATGAGTTTGGAGAGAGACTTCCACCCGTTACAGCTTACATTGTTTACTTCCGAGCGGTTCGTGAGCTGTTTGCGGCCGCCAACCTAGTCTAGGAATGCATTGTAGCAAGATCTGTAGCAGGACCAAGCATCTAAGCCCAAGCCTTGGTTTCAAAGATTTACAGGGTTGGAGAGGGGTTGGCATGGATTTGCAGGGACTTCTGGGGACTCACAGGGGCTCACAGAACGGGACCTAAATCATCTAATATCGCACTATCGATCAGCGGCTTACTCGGGTGCTGCAATCCACGGATGCCGACGGAGTGCACTTGGTTTCTCAATTTGGGGTCCGTTCGGGTACGGTTTTCCTATCAGTATTTAGCAATTGCAGAGATTTCTTAGCCGTCGCGCCAAGTGGAGGACCGACACGCCTAGTGCGGACTGGCCCTGCCCTAACGTGAACTATATCCTCCCGGAACGTGGATAGGAACTCGGAAACAACCCTCGACTCGCTCCTATCCAGGCCACCAGCCTGCTACGCCGCCGGAAACGTCCAATGCAGGATTCAAAGCATCAAAGTCCAATCTCCGGTCTCATCCACTGCAATATTTCCTCCGAGATTTGGGGTGGAGTCTTGTTAGGAATGTCTCAGTCTCGCCGGGGCTCCCAAAGGGACTGGCCCAGAGCGCGATAGCATTTTATATGTCAAAACCCGGGGGTTCCTCCAAGTATTCGACTTCAACCAGTCTTCCGAGTGCCGTGCGAGTCAAGCCTACGATGGGGTTGTTCCTGGCTTGGGCAACGGTCCTCCTGCTGGCCTGCCGCGTGCAGGCAGCAGCGGTCTTTGCTCACTTCATGGTATGTATTCCCGTGGCATTTGCTTTCAGGCTATCGCAGGCGTGCTAACGAGGTCGGCCAGGTCACAAATTCGGCCAACTACACCAGCGATGACTGGAAGACGGACATGAAATTGGCCCAGGATGCGCACATCGACGCCTTTGCCTTGAACATGGCATATAACGATCCTAACAACATCGATGCTCTGCCGGCAGCCTTCTCCGCCGCCGATAGCGTTGGCTTCAAACTCTTCTTTTCATTTGATTACGCCGGCAATGGCAACTGGCCGAAGAGTGACGTTATCAATCTGATCAACCAGTACAGCGCTCACTCCTCGTATTACTTCTACAAGGGACAGGCGTTTGTTTCCACGTTTGAGGGCCCCGGTCGCGCTGACGACTGGCCCGCGATCAAGGCGGCCACGGGCTGCTTCTTCATCCCGAGTTGGTCGTCCCTGGGGGCCAAGCCCGCTGTCGAAACCGGGGTTGTGGACGGCCTATTCAGCTGGGCAGGCTGGCCCTGGGGTCCCCAAGACATGAACACCTACATCGACGCCTCCTATATCCAGTATCTGGCCAGTCTGCCATACATGATGCCCGTGTCTCCCTGGTTCTATACCAATCTGCCGGGATACAAGAAGAATTGGCTGTGGCGCGGCGACCACCTGTGGCATGACCGCTGGCAGGAAGTGCTCTACGTTCAGCCGGAATTTGTCCAAATAATCTCGTGGAATGACTACGGTGAGTCCCACTACATCGGACCCTTGTATGACAAGGCGATGGAGGCCTTCGCGATCGGAAAGGCCCCCTTCAACTACGTGAAAGATATGCCCCACGACGCCTGGCGCAAGACCCTCCCGTTCTTCATCGACATGTATAAGGAGGGGACCGCCACGGTCACGGAAGAAAGCATCGTGGCCTGGTATCGACTGAGCCCGGCGGCCGCCTGCAGCAGCGGAGGCACCAGTGCCAATACCGCCTCGCAGCTGCAGATCGAATTCCCGCCGGCTGAGGTGGTCCAGGATCGCATCTTCTACTCCGCCGTCCTGGGGTCTTTCTCGGGCGTAGTGGTCTCGATTGGAGGCTCCGCTCAGACGGCCGCGTGGAGCTCGGTGCCCAACGAGAATATCGGTGTCTATCACGGCAGTGTCGCCATCAACGGCCGCACGGGACCTGTCACCGTCTCCCTCATGCGCGACAACAAGGTCTTCGCAACGATCGAGGGCAAGGCCATCTCCACCAGCTGTCCTAACGGAATCCAGAACTACAATGCCTGGGTGGGCGGCGCCGTGGGCGGCAAAGTCTCCGCCACGCCGGACCTGCTCCTTTCCAAGCAGACCTGTATGAACGGCACAGGTGCGAATAATTTCGCCGGCATCTGTGAATTCGCCTGCACATACGGTTACTGTCCGCTGGGCGCCTGCACATGTACGCAAATGGGGCTGGGCTACGAGAAACCGAATTCCACGGGGGTGGTCGGCTACCCCATCGCCGGCGAGGACGCCAGCTACAGTGGCCTGTGCAATTTTGACTGCAACCTGGGCCACTGTCCTCCAACGGCCTGCGGCACCGTCGAGGTTCCTCTCACCACACCCACGGTCTCTCCGTTCTTGCCGCCGGCCTGCACATCCGGCAAGGGAGAGGGAAACCTGGCAGGCCTCTGCGACTTCAGCTGTACCCATGGCTTCTGTCCGATGAACGCATGTACCTGCACGGGTCAAGGTGCTGTGAATGTCTTAGATCCCACCTCTGACGTAGTAGGGAAGCCGGGACCGGGGATGGATGAGGCCATCTACGGCCCTCTGTGCGAATACACCTGTCAGCGCGGTTACTGTCCTGATCCCGCCTGCGTCGAAGGCTCGAGCGGATCGGAGTCAGGGTCGGGGGCGGGATCGGGCGATGGAGAGGTGTATATCGCACCGGAGATCTGGGGGCATCCGTCACCAGTGGTTGGATGTCAGCCCCCCTGCACCCTGATCTTGCCCCCATTGCCTCTGGACGAGCCAACTCAAATCACCATCCCTACCTGGGAGACACCCATTACTCGCAAGACGGCGTCTACCCGAACCACCACCGACGAGGATGGGGCGACGGGCACCGTCCGTGGCTTCGACGTGACGACGACCACCATCACCATCACCTTCCCCCCTAGTAAGAAGCATCCCGCTCCCGTGCTGTACACAGGATATCTCTAACATTCAATCAGTTGTGAGGACAGACATTCCCGTCTGGCAAGCCGTAATCAACGCCAGCCAGACTGGTTCCTCTACCCTGGAGATGACCAGCAGCATCGACCTGCCTCATATGATCTACGTGCTGCCTCCTCAAGGGACTGGCCCCAGCGCGACGAGCACCACGACGACCATCACTCCTCCGCCGTATCCGTGGTCCCAGACCAGTAAGGACTCCGTGCTTAATACGCGCACGACCACCTGGTCATCTGAAAGCCCCACCCCTTCTGCCAGCAAGGGGAGCAAAGGCACTGGCCATGGCTGCTTTCCCTTCTGTGATGGTCCCTGTCTCCATTGCCCTCCCGGCGGCGGGTCGATCAACGGTGGCGGAGGGTCCGGCGGCGGCGGCGGCTCTTCAGAGGGCGAGGGCGAAAATGAGGAGGAGTGCAGCACTCGCACCGCCCAGGTCTGCTCGACTGCCTGCGTTGCGGGCTCTGGCTGCGATTTTCATTGCTCCAGCACGACCGGATGCTCCGCGACGGCGTCGTCGACCAAGATCGTGGGCACGCCGCCGGCTGGAGTAAAGATGGCCACGACCTGGGAGCATAGGCCCAGTCAGACCAGTAACCCGGATGCTGAATCCAGCATCGCGAGCTCGTTGGACTCGGTATATTCCTCTGCCTACGGTACATTGTCCGTCCTCTATCCAACCCCGACCAACACCGGTCCCGCCCCCAGCAACGGCCCCTACGGTGGAGGGATCGAAATTACCTATTACGAGGACGATCGCGACAAGGATGCGGTGCAGTGGGACCTCTTCGAATACTATCAGAACAACCTCCACGGCGGCCTAGGCTGTCCCGAGGTCATCACGCCGGACCAGGTCCGGCATGACGGTGCCTATCATGGACTGGGCGATAACACCGGCGGCTGGAAGGCCTTCGGCGCCACCTGTACCTACCATGGCGATAACCTGCCCGTCTCACCGGGCGGCACCAAGGTTGGCACGTTCAAGTGCGATAAATATCGCGATGCTGTCTGTTACAGCATGACGGGTGGCGGAAACACTTGCGCCAATGGATGGCAAAGGACATACCCCATAGTGTTTTGCGAGTGGTAGTGAAGGATCGGGAAATACTATACAGACTAATGGACAAGAACAAGATGATACCTGTCTCCGCTTTCTGCTACCCGGTTGTTTGTTCTTCCTCGGCCCACGCTCTCTAGATAAATCCTAACCAGTGGTCGCCTTGATTTAGACCAAGATAGGGTGGTTCACGGCCAGCTGCCCGAGGATAGATATATATCCAACAATAGGGAAGAACCAACAGGCGACAAGGGAGCAACTGTAGGAATTCCAGGTATTGGTATGACTTTCAATTCGACCAAGGAGCCCAGTGGAGTGACCTGATATGTCTACAGCAACAATGGCTTCACATCTTGCCGATGCTCGGTTACGGAGGCGATGTAGTCGCATACCGATCACCGCACACAAGGACAAGAGGCTTTCCCACGTGGCAGAAAATCGTAACCGGCCCGAACGGACTGAAGGTAGACAGGTTCTGTACGGTTAGGGCGCACGTAGCAGCATCACATGAATATCAGAGTCAGACTCAATATAGCGAGAGATTCCAAGGCAGTGGTTCCTCGGCCGACTCAACCATATCCCGACAGACATCGGAGGCACCACTTCAGAGCCACACAGCGAAGCGCATGCGACGACCAGTTAAGCCAATGCAAGGGCGACAACGAACCTTCGAGGAGGCGAGGAGCTGTCAGCTAGGGATTCTCCCTCAAGGGCTCTACGGTGGTCACCTTGTGCGGACTTCTCCCTGGTCACGCCGGTCTTGACTCTCGCTGGAGCTGGAGCAATCTGACAGGTCGGATAATAAAGGCGACCAGCCTAAATGGCAAAGCGAAAAGGAACACAGACCTGCTGCCCGCAGCCTAGGACCAGTGACCGCCCCCAGTGGCGTTACCCTTGCTTCCCATGTGGCGATTCCTTCATTTCCTTCTCCTTCTCCTTCCCCTTCTCCTGTTTTAGTTTCCGACTATCGCCAGCCAATGACCCCCGGCGCATGACCATGGGACAACATCCAGGGCCGACGGGCCACGGAGCCCAAATTGATTGCTTGGGCGTGGAGGGCGGCTCTAGACCGCATCCTCTCCGAGAGGCGTCAGCGAGCTTTCCCCGGATCTCACTAGTTGCATGTCCAGGGGCCAATGAGCGCGGACGTGGATGACTGCTTCTTTGACCAGCAGCTCGGGAAAAGTTGCTGAAATGCTGGCCCAGGTTATTGGTGGAGAATTGTGGGCTGACCGGCAGATTGCCCCTTCCTCCGCGCAAACAGGTCAGTGGGGTTATCTCGACTGTCTCGGTTCCTTTGGATGCATTTCGAGGAACCGCTTATGTGCTGGACGAGCATCAGAAGTAAGTAGGGATAGGAAATCCGGGGAATGTGGGGATGGACGGGGAACAACCCACGGACGAGCCAGGTGCCCCAGTTCTTCCCCGGCTTCCTAGTCCCGCTAGCCTCTCTGGTCCTCCTGTCACTCCCAACCGAATCTGCGAGGGTCCAGTCTAGACCGATTGGGAACGGAGGTAGCGGTGCGGCGCCCCGACGTTCGTGTTGGAACTGGATTCTGGGGTATTTCGGGCCGGAATCCGCATCAGCTTGACAGATGCGGCCTGTGCCACCGACCTTCGAGTCTGGGGAACCGCGTCCTGCACGATATAAAGATCATCCGGCATGCCTATCCACGCTTCTACTTCTCCACAGCTGGTCCCACTTCCTTGTCATCCCCCCCGAGGTTTGGTAGACGGCTCATCCATTCACCATGTCGAAGGAAGAACACTCGCGGCACGAGATTGTCAGCGTGGATGCCACGCATCACCAGGCCATCGTCGCCGAAGGAACGGGCAAAACGGCCGCCAATGAAGGGGCCAAACAGAAGGAGGTGTACAACGTGAGTCGAGAAGGATGGATCGACAGCCCAGACATCGGACCTCCACTGATCGCCTAATAGGCCGAACTCTACGCCGCAATCCAGGAGTCCAATATCAAGAGATGGAGCAAGTCGAGTCTGCACCTGTACTGTAGGTGTCCCCGATCTAGGCCGGGTCGACCCCATCGCTGACACGGACCACAGGGTGCGTTTTCATCGCATTCTGCTGCGCTTGCGCGAACGGCTTCGACGGCTCTCTTATGGGATCCATCACCGTGATGCCTCACTTCATGGCCACTATGGGCAGCCAAATTGACGGCTGGCAGGTGGCCGTGATGACCTCCCTCTACTCGGTGTAAGTACTGGGTGCCCTCCCCGGCCGAAGGGAGTTGCAGTCGGGTACGAGTCTAACGAATGATTCGGTGGTTAGGGGATCCATCGTCACCACTCCCTTTGCTGCTGCCGTCAGTGACCGATGGGGCCGTCGCATTGGCATGACCTGTGGCGCGGTAGGAATTATTCTCGGGAGTATCGTGGCGGCGAGCTCCCACAGCTTGGCCCAGGTGACCGTGGGCCGTGTGATTCTCGGCTCTGGCATCCAGTTTATGACCGTCGCGGCGCCAGCATACTCCATGGAAATTGCACCTCCCCAGTGGCGAGGTCGCTGCACCGGATTCTACAACTGCGGTTGGTTTGGTGGTTCCATCCCGGCGGCCTTGGTGACCTTTGGATGCCAGTACATTGACAGCAACTGGTCCTGGAGAATCCCGTTTATCTGCCAGTGCTTCGCATGCCTCATCGTCATCAGCTCGGTGTATTTTATCCCCGAGTCTCCCCGATACCTCTTCGCGGCCGGCCGGGAGCAAGAGGCCATTGATTTCCTGACCAAGTATCACGGAAGCGGCGACCCCCAATCACGCCTGGTGCAGTTGGAGGTGGAGGAAATCCGCGAGAGCATTCGGCAGGAGCTTCAGGACAAGAAGATTGCCTGGTGGGATTACAGCTGCCTGATTGACTCACACCAGAGCCGCTGGCGCTCCCTGCAAGTGCTCATGATGGGTGTCTTTGGTCAGTTCTCCGGTAACGGCCTCGGCTACTTCAATGCGATGATCTTCAGCGAGCTCGGCGTCGAGACCACCGCTCAGCAGCTCGGCTACAACGTGCTCAACTCGGTGCTGGGGGCCATCGGTGCCGGAACCGCCGTGTCGCTGACGGACCGCATGCCCCGTCGCAAGGTGCTGGTCTACGGAACCTTCGCCACTGCTTGCATGCTGGCCATCAACGGCGGTGCCAACCGCGCATTTGGCATGGACAATAGCAACACAAGCGCCGGTCAGGCCGCGCTGGCATTTTACTTCCTCTTCAACGTCGTCTACTCCTTCACCTATACCCCGTTGCAGGGCGTCGTCCCCGTCGAGGCGCTTGACAACACGCGCCGCGCAAAGGGGCTGGCCTTCTACGGCTTCCTGACCGGCTCTCTGGGCTTCGTCAACCAGTTCTGCACTCCCATCGCGAACCGGACTATCGGATTGAACTATATCTGGGTCTTTGTTGGCTGGGATTGCGTCGAGGCGGCTCTGTGGTATTTTTTTGGGTATGTTGCCCCGTTGACCTCTGTCATGATTTCTAGGATTATCGATTTTAACTGTCTACAGTGTGGAGGCTCAAGGTCGTACTTTGGAAGAACTCGAATGGGTTTACACCCAGCCCAACCCAGTCAAGGCTTCCCAGCGCGTCGACCGAGTCGTGCAGCAAGCCGATGGCACGGTTACCGAGAAGATTGTCGAGCACGACTCCTGAGTGGCTACACCTTGCAGAAGCCCTGGTTGCGACATAGGTTGTCCTGTTGTTGCCCCTCAATAGTTTCCCGTTTCACCGTCCTTGTTAGCTCGGGCTTTCCTGGCTCTTACATCCGTGATATTCCTTGCAGCAGCGGTAGTCTTAGTAGCCATACCCTGTCCAACGCCTTAGCAAAGTATCCGGCGTCTCGATAATTCACTCTTCAGTACTGTATCGCTCCCTATGTACATAAACCATAGGTGCTTCAACTCTTCGTCATCAGCCCGGGCTTGTAACGGGGGGTTGGCAACGATCGGTCGAGAACTGTATAGCAGCCCATTACGCGCGACTGGAGATGTAACCGGCGACTCTCGGAGGGGCTTCAAAGGATGCCCGAAACGTGGCAAGATATTCTGGCAGGGAGGCCTAGAGATGTTTGAGATGTCCTTTAGTAATGCATCGTCATGGGCCATGGAACACAGACTTACGGGCAGTGTGCTAGTGTGCATGTCGTTGTCGATGGATTGATAGACGGCAAAGTCTACTTAGCTGACTTTCGGGCCGAGAAGATATGGGCCATCCTGATCGGCATAGATTTGTCCGATGGTCTTGTAGTAGTTCGGCACGAAGTCGTGCTTGAACTCGTCCGTGGAATTGCCCAGGCTTTTCACCCGTTGGGCCTGATGTTCGGTCGGATGAAACAGTGAGCCAGGCTTGATCTCATCCGCGTGCGGTGGAAAAGGCTTACCCTCCAGTCGTTGTAAATCTCAGCGACAGAATCCACACGATATTTCTCGAAGCTCGTATCCCCGTCATACTCGACAAGCTCCCTGGCCAAGAACCAAAGGATGGGGAGGTACTGTCCAATGTCAGCCACGACAGCCCCGACTAAACACACATCGGACCTACCTGGCTGAGGATCTTTCCTTCATACTCAAGCACGGGCAGCTGACCAGTCACCGACAGGCCCTGCTCCTTGAGCTCTGCGCTCTTGTTGGGCTAGGTACTATCAAATGGATATCTCACATCATGAGAATCTACACCGACATCCTTGGGAAACAATCTGAGTCCAGTGGGATTAGTATATTCCTCCTGTGTGAAGAGAGATGGGATCGTGATCTCACCGAATGACTTCTCCTCGACCCAGACTACCAATATCCAAGCAATGCAGTGTGGGGTTGGCCGATGGCAGAGTCATTTCTGCGCTTGGATAATCTCAATCCAACACTGCGGACTCAGGCGGGGATATGCCAGCGCACGCAATTCCTTGACAATAATGCATTGCCTTCTGATACTGTAGGATGGTTCCCGGTATCCCTTCTGTACTCTATACTTCGTACCTCGTTCGTCATTCCCCGGCCACCCTGGCCATGATTGGTGACGATTTCCCAATGCGATAGCCTTCCTACCGTCCTAGGTACTGCGTACACGTCACCGATCGATGTTCCCATATATCGCGTGGGGGAGTGAGCAGCGACTGAGAACAGTCGTTTCGTTCGGTCTTCGCTCTTCGAAGGCCAAAGAGTCAGGACGCCGACTTCTTGGGTCATGAGTCTTGACCTTGACCAAAAGCATCCCATTATTGCAGACTTCTTAGCGTTTCCAATCGAGCCTTCAGTCCTTGACTTTGCTGCGTAGCGCTTTTGGCCCCCAAGGAGCTAATTCTTAGTGGGAGGGGCTGTGGAGACCTTCGAAAATTTCCCCTGAGTGACTTACTTTGGAAACTTGAATATTGAACCGAAATAACTTCCTTAGTTCCTTCAAATCATTTCACGGTTCTTGGCCTTTACGAACAGAAACGACGAATGGTGTTCTGGGGTGCGTCCTCACCCCAAACAGATGCATGCATGCTCGCGAGAACAGTCAGTCCAGCTTCCAAATAGTACTCTTTACCAAATTCTAAGCCCCGCCGCTAGCCGAGATCACGACCATGGCAAACGAGGTACAGCTTACAAATAGAATGGAGTTGGGCCTGGTACACGTCTACAATATCAGGCCGACTGGGAAAAGATGGAATCAGGGCTCACCCCGTGAGAGTTATAGCAAAGGTAGCACGGTATCTGATCTAGAAGAGGGAAAAGTGGAGAGCCGTCGATGGGTCAGGTACAGTACATAACGAACAAACATAAGAGACGACATGCGACTCAGTTGCATGAACCTGAAATGGGTGACTGAGATGGAAGATGGTTGGATTGATCAATGACTATACGCTCGATCTAACTGTGATAGTTGTCATGTCGCGAATCCGCCTGCCAATCCGCCTGCCTAGGAGTACCGGGCCACCGGCTGCCCCAAGACATCCATTCGAGGAGTGATTCCCAGGCCAGGCGCAGTGGGTGCTGAAACGCCCCCGTCTTGAACGGTGAACTCCCCATCCGCCGTCTTCTTGGTCACCATATCGCGGGTCTCAAGCAGGCAGCGTAAACTTCGCTCTGGAATGGTCTGACCAAGATGCACAATGGCCGCAAAGGCGATATCCGAGCCCGTTGTATCCTGCACGCTTATTGTATAGCCGGCGGCCAGGCAGATATCACGCTGCCGCCGGCCTCGCGTGAGACCGCCAGCCTTCGAAATCTTCAGGCCAATGCCCTCGGCGGCGTCGTCGGCGATCACCTGCACAATGGACGCCTCGTTGGTCGCCAGCTCGTCGAAAATAATGGGTACATCTGTCCGGCGCCGCAGGGAGATACATTCTCTCCACGTAGGGCACGGCGCCTCCAGGACAAAGTCTAACCCGGTTGGAAGTAGGCGAAGCATTCGCAGGGCAATCTCAACACGCATCCCACCATTGGCATCCACTAGGAAGAACTCGCCTGGCTGTTTGTCTGCCAGCGAGGCGGCGATGCGCGCTGCATCCGCCGCCGGGTCGCCATCGATCTTGATCGAATGGCCCTTGTATCCCCTCCTCCGGTGCTCAGCAACATTCTGTCGCATCTCCTGAGGGGCCGCCACGGGGATGGACGAAATGACCGGCATCTTCACGGCAGTACGGCCGCCTAGGAGCTCACAGACGGGCAAACCGACGGACTTGCCGAGAATATCCCAGCATGCGATGTCGAGAGCAGTTTTGGCGTCCTCATGGCCCAGCAAAACGGAATCCATCGTTTCGTTGATGCGATCGACCCGTCGAGGATCGAGACCGATAAGGCTGGGGGCCATGTGAGCGATCGCAGCGCGAACGCCCAGGGGGTGCGAGGCCACGTAGGTCGAGCCAAAGGGTGTACTTTCTCCCCATCCTTCGGTCCCGTCGTGCGTGGTTATGCGCACGATGGTGGCATCGAAGCTGGTGTATTCGCGGCCGCCGGAAAGGCGATAAACACCTCCGGCGTAGGGGAGATCGACCTGGAAGACGTCGATATTGGTAATTTTGAGCTCCTCCATGGTTCTCAGCGGTTCTTAATAATTGAGAGTAGACAACAAAGGGTTGGGCCAGGACCTAAAGGTTGAATTCCGTTCGACTGTTCTTCGGTTGGAGGACATGGAGGACTTTATATATTGCCCAATATTCTCTGCACAATCTCCAGGGTCGCCAATTGATATCGAGCGCAACGGGTCATGTTCATTCATCTCCCCTTTCCTACTGTCGGAAACTCGATGCGATCGTGGCTGCGGGGTGCCACTTGCGAGTGTCGATGCACTCATCTATCTCAGGGTCCGAATGTCCCGATTAGGCAACGATAATGAGCAGCCACGCCGGGGGTGGTCCGAGTGGGGGGCGTCTATCGAGAAACAAAGTCGCCCATGACGAGCAGCTGTTTGTCAGCCCCGTTGGAAGGCAGGACTCAGATTCCCAGCATGAAGTACACTCTGCAGGCTCTCTGCGCACCTTTGGCCGATGCGCAATGCCACTAGGGGATATCATTACCCCCATCTACCCATTTAAGCAAACAGAAAAGGCCTTCGAGTATAGAAACAGCAGTGCTCGGTTAGAGAACTAGTCGTTTCCCTGTAGACCTTATCCTTCGGTTTACACGACGTTCTTTGACTTTACGACGGGGGATAGCGCGAAATCCAACCGACTGTCTATCATTTGCAGGCCAACTAAGTGCCTTTACCTGTCCACTATGGTCACCGTTCACTACACCTCTGGGGAAATAATTTGATTGACTGAATTGAAATTGAAAACCGGAAGCCGTTGGATTTGTTCGTTGCCAACAGAATCAATTTTGCGGTTCAGTTAGCTTTGTACGCGGTATGCTACTTACACAACCAGGCTTGCAAGGGCTTTCAACAGGGCCAGTTAAGCTCCCGGTTCCTCACGGGATCCCAGGCAATTGGTTCAATGCGTTGCTCAACTGCATTGCAGTCCTCCTGGGTCACTGGGCTTGGTCGACTATCACTCTCCTCTGCGGGTATATTCCGGGTATCAGATCCCTCGCATGTAGGAGAAAGAGGCAATCGCGACCATTGTGGTAGACCTTCATCTTGTTCATTGTCTACCAGGATCACCGACACACCACTGTTCGTCCGGCTGCCATCACAATTGAAGGTGCGATGTCCATTGATGGCAGCAACGTTCAATCCACGGGCGGCTCTGTGATATGGGCTGATGAGCATTAGCAATATCGTGGCCACGAACTTGTCACACGATCTGGGAAACGTAGAGTGCTGTGAGGTGGGCACCTCGAACACAAGCCAGTTCTCGGTGCGCGGAGGCTCGAACGTAAAAACGGCATATTCTCCCTTGGAAACGGACACGTAGGCTGACCTGTATCGGTCAACCTCTTTCTCCCATTCTCCGAGGGTCAGGATTGTCACCCAAAAGGTCTTGCGCACAAGCGGCATATTTGCTAGAGCAATACAGTCTGGCTTTGGATGACAATGGATCGAAGATTCGCAGAGACGCGGGTATAGCAGGACAGGAGTTTTAGAAGTCTGGATGGTACTCAAAACACCAAGTCGATAAGTTGTGGTTCCATTGGTATTTATACTTTCCAAAGCTTCATATGCAGTCTTTTGCAACGTCCCAATACAGGATACTCCCGCGCTCTCGCTATACAATCCTTTTCATCAAAGGGAGCTTCCCCACTGGGACTTATGGAACCCGAGACCCATAACAAAGACTGAGACCCATAGCACAAAGCGTCTGAGAACTTCTAACTTTTGTAATATTCCACCAACCGAGTATATCACCTTTCGTTGACCTGGGTATGGTCACTGGGCTCTTGAAGAGAGGCCCGTCCTATGGAATTGTTGCCATGTTTTACTAAGATATCAGAAGCTCTTGTGGATAAATCGAAACATCTAGGTTGGATATTGTACAGGCTTCACTATAGTCAGAAGATGCGTTTATCACAGTTCTGACCCATCGCAATGCTAACTTGACCCAACACTCGACAATTTAGTAGTCCTTCGACTCTCCCACCAGGGCCAAGTTCTGAATTGCAGCCAACCCATACTGCGCCACCTCGTTTGTAGAAATCCAAGCCGCTTCGTCGACTGCAACGAGCGCTGCACTGCCATTGATTCGCTCCGACACCCACGGCTCGTCGGCCGTAAAGCCATCCTTGTTCTCGTAGAACTCCTTCCAGGCTCGCGCAGCCGTTGTGCTGTTGTCGTTGTCTTGGTGTGCCGCATAGGCCGTCAAGCGTGAGTGACCCTGGACCAAGCTGATCTTGCTGAAGGACTCGCCATATCGTGCCTTTTGTTCCTCTTTCGTGGCGCCGTAGTAGTAGCAGTAGTCCAGCCAGGCCCGTTCAAGGCCCTCGGGTGCATCGTCGCCCCAGTACTCGAGTAACTCCGACACGACCTCGGGGAGGCCGAACACGGCATTCAGGTGCGAGATGGACACGATGCCTTCGTTGCTGGGGTCCGACGGGGGCGGCAGAAGAGTGCCGTTGCCAATCACGTACAGCCCGTTACCGGTCACGAACCCGTTCTTCAAGCTGGCAATACCCTTGGCCGTGCCTGTCAACTTCCCCCTGGCCTCGATCCAGCGAGGGCCGCGGCGTTCCCATTCAATCAGCCAGCCAGCCGCCATGCCAGCCCAATCCGTGCCCAGAGAGAAGGCCACGGGCTGACCGGGCTGCGGCGTCCAGCCATCCTCGCGTACCTTTCTCTGCGGGTCGAGCTTGCCGTAGGTCTTGTCCGCGTCGAGTGTCTCCTCGAGCAGCTCTCCCACACGCTCGTCGCCTCCGGAGAGATAATAGAAGTATTTCCGATACTGGGGCTGGGCAATCCGGGCCTGTTTGGCGCTATCAGCGAAATGCTGCACCCCATGTCGGGTTCCCAGGCCCTTCCAGTCGCCGATGTGGTAGACATCTACCTCTCCGGTATGGCGCGTCAGGGCCTCGGCAAAGCGATAGACATCAGCACGGCCCGTTCGGAGGAACTGCTGCCACAGGAAGAGGTCCGGCGACAATTCCGAGTTGTCCCAGGCATACCCGCCAACGTCATATCGCCAGGTGTGCCGGTCCTCATCGTAGGTATGCATGACATCGCCGTAATCAAGGAATCCGTACCAGCGGCGGTCATCAACCTGCCCGCTGTAGAACTTAATCAGAAAGTCGAGGTGCTTCTCGATCGTGGCTGACTGCTCGCCGGAAGTGTTAGGAGTAGCCCAGTAAGACCCGATAGCCTTGGTGCTTTGGATGTACTTAGGCTCCGCCACCAGGACCGGAGGCTCGTCGATATACTTACTCCGGAGCGCCAGTTCGGTCGAGGCAGGGGTACTGTCAAACGCGGACAGGAAGATCTCGCTCGTCCGCGCAATGCCGTAGGGGGTATTGAAGCCGGGCTCGTAATCCTCGTAAGTAATCTCAAGGGCATCCAATTGCTTTTCATAAGTGTCCTGTCCTAGACTGTCGTGGAAGGGCCGCAAGTCCAACGGGGCCGCCTCGGGGCTATAGAGCCACAGCGTGATCTGGCCTTGATCGCTGCCGGCGTTAGAGATGTCGATTCCCGTAGGATAGCGCTTCCAAAATTCTCGCAGACCCAGCGCCAGTCCTCCCTGTGTGGCTCCGCCCAGATACGCAAGGCCGCTGGATCGCGAGCCGGCGGGGATATTGATCCAGGCCTGGCCGGGCTTGGTTCGCTTCTTCAGCGTGAAGCCGTCCGGCGACAGCTGGCTGAGCTTGTAGTCGTTCCACGCGGGGATCCACTCCAGACGAGAGGACACCCGCGTATCCCAGCTGTCCACGTCGGGGGTCTTCTTGCCTTCGAACTGCGCCGACCGCACCTCGGTGCCGGGGTCGCGACGCAATCCGGTGATTCCCTGGACTGCCTCGTGAAGATAACCGCCATCCACCCCGGGCAATCGGATATGGCGATCGTACAGCTCCTCTCCTTTCAGAGGCACGTCGAACCGGATTCCGAGGCCGGTCACGAAATCCCTCTCGGCCGATCCGTCCCAGACGATGCTGTGCACGATCCGGACAGAATCGGAGTTGGCGTACAGGTAGAAGCGCAGGACAAATCGCAGCCAATCGTCGTGGCTGCCTCCACCAGTGACGGTATGGTTGCCTTTGACGGTGACGAGGGCGCGAACGGAGGACTCCCGGCTGACGGACACCTCCTCCACCTTGCTTTCAAAGTTCAAATAATCGATGGAGGCATTTGTGCGGGCGGCAATGTCCTCGGCCAGGCTCGACTGCGTGTGGAGCACCAGCTTCCCATGTCGGCCCACGACCTTGCCCCCGGCCGTCGTGATGGAGTCCACCACGTTGCTGCCATGCTTGGAGAAGGCGAGGGTCACCTTGCCCGTGTCAACTCGCACGCTGTCCGCCCGATCCTGGACAGCAATAATGCTGGAGCCGTTCGTCCGTCTTTTGTGCGGGGATGCCGAGGCGCTAACGAGATATTCGTCGTCGACGGCGTCCAGCGGAGGAATGGCGTGCCCGGTCCATTTGATGGAGCCATCGCGCCAGTAGCCCGTCACCCACGACTGCAGAGGGATCGACGCCTGGGATTTGCCCGCAATGCTGAACTTCGTCTCGTTGGAACGGTACTTGCCCTGGGGCCAGGGCAGACCAAAGGTGGTGCCGGCAAGAGACTCGGGGGCACCGTCTAGCCAGTGCACCTTGACGCTATCCGAGGGGCTCCCGTTGGAGGGCCTCGAGACGACTTCGGTGGCCAGGGCGGTTAAAGCCACCCACCGGAGTATGCCTTTCATGGCGAAAGAGACAATGGGGGCAGGTTGATGCAGAAAAGAAGGGTCGTAGTGATCAGTTTGGACCTCGCCCGTCTGCCCCTTTTATAATCGGCAGGCGAGGGAGAGGCATGGCCTCCGGAGCATTGTAGAGGACTGCCAGCCTGGTCCGAGTTTGCCTATCCTGGCAACTTGCCGAGTGGGTGACGATGTACCTGCATGCTAACGATTAGCTTAATCCCGAGGAAATTGCACCGCGCCCTGACTGTCTTCCAGTTGCCAGTCTGGCAGGTCACGCAATCTGCCTGGGGGAATTCTTCATTGGCCGTTGGGCTGCCCTGTTAATCTCCGAAGCAGATCACGGCCGACAGACAATTTGCTGCAGAAATTGCATTATTGCGAGTGATTCGGATGAGAGAGAGACAACGAGAGAGAGCCCTCTGTCGGGGACTCTTGCCAAGCGTCTCCCCTCACGACATTCGGGGCATCTTTACCCGAATGGGGAGGGTCGAGTCTGTAGGATGCATCGTCGACCTGTCGGAGGATTCAATCCGGCCGAACGGGGTGTTGATGCGCGCCGTTCTGCTCCACAGACAGCAGGTCTCATTCGCAGATGCGTTGATGAACACAGGAGACGTCACGATTACATCCCATCCATTGTTTAGTTCCTGCGCCTGAACCAGCTATCTCACTGTTGGCCAAGCATGACGACTTCACGGCCATTCCTAAATGGTAGCATGTTAATAATCATGGTGGCCGTCAGGAGTCGATGTAATCGTCTACTATGTTAGCATTGTGGGTATTAATTAAACTCATCATTGTCGTGTGATCGCGTCACTCCTTGCTCAACGCCAAACAACCTGGATCCGTACAATCTTTCTGTCCGTTACTCACAGACTGTTGCAATCGACCGATCACAAGCCGAACTAGACAGTCACAGAGTCTCTTAGGACTAAGCGCCATGTACGAGGAAGAGATTACCCATAGCAGGACTTTGGGCCAGAGTAACTACGTCGAGACAAGTATGAATGCATACGATTTCTAGACATCTCCATGCTTTTGTGCATGGCAACCTACCATTTCTTAAAACCCCATCCGAGGTCCTGTTCTATACGCGCCGAACATGCTCCTTGGCCTGCGAGTCGACCCCCAGCCAGAGGAGATCCGGCCGGCTATAGTGTCCGCAGGGGTCGAGAAAGCACCGCGTTTCCAACACCTTATCTTCGTCGATATCAGCCACGACAAGTCCCTCGTCGGTCTCAGGGAGATCCTCGGTCAGTTGTCGACCGTCCGGGCCATAGATGGCGGCCGCCCCTCCACCAGGTCGGTTCATGAGTCCCCCGTCGGCCGTGCCCAGACGGGCAATCCCCTTGTCCAGGATCATAGAGGTGGAGTGAAGGACAAAAGTCGACGACTCGACAGCGTAGGTCTGTGAGAGATTCCGAGTGCCTGAAGCGTGCCAGGGTATTGATTAGCGAATGCGCCCGTTGAGACGAGGGGGGGGGGGGACCTACCTTCTCGAGACATGCTCCAGAGACCGGCACCGCCGGAGTGAGAGTACACCGGAGGCCAGGCGGCGACATGTACGAGCTCACGCTGGTGGTAGGTGTGGTATTTGAGCAGCGGATTGGCATGCTCCCAGCAGGAGAGAGCGCCGACGCGGCCCACGTCGGTATCGGCCACGTTATGCAGTGAGTCACCCGTGCAGTCGCCGAAGACTGTGCGCTCCATATGCGTCGGCTTGATCTTGCGCCGAGGAATCTTCAACTCGCCGCGGCTCGTGAGGAGGCACTGCGAGATGTACAGGGACCCCTGGTCGTTCTCGGAGAAGCCCAGCACAACGTTGATGGCATTTTCCATCGCACAGGTGCGAATCTGCTCCATCTCCGGGGAGTCGTACCGAAGCGAATTGCGGATGTAGGCCACCGATCGCTCCATGTCGACTGGCCGGGCCCTATCGCGACGGTTGGCATGAGAAATTGACGGAGTGGGCGGTGCAGAACCGAAGAAACTTACCAGATCCAAGCTGGATAGCCCGGGATCCAGCATTCGGGGAAGGCGATCAACTGCACGCCCTGTCGCGCAGCATCTTGGATAATCGAGCAGGTCTTACGCACAGCGGCAGGCAGATCGAGCCATTCGGGCTCGGCCTGGACCGCAGCAACACGAACAGTTGGGGGTTTCGTAGTAGTGGTAGCAGTCATGATGATGGCGTGGCCGGGATGAAGCAATTCGCAACTTACGGCGTGAGGGGCGCGCAGTGTTCTCGAATGTGGACAGATAGACCAATTGCCGATCCCTGCTATCATGCCCAATTAGCGATGAGTGACTGACAGGGGTATGAGGGATGTGGATCCAGCAGGCATCCTGATCCGTACGTTCCCAGAAACTGGCCTAGTGACACCCAACAGAAGCCGCATATCGGTGCAGTAGATACCTACTGTGTACGTCAACGCTACGAGCCGTTCAGATTAGAGTTGTGTTGGCAGTTGTTGGGGATTAACAGGCGAAGACGCAATGGTGCTTCCATATGACCGAAGAGACGTGAAATGGGGAGAGGATGGGGAAACCCCGTCCCAGAGACGTTCGGAGCGTGATTATAATGCAATTTGTGCGCGACATGTTTCAAAGAACAAGTCATATCCAGGTACGATGATCAAGATCGAAAGCTCACGCAAATCATACCTAAAGATACACAAGCCAATCCATGGTCTCCCTCTCTCGTGCTCACTTGGACTCCTCCAGGGTCAGCCTCCCCGAAAATAGCTCCTCGAGATAGGTATCCATCCAGTCATAGTTGTTCACGGGTCCGTCGCTCTTGGTTGGGTCCTCGCCGGCCTCTTCTACGGGCGTGGTCTCCTGCTTCGCTCCCAGACCGGGCAAGGTAGGAAGCTTGGAGACGATGTCCTTGGCCGTGTCGACCGCAGTCTCCACCAGCTTCGCCCATTCACTCTCTTCCTCCTTGGTGGCCGTCTCCTTGAGCGCCTGCTCGGTCAGGCGGAAATACAGATTCGGACCGATTTCGTCCAAGGTCACTCGGTCTGGAATGCCCTCGTCCCCAATCTCGTCCTCCAGACGGTTATCCTCAGCATCCAGGTCAACGCCCTCCATGCGGTCCTTCTCGGCTTCCAGAATGATGATCTCCTCTTCGGGTCTCCCGGCCTCCGCAACCAGGGACTTGTAGTCGATATTCTCGCCTGCCACGGACTTGAGCTCGTTGTTAATGAGACTGTCGGTACCAAAGTCATCCGACGCCACGAGCTCACGGGCTTCAGTATCGTCGTTATCCCCGCCATCCGAGGTCAAAGCAGCCATGGCATGCACGCCGCCTGGGTTCCGAGGCGCCAGGAATTTGGGCCCGAGAGCGGAATTTTCCCACCCTTCCGGAAGATACTCGCGGGTCTGTTTCGCGCTGTCCCGGATAGCTTCGAGGACCTTCAGCTGTATATCAACTCCCGGGCAAAGATTTCTCCAGGTGTCAACGAACGAGTCCGGGTCCGCGATGGCCGTCCAGATCAAGGGGAACGCAATCGCGGCAATGGGCCCCACCCCGGGGATGAAGCCAATTGCGATAGTCAACGAGTTCTTCACAAAGTTTTCCAACCAATCCTGTTTCTTTGGCGCGGGCTTCCACTGAATTGCTAGGCCGAAGTTAGCTCCGGCGACCTTGGCCCAGTCAAAGTCGGCCTGGTCGTCGAAGCTTCTCTCAACTGGCGGGGTGGCCACCATGGCCGCTCCCACGAGCATAATGTTCTTGGACGTGAAGGCGTTCTGCGCGCGTAGTTGACGCGGAAGAGAGAGAAGATTCACAAGCCCGTTTATGTTGATCCCCAGCGTCTCCTGGGTCCAAGCTTTTAACCCATACGTTTTGTGTAGCGTAACGTCGTTCCAGAATTTCTTCGGATTACTCGGAGTGCCGTCGTGACGATAGATCTTCACTTTTGCATCTGCCGAAGCGAAGTTAACATGCTGGAAGGTGCATAGCTCCGGATGGTCCTCCGATGCCTGATGTGCCACGGGGATATAAATGGCACGAATGCTGGCCACTCGCTGGTGCCCAGGTTAGTCGTCACTTTCTGATACGAGGTGCAAAGGGTTACAAACATCGATGAAGACCCAGCCCTCTTGCCGCTTTGGCATGGGCATCACCATGAACCAGGACTATCCAAGCAGCGGTTAGCGATCCGCAGCCAGTGACTCCCGAATAGCCGGTCCTACCTCCATAGCATCGCCATTGACCTGCTTCTTAAGACGCTCGTCATATGTGCATAGGTTATGTTGCACTCGCCTATGCTTTCCTTTATGATAATGGGAGCCGTAGACGAAAGCGATCTGCGACCAGTTCCCTATGTAAGGGCCCTTTCTACCGCCGCCGTAGATTGGATGTCCGGGCTGGCTGAAATCATGTCTCTTGTATGAGGAGCGTGGGTGGTAATGATGATCCATCACTTGCGGCCCCGTATGAATTGGCACATTCCAGAGAAATTCAACGAGAAAATGGCCGTAGAATTGGTCAACGCGGTCTGCAGAATAGAAGCCGTTCTTCAAGGCGGAGCGCCTAAAGAAGCATTCTCCTTCGGGATATGCGAGGGCCATAATGGGGAATGCCAATGAGGAAAGACGAATGGGCCAGATGGTGATGATGATGATGATGATGATTCCGGGAACTGCGAGACGACTGTCTCCCCTTTATACCACTATGCTTCCTGTATAGAGCACCTTGTGTCGCAAAGCACAGGTCCATCGGGGTTGACCCTGTCATGTTTCCGTCACTTAATCTTCAAAGCTCGCCACGCAAGAATGCTACGCCATGCACAGTATCATATGACAGTTACATGGGCTACATCTCCCCCTCAGTTAGTGGTCTACAAAATACATCCCAGCGATGTAGAGCAGGGTTGTTGCCAAGGCAATGTTGCCCAGCATGGTCTCGATTTATGGCTATCTCCATTCGACGACAGCTGACGAGGTAGGAATTGTGACCAGGTCCCTTGATTTGATTCCGACTTTCGACCCCACTTGCAGATTCTATCCTGGTACAGAACCTACTTGTTTGGCACCGTAGACCTCCCTGTCATGGCCATGGTAGCCCAGCATAGCAGATCTTCGACGGCAACGCCGAAAGCGAATATGTGGCAAAGCCAGCGCCATTTTCACCAGCCGAGGTGGAACCACGATTTTTAGCTGCATGGAATCACTGCAGCATACGGAGTAGATGAATTGCGGGGTTCGTGCAGCGATAAGGCGCATCTAGTACTGAGTCTCGGCCCTGCATTGTCGAATCACAGTCACGGTGGCAATGCCATCGGCGATCCTTTTGTTGGTGACGAGCTCATCATGACCCTGCAGCTCCAGTGAGCCAAGTTAGATCCAAGGCAACGACGGACTCGGCGGATGGAGTCGCTCAACTATGAAGGGTGCCACAACGTCATTCATCCGAGAGTCGCCCTTATCTCATCCCTGCAACAGCTCTGGTTCATTGCACGGGGTCCATGTGCGATTTCTGAGACTAGGTTGCTTGGGATCGAGTAAAGCGGCCTTTGGGTACGCGATATTCGTGAAATTGGTAGTCAGCAGAAGAGCACTTTTGAGTTGTATTACAGCTACATCAGTACAGGTGGGTCAGTGCAACAAAATGGTCCAGTTTTGACTATGTTGCTGTATCACCTTTAAAGGACATCGAGGCATGTCGAGTCATAGTTGAGAGCTAGGCCACCAATATACACGTAGGAAAGACGATTTAGAAAGGCAGTCAAAGAAAGGGAAAGGATCAGTCCAAACAAGCGAGATGCGCCTCGCCTGTGGGTTGCGTATAGGCTTTAGCTGTCAGCCTTGCCCAAGCAAATTCCAGTCCTCTGCTGAGTCTTCCTACTACCCAGCGCAGCAGCAGGGCTTTGTTTCAGAGATGGAGATGGAGTTTCTGGCCCTTTCTCCAGAGATAGACTAGGGTGGCAGAGTTCTACTATAAGCCAACCTTCCTAGATCGCGCAAGCCGCCCGACATGGGAGCAGCTGTATTAGGAAGACAAAGCATCGGTATCGGAAACTGGACCATCTTCGACATCAACGTTGTCCCTGTCGGTAGAGGACGATATCGCCAAAAGGACCGACGAGCAAGCGCGTAGCTGGGATGACCAGCGTGCTCAATGGCAATTCTATTTCAGGCAGAACGGTCGCTCAAAGCAGGCGACGGTGCTGGCGGCGACGGAGATTCCTTAAGGCCAATCGACCAGGGTTCGGGATTGATTGAAGAGTGGCAATGGGGATAGACAAGAAGCTCACTAGGGATATCCCTACTCATGCACCGAACAGTGTCATAAGCCACGGTTGTCGAGTTGTCGACGAACAGGGAAAGCGAGTTTGCTCTGTATGTTCGGTTTGCTCGGTTTGTACTGACATCCCGATCGGGCGCCGGTCCTCGGAGTCGGAACAACGACGGCTCCGCCAGGGGATCTCTTCTGTTGAATTTTGCCACTGCACTAAAAAGGGTCAACCCTTACTTAGTAAGGGCTTATTCTAGTGCATATCTCCCGCGGCCACATCTTCCTACTCCGTACACTGGACTACACCGTGTAGGTAACTGTGCTCACATCCGCGGACTTCGTCTCCACCTCTGTCTTTGCAAGAGGCATTGATTTCCTATCTTCCCGCATGTTGTTAACTTCTCCAACTTGCCAAATGCCCAGCATGCGATGGGTGGAAATTTACTGCCTCTGGAATGAGCAGTGCCATGTCATTCCATGCCGAGCCTGGTCTGTTGAGCGGTTCGTGTCATTGTCCAAGGTGACCAAAGCGCGTACGGAGTAGGCCTGGACACTGACCTGAAAATGCCGCAATGACCGGCCAGAATGAGAGATACACCATCGCTCAGAGGGCCATTGGAAATTTGCAGTCTGGCCTTCATCACGCCTTCCCGTACCCACCACCCAGAACGCAGGACGGAAGCCTTGACGACGAAGCAAGAAAGGAAAAGGGGCATGGCCGAAGGGTCCACGAGGGTCACCAATTCTCATAAGCTTTGAGCGTGCAAGTTATTGTCCATCCAGTCGATCCGGTGGGACTCTGGTATCGGGACTTCGCTCCCAAGCTCCCGCACCGGAGTTGCTGCGACCAGGCTTTGATTGCCATCGACAGGAAGATGGTGTCGATCGCCGGCATTATTGGGTTCCTGAGAAGAACGCGACGGGGTTGCGTTCTAACCGCTCCCGGCAATTGCCAGCAGATTTGTGGAAAGGCCCTGGCGATCATTGTCCTCGCCGGTGGATCCGCGGACGAGAAGCCGAGACTATTCGCGCCGGCATCCCATGAGATTTGGGAACTGTCAAGATTAGCTTTTCTGCACTCCACCTGCTACGATATGCGGTCGGCACGCTGGGGCGCTGGCCGGAGAGAAAATTCCAAATGGGCGCCAGTGATGGCATCTGGTGAGAAGCGCAGGTGCGCTCCCACTGAGTTGACCCCGACGCCCTAGGTAGTGTTCTTCCGTTATGGCAGTGTGACAGATCGATCCTCCTCGACCTGTTCCAATACATATTCATCTCATTCGAAGGGCTTGTGTGTGTGTGTATGTGTCTTAACTGAGCCGTGCGGGATTTGGAGTTCCGTAGATTCGTCTTCGTTGACATTGGGACCATCGCGTGCCATGTCAATCAGGAGGAGGGCGGGGCTATTATGGATCAATACTTTGGATAGACGCTGCTAGTCTGCATCTTTAGCGGATACTGCTCGAGTCTGTTCTTCTTGCGATCGTGATAGTGGATTTCGACCGAGTCATGGCTCTGCGACGAGAGATATAAAGCCTCGAGCTGTTCCTCGATACGTTCTCTCCCATCCAACCAAACCATTCATTCATTCCTTCATTCCAATTCAAGGCCCTCGAGCCCAAGTCACTCTTTTCAAGTCACTCCTTCCAGTCGTTCTTTCGAACCACATCTTCCTTTATCTTTCCGTTTCAAACATCGATTCTTAGGTACCCTTCCCTCTGCGACGTGCCTCTCTTTCCTACAAGGCAACAGACTAAACGGGAGACCAGGATACCCCATCTACCACCTCAACCATCACCATGCGTTTCGAGATCACCGCCGCCGCTCTCTCCATGTTCGCCGCCGTCGCCTCCGCGAGCTCCCAGACCGGCTCGGTCGAGGCTCGCGGCGTGGACCTCTCCCAGGTGCCCGCCTCCAGCCTGGCGTCCGGCCTGGTGAGCAAGCTGCCCGTGCAGGTCGACGTGAACGAGTACGACAAGTCCAGCGGTAACGTTGGCGTCGGCATCGTCGCCAACCTGGGCAACATCCCCATGATCGGCTCTCTTCCTCCCTTCACCCGCACCGTGACGGTGAACCTGACGCTCAGCGGTCTGTCCGGTCTGCTGCCCAACTAAGGGGGCGCTGTGGAAGGAGACATAGTCTCCGTGCAATTGGGGACGCGACGTGGTGTATATAAGTGAATCTTATCGAATAATAGTAATGTGGTTGGAATTTTTCCATCAGTATAGATAGACAAGCAGTAGCCGGAAGTGATTAACTCCGCTAACTCCGAGCCGAGAGCGATGAGGTCATTCTTCACGCCGCCCTCCTCATCGTCTCCCTCCTTCTCCCCTCTTTTCCTTTTACTCTCTCTGCTCTGCGCACCTTCATCCCTCCCCTCTACATTCCAGCCCCTGAACCCTGCTCAAGCATGGCCCGCCCCTCTAATGTTCATGTCAAACTGAATGACGCGGTTTCCGTTCCCCTTGTGAGTCCATCCGTCACGTCGACCGACTCGGACTGACGCCGATCAAGCTCGGGTATGGCACCGGCACCGCCTGGTACAAATCGGCGGAGGACACCGCCATCAACCGAGACCTGGTAGAATCCATCAAGACTGCCCTTCGACTGGGATACCGTCATCTGGACGGTGCCGAGGTATACAACACCGAAGCCGAGTTGGGCGTCGCCATCCGCGAGAGCGGCGTTCCGCGAGAAGAACTGTTCGTCACCACCAAAGTGAGCAATAACGTGACCAACATCCCTGGCGCCATCGACCAAAGTCTGAAAAAGCTTCAGCTTGACTACGTTGATCTGTAAGTGCTGCCGTTCGCAAGCCCACCGCTTCTTCGGTCCTGACGGCCTCCCGCCAGCTATCTGATTCACCAGCCGTTCTTCGCCCAGTCCGACGACGATCTGCAGGGCGCATGGGCCGCAATGGAAGAGGTACAACGCTCTGGGAAGGCGAGGGCGATCGGAGTATCCAATTACCTGCGGTCTCATCTCGAGGCTACGCTGCAGACCGCGACCATCGCCCCGGCCCTCAACCAGATTGAATTTCACCCCTATCTACAGCACGGCGATTTGCTCGCGTTTCAACAGGAAAAGGGAATCAAAACCGCTAGCTACGGTCCTCTCACTCCGGCGACTCGCGCGCAGGGCGGGCCCGTGGATGCGGCCGTGTCGGCGTTGGCTAAGAAGTACTATGTCTCCGAGGGCGACGTGCTGCTGCGCTGGTCTATCGATCGAGGAGATATTTCGGTTACTACTAGCTCGAAGGAGTCGCGCCTACAGGAGTATTTGCGTGTCCTCACTTTCAGATTGACTCCGGAGGAGGTGGAGACAATCTCTCGCCTCGGAAAGGAAAAGCATTATCGGGCCTTTTGGCGAAACAAATTCGCCGAGGATGATCGGTCATAGGCCGACCGAGAAATTGGCGTTTGAACCGCCCTCAGATTAGGTCTCAGTACCTTGAGTAGGCATGCACATACGGTTAGAAGATGGGCTAGGGCCTTAAGGTCATGGCTTGTGAGGAATTACAAACATTTCATCTACCTCGACTTCTTTTTTCTTTCTTTTTTTTTGTGGCTCCGGTCAGGTAGAAGAGGGCTGCTTCCAAGGACACCCAGGCGGGTCCTTGATGTCTTAAGTCCTGCAGCGCATACTCCTTAAGCAATCTTACACTGCCTCTTTCTATTCTGCACCATTTGCCACAACGTCCGGCTAGTTCCTGTCTATTCCCGACCTCCGCGTATTGTGGTCACCACCGCTAGAAGCTCATCACACACCTGGAGTCCCTCGACAGATATACTTCTTTTGGTAGCATTCTACTAGGGCCCATAACATCTGACAATGATCCGGATGCTCTCCAGTAGGTATGGATGCTTTAGGATAGTTCTCCGGCTTCGAAATGTCTAACAGCACCTCTTCTGCCTCAGCACATCGGCCTTGCTTGATGAGAATCGAGGCAAGATGTGTTTTGCCGACTAGGCACCCATGTGGTCTTCCCTTAGACGTGAAACGGCAATTGACATGCGAGTGCTGATCAGATTCTCGGCCTCATTCAACTTCCCCATCGCACCTTTTACCTGGGAGAGGTTCACCTTTGCAAGCCAGGTAAATAACTGCTTGTCTCCCAGCTGCTTTTGGCGCGCTTCCAGCACAAATGATATATCACGATATGCATCATCTAGATACTGTTCACCACGCTCCTTGTTCGTGTCCATGTGGTTGATGCTAAGCTCCATGTAAGTCATAGATAAACCCTCCATTGCAGACAGCTTCTGACATCTGTCGTACCTAACCAACGCCTTGGACTGCCACGGCTTCTGTTTGCTGCCGCTTGGCGTATTCAAACCGGAACGAGTACCAGAGGGTTATGCCATGGTTTTCTAGAGCATAGAGGACGGACGGATCACCCGCCGATAAGTTCGACCTCGAATGATCAGCCCCTCGCACCATGCAAAGCTATCCCTTGACTACTCGCTGGCGCTTCTCAGCCTCGGCAAAACGGCCTCCTTAAATGTTGTCAAGTCTTGATTTCAGCAGCTGCAGTATAAGCCAAGGCCTTCTGTGCGACCTCTGATTTTGTCGATCCCGAGCTTGTATCTTGTTCTGGTCTCTAATCACAGACATGAGACGAGGGAGAAGTTGTCGCTGTAAAACTGTATGTGAATGCTCCAATTTGCTCAACGGAGGCAGAAGAGTATACCGCGAGATGGGGGTCCTTGCCGCTTCGCGCCAAATTGCCTGATTGTGAGTCGACATGCTTGGTCGCTCGCGCAGCTACACATGCACCAGAAAATGCATGGAATAGCTGCAACTTTCGGTTATCTGACGGCAGCAATGAGGAGACCAAAGAGGATATTCTCATGATGGAGGAACTCGAAAATGGATCATCCTTGATCTCATCTGTATTTCCTACTCCACCAGGGAAAGGAGGGGCCAGAGTGTTGGTGTTCTGCAAGAGTTGAAGGTAACACCAGGAGAGATTGCAGTGTCACAAAGTTGCCACAGCAAACACACGATGGCCAATGATGGCGGCACTGCCATTTGCTCCGTCATTCCGACGTGGACTGATAAAGCCACGATTGTTTCTTCTAATCGACTAGACAAAGAGCACATTCTTTCTTGATCTCCCACAAATATGGCCCAGTGGGACGCTTTGGTCTTCAGAAACGCAACGACACTCGTTCTAGCAGCGGGGATTATCGTTCTCTTCGTGATCGTCGGTCATGCCATCTTCTATAATACCGCATGGGCCTTGGCTCCCCTGAGAAACCGTAAGTTTAGCTACCTTTGATCGATGAAGCAGAAGTGGCATGTGCTCACCACAACCAGTGAACTCAGATTCCAACACTATATCGGATCCACAACCACCGAAGCAGCCTCCGAGGCTATCAATCCTAGATTTAGACGTGCGATGAAAGGGGCGGGGTGAGTCGGTAGCGGCGAGTTAGGAGAATCTGACTGCGACAATGATTCCTGGGCGAATAGTGGTAGTATCCCATTGGTTCGTTGCCTGGGCTTTGTGGTTTCTTGTGAAACCGGCTGAGGATGAGAAGATTGACTGGTCCGTCGCTGAGACGCCACAATGGAGCAAGGAGGCGCCTGCTTGATCAAGCAAACAAAGACCGGTAGCTCCCCTGTTGTACTGTCCATTCTTGTTATACACGCCGTACCCCCTCTCGCGCAGGTGCTACGGTCTGTCTTTGCCTTGCTATCCTGTTCCCTCGACTTGCTCAGGTGGCTCGTTAGCCCAGTTTATCTTGAGCCATCTGTATAAATTCACATTGTCGGCCTTGCTCGCAAACCCCAATTGCGACCTCCGTAATGGAATCATTTCCCAACAGTCGTCATGGGGAACCTGCTCAACCCACCCCAGGTCCCTGTCTCCGCTTGGGAGACACGTCGCCTTCCAAGCAGGCTGTACCGCACTCCAACGGGGGAATTGCCACGCAAAGAGTCTATCCAAAACGTGCCGGCCGATGGTTGTTTGAGAACCAGATCGGTATGTGACGTGCAATTTCTCACTTTCGCTCCCTTTCCAGCATCTCTCAAATCGCATGTGCCCTGTCAAGTCCACTTCCGCGACTTTTGAAGACTAAAAATTTGCAATTGTGGCCGAACAGAACTGTCCGCCGCTTGCGTCGCCATTTGTCTCTTCACACACCTTTCCGGGCCTGATGCGCGATCCTACACATCGAAGCTCTTCTTCATCTCTCACTATAGCGCCAGTCGGGGCACCTACGCGATCGGGGGCGATGACTTTTACTTCATCGCCTTTTGCATCGTCTTCTTCACCGGTCTCCGTGCCGCTATCATGAAACACATTCTTGCGCCCTTGGCTAGGTATTGGAGGATATCCAGAGCAAAGGACGTCAACCGCTTCGCCGAGCAAGGGTGGCTGTTATGCTACTACTCGGTCTTGTGGACTCTTGGCATGGTGAGTAACACAGTGTGCCTGTGGCGAGTGGGAGAAGGTTGCCAATACCTGACGGCAGGTTCTAGTACATCTATTGCACCTCGAATTATTTTCTCGACCTGAGGGAGATGTGGACTGATTGGCCCACTCGCGAGCTACCGGCGATCAACAAAACATACATGCTATGCCAGTGGGCGTTCTGGTTGCAGCAGGTCCTAGTCATCCACATTGAACGGCGGCGCAAAGATCATTGGCAGATGCTGGCCCATCACACCGTGGCGATTGTTTTGATCTCCACCTCATATGCCTGGCACCTCACTCGGGTGGCCAATTTGATCCTGGTCCTGATGGACGTCGTGGACATCCTCTTCTCCGTAAGCGGCTCTCTCTCCTTTTTTTTTTTTTTTTTTTTTCTCTCCGACTTGGACGTTGGCTAATTCACCATAGCTGGCCAAATGTCTGAAATATCTCGGTCTGCTCACACTCTGCGACATTATGTTCGGCGTCTTCATGGTGTCGTGGTTCATGGCTCGGCACGTCCTCTACCTCATCACCATGTGGAGTATCTATGCGCATATGGCGGAGATCATCCCCGTCGGCTGCTTCCACGGATCGCAAGACACGCTGACGGGCCCCACGCCGCTACCCGAGCGCGGATCGTCGCACATGTTCGATCCCTTTTGGAATCCTTCGGGCACGATCTGCTTCAGTCCGCGGGTGCAATGGGGGTTCCTGGGCGCTCTGGGGTTCCTGCAGTTCCTAAACCTCGTGTGGCTCGTCATGATCGTCCAAGTCGCCCTTCGGGTTCTCGCGGGCCGTGGCGCGGACGACGTACGGAGTGAGGACGAGGGCGAGCTTGACAGCGAGATGGAAGTGACTGGGAATGAGGGGCGCGACGGTGCGTCGTCTCGTCCGAAGGATATCGGGGTGGCGACGGGCCTCAAAGCCTCGCCACGCGTCACGAGCACGAAGAGAACTGCCCACTCTGCGAGTGTTGGTTTGCCGCGACGCAGTGACCAAAAGCAACTTCTGGGCCGACTGGGATGCGAGAGACAAATTGATTGAGTCTAGTAGTGCCTCAAGTGATTAGGGTGCTGAATATTGTGTACATTCCAACATTCCAACATGCCGTCGCGGCGCCGCTGGAGACTGGACACTCCGTGAAATAGAGCGAAAGGACAAGCTAGGTAGCTAGGAACCTGACGTGTTTATGAAAACGAGATAGGAGCGTCAATCGATCTCGGTCATACCGCCGGCGTAGTGGCCTTTTGGGGCGCTATGAATGATGCCCCTCGTACATGATGCTAGGGTACACCTCATTACAAGCTCAAGATATGGACCGGAGATAGGCTCTCTACCATGGAGTCACGGAGGAATGTGTCTTGATTCAGGTTTGTAAGAGAGAAAAAAAAAGACCTTGTTTCTATGGTTGTTTCATCTGAAGAATTCTATCATCATACAAGAAGGGTCGAATGTAGGGGCCTGCGCCCTGGCGCCGGGTCCACCACATCGAACTTTATGGAAGCCAAAATGAAGGACAAGAAAGAACGAAAGAAGGTTAGAAAGGAATAACCGAAGCGCCGTATAATCCGTCATATCTCTTGTCCTCATAAATCCACCGTTCCTGCGTGCCTGCCGAGGTGAAATGGCCGTCTTCTTTTGGCCGCGGCCGCCTTAACCCAGAGTCACGGTGAATGCGGAGCTGGACGAGCAGCTGTTGGTGTCCTTGTCGTCGGACTGCTGGTAGGCTTCGGCACAGTTGCTATCTCCTGCCGAGCAAGAGACGGAGGAGCAGCTGGAGTCGTCGGGGCTGGCGGAGAAGCCGGCGGAGACGAAGGCCGAGCTAGAGTCGAGATCGATGCACGACAGATCCCAGTAGAGGTCGTCATCGCTGGTGGTGTACTCGAACTGCAGCACGCTGTCCTCGCTCTGCGAGGTCGACATCTTGATGGAGATGCCGCCGCCGTCGGAGTTGGTCTGCCAGTCCTCGGAGTAGGTGCCGCCGCCGGAGTTGAGTTTCTGCATGCTGCCGGCATCGCTGGCCGTGGACCACAAGTAGACCGTTGTGTTCAGATTGTTGACGATCTGAACGCCGCCGCCGCCGCCGCCGCCGGAGCTGGCGCCGGAACTCGCACTGGAGCTGGCGGCTGTTCCGCTGGAGGTTGCACTGGGGGCGGCCTTGGGGAGAGCCGTGGTGGCCATGGCGAAGGCGGAGGTGATCAAAGCACGGGTGAACAACATTGTGATTGTGAGGGGGGTTGAGTGATTGAAAAAGTCTGTCTGTTCAACAGAGGGACTAGCGTCAAAGAAGGAAAGATGTGGTGGAGGATCAACCTCGACTTAGAAAGGAATGTATATCAAAGAGAATGTAAGAAAAAGAGACTGTGTTGTTGAATGAAAGAGCAAGACGGGGAGGGCAGAACAGGGTATTTAACCATCCCGGTGGAGTTGAGGTCGACGGTCTCGACAATTCGAGACCAGTCGACGATTCGCAAGCCGGGACGACGCGTGGCGGAGTTGAGGGCATGATATGTCAGATCTCCGATCTCCAGTTCTCCAACTTCGGCTTCATCTCTCGGGATGGCACCGTTAGGGCTAACCCGCGGTGGGGCGGCGCCGGTGGTCTCGACCGGCCAGCGTCGTTGCCCTGACGCGGCTGTCTTTTTCCACCGTGTCGGGGCAATGGACCAGAGAACCGCCAGAAGGTGGACTCTGGACGAGGTTCCTGATATGACGCGGTGCTGGTGGCGACCAACGTGGTCGTCAGGTTCCGCGTGGCCACCATTGGCGGATTCTCTAGGAACTCCAACGAGCTACCATGACGAGGGATCTGGTCCTGAATTTGATCTTCTGGCACCCTTCCACAGTTGCATTGAGTCGAGTTCCACCGGTCCTCGGTCTCGACTCGGGCTGTAGCGGAGTTGATGGGGAGGGTGAAGACTTGACGTAAAAGCTGTGTCTTTACAATTGAGACTTGTTTATAGAATCGCGGTGGTCCTTGTCCTTTCCTCCGAGACACAAGAGAATGATCATTCAGAGCTTTGCAGAATAAAGATTTCCTGCGTGGGAGAGTCACACTACACTATAGCCGCAAATATATACTTCTCCCGAGCAATAGGGACTTTCCCCCCAGACAGACCTAGTACTCAAACCTACACACCTCACTAGTGGTGAACCGGGGAGCTTCACCCACAGAACCCCAGGCTTCTCCAAATGTGTTCTTCCCAAACTAACGAGTGACGAGGGACGAGACAGAAAATCTCTTCTTGTTTGCCACGACGGTCACATGACCATAACGACGCCACGTGATTGGAGCGGAGAGCAGGGGCAGAATCTCCCCTTGCATCATCTTTCCTTTTCTCTTTTCTTTCTTCTTCTCGTGTCATCGCCTCGTGGCAATTCGGGGCTCAGGAATGGAACAACCAAGGTGTTCAACCCCATGGTATGCACCGGAGGATATTCGTCCCCGACTCGATCTGATCTCAGTCTCACACGAGAGAAAGTCGGGACAAACTAGACGTACTCAGTCAGACGGGCATTCACTCCGTTAGGATGACTCGATGGTCCGCAGATTGACACCTTTCTCGTCCTTAGTTCGGATGACGGCCCCGACGTATGAACCCTGTGGCCGGCGAGGGATCGGAACCCCTGATCCTTCATGCAGCTCGCTGGGTGGAAGACGAGAAGCACAGAACCGACTGGCTAAGAATAGAACTGTTCTGTCTGTCCGGCAGGCGTAAAGAAGGAAGTCGCTTAAGGCTTCCCGATGCGAGGCCTCAGGCACGTGGAGATCTCCGCCTTAGTGCCTAGTGCTGCCTTAGCGCGGCCTTGGTGCCTGTCGTTCCTCTGCTCTCTCTTCGCCTTTCTGGCCTCGCTTTCTCCTCCTTGGTCTGCACGCCATCCCCATCTCTCACCTCTGACTGGCCACGACTCCATCGTTCATCGCCATGAGGCGGCCGGGCTCGTCCTTCCGTGGCCTTTTCTCGGCGCCGAGTTTCGACAGATCTCTCACGCTAGCCCGTGAGGAATGTTGCGACTCCCTAGTGGCTACCTAGTCCCTTCGTATCCGGCTCTTGCGCTACTCCTGCAGCAGTTCAGCGCCCTTCGTATTCCCACCGTCGCTTCCTTCCACCACTTTTTATCCGGTTCCTTTCAGCCGAGTGCGCCTAGCCTCTCTCTCTGCCGGCGAAATGACGGTCGGTTTCAGACCTCTCTGCGCTGACCTGTCGATCCGGCGTCGAACACGAGTTGTCCAGCGCGATCCCTGCCTGCCGGCAAATCATTGGCGTCTCAACGCCTCGCGAGCGCCAGGCATCATCCCTGTTTGTGCCACGGTAAGATTCTCAACGCGCTGTCGCCATCGATGCCTCCAGAGGTTCGCTTTCCCACTTGGCGCTGGGGGCCAGAACCCCTCCACGACGAACAAATAAAGCACCTCGGCCAGATGGAGGACAATAAGACAAAGGAAAATCGTCGGTGCCAAATTTGGATGCAGAAAGCACGGAAATTCCACGTGTCTTGGACCCAGAAAGCAGATCGCCAGTTCGCCTGACATTCGGTGTAACGGCACCCACGGCACCCACGGCACCGTATACTCCACGGCCGTGCTACGAAGAGAGAAACGGAGCTTGACGGCTCGTTCCGTACTCGTCGCCGGTATGGCTACCACGCAGTCAAGTACGTGCCAATGCCTTGGGGTTCATGGAGGGATCGTCCCTGCTAACGGTCTCCGCGTAGATCCCGCATCCACCTCGCCCACAACGTCGACTTCCGCCGCCACCGGGCTGCGACGAAGTTGTATATTTTGCCGTGCGCGCAAAATCCGTTGCTCCGGCGGTCATATATGCAGTGCATGTCGCGAACGCAATATCAACTGCGTGTACGGGCCCGAGGCCCGCAAAGGCCGCCCTCGGCGCAAACCGTCCAGCCTCGATCGTTCGCAACGACTCTCGCCGCCCACCAGCAACCCCGGCGACGCAGATTCGGGCGTGAACACGCCGACTCGGCGTCATCTGAGTCCCCTCGATGCCGACCGCACCCTGGGTCAGGACTTGGAGCAGATGTTCACCGAATACTTCATCCAGCAATCCGGGTCCCGCTCCAATCTGTTCCAGAATTCCATCGCCGCATTCCATCGACAAATGGGCCGTTCGTCGCCCAGCCATTCGTCGCCAGAGTCGCGGGCGTGGCTGCACTACGAGGGTCTCTTGTCCTTCTTGGCCCATGACATGGTCGAAATGCTACTGGGCCTCAGCAGCCTAGGATGCGAGCGACCCCGCGCCGCCAACCGAAGTTTTTATATTACGAGCCTGGCCGCCGATACCACCTGCGAGATGTTTGACTCACCTCTCACGATGAAAAACCCCTTATCGGTACTGGGGAAGTACAGGGTGCTCCAGATGGTGGACCTCTGGTTTTCGATGCATCCCCTCTCCCCGGTGGTCTCCAAGACGCTGCTGATCAGCGAGATCAAGGACGAAACCGTGGACCCGGCCCTGCTGGCAATCATCCTGGCCGACGCCTGCCAGGTGCATCACGGTCCCCAGGCTCGGACGCGCGAACGCCAAGGCCCGGGGGCCGATCAGGAAGACCCGGCCACGCTGATTCGGTTTGCCGCCAATCACCTCCGACCGCGCGCGGCGTTGTGCGGCGATTCGGATCCGCTGTCCACGGCGCAGGCGCTGCTTCTCATGGGCTGGCGAGAGCTCTGCCTGGGCAACGCACGCCGGGGCACCTGCTACGTAGGCTACACCTGTCGCATCGTGTCTCGACTGCACAAGATGTGGGCGGACGAGTCCTCGATGGAGGTGGACAGCATCAAGTTGAATGGCATTGACATCGGGTTGGTGAAGCGGGAGATCCTGCAGAACATTTACTGGCTGTGTCTGTCGACCACGACATGGTCCTTTATGCAGATCAATCAACCGTTTTCGCTACTGCTGCCGGAGGAGATCCCCGACTTCCCCAGCATGGACGAGTCGCTCTCCCCGAGTCTCCGCCTCGACCGCGCCTCCGACAACATCTCCACGCTGCAGGGACAGACGCGGACGATGCAATGGCTGTGGCCGCTTAGCCACATAACCAGCACGGTGGCCCATATCTACACGCTTTTCCTCAACGTATCCGGCAACGATGAAACGCCGCGCACAGAAATCGCCCCGTGGCAAACCCAGCACATCCACGAGCTGCATCATCTGCCCCAGGCCTGTTTCGATCCGTCCGTTTTGTCCCGACATATTCGGCGCATTCTGCTGCAGGCCATCCAGGCCGTCGAGCGAGAGGTCACGCACCTCCCCTCGCAGTCCTTCCTGTTGACCGCGTACCACACGATCGTTATCCATATGCTCTTTGCTCGGCATCGACGATGCCATGAGTCTCCCCACGTCAACCCGGTCACCGTGCATGCGTTTATTCAATCGGCCACCGCACTGCTGGCCATCGCACAGCGTTCGCCACTCGTTGACTCGAGTCCGGTCGCTTCGCCCCGCATGATGAGTGACAGGGGCGCGGACGTAATGCGCACGCTCGCCCTCGGCCTAGATACATGTAGTCGCGCGCTGGCGCACATTCACGGACATTCTCATCAATGGATGGGCGCAGGCGACGAGACTGACGCAGCCGCGATCACAGCGCAACTCGCGGACTATGCTCATCAAATGCACCAGCTTTGCAAGGGCGACTCCCTCCTCTCTTCCGGACCGGTGATTCGGCCGGTCAAACGACGGTTCAAACAGCTGAAACATGTCTTTTCCACTTCCCCGTCGCCAACCAACGGGAGATCTCTACCTACGTCCGTTATCGCCGACAGCGCCAGTCCCCTTTCGGTGTCGATCGCCGACGATGCACCGCCACTGGTGGCGGGTCGCTCATCCGGGATTTCCCTGACACAATCAATCGCCAGCCCGTCGCCGGCACTGTCTGATTGTCCGGCCGAGGTCATCGATTCTTACTTCTTCCTCGGAGATCCTGACATGGGCTCTCTGCTCGGCCTAACCGGGTTCATCAAGCCCGGGCCGGGCCCCCGGGTCGGTATCCCGCCGTCTCGGTCGAGTCCAGCCGCGCACCCCACGCAGTCCCATACGTCCATGTTCCCTTCCATGGACTTTCACGGTCGCGATAATCTCCCTTTCAGCAGCCCCGCATCCGCCAGTGGACAGATTGGTGCCGGCGTTCACTCCGTCGCAGATCCTTACGGCGTACCCTTCCCTCAGGAACCCAGTCAGACCCCAATTCAAACCCGTCACATACCTTCGGATTCGTTGGACTCGGTCCCGTCAGAGAATGAGATCGCGTCCCTGCGGACTACCGAAAAAGAAACTGTCTCCGATCCCTGGGCTCTCCCGTCTTCATGGCTGGAGCCATTCGGCACTGGGCTTGGGAACGGGACGGATGGAATTTTCCGACCGTGACTCCGATGTTACGGCTCATGTCCTTTGTGACGATAGCGATTCCTCGAATACCTGTCTCGTGTTTCGTTGATGGTTATCTCAACCTGTCCCGTTCCATTTAAGGGCTTGCTTCACACTATATAGCGCATGTATTAGAACTCGTTCTACTTAGATACACGAAATCTTCCATTTTCTTCCAATCTTTCGCATATATGGAGCCGTACACCCAAGCTGTATCGCATCAAGGTGCTATCGGGTTCTTCAGTGGCTCGTGTCCTCGGGCCAATTAAGCCTGTTCACTTTTTTGAGCCCATTAGCTCTCCATACTACTCTTGATGAAAGGGTTTAGTGACCAAAGTTTGCCCGTGGGGTGTCTGCCTGGCCTCGGCTTCCGGCCATGGGTTGGCAGGCTTGGTCGTTCTCTCACATTCACCGTTATACACAGGAAGGAATATTGCTGTTAGAAGGCATAATATGTCATATAATCTGAGTACAGGGAAAGCCGATGCTATAGTCAAGATATGCGAGGGTGTTCTAATTCTGTCCCTCTCCCTCTTTCCGTGTCTCTGTCTCTCTCATCAATTCATTTGCGCTGCTGCGTATCCCGCTTACTTTAGTTGTTCTTTTTGCTTCCTCCGTCTGCCCGTTGAATTTGTGCCAGCTAGATGCAGGTCAGTCTCCATTTCCCAGAGGTCTAATAAACTTACTCTCTTCGACACTGGCTGGTGTCCGTACAGCCACCCTAGGTACCACATCCACACGCTGCTCGGCACCCATTGGTAGATCAAAGATCGTACCATTTTCCCCGTGCCCAGCGGCAATTTGGCCGTGTGCACTTGAGCATAGCGTGCCGAGAAAGAGGCTACGTCTTGAGCGCGCCGCTCCCGAAGGCGAGAGTAGGACTTCAGGGCGGAGGCGTCACCTTCAAGAAAGTCGGCAATCGAGTCTGCGAGCACGGTTGCATCTTCGATGGCTTGACAGGCTCCCTAGATCCGTGGATTCAATTAGTATAGGATCTCCTTAGCTCAAAGCGAGAAAAGGACATACCTGACCAAAGAATGAGGTCATAGAATGCGCCGCTATGAAGATTGCGAGTTAGCCCACGGTTGGCAAAGGACAATACTCTGAATAACAGAGAAAGCATACCGTCGCCCAACAGCGCAATGCGCCCTTTTGCCATGTCTGGAAAGTCAACCTCCTCAAACACATTACTCGCGATCACTCGCTCCGCTTCGTCCACGACTGCGAAACACGACGGTTAGCAATCGTCAATCGCGCATGACAATTGGTGGAAGGACTTGCTGGACTTCACGGTCGAATTACGACCAAATGGATGGAACCGCTCTCCATACACTGCATTGACTGTTTCGCCCGTTGCTCCTTTCCAGACCGAGCGATCTGGAGTCTCACCCGGCGCGAGTTCAGCTCGCTTGACCCCGATGAACCACTGTCGGTTCTCCTTGCAGGGCCAGGTCGTCAATATGCTGTCATTATACAACATCCAGTGGCCCATTCCTAGATCGTCGGAAGTCAGATGTTCTAACGGTTGGGTGTATCCCGACATGTGAACTCGTCCCGTGAAGCGAATCGTATTCTCGGCTTTGAGGCCCGAAGAACCAGCAAGCTGCGTCTGTCAGTAGATGACGCGCACTATAGAGTAGAGAGCATACAATACGGCGAGTTGCACTCCGGATCCCATCGGCACCGGCGACCACGTCGGCGTAGATTGTTCGGCCATCATCGCTCACCACGCGCACTGGCGCGCGCGCATTCTCGCCGTCCACGATGTCTACCACATTCCACCCGAATCGCACCGTCTCTGCGCCGCCGGCTGCCTCGTACAGATACCGATGGAACTCATGCCGCTCAATCGAATGGACATTATATCCGAACCAGCGCTTCGCAAGTCCGAAGTTGATGGTGCCCCAGCAGTCCTTTTCCCGGTATACTCGAATGCCGAGGAGCTCCTGCGAATTGACTTGGATGGCCTGCAGGAGGCCGAGCTGCTCCAATACGCGCAAACAGTTCGGAGCAAGAGAGATTCCGGCCCCCTGAGGCGTCACGACAGGCGCTCGCTCAAGGATGACGAAGGGGATGTCGAGGCGGCGTAGGAGGGCACCGAGGGTGAGTCCTCCGATGCCTCCGCCGATGATCACCACGGGAACGTGCTCGGTCATGATAATGGATGGGTAAAAGATGAAGCGCTGTATTCAACATAGTCTACAAATCTGCCTCTGGGCAATATTTAACCATGGCCGATTGTAGGCGTTGCGCTGTCCTACAGGGCCTCATCCGAGGAAAAGGCCCGTTTGTGCACGGAGGCGGACGGCGGCTTTAGGGCTTCCGATGTATGCAAGGACTTCTTCTAAGCTAAGCATCTCCTGTTCTAAAATTACACCCGATCATTCCATGCGACCCAAGACATTCCTGAGGATCAGCGTCAGCTCATCGGCAAATCCCTCGTCAAAACAACCGTCGTGCATCGCGCGGAAGGGCACGGTGGCAAAGCCCTTGAACTGCTGAGCTGACCATCCATTCGTCGCATCTCCGTTAATCTTCCTCGCAAATTCGCGCCGTCTCTCGCGCAGCAAAGGGGACAACGTTCCTAGCGTCTCACATTTGATCAGCGTCGCGCTCGTGTTCGGCAGCAGAGGACGCTCTCCGCCGGGGAGTGCGGACCGATACGAGGACAACATCCGGAGGCCGTGATGAATGTGTTGGCGCAATCGACCGTAGAATCGTATCATCGAGCCGTCTACGTCTTCGTCGTCGTCGCTATCAACCTCCCCGTCCGAGCTTTCTCGGCTCGTATCGCTGCTGCTGCTGCTATCTTCGTCGCGCAGCGGTGCGCTGGCGGACTCCTCGGGAGCGTTCATGCGGCGGGCGATGGCGTTGTAGGTGATCGTGGCCACGACGTGATGCTCGCGCGCGTCTTGAAACGGCAGATAATGCGCAGGATTCAGCGAATCAATCATCAGGACATGTTGCACCGTTTCACCTTCCGCGGTCAGAATGGCGGCCATTTCCACGGCAATCATTCCCCCCATGGACCACCCGCCAAGTAGGTACGGCCCCTTGGGCTGGATTTCGCGACGAACGATTGAAACGTAAAGCGCGGCAACTTCGAATAAGCTGCCGGGCGCGGCACATGGCGATCCATGCTCGTAGATGGGCGCCGAGATCCCGTATACCGGGCGGCCTTCGTGCAGATTTTGGTCTTCGTCGGGGTACGATAGAGGCCCGAGGGCGAAATAGGGCAGCGCAAGGCCGGAGATGGCGTGGACGAGAATCAGTGGCCTCAGTGGCGAGTCGGGACTGCCCTGGATGTGCAAGACGGTGTCCATCGTGGGTGGTAGACTCAATTGCTAGCTGGTGCTGGTGGCCTTTCTCCGTCGCACTCTCTGCATTTTCCAAGCTCAGTTTCCGTCTCTTTTATGGGGCCCGAAGCGATACAGATCGTCCCACTGCTCCGCGTCTCAGCGGCCCATTTTTTAGGGCTGACGATCTGGCCCGCACTGCATTCGAGGCTCCGTTGCGACACGGGGATTAGCAGTTGGCGCTGCATCGACAGGGGTCGCTGGGGCTTGCCGATGGTGCATATAACGTGGCAAAGTCCACGCGGATGACAGACGTCCGATCACAGTCGCCATCCTTGTCATTCTCTCTAGATCTAGCCACAGCGATGAAGTTCCTCGTCACTCTAGGGCTCCTCGGCGGTGCCCTTGCTGCCCCGGCTCCGGAGTCGGGCAAGCATAGGGCGCAGTCCTTCGACATGCCTTTGCAATGGACACCGTTTGGCTTCACGACCGATACCATCACGGTCGGCAGTCCGCCTCAGAAGGTGGATTCGTTCGTTGACTGGACCTGGATCGGTCAGTATGTTTTCACGCCGCGCTGCCATGGGAGTTTGTCGAAGACGTACGAATGTCTGCAGCCGTCGCAGGCGCTGTTCAATCAGACCGAATCCCACACTTTTGTCAATCAGACTCGCCTGTTCCCCAATCGCGTCTGGAACCCGAATCATTTCTTCTTCTACGACGATCTCTCCGTCGGCTTCGGTTCCGACATCCAGCGGGTAGGCAAGCAAAGCGCTCGAGTCACCCTGCAGACGGCCGACATGCACTTCAAGCTCGACTTTGCCTATCCTTTCTCCGGGGTCTACGGCCTCTCGCCCGTCTTTAGCAAGGACAATGCCTCGACGCAGTCGCCCTTCTATCAGATGTGGCGTCGAGGCGCCTATCGCTCGCCTATCACCTCATTTCAATACTGCTACAACAGCACTTTCGGCAACCCAGCCCCCGCTCGCGAGCGTTGCGGCGGAAATGACGGGCTTCAGACGCTGGGAGGTTTGTCGCCGGCTCTGACGAAGCAAGGACGCGATGCTGCATCTTCCATCTTGTGGTACAAGAACATCTTCTTCCCCGTGGTGAACGACATCAATTTCGAATACGATCCACCGATTTACAATTACTGGGCCGTACACCTGACCAAGCACCTCATCGGCGACGAGGAGCAAGTCTTAAACACCACCTACGGTGGCAACCCCGGCGCCATCTTCGACCACGCCAGCTACGGCCACGGCGTTCCCATGTCTGTGAACAGCTACAACCGGCTGATTCAAATCACCAACGGCCAACCTCTTTCTCTTGAGGAGGGTCAGCTGCCCAACAACGGCAACCAATCCTTTGTATCGGTGGATTGCGACAAGGTGTCTTCTTTTCCGCCTCTGAAATATCAGTTCCAGGGTCATGACCGACTGTGGGAGGTGATCCCGGAGAACTACGTTGAGAAGCTATCCCTGCCGAACGCCACCGAGCCCACCTGTGTGTTGAACGTGCGTACCTTGGGCGAAGGAAACTTTGTCATTGGGAACTTTGGCGACACCTTTGCTAAAGATAAGATTGTGCTCTTTGATTTCGAGAAGATGAAGGTTGGACTGGCGGATATGCCGAAATAGAGGTGGGCAGCTTTGGATATTCCCCACCAACTGTCTGTTTGGTCATTAGGTCTGTGCAGGTGTATATAAATGAGATTTAAGAATGGAAGAGACGGAGCTATTCATGATATAAAACCGTGACTAGAGTACGCAAGCCTTGCGGTGGTGGGCGGGTAGAGCTTGGATCCTCAATAACACGGGGACGTAGATCGGGACAGAACTGGGTGCTATTGCTTTCCGCTAAGGAGAATCAAACGCATTCCTGCACTAAAGTAATAGCACCGGAAATTATCCCTGAGCTAATTTGAGCCAAGGAGGTGTAAGGCCGCTACGTACTGTGTCGATGAAGAGTGCTTGGAAACCCCAAATGACTTGTTCTTAGTGTTGTTAAAACGTTCCGAACAGCAAGGACAGGGAGATGGAAGAAGCCCGTATAGCTATCAATTATGTGATGAAGAGATTTCTGAAATCTCGAGGTGCTGCGAATACATGGCGAAAGCCCTTCAGCACTTTGAGATAGAGGGAGAACGGTTTCTACTGCTAAACATAGAGGCAAAGCATACACGCTTGCGATCCCTACAGCTCACACGGCTTGGAAGAAATTGCGACTAATGACCCATCGCGATCCAACCAACAGCACGGCCCCTGCCAGGAGAATTACGCCAGCAAAATTGATTAGACCAGAATATTCGCCGTTTTCAGTCGAGACGAGGGCGCCCCCGATGGGAGCACCGGTCAGAGCGCCCACGGAGCAGACGGCCATCATGACGCCGATCTTTATGCCGATAATCTGCAAGTTATCTGTTATCTGCGCCACGCAGGCCGACTGCAGCGAGATCAACCCCCCGGAGAACAGCCCGTATAGAACAGCGAAAGTCACGATGCTGCCTTTCGTACACATGACGTGCAGGCAAAGCAGTACAATTCCCGAGAGAAGCGAGCATATAATGGCCATGTTGAACCTAAACTTCATATAAATGACTTGCGTTTTAAAAGGCAAGATAAAATGGATGACATACCTTCCCATCTTGTCCGCCAGCCCCCCGGACACAACTCGGCCGACGAGCGAGCCAGCATTCAGGATGGCAATGAGGTCGTTGGCAAAGACAGAGTCCACTCCCTGCTGTCGGGCATACAAGGGAAGGTAGTAGAAAGGGATGAACATTCCCCACATGACGAACAGCATGCCCGCAACGAGCAGTAGAAATCGCGCGTCTTTGAAAATAGCCATGACCTCTGCTTTGGGCACGTCGCTCGCCTTGGTCGGTGGCAAACGAGGCACAACCATCAGACATGCCGGTGCAAGTAATCCCAGGGACACAAAGCCGACAATACGGAGGGCCCAAGGAAACCCAACGGCACCAAATAACCGGTCCAGGATCAACGGCCAGGCGATCCCTCCGAGAGACGAACCGGCCACGACAATACCCAAGGCTAGACCACGTCGACGGTGAAACCAATGCGGAATTGCGGATATTGTGGGATAGAACAGCATAGCATCACCGATACCGAATAGAAGACTCTGTGTCAGAATGAACTGGTAATACTTGTGACACAGACTGATGAACATCAGGGACAGGGCGAAGAATATCGTGCCGGGCACAAACAGGACCTTCGCCCCCTTCGTGTCGAAGACAGGGCCAAAGACCACGCCTCCAACAAACAGAAGAAATATTTGAATAGAGCCAATCCAGGACACGGTGCTCTCACTGTGACTGGCGAGGAGGTGCTCCCCATAGTAGGCCTGGAAGGTGCCAAAGGAATTGAGAAGGCCTACAGCGCCGTCAGTAGGGTTGTTTTCACTAGGCCTATCTCGAGACATAGTCACCAAATGTAACAAAGTACGTCAGAAACCCTCCCACGACGACCATCCACGCACGTAACCCGCCATCAGGAGTGCCCGAATCCACGTCTGGAGAAACCAGCGTTTCCGCCGAAGTGTGTTCTTTCTCCGACATCGACATTTTCCTGAGTATTCAAGGCTACCAAGGACTATGATGAAATTAATCAAGTTTTCCGCACTCAATAGAAGCAACGAGGAACCTTATCGAAGATCAGACCATCTTCAGATCGACGGCGACGCGGACTTTTTAATGGGCGGCATTAGGGCTAAAAGTCTCCGCCGTCCGTCGGAGAGAAAGAACCCCGGTGGATCTGAGTCAGACGCTGCCCTGAGAAGAATACGATGCCTTGGAGGAAATTCAATATATATCGGGCTTATTCTGTCCGAGTTGAGCCATGGGAATTGCGAACTATCCGCCTATTCAACTGTTGTAGTATCGGTCAGTCACCATGTACGCCTCGGACCTAGAATCCATCCGCTTCAGCCCCAGCGTCGTTCCCCTCGGGGCAATGACACTCGCAGTCCTGCTTCTTGTGAGATATATGCTTTTCTCAAGCAAGTTGCCCTCAGTCTCGGTGGGGCTTCCCATCTGGGGCAACCTGGTTCAATATAGCAAAGATCCAGTGTCGTTTATTGCCGCGGCTACCAAACACTATGGGCAGTGCTTCACCGTGCCTATGCTACTCGGTCGCACCGTCTGGTTGCGCAGTGGTCAGTTGAACAAGGAGTACTTGGAAACCCGCGAGGTACGATCTCCCTGTCGTGTCAATGTGGTCGTGATCCCTGACTTGTAGATACCACAGGATGTGTGGTCCTTTGGGGACGGGATGGGTTTCTTCCTCAACAAGATCGTCATCCCCGGATATTTTAGCCACCTTCGCACATTCGTTGGCTCGCTAAGTAAGGGGATCTCGAGGCAGGTGATCCTAGACCACTATGGCCAGGTTGCGCAGCAGGAGACCGTCAAGTCTATGGCCACCTGGTCCGAGGTCGCTGAACGCGGGCAGTCCATGGAGCTGTTCGAGGAGGTCTCCTTCCTCGTCCACAAGATCATTGTTCGTTGTTTGATGGGCTCCGACTTTTACGATCATCACGTCGCCGAGCTATTCGACCTACTTCATTCGATGGAGGAGAATGTGGGTAGCATTCTGCACACCATTCTGCCGGCCTGGGTTCCTCATACTCCGGCACGCCGACTGTGGGCTGCACGCGATCGCATCCGCCAGATATTTGAGCTACGACTACAAGAGCGAGAGAAGAACCCGGAAGAGTGGCGTAACTCTCTGGATTATATTTCCTATACGCTTCGGGATCCGTCGACTGCCCATCTGAGCGGTTTCTACGGGGCCCATCATACCCTGTTGATGTTTGCTGCCCACACGAGTACGGTGGCCAGTATCTCATGGACCATTCTAGAGGTATGATCGAACTACATTCGTATTTGATACGCTTTCTCTTAACGTGGCGTGAGCATCCTGTTGACGATCAACTGGCTTGGATAGCTTCTCAAATCCCCCCAGCGCTTGCAGACTCTGCGTGAGGAGCTGGCATCCAACCCGAACGTTGAACAGTGTACTTTTCTGGATGCTCTTGTCAAAGAGACTGGACGGCACTATTCGGGGAACACCGACGTTCGCTGGGCACGACAACCCAAAACTCTTCGCAATGTGCCCGACGCGATCACCATCCCAGCAGGCACGGTCGTTTCTATCTCGCCCTACCTCACGCACCATGATCCGGAGGTATGGTCCAACCCGAGCATTTACTACCCCGAGAGGTGGGTTGAGCAGCCGGACCTGGTTAAGAAGTTGAATGACGGTACGCAACTGCGATATATCCCATTCGGCGGCGGTAGCCATCGATGTCCCGGAGAGAAGATGGCCACCATGATCTCTAAATTGGTAGTCTCGACCGTCGTTCAACACTGCGAGCTTGACTTTGGGGGAGAAGGAAAGTCTCAGGATACGACAACGTTGGACTTCTCTAAAGTGGGTAGTCCGTGGTTGAAAGGAGATGTTCACGTCCGCATTCAGAAGGCGTCCTAGGCACTCTCGTCTATGACCGAGAATAACATACACAAATAGAATAAAATTGCCGGACTTGGAATTGACTGGGGTGCATCTTTCGGCTGTCGCGCACCCACTATCGAATCGAATGTACTAGCTCTTAAGACTGATGAGAAACGGAAACTTGGCCATTGAAAAGATTCGTTAAATACCGAGCTTCAAACTTCGTTCGTAGCATCCCAATACAGGGAGGAATGACATCCTTGTAAAATCAAATTGTTGACAGTTTCTTTAATTCATGATTCAATATGAAACAGTACTCTCTAAGCCGTTGACTCGGCTCCAGCGATCTACGAACCGTAACATTCGTGTAGGGACCGGAGACAATATATCTCCATCAGAAGTTATCTGAACCAACACATCAGCGCAAAGCATAAACATTCTATTTATCTGTGAAGGGTACATTAGTGACTTTTGTAGGTACCCCATACAGTCCCATCTGTAACGATAAATATAATAAGTGTTCAGATCTCTAGACTGGAGATCTGGACCTGGGATTGGAGCGACTATCCCTTCCCCAATGTGTAGACTCGACGGTTGTAGGTTGGGCGAGAAACATGATCTATATTAAAAGGCAATCTCTGTCACAAATGCATATTCGATTACAGCGATATCTTTATTTTGAGAATGAACACTTAGGATGAGAAAGAATCCTAGTGGCGGTAATTCATCATAGTCTATTGTTCACAATACCTACTTGACGAACTAGATCATCCTGGATTGGATCAATTACAATGAAATGGATAGATAACTGTTATGAATTGCATTATCATTGAAAGTTCAGACAAAAGAGTGATAATTGTCTACAATATCGACTATGTACAATGGTACAATGGTCGTTCTTGCCGACAGGCTGCATGCCTGTCAGTAAATCTCTAGCACTGGATTCCTTCTGGCACCGACGCGGGAATGGAAAATGGGTTGGTGAAAAATTCCTCTGGGTCATACATCTGCTTGATAGAGATCAAACGGCAAACATTCTCTCCGTAGTAGGAGATCAGAGGGTTGGTCGAGATGTCTGTATCCATGTAGCCCGAATAGCTCGCCGGACCGACCGCAGGGCGTAAGAACGATTCCAACTCTCCGAACCAATGCTCGTAAACTTGTTGCTGAGTCTCATTCTCCGACCCGTGAATTTGAAATTCCAAGTGAGCGTAGGCATCTTCCCTCCATGGGAAAGCATTCTTGCTGCCGAGGGTCTTGCGCGGAATATTCCACGAGTGCCACTCTCCCCAGATCTGGCTGTCTTCGTCCAGCTGGCCGATACGGTCCACAACGCCCCGAAGTACTTCATCGCTGAGCGGGCGGCTCTTCTGCACAAAGAAGGACTTACTCAGTCGGTAGAAACGCTCCCAGGGCTGTGCCGGGCCTACAGTATCGGACTTGCGTTCCTCCTTATATTGGAACTGAGGATGATTGCCCACTTGACTGAATGGATCGGGAACGACGTTAAGAATTGATGCATCCACCTGGTCGTCGGGGAGGCAGTCCATGGCTGTATATCCGAAGATTCGAGCGTTGTCCACGTTACAGCCGCCGGCAATAACCACCTCAGGGTGGTCAATATCCAACAGGCCGGACGCATTGACGAGGCCACGTAGGGCCTGAGCGGACCGACCGTAATGCATGGCTACCACCTGCACCGTGTCGTGATAAACATTGATTTGCGACATGAACGCCGGCTCCTGCTTCGGGGCCCAGTCCAGAAATCGTCGGGCAACGGGGAAGCGAGCCTCGGTATTGTTCCAGCTCAGAAGCAGCATGGCAGATCGAGGCACTTTGGTCAGAGAAAGAGTAAATTCCACCACGACGCCATATGTGCCACCACCGCCCCCGCGAATGGCCCAGAACAAGTCAGGATGCGACTTTGGGGAAGCAACGACTGTTCTGCCATCTGCGGTGACAACCTTGGCTGCAAGAACGTGGTCGACTCCCAGACCCTGGGATCGCTGTTGCATGTTGAATCCCCCAGATCCGAGGAAGCCTGCCAGTCCGACCGTGGGACAAATCCCTCCTATGAAGGACGTGTCAAATTCATTCAAGGCTGTGTAGAGAGCGCCTAGACGAATTCCCGCGCCTACAGTGGCCGAGCGACGATCGCGGGAAACCTTGACTTCGTTGATATGGGCGATATCAATCACCAGAGTGCCGTTTAGAGATGAGAACGCCGTGAAGCTGTGGCCGCCGGTGCGAGGAACGGCCTTGACACCAGCCTTCTTGGCACACTTCACTAGCTTGCCAACCTCCTCTGCCCTTTCTGCGTAGGCGATTAACAGCGGGAACTCGGTAAACTGAATCTTCTCGCCCAGGCGTGCGTCCAAATAGTTGTCGTCCTCGGGGCGGACGATGCGCTGAGATGCCGTGGTGGAAAAGGCTCGAGAAGCACAGCTGTAGAGATCTTGGGCTTGGCTAGATCGAGAAGATATCTCCTGGCCAAGACAGGTGGGGGCGGCCAAGGCCAACATGGCGAGAGAAACCCGCATGGTTGCGAATGATGGTAATGAATTCAGAGGATGAGGATGGAATTGACGGTATCTGGAAGACATCACTCCGGCCGGCTATCCCATTGAAGGCTTTATATGTCGGGGGAGCAGAAAAGCCCCCATTCTCGTATTTATTAGTCCCGCGGAGGAAGAGAAGGTTCGTATACGCCCATATTAGGCTCTATGTTATATTATCTATCGCATGAGAGCAATTGGTGTGTCTGGCTGGGTCGGCAACCGTTGCCTGTTCATAGCTGGCCCAAAAGGTGATGCGATCTAAAACGTTCCATCAATATATCACCAGTTGATGGAAGAAGCAACCAGGAAGCCACTTCATCAATTTGTACAATCCATGATGGGCTACAGGGGTCTCCCAAGAGATGGGACAGTAATGAAGTGCCCTCGATTGAGCCGAATCCTTGCAAGAGGCAAATAACCACGCGTGGGCCGAAACGACCTTGGACTACCAACAATCCCTTGAGTAACAATGTCTCGTAGCATCCGTCCGACATTGAAGAAGCGACTGCAGCAATGGACGGCTGACGGGGGCCTAACCATGTGGCCCCGGGATGATCTCCATCTCGGTGGCAACTGGAAACACAATAATATGAGCATGCAGATAAATATAGAGTGATCATCGATTTAGGGCTCCGTTTCCGAACGGAAGTCATCACGGAGCATCCTGTCCGGCCACATGGTGCTGACATGCGTCGTTAGCGCCTCGTATTTCTTCCGATATGCTTGCTTACTTCCTTGTATCCGAGCCGAAACAAGCACCTTTGGGTTTGAGTCAAGAATTTGCAGCATTCGAAAACCTCCGTGAGTACAGACCGGTACATCGTCTAGTCGTTGGATCCGTTGAATTGCGGCCATTTTGCCGATCAGGGCGGGATCAATGGGAAAGTAACGGAAGTTGTAGAGAGTTCTAGCATAATATGAAAGGCAACCATTCCTGTCGGTTCTTTCAAAAATTCAATGTTCTCTTGCTCAGTATAAATCAGGTGGTTAGAGCCATATCGTAAGTCTCGTTGCGTTTGGCTTGTAGGATAATCGGGTGCAAGAAAGACAGATACTCTAGGTAAACTCCCTTCCTCTACTGACTCTCAGCCCAAAATGTCGATGCATTTCGAGCACCCGCAGGCCTCACAATCCGAATCTACGAACGGGGTTTCCAGTCAGCCATCCAAGATGGAATCCCAGACCAAGGCCACCGACCACCCATGCGTAATTGGCATGGCGTGCAGAGTCCCGGGTGCATCATCTCCTTCAAAGCTGTGGGACAACCTGATCAACAAAGTCGATCTACAACGCAAGATGCCCGAGGACCGATTCAATGTCGATGCCTTCTATCATCCAGATGGCACGCACAAAGGCTCGGTTTGTATCCCCTGGATAGACTTTCTACCTTACCAAGGCCTGTTGCTAAAGGCTGCTAGACCAATGCGAAATATGGCTATTTCCTTGATCAAGACATCGGGCTGTTCGACGCCGGCTTCTTTAACATCTCCGGCAAGGAAGCCACGGCCATGGACCCTCAGCAGCGTCTGTTGCTGGAAGTTGTCTATGAAGCGCTGGAAAATGGTAAGTTGCAGTCCGAGGCTGGTTTGAGGTGAGGTTCCTGACAAAGAATATTAGCTGGTATCACATTGGACGAGATCCAAGGCTCGCAGACGTCTGTGTATTGCGGCTGCTTCACCAACGACTACAACGCCATGACAACCAAGGATCTCGAATTTTATCCAAAGTACACTGTCACCGGCACCGGAAACTCGATTCTGGCCAACCGCATCTCCTACTTTTACGATCTTCACGGTCCCAGTGCGACCATTGACACAGCTTGTTCCTCGTCGCTAGTCTGTTTCCACATGGGTGCCCAGTCCCTTCGGGCCGGCGAGGCCGATCTTTCAATTGTCGTCGGGTCGGCATTGCATTTTGATCCCAACATCTTCATCACGATGACTGACTTGGGAATGCTGTCTACTGATGGTCGCTGCCGCCACGGCGACGCTTCGGGTAGCGGCTATGTTCGCGGCGAGGGAATTACCGCCATGATTCTCAAACGTCAGCGACAAGCGGAAGCCAGCGGCGATTCCATTCGCGCTGTCGTGCGTGGAACTGGGGTCAACCATGACGGTCGCAAGCAGGGAATCACCCTCCCTTCTGCCCAAGCGCAAGCGGCCCTCATTCGCAGCACGTATCAGAATGCCGGGCTAGATCCGGCAGACACCACCTACGTCGAGTGCCATGGAACCGGGACAAAAGCTGGGGATCCTCGAGAGTTGAGAGCCATCAGCGAGGTATTTTCGCCCGGGCGCGAAGAGCCCCTTTGTATCGGCTCAATCAAAACCAACATTGGTCACCTTGAGGGTGCCTCGGGAGTGGCAGGGCTGATCAAATCCACGCTGGCTCTCGAAAAGAGAACCATTCCGCCTAATATGCATTTTCAAGCGCCCAACCCAGACGTTGATTTTGAAAACTGGAAACTTGAAATTCCGACGGACCCCAAAGATTGGAAGGCCAAGAGCGGCGAGATCCCCCGACGTGTATCGATCAACTCCTTCGGATATGGTGGAACAAACGCCCACGTTATATTGGAAGAGTACACATCGCCTGCGTCGCTTCCCTACGCATATGACATGCCCGCAAGCCTTGTTCGCATGGTTGAAAAGAGACCATACCTGGTGCCCTTGTCGTCGCACTCCGAAAAAGCAGGGAAGCTCATGGCAAACAAGTTTGCAGCATACCTCCAGAGCGATGTGAAGACGAGCCCCGAAGTGTTTGCCATGGCTCTGTCCCAGCGTCGAACGATGCACCGATTCCGCTCCTTCGCAGTCGGCTCGAGCACGGAATCCCTTGTGAGCAGTTTGGAGGAGCCAGTACCGGCGGCTCAATGGAAAAGCAAACTGGGAGATGTTCCGCGAGTTGGGTTTGTGTTCACCGGTCAAGGCGCCCAATGGTTCGGAATGGGAAGGGCGCTGATAGAGCAATGCCCTCTCTATTTCCAGACGTTGCAGAAGTGCGATCAGATTCTGCAGTCACTTTCCGAACACCGACCGTCATGGTCCATCGTTACAGAGCTGCTGCGGAATAAAGACGATACTAAGCTGGGTCAGACGGAGTTTTCACAACCGATTTGCACTGCCATCCAACTGGCGCTGGTAGATGTTCTCTCCCAGTGGGGAATAAAGCCGTCGAGTGTGGTTGGTCACAGCAGTGGAGAGCTGGCTGCTACCTATGCAGCTGGGATTCTCTCGTTCGAGAACGCTTTGGTCGCTGCCTACTACCGTGGTGTGCACATGGGTAGCGGCGCCGCTTCTCCCGACAGCATTCCTGGCGCCATGATGGCTGTAGGAATGACCGAGGCCGAGGTGGACGCCGAGCTGAAGCCTTATGTCGGGCGCGTTGCAGTTGCCGCCATGAACAGCCCGTCTAGCTTTACCCTTTCCGGCGATAGTGATGCGATTGCGGGGCTACATGAGAAATTGAGCGAAAGAAAGGTGTTCGCCAGGCGTCTGCAGGTTGCTCAGGCGTAAGCCTCCCAATATATAATCATTCAACCATGTCAATAAGCTGACTCCTCGCAGGTTTCACAGTCACCACATGTATCCCCTTGCCCCGGGATATGAGCAGGCTCTAGCGAAGTACCCGGGGTTCAAGGCAAACAAGTTCACAACTGCGTCGATGGTGTCCAGTGTGACTGGTAGAAAAGCAGATCCCAGCGCTATGGGCCCTGAATACTTCGCGGCAAACATGACTGGAATGGTCAAGTTCTCCGACGCTCTGGTAGAGACCGTACTTGACGAGGACGACCAGCAGAATGTCGACATTCTGGTCGAAGTGGGCCCTCACCCGGCACTCAAAGGCCCTTCTAACCAGACAATTGATCAATTGAAACTCAAGATCCCATACATCGGGACGCTCGACCGCAAGGAAGATGCTTATGAGAGCCTTCTTACTGCTGCCGGTCAACTTTTTGCTCTCGGCTATCCCGTGCGTCTAGAAGAAGTCAACCGGAACCACTTCATTGACGCCTCTTCCGGAAATCTCGTCAGCTCCAATGTACGCCGCGCATCCCTCGAGCTGCCGACTTATGCATGGGATCATGAACGATACTGGGGTGAGACGCGTGTGATCAAAGAGCATCGCCTCCGTCCGTTCCGACACAGCATTCTCGGGGCGCCAGTACCAGGTTCACTTGCTAATCGGCCCCGGTGGCGAAACTTCCTGCGTATTTCCGAGATGCCTTGGCTGGTAGACCATTCCATCGACGGGAAAGTGGTCTTCCCGGGCGCCGGATACATCAACATGGCTATGGAGGCTGCGGCTCGCCTTGGCCGTGGTATGGCTGGTGGCGTTAAAGCTATTTCGCTGGCAGATATTTCGGGTATTTCGTCATCCACACCCCTTGGCGTGGTCTTTTTGAATCTAACATGGTCCATAGTGAAATCCGCGCTCGTAGTGAGCGACAATGAGGTGGGAACTGAGGTGATTGTGGAGTTGTCACCTGTTGTGGAGTCCGCGAAGACCTCGTCATCCACGTGGAATAACTTTGTCATCTTCTCGATCGACGAGTCCGGAAATCAGCGTGAGCATTGCACTGGAATGGTTAGAGCGGAGCTAGGGGATCCAGAAGCTCTCCCCTTCAACCGTGAATCCAACTTGAAAGCGCAGACCTTCCGCTGCGTTGGGCGGGAACAATACTACCATCGCCTACACTCGATGGGACTCCAATACGGCAAGACATTTCAGCTTCTATCAGGCAGCATCGACAGTGGACTTGGAAGAGCCACCGCACCGATTTCCTGGCAGCCAGACCTGTTCTCTCAAGAGAAGAGTGATCTCTGCATTGTCCACCCGGCCTTCCTGGATGCTGCATTCCATCCGGTATTTGCGTCAATCGAGGGCAAGCTAGGTCGGACAATTAAGGAGCCGTACGTTCCAACTTTTGTGCGCTCGATGAAGATTTCTGGGCTTCTGGAAGCGTGGAAAGGCTCGACGAGTTTCCAGGGCCAAGTCTCGGTCGAGACAAACGTGGCCGGACCCCGGACAGCAACAAACGACCTCCGCATAGAAGACCAGAACGGCCAGGGGCTGATCGAGATTCAGGGCCTCGAGCTGACCAACCTGGGTGCCAATTCGGCTGACGACGGACGCCGATCCCTATTCTTTGGGACCGAGTGGCAGCCCATGATCAGCTCCCTCGAGTTCAACAGCGGTGTTCATAAAGTGCAGGGCATCCCAGCGCTTGTCAAGCTGTATGCCCATCAATTTCCAAACAGAAAGATCTTACACTACAGCCCTTCGGTTGCCTCGACAGAAGAGGTCCTCGGAAGCCTCCGTGGTACTCACGGCGAGCGACGCAATTTTAGCCAGGTAATCATCTCCCCTCAAGACTCCAGCATTGCATCCACGTTTGAAGAGGTAGTTCAGCGTTGGAACGGTCTTGTCCGCCTCGCCACGGACGAGGAGGTTGAAGAAGAGAAATTTGATTTGGTCGTGGTATCAGCTAAACCCGAAAGCTTGATGCATGACCGAGTCGCAGATCAAGGATATCTGCTCGTGGATGAATCTTCCGCTAGGAGTCCCGCCGGTTTCCGTTCAATCGGAGACTGTGGTGGTGTGCAGATTTGGCAGAAGAAGCCATATACCAATGGAATACATGCCAAACCTCTCACCATCATAATGCCGACGCGGTCTTCACCCGAAGTTGAGGCCTTTGCCAGGGCTATCGAAACCCAAGGACCCTTCCAGACCGAACGTCGCGACTTCCTCTCACTGGCCGATACAACTCGCGAAATTGCTCAGAATGTGGTTGTGCTAGCCAGCCTTGGATCTCAGCTGTACTTTGATGCGAACGCCAGTGGTCATGCCGAATTTTACGCAGCACAAGCATTGCTCACGAAAGGCACGGCCAACATCGTCTGGGTGACCCGGGGAGGCCTTATGGACGTGACATCGCCGGAACAGGCGCTAATCTTGGGCCTTGCTCGCTCAGCGAGAAGTGAAAACCCTGACCTCCGGCTTGTGGTATTTGACATCGCTCCTGAGTCCGGCTCAACCCAGGCTGCTAGACTGGCCTCCGAGCTGCTGGATCCTTCCATTGACGAGAACGAGATTGCCGAGCGTGATGGCACTCTTTACATTCCTCGAGTGGTGCCCAATGACCAAATGAACGCCAGGATCCCGAACGGAGTTGGGTCTGAAGCAACTATCCAGTCGCTTTATCAAGTAAACCGACCCTTGGCCCTCCAAATTGGACGTCCGGGATTGTTGGAAACTTTGACATTTACGGATGACGCAGAAATTCTGAACGAACCTCTTGGACCGAACGATCTTGAGATCGAGGTCAAAGCCTCTGCCATCAACTTCCGCGACATCGCTGCCAGCATGGGTATCATTGACGACTTCAAGCTTGGAGACGAATGCGCAGGAATTGTGCTGCGTAAGGGAAGCGACGTCTCCGGGGCATTTTCCATCGGAGACCGCGTTGTCGCCTGGCGTCCGGGACAAGGGGCTCACCGTACGGTGGTGCGTAATCCGTCTTGCCTCTGTTATCGTTTGGGCGAGATACCGTTCAGCATCGCCGCTGCAATTCCTCTGATCCTCACCACGGCCCATTACTCGCTGGTGGACACTGCACGTCTTCAGCCAGGAGAGACCGTTCTTATCCACTCTGCAGCCGGCGGAGTCGGTCAGATGGCGGTTCAGATTGCGCAAAACATTGGGGCAGAGATCATCGCGACCGTGGGCTCTCCCTCCAAACGTGACCTGCTCATATCTAAATATGGTCTCAATGAATCTCAGATCCTTTCTTCCCGCGATGACTCCTTCGTTCAAGGCGTTCACCGTTTGACTAACGGAAAGGGTGTGGATGTAGCTCTGAATTCTCTTGCCGGTCCTCTCTTGCATGCTACCTGGCAATCACTAGCGCCATTTGGACGATTCGTGGAGATTGGCAAACGAGATATCCATCAGAATAGCCGGATCCCGATGGATCCGTTCCGACGCAATGTCTCCTTCGCGAGTGTGGACATGATCACAGTGTTTGAGAGAAACCAGTCACTCGGAGCCCGAGTGTTCCAGGAGTGCTGTGGTTTAGTCCACGACGGCAAGATCCAGCCTCCGGAGCCTATCACAGAGCTATCCTATTCCCAGGCGCAGAAAGGATTCCGCATGCTGCAAATGGGTACCACGATTGGGAAGATTGTTCTAGTTCCTAGTGCCGACGACCGCGTTCTTGTCGAACCAACAAAATTCAGCCGTCGCCAGCTTTTCCTGCCAGACAAGACATATCTCCTTGTCGGTGGTCTTGGGGGCCTAGGGCGCCGCCTCAGCGAATGGCTGTTCCAACGGGGAGCCCGCAATGTGGCTTTCCTGGCTCGTTCTGGCGCTGACAAGAAAGATGCTCGTGAGACCGTGGACTGGCTCCGAGCACGAGACGTCAATGTGACCGTTTTCCGCGGCGATGTCACCAACGCTGCATTTGTCCAAGAGGCTGTAAACCAAATTGGAGCCTCACGCTTGGCCGGAGTCTTCCAAGCCGCCATGGTGTTGCAAGATGGACCTCTTGACAAAATGGGATTCACTCAATGGCAGCGTTGCATGGATCCAAAGGTCCGGGGCACGTTTAATCTACACTCGGCGACGTCAAGCATTGACCTCGCTTTCTTCGTCTGCTTTTCTTCCGTGTCAGCCATTCTCGGATCCAAGGGCCAGGCCAATTATTCCGCCGCCAATACCTATCTAGATGCACTTTGTGCCTACCGACGCAGCATCGGATTGGCAGGTACAACCATGAACGTGGGAATGATCACTGGTATTGGAGCTGTGTCCGAGGATGCCAAACTACAGACCATCATGGAGCGTATCGGTTACGACGCCGTCAACGAAGAGGAACTGTTTGCCCAGATCGAGGCAGCCGTTTCTGGCGAACGACTCAGTATTTCCGATGACCGCGGACGAGACGCTCACCAGATCATCACGGGGGTCAATCTTCGTCGTCCTGACTATTATTGGGCTACTGAGCCCCGATTCGTCAACCTGTACGCCAACCACGACTTCGCGGGTTCCGGTTCCGGTAGTGGAGCTCAGAAGAATCTGATGGCGCAGTTACAAGAGGCCTCGGATGAAGCCTCCCGCAACGAGATTCTCACTGAACGCTTCTTGGAGAAAATAGCAGCCGTGCTTTCAGTGGACCAGGCAACCCTGCAACCGAACCGAAGCTTGTCGGACTATGGGCTGGACAGTATCGTTGCCATTGAAATCCGCCAGTGGTTCTTCCAAACAGTCGCCGTTGAGATAGCCATGTTTGACGTCTTGAACAGTGGAAGCATCCAGGCTCTGGTCGACAAGGTCGCCGGCATGATTGTCCTGAGCACATCAGAGGCGCAAACAACCACCCAACAAGGGGAGACTGCTTCAACTCACGCGGCGGAGGCCTCTCGTGCGAGGTTACCTGAGGTCATCGGCGCATCTGGCGATGATGGGATACAATTAAGTGGAGACGTGGCTATGTCCACGTTCCAGCGCCGTTTATGGTTCGCACACAATATGGCGGAAGATGCGTCTTTCCTGAATCTACCTACCATTTTCCGCATCAAAGGCAACCCTCAACCAGACCTCCTGCGACGGGCCATCGAGGAGCTCAAACGTCGAAACGCAATTCTGCGCACTGCCTACTTTGAAGGAGATGTTTTCTCTCAGCAGGAAGTGACAGATGACTGCACAGTCGACCTGCCCGTGGTAGATCTCTCCAAAGCCATTAATATCGAGAACAGCCTTCAGCAGCACGTCGCCGGTATGAGGCAACGGGCACTGGATATTGAGACCGGCGAGGTCATGAAGGTGACACTGGCCAAATTGGCGGATGCCGAGTATGCGCTTGTGCTCATCTTCCATCACATATGTATCGACCGTGGCAGCAGTCAGTCATTCCTCGAGCAGATCACCGGCCTATATGACAGTCTGCGTCGAGAATCGAATCTTGACGCTGTGGCACAGCCCTCTGTCAGCTACACGCAATTCAGCCAGTGGCACAATGCCCAGCTGAAATCCAAGGAGATGGAATCGAGTGTACAGTTCTGGAGAGACGAGTACCAACAGCCCCCGATCCCAATGAAATTGTTACCGTTCGCCCAGGCGGCTCGACCCGAGTTCAACGATTACCAACGCCAGATCCACCGAGCAACGCTCAAGGATACTTTGCAGAGTCGGATGAAACGGATCTGCGCGCGGTTGGGCGCCACGCCAGCCCAGTTCTTAATGGCTGCTTTCCGGGTCTTCCTCTACCGATACGGACAGGAAGACGACATGACGCTTCATATGGTCGACGGAAATCGTCCCCATCCGGCGGTGAACGATACGCTGGGCTTCTTCGTGAATGTGGTGCCTGTTCGCTGCGCAGCAGACCTTACCGGTACTTTTGCCGATGTCCTCAAGCAAATCAAAGATCGAATCATGAGATCGTTGGCTCATTCGCAGCTGCCCTTTGACGCCATTGTGGATGCAGTGGGTCTGGAGCGCAACCCTGCGCATTTCCCTCTGGGTCAGGTTATTGTCAATTACCAAATTCACGGCACCATGCCGACCTACTCTGCTGGTGACTTTGACATTGTCGATGTGCAGGGTGAGGACATTCCAACCGCATGCGAATTAGGTCTAGAAGCACTGGAGGACCCGGCCAAGGGGCTCCATCTGCGTCTTGAATCATCCAGCACTCTGTACGGAGCAGCCGATATGGAGCGATTCCTCGATAATTTCGTGGCATTCATGAGTAGTGTCATCCGCGATCCCCGTCAGCCCGTGGCAGAGATCGGCATGGTCGGATCCAAGGAGTTGGCTTTTTTGAAGGAAAAATACTTCAACATGGCTCATACAGAAAACAATTGGAAAGACCAATCCGTGGCTAATCGTATCATGGACATGGCCCGGCAACATCCCACAGCCATCGCCATCGAGACCTCTGAGGATAATCGACTGCTCACCTACAGGGAATTAGTTGCCGCTGCCAGTCGTATAGCAGCAGCCATTCGCAACACGGGGATCCAATCCGGCTCCAGGGTTGGAGTCTTCAGCCGACCCGGGCGCGAGGCCATCACAGCTATGTTGGGCGTTCTGCTCGCCGGCTGCGGTTTTGTGACTTTGGATCCAGAGTTCGCCGTCGAGCGACTTGCGTTCATGATCAGCGATTCAAACCTCCCCTTAGTCCTTGCTGGATCTGAACTGGGAGAAAGCGCCAGGTCGCTCACGTCCAAAATCTCTGCGACCGTGCTGGACATTGCCAATGTACCGAGCATCGGCGATTCCATTGCCGACATTTCGGTTGTTTTAGAAAAGGACTTTCCTTTCTATGTCATCTACACCTCGGTAAGTTTGGGGAGGTCCAAGGTGAGAAGAGAGCAATAGACATGCTGATATTGGAACAGGGCAGCACTGGAACTCCTAAAGGAGTGATTCTCACCCAGTCGAACACGCAACAAATGCTAAGCACCCTTCACCATGACTTCAAGTTTACCGCACAGGATCGATTCCTGCACCACTCTTCAATCTCATTCGACTTGTCCATCGTACAGATCTTTTCGGCCCTGACAGCAGGAGCTCGTGTATGTGTGGCATCTAGCACCATTCGCAAGGATCCGGTGGCTTTGGCCGCATACATGGAAGTATCGCAGGTTTCGATCACCTACTTCACGCCAACTCAGTTTGCACTATTGATGGAGCATGCGACTGAAAAGCTTCAGAGCCTGCGGGATTATCGAATTGCCTACTTTGCCGGTGAGAGACTGCCCATCCGTGTCGCCCGGGCTTTCTACGATTTGGGCACTCCGGCCGTCGTATACAACACCTGGAGTCCCAGTGAACTAGTAGTTCAGACGACCCTTCAGCGTGTTGACCGGCCTTCCAAGAACGCCATCAGTATTCCCATCGGTTTCCCCATGGCCAATACTCGGCATTACATCTTGGATGACCGGGGCCAGCCTCTCCCCGGAGGCTTGGTTGGCGAAATTGTCGTCGGAGGCGCGCAAGTGGGCCTCGAATACATCAACCGCCCCGAGGCTAACGAAAAGGCCTTCCTCTCGGATCCATTTTGTTCGGCAGATGACAAGGAACAGCGCGGATGGACGCGCATGTTCCGAACGGGGGACCGCGGTCGGTTCCTTCCAGGGGGCAATCTCGAATTTCACGGCAGGATTGCGGGCGACAAGCAGATCAAGCTGCGTGGCTACCGAATCGACCTGGGAGAGGTAGAGCATCGTCTGTTCGTCGAGGCGAATAAGGATTCCACCGGGCCTGGGATCGTCGATTTGGCTGTGATCGCTCGGACGGTCTTAGCCGGCGACGGTGTCGGGGATGACCGTCAGCTCATCGCCTTCGTTGTGCCGAAGCTGCCCTTGGACCGACTACAAGAGGCAGAATTCGCTGTCCGACTGAACAAGTACGGAGCTAAGCATCTGAATGCGTACATGCTGCCCAACGCGTACCAGTTTCTGGACGCTTTGCCTGTCACTATTGGCGGCAAGATCGACAGACAAAAGCTCCTCCACGGTGAACTACGACTGACTTATCCCGTGAAACAAAGCCTTGTAAAGGAAGACCAAGATGCGAACGGGCACGCCGACGCAAAGGAGACGGACGGCTTCCTCACGGCAGTCATGGACGGCTTCCGCGAGGTGTTGAGACTCCCTCGGGAGCGCGTGTTCCTCCCCAGCGACAGCTTTTTTGCCCTTGGAGGAAATAGTATCCTGCTGGTTCGGCTGCAAGCTCGCCTCAAGCGGGCGCTCAAACGGCCACTCGCACTCAATCCCATGTTCAAGGCACCAACGCCGCAAGGCATTGCGCAAATCTTGGGCGGTGCGTCCAGCCCAGCCGCGACCGCTGCGACGAAGCCGGAGGTCGACTGGGAACAAGAGACCAGTCTAGACCTGCAGTTGCAGCCATCCAAAGCGCCAGGCATTGCTTCCTCCGACGTGAGCTCCATTCTCCTCACTGGGGCCGACTCCTTTATCGGCGTTCATATGCTCGCAACCATTCTGCAGGACCCCGGCATCTCTACCGTCTACCTTCTCGGGTCGCAGAGCCCCCTCGAATACTCCGACGTCGAAAGGGCGTTTGAGCTTTACCGGCTGTGGCAACTAGTACCCAGCCCTGAGCTCGTTGCATCTCGTATCGTCTGCGTGGCTGGAACGCTGGAATCCCCCCGTTTCGGTCTGTCGCCGGCGCAATTCCGCCGTCTGGGCTGTCGGGTGCAGGCCATCTACCACCTCGGAGGATATGTCTCCCTGCTGCGATCCTACGACGCGCTCCGGTCGTTGAATGTCTCGCCGGTGCGCGACGTGATCGAGCTGGCCAGCCTGGGAGCCGTGCAAACGCAAATCCATCACTTGTCGACCTGGTCCGTCCCTCACCTCCAAACTTGGTCCACGTCCCAACGCACCGCCCCCGAGAAGACGATCGCCAACGAAATTACGGCGGGACACTTCACGCCCGAGGCAAACAACCGATTCGGATATTTCAAATCGCGCTGGGTCGCCGAACGATTGATGGAGAGGGCCGCCGAACGCGGATTCCCCATCACGATATACCGGGCATCTGCCGCGACGGGTCATCGCACCACGGGAGTTCCGGAGCCCAAAGATGATTTCATCCGGACTATGATCCTGAGCATGGTGCGCGCCGCAGCGGTGCCGGACTTGCCGCAGACCGACCGGCCGTTCGTGGCCGACTTCATCCCGGTGGACTACCTGACGCAAGGGTTCCACGCGTTGGCGACGAGCGCAGTTCAACCCCCCCAGGCGATACTCAAGGAGGCAACCATCCATCACCTATGCAACCCGTCCCCGCTCCCAGTTTCCCATATTCCCGAAATTGCGGGCCGCCTGCTCGCACCAGCCGATCGCGAGGGCCGCATCATGCCCGTGGCGGAGTGGTTGGAAACAGTGTCTCGGTTGGATGATTCGTCGGACGCACAAGTTCGATGGGAGGTACTGAAGGAGTATTTTGCGCTGGGCCACAACATGTTCGCGTTGGATTCCGCTCAGACTCGGCAGAGCCTGGGTCGGTTGAGGGTGGACGAGTGCGCGCCGGTGAGCGAAGAGTATCTGCGGAACATGTTGGCGACCGAGACTGGACAAGCAGAGTGAGGACAATGAGCATGTACCATGAAGGAGAACCGGGGGGTAAGAGACTGGACTATTGGCTGGGCCAAAACAGCGGATAATATTTCTTGTTGGGGATCAAAGATTGTATGTATTTATCTCATGCATAGAGATCGCCAGCAGCTCCTGGCGGGGAGTCTGTTGGTACGAGCTTCTAGACTGGAAGAATAACATCGCATTTGCTTATCAAATTGTTCATTGGGGAAGATCTCATTGCGTATGTCTTATCGCGCTCGCGATGAATCAGATCTAGCCTGGTTTGGGGATATGCGACCGTGGGACGAGGAGGGATGAAGGAAAGATGAACTGAACCAAGACAAGGAAAACAATCGAGACCCGAGCGGAGCGGAAGAACCATCGGCCCGTTGGTCACGGAGGGTTGCATTTTGGCATTCTCGATTCGCGTGGAGGGAGAAAGGTCCGGGCTATGAGGATGTCTGCTCCAGTTGATCTTAGTACATTATGGCTCATCATAGCTGATTTTGTGTCGAGTAAATAGTCGCTCTGCAGCAATTCTTCGGCGTCGGTAAACAACCCGAGCCGAAGTATATATTTCGTCCGCGAATGACAGTCTTCAGAGAGGAACGACCGAAATATTATACTTCTCATACTTTCCTGATAATGGCAGCATGGCGGATTCATATAATCTAAGGATGCAAAAGACCGGCAAAAACGGTTGAGTGTAGTATCTTATAGCCTCATGCCATCCTAATTTGCTTGCGCCCCAATGGTATTTCTTACCAAAAAGTTTTTGATGCAGCATTGTACGAAACATCTAAACTACCTAGACACGTGTCTTGTATTGGAGATATTACGTTCTTCACTATTTCTACACAGGGCCGATAGTTCTTGGACTCGAGAGGTGTTCATACCTCGGCCGCGTTCGCTTGTCCAGCATGGCGATGCAGGGCGGAGGATGGAACAGATGACCGCGCCGCATGCGAACAAATCCCGCATACATCCCCCCGGCCATCGCGACAGCGACGCAGCTGATGGCGACAGGCCAGTGGAACTGATCGGGTCGAGAGAACAGGATGGTGGTGGCGTACGAACACAGCTCAAATGCATTCTGCCAGGCTGCCTCCACCGACGAGAAGCTGCCTCGGTAGGCTGGTTCCACCTCCTAGATAGTTTGTCACTGTCAGCGAGGATCTTGACCACCTTTCGCACACATCCCATGCTCACCTCTTGCACGATGATCTGCACCGAGAGATCTAAGCCCCACAGTCCGACGCGGCTTAGCATCGTCCCTCCCACCAGACTGGAAGCCGCCCAAATGGGCGACTCCGCGACCCAAAAGGCCGACACGGCCGCCGCCAGACAGCACAGCTGCCAACTGACAAACCAGATACCGCTCCGGATGGGGCCGATACGCGCCGTCACGGCCGGTGCAATCCACGTGGCGGAAATTTCAAATCCTACGGACACCGTCCGGGCGATGCTGATGGCCATGGAACTGTAGCCGGCCGACAGCAAGTAGGTGACCATTTGGCCGCCAAATGTCAAGACCGTGAAGTACAAAAGCGCTCCGGCGAACGACGGAAGCAAAGCTCGGTGCCCAAAGTAAAAGCGCAATTGTCGGAAAAACGCACGGATGGCCCCCGCGACCCGACTGATGATCGACGAGGGTCGTGGGGATGGGTCGGCATCGCTGTCGACGTCTCCGGAGGGCTGCCTCGGCTGCTGTAGATCAGACACTGTGTGGTAGACTTTAGCAATGGCGTAATATTCGACCGGGACCGATGCCATGTTCATGGCAAAGTTCACGATGATGGCAGTCTCAGTGGACAGGCCGTCGACCAGGCCGATGATTAACGGTCCGACCAACTTGCAGATGAGGTCGATGCGGCGCATCTGCGAATTGAGCGCTAGAAAGACAATCAGAACCAGAACGGCTTTGAAAAGCAAGTCTGGAGATTACGAGAAAGGTGTAATTTACCTCGAAGCGTGAGATCATCGCCTTGAGCAACGACCACAACCTAGGCAGTGTCAGTATGGCCCGGCCTCTCCTTCTACGCGGGGGACCGTACCCAGTCTTTTTCAACCGAGACCGTATTCATGACGGAACAAAGCTTTTCGACGCAAGCGAGCAGCGCCAAAAGTGTCAGCAGCCACGGCATCAACGCCCGCAGGCTCAGGTCCCCTCTTGCCAGGATCCAGAACACTGCGCAGGACGCGGCCACAACCACACGCTGAGCCACTGTGAGAGATCACGGGGTCAATCAATCGACGGCGAGAACAAAAGGTAACACTAGTCAATTTACCGATAGAAAACCGCACGACGGCCAGACGGTTTCCGGTGTCGATGTAATGTCCAACCGCCGGAGCCAAGAGGATGGCTGCGATCCCTCGCGCGAGCGCATAGACTGACATGGGCAGCAGAGTATTGGGAAAGATCGAGGCCAGGTACAAGATAGACCCGAACTCAAACACGCGAGAATTCCAGGTAGAAAGCAAATGCGAGATGTAGATTCGGCGTGTTACGGCCGATTGCGGACCAGCCACTGCCGACCCGCTGTCATTGCGATCGGAATCATGCTGGAGCAGCGGGCGTTCTGCTGTGTCGGGGTCCGGGTCCCCCGAGGGTAATGACATTCGGAATTGCAGTCTATGACACCCGAGCAATACCTCACGATGCTGGGAACAAGGAAGAGGAGGAAGGGAGGGAGCCCGACTGAGTCAAGGTCGCGTTCGAGGGTGTTTGCTTGGTTTGCATCCCACACACGTGACAGGCAGCAGGTGGCCTGATTCGGCAGGCCTCCAGGCGCGTTTCTCAGGCAAAACGGAATGAACATCGCCCACTCTCTACCTTCGAAGGAGCATCCCTACTAGTGAATTGAAATCAAACCATCTGACCAGAGGAACTGTCAACGGAAATGGATTCTCAACGAGACCATGCTACTACACTGTGTCCCACACACCTTTGACAGAAATCACGGCCCGACCGAGTCTTGTCTAACATGTCACTAAGGAAATTGAGTATTGCTCACTGCCTCCGGGGGAAAAGACGGACTTAGACCTTATGGCGACAGGCCGGTAAGCTCCGCTAACTCCGTCGACATAGGTAGTAGTATTGAGATGTTGTGAAGTTGGGATCGTTTAATTGTCAGCTCTTGGAGATCTGCTATAAGTACCGACTGGAATGCGTCTCCTGGGAACTCGAAGCAACCCTACAATCGTGTCAAGATCTCTTTCGCCTTCTGTCTAGCCATTTGTTCTCGAGGAATCCGCCCATCACCATGACTACCGCACCCAAGAAACAGCTCACCTGGTTCATCACCGGCTGCTCCTCCGGCTTCGGTCTATCCCTGGTGCGGTTTGCCCAAGCTGGCGGTCACCGAGTAATCGCCACGTCGCGCAGTCCCTCCCGGACGCCCGAGCTGGTGAAGGAAGTGGAGAGCAAGGGCGGAAAATGGATTTCGCTCGACGTCGATAGCCCCTCGAGCGGCAACGTGATCACAGAGCTAGAAGCCACGGGCGAAGAGATCGACGTGCTGGTCAACAACGCGGGCTTTTCAATCTTTGCCCCCGTCGAGACGACCAGCGAGGCAGAGGTGCGTGCGCAGATGGAAACCATGTACTTCGGTCCTTTGCGGCTGATCCGCGCGGTGCTGCCGCATATGCGGCGGCGTCGGTCCGGAATCGTCGTTAATATGAGCAGCGGTGCTTCGCTGGACGGACGAGAAACCATGGGGCCGTATGCAGGGGCTAAGGCGGGTCTCGACGGTAAATTGAATCACCTCTGCGACAGGCATGGGAGCTCATTGCTTGCTAGGTCTCACAAAAGTACTCGCTAAGGAGCTGGCGCCGTTCAACGTCCGGACCCTGACGGTGGTGCTGGGAACTTTCAACACAAACATGCCCAAGGCTGGCCTGATCGGAGAGACTCCTCTGCCCGAGGACTACCGCGGCACCATGGCGGGCCAGATGCTGCAGGTCTTTACGAGTGGCAATTTTAAGCCAAATGGGGATAAAGATAAAGCTATGAAGGCTCTGTACGAAGTAGTGGTTGGAGAGGGCGTGGGAGAAGGACACGAGGTCGAGCGATTGTTGCTGTTAGGCAGCGATATGCCTCCACGCGCCGAAGGCGTGCAGGAATACTTGGGACATGCGGTAGAGGTCTTTGGTGCTGTCGCTAAAGGGGTAAACTTGGACCAGTAGCTGCACTATCAACTCCTTACGACTCATGCAAAGCTTCCTTCAGTTTCGCACACAATTCCACCAAGGTGTGACCGGCCCACTCAAAGTCGCTCATCTCCAGATAGATCTGCCCACTCAGTCGAGTCCACCAGCGTTCTTGAAAAGGGAAGACGGGCAGGTAGGTCTGATAGTCCTCAATGAGCGTCTGTTGCATCCAGTCTGACACTGACACGCGGTGCCCCTTCCAGGGAAGAGTGACCGGCGATGAGGTGGATAGCTCAATGGGCAACAGCACTGTAGACATGCAGCAGTCCGTGTATGTGTTGGTCTTGTTGTCAAGCACCCGTGTCCCCAGTATATCAGCCACCAGCTTGCCTCCATCTTGCGCCAGCTGAGTGCAATAGCCCATGATCTTCTTTTCGCCTCCTCCGACCGTGCGCCGCCACTCAATGGCCGCGGGCACCGTGATGAACGGGATGGTATCGAGGGTCCCTACGAACTCAAAATTGCGCACAAACTCACTCTTTTCCGCCGCATTTGTCCCAGGCTGGTCGTCGGATGATGCCGACCGCGGCACGAACCCGATGCTAGTGGGCAGCGTGCTGCGTATCATCGCCTGGTTGCGCTCGGGCACGTAGAAGACGGCGCACGAGCGTGGAGTGAACAGCCACTTGTGACAGTTACTCACGAGAAAGTCGGGATCCAACTTCGCCAAGTTCAACTCAACGTGGCCAATACCATGGGCTCCGTCAATCAGACTCAGAACGCCCTCCTCGCGACAGACCGCGGTCAGCGCCTCGAAGGGCAGCCGCAACCCCGGGTTGGAGCAGACGGTATCGAAGATGGCGATGCGAGGGTTGCGACCTTCACGACGCGACGCCTGAATGGCAGCTCGAAAGGCCGCGACAAAGTCCTTGTCCTCGACGGGGTAATCCACGCGAACCTCCCTCGTGCGCACTCGACCCTCGGAGGCCTCGCAGACGTATTTGGTCGTACTGCCACAGGCGCTGTAGATCACGTCGAGTTGGATGATTTCGTCGTTGCCATCCGGGTTCCAGGCCAGGTTGCGCAGCACCGTATTGACGCCTGTCGTAGCGTTGACTACGTAGACGACGGTCGACACAGGCACCCCCAGGAAGTCAGCGACGGCGGCGCGAGATTCGTCCAACAGCAGCGGAAAGTCATATTTGATAAAGGGACATGGCCGTGCCTCCCATTTCAGCCGTAGATCCTCTGCCCTTTTTCGAATGGCAGACGGGGAGGTGCCGTAGGACCCTGGAGAGTCAGCCCTACAATCTAAATATCATCGAGGCGGGGTGGAAGGGAATAGGTATTGCGCCTACCGTGGTTAAGATTGCGATATCCGGGAGCAAATGAGAACAGCTTTCTCATTTCATGGCCGAAGGGGGGAGGATCGGTTTCCTGGGTGCGCGTCATCTTGGTAGATTGTAGAATCCGTGAGCGAGAAGGGGAAGGAAGGAAGGAAGGAATGGAGGGGCAAACAGCCGACGGCGAAGATCTCACGATAACAACGCAACGATCCAAGCCACCGACATCCTTCCACCCAATGAAGTCAGCATGAAACCGTGGAACGACGGCTCACTCCGCTTGTCTCGCAATGGAACCAATTAATTCACTGCCCGCGCGCTGCTTGGCAGTCTGGGGTAAAAAGTAAAAGTATCTCTTTAGGGCTGCTGGAGGGTTGCATCGTGGGATATCTTGCCTGGACACCTCCCCGTGGCATGGAGAATATGGGCTCGCTGTTCTAGCCTTATGAAGGTGACTTAGTCGACCGCTAGTTTTCTTCCCCGCCCCCTTGGTGAATGCATGTGCTGAGTTATACCGATATTATACCGAAGATCAATCCCATACGTTGGGGTTAGGTAATAGCAAAAACTACGCCGCCGACAAGAACACAAAAGAAGACAAAGAGAAATAGAGAAAAGGAAAGGCCACCATGTCGACCCTCGGCGATGACGCGAAACTACGCACTGATACGATCCACCTGGATACTCGTGTGGAGGAGGTCGACGCGGCCCAGAGGGAGAAGTACGCGCAGGAGCAGAAGAATGTCGGCACTTTACAACGTCGCTTGAAGTCGCGACATGTGCAGTTCCTGGCACTTTCCGGGGCCATCGGAACGGGGCTCTTTGTGGGCATGGGCCAGGTGCTGTCTCTGGCTGGTCCCTTGTCCGCCGTGTTGGCCTACGCGATCACCGGCTTCAATCTGTACGCCGTGATCAACAGTATGGGTGAGATGGCTGCTTGGCTGCCACTGCCCGGTGCCGTGCCAGTCTATGCTGCGCGGTTTGTGGACGAGGCGCTGGGGTTCACGCTGGGCTGGAATTACTGGTATCAGTTTGCCATCGGGGTTCCCATCGAGATCAGCGCGGCTGCACTGATCATTGAGTACTGGCCCAACGGCGTCGATCCCGCCGTGTGGATCACCATCCTGTACATCGCGATTTTCTTGCTTAACTGTCTCCCCGTGCGCGTTTACGGGGAGTTGGAATTCATTCTGGGGTCCATCAAGCTCCTCACTATTGTGGGCCTGATGATTCTCATGTTCATAATCACCCTTGGCGGCGGTCCCAACCACGATCGAATCGGGTTCCGATACTGGAAGGACCCCGGTCCCATGCAGGAGTATTTGAAGACCGGCGATCTCGGACGGTTTCTGGCCTTCTGGAAGGTCTTCATCCAGGCAACCTTCAGTTACGGTGGGAGCGAGATGGTTGTCGTGGCGGCGGGTGAAACAGAGAACCCGCGACGCAACATACCTAAGGCCGTACGCCGAGTCTTCTGGCGTATTGCTATCTTCTACGTTGGCAGTGTCTTCCTAGTTGGACTGTGCGTTTCGTCGCGCGATCAGCGTTTGCTGAATGCCATCAGCCATGGCGCCGAAGGGGCAGGCGCCAGTCCATTCGTCATCGCCATCTCCAACAGTGGCATCAAAGTGCTGCCCTCGATCATCAACGCCGTCATCCTCTCTTCAGCGCTGTCTGCCGGCAACTCGTTCTTCTACGCTTCGACACGAATCCTCTATTCTACCGCGCTGGACGGAAAGGCGCCGCGAATCCTGCGCTACGAGAAGTTTGGTGTCCCGTACGCCTGCGTGGGAGTTACCGCCGCTCTCAGCCTTCTCGTCTATCTCAACGTTTCGGCCAGCGCCGCGGAAGTCTTCTTCTGGATCAGCAATCTGAGCTCAGTCAGCACGCTGATCGTTTGGGCCTCCGTGGCCATCACCTACACGCGATTCTACGCGGGTCTGAAGCACCATGGCATCCCGCGGACAGACTTACCCTTCAAAACGCCTTTTCAGCCCTTTCTTGCCTACTTTGCCATCGCGTTCTCCACCATCGTTGCGTTCTTCAATGGCTTCGACGCCTTCTTTCCGGGCAAGTTCAGCGCCAAGACGTTTGTGCCGCCGTATATCGACATTCCTATTTTCGCAAGCTTGTTTCTAGGATATAAGATTGCCAAGCGTACTAAGTTCGTCAAGGTGCAGGACATGGATCTGTGGTCAGGCAAGGCAGAAGCTGATCAGTTGGAGGCATTATGGGAGGAGCCTCGGCCACGGAACTTCCTCGGTGAGTTACAGTTTCCGGCTCTCAGTGCTTTCCTGGCTAATGGCAACAGAGCGGATTTGGTTCTGGATTGCCTGAGTGGTCAGCTGAATAGGTTCAGGGCTGAGATTACATTGAGACCGCACGGATACGAAAGCAAGACCAAGCTTATATGTAATAGCGGTATGGAGAGGCTGCAAAACTTTCTATTAAAACCTAACTGAATAACTTATCACATCATGCGAGTACTAATACCGATTATGCTAAATCTTACACAGAGAAATGACATTATCATGTTGATTAAGCAGTCAGGGTATATCATTTAGGTCATTAATTCTATCTTATCACAGAGCATTCTTAATAGCACCATCGGAAATCCGGACTGTCCGGTCCATCGCGAAGCCTTTCTGTCGGGACGTCTTGCGCCCGTAGATTCAAGCCTTGCCTGGAGTTCCGGCGCTTGTTGTCCACCATCATCCACGAACCCAGCAGCAGGGTTAGGATAATTCCCGTCCCGCCGAACGCTGCCGTCGTGACGAGGGCGGGCATATACTTGGGCGCGTCCTGATTGCGGAAGATATTCGAGCTCACGACGCCCATTAGGTTGGCCATGGGGACGGCAATGCTAGTCAGCAGCATGCGACGACCTTCATTGGCAATGTTGTTGTTATACCACACGTCCAGAAGAACCGACGGTGCTGAAGTTCCCCAGGTCATCATGAACGAAGCAAAGTACGCAACCCCCAGTGCGGACTCGACATCGATGGAAGAATAGATCACGAAGCCGATAAACGTGAACAGGAAACCCAGCGCCACGAACGGGAACCGCCACCGGGTCCAATCGCTGCAGAAGGCGAGGATCAGCAGTACCACGGCACCGGAGACGTTCGGCGCCACAGTGTAGAGGTTGGTTTTCACGGTGCCGTACCCGAGTCGCTGAATAATTTGAGGCAGGAAGAGCTGCACGGACTGCAGAGGCACGCCGAGGCAAATTTGAATAGCGATAATGGCCCAGCTGGTGGGCTGCTTGAAGACTCGGAGGGCGTCGCGGATGTTTAGCTTCTCGTTCACCACGGCGGAACTGTCCACTTGCAATCGCAGGTGCGCCAGTTCTCGTTCTTCGAAGGAAAGGAAGGATGCCTCTGATGCTGACTGCGGCAGGTACCAGAAGGCAAAGATGGCGAAAAGTACGGTCCCGCCGCCTTCGATGAGGAATAGATAGCGCCATTCAGCCAAGGGTCCGGATTTGATTTGGAAGACGCCGAAAGCAAGCAGACCGGAAAATGCCGATGCAATGCTCTGTGCGGCATAGAAGATGGCCAGGCGCCGGGCTAGTTCTCCACGGCGGTAGAATCTGAGAATGTGGGTTAGACCGGTTCGTATGCAGGGAGTATGAAGAACAAGGGTACATACGTGGTGAGATAGTAAATGACCAGAGGGAAGAAAGCACTCTCGGCCATGCCCAGGAACCATCGGATGGCCAGCAGTCCGCTGAAATTGAAGACGGCCACCACCAGGATTGTGCATAGACCAAAGCCGAACATCATGCAGGGTAGCACCACGTTGGGGCCGTATTTCTTGCCCAGTATACCGAGGAAGGGAGCCGTTAGGACGTAGGGGATAAAGAAGATGCTAAGAATCAGATTGTATTGCCCTCCTTTGAGATTGAGGGTCTCTGGGGTACCAGTCAGCTTCTAACCCCACAAGATGCCACAAAGCCATAACGCAAGCAGGGCTGGATAGTACGCACCTTCTAACCCTGCCGTTTTGGCATTGCCTAGGTTGGATTTATCAAGACTGTTGAAGAGGTACATGATGGCCAGCACTGGCAGGATGCGCAGATCGAACTTCCAGACCAGAGATCGCTCGGCCCGCGAATCGATAACGGCGCCTAGGTCGGAGACATCTTGAATCTTGGACGCGGAAATCTCGTCCGACGTCTCGACAGGGATGGGTTTCGCGGGGTCCGGGGTAATAGTCGCCATTCTGGGCCGAGGAATGGTTGGTTGAGATACATGTTGCCCATGCCGGATCGAGGGACTACTATATATGAATTCTCAAGGCATCGTTGCCACTTCCTGCATAGCGAGCGATAAGACGAAGCCGAGTCTCAGCTAGGGCTTCGGACGATACCGTGACGAGAACCTCAGGCCGTTATCAGCCCGATTAGTCGACGGTTGTGTCATGTGTCGCCGTCGCCTGAATTGGCCTGATAAGGACGAGGCCTGATAAGCCTGATATCCAAGGCTCCGATCTCGTGCCGACCGCTTATGTCAGGCCGGTTTATACACATTTTGTGCAGTGCACTAACCTTGCATCCATATAAGACTACGTCTACTCCATGCCGAAGATTTGTCAATTGTGGTGAGAGCAGAGTGATCAGATCGTGTGAAGGGCCCATGAAACGGCGACTGACTTTCTGCCATTAATATTCATTACTATGGACCATATACCGTACCATGCTGCTCGCTCCACGGAGAACATTTCCCCTTCCCCGATCATCGGCCTTGGCGGGGGGGTTGTTTTACTCACTGATAAATAAAAGCAAGACAGCGCGCTTGACAAATTCCATTTGGTCTTCTAGAACACAATCTCCGCGGCTATCAAGTGGTCTGACCCTCGGATGGCTGGCGTTGGCCGTCTTTCCCCGGGAATAGATCAAGGATCGCTTGGCCCTGACTGGGGAAATCACTAAAATATTCAATTTTGGTGGATAATTGTGCTTATCTGGCGTCCGGGTCTCACGAGGAGGTGAACAGAATCGTCCTGCAGCACTTTGATAGATTAATTACTTCTCGCAGTCGTCCCCGTATCTCTGGGCTGTGATCGCCCATCTCGAAAACCTGGTGGAGCCGATACTTTAATATTGTCAAGACCGAAATGAAAAATGTGATAATCATTGATTATATACGAGAGAAATATATATAGAGAGAGAGAGAGAGAGAAAAGTAATATAACAGATTAAATAGAAATATGATTGTGGTCGGGAGGAGCATAGCCGAATTCCGGGCTAGGAGCCTTCTACGCAGACTTTCTAACAATGAGATCGGCAATCTTTTCAGCCAGCATATCTGTTACAACTGTTAGTACCGATTTTATGGGGCTCTGCATCACGAATGAACTTACAAACGGTGGATTGGGGATGGCCCGGGGGCAAAATGGGGAAGGAGCTGGCGTCAACAACCCTGAGTCCACTGACGCCATACACACGAGCCTGGCTATCGAGCACAGCCATCTCGTCGTTTTGGGTGCCCATTTTACAGGTGCAAGCCGGGTGCCACAGCGTCATGACGTGGTTGCGGATAAAATCGAGGATCTGCTCGTCCGAGCTGACTTTGTTGCCGGGGTAGTATTCCTCGCCAATAACAACGGGAGCCATGGCCTTGCTCTGGAACGCTTCACGCATGCGCTTGAACATAGCGATGGCGACCTGCTGATCAGATTCGGTGGCCAGCCAGTTGGGGTTGACCAAGGGGAGATCTGCGGTGTCGGCAGATTTCAGTGTGACGTTGCCGCGAGAGGTCGGAGCCACGAGGACACCCAACATCGAAGCATACTGCGAGCCATCCTGGGGCTGAGTGGTCAGGAGGTCGGAGAAGTTTCCGATGTAACCAGCTCCGGAAATATACTTTTTGATGGTCGTCAGTTTACATGCACAACTACGCGAGGGTAAGGGAAAGCGACACTGACCTCGGCCTCGGGCCAGTCCTTCGGGAACTGCTGCAAAGTCTTCTGCACCTGTGCCGAGAACGAGGAGCGCAGCTTGGCCGGGATCTTCTCCCATGCGAGAAAGTCGGCGATGGGATTGGTGAGAGGCCCCTTTTTGGTGACGACGGTGTTCAGGAATTGGCCGAGCAGGTAGAGCAGGTCGCGGGCAATCTTGGTGAACGTTGTGACGTTGACACGATAGCTGGGCCCGAAGAAAGGATGATCCCACATGTTCTGGCCGACACCGGGAAGGTTGGCAATGACCTCGATCTCATGCTCCTTGAGCGTGTCTGCAGGGCCGACTCCGGACACCATGAGCAGTTGGGGGGATTGGAATGCACCGGCAGATACAATCACTTCTTTGCTCGCCTTGAGAGTAGAAATCGCACCGAGGGGGCCTTTGATCTGTACGCCCGTTGCCTTCTTGTTCTTGTCGAAGACAATCTTCTTGGCCAACGTGTTCGCATGAATGTGCAGGGATCCAGGTGCCGATTTGAGGAACGACGACTCGGAGCTGCTGCGAGTTTGGTCGCTGGGGCGGATGGTTGACGAGCAATACTGCGAGCCCAACAGGGAGCCACCGTTGAAGTCCTGCACCTCTTCGATGCCGATTGCCTCCATGCCCAGTTTCATCCAGGTCGAGAAGGGCATGGCGTAGTTGGCATAGGAGACCTCCAGGGGGCCGCCCTTCTCTTCAAAGGCGGACTCGTCGTATTTGGCCGAGGCGTTGGGGAATCGGTAATCCGTGTTTGGTGGAGTGAAGTGCGTGCTGCGCTTGTAGAAGGGTAGTACCTCGTCGAAGGTGTAGCTGTTATCATCGACCGCATCCGCCCATTGCTGCATGGATTCGACGGTTGGTCTTGCGCGCGCGCGATATTAGTGGTGTGCCAAAACAGAAGCTCTGAAATCGAAGTCAAAACTCACCTTTGATAAATCATAAAGTTCAACGCCGACGACCCACCCAGCGTTTTACCACGCGCGAAATGAATGGCGCGATTGTTGGCTCCGGGGAAAGCCTCGGTGATGAACCCCCAGTCTATCGAAGACTTCACATCGGGACTGGAGCCCACGGGCAAAGCATCGGCGGCTGGAACAGCAGCAAAAGACTGCAACTCGTAATGTCCGCCAGCCTCCACCAGAGCAACTTTGAAGTCTTTCTCTGCCAGGCGAGTGGCAATCACATTGCCCCCAGTACCGCCGCCCACGACGACGTAATCGTACTCATTGATGCCCAGCAGGCCCTGGACACCCAGAATGGGGAGAGCGAGAGAGAGAATGGCCTTGCGCAGCATGGCGAGTTTCTACCCCGAGGCGCGTTCCTGGGATCTGGCAGCGGACAAGTAAATCAAGGGGGAGGGCATGCAGGAAGCTTGGCTGCGATCCCGAGGGCGCAAACCGCTCTTATAGTTTGGAGCATACCCCGTACATTCCCCTAGAAGGATGTCAGCGACATTCTTCAACCCTCTCGCACATGTTTCACGCCAAACGGACGCGTCGGGCAGGACCAGTTCAGGTGACGATCAACTAATGGGGCTACGAGTGTCGCATTGGACAATAATGGCTATTCTCCACAGGTATTGGGCAACAGACCTGAATCATGTCAGGAACCCCTGGTCGACCTTCCCAAGAAATCCACCCCAAAAATGGGATCGGCCCAATATTCGGGAGTATCGGGGTGGAGTTCATCGGCAGATCCGCACAGCCTTAATAACGCCTTGAAGCTGGAGGCCGGCCCAATTGACACTTAGGGATCCATGCGGTCTTGATTTTCAGCCTGTTCCATCTTGAAACGCCGACTGAACGCCGACCGAGGTTTAGACGGTCGCTTGGGAGTTGGGAGTTGGTTTGCCGCTCGATCTTGCCAAGTGATAGATCAGATTGGGTTATTATTGGGGATCGACCGGTGGACCCTGGGCCAGGCAGGACTTTTAATTGGGAAAGACCACTCCGTAGGAACTAGGAACTGCCTGCATGGCTGTGAAGTTGGACGTGACCGGGTTCATCTAAAAGAGACCCTGGATAACTACGAAAAAAGGAAGAGAAGGAAAGAGACGCGGCTGAGTCGCCACGTGACAAGCACGTGCCGTCGGTCTCCTTTTCCCCTTGGGATCTTCACTTGTCTCGGTTCGGATTCCCATTTCATTTCACAAATTTGGAATTTCCATCGGCTAATGATCCCTCTCTCTCTCCTCTAGATTGTTCTTATGCAAATTCACGTTTCATGGCCACTGGCATCCTCCCATCCCACCTATATCGTCGAGATTGATCGGCCAAACAGAATCGATTCCCCCATTATAGTGGTTGAAAACAATCCGCGATCGTGAGGGCAGCATGGATGACGCCGATGCCTCGCTCAACAATGAGAGGGCATTTGGGGCAAATGCGTGAAAGCTTCTAATAGCCACCAGTCATCAAGGAAACGGACGCACTACATCCTACCGAACCCTTTTCGTGAAGATTCCTTTCGTATAAGCAAGTCGAAACCCTGCTCTCTCGGCACTTCGCGCACTGCCGCTTCCAGCACTCGTCGTCATCGTGACCAGATCCAAGCCAAGTCGATGCGCTTCGAGCACCCGGGCACGAATGAGAGCGGCATGCACCCCTTTCCCACGATGTCGAGGGAGGCTGCTGTCCAAATACAGGTGCGCTACCCCTCCGTTGGGGGAGTCGATGACGGCCATGGCGGCGGTCCCGGCAATCTGGTGGTCGATCGTCGCGACATATAGATAGGTGTCGTCCCTGCCCGCTGCAAGGCGTGCAAGGAGTCGAAGAAGGTCCGGTGATCGGCCTCCATCTTCGAATCCCGCAACTGAAGCCTGAAGAAACTTTTCTGTCTCATGCTCGGTGACTCGGGATATAGTGACCCCGTCCTCCACTGCCGTGCGACGCTGTTGCGTGGCCACGTCGCCTGGGGAACACACATATGTAGTTAGGAAATGTCTAACGGCGTACCCACACGAGTTGAGAGATTGCAGTGCGGATGGATGTGCCAGCGCACAGAGGTGGATCTCAGGTTCGAGCCCGATGGGTTGGAGTAGAGTTTCAACGTCGCGCAAATCTTGTTCCTCGACCTTGTTGTCCATGCCGAGGCCGACTATCCGGTTCAACTTGCCCACAAATTCAGGAAGGGTCTTGATGGCGATTCCTCCTGCAATCGTTTGGATTTGGATATCGTTGGACGGGTAAAGCTGCCGACAAACCTCCGCCTGTCGCGCAACGTGTTTGGCCTCGATATGTTCATTTGTCTTGGCCACCTCTATTCCAGTGAAAAGAGGTGAAGCAGCCATTCTGTAAAGAACGAGCACTTGGTGTAGATGGCGTGGATTGTCTTGGATATCGGGGAACGCCCCCAATATAATGCTTTAAAATGGCGCCATCCGCCATGACTCATCCTCATCCTCTAATCGCCGGTCTGCACTTCTGGCCCCAGCTAAGCGCGTCGGGATGTCCATAGACGGGCGTTGAAAATCCAGTTTTCTCGATTACCTGAGAAAGACGCTGTTCAGCATGGCGATCGAGTAAACCTTGCCCTTGTCGCTATCAGCCCCCCTTGTGATGCATGGATCCTGGTGTGATTCCAGCAATTGATCTCCTTGTTTAGCCAAAACGGCCGACAATACGTGCACAACAGATCGCCTGATAAGGAATTGACTGCTGCAGCGCAGAGCCTCCAGCTGGGATTCCCGGAGCATGCAACGCCTCGCGAGACCTAAGTTCGTCGCAGCGCCAGTGATAAATCGCCAGAGCCAACGACATATGGTCGAAAGACCGAGAGAGCGAGGAATTAGTGAGAGCAGAAGCGACCGGGCGATTATCAAGTCTCTGCTTTCTCAAGAAATATTGAGGCTCAAGAAGTTCGTCTAGCCACTCTTCCCGATAGTCAGTCTGAAACCCAGGGAAATCATCATCCATGATTAATCGGTTCTGACCAATACCGGAAAACACGACGAAGATAACGATCGTCTACCTTACATATGCCTTGTACCCAAAATGTGCCCATCAGAAGACACCTGTTTGAGCAAGATTTTGTTCATAGGGTCACAGCAAGATGGGCCATATCGGTGTCGTATATCTTTTGGGGACTAATAGGCACGGCGTGCGGTGTGCAATGTTCAAATGCTGGCGGAATCAGATCTTCTTAAACCCCAGGCCATTGATCTAGTCCGTGCGCTAGGTACTTGGCAGTTATCATGTATGCGCCGAGCCATTTGTTACGAACATTGGGTTGTCTCAAGGGTAACTCTTCCGGCCTCATTACACGTTTCAGTAAGTTGGAGATGGACCTTGTGGTTGTGATCAGTGCCTCTGCTATTGAGTGAGACATCAACAATATCTGGAACCAGATTTCAGCATTTGATTCGCTTTCTAGAGGCCTCGACAGTATGCCTGGCTATTCCCTTCACCGAAATGAAAGATGGCCCGTGGATTTCGTCGAGCCAGACCTCCCAAGAAGCAACGCTACATGCTGAGGTCCTTATGTGGGTTCCTTGCTCTACATCGTAGTGACCTGGCGCCAAGTTGCTCGATACTTTGGGGTAGATGTTAGCTTATATTTTGAGATGGATATATGAGCAGGCATAAAGACTGGGATCCCGTCGTTCATCGATCATGCATCAGCTCCCATTCCCAAGCACTTTGTAACTCTACAAAAGTGCACCCGCACGACCCTGAACCTCGTTTACGACAACACTACCACAATTGACGCCGGCATTCATGGCTCTCACAGCAGCATGGATGGCATTAGCGGCTACTTGGTGGACTTTGACTGGAACGAGACTGCGGTCCCACCCACTTACCTACAGGACGCCTGACGGAGAGTTCGAATTTGAATAAAGGCTGGTGCTGGTCCAACTGCTACGCAAGTCAGCTATTGCCCCTCCGGTGCTGAAATGGTAGGAGTCTTCTGCTCAAGTATTTCTAGTCACCATTCCCTGCACCTGTGATACGAGCCCTCTCAGAATCATGCAGTACGGCTGAGCGAAGTTACAAGGATCTGCCTTAAGTTAGTGGAGGCTACACATTGTGGCACGGTGTCGCTGTGAAATTGGGGTATTACGGATGAGGTTGACGACATCATCTGCGAATGATGCTTGACCAACTTCGTTCCGTCAAGGTCAAAAGCATTCTGATATGTTCTATCTTTCTTCCCAGGATGGCTCTACCAGTAATGTTGATGATTCCTCACCCCACTCACTTCCCCACGCTAGACCGGTGCGGGATCAGAGCCTGAATGCCTAGGGCATCCGTCCAGCGATGGGGGTTGGTGTTTTTCGTGAAACATCACGCCATTGTTACGGCTTATGATTCCTGCATGGAGAAATCAGGATATCTGCCTGCTGCTACGTCATCCACAGGCGTTGACGCAGACTTGAGGGTCTTTTGCGGCAGCCGCGGTGTTAGCCCTATGTAACGACGCCTGCTTTCTCCCAGCCTACAGTAGGAATTGATATCCTACAAACTTCAATCGGTGATAAATGTCCCTCTGCTTTGCTTATGCATTTCGATTCAAATAGCGTGCTATAGTGCTGTCGCGTTACTGTCCTCCCCCGTGCTTGACTGAAATCTCTTACCTCTGCGTAGGCTTCATATGAAAGGACTTCTCCCCTCCGGCTAGCGCCAAGCCAGCAACTGCACCCCTGCCGAGGCGCTACTGGCACCAGATGAGGGGCATCGTCATTAAAAGTGAGATCGACCGTGTCGTAAGTCTCTGCGGTAGGGGACAAGCGGGGTAGCTGGACGAGTGCCGTCGTGGCAGGGAAGAAAGAGGTCGTGGCAGTATACGGATTGTATACTAAAGTGCGGACTTTACGCTCAACACCATCCCTATTGCCACCACCGCAGTATTGTAATTCTATAAGGTTCACAATACCGAGTTCTGGGCTTCAATTAGCCAATCATTCGCTCATAAGGGGGAGGACCATGACCTCACACCCAGGCCCCTATGAGCTAGGTGCATGGTGCACAGGCACAACCCTCAACACGGCCAATTATCCGCAGCTTCCAGGCACAACGATGGCCCTTTTGATCGAGGATGCTGCAGATGGAATCCACGCATACAATTGGCGCTGTTGAGTGCGTCAATATGCAGACCCCGCCGCTGGCAAAAGTTATAAGAAGCCTGAGGTGCGCCCAGAAAAAGCTGAACCAGGAACATTCGAACACAGTCCAGTGGAACGCCCCAAAGCAACATCTATACTTAACTTACCTCCATCCATACTTGGTTTCCCGGCTCCCTGAAGCCCCTATTCTTCCCAAAGCGCCAGTTACCCCAAAGCAGCATACTTCAGTAACCCAACGCACCTCACCCGGCCTTCCAATATGCCTACCCAAGTTGCCCCTCCTACCGACCTGTATCTCGGTCAAGCCCGTGCAAGCAGCAGCATCCAGCACTGCATGAAGATCTACGAGAAATGGGCCTCGACCTACAACGACGAAGTGGCCAACGAGGCCCAGAACTACGTTGCTCCTGTCCTCGCCGCCCAGGCTGCCCTGGAGTCGTCCACCACGGCCGCCGACGGCGTCATCCTAGACGCCGGCTGCGGCACCGGACTCGTGGGCCAGGCTCTTGCCCTCGGCGGCGCGAAGGTCATTGACGGAGCGGATCTGTCCCCGGCCATGCTCAAGGTGGCCCGACAGACAGGTGTGTATCGGAATCTGACCCAGGTTGATTTGACCCGCCGGATGGCCACGGAAGACAATACCTATGACATCGTGACCTGTGTGGGCACCTTCACGCTCGGTCACGTTGGCCCTGACCCAGCGTTGAGAGAGTTCATCCGGATTACCAAGAGCAACGGGATTGTCGTTGCCACGATCCTGGAGGAAATCTGGCAGTCCGGTGGGTTCAAGGATGAAGTGGAAAAGTTGGAAGCGGAAGGGATAGCCACTATTCTTGGTATGGAACTGATTGACTATGTCAAGGGACATGGGGATAAAGCCATGCTCGTGACTCTTCGGAAGTAGGGCAAATATGTTGATTGAAATCATGGGAGGTAACCTGGAATTAGCTTGGGTTTATTGCTGTATCTAAAGAAAGCTCTAGATTCAACACAGAGTTGATGATTTTCAAAGGAAAAACTAGAAGGGACCTGCGACATGCTGGGGGGTTGCCTGCATATATGACAGCCATAGATCGGACAGTTCCCAAGATTCGACGCAAAGTCAAATTAAGATTGGCCCTGTGTTAGATGGCCCTAGGAGTTATCCAAGACCAACTAACTCCGACTAACGGGCCTAGCTGCTCACTAGAGAAGGGGGGAACCGAATCTAGCGGGGCTGGACCTTTGGTTGTACTAATGTTTTAGTTGGTGGCTTTTGGGAAGATCCTAAGGGAATGAGACGGCAGATTTTACTCCGGACTACTATGAGCCTCTTAGCTCCTTTCAAGTGGCCTTCCTTTCTCCGGCGTTAGTGCCTGCCATCCGGATAACCGACCACGCCCGAGGCCCAACGGGTCTTGATCGAGCAGCGAGCCAGTCTCGATACAATCGGCCATCGTGTTGTTGGCTCCAAACCTCACTACCCACCGCAGCCAGTGCATAGAGGACTTGATCCGAATCATATCTGTACTTTATTCGTCGCAATCGAGAGTAATCGGAACCGTAGAATGCGTTCTGCCAGTCTGGCTCGTCGAACTTGCCCTCCTGTCGATATGCCTCGCCAATTTAAACTGAGTCAGTCTAGGATGGGAGTAATTGTACGGGTGACAAGCCTTTTTTCAGGCAGGGCTTGGTAACCGGTGAAACCGAAAGCCCTGTAAGCAGTGAAATGGTCAAAACAAGGCCTTTAAATGTAGACGTGGCAACTGTAGCACGAGGAGGGAAAGGTTACGCACCAAGCACCAAGGTGACGGCTGCATTGTGCAAAACGTGCTTCACCAAGTCGTTGGGAGTGTGTGCGTTGCGTGAGGCATTGACTGCGATACCAGAAACCACTGCCCGATCACTGTCGATCTTACGCATAGCGAAGGAGAATCCATGTGCGTAGTTGTCAATAACGGAATGCGGGATCTATCCATTGCTCATGATGAATTCGTTAATATTTAGGTTGAAATTCATGGCTCCAAAGCTTTCTTGGCAACTGAGGATCTGGTCAACCGAGCACCGTAACATGTTTAGCGGGGGCCACAGACGGATCAGAAGAAGGAACTATACTGGTCAAGTTGGGTCTTGACACGGCCGACTTCTCTAGGGTACATCTGTGGTAGGTGTGTTTACGTATAAGGGTGACACCAAACTAGGGTTACAGCACAATAGCTTAGAGGCATTAATCTCCAACCATAATAATTACATAGCATATATCAGTTTCATCAGATCATTGTACCGCCATCATACCGCAACCCCCGGTGACTGCGCCTTTAGCAACATATCCAAGGCCGTACTCCCGGCCTCATTGCTCGGTAGTGCTCCTAAGTCCTCCAAGCCAATGCCCATCGTTTGTGAACATGTACGACCGCCGGTCTGTAACTCAAATGTCTTTCCTGAGTTGCACTGCACAGTTGTTGACAGAGTTGACAGTGTGACGCCGCCACACCCATAAAGCATGTCCAACTCGATAGTTTCCAGTTGCGGAAACTGGCTTTGCATACTGCCCAGCACTGCCAGCCAGCCCGGGGAGAGCCCCGTGACGCCAGTCAAACCAATCCGGCGTAGACTCAATCGCGATTTGTATAGAATGCGTATTAAGCCGTCTGCCTGAATGGCCGTGAAGGCAAGTGTGATTCGTTCAAGTGTACTTGGTAGAGTCTCTGATCTACTAAGCTGAGCAAAGAATTCCATAGCCAGATCCCTAGGACCTAGACTGAGGTAGAGCTTTCGGAGGCTGGACGCATGGCAAATGGAGTCTAGAATAAAGGAATAATTGTATGGCGTGAGATCATGCTCTAGGTGGAGATTCTCCAGCTGGCCCCAAGCCGCGCGAAACCCAGGCTTGCCAAAAAGACATTTAGGTAATCGATTGGCGCTCATCGTCTCTGCGGTATAGTTTACTCCTTTGCCGTACCATAGTAGCTTTACCGGTAGACACGCGTCAGCCATGACATCGTACAGAATTGTGGCGACATCGTCCGGTTTCAGCTGCTGATCGTTGCTTGTCTCTTCTCGCGACTGATCACAGCATGCGATAGGGGAGATGATGAACGACCGACAGTGTGGCAGACGGTGTACCAAATCATCACGGAATCGTCGAATAATTGGCATATCAAGTGGACTCCGTAGATGTCCTGCCACGCTCCATTGCCATTGTATACTGCGGCCGAGATGGGGCTCGGGTGCCATCACGACCAGTCGCTGGACGTACTGGCACATAACGGGATTCTGGGCAATCGCATGTAGATGATTGAGTCCGTGTTCAGAGAAGTCGAAATATACTTCTGCATATCGCTGCGCGAAACGGTGAATTGTGCGATGGTATGTATGGCAGCAGGTTCCGACGAGGGCGGCCAGATCGGGAGTAGGGAGTTCGTCGCAGATCATTTCGATGATCTCGAGAGGAAGGGAGGATAAATGACTCTTGGTTCTAGGCATTTTCAATGTGTTGAGCATCGTTAATCGTGTAGGGAAATTGAACATTGAATGGGGGGACTGCGGGGAGCGCGAGGCCATTAAAGGGCTGATCCCCAGGGTCCCCGATGTACCTTGGAGGCATTCCACCCGGGTACATGGGAGCTCGTCAGAGTGACTAAGATGAGGGAGATCACGACTGATAAGCTTAACACCCGTTTAGTTCCTACTTAATCACCGTTGATCTGCGGGATGCCATGTCCGATAAGTTTAATCTGATCGTGCTCAATCTGATAACCCGGATGCGGCAATCGTGAAGCTTCTCGGGAATGAGAACCATCACCACTTCATAAGGGTCCAGGGTTCCGTTGATTACCAGCTGAACAATACACACAGCCAAATAAAGTTCATGTCTGTCTACAGTGCCTTGATCAAGATATTATTCCAGTTGAGATAAATGTGTCTGCAGTATGCCCTCCGGACAGCATAGTGTTGAACAGAAATATATATCTAGTAATCGACCAACACTTGGCTCTTAGGAATCAGAGATAGACTCTCACAGTGCAGGACTCGTGTTTAAGTTTTGTCGCAGGTTACAATTCTTTCCTTTTCCAAATTCAATACATTAGCAGTCCGTTAGCTGATGAGACTACTGCTAATCAATGCCTAGCCTGAAGTGTTATCTGCGCAGATAACCGATGAGGCATTATCGACCCCCGCGGAAGACTCGGTCGGACGAAAATTAATTAAAGGATTGCAGTAGCCCTGCACGGATCAATCCTTTGTGAGTCATATTGCAATTACTGATAGACAACGGACTGAATGTCAACAAACAAACAAACCCTCCCGCTAAGAAACAGACCAATGATCGAGATCCAACCATCATCGGGATCGAGGAATTGTCCAGATGAAGAGGGGAAAGTGCAGGACAGGCTGGTCGAGATTGAGCGGACAAAGTAGGGCTGCATGCAGGTGCTGCCACATCACACAAGCTCAATTACAGCTCAGCCCAGACTTTCTCCAACTCGAGCTCCTCTCGCGCTCTCTGCGCGAGTCCGCAGACACGGAAGAACGACTGCAGAAATTCATCATCCCCGCCAGTGACTGCGGCCATTCACGGGCGCTGGTGGGCCCGCTAGCTCAGCTTTGCGCCAAGAGACACTAAAGACAAGCAGCCAAGGCGCCATGAAGAGGGAAAATAGTGGAGAAGGTGCAGATGGTTTGGATCTGGGTACACAGTGTGCTACAGTGCTTACTCCGTACGGAGTGCTGCGGAGTGCTGCCGGGCAAAGAGAAGCTGCAAGTTAGCACCTTGTGCGGGATTTGCTGGCTGAGTGTAATGCTTCTGGACAAGGAGGAGACGAGACCGTCGGCCAACCTATCTGGCTAGCGCATCGATCTAAGAACGCAGCTGAAGCCCGCGGGTGGACATTATTATTCAGGAGATGCTTCGCGTCATCCCTACATTCATCTCACGCCCGTCAACCCTTGCGTCAAGAACGGGGTCACCCGTCCCACACCAAAAATAGTGATCTTATCTAAGACGCAGTGTACTGTCTTGAACGGACAGATTGTCCCAGTCTGCTTGGATTGAGATCTTCTAGGGGGCCCTGCAAAACGGCGACATCCGAGCTGAATCGGACATGTCACTCAATAGTCCAGGAACTAGTCGGATTGGCCACCGGGCACCACGGAAAGGCTGGACTGCTGAAGGCACATGGATTTAGGCTAGCTGCATATCTCCTCCTCCCTCGCATTCAAGGCCCAAGCAGGCAATTGATCGACGATCAGGGCTGCATTCGGTGGGTCGGCCTTGATTACAGGCCGCACCGACCAAAACATCGCCCGACTAGCGCGTCCACCATCGAAGGGAATGAATATTTAAACTGGGCACGGAATGGATGATTGACTTTTTCCCTTCCTCACGAATTCACACCGGTCTTTCTCGCCCGCCATGCGTGTCTTCGGTCTCGTTACCGTCGCTTTCGCGGCCTGGTCAGCTGCTCAGGAATGGGATCCCATGGTCTCTGCCAACGACAGCATCGTGCAGAAGCACATGCTCGCGCGATCCAACATGATCACGCTAGAGAAGCGTCAGCGGCAGGGTGGGTTGCCTATTTATTCCCATACCGTCATGCGTGATCGCTAATATACGCGGAACAGATTACGATTTCCGGCAGAACATGTCGTCCGTGGCGCGACAGGCCGACGCCCTGGTGAAGGCCATCCGTCAGGAGGAGATTGACGACTACTGGCGACACTACGCCGAGCTGCAGAACCATACCGACGAGCGCTTCGCCGGCATGATGTTCCCGCTGGCGCGCCCGTACATCGCCGACACCAAGTTGTGGCGCATCGTCAGGCGCATGCCCAAGGGCGCGCTGCTGCACGCGCATCTGACGGCCATGCTGCCCTTCGACGTGCTTCTGGAGACCGTGGTGAACACCGAAGGCATGGTGATCAGCGCCTCGCAGAGCCTCGATACCCCCGAGGGTCGCGAGAACGCCACGATCGCCTTCTCGCACGTGAACGAGACCCTGCCCGACAGCGCGGACATCACATCGGCCGACTACGTGCCCAACACGGATGTCCTGGTGACCGACGTCGTCAGCACTTTTCCCGGCGGCCAGGACGGCTTTTTCGCATTCGCCAAAACCAAGATGGCCGTGCAGCCCGAGAATTCCATCCAGCATGAGCTGGGTGTTGACGAGATCTGGCGCCGCTTCCAGGCCATGTTCGACCCGGCCGGTACGCTGCTGACTTACGAGCCCATCGTGCGTACCTTCTACCAGCGTCTTTTCGGCCGTCTCGCCGCGGACGGCATCAACTGGGTGGAGATACGCGCCGGTGGATCCAGTGGCAAGCTGGTGCATGAGGGCGACGAGGACCCGGACCCGGACCTCGACGTCTGGTGGACGGTGCTGCAAGAGGAACTGCAGAAGTTTAAGGACAGCGAGAACGGTCGCAATTTCTGGGGCGCGCGGGTGATCTGGTCCGACTGGCGCGGTGGCACTACAGCGGCGCTGAGCCGAAGCATGAAGATTGCGCTGGAGCGCAAGCTGAAGTTTCCCGAGCTGTTCAGCGGCTACGACGTGGTGGCGCAGGAGGATCTGGGCCGGACGCTGGCGGATTTGGCGCCGGAGCTGCTCTGGTTCCAGGAACAGGCAGCGAACTTGAATGTCTCGGTGCCCTTCTTCTTCCACGCAGGTGAGACGCTGGGTGATGGCAACTCGACCGACCTGAACCTGGTGGATGCCCTGGTGTTCGGCACTCGTCGCATCGGTCACGGCTTCTCGCTATACAAGCACCCTCACCTGATCGAGCAGGTGATTGAGAACGGCGTCATGGTGGAGGTGTGTCCCATCTCCAACGAGGTCCTACGTCTGGCGACAGACATCCTGCATCATCCCTTGCCGGCGATGATTGCGCATGGAGTGCCCACGGCCATCAGCAACGACGACCCGGCGATGCTGGGCCAGGACGCTGCCGGCGTAAGCTACGACTTTTACCAGGTGATTCAAGGATTTGACAATGTGGGACTGGCTGGCCTGGTGAGTAGATCTTCATCCTTACGAGTTAACCCGCACAGATGCTGATATGAAAACAGGGCGCTCTCGCACAGAACAGTATCCGGTGGTCGCACTTCGAGGACCAGTCGGACGATGAGTGGATCATTGACATCGACCAGGGCGAGAACGGCGATGGAATCAAGGCCCAGCGTCTGCAGCAGTGGAAGCAGGATTGGGAGGAGTTCTGCCAGTGGGTGGTCAGCGAGTTTGGATCGCAGGCACCATGATGAGACGAGACGAGACGAGATGTATGACGAAGCAAGTGACCCAAACCTATGTTTTGGTGTTATGTTTTTCTTAACTTAATTTTCTAATGCCAATTAACACCATTCAACATGATTAACGTGGAATCTTGTCAAGTGCCTTTCTGCGTATGTATTTAACGTTCCATAGATTAAATGTGTGTTGCAATTGTAGGTACACAATATGCACATGCCATTCTTTAAGAGAGCAATTGCCTTCAAATGTGAAGATTGTCGGGGGTGGATTCCATTCCAGCCGTAACAACTATTCTATATCCACAGACCTCGGCTCGGACACTCGGAAAAGAGGCCTTAACCATCCATCTCTAGGTCAGATAGGAATGCAAGGCGCTTCCGGAAACATCCTCATTAAACTCAGGATGTATGACTATCTTGTCTTTGCTCTGGGCAATGTCGGCACAATCAATCCCATTCGTGGTTGGGTATTTTCCTCGACATTCCAGGCGGATTGGCAGCCATGATTTCCCCGGCCCAGTGATCAATTGTGAAGGGTTGAGGTTAGACGAGGCGAAAATACGAGTGTCGGATACTGCGAGAATTAGGCACAGTGGCGAAAACAGGAGAAATCAAAATGAAGGCCAGTGGCATCTTGAGATTCGATTGTTGGTTCGGCGGAGTTGTCTTAGATTTAGCGCGGGGCCAAATTAGTTCTTTTTTTGTAGTTGACGGACAATCAGGGTCGAGGAAGAGAATTAGGAGTTAGGACATATTTAATAAAGGATTTCACTACATTCATATGAAGATGAAGAAAGAAACACCTTCTAATGCCGACGTTCTCATTTCTTCTTGATCTCCTTCTATTGCCTCCGGGCATCATCCGTATGTCAGGAACTGGTCGAAAGGAAAAGAAACGCTGGCATCGGTGGAGCACAGCCCCAAACTAATAGCTAGCTAGTTTGATAGTCCACAAAGACACCAATGAATTGATCCAAGATCCAGTCAAGACATTCATTTATAATCTTGGCCGCAGCCCTGTGCGTCACTCCGTCTCTCAATTTCTCGCCACAACCACCACCATGACAATCCCCGACAAAACGATGAATGAAAAAACAGACACTGAGAGGTCCGCTCAGGAACCCGCCAACCCTGAAATACTCAATCCTTTATTATTCCTGCTGGCAGCTCGCCGTGGAGTACGCAACGATGCACGCTTCGCCGAGACGGCCGTGTCGGACGACTACATCATGCGATATCAAGGCAAGTCCGGCGTGGAAGCCATCAGCACGAGACCTCTCTGGAAGAGGATTATTTTCTTTCTAGGCATCCTGCCCGCAAAGTAAGTTGGTTTGACTTGGATATCTGAAGTGGAAAGGTCACCAAGCTCACCGGAACAGATTCATGATAGTCTTTTGCATGTTCAACCTGGGTTACACGGCCACCGATATGATTGACCACAAGCCCGCATCCGAAGACCCAGAGTACAATCGCTCTAGGCTCTGGTCTCGAACACGGATAGGCGCTTACACTGCTCTTCTCACGACCTTTCTCCTGTTGGCAGCGAAGAGATACGCGAAATGCCTGGCCGCCGCCGCCACACCGCCGCAGTATGATCCCACGACTTACCAGTATCGACTAACCAGCGCCCTGGATCAACGCGGCATTGAATATCGCGAGATTGTTGCCGCCACACCAGATGACATGACTCGGTATTGGAAGGAGCAACAGGCGCTGTGCGAGCGGTTCCGGATAGTAGGGCTGGTGGACCCCGAGCAGGCCAACCACGTATACGATATCGTGGTGCGGTTTTACAACAACGGAGGCATTTATATGCAATTTCCAGCCGCAGATACGACGACAAGTCGGCCAGTGTTAGCCATGTCGGCGAATGAATCTTCTTGAGTTGCTGACTCGGGAGTTTCAGTTGACAGGAATGCGATTCAGAGGGTAGCGTATTGGGATCTTTGTGTCTGAATGGTATATTTAACGACTGGGGATTTCACTGCCATCGCTCGCGCGAACAGTATCTAGAGCTCGTACACAAGACACTCTTCAGATCTCACGTCGCCTTGACATAGTCGCTGCCAACCACACTCAATGCCCTGCGGTCCATCAACTCCGCTACCCCAGACGAGGCGCATGTCGGGAATTGCGATGTTGCGTTCATCTAGCCATTGTTCCCAGCGCTTGTTGACGGCGCTGAGATAGGCTTCTTGGCTGTCACTTTGCAGCAGGGTATCCTGCACCCCGGATGTGTTGTACTGAATTTTGCCCTCAGCCACCATTGAATTTCGCGATGCTTGCATTTCCTCGCTCGTGTAGACCTAACCCTATCAGCACCCATCGAAACAAAACATGAACTGAATATACCTTTTGTTTGCTCCCAACATGAATGATTACCCTCCTGCTGTTCTTCAGGCCCTCAGAATGCTTGATAACCTCGCACAGTCGATGCAAACTATCGTCTCTGCCCCCGAAATCCACAATCACCAATTTCTCCGGGTTGTGGTCAGCTAGCCAACCTGCTGATCTCTCCAGCTCATCATAAGAAACCGCACGTACGGGAAATCCCGCGATCGCTGCAGGTGAAACCAAGGGCCCCGGCGAGGAGCTCACAAGCAGATATCCTAGCGGCAAATTCGTCGACCGTCTGGCGAAATTGTATGTGAACGAGCGCGCTGTCTTAGTCGATGCGCCCAACGCGATCACCAGTGCCGACGAGAGATCAGCGTCCTCAGCCGTCCAGGGAAGTCCGGCGCTGACACCAAGCGGGTGAATCGGCTGCAGCGGATTCAGTACATACTCGCTCAGCAGATATCCGGCTCGCCAGATGCCATTGAAAACGCTCGACCAGCCCATCCGCTCCTTATCCTGCTCGTCCGTAACAAAGTAGCGATTGTACAGCGGCATCAGGACTTGTCGATGCGGACTAGTCTCGATCCATGTGCCGTCCAGTTGACCCGGAGTAAGGGTCAGATCAATCGGAGTATTAGCAGTGGGCCAGAACCCCCAAAGTCGCGTGCCTGGCCGAAGAGACGTCGTGCTTTCTAATACAATGCCGTATCCCCAGGCAGGCACGATTCCCCACGCCGACGGGTCGTTGTAGGGGGCAGGCGAATTTGATGGAATGGGGTAGGTGTCCCACCACTGAAGAACGTGGCCACCGCGCGCATAACTGAGATTGTTGGATGTCAGGCTTACTATCTGAGGTTTCACGCGGATGGACGAGGGAGGTAACGGGCCGAGCGCTTGGCTGAGGGAGACGGCGACATGCTCGGCGTTGTTGGATTTGGAGACGACGTGGATCTGCATGATGATTGATTCTAACTTAAGAGTATTCTGATTGTGCCCGGGAATAAGATGTTGATGAGTAGCTAGTTACTCAGAGCTATTATTACAAAGAAAGCGGGTCGAACCCTGTTGCTGACCAAGACATGGCTTTGTTATATCGGTGACTCATTGCAGGGGTTTGAATCCTTTGAATGAAAGAGCGTATGCTAGGCCTAACAAACTGAGAATGCTGAAGGTACGCCTCCACTAGAGCTCGGAGAACAAGTATCACCGGTCTTTTCAAACATTCAATACCTCCTCCGCAGTCGTGACTTTGATGTCGGGGAACCTGTGATCAAGGGCTTTATCTGGAAGAACAAAATATCCTCCAGTGGCCGCGACACGATGATGTAGAGTCTGAAAATCTTCGTACTTGACCATAAATTTGTCCCCTACTCCCATCAGCCGTTAACGTATCCCGATTACCTTTTGTACGCGCCTCGGGCGTCTCTGCAAGTTCCAAAACCTCATAAATCGACGCTGTCGCACCGACAAAACAACTGACACGCGGTCACTCCTCCAAATCCATCAGTCGAGCAACTAACCGACCCAGGTCCTGCGTTCTAATGAAGCTGACAAGCATCTCGCCGTGGCCAGGAATAACAGCCCACTTTCGCTGCACATTCACGGCATTCACCCATGGCTTGAATGACTCCACCAGTGCGGCAGACCATAGTAATCGAGAATCATACCATTTACAACGCGGGTATGCTCGAGACTAGTGGTTTCAATTACAAGAAGGGCATCAAATGCCCATTTTGCCGTGAGGATGTAGATGTGCCTAGGCATAGATTAGGACAGATAGTGAAAGCGAAGCGTCAGACAATTACTCTTCCTTGAATAGCATGTCGAACTCGCTGACGACAAATCGCCGCGTACATTTGGATCTATCTGCTGCTCGAATCAACTTGATTTGCTGTCACTCGACTCATCCGAGACCATCCCAAAAGGCGCAAATGATGGTGTCGATATTCGCGGCCTCGAAAGCCGAAGCGGTGGATTCAATGTGGTTGTAGTCTACTTGGAGGATTTTGAAGACGTCCCCATCGCCGGGTGCCTCATCCCATCAAATAGGTCTTTGAAGGGAACGGTGGAATTTACCTTGCGTGACAGCACAATCACCTGGCTTTTTCCATGCTCGATCAAAGCCTCTGCGATAGTTCACCCGACGCTGCCGGTTCCCCCTGCGACGGCGATGATTCCCATGTTATTTAATTGAGAGTAGGGTTAGTTGAAAACCGTAATCCAGTGTATGATTCAGTAGATGGAGTCTTCGCTTGGCATAAGCACTAGCAATGGTGATGATGGAAGACTGCAGGTGTGGCTCAAGTGATTCGCTCGGTCTTGGCCGGGACAGACCCTAGTATTTGGTGATCCTGCCGTGTGAGCTGAGTGCCTCTTGCGTTTATGGAGTCCTGCTCTCAGGTCCATGGTTGGTATTCGGGGCTATTGATAATAAGGGTCCCCCCCAACCGGTGCCCTTTGCGAGAATGACGTCTCCTTCTCTTTCTCTGATGTCCATGTTGCCTCACTTTTCGACTTCTGGTCACAATTTGACTGGGATGATGCAACAACAAGCCCATCATAACCAGAAACATCAATAGTCCGTCGAAAACATACAGCCAAACCTCTTTTGACTGGAGGGTACCGTCCGCCCCTTGCACGTACTCAATCACCCGAAAGACGGACCGAATCATGATCAATGTGCTCAATGTGCTCATAATGTACAGTACAAACAAGAAGCGCCTCCAAGGGGCTCGCAGATCAACGGACCGCTGTGTAGGATTATTCGGCATTCGAATGTGGAAGATCGCCGAGACGATAATAAACAACCCGAAGAAGACAATCTGTACTGCTAATCCTGCAATTATGATCCAGTTTCCCAGATCTTTTTGTCCTTGGTGTCTGCTTTCGCTAGGATGCCTCCGCCTGTTCTGATCAGTAGAGACAATCTGGGCCGTGAGAGGGAGACGTACCACCGCCTTGCGTAAGAAAAGAGATAACATCGCCCACAACGAATGTTCTCGTGATCCATCGGCCCCGGAGTATAGATCTCGAATCCCCCTCGACCCACTGGATCACCCGTCCCAGAACCATATAGATGGATGCCACGAAGAGCGCAGGGGCGACCAGCAGCAACAGCGTCTGCATGATATATGGACCTGTCTTCCAGTCAGGGGTCTCTCGACTGTTCAGTATCCGCCCGACATATCCGATCGTTTCGCCTGGTAAAGGTTAGCCTCCGTTCGAGGACAAGAAGATGCGAAACAAAAGGAAAGTCATACACAGGCCGCCGATAATAAAAGGTGTAAAATACCAAGTTCGTCGGGCAATAAAATAAATCAAATGCATGCTTGTCAAGACCCCAAAACAAGCAGTGGCAGCGACTGCGGCCGGGAATGAAGGATCATAGTGGTAGAGACGATATTCTCCTACTACCATGTTGACAGCATAAAACCGCGTTCGTGATTGAGAAAACGAGATCCATCATAAGCAAAGAGGTCGAATGGCGAGTCTTAAACACCTTCCAGAGCAATGAGGCTGGTGGTTACAACATTTCCGGTGCCTACCGCTATATCGTTCTCGTTCCCATGTCTCTTTTAGGGAAAGCGTGGCAAGTCTTGTCGCGATCTGGAGGTTTTACAGTCAAGCCTGCGGTGGACCCGCTAATTCAACGCCAGACCCAATAATCAGATGAAAGGATAGGCTCGGTTGTGGAGAAGTTGTTCTGCGTTCGCTCAATGGCGATTTTCGCTGCCCGATGCTTGGCCTGCAGCCGATGAGCCAGCTTGGTAGGTTGCCGGAGACTTCGAAAAACACCGCACATTGTGAGATATCGGACTGACGAACATGATCAAGATCAAGTATGAAGTGATTCACGCCACTATCGTGATCTGCCCTGGACATCTACGCTGTCGGCCTTTCGGTCCAATGTTGCAGCGATGTGAATATCCAACGGCGCCAATTTGCGGGGAAGCGCTGTTTCCCCGGATAATTGGGTGAATGGGCATAAAATTCTGCATAGTTTTTGCATCAATCAAGAATCTGTTCTTCCGGATGCCCGAGATCTGGAGTGAATTAACCGCTCCACCCCGTGTTGTAAATTGTGTTGTCAGCATTGATGTTCCCCATCATGATTCACACTCTCAACCATCGCATCCCAGTTGCATACTGCACTGGTCAGTACCCAGTTGCCACTGGAATCGATCATAATGAACGTGCTCCTTCTATCACTGGGATTACTCCTTCAGCCCTTTCGCGTATGTGGTGTTCCGGGTGTCTCGAAGCCCCTGGTCGATCTCGGATACTCGACCTACGAAGGACTTCGACTCGATGCTGGAGTCGACCAGTATCTCGGCATGCGCTATGCGGCACCGCCCTTGGGGAACATGAGATTCAGAGCACCCCAAGACCCACCCCGAACGGAGTCAGTTCAGACAGCATTCAAGGTAAGGGACCTAGAACTCAAGTCCACATCAAGACTAAAACCCTACAGCATGGCCCGATCTGCGTTGGTGCCGATCAAAACGTCACGGCAGGTGACAAGGAGGAAGATTGCCTGTTCGTGAATGTTTTCAGTCCGTCCAATGCAACAGCGACTTCTAAGCTCCCGGTTTGGGTCTTTATCCAAGGGGGAGGTTACGCTCAGAATTCTAATGCGAATTACAACGGAACCAAGGTCGTGCAACAGTCTGAACATGGAATCGTGCTTGTCACGCTGAACTACCGAGTCGGCGCCCTTGGATTCCTGGCAAGCGAACAGGTGAGGCAAGATGGGGATCTGAATGCCGGGCTTTTGGATCAACGGATGGCCTTGCAGTGGGTGCAGGAGCATATTCACAAGGTACAATTACCCGTGTTTTATTTTCAAGCCCGAATCCTTAGGATCTAATCGACTTTTATGAGGGTAGTTTGGCGGCGACCCGGACCACGTTGTCATTCACGGTTGTTCTGCTGGGGCCGGCTCGGTTTCCTATCACCTCACGGCGTACGGAGGAAGAGACGATCACTTGTTCGCCGGCGCGATCTTCCAGTCCCCGTTCTGGCCGACCCAGAAGACCGTCCCCGAGATGGAGTGGCAATTCGATCGCTTTGTGAAAGATGCCGGCTGTTTCGACGCGCCCGATGCACTGACCTGTCTCCGCTCTATCGACATCAACCAGATCCAGGCTGCAAATGTCGCGTCACCATTCCCCGGCACCACTGATACACCCCTTGTGCGCTGGTATTTCCTGCCTGTAGTGGATGACGACCTCATAGTCGACCGTCAGTACAATCTCTTCGAGCGAGGGCGATTTGTCAAGGTCCCGGTCATGGTTGGCGACAACACTAACGAAGGCTCATATTTCGCGTTTAATGCGTCCACCAAGGCTGAGGTTGCCCAGTTCTTCAAAAACTATTATTCGGAACTGAAGAAACACCAGCTAAAGACCATCAACGGTGTTTACGAAAAAGCGGCCATCTTGCCTTACCACGCCAAATACTTCTCGCTGGCATCCGCAGCATACGGCGATGCGACATTTGTCTGTCCGGGCAATCACATTGCCGCCTCTATCGCCAGCCATCTCTCCCCAGATCATGTATGGAACTACCGGGTCAACGTGCAAGACCCACCAAGCGTGGCGCAAGGACTAGGGGTTCCGCACACGATCGAAGTCCCGGCCATTTTTGGTCCGGGGTATACCGGCGGGCAATCTTCCTTCGAGACGGTCAACGCCGCGGTGGTCCCTGTGGTCATGAATTACTGGTTGAGCTTCGTTCAGTCGCTCGATCCGAATCCACACCGATACCACCGTGCACCGCAATGGCACTCCTGGGGTAGTGGAACTGGGAAGCGGATGCGACTGGAAACGAACAATACTGCGATGGAACGAGTTCCGCGGGATTCCACAAAGAAGTGTGAATTATGGCGTAACCTGGCACCTGTGATGCAGGTGTAAACCAAGCACAAGTTGATGTTGACGTGGGTGAGAATGGTTGAAGTTGATGGACGTTGAAGTTATTCTTCTTGTTGGTTCTTGGCTGTTGACCTAATGGGGATTAGCGCCGTCTGAGTCGGGATGCCTGAAGGAGACTTCCCGGAAATTCCCAATCAGGAAGGTGCTTTTTCTTTTTTTTCTTTGCTTTTTCGCTGGGGGAAGCAGAAGGTGACCGCAAAGGGAGGTACGGAGTAAAGCCAAGTCCATGATGTCAGTCACTATCGGTGGCTTTCGTGTTTGCTCTACTGACAGAATTTCACTCGGTTCCTGATACTTTGTCTCAAAGAATATATATACTTGCCGCTACTCAACTAGGCAAGTCCGGACACAAGCCATTGAAATCTATAAGGATATTGCTTACCAGAGGTCTATGATCTGTCCAAGTGTACTTTGATAGATGTTATCTCTACTCCAAGATGGCCTTCGACTAAACAACGGGAGGTTGTTCTTTATCATCTGCGCCATTCAAAAAGCTCAAGAAGCAATTCCAACCTACACATCATTAGTCCATGACCATGGATAGTAACTGAACAAAACAAGAAAAAGCCAGAGACAAGGCTAAGGGAGATGTGCATACCGATATTGAATACATTCACACTCAGCACTCGATACTGCAACGGGACAAGAGACAAGTTCAAGCCCTGCAAAACAGGCCAAATAGTCCAGTTCGTTCGCAGTGCCTCCCAGTACGTTCGCTGCAGTTTGTCCTTGGGATCACTTCCCTCCATGATAGACATACTGGACAGGAACACACCGATCATCGTGGGCGCACAGAGCAGCTGGTCGGCGGCGACTCGGGCAGCTAGCGTTCTGGGAACGGTGGAAAGCTGAATTTTGTTTTGGAGGAATTGAAACCATTTCGTAGCGATTGGACCAAATACAGCTATTCGAGCTGTTAGCTATTTCCATGCACAGAAAAGTCTCCATGGACTGACCTCCTCCATAGAACGCCATGCGCGCAGTACGTGTCATGTCATGGCGGGTAAGACCTTTCTTTTCTACTCCTTGCTGAGCCAGGCCATCGCCGACGGCAAAAAGACACTTGAAGCCAGAAAGATCAGCTTATCAGAAGAATTATAATGAGCCCACGCTAGGAACATACAGCCGTGGTTAGACTCTGCGTCAGAATCGGACGCTGCACGAGGCTTCTTTGGTACCTGTCGCTGTTAGCCGCGTCACAAGATAAACTACCATATTCCTACCAGCTGAACATTTTGGAATGAAGATAAATCCTGTGAGGTACCACCAAGAGGAATAATGCGTTTCTCGAGCTGCGAAGATTTTGCATTTGAAGGCTTTCAGGGGCCTCTGTGGACCATGTCGGGAGCGGCTCAATTAGGAAATCTAACCGCCGTTGAGGTTTCTGCACCAACAAAATGCCTTGAGGTATACCAAGAAAGTTATGCAAACTACACGTGCTACAATATAAATGGCAGACAATAACCGTCGAGACTAGAATAATATCAAAATGGCATCTATCAACAGCTATGCCATATGCAAGATGTGCGAGATGTGCGAGGTGCGAGTCTGCGACTCCGCGAGTTATGCGAATTATGCGAGAAATAAGAAAAAGTCGGTTACAATATGCGAGGGATTCTTTTAGAAAATTGGCATTCTAGTACTCGAGCAACAAGAACAACCTCCCCCAGCTCTAAACATGGGCGACACCAACCTGACATATCTCTCGAACTATTCTTACAGGTGGAAGCATCCTCCTCTTCATTCGGGAACAGCTCTTGTCCCCATTTGGTGTGCGGCCTACTTGAGACCGTCTGTAATCAAGGGACCTCATCATACAGGACAGCTTTAGCTAATGCCGGAACGAGTCACCGGACGACAAAGATTGTTCACCGAGTCTATTAAAACCTCAAATCCCACCCAATCTGAGGTCCAAGTCTGGGCAGCTCCTCCGCCACGCTTTCCACATCTTTGTCACTAAATAAAAGTCAGTCGAGTACACGAGAGATATGGGGAGTATACACAAACCCTCTTCCACTCAGACAGATAACAACATCTTGGTCTTTCCTCATTGTTTTGGCCAGCTCCATAGCGCCCCAGACGGCATGGGCACTTTCTAGCGCGGGTGTGATTCCCTCCAACTCACCGAGTACCTTGAATCCAGCGAGAGCTTGAGCATCGGTGACGGCAACAAACTTTGCGCGTCCTGAATCTTTCCAGGCGCTAAGCTCGGGTCTGTTCAGACAGTTAGCGAACTATCATTATAACACAAGGAAAAGGGGTCGACTCTACTCACCCAACGCCAGCATAGTCCAGACCAGCTGAGATGGAATGGGTGTCCTGAATCTGTCCGTGCTGATCCTGCAAGACATATGTCCTACTTCCGTGCAAGACCCCCTTGCTGCCGCCGGTTAGAGTAGCAGCATGCCTGTTTGAGTCAAGGCCGTCACCCCCGGCTTCAACCCCCAGAAGCTTCACACTGGGTTCCTCGATAAACGGATAAAACATTCCTAGAGCATTACTGCCTCCACCGATGCAAGCAACAACAGCATCCGGCAGTTTGTTCCGCTGTTCTAGCATTTGTGTCTTCGTCTCTTCTCCAATGATGGTCTGGAAAGTGCGGACGATCGTAGGGAAGGGGTGTGGACCAATTGCTGAACCAATGATGTGGAACGCAGTGTCGACCTTGGTGATCCAGACACGGAAACTCTCATTCACGGCGTCTCTGAGAGTTTTCGACCCTGCCTCAACAGGCACTACCTCGGCACCAAGCAGTTTGATCCTGAAAACGTTCAGTGCCTGTCTCCTAACATCCTCCTAAACAGCTGTTAGATATATAGTTGCGTCACCTTTTCAAGCACGTGGACTTACCGCTCCCATGAAGATCGTGCACTTCATGTTGAACTTTGCACAGACAGTGGCAGTTGCTACACCATGCATACCCGCACCGGTCTGAGCAATGATTTCAGTCTTACCCAAGCGACGAGCCAGAAGGATCTGTGCCAAAGCGCTGTTGATCTTGTGACTTCCAGTGTGATTCAAATCCTCACGCTTCAGCCAAATCGTGGCTCCGCCAACATGTTCAGTAAGGCGGTCCGCGACATGAAGATGTCCAGGTCGCCCAAGATAGGGGTAATAGGATCGGAATTCTGCCCAGAAGTCGGGGTCATTTCGAACTTTCTCAAAACCTTCCTCCAGCTCTGAAAGACATCTCATGAGTGATTCAGGGGCATACGAACCCCCGAACTCGCCAAAGCGCGCAGGAAACAGTTCTGGGTCTTCTCCCTCACCCTTCTCTACCACTATCTGATCAGGTAATTTTGAATGGTTGCCGTTTGTGTGATCGACGCCATTGGCTTTGACGGACCCATTGTTATGTACAGCACCGTTGGTTTGCTCAACTCCATTAGCAGGCACGGCACCGTTGGTATGAGATCCATTAGTATGGGCTCCATTAGTATGGGTTCCGTTGGTATGGGCTCCGTTGGTATGGGCTCCGTTGGTGTGCACGGTGCCATTAGTCTGCACGGCACCGTTTGGCTCGTGAGCCCCATTTGCCTCGCCATTGCTGGATTCTTGAGTTTCTTGATCCTTTGGCGAGTTTCTTCTGCCACATATCTTAGTGCAGTACTGTTCGGCAGCCTTGGCGCGCTCCCCTGGGGCGGCCCTAGATAAGGTTGTGATGATTTGACTGCCGATAACAACGCCGTCTGCGATGCTGGCGACACTCAAGAAGTGTTCTCTGGTGCTGACACCGAAGCCAACTGCTGCTGGGACGTCGCCCGAGTATTGCTTGATTCGCGCCAACAGTTCGGGTAGACCGGCACTTAGAGTACCAGTGGCACCGGTGACACCCATACGCGATACAACGTAGACAAACGAGTCTGCGAGCTTGCACAATAGCTTTAATCGGGTCTCGGTAGTGGCTGGAACAAAGTGTTAGAATCTAAGCAGGTCAGATGCGTAATGTGGGAAGGGCTTACAAGGAGCAATAAGCGGTACATATGATAGTCTGTATAAAATTGTCAGGGAGCAATCTCTATCGTCGGGGTATCATCACTCACCCGCCCTTCGCACAGAAATTTCTGAATTTAACCGCCTCGTGCGGAGGAAGATCCACGACAATGAAGCCGTTTACACCCGCCTCACGACAGTCATTCAACAACCGCTCCTCGCCATAGCTCAGTAGTGGGTTGTAGTAGCCCATTAATAAAAGTGGTGCTTTGAGACCCCTGTTCCGCGCTTCCTTCACCATTTCTAGGGTTGCTTCGATGGTGACATTATTCGCAAGCGCTACCTACAAAAAATGAGTGACCACAAAGACAACATAGAAGAATCAACGAACCGTGTTTGCGCTTTGGATCGTAGGCCCATCGGCGAAGGGATCCGTGAAAGGCTGGCAATGGAGTTAGAAAGATGGGTATCCACCAGACCGAAGTACTCACAACACCGAGTTCAATAATATCTGTGACAAGATTTAGAAAGGTATGTTAACTAGGTCAGCATATCGCATACCTGCACCACCCGCTTCCAAACCCAATATGATATCTACCGCTTCTTCAACAGTGGGATAGCCAGCTGTAACAAACGTCACGAAGGCAGGCTATATCATAAGTCAGCAATGGTTTCACGGTCCTCAGGTAAATCCACATAGCTTCCGCCTATCGAGGAACATACGCGGTTTTCTTCTTTGCACTGCGCAAAGGTCCTCTTGATAGCCTGCATCTTGAAAGAAAAAAAAGGAAAGAACGGATAAAGATGTCTGCTGCCGGATTCACTGGATTGGGAATTACTCGAGAGGTCAGAGACTCAGAGCTAGCGAGGTATTTATCCCATGTCTTGCGTATTAGTCAAGCAGAGGGGTATGCATCTACCATATCGATATTAAGTTAAGACATCCACGGAAATCCTTCTGTTTCTGAAGGATTCAATTGCTCCACCTGACTGCAGGACAGAGAGACGAGCTATACAATCATATCGCTTTATTGCCTCCGCGGGCCTGAGGGGCTTTAGGGGCTGCTTACGCGGCTTAGAACTAGAGATGTGAAGATACAGGCATACCAACTGCCAAGCAGATACTTCAGTAAGATCTCAACAGGGTAAAGTGATCAGGCGCCTAGCAATACGAGTTGAAGATGCTAAAAAAGGTATTCGGCTTTATCACTAAGGACTTGGTTGTCCTACAGGTCAACTTCCTGTTAGAACCACATGGTACACAGTAGGAGTAGCACTGGGTAGAAGTTGAGTTTATATTCAACTGACAGTTCTATACTTACTACTGGTTCAGCCTTGTCCAGGCCCATAGCATCAACATTCCTATAGCACGGCCCTGATAACTTACAGTGCATAGTCTGAAGGATCAGATAATAACATGCGGGGTAAGACACACTATGCCCCATAATACAATTGATAGGGGCTGGGATCAATCGTTGACTACTCAGTATGACAGTTATCTTTGACAGCGGAAATTGTTATCGATCTGGGCAAGACCCCAGAGTAAGTCTGTTGCCTGAAGTCGCCATATGAAACCACCGTTGAGGAGGTGTAGACAGTAGTTCGATCGCCACCCGGCGCCGTGTACATGGAATACAATCCTTGATGCCAGTTAGCCCTGGCCCTAACTACTGCGGCCAAAGCACTTTCCTCATTGAATTGCCAAGGGATTTGCTCAACACGAGGTAAGTGCTGCCCACAAGGATTGGTAGTTGTAAAGGTCTCCGATGAGATTATAGTGAAGCACGCGATCAGTACAGCCATCGTGATATGTGTCAAATTCATAGCCGTTTGGCGACGGACCTGCGAATGAAGACGTGTCAGATTCGATGCCAAGGCAGTCGGCTTCTGTCTGGATTCTCTCCGAAGAAACTTGGCGCGGGAAGAAGGCAATCTTCCTCTGTCCGGTTGAATATAGCGCCTGTTCCAAATTGGACGTTTGATCCCTGGAGGGTTACATTGACTCCACTTACTTGCAACGAGAGTGGCCAAACCATGCAATCATGTCGCGTTCCGGCCTGTATAGGCTTACGGGGCTTGTGCGGCTTATTGCTAGTACCAAATTAGTGTCTGGGGGGTTACATTCCTCCACAGACCTGCAGGGGGTTATGCTTTTTGGATCTGACTGTATTCCTGCACTGGAAGGAGTCTCGCAATAGTGAACACGAATGTTTCTCGCTTGCATCGTTCGCCAATTTTCTTCGCTCTCTGATTATCTAGAGGAATAATATGGAGTAGGATGGTGGCAAATGCAATGCGATAATGTCGCCTTCCGGCGCCCTGACGCTTACGGGACTGACGTGGCATATAACCGATGTTATTAGGGGTAAAATCACTAAAACGCAACAACAGACCGGGGTCCCTACGCCAGCGTCTGGACGTCGCCCGATTATGCTTGGCCTCCATTATCACCTTATTAGCGATTCGTATTTTCTCCCATGACTAAGACCGGGGAAAGAGAAGTTGACTGGTGGAGGAATTGCATGGCATCGGCGCTTCCGACGGGCGCCGTTCCCTAAACCGTGGTACAATCTCAGTTCCCTCGGTGCGAGATATTTATCTCATTTCTTACGTACTTCTTCTCGTTTTTTGTCGGATTGCGAACCTCTTCCCCAACCCACCCTTTGGTGTTGAACGAAAAAATGGAGTCGGAGAAAAATGGCGACTCGAGTCCAGCGATAACAACGCCTGCACCTGGCCACGACTCCAAAGTTCACACCTCTCCTGATGTTTCAGAGAAGAAGTTGTCCCAGAATGACGCTGAGCAAGCTCAACCACCGGCTCGGACAGAGGTAGAACCGCCCCCAGACGGCGGGTATGGCTGGGTCTGTGTGCTGTGTGTCTTTTTGGTCAATGCCCATACCTGGGGAATCAATAGTGTAGGGCCTCGTGGCTTCGCGACAATACTCGATCAGCTAATTCTCGTTATTCATAGTCCTATGGTGTATTTCTAGCGCATTATCTGGATACAAATACATTTCCAGGGGCATCAGACCTCGACTTCGCCTTCGTCGGAGGTCTTTCTCTCAGTTTGGCCCAATTCATCGCTCCAGTCGCAACGATCACCACTCGAGAATGGGGGACGAGAGCTAGCTTGGCGATAGGAATCACACTGCAAACTGCAGCGCTGTTAGGAGCGTCGTGGGCGACCGAGATTTGGCAATTGTTTCTAAGTCAGGCCGTGTGTTTCGGATTCGGGATGGGAATGCAATTTAGTGCGACTGTTGGCATCATCCCTCAATGGTTCAACCGCCGACGATCTCTTGCAAACGGAATAGGGACAGCAGGATCGGGAATTGGAGGCCTGATTTATTCGCTCGCCACGAGTGCCATCATCCAGAGATGGGGGACTGGCTGGGCTTTCCGAATCCTGGCTATAGTATCAGCTGCTGCCTGTGGCTTCTCCGCCGTTCTTATTAGGGATCGCAACCAGGCCATTGGAGCTGTCCAAATTGCCTTCCATACCAGTCTTTTGAAGCGACCGGAGTTCCTGCTTACGTTGGCCTGGGGCTGCTTCAGTGTGTTGGGCTATGTGGCCTTGCTTTTCTCCATCCCCAGCTACGCGAATACCGTCGGCCTTACCGCATCCCAAGGCTCGATTCTTGGTGCCATGTTCAACTTGGGAGGAGGTTTGGGTCGACCGGTTATAGGGTACGTCAGTGATGACTTTGGACGACTGAACACCGCACTCGCGTGTACCTTCCTAGCCGGCCTCTTCTCTTTTGTCATCTGGATCTTCGCCAAAAGCTTCGGCGTCCTCATCTTCTATGCACTGATCGGCGGCACCGTTTCCGCAACCTTCACGACTACCGTTGCTCCGGTGGGCGCCGAGGTGGTGGGATTGAAACTCCTACCATCTGCCTTGTCGATATTCTGGCTTTCGGTGGTCATACCGAGCACATTCGCCGAGCCGATCGCCCTTTGGTTGAGAACCGACAACGGGGCCAATTTTCTGCACGCCCAGATCTTCACTGGGTTTATGTTTATGGGAGGATCGATTTGCCTCTGGCTTGTGCGAGCATGGAAGATATCGGAGCTGGACAAAACGGGTGCGGACGCTGATCCTCTCAACGGGGAAGCCGAGGTCAGGCACGATGATGCCGTGCGTCGACAATCATTGGTGGCTAGGACGGTGAGCAGAGTTCCTAGCGTGACGAGAAAGGCAAAGGCTGCGAAGGGCTTGTTCACGTTAGCTAGGGTATAGCATTCAAAATGGTTGATAGCTTTTCTAATTTTGCGTCTGATGAAAAGCAGATACTCTGAAGTAGTCCGACCAGAGCTCCATGAAAGACTCAAATAAGCTTTGAACATCGGGGCCTTCTCCCGTTTCTTTGACATCAATGCCATACAGTAGATAGTCCGCGGAGATCTGTATTATGATAGCGTTGGGAGTATTGGGTCCTCGACACCATTCGGCGGCTGAGCTGCTGGCATTCCCGTTGTTGACTGGTGACTCACTAACCTTTGGTGATGAAGTATCACATTAACTGATAGCCATCAATATTCACACTAGTCGATCAGGGTGCTTGCCATACCTCCCGCGACTGGACGGGGGAAACAGGCACATATCAACCGGCACTAAAGAAACTCAGATGCGACCAAATTTGGGTGATACAGGGACCTTAGGGCTCGGAAGCGTTGAACGATTTAAGGAGTCGAGGAACATAGCCACAATTGCCGATCCCAAATCAACCAGATCGACAGCGCCAGCGACACGGCCAACCCTGAAACTACGGAGTAGGCTAGTAGGCTCAGTCTGTCATTTCGCCCAACAAGAGAACCGACGGTAGGTGGCCCATTGCGACTAACTGGTGATCGCGTTTGTCACCAGGATCAATTATTGGGTATCTAATGCGCCTGATCGCGCAAGGAATCCCCAGAGTCCTTTAACAGCTCCACAGCTGAGATTTGTCAGGGGCGAGTCCAAGGGATTTCACCGCATCGCACACAACGCGGAGAATATCTGAAATGTGTGTGTGTGTGTGTGTGTGTGTGTGTGTGTGTGTGTGTGTGATATTCCACCACCCTGTATTTCACCACCCATTTATCCCGGGGTCATCCATACGGCACATCCTCATGTGGCAATGCCTAGAGGATCATAATGACATATTGACAAGATACGCTTTGTTATTCCGGCCGTACCAAACGGAGTAGGGAATCGACTACTGGAACCAAGGATCAGGAAAAACGGGTCTCAGGAGCGGCTCGTAGATTGAGCTCTTTGTCCCTACCGCAAATAGCGATATTGAATTAGATTGCGCCCATAATCGGGTCCCTGCATTCTCGGAGCAAGCCGACAGAATGTCTTGCACGAGCGCGCAAATTAATGAAATCCAGGAATCCATCGGCTTCCTTGGCGAGAAAGGGGTCCTTTGTGTGCTCGGCTGCTCGAAAGTGATCTCGTGTTTTTATACGGCGGCTCCACATCGGCCCAACTCTGAAGTCGGGACCCCAGACCGGATTACACCCTTTCGGAGAAATCGCGGTTCAATGACTCCACTGTAGGGGTCGCCGCTATCCAGTTAGACTGCGATACCAGCTGTCTCACGTCGTTCGTGCCGTCAATCGGTTGACTATTGCCCAAACAATTCGGAATCATCCGGTCTAGAACGCAACTAGGGCTGGAGAGCTATTTTGAGCGTTCATTCCAGGTAGACCTCACGAGCCCCCGACCCTCGCAGGGACCAAAAGGCAAAAGATCGTCATCGATCTAGTTTTCGTTTTCAATCAAATCGACCTGCTCCACTGGCGCTAGATCCTGGAGGGGTGATGTTTCCACCGTACCCTAACTCAAATCTGCCATCGCCCCTAGGCCATGGGAAGAGCCAAGAGCAGGTACCGTGAAAGGGCAGCTGGAGACGGGAAAAGTGACGCGGCGATTGTTTTGTATCTCCTTTTTAAGCTTTTTCTCGATATGGTGGAGCGATATACGCATCCTTCTGTCCCAACAGGACGGATCTGGTGGAAGCTGTGGTGCGGTTATAGGGAAAGGGTCTTCCTCGGCGTTCAGATTCTTGGCCTTTCAATGATTTTTTGCACCTGTTTCGGCTCTGCTGTGAGCTGGTTGCGTTTGGATGCTTAACGTCCGGCAAAAGCAACTGGCTGCTAGGTTCACTATCGCCATACTCTCTGCTCGAGTTCTTCCAGCAACAACATCTTCACTCGATGGACCATGGCAGACCTCGGATTCTACAAGGACAACTCGTTTCTGGCGGAGCAATGGACGGAGTTTGGTGTCAGCGTGGCTATCATCTTTCTGCGACTAGGTGTTCGCCTGCGGATGGTTGGTGCCAGGGGGTTTCAAGGAGATGACTACTTGGCATTCCTAGTGAGCCTCCCAGGAGCAGAGATCAAATGTGCTTCTTCTAACATATTACTAGGCACTGGCACTCCTCACGATGGATGGCATCACAGTACACTTTTCATGTGTGTTGCCCAAACATCGACCCTGACAATACGCGCATACTAATGACTTGAAAGATACACGAGGCACCAATCTTGAAGTACCAGATGCTTTGCAAAACAAACTGTCGCCAGCAGCATACCGATCGGTTGTATCCGGCTCAAAGTTCGAACTGGCTGCCTGGTACTCATATACAGCCTTGATTTGGGTGATGAAGGGGAAGATGTTGTTCCTTTAGTGGGTTTCTTGTTACCCCCGGACTTTTTCATCGCTAATTAAGCTGGGGCATCCAGCAAGAGACTCACACTGGGTTTGTGGCAATCGAAAGCGATTAACTGGCTAGCTGTTCTGTGTGGCGCTACCTACGCCGCCGTCTTCCTGACTGTGACCTTGGGGTGTCGACCGTATGCGATTCACGAGGCCCGGTTGTCTGTACATCATGCTAACCACATGGCAGCATGTCCGATAATTGGAGAGTTTATCCTCCACCATCTCGTAAGTGCCTTGTTCAACTGGAGATGTTCCTATTACGTTAACCGTCTGCAGGCGAGTGTGGGCTCAAGATCCAGAATGTTATCGTGACCTGTATTCTCAACGTCTCGTCAGTATGCCTTAAGCCTGTACTCAAACTATAGCTAATAGAATGACAGTACCGACATAGCATTGTAAGAGCGACAATCAAGACGGCAGACTCTCTGTATGCATACGCTAAAACCTCCAGACTCTTCATTCCAATCCCGCTCCTATGGCGGGTCAAAACATCTCTATCACGGTAAAGCAAGTTCCACCCTCCGCAAGCCAGTACCTGACACCCAATCAACCAACAGCAAAATCGTGATCGCCATGTTCCTCAGCTCCGGCATTTTCGTCATCTCCGCATCCATCATCCGCACCGCCCTCACCCTCGGATCCGAACCGTCCACCATAACCGTCAACCGCTGGGGCATCCGCGAGACGGTCGTTGGAGTAGCGACCGTGAACCTCCCCATCCTCCGCCCGCTCTTCACCAAGAGATTCTGGACCACAGGAATGAACGGCAGCTCTAGCGCGAATAATTACTACGAGTACCACGCCAGCTCGGGGGCTTATAATCTGACATCGCGGTCCAGAAAAGGACAAAGGAATGACAGCACGACGGGGATCAATACAAGAAGTCAGGATGGAAAGGAAGACACGGGCGGAGTGTTCGTCAGCACGAGTTATAATGTGCAGGTCGAGAGTCGCGATACGCCTGAGGGAGAGCCCGTAGATGGACAGAGACTGGGGCTGAATCCGAGCAGTGTGTGGGAGATTGATAAGAAGTCGATGGTGTAGAGTTTTTTTTAGATACGGGGCTGTGAGTGGAGTTTCGGATACGCATATTTATTCTCAAGTGCATGATGCACAATTTGTGAAGGTCCCTTTCCGTTCAAAAAGCACAAGATCTTTGACCACCGCAAGAGTGATATAGACGTGCCGTCGCGAGATTCTAGCGTGTTCTCAGCTAATTCTATATCTATTGAGGGTGCTGAACGGCTGTGGCTGACAGCGGATTTCGCATGGCTTTTCTGGAGTGACACATGACGAAAGGGGCGTTATTGAGTTTTCACCAACTGCCGGGTGTATATGAGAGCAGGCCAGGCTTCGTTGAGTTGATTTACAATACGATGACTGTCTGTGAGAGATCAAAAGGTTACTGAATGTTAAGGTCACAGGAAGACAGTTGCCAGGGAAAGTAACATCATAAAAGCCACGGTTGAGAGATTACTACTTCGTCGTGATCAATGAATCAGCAGTCACATCGAGCTTCCTCTGTCTGAAAGCTCAAAGCCGATCGCAATGAAGAGCATGAAAGACCTCAGACGGGGGGAGGTTGACGATACATTCCTCTCCTAGCCGGAATTTAGATACCACCAATGATAGATGCTTAACCGATCTGTCCAGCATACCACGGCTTTCAATTCCACCTTTTCATGTTTCCTTGCCATCGACCGAGACTTACGTTGGTCCGGACAGGATTATGCCGAGGCAGCCGATTAGCCAGCACCGACGAGAAAAGTCGAAGGCGTCGAAGGCGGCGCCACGAACCGACAGCAAGCAGTTAGTCGACTGTAGCACGAAGACGAAAGCGGCGCAAGGAGTCTTTGACGTGTGCAACGCTAAGATTCAACGCGAGAAGACATCCAACAGAATTCAACTTGAACATCTGCAACCTTTTCCGTGCACGTTGTCAACGCATGAGACTAGATTAATCCCCGCAGAAATCTAAGAAATTACCATGTGATCATGTGAGCGATCTGGGCAATAGACCCACAGTCATCATCCAACGAACAAGAAACCCTATGAGAAGTCAACTGGGAGTCAGACCGCCCGAATTCAATCCAATCAAGCGCGCCAAATGCGGCCAGACAGACCTGTACTTGACGGCCCAGGCCGCCTGAGCACCGAAAAGCGTCTTGAAAGGAGCGCCACACCGAAAGAAGCAGCGAGGGTGACATGGAGAGAGACCCACGACGGTCGAAGATGACGCAAAGATAGGGCAGCTGCGCCACGTGATTGGCCGCCACCGCGCCGATCGCACTCGGCCAAGAAAGTTCAACGTTGCTTCGTATTGCTTTGTCGCACTTGGCGTGGCCTTGGAAGGGCTTGATTTTGAATCGCAGGTATGACTAGTCTCTAGTCTGTTCTCGCGTGGACCTCCACCTTTCTCCTCTTCCTGCGTTTGGAGAAGGATTCCCTCTAAATCCTAAGCCCGAGCCTGCGTTCCCCACGGGGTTCCGGGTTGGGGAAATGGTCCACTGATATTGACTTGTCGGTCAGAGCGCTGTTCCTTGGGCCCCATGGCAGACAGATCGGTCCAGGTTCTCTTTGATGTGTCCACCAGGTCAGATGTACAATGGTGACCCCCACACTCTTGTCATACCCATCTCACGGGCGACCGATACCCGCCAGCCTGGTCTACCCATACCCGTCATCATCTCACCCTCCAAACCCAGTTCATGAAAGCTGAGCAGGTCCTCAAGTCATAGCGACGGAAGTTACGGAACAGGATGGACATCCCCGCCAGTGGCTTACAGAATTATGCCTCGTTTCGGCCACATAGCCGGCATAGTGTATGCACCGGCAAACTCTAGCGTCGTATCCCAAGCTACCTCCCACCCCGAGAGCACGCCAGCTCGGTCGTGGGCGTCGCCGCTGAGTGGCTGCGGGCTGAACCTTGTCAGACGCCGTAGGACAAGTCTCGCCCGGTGTGACCTTATTCGAGGATTCGAGGGAATCCATGGATCCACTGCGTTGGAAACCGGAGAATGCGAGGCTGCGTCTCCGGACTCGTATAAGACGCAGGCACGACCCTGCGGGGTCGTTCATGTGGGGGTATAAACCTTTATATGAAAATGATTATACTGCTGGCCTTGAAACCACAAGTCGGTGAAAAGGTCCGGATTCCTGTCTTCCGATTCTTGTCCATTATCTAGACACACGGCGAGTCTCTTGGTCAACGAAGACGAGTTTTAGAGACCAGCCACCATGAAAGACGAACACACAATTTCGTCGACACACGATGAGAAAGTCGAGCGTGTTAGCGAAAGTCCGCCCCGTGCTGAACACGTCCACGATGCAAAAGAGCGCGACAGCATCTACGACATCGAAGGCCGATCCAGGACCCAGGTCACCGCTGTCTTTGAAAACCCTCTAGCCGGAATTCCACGGGAGCAGTTGTTTGAAGATGTCGATAGATTCTGTGATCAGTATGGGCTTCAGGAGTATCGAGAGGTCTTCCGTAAAGGGGCTCTGGTTTCGCAGAATCCGCACGCAGCCCAGGACCTTCCCGAGCTGAACGAGGAAGAAAAGAAATTCCTAGAGCGTGAAGTCACCCACAAATGGTCTCAACCGTGGCAGCTTTATTTTATGGCCTGTAAGTGCCATCCCTTTTTCTTTTGTCATCGGGAGCAAGCTAAACGTGTCGACAGCCATGTGTTCGCTCGCTGCCGCGGTGCAGGGAATGGATGAAACGGTCAATAACGGCGCACAGGCTATCTATCTCACTGTAAGCCTGATAGCGCCGTGCCTTAAACTCCGGTACTAATGGATTCTAAGGAACTTGGCATCAAAAGCGACCGTTTCTCCGAGCAGATGCAAAACTACCTCACCGGACTGGTAGTAGGTGCACCGTATCTGGCTTGTGCTATCCTAGGGTGCTGGCTCACGGAGCCGATGAACCGCTATCTCGCCCGGCGCGGAACGATCTTCGTCTCGTGTTTCATAGCGGCAGTAGCCTCGATCTGGGAAGGCGTGGCCAATTCATGGGTCAACCTCTTCATCGCTCGCTTCGTTCTGGGCCTGGGGATCGGCTCCAAGTCGTCAACCGTGCCAGTCTACGCGGCAGAGTGTTCCCCGGCACCCATCCGTGGCGCCCTGGTCATGATGTGGCAGATGTGGACGGCATTCGGCATTATGCTCGGAAATATCATGGGCGTGGCTTTCATGGGCCTGCCGAACGATCTCTCCTGGCGACTGATGCTCGGGTCGACCGTCGTACTGCCCATCTTTGTCTGCGCTCAAGTCTACCTCTGCCCCGAGTCGCCTCGATGGCTAATCGAGCATAACAAGATCCACAAGGCGTTTGACGCGTTCCGGACCCTCCGACCGTCGGAGCTCCAGGCCGCCCGCGATCTATACTACGCCTACGTGGGTGTCGAGCTGGAGCGCAAGGTCAACAAGGGGAAGAACTTCTTCACCATGTTCTTGGAGCTCTTCACAGTGCCTCGAAACCGACGAGCAACTCTCGCCAGCTGGATCGTCATGTTCCTGCAGCAGGTCAGTCACCATATATCCCCTTGAGCATACCCCAATCCACCTAACACAATCCTCTAGTTCTGCGGCGTCAACGTAATCGCCTACTACTCAACCACCATCTTCACCGACTCAGGCTACACCATCCAGCAAGCCCTCCTCGCATCCATGGGCACCGGGATCCTAAACTGGGTCTTCGCGCTCCCCGCCTTCTTCACAATCGACACATGGGGCCGCCGTAACCTCCTCCTATTCACATTCCCGTTCCTCGCGATCTGCCTCTTCTGGGCCGGCTTCTCCTTCTGGATCGAAGAAGACATCGCGCACAGCAAGAAGCGAGTCGCGATGGTCACGACAGGCATGTACCTATTCGAGGTCTTCTACTCGCCAGGCGAAGGACCCGTCCCGTTCACCTACTCCGCAGAGGCGTTCCCCCTACACGTCCGAGAAGTCGGCATGTCATGGGCGACGGCCACGACGTGGTGTTTCAACTTCATCCTCTCGTTTTCATGGGAACCACTGAAAGCCGCGTTTAAGCCACAGGGAGCGTTTGCGTGGTATGCGGCATGGTGTCTCATCGGATGGGTGTTGGTGTTGTTGTTTGTGCCCGAGACGAAGTGTACGTTTTCCCTTCTGTCTTTCCCCCCTGGTCCGGTTGGGTTTGTGAAAGATGTAGCTAACGATGTGTAGCGCTTACTTTGGAAGAGCTCGATCAGGTGTTCTCGGTCCCCACACGCAAGCACGCCATGTATCAGCTCAAGAACGCCGTCTGGCATTTCCGGGTGTGGGTTCTGCGGCAGAAACTGGAGCCGATGCCCAAGTTGTATAAGACGGCGGGACATTTGACGGGGGCGGTGGAGGAGTAAGAGGACAGTATGATCAGGTGAATAATCCGCTTGAGTGGATCTGGAGTCTGGTCTTCGCGGGTATAATATCACGCAGATGTGATGCTTTCAGTCAATATCCTTGAAGTGTAGGTCAGAAGGTACCGAACAGATGTGTAAATGCCATTACGTATAAACTAGAAACGTCTAGGTACCACCAACAGGATATCAAACAGATTGAAAATGCAATCACCGCTATGCAAATCGCCAAACAACCTCCAACACCCGTGGCTTGAGATTCAACTCCGGCGGCGGGTCATCCACGTATAGCTGCCGCACGCGTCCGCCCTCGTTCACGGCGCTGCGCATGCGGAAGGAAACCTTATCGGCGTCCTTGGGACGCAGCGGCCCGAGGCTAAAGGCGAATCCCTCGTCGCGGGCCCAGTCACTCTCGTCGAACGTCTGCTCCATGGAGATCATGTCGTCCATCGGTTCGGAGTATTTGATGACGGAGAACCCGTTCACGAAGAATGAGTCCTTAGAGATGCGCCATCGTCGCAGTTGGCAGTCATCACCGCAGATGGCGGCGACCTTGTGCATAGCGACCACGTCGACGTCGAACCACGACTTCCAGTGATGGAGAGACAGAGGCAGGGGCCGGCCGGCCTCGAAGAACCCGGAGACGTCGTCGCGCATGTCCAGCTGGAACAGCCCGCGGTCCCAGGTGAGTTTTGTATTGGTGTGGTGGTAGATACAGCGAGCCACCCGCTTATCGCCCATGTCCTTATATTCATAACAGTCGTCAAACACCTGATCAATATCCTCCAGCAAGGGCATCGACAGGAAGACCCCTGCGCCTCCGTAGGCCATGTACGAGAAGGTGCCCATCTGCGCGAAGTTCTCGGTCGGAGCACCAATGTAGTAAGGTTTAGAAGAGTCGTAGGTAGCGAGCTTCTTGACGAGGTTGGCCATAGACGGGAAAAAGGTATCGTCGTCGATGATCACGCCCCAGCGGGTATTCTCGTCGCGGTTCCGCAGCAAGACCCGAGTCAAGGAAAAGTATCGGTCGAGGAGTTCCTCGGAGGAGGGGAGGATGGTGAGATCGATCTCCATCGCAGTCGCTCGCTTCAAGACCTTTGCCTTCTCGCTGGAGGAGACGTTGTCGACCAGGGCGAAGATGCGACACTTGGTGCCTCCGGCCCAGACGGCAAAGGCTTCCAACGAGTCATTCAATCGTTCCAGGGAGGTCGCGACGCCGACAACGAGATGCGAGGCATCCACGCGCGGCGGCGGCACCGGCACCTTGATGGAGACGGTCGGAGCACATTGTTCTCGCGGTAGGACCCTGCGAGCCTCCTCTGTAGCGTCCACTTTCACGGTCTGCCAGGTCGGAAGGGGTACGGCCAGCGTATCGTCGAAACCGCGGAAGTCGGACGAGGGGACGGCCACGATCTCCCAGCGGGCATACTCTACGGATGAGTCGAAGCCGTAGGAGCGCAGACGATCAAGATCCAGGTCGCAGGCGGCATGGTCGGTCGCGGGCGGAGGAATTGGAGATGAAGGGACGGAGAGGTCGTCGTGGTGGCGGACGCTGGGAAGACAGTAGAAGAGCCAGGCTAAGAGGAGGATGGTAGCGACGACATATCTCACTGGATGGCGGAATCGAACGACACGACGAGGTTGCATGTTGTACCGGACATAGTAGCACAACAAGAAGATCAGACCAGAAGAGATCGGAAGCACGACGGAGGAAAAGAAGGAAAGCTGGAAAGATTAACACCTGGCGGGACCCGTGATCGGCTGCCCGGCCTGAGGCAGCCCTGATTGGCGCCGAGCCGTCAGGGCGCCCCACGGGAAACGCGCGGCGCCGCGCGGGAGGCGCCCACGGTAGGGCTGTTTCTCTTCCATTTAATTGTTTATTCCGTGAGATATAATATGCATTATCAGCAGAAATTACCATAACTCAATCGGTACTATTCTGTCCATCTTACTCTGTCCCTGCATCTATCTCATACTTCATTCTTCCAGAGTACGTCTATTTACTATGGACAGGAAATAAAGTCCCGGCGGTCCCATTCTGGCCCCCTCCCAGCCGGTCTAGACTCCAGCTAGAACCGGACGCCCCACTCCACTTGCGTCATTCCTCACTTCTGCTATAATAAACAACGGATTAACGATGTATGTATTCCCACCAAATTGATAGATATGCCTGTAGAACGCATGCTACTAAATATATATTCCCGGAGCAGGGGATAACAGACATATTTACCCAAGCTGCGAGGGCAATAAGCAGGGTTATCCTAAATTCAGCCTCTCTATCCCTTGCGTCCAACTTTCGGCGTGTCCGGATACGCTTCCCAGGTACACTCGTACGGATCTTCTCGGGAAGGTGTGCCGACCTGGGTAGCCATGTATAGTTCTACGATCTTGAAACCCATTGCAAGGAACTCTGACCTGGCAAATACCCTATTATTGAAGCCTTTACCGGAGTGACCTAAAGGGAATAAACACCAAGCAGCAGAAATCGGGAAATGATCCGCGAGTTCCTACTGCCGAGATTATGCTGTTGGTTCATCTCAGCACCGGTCGTCTATCGCAGGCAACATGATTCAGAATCATCCAGACAATGACTCTAACCCTCAAACAACGCAGAGACGGGAATGAAGTGTATGACCTTAAAGTGGTTGAAGATTACCTCGGGTTGCGACATTAGCGAGGTACCCTTGAACCAACATTATCGCAAGGATATTTGTCATGTACAATCAAACCACAGAGCCGGTTCCAGACAGCGTCGTATAACGGGTTGTTCTAATGTGTGGCACGCGATAACAATTGCTCATTGGACTGTCGAGGCTGATTTATCAGGTCGTTCGGGATGTTTTTATCACGAACAGTAAGCGGAGTTCTTTTATAAACATTGACAGATTTCACCCATCCAACCCCAACTCGACAGACGTGACCAATCTATTCCAGGCGAACTCATGTCCGTTTATACTCTTCTGCACGATGCAGAAGCTTCAGCCTATACCTCCGCAAACCCAGAGCCCTTCCGCATACTCAGCAAGCACCTTCTCTTCCCCAACTTCGACGAACATGAATGGTGGCATAAGTCCGGCCCGATGTTGGCCAGGATGCTCTCCGCTGCCAACTACGACGTCCACCAACAGTACAAATATCTGCTGCTCTATGCCCTCCACGTCGTGCCGATGATTGGCCCCTTCCCGTGCCCAGACCGGCCTCAGCTCTACAGAAGCCCGTTCACCGGCATAGGAGCATTGGAGCTCAGCAACAACTTCACCCGGTCAAAAACCACAGTCCGAATGGGTATGGAGCCTATCAGCTACCAGGCAACGACTGGCCCTGACTTTTTCAACCGAGTGAAATCGGGCGAGATGCTGAGTCGGTTGAAACAAGCAGGCGTTAACGTGGACTTGACTCTATATCATCAGCTGATCCACAGACTCACTTTGTCCGATGAAGAGGTAGGCGCTTTCCTCAACGGGAATGACACAATGAAGCTGCCATTCAAGTCCCAGACCGTCGTGGCTTTGGACTTTGGAGAGAAGGACGCGGTCGTCAAGTTATATCTCCTACCGATGCTGAAATCACAGGCCACCGGGGTCCCCTGCTCGGAGTTGATATTCTCTGCGGTCAAGTCCGTTGACACCGATGGGCTCTTTCAGGACTCACTGGCCGTACTCGAGGATTACTGTGTGAAACTCCCCCCGTCTGCTTCAGTGTATTGGACGTGCTTCGACCTTCTCAATCCCAAGGCCTCCCGATTCAAAGTCTACTTATTAGACACGCAGGTGGACTTCCAGCGGGTTACCGATCTCTGGATGCTAGGTGGCCGGCTTACAAGTCCTGAAGATGCGAAAGGCCTTGAACTGCTCCGTGAACTGTGGGAAGCTCTTAATATATCCGGCGTAGTTAGACAGTCGGCTGCGGATCCGGGTCAGCCTGATAAGACACGCGAGTCCATGTACCTTTCAGCCAACTACGAACTTCAGCCGAGCCGATCGCTTCAACAGCCGAAGATCTATCTACGCTTGGCTAGAATGAATGACATGAGTATCGCAAAAGCAATTTCTAGCTTTATCGAGAAGCACGTCAATGCCGAGCAAGGGAGAACGTATATCGACAATATTACTTCGTTCGTGTGAGTGATTCAGTCTACCTATCTCCATCCTCCTTCTTATTCCACATCTTGACTTCGGTCTGTCACGCAAGCACCTGAACGCTTAGGAATTAGAAGCTAACATCTCGTACAGTCCCGGAATCGACCTCGAAAATAGCACCAACTTCCAATTCTGGATTTCCTTCTCATACACTGATACAAAGGGACCGTACATGTCAATATACTACCACTAGATCAAGGGGTTTAGTGGACCTCGAGAAAGGTATTCATTTCTGGCACTATTGGTTTCGCTTTTGTCTAGACTTGTTAGATGAAAAAACTCGATTCTTGAACGTTTGATCTCAATTGTTAAACAGCTTTGTTTCTCAACTTGCTCTAAGCACTAGAATAGAGCCACGCTTGAAATAATTAACATAAAATCATCAAGGGTGCCATCCCGATAGTATATACACTCTAGTATAGATGACAAAAGACCGCTAGGATCATCAATCCTCCCAATCCAAGATCGCCGAATCGACCTGAGTATGTGTTTCGGGACCCCGATTATCAGTCCAAGAGACTCTCGATGCATTCTCGTGCACCCCGCTGTTCAGGTCACAGTTGATCGGTTGTCCCGCAATGTAATTCTGATACGAGTAGACCACTCCGCTGCAGAGCTTGCTAAACGGGACCTCGGCTGATTCGCCCCCCATTGCGTTCGCAATAACGTAGTTGAGCGTCGCACACGCCTTGATGCATTCTTGCAAACTGCGCAGACCTTTCAGCTGCCCCAGTTTCGTGATTTGCGGGTTGTTGAACGACATACTGTCGGGGATGTTCTCGTAGCAGTGGATCTTGTATTTCAAGGTGCGGTTGTTGACGGTGAAGGGACTCGAATCGTCGGCCGGGTTGTTGGGCGTGTAGTACTGGTTGTCGGTTGCGTTGCAGCCGGAGTTTAAGAGTCCGTAGGTTTTGCTGCTTGTGCTCGTCGACGTTTCACCCGTCGTGGTTGCCGTCGCTGTCGAGGAGGTGGAAATATCTGCGACAGTGCTTGTCGGGGCCGTGCTACTCTCAGCTGGTAAGGAAGACGCGTCGGCATGACTAAACTTTATGTGTGAGCGCTCATACATCTACGAATTTGAGAATATCCATTTGCATATCGAAAGAGATACCTTTTCTGACTCGCCAATCCACCCCCAACGCCGGCTCCTATTCCCGCCGCAAGAATCACGACCAACGCGACAACCAGGATCCAGAAGATCTTCGGTGTCAATCCGCATATTCGCTGTTTGAATCCCCCCGCCGCGTTGTATTTTCCTTCTGTGTACTGCGACCAACCTGCGGTGTACGCGATCTTCTGGGTATCTTTGTCATTAACGGCTTCGATGCCGCCCTGCCAGGGTACCACCTCCGGCGCACAACTCGAGATGTGATCTTGGCGCTCCATCTGGAGCAAACATGTGCTGGGACGAACAGTCAGAGCGCTGTGAAAGACACAAAACCTCCGACGTGCAATACAAGCAACACCCGCAGACTGACTCCAATGTGATAAGAGAGCGCGAAATCACAGTGAGGCAGCAGATATCACGATCGCATATTGCCTAGCAGCCTAAGTATCAACCGTCACGGGCAAAGAAGCAAGAACGAAGAAGGATGAGAACAGGCAAGAAAGAAAGATGCCCTGCCATGAATGATAATGTGCATAATGCCCAAGAAGGCTGACTCGAGCTATGCAGGGAAGGGAGGCGGGGGTGATGCCTCAATTACCCAAGACCCTGGTCGACAGCCCGTCCTGTTGTTAGCAAGGCGTTACATTGCACGGCGCTAACTCGGAGCTCCTCATTAGCGAAGTCGCACTCTGATATCCGTTCCACCTCCACTCGAAGCGCCGTTCGGCTTGGCAGCTGCACTGGGCCACGATGCTAATGCGGACCCAACGCGACAGAACCAATCCCGAAGATGAGCATTGACAATCAGAGTGATTTCGGACCTACTGTGTACAGTACCTTCCAACTTCTAAAAATGAACGTTTCAAATTAAATTTGACCGCCCCAGCCTCTCGCCGCTTTCTTTGGCTGAGTGGGCTCGGACATAGCTGGTGCAAGTTGGCGCGCATTAGCCAGATTAATCCCTGCCGCTTAGCGAGTGTGCCATGCCCAGGACTTCTTTGTTGAACAGTATTAAGACTTACAGGCTGATTGGAGGGCTTTCGAGTGATCAATGACTGGACTCCGAGTTGACATGAGTCTCTCGATCTCGAACGCGCGATTGAAGGGTCCCTTTATCTCCAACGGCGTCATAGTCTAGTGATTAGGACGTCCGACCTTGGAGATTCTTCGCTGAAGACACCATCCTTTTGAGGACTCGAATTCGATCTCGATCGAGATTTACCTACCTACCTACCTAACAATACTTCTTGATCCGTTTTGACACCACGCGATCCTTTGAACTGGGTGAGCTTCATCGAACGACAAAGCTCGCAGGAGACGGGAAATTGTCTGGATCGCCGTCGCTGCATTATCGTTGGTCAGGAATGAAAGATCGATCCCGATTAGATAGTTAAACAAGCTACCTTCATGCACTGCCACCCATTCCCATTTGGTGATGGAACAATGAATGGCAGGGTGAGTGAGGAACGACGAGAGGAAGGCAGAGGAGAAGCAGACAAAAGAAGGCGCCCGGAAGGATGACGGCCTGAGGCAGCCAGTAAAGGGACTAACCTGTTCGAGGAAGGTGCGTTACCGAAGGCGGTTAGATCCACACATCCTTTATCGACAAGGGCGTCAGACTGGCCGATGTATACAAAACAGCACACTCAAATCGAGGAGTGAATGGAGTCAGTGACTTCTCAACGGCCTACGTTGCTGCTGTAACAATGGACGTCTGCTCAAACTGCCTCCTCGGACTGCCACGGAACTCCATGGAGCTTCTATGGAGATTGATCCTTCTGGGTCTAAAGTAGGAAGCAACGCTAGAAGGGAATTGGTTTTCTACAATCTTTACTAACAGATTTGAACAAGAACCATTCAAGTCTTTGTTCTCACACGTTCTACTTGACCCTGGTTCCAATTCTATATATTTCTTCCATCACGTGGAGCAGCTGCAATGTTGTCAACACTAGTCTCTCGTGAGCCGGAGATCGAGAGACCCAATATAAATGAGAAAGAGTTTAAGTAAGCTCGACTGATTCTGTAACTGGCTCCTTTTGACCGCGGGGCTTGCTTAGGTTTCCTCTAGTCTTCGGTCAAGCATTGCTCTTGTTGGCGCTTTCCTGGCCTTGTTATGTACTATGGGTTTTTAAAACGCATTCGGGGTTTTCCAGGAGTACTACGGGCAAAATATCCTCCAGGACCACTCCGAGTTTTATATCACCTGGATTGGGCCGTTGCTGACCTGTACCCTGGTTTTTGCTACGCTATTGACGGATATAGCATGGGCGCGTTCTATCGCCTTTACTTCCAAGGCTTTGTCCCTATATTCGAACTGTATCTAAGAGTAGCCGATATCGAGAAGTGGTTCAACTTGGCAGAAAAGAAATCTTAGCAAAGAAAATAAAGGGTCCCCACTATTTTCCCACGATGCCTTTCACACGTCTTTTCACCAGACCTGTTAGATAATCTAAGGGTGCTCTCTTTGTTCTCTTGCCTTTTGCATTTGTTTGTGAATTAGGTGATCCAGATGCAAGGACATCAGACAAACTGCGTGGAGAAAATATTAGGAGTAAGAGAATGCGCGTGCTAGTGAATATGAATTATGAATTGGTTATTTCGTATCATCTCCTCGAACTCACAAATCGCCGAGTCTTCCTGGCTAGTAAATTGCCTCAGATTCTGTAGACTGGCGCCATCAACGCCGACTGGTGCCAAGCCCCGAACAGACCCTGAATGAGTCACGCCAAACACGCGGAATACGCTGAAAGTCCCACTGATGACCCACATATACGAACCAGAATGCGTCTTTGCATATCGCTGGCTTTTTCTTCAGTTGGATATAAAAGAGGCAGTATCATCTCGCCTCCTGGCTGTCGAGTTCGGTTGCATCGTTCCCAACGCCACACAGTATGTCACTTTCCAAAGACCCGATAACATGGACCAAGAACGACTATTTTATATCCACCGACAAAAGCCTCATCTCGCTATCTGCTCTGAACTCTGCGTTTGATTCAGAAATGCTCTACTGGTCAAAGCCATACCCGGAGGATATCTTACAGGAAATTATAAACAATTCCTTTTGTTTCGGGGTATACAAATCGGCAAACAACACAACTGCCACAGAAGGGACCAATTGGAAAACCGACAAAGTCCCTCAAAGATACGAACAAATCGGCTTTGCTCGCTTCGTGACCGACTACGTTACTTTCGCATACTTAACCGACCTCTATGTCTTGCCTGGGTATCAGGGTAAGGGATTTGGGGGCTGGTTGATCGACTGTGTCGACGAAGTGGTGAAGGCTTTGCCGCATCTCAGATGGATCATGCTTCGGACCTCTTCAGTCAAAAGTCAAGAGTCATACAAACAGAGGATGGGCATGGAGGTGCTGGACACGCCAGATGCCAGCCAGGATGCAGTTATGATGGGGAGAAGAGGACCCGCGAATATGGCTTGATAACGGCTTTCGATTATATGAGCTTGTTGAACTGAGCTAGTCTCTTCAGCCTCTTTCTCTGTTCGTTTTCTGCCAGCTACTTGACTCTTTATTTTGAACAGTTCGTTGGCTTGTCACTCGGCCCACGTTGCTTCAAGGGCCCGAACCAACGAGGCAACTTTCTAGTTCGAGAAACTTTGTTCAACTGTACATAAACTGATTCTAGTCATCCTTTCGATCGTCTGCCTAATTTAGTTCTTCGGCTAGACAGAGAGGGGGCTCTCTCTTCACTGACTGTCTCCGTCCCACGCACAACCACCCCACATGCTCTCCACCATCAAGACAAGCATTGAGCTCATACTCTCACTTCCTACCATCTTGCTGATTGTATTGAACTAAGGCCCTAGTATCATGAACTGACTCTATACGATATCCCCACTCCTCACACACTCATGCTTCGCTCTTCACTATCAAGACAGTGATCATATACACTCCCGCACGTCTCACCTCATCGTCACTCCTCTTTCACACAACCCATGACCATATCCTGCCAGGTCCCTCTTCATCCTTCCTCTGATAACAGATATTAGCAATTATTCTTTTATCAGCTGGCCCTAAATCCATCATTGTTGTCTCAACCATCCTTTATTGACCTTTCAGCCTTTGCTGTCCTACCTGATCCAACCCACTTGATATACTTCCACTCCCATCACCATATTATACCACACCTTACAAGAACTTCCGTCCTCTCATTCCTCTTATTACCCATTCATTGCAAACCGTGCAAAGGAAGCCTCCGACATGGCAGAACCAAAGATCAAACAGGCACCACTCGCTGATCCAGCACTGCTCAAAAAGATCGATGAGTTGTTCGCTTGCGGCGTTGGTGAATACATTGACCTCCCTCAGCTTGTTGTGGTTGGAGATCAATCCAGTGGCAAGAGCTCTGTGCTGGAAGGACTCACCGGACTGCCCTTTCCTCGAGACAGCGGTCTCTGTACTAGATTCGCTACGCAGATTATCTTCCGTCGAATGAAAAATCTAACTACCGGCAGGATTATTGGATCGATTCTCCCAGCAGCGAATTCTTCCGCTGAGCATGCCGATAAGCTGCGTGAATGGAGCACTGCGGCCGGTGTCTTAGATCCGACCGACTTTTCGAGCACCATGCACAAAGTAAGAGAGTTTGCAGAATGTAGGCTTTACACATTCGCTGATTTAGCAATCAGGTTCATGAAGTGATGGGGATCTCCACTCCCGAAAATCGTACCCACTTGACATTTTCAAATGACATCTTCCGTTTAGAGATACGTGGTCCCAAAGAAGACCATCTCAGTGTGATTGACGTTCCGGGAATCTTCATGAACACGACATTCGGCAAGACTACGCGAAAGGACATGGAGCTAGTTAGGGATATGGTATTCAGCTATACGAAAAACCCTCGTTCCATCATGCTCACCGTGGTGCCGGCAAATGTCGACATCGCCACGCAGCAAATAATTGAGATGGCCCGGCAAGTTGATCCAGAAGGGGATCGCACCCTGGGGGTTCTCACGAAGCCGGATCTAGTGGATAGTGGAGCTGAGCAGAAGGTGATTGATCTCGTAACGGGACAGGACATGATTCTCAAACACGGTTGGATCCTGGTGCGCAATTTGAGTCAACGCGAGTTATCGGGTAAAAGGGTAGACCGCGATGCTAAGGAGGCTGAATGGGGCTCGAAAAAACCTTGGAATTGTATCCCCTCTGATAGATTCGGTGTCGAATCTCTGAAGGCGAGACTGCGAGAAGCCGTCACCGACAACGCCCGTCGTGCCTTGCCTCTAGTGAGTGCTTTTAGGCCGCAATATGCAGAGCCAAGCTAACGTATATCTATAGGTTCGTACAGAAATTCTGAGGAGATTGAAGGAGTCGAAAGACGAATTACACAGAATGGGTGGCGAGAGAGATACTCAAGACCAACAGATGAACTACCTTCTTAACATTGTATCCAGATTCCAGGAGATCACCAACCAAGCCCTGAATACCCATTATGGCGCGAATGAAGTATTCGATCAGTATCCAGAGCTCCGTCTGGCTACGCTAGCCGTGACCCGCAGTATTTCGTTCAGTGATGATCTTACAAAATGGGGCCATGAATATCAATTCAAAGAGGAAAACACGGACACCTTGGAAGACAAGTGCGCCGAGCCAACCGGAGACATCTCCCAGTCACAACATTCAATCGAGACGCGGAAGACCCCTAACGTGCTGGCACTTGCCACCATAGTACCCGATAACAGTTTGGAGCTGTCTCCCTCAAACAGCGACATTCATCAATGGCTCAATCAGGTATACACTGCTTCTCGAGGATTCGAAATTGGCACGTTTAATACGAGGCTACTCTCCACAATCATGAAGAAACAGTCTCAAAAGTGGACAAACTTTGCGCGAGGCTACGTTGGTGATATCATCGTCTATGTGGATCAATTTATACGCAAGGCACTGGAGCTGGCTTGCATTGATAAGCGAGCTTTTGATCAACTTGGGTTGATTTTGTTTAACAAGGTCTCCGAAAAATACCAATCCGCCTTGAAGCATGTTGACTTTCTTCTGGAAGTGGAGCTCGATGGTACATTAATGACTCAGAACCAATATTTCAATGAATCCCTGCTGAAAAGGTCCGTTATAGGTGTTTATACCTGACACTTTGCGTTCTCCATGTTTTCTGTGCAACGAGCTAGATCTCTAATATTATATAGTCGCGAGGACCAAATTCATGCACAGCTGAAGAACAAGACGTTCCATATCAATGTGGGTGAAGAGGTAGTCAGGCTCAGCGATATACAACTTCGCCATAGTATCAGCAACACCGAACAAACCATTAGGGATATCCACGATATTCTGCAAGCATACTACAATGTCGCTGTCAAGCGATTTGTGGATAGCGTTTTCATGCAGGCAGCTGATCATTACCTAATGAATGGACCCGATTCACCTCTTAGGGAGTTCAATACCTCGTTTGTCTCCAAACTATCGCAAGCTAAGCTGCAGGAGATTGCTGGGGAAGCGCCGTCCAGCCAAAAGAAGCGATTACGGTTGAAGAGAACGATCAAGAATCTGGAGGACGGGCGCTTGATTCTCCTTTGATTGCCTTTCTTTTTGCCATCCATCTTCCCATTTCTTGCTTTTTCTTTTTGTTTCCGGGAGCCGGTATCGGTTACAGCCTGCGTTCGCCATGGATGATGCCGCGAACAGAGTGGTTCACCTCTAAGAGAATACTTGCGTTTTCAACGAGAGCCCTGAACCCTAGCTGTATTGGCAAAGAAAGGATGGAAGATGGCTGCCCATGTTTAGCGCAGTTTTGGTCTTGCTTTAACAGTCTTATGGTTACCATTTCCCTTATCGATGCCCCGTATGGTTTTGTCTTGCAATATTTCTTGGCTTATTATTCTTCCTAGAGCGCCTATTATCATTTGCATTCTATCCTTTTTACGTGCACCATTGTCTTATATCCTTTCAATTTATTCTTTCAATCATCGTTAGTTGCGGATAGGTAGCTTCGCATGGTATCTCTAGATCAATTACAACTTTGTTCTCATGTCCTTAGATCACGAGACTATAACATCCAATAGTCAAACATTGATGCATTAAAGCGATGACACATTCCTAGCAGGGTTGCAAACCTTCGCCTCCCATTCCCCAACTTTTGTTTATTCGGAACTCTCTTGTTATCTACGGTGGACGCATGTGTGTTGCAATATGCTTGCGTGAATCTTCCCGCATTGATTTCTTATCCTTCAAGCAAATAAGAAAGCATACAATAGGAGAATGCGAATACATCGAAAGGCGGATTCACAACGAGGGATAGCAAGAATTTGATGAAATGACAGATTGTGTAGCATTCAGTTTTTCACACCTATTTAGTCTGTAAACAAGGGCACCGGTTGTGAAAAGCCTTCTAGGTTTGAAAATCAAAAGTCAATACAATCTGTCTGCTAGACTCAACCGATCATATACTTTGTCAAATTGTGGTAGGCTTAGCCCAAGGCGGGTCGAAGATAAAGCTTTGTCCACAAACCTGATCTGAGCGAACCTAAACATAAACAAAATTCGTTCCGAGATGGAAAATCGTACTTGGAATACTCTTATCAGGTCTACTTTGAGTATGCACCGTTTTTCATGTCTCGAGAATCTAAAATGAGCTAATGCAGTCGACATCATATCAAGTCGGTACCAGATATGCTAAGTTTCTGGACTCCATTATGGCCTAAAATGGCAGTACAGGTCAGTCCCCATGTGCAGAACTTGGCAGAGATAGTGTCTTAATGAGAGTCCCAACACATCTAATGTGGCAAGGTCTCTCGCATATATTCAGCTGCTTCTGCTGGTAGGCGTACCGGAATGAGCCAGATCATTCAAATCATCACGAAAGAAAGACTGCCAGAAATTCAGTTCTCCATCACACTCCAATCGTCTACGTCCAGAATGTCAGCCCCAAGGGCTAGCATTCGGCAGATATCTATAATCGATGTCGACTGCCGGCATAGTATGCACGACACTGCGGCAAAAGCAATACAATCATTTGTGGTAGGCCTCGAATGCGACCTTCGTCGATTTCCTGTCCCCGACGATCCCAAGTTGATTGACGCCGCACATAAAGCCTGTCTCCAGCATATTCCCTCTGAGGAACATCGTCGAAAGGTCATTCCCCTCCTATCCGTGGCCTTGCTCTGTGCGACACAGGTGTACCCAAGCCTTCCCTTTGAAGTGCGACTTCTGATCACTGTCTATACCGCCATGTTTGCATACATCGACGCTTACGATGACGATGACCTGATCCGCAATCTCGATCAATTTGCCATATACTTTAGCAGGGGCGCTACCCAGACAGACCCGTGCCTGAACTACCTAGCACATCTACTCGCGGTAGAAGTGCCGAACCTTTGGGGTCCAGTTGCCTGTTCATGCATAGTGAAAGCCACGATGGATATGGTAGCCGGCTCCCTACTCGAAAAACGCTTCCCATCGGGGTTCGAGCGACTCGCGCAGAATTTCCCGGCGTTTTTGCGTCGCAAGACCGGGGACTCAGAAGCCTACGTTCTGTTCAATTTCCCGGAGTTGCTTTTCCCTGAGTCAGAGTACCTAGGCCTATACATACATTCTCTTCCCGGCGCAATCGAAATCAGCGACTTTATCAATGACATCATGTCTCATTACAAGGAGTCGATTGTAGGTAATGAACAGAACACCTACATTGTCAACGAGGCAAGGAGGCAGGAACGCTCGTCGGCTGAGATCCTCGATCAAACCTGCCAGAACACTTGGGCGATGCATCAGCATCTCCAGCAGAAGCTTGCAGCTGCAGACGAACGAGTACTGCAGGCTTATTGCTCGTTCGTGGATGGGATGGCAGGCTACCACATTGTGGATCCTCGCTATCGGCTGGGTGAGGTAGGCTTGGCTATCAAGGATGGGATCTTGTTTACGAAACACGAAATGAGCGGGCAAGGCATACGATCCCAGTCCAACACTTTTCCCGGGCACCGTGGAATGTGACTACTGAGTCTAAATCGGTCACCAATTAAAACCATCGCCGCTTGGCGTCGTTGAATGTAGGGGGTTCAAGGCTTTGTAGCGGTGCGAGTGAGGCTGATCGAACAAAAGGTAGGAAAGTGGTCACGCTTTCCTTCGGCTTGGACCTGGCCTCCTGATGACACCTCCACTCAACGCATCTCCAAAAATGGTTCAGTGGAGGACACGCCGAGGGTGGACGAAGGAGTCAGCTTCAAGCGACCACAAAAGACCGTTGCCAGCTCCATTTCGTTTCAATGAAGGCAGACAAGATGAAAACCAGGATAAAGCGCCGGAAAGTTGGGTGAAGGCGAATTTGCTCATGCTGGATACATGGTTCTGGGAGATAACTGCCATGATATTCAGCACACTATGCTTCGTGGCCTTTGTCGCAGTGTTTGGAGCGTATGATCGGAAAGCAACACCCAACTTTCCCAAAAACCTGAATCTGAATACAATAATCTCTATTCTTACAACAGGGTCCGAGTCATCCTTGCTTTGCTGGTCGGCACTTCGATTGGCCAGTTGAAATGGATCTGGGTTAAGGCGGACAATAGACGACCTTTATATGATCTTCAATCCTTCGACGATGCCAGTAGCGTGCCTTGAGGCTCCCTAAAGCTGTTGTTTCACCGGCCAAAGAAGGAACGATTGCTATTTCCACCAGACCATTCTAGGAGTGCTGGGACCTCTAGGTGCCATTGCAATGGTGGATCTGGACCCGCCACCCACATTCACAAGCTCCAAATTTAGGCAAGTCCTGAGCTCTAAGAACATCACTGAATGCGTTCTGCCTCTTTGCATGCGAACATATAGCATCTCTGTGTCAGGTGGGATCCCTGGAGTACAGACATTGTCAACCGACTTCGGGGAGACTTTCCAGGACAATCATCTGTTTATTCAAGGCTATAAGGATTTGCACGACCAGTCTAAATCCTACTGGAAGCTATATCACCATCAGATCGTGAGTTTGGGTCAACACCAAAGCATTCCGACCAAATGACGTCCTTGGGAGAACTCCACCCAGCTCATCGTTTGTCCTGTGACGGGCGATCTAGCGGGCTTCGGCTTAGCCGGTATGGAATACTATGTGTACAAGTACAACGACACCGTCAATATGTGGGACTTTACCGATCAAACCTCCAATGGAACCATGATCAATCAACGTTTAATGTCATCGAACTTCGACTCTATTATATCCAATATCTCAGCATCAATGACAAAGTATGCCCACGAACATCTTGGTCATGATCTTCGGGATGTTGTGATGGAGACCCAGGGGTACGTTGTGGTTGAATGGTATTTCATCATTCTTCCTAGCCTGTTGATCGCATTAGGGGTTGTATTCATCGTCCTGACAATTTGTCTCAACAACCGGCGCGGGCTATGTCTTTGGAAATTTTCCTTGCTCCCCATGTTATACCATGGTCCCGCTGAGGGTATTGATAGCAATGAACTCGATAGGCCTAGCGCTATGGAGAAGTTAGCTACCGGACATACAGTGACACTGGGAATTGTGGACAGCAAAAGAAGGTTGATTCTCAACGGATGGACTGCTAAGTGCCAACTAGCCCGTCCTGTTGGTTATTCGTCCTCAGTCCAAAGATTTAATCCGGTGGAACCACATAAGCAGAAGCATACATACGAAAGCTTTCTCTTCAATGCCATCTCCTTTGTCCACGGTACGAACCTGGATCACCAGAAGCTCCCACTGATTCGCTAAAAGATAGATGGTTGACCTTATGAGTTAAATAATATGAAAAGACGAAAATTCGGCTTGGGGGCAAGGGTAGCGTGCAAAGGAGCAGAAATACTTCACCAGTTATTCTACCTCGGTCATCATAGGCATGCAAGGCCCTTTTCAGCAATAGCATCAGAGCCCAAACAGATGGAATGTGTAATATCCCACCTCGTAATCACTTTCCCCAATAGATCAACCCAACGCTATAAAGAAATGCAGCCCGTAGTGTCAGCACCTCCGTGCAGAAAACGGGATAGTCCATGTGGCGTAATCTGGGGAAATTGGAGTTCCACCATTGGCAGGGGGAACTGGTTTGAAATGAAAACCGAAGCCACCAATCACCCAACTGCCGAGTGAGGAATATCATTTTTTCCTTCCGGAGGCGTCAAGTCCCAAGTGAATGGCGTATCTTCTACATGAGTGTTCTCCACCGGAGTTCCGTGGGATAGGCGATCAAAGCGCTATTTAAGTAAGTTTGGGTTCCTGACAGGGTGATCGACAGGATCATCCAGAGCCCACGCAGTCAGGATGAGGATCCTAACGATCATCATCGCTCTTTTCACACTGCCTCTGGCGGTTTACGCTGCCTTTGGGTACACGGATAATGGTTCCGAATATGTCATTGGTAGGCATAATCTTTCCCGTCAACCAAATAGCTAGCCCAGCTAAGGATTTGGTATTCAGACTCCGGAGCATCTCTAGTCATCAAAGTCAGCAAGACGAATGGTGACATAACCTCCATTGTCTACAAAGGGGTTGAGTATCAGGGATACCAAGGCAAGAACACGTGAGTACCCTGCCCTAATCGACAGAAATCTTTTTCATCTTTCGCAGCCACGTGGAGTCGGGTCTCGGTGCCTCAACCGTGACCATCCAGCAGTTCTCTTCGCCCGCCTACATCATCAAAGTCGCCGTCACCTATGGCACTCTGAAGCATTATCTCTTCGTTCGGTACGGTAACAACAATGTCTACATTTTCACCAACAAGGCAGACTCTAGCGTGGCTGCTTCTCGATACATTGTTCGCCTGAAGCCCAATGTCTTCCCTCACTCATCGACCGATTCCGGTATGTCTACTCTACCTTTTATTCATGGGCAAACGTCTAATGAAGGTACTATTAGACTTCTACGATGATGGCAGCACCACAGTCGAGGCATCCGATATCACCAGAAACTCGGCTGGGTATACCAAGAGCAAGCACTACCAGGGTAGCAATTACGGACGGTAAGTGCAGCCTTGTCTGTATCACCTTTGCCACAAGCTAATATACTCAGGGTAATGGACTGTACGCCGCAGCTCCTTCTATTGATTGTCAACCAGCTAACAAATGCAGTCGATTACGTGGGCAAAACAACCGGCAGCGTTGGTGTCTGGCTCATTCGCTCGAACCACGAGAAAGCGTCTGGCGGTCCCTTTTTCCGCTCGCTGGTTCGCGGATGCACTACCATCGCCGAGGATCTCTACGAGATCTACTTCTACTCCATGGGCCATACAGATCCGGAGCGATATGGACTGCAGGGGCCAACGGTTGGTGTACGATTCCTTTCCAGTCGACGTCATCTGACCTTGGCAGGTTCTTTCATTCACGGACGGCGGCACACCCAACACGGCTCTCTTCGCTCGGAACGCCGACTGGAGTTGGTTTGATACTCTCGGAGTAGATATACCTATCCCCTCATTAGGAATTGACGTAACTAACCACTGTAGCTCGACGGATGGACTGCCTGGGGAAACCGCGGCTGGGTATCCGGAGTCGGTGCGTATCCCCACACCTCATAAACCAAACTATCACTCATACCAGACACAGGAGTTGCCAACATGAAAAGCGGGCACACCTACGTCGTCGGACTAGCCAACACTGCCGCCCAATACTGGGGTACAGCCGCGTCCTCCGGCGGTGCATGGTCAATCAAGAACGTCCTCCCGGGGACCTACACCCTAACGCTCTACAAAGGCGAGCTGGCCGTAGGCACACGCAGCGTCACTGTCAGCACAGGGGCCGGAACAGCCGTCAACACCATGACCCCGACAGACCCATCAGACACAACCGCGATCTGGCGAATCGGCGACTGGGACGGCACGCCAGCCGGATTCCTCAACTTCGACAAATCCCCAATGCTGCCGACCTACATGCACCCGTCAGACGTGCGCATCTCAACCTGGGACCCAGGCAACTTCATCGTTGGCACATCAGCAACAAATTCGTTCCCAGGGTACATGTGGAAAGACGTGAACAACGGCCATGTAGTATACTTCCGACTCTCAGCGGCGCAGTACGCGTCGGCGCATACGATCCGGATCGGAATCACCGAAGCATTTATAGGCGGACGGCCGCAGATCAGTGTGAATTCATGGACGTCTGCGGCGCCGAGTCCGAGCACGCAGGGCTCCACGCGAAGTTTGACTGTTGGCACCTATCGTGGGAATAACGTGGTGTTTAGTTATGATGTTCCAGCTAGTGCGTGGCTGCAGAGTACGTCGGAGTGGCAGGTGTTGACGATCAATGTGATCAGTGGAAGTAGTGGCACGGGGTATTTGAGTCCGGGCATTAGTATTGACTGTGTTGATATGATTTAGGCAGTGATTGGGGAGTTGACGTTTCCACAGAAAGTGACAGAAATCCACCCAGTTGAACCCCTTAAAAGCGCACGGATCTCATTTGATGCCTGAGGCCACAGGATTGGCCGGTAAAGTTGCCGTCCGATAGGCACACGTGATGATAGCTGGCATGCGGCAGGTGGGCCGAGGACCAACTCTCCGTTGTCGGAGGACTGTTTTGAAAGAAAGCATACCGGGTCCAAATTATCATGTTGATACAAATAGGTCTGTTCATTGAGGATATATTCTGTCTTGGTAGTGGCGAGATACGAGTTAGGGGCGGTGTTGTTGATTTTCGCCTTCAGTCAAAACGTCCCGGACAATGATATATATTTCCGCTTCGCTTGACCTCATATTCTAGCAGTTTAACTCTATACACCAATGCACTATGCTTGTGTCAAAGATGCTCACAACTTCTCTTTATGCTCCAGCGCATCATCCGCAGATAGGATTCCATCCGACTTCTTCTCACTGGGCTCTTCTCCCAGCAAGGCCAACAAGCCAATCTCATGCTCAATGCGTCGCTTGAGGGCCTCGTCTTCCATGGCCATAGCCCCCGATCCAAACAATTCATCCATCTCTTCCAATGTGCGGCCTTTGGTTTCGGGGACAAGGAACCACACATACAAAACACCGATGGTGGTGACGCAGCCGAAGAAGATGAAGGTTCCATAGCTAGAGGCATCGATAAAAGGGGACGTGGAGAGACCGACAGCAAAGTTGTTGAGCTGTACTAGTTAGCGCGGAAGCGTGAAAGGCTGAAAGAAGCTGCCTACCCAGTTGCTGCTGCCACCAATACTAACACCCTTGGCCCGCATGCTCAGTGGAAAGACTTCCGATGTGACAATCCAGGCGACCGGTCCTAGAGGTCGCTTTAGTTAGCAATTCATCTAAGCGATGGTATGCTCAAACTCACCCCATGAATAAGCAAAGTTGATGATGAAAATCCACACAAACACAACAGCCACCCAACCTGCCGCCTTGTGGTTGTCAAAGTCGCCCTGGTATGAGCCGATGATGCCAGCAACAATGAAATGGCAAACGGCCATTCCGATACCACCGGCGATCAGAATTTTCTTCCGACCGATGTTATCGACCCAAAGCACGGCGGGGATGGTGAAGACAAATTCGAAGATACCCGCGACTCCGGTTGCCAACAAAGAGGTTGTGTTACCTCCTAGCTGGAGCTCCTTGAAAATCTGAGGACTGGGGATCGTTCAGCGAGGACTCGGAAGAGCAAGAGACGCGTTCTACTTACGCATAGTAGTTGATACTGCATTCGTGTTAGTTGGGAAACTAATACAGAGGAGATGTTCGGGAAGTCGACTTACGCATTAATCCCGTTCCACTGCTGGAAGACCATGACCAAACACTAATTCTCATGAGCGACGTGATCTAGATCGAGGGAGGAATGTGACTTACTGCAACAGAAGTGCGTTTGAATAGCGACTTATCCGTGATCAAAGAGGCATAGTCCTTGACGCCAATCATGAACCGACTCTTGAAGGAGCCATCCTGATACTGAGGATATTTCTTCGCAGCAGTTTCCACCTCAAACATGCGCAGAGCCTTGATCTCCAAGAACTCGATGCGCACCGAGATATCGTCAACAGAAGCGTCACGCAGACGGGCTAATGTGGTTAGGCATTCTTCTTCCCTTCCTTGATTCATCAAGTGTCGGGGTGACTGCGGCATAAACATCATCATTCCAACAGCAAGAACAAGAGCAGGAAGAATCTGGATGCAGACGGGGATTTCCCACGCCGCGATCGATTGACCCTCGCCGGTTCCTCCGATGTAGTTTGTGCCATAGCCGATCTGCAAGAGTTGGTAAAGTCCTAATCTGGCAACGTGGGGACCTTGACTTACCCAAAAGCTAGTCATGATGCCGAAGGTAATTGCAAGTTGCTGCACCGCTACCAAGGAGCCTCGGATTTCGGGAGGAGCCTGAAACCATCAATATCCGGCCATCGTCAAAAGTCCAGTAATCCCACATACCAATTCCGCATTGTATAACGGCACGATCATACTCAAGTTACCGACACCCAAACCTGTCACGAACCTACCGGCGTAGACATAGTCGGGGTTGATCGTGCAGGCTTGAACAATGACACCGACACAGAAGATAACCACGGCGATGACGACGGTAACCCGTCTGCCGACCGCATCGGCAAGGTATCCATTGATCAGAGTACCCAGCCACGCACCCAATTCGAGAATCGCCGTGAGCATACCTTGTGCAGTCGAGGGTTTTTCGGCATATCCTTGAGTCTAGAATCTGTGAGCGGTGGGTGGGAAGTGATAGCAAAGTTTTGTTATATTTACCGCATCGATGAAAGATCGCATGGTGAGGATCTGAGCGAACATTCCCTGGTTATCTATTTCTGTTAGCAGAGGCAGTACGAGGATGATTGGCACACATACATCCATAGACCAATCCACCCAGCGACGCGAAAAGAGCAATGCCAAATGTCTTTTTGCTGCTGAGAAGACCGCGCCATCCAACTTTACCGCCAGCGAGCTCTGCTCGCTTGGCAGAGAGGCCCTGACTGGCAGCTCCCCCAGCCATGATGAGATTATGGAGTTCGAAGTCGGATGTCTTGGAAGAAACGGAAGGAAAGGTAAATTGTACAATCAAATCATGAGGGGAAAGAGAGAATGAAAGGCGAGAAAATACGCGGAGGAGCGCGACAAGAAATACCAAATTCCCCTAAGACCAACCCTGCTGCTAGGTACTAGCAATGTCTCGTCATCTCACGGACCGGGCTACCAAAATGTACGACCGTGCCATGATGACTTGACCGAGCCTTTCGCTTTTCGGCAATGATCAGAGGGTGCATTTATCCAGGATTCATCCGAGCCCATGAATTCCCCGGCTGTTTGACCCCGTGGGGCCAGTCGGAAGGCCGGGGATACTGACTGATGGGTATTATTGTAGCAGGTGAGCTACGGAGTACATGACAGAGGATTCGGCTTACGCCCGGCAACTGTCAGTGCCGAGAGGGAATTCAGCCGGCCATCGATAAGCTTCGTGGCTGGCGCCTTGAGTCGCTCAAGGCGCCTTGGCTGAGGAATGGAAGGGATCAGGATGGACAGCAGGCGCGGAAGAATTGCTGGAAAGTGGAGGTGGACGAGTTTACCACACTCTGTGGTCATATCGATGGGAAACAAACACCCAATGAGGGAGTTTGTTGATGATGGAAGAAGAATCTGGGGATAACAGACAGGGAGGGGGAAAAGGAAAGTGGAGAGGAAGGGAAAAATGTGGAGAGCGGAGGAGAAGAGTGGAGGGCCGATGACATAATGCTGCCTATTTATCCGCCATTCTTCCGATTGACTGATGGGATAGCATGAAGAATAGAAGGCCATCTATGCTCCGACTGAGAGATGGAATCCCACCTTCTTCGTTAAGGTACTAGATTAATTGTGTGCTGTGAGTCTACTCTGGATGTGACAGCGATCTAATCCCGGAGGACACAAAACCTGATACTTTACGTATGTCTGAGCCATATAGGCCAACTAGGCTTATCAGGATGGACCTCACGCCTCTAGATGACAGTCGCAGAAGGGATTCTGCGTATAATTATGTCGCGACTAACTTGGCCCATAGGTCAATCGAAAGCCGTTTGGCCCTTTCTCATACTACCAGCCAACCTCGGTTCTTGACTACTATAATTCGTTCTCAACTCTACAAGTCCGGCTTGATACGGCTATGGGACCCAAAAACGGATAGGAGATTTGCGAGTAGTCGAGAAGACGAAGATAATTCGAGAATCTGCCCACAGAGAAAGGTGATATTGGAATTGAGGACTGGCCGGTAGTAACTCAATACGGCTCAAGAATTATAGGTAGGTAAATTTCCTGCCGCTTTCTATCCTCATTAGTTAATGATACTCTTAGCAATCCAAAACAGGAAGTCCCAAAATGCCTCAAATAAAGAACTCCTTTCTCACCTGGCAGAAATATCCTATTTCAACGGATTGACTCCCGCCATCCAAACGACCACTCTGGTGAACCGTCCATCCTCACCGACGTCAAAAAAGTTGCAGTTCTGCATGTCATTCTTCGTCCCATCCTCTAGCTCTCCGGTATATGTGTGCTCCGTGCAGACCTTCCGGGCCCGCTCGTCGACGGTGATATGCCGAACGTCATGACGCATTGTTTTCGACGATCCCATGAAGTTGATGAACATGGAGCGGAGCTCAGCCAGGCCAGTGACTGTCATGTGGCCAGTTTGTACAGTGAAGGTAGCATCGGGGGCGAAGTGGGAGAGGACAAGGTCGAGATCCCTGTTATCGACAGCGGCGAAGTAGGATTTTGCCCTGTCGGCGAGGCCGTCGTAGCTGAGGGTGAGGGGTTGAGACGCCATGTCGAGAGAGGATGTGGTTTGGGGATATGTATGATAGGAAGTAAAGAATATCGGAGAAGGCTTCCGAGGGAGGTGGTTAAATCCAAATTTTACGAGGCAGTGGGATAATATTTTTAGGTGAGGGCCTGAGGGGTCGTGTTTGTTCTTCCCCGCTGTGGATTCCGAGCTGCACGGCCATGTGGATTTCCGTGCTTAGTCTCCCGGCTCCCGGCTAGTGGTGCGCTCCCTGTGCTTCCTGGACGAGGGACTCGGATACGTCAGGTAGGCTGGTCTTTTATACGACAAAAGTCCCTTTCTCAACCGAAATGCCACATGCTGTTGCTCTTCGCCTTTACTCATGATAATGCGCGGGGATATGGTTGGAATGGTCGGTAAGAGGGGAACAGTTGGTACATTGCCCTTCAATTATTTACAAGTTAACTTATACTCGCTTGCAAAGAAGCAATGAACCAGCACCTCATCCATTGTAGCCTCGATTTCCGAAGACCTGACCATCACAGTACAACTAGACCAAAAGCCTACTGCAACAAAGGGAAATCCCATTTCACCCACTCCTCGCGATCAAACTCCACTCCGGGATAATTCTTCTCTACCGACGTGTTCACCTCCTCGCCCAACAAGAACCGCCTGACATATACATCCAGATCATCTTTCTGCTGATCAGGAAATGCACAGTGCGAGTGATCCGTCGACAACGAATACCCCATATGATCCGACACCCCAAGCGCATCCCACACTAATTTCGCCGTACTCATACACCCCAACGAAGACCACGGCCCCAGCCACTCGTAGCCAACATTATCAATCGACAAGAGCGCTCGCGGAGCAATCAGACCAGCCAGCATATGATGATCAAACGGCAGACGATTGACCTGATCAACATAGGAGTTGAAAGCCGACGAGAACCAAACATTCTCCTGCACGATCTGCCCAGCCGTCTGCACATTCCCCGACCCGCCGTCTTCAGCCTCGCAGAGACGCCAGCAACCTGATCCACCGGCTCCCGATTCTTGCGGAACAGTAAGAGCAATGCGGGAATCGAATGCGCCCGCCACGAGTGCGCCTTTGCCGTTTCGTGAACACCCGGTGACGCCAACCTTCGTGGTATCAATCTTAGCAGACGGGGTAGATTCCAACGCATCGAGAATGACAGAAACACCCCAGGCCCAGGCCATCATCGCTCCGGCGCTATAATCACTACCATAGAGATCATAGAACAGCCCCTTCCCACGACTACTCTGGTCAGTCTGCTGAGCGATGACCCCATTGTCGAACGTGATAGTAGCGACACCCCCCGGAAGAGGAAGACTAAGTCCGCCGTAGGCGATCATTGCCGGGAAAGGTCCCTCGCCAGCACCAGAGGGATAAGTGATCGAGACATCGAATGCGATCTGTTTTGACCCCTCGGACACGGTAATGGAGAGCTTATTCTGAGACAATGAGGCGCTGATGTCGGATGGGGTAGGGGGCTTAGTGCCTAGTTCGACCTGTTGGAGGAGGCTGCTGATGTGCTGTCGGCGACACTCCCAATCTTCCTTTGATGTTACGCGGTCGGCTCTGGTTACAGGGTACCAGGAAAACGGGTCAGGGAGTGTGGACGTGACATTGAGCTCAGAGAGAGGAGGGAGATCGGGACATTGAGCGATTACTATACATGATTGTTTTAGCTGAGCTCATATACATAATCTAAACGTAGAAACAAGGGAATGTGTCTACCTTGAACGCAAACAAGTGTTATGATCGTTAGCCAGGCGAGCATGTTGGTTATGGATGTCGGCGCTGTTAGTATTTTGAACTCATTTCGTCTTCCGCTGTGCGTCGCTCTTTATACCTGTTGGACGTGTTGGCGAGATCAGGACCAAGGGTGAAGTTGCTTCTGAAACAGCAATTAGCCTAATCTCGCAGTATGCGGTCTTTCATTGTCACAGATATTTAGGATAAACGCAATGCAGGGAGCGTTGGTTGAAGAAGATAAACCTTTTGTGCTCAGCCTTGCCCACTGAATGATATAGAGGCTAAAGACCCCAGTCGGGAAATCAGGATAGCCTAATAAATCAGGCACCGGACAGACTATCCGAGTCGGCGGCAGCTGCCGTCCGCTGGTACATCTGTTCGAGTGACTAAAATACTAAAACCAAGTGTCTTTTTATAAGAGTGTACTGACCTTTCATGCTGGGCGTTATCGTAGGTGCGTAGCGATCGCCCGCGGACTCGAATAGGAGGGTCAATAACCGACTGGTCATTGGAAAGTAGAGAATTAGAAAGCACGATAGGACATAAGTAGGTTCATAATTCATTCATTCATACATGTCGCACTGATGGAGACATCATAATCTCGAATAAGCCAGAGCGTGCTGTTCTACAAAGTAAAAATGCCCAAAAAGTGGACTTGGTCCCTGGAAACCACCTATATCACGGAAACCTTTTCCGGCGATGGATGCAATTTTGGCCATCCTCTCCTAACTCTTCTCCTTCTGGCGCTGATGGGTATCTATAGCTTAAATCGAAAGTTCACACTGCCCGCCCATTGCACTTTGAACTGCTTTCAAGCAGCCCATGCCTCGTGCAGGACCTTCTGACCCCGGGCTAGAACCCGAGATGGCTCTTCGCCCAGCCACTCGCACTCCAAGCGATCAAGGTTGGCCTCAATTTCCCATGCACGACCGCCCTCAACATACATCGATGTGCCGTTGAGCGAGTCGTCGGAAAGCACACCCGCGGAGACTTCGGCGACCTCTTCAGGGGTGCTGACAGGCAGGCCTTCCTTGGCCCAGCGGTCATGGACCTTCTTGGTGAGGAGCGTGCGCGAGTCGGTCATCCAGGGACAGATAGTGTTGATGCGGAGGTTGTGCTTGTATGGAGAGGGGAAGTACGGTCGCAACGAGCGCATCAGCCCCTGGACGCCATGCTTTGCAGCCTGGTAAGAAGACACTCCCGCCGTCTCTTTGAACCCGGCTGCGCAAGAAAACAGCAGGATAGAGCGGTCCACACCGGGTCCACGGTTATGACGGAGGTAGACGCTTGCGACGCGAGTCACGTACATCGAGCCAATGAGGTTCACGTCAAGGTCCTTGGTAGAAGGGGCCTGTATATCGAAGTTAGGTTTCATTGAACAGATAATTGGACGCTCTGATAAGAGGCATACCTGCCGAACAGACACCAGACTCAGCTTCTGGTCGAACCAGTTCTCACCAGTATCCATGCTACCGGCGGTGACGACGACATGGTCAATCCGCCTGTAAGTTTTGAAAGCACGGTCAAACAGATTTACCACCTCCTGGTAGTTGGTCACGTCAACGTGCTGGAAGGTGGCCCTAGCCGGCTTGGGTGGCAGAGCCGGGTCAGAAATGGCAGGCCATTGCTCCACGCACTTCCTGCTCAGAGCCTCTCCACGGGTGTCATCGATATCACCAATTACCACATAAGCGCTATTGCGGCAGCAGAGCTCCACTAAGCTAGCGCCGATGCCGTTGGAGCCACCTGTATCGGGGTGAGTTCAAGCTAAACACATAGCTGCAGTCATAGGAGCGAGCGACGTACCCACAATGACAATCACCTTCTCGAACAGAGCATCCCGATCGACATCAGGGGTAAACTGGGTCAAAGAAGAGAGAGAGCTTGAGGAAAGGGCGGGTTCTGTAGGGGCAATCATGATGAAGGGAAGGATCTTATGTTGAGTGGGTTCAGAACAGAAAAGGTCAAGGCTGGGGAAGAGGCGTGAAAAGTATGGAGAAGTGAAGGTGAGATACAGGCCGACAAATGGGGGCAGCCACGGCCTTTTTATCCACGAATTTACAGCACCTGTCTCCCGATGCTGCGCCGACGCACTTCATTCTCACCCTCCATTAGCTCTTGTCGAGCGATATCACGGCCGGAGAGGAGCCAATCATCAATGGAGTCATGCAACCGGAATTTCTCGATCCCTGGGTCTTGGTGGAGCATGGAACAGGAGGGCGTTCGGGCCACTTTCGCGTCGGCGTAGCTACATGTGCATCAACTAAGGACTCTGTAATCTGTAGTGCTGATGCGAGGACCTGTCAGTGCATCCGTCACAATCCACAGTGGATCAATCGATCGGCAGGTTGTGCGGGGGAGCGAGACGACGCCTGGAGATATCTGGGGAAGGATATGCGAGTTGCATGATGCGGAAAGGTTTAGAAGGGAGACGGAAGAGAACGCGAGGAAGAAATTAGAGATGAAACAAATCAATGCAAGACAACCGGTTTTGATTGATGGAGGAGTTGACGGAAGTTGGCTCGGATGACGAAAAGACGAAGGAAAAAGAGGCAGCCCGACGGTGCCTCAGGCTCTCCGAATCACGCGTTCCCCTCCTTTCGCTTTCTCTCGTGGTTCCCGTCCCTCCCCAGCAAACAACCTGCAGCCCTGACCCTGCCATCACCGGATCGGGGAAAATTCACTCAGCCATTCGACTTTTTACGAGGTGTTTATGCAGTAACCATCGCATCCCTTGCCGTCTTTCATCAGAGTCGCAAGCCTCCCGAAGACAAGCCCTTCGTCCAAGACTGTCGGAAAGGAGGACTGGCCGCCTCAGCCGGTGCCACCCCCGTTAGCCCGCCAAATGGCGTTCGAGTGCAACCATGCAGTGTAGCTAAGGAGAGTTTTCCGTTTCCCCAGGGGTCGAGTCGACACAAGAAGTCAATGCCTCACACCAAGAATGGCGAGCTGATCCGTCGCCTGTTGTGGTTACCGAGGTGCCTTACGATTGGTGGTATGCGAGGTTTGGCAAGCAGCCCACGCGTCATTCGTGCACGAATCAGATCAGATGAGGCACATGTCTCTCTCGTTGACTTGATAGCCCAGGATGGCGGTGCGTTTGCTGTTGCGCTATCCTCTCTATAACAGCATTCCGGCAGCCACTACTGCAAGTGCCAAACCAGACGATTGTGCACTAACCATTCACGTCCTCGTGCAGAGGATTCCCTGTCTGCATGGTGATGGAGATGGCTTGATAGAAGTTATACGCAGTGAGACCAGTTTGCCCTCCTTCTGGTTCTTGCCCCCCTCCCCTGGGATACCATTCGATTGTGCTCTAGGCACGCCTGTATTTTACTTCGAGACCAACGCGCCATGGCTGACCGCCATTATCAACAAAAACACACTTACCTTTCGGGCGCGCGCGATGATGCAAGCGGTCTTTCAGTCGGCCAACAAAATCAAATGCCTAGAACACTAGAACAATGAGCCCGGCGTGGATGACACGGTCCAAATCGGGAGGCTCCTGTGCCCAGACTTTTGGTCGGACCAACAATTGCCCAGCGATGATGCTAGGGTTCATTTTGAAGGCAGCTTGCTCTGTCCTTTTCCGGAGAACAGAAATCCTACGGACTACGGTGCTCCGCGGACATTCCCTCGTAATCCCGGTCGGCATAATTTCGTCCCAACTTCCAGCATATCATCTTCCCTTCAAAGGAAACAACACGACGACGTGCAGGTCTCATCGGGCCATTTGGAATTCGGCGGGGGTGGGTAGGAATGACCGGTCCTCCCGGAATCACAACGATCTCTCGTGGTTCTCCACTTGCCCCGCTGGAGTACTCTACGGAGTAAGTCGTAACCTGGAGGCCTACGGAAGGAAACTCTAGACGAAGTACAGATTACAGGGCCTTTGAGACGGTCTACTCTGGTGTGCGCGTTTTCACCATGCAAACCGGTTGCGGACAAACTAAAGACACTTAAGGATTAGTTTGAGGGGAAACCGGAGCAAGCAAACCTGTCTGTTTCAGGGTGCCTCGGGCGGAGAAGTCCCACCCGTGTGGGTCCGCTTCTGCCTGCTGTTTGTCTAACCGGTTTTGCTCACGAAAGGTAGGCTTCAACCGTGTGGTTTGAATTCATTCCCTCGTGGTATATTTTACCTACCTCTAGCTACATAGAGTGGTCTAAGCCTAAATCGATTCGGTCTGTTCAGTATGGGCTTCTCGGTTGAAATCGCCATAAGAAATTTTACATCAGGCCACAAGTCAAAACTCTCCCTCTTACTAACTTTGAAGTGCTTTTTGAGTAGTATCGATTCGTGCTTTCCAGCCCTTGATCTACATCATATAGCAGTTTCATCTCATGATGTACATGATCCCCGTTCGTGATTTCTTGCTGGCCGCTCATCAATCAACTCAAGGTTCCTCGACGATCTTTGTCGAGCCATGCCCATTCTACCTTCGTGTGACTGATCATGTCTTTCCCTTCGTGAAGCACTATGATATAGACAATTTGACTATGGTTGCTTCTTTCCTTGGACTCTGGAGTCAAGGCCCGTAATCTGTGTCCTAGTCTACATGCGAGGTTATAAGTTCACCAAAGTCGAACGTGCTTGGAGATACCAAAGCCTACCTAACTGCAGTCCACGTTTTTCAGCCAGGGAATAAACCGAAGAGCTAGTTTCGACATAGGTATCAGGTATGTGTAGACTATACGCGTTCCATATGTCCCAGAGGCCAGCTGCCAAGCTTTCCGCTGTTCATAGACGTCACGATAGTCAATTTACAGAATTCTCAATAAATAACCTTGTTCCAACCTAGTAATCGACGACGGTCATTCAGTGACAAGTGTTTTATTTATTATACTTTAATAAAACTAATGCAGAATGCAAATAACATTGTCTCAGGACAGATAGGGTTTAGTAATGCTCTATTAGAATGGCACTTGAAAAACGATCTCAAGCCTGTCAATGCAGTATACACGATGGATGTATGTACCTGTAACACCTGGTTATGCCAACACGTGTTCTCGTCATGGTTTCTTTCATAAACAAATATTGCAATTGGATGAAGAAGTTCATCCTGGCATTTTCCATTTCATTGAACCTATCAGTATAGTGTACTATACTAGGTCTGGAAATGGACAGTACTACTAAGACTTCTTATTAGCCGCATGAACGATCTCTTAGGGGCTAATTTGAATTACGACAGGTTCTACCGACAATCCTGTAGATCACGTAGGAGCCCTATCGTATGTGCTGTACATGTATCACTTCTGGTCCGTGCCCTTGAACTGAAATAAAAAGCGTATAATGGTTGATGGTGAAGGTGAGGAAGCTTACGTTTATACCCTCGATGCAACCAGTACAATACCTACGTTTTCATAGACCGAGGGATAGATCTTGTCTGTTCCTGAAAGAAAAGGGCTTAGCTTTAATGACATATTTCCTACATTTGGGCGGCTCATGATTTTGCCCTGACAGCGGCAGCGACGCGAACGCAGTAAGGTGTCTCTGCGGCGAGAGCGCTTGTTAGTATACGATGTCGAGGAACGGCTTTGATCACCGATCAAAAAGATGTGGGAGTAAAAATCTAAAAGAAAATAGACACGACTCTCAAGCACGCTGAAATGCTAAATCTCAATGAAACACCTGACGAAGTGCAACCGTCTATTCTCTAATCTATGACCGTCTTGCATTTCTCGACCAATCGAACTTGTAAATGTCGCCAAAGAAAGCTCCTCAGACTTGAAGAATCTATTGGACCGCCTTCTGTTCGAACTTCTGTAGGACTCGGATATGCTCCTGCTTCAGGGCCTTGAACTCGTCGTCGAGCTGATTGTGCCACGGGTATAGAACGAAAACTTGAAAGGCGAGTGCGGACGAGGCCACTCCGAAGTTGATAAGGGAAATACCGCGCGTGATGATCATGTTGATTTGTATCTGTCAAAAACCTTCCGTTAGCAGGATAGATGGTCACGTGCGATCAAAACTCTACTTACAATTAATGGAGTGGAGAGTGCAATATAAGTGTCAACCTAGCGCTGCATGCGGTATAGTGGAATGCGATAAAAGGAGATACAGACAGACTGGAATGAACGACAGATGGTACGACTCTCACAGAGATCGTGCGATAGGAAAGAAATGAAAAGAATGGAAGATAAGAAGAGAAAATCAGGGGGAGATTGGGTGTCGAGTACAAACCTCCTGTTTTCATATGCCGCTGGGAACGGTGGGTCTGCAACGTGTCGGAGATTGTTCGGATCTGTCGGATCCGACTGATAACAGCGCGGTGCCGGCCTGCCCGGTTCTTAGCCGTTGGTCTGCACTATAAAGTCGGGTGACGGCCTCATGTCCTTCATTGCCTCGGTAATTGTCTTAGGGCGTTGTGCTCAAGTTCAGTGGCAAGACTGAGTTTCTACTTAGTTAACGCAATCTTGGGCCCAAAGTGTACAATGTTTCTATTTGTGCAAGAGGTATACTGCCATCATTGTAGGCTATTTATTCGCCATCCCTTCGGTGACTGACCGACTTCTAGGTTGCAATGTCTCGGTATAGAGACTTGTCACTTATTTATTCTTCCTATTTCCCTTTGCACATGGATGGTTGCTCAAATGTATAATGATTGCAGAATTTGCTGGAAATTCGGTGCCCTTTAGCGAACCCTATCAACCCAGCAAGATATTCGCAATGAGTGCCCCTGGGGCTATCATCGTACAGCGTTAGATATATGAGCCGACGTTCGTCACCTTCTTCACAATCGACATCCCGTGCCACCATTCGATGGTAAATATGCAGCTGACCTAATCATGTATCACGGTCGATTATTCAGATCCAGTGATCGAGAATCGTCATTCTTAGCAAGCATCGTTGTGGTTACAGGTGCTTACTCAGTGCCGGTGTCAGAGCCCATGGTTCCCATTGAGCTATTCGGCAAGCCGAGCCAGTGACCTTCCCTCGTCGCAAAGGCAAACAACTTTCTGAAGGTGGAATTGACATCATTATGTCATTACGTCATACTCCCTCCGGCCATTCCAGACCACCACATCCCTCTACCAGATTTATAACCCTCGCCTCTAAAACCAATCCTTATATAAGTTCGCATTTCAATAGAGATCAGTGACAATGAGCCGACTCTCGACGTGTCTCAACAAACAACTGGTTACCAAAAGCCTCAATATCAATCCAATTCGCTATCCGCGGATCTCCTCACCCTTTGCATCTGTGACGACTCGACTATACTCTCAGACCTACAACGGCAATATGTCGACCGAACCACCCCGCAACGAGATGGTCTACCTGCCCGGCGTTCTGTCGCCGAACCGATCTTTCGGAGTCTTTCGCAAGGTGCTGCATACGGGTCTCTACTCGCAATTCGTGGCCATGGAGGTTCCCGTGAACGGTGAGATCGGCGATGAGGTATGTATCTGCACTGCACCCACATTAAGACACCTATAGTATCTTTAGCCGGGCCTAACAACATGTCAATCCATAGAAACACACCGTCGACCAAGTTCTCCTCTTCACCTCGGGCGTCGGTAAAGCCATTGTGGCCGGAAAGGAGCAGGAAGTGAAACAAGGCGACACTGTGATTGTCCCCGCAGGCACGCAGCACCAGTTTTTGAACGTCGGATCCTCTCCATTGGAGGTCGTCACTATCTATTCTCCCGCGGAACATCACCCTCAGACAGTGCATCAGACCAAGGCTGAAGGGGATGAGAAAGAGGAATCAGGACAGGATGAGCCGGCGGAATGGAGCCAGAGAAGTAAGGCGGAGAACGAGAGACTGGGGCTTGTGAAGGTTTAATGATTTATGCATTTACCAATTCTTCCTTTAGTACAATTTTAAATGAAGTTTATGTGCCCTTGTTAGCATTTCAAGTCATCGACAAAAGGTTATGTTTCTTTCACCATATTCAATTAGCACCAGTCATATCTAGTTAAAGAGGGAGTGCCATCGCAGCAAAAGTCGAAAATCCCCTTTGCTGCCCCTGTGCTTCTCAAGCATCTGATGAGCGCCTCGAGGACGCTGGGTTCATCTCGCAGCAACCATTGACACCACTAATGAGACTTGTCTGTATTCAGCGGCATGCGATACTCGACAAATTCACATTTCGCATTCGCGACCGTGTCGTACATCCGGCGTGCCGACGTGTTCGTATGGTACGCCGCCCAGTAAAGTCTTCTACAGCCTTTCTCCTCAGCCGACTTTGCCGTAGCCTCAATGAGGGTCTTGCCGTAGCCTTTCCCGCGGAGAGACGAGTCGACGAATAGATCTGTATCACTCATCAGAGCTTCCCAAAGAGAGATGGACAGGTTGGAGGAATACCACTCAAATAACAAACATGATGCGGATTCCAAACGCTCTGGTGGAAGAAATAATGCGCCAGTCCGACGACGGCGCCCGTTTCGTTCACGAGTACATGGGCTTGCAGGTTGCCGTCCGGGTCAACGATGCGCTTGAATGTGTCTTCGTATTGGGATTGAGGTAATTCCGCCTCGCAGTGTGCAATGAACTGTTTCCAGAGACTAGCCCACGAGGCGTAATTCTCGGGTTTGAGCGTGGTGAGTGTGACGGACATATTTTTGAGCGTGAGATGCTTCAGTCTCTGGAGCTGGGGCTCCATAGCTTATATGATATTTCTGCCATGTTGAGATTTTCGGGATTGGGAATCAATGAGGCAATTATGATTTGCTACTAGCACTAGACCTAGACTGTATTTTGACATGATCACGCCTTAGCGTTCTTACGCCCTTCGCCATCAGGCGGATTGGATGGCTGAATTCGGCCCCCACATTTTGGTCTCCTAATCTCATTGCCATTTTCATTGTTGCACGTTAAATGCTACGATGAGCGAAGCTTTACGCGGTCGAGGATATAGTCTGGTAGAGTCGAAGTATTGCCTAGACCATAAAGATAGGCTACCCCCGACGCATAGGATCTTCGGCATATTTTAACCAAAAGAAATTATATAACGCCGACCATTGCTGACGGTGGGTATCTGTCTAATTGAATATTATGGTTATCATTCTCAATTTCAAGCCGTAACTAAATATCTGTTAGATCTCGCTATTAAAACCTCCTTCTCTCGAGGGGGTCATACATCCAAGTGCCTAAGTATCATAACTGTCGCCTTTTTCAACTCCATCCAGGCAGCGTATGATTTTGGACACCTATATAGCGGGATCCCGCCTGTAAAAAGATTCTCGTCCATAGTTGCGAGTTGTTGCTCGCCGACAATGGTCCATCTCCCGGGATCGAACACGTCTGGATGGCTTCCATAGATCTGACGAGAGCGCCGAATGACCTCTGGGTGGCAGACAATCATTGTATTCTCGGGGAGAAAGTTTCCCAATGCCTCTATCCCACCCTTTGGAGCCTGGGTATGTTTATAGTACGCGGTGAAAGCGCAACATCGCGTTGCTTCTTTCATCACTGCATCAAGGTATCGGAGTCTAGTTAGTTCACTCCAGTCAGGTATCTCTGAAAGAACACCCTCATTGAATGCCCTATCTATCTCGTCTTTCAGTAATGACATGAAATCGGGACGCCTCAGAAGACAGTAAAAGGTCGACACAAAGCCGGCGATGATGGACTGGAGTTTGACCTTCGCCGCATATTCTGGTGAATATCCCTTGGGAGGTGAAATAGATCCCGGTGACATTGTCTGCTCATTCTCGGTTAAGCAGCATTCAACCCTTCTGGAACCCCGAAGAGGACAATATCTCCTTCTTGACTTAGCTCTTGGGTTATTCAACGCCAGGTATTGGATGGTGGACTGTGAGAAAATGGTACTCATCCGACCGGGATAAGAACTGTCTGCTGGCAATGTCTGACAGCCCGCATTTTTCTCGACATGGTCGTCCATTGTCAGTATGTTCACAAAGTCCGTTCCAAGATAGTGCAGTAGTAATGGCAGATCCACCGCCTTGTGTGCTTTGATAGTAACGATGAAGTTTGTGACAAGGCGATCAATGGTACCTTGGTATACATCTGCGTCCTCAAGGTACTCTAGTCTGTCACGCAACAGATGGTTGCGCATACCGTGTAGTGACCTGTTCTTGTCCTCCAACCATTCTTGTGAAGAGGTTCTATTATCGCTCGGAAACAACTAGATTGATTAGCTCTGCATATCTTACTGGAGAAAGCTCTACCTACCTCGTCTAATCGCCCGTTATGTCGAACCAAGCGAAGAAGTGTCACATCGGAAACACTAACACAGCTCGGTCCCAACCGCACGATTCTTCCATACTTCTCATGGAGATCAACCAGGCAGTGACCGTAGCGAGATGAACGTTGAATATGCCATCGCCAGCAATCAGACAGGCCAGCGAACCAAGGCCCAGGAACCCGTCTCAGCCGGACATGGTTGCCAAGAATGCGAATAAATACCAGGAAGACCAGGAATAGTGCAGTTGCATATTCAGCCATTCTTTGAGCAAGGCTATAAGATCATTGTTTCCTGTCAAGATGCGATCATGGCAGTTGAGAAGGTTACAGTCGTCAAGATGTGTCATTAATTTCCCCCAGCCGCGTTATCCCGAGAGAAATGGCGATTGCCGAGTTGTCCCGACGTGGTGTGCGTCTTCGGGCGCGTCATATTTACGATCAACATAGATTATGAAGCAAACAGTTCTATCATAATATCACATTGGTTGTTTCTTGTTTATTTCTGAAGCTTACTACTAGTTTACGCATCTTCTAGAAAATTTATTTGGAGAAAGGAACAGTAACACTTGCGGTTTGGTTCCCGGTTCAAGTATTACCTATAGTTGGGCATAAATACCTATAGTTGGGTTCTGATTATCACTGAGATGGCAGAGATCTACAAGCTCTAGTTAAATGCTCCCCGCGGGATTCAAAGCATGGCATACTTTGAGTGTAATTATGAACGCATGTCGTCATGATACCTATACTATCAAGTGCAATAGAAATTATAGGCCTCATCAAGCTTCCCTTTCGCGTAGTCGGATTCCTGTTGATGGGATTTAGGGTAAGAGGCTGCGATGGACTTCTCGGTAGTAGGCGCACTTACCAGACAAATTTTGAACCCCGTAACAATCTCTTGCTCCTCCTCGATCAGTCTTGCTTGCTCACTGGTGATTCCCTCTTCGTCGTAGGTCTCCGCCCGGTCAAAATCCAGCCAGACCACTCTGTCAGGAGTATCTTTGACTACCATCATGTTCCTCGGTTTCGGGTCTCGATGTCGCACAAACGCTTTGTGTATTTGTCGAATGCCCGCAACGAAATTGTCCATACGTTCCTGTGTATAGATATCGAGACTGATCATTTCTAGGCCGACAATGTACTCCAGGAAAATAGCGCTTGGGAGGTATTCGTCATTCAGGAAATCTTTCAAATGAGGCTGGCATAAAGACGGGTCGAATTTCCTTACGGCGCCCAAGTAGTTGGGTACAATTCCACGGTCGCAAAGCCCACGTTCTTTCAGTCGCGTGTAGGCAGTGGACTCGAGGACGTGAATATCCAGTTCACGGTTTTCTGGTTCGTAGTATCTCCGGGGTCCTCGTCCATGATGCTTCCCAAATTAGCAGTGATCTATTTAGAGTCTTTGATGCCAGGTTGACCTACCACCTTCATGATGCATTGCTGATTGCGGACATTGACGAGAAATATGACTGAGAATGCAGAGGAGAATAGCTTCTTTAGGAAGAGAATTTCTGTCAGTTCGATATCGTCAAGTTCGTTAGCCATTTTGGGGCAGGTGCATATTTTGGAAGAGAATACGATTGCGACGCGGAAACGCGAGGAATTGAGGACTCGGATCGGCGCGTCTTGCTTCTGTCGAGGAAGGCCACGAAGAGACTGGTCGTCTACACCGACCCCTGGGAAAGCGCATGATGCTTTAGGAGCGAGGGGCTTGCTCAATCTATATTTATCCACCACTTGGTATCGGAAGACAAGTCGAGGGACTGCGGCATCTCCTCTGATGTATTTGAGGGCTGCTGTTCTGTTAAAGTCTTTGATAAGATCTAGATACCTTCACTCCAGCGACACAATCCTCATTATCGCTGATATGGCGAATGTGTTCGTGATGCCCTCACCATTAATAATGTGAACTCCTTTCTTATCGGCGTCGGGCCGACGGAGCGATCAGTCAGCAGAACGCGTGTGGGGAAGCAACTGGCGGAGACGGAGACAACAAACGCCTTCTAGTCCGTCGACTATTTGTCCCTCGACTTCCAATCCGCCTCTGATTCTGGTCTTTAGATCGGACAGGTCTGTGCCCTTACTGCGAGACTAGACCAGGATTACCTCGGCCGATCATCTATCGTCTTGCTTCCACGATAGTCCTGCAGCATCGCACCGAACTACCGAACAATCTCGTGGGGAAGAGCCTGGGGTATGCACTGTTCATTGGCGTGCTCATCAGCATCAAGACCTATCACGAACATTATAAGGCCCGGGCTTTGTTTCCCATTAGGACTCTGCGGTATGGTCGTTGCATCCCAGCGATAAATCAATGGCTCCGGGAACAGCTAAGGCCAGGATGCATCATCGATCGGACGACCGATCTAACCTCAGACGATCGATGGTGGCGTAGGTGATCGAAATAGTCACCTGCTGAGCTTGAGACTGGGATAACAGCGCTAACAATGGCCCTAGATGTAATCGATGTCGCAATAGGAAGACACGATGTGCTGGCAATCCTCCGTACCCGTGCGCCGCCTGCGAGGATGTGGGTCAAGTATGTGTATACTCGGAAGCTGAAAAGCGTGTGTCGATTCCGGAAAGGTGATACTGAGCATGGCCTTTCGCTCAATACGTGCTGATCGTCTATTCCCAGTTATTTTATCCAACTTCAGTCCCAGGCCCGCACATCTTCCCGCCGAGGTATGGAGTGCTTTTGCGTTCACAAACTATTAAGATCTGACATGATCATTGACTGTGGGCTACAGACCAGCCTGCAAGCTCGACTCCTGCTCAGCCCAGTCCCTATACCAATGTAGAAGCTCCACCGGAACGCGATGATTGGTGGTATAAGGGGACGGATCATTTATTCTTGAATCGGTCCGGAGAGCATCGTGCGTATACACCCCGGCAACCATCTGGCGTCCATCCTGACACAAGACAGAATTTGTGGGAGCTTCATCCGCTACCCACCTGGCCAAACGCCTCAATCCGACTTCAACTAATTTTGCATGGGATGTCCGCCCGCTATATGATGACCCTTCGTCACTGCGGTTATCGACGACCAGAGCCTTACCCCAGATGCCACCGTTTGAGTTCGCCAAGCGACTTTTCTGGGTACAGTACACCTATATTGGAACCATCTTTTCCTTGATTCATCCCGCAGACTTTGAGGAACGCTTGAAAACAGTATATGACCAACCACCAGACTTTTCGTCTCGGGAGTCTTGCCTAGTTTACTGTCAGGTATTGCTGGTCATAGCCTTTGGGCTGATGTATTCCGTGAATCAATGGTCGGGAGACGACGGGCCGCCCGGTTTCAAATACTTCAAGCATGCCCTACGATTCCTACCAGACATTCACGAGGAGGGTTCGATATTCTTTGTCGAAGTATTGTGCTATGTGGCCTATTACATGCAGAATCTTAATCGGCGCGATGCTGCATTTCTATATGTACGTTCATCAGCTCACTGCTGACTGCAAGTGAACGCTAACAGCGTGATAAGATCGGCCTCGCTTTGCGCATGGCCATCTCATTAGGTCTTCACCAAGAGGTCTCCGACCCCTCAATTAGTGAAGGTGATCGAAACCGCCGGCGACGAGCATGGTGGTCTGTATATAGTTTGGATCGGTATGTCGTTCTCAATCTGTTGTATTAAAGTACAATAGAGGTTGACGATCGCCAGGTTGCTGTCTGTCAAGTCAGGCAATCCCATTACGATACATGACGAGGACATTGGGATAGAATGGCCGATACCAATGGATAGGACAGCTGATGTTCCATGGCCCTCTGTAGTGCTTACCTATTATACACAGTTGTCCCGGATCTTAGGCAGAATAGGAGAAGGTGAGGACTCTCAAATCCTCTACTCGGGTAAAAGTCTCCTGACGATTGTGTTAGAAATCTATCGCAAAAAGCCTCGATCTGGCTCCAACCTACTTGCGTCTGCCCAGAGCATCACCAACGACCTATCAGAATGGCTTCAGCGGATTCCAGATCGGCTCCGAATCGACTTCTCCAGCCTCAACAGCCATGTAAATAGGGAATCGGTGTCTATCTTTCTGCACTTTTACTCTTGTGTCAACATGACTGCGAGGCCTCTGGTATTTTATGTTATTCAGCGTCGACTTGATGCAGGTGATCAATCCTCTGCGACAAGCGACTGGAAAGAAGGACTGTCGCCGAATACTGTGGCGGTCATAGACAGCTGCATCAGTGCGGCCCGGGCCACCACCGTTATTATGGATGCTGCTGCAAAGCAAAATCTTGTTGGTAGGTTATCGTGCAACACAAAACTATTGTCATAACTCTAATACTATAGAAAGCTACGTACGGCTATCTTGACGGCGAATACGTGTTTTCAGCAGCTTTATTGCTCGTCATGGTCAATGCCGCCTTTCCTCACAACGAAGCCAACGCACGAAGCATGGGAGTAGCGCTGAGTCTCCTCCGAGGTATGGCAGATCGCGGTAATGCGTATCTGGCCTCCCGGCACTCCCTTTTAATCGAACTACAATCAGCGATTGGACCTAATCACACACGGAGAGACGACCTTGCTGTCGGTACCCCTATCACGCCCAGTAGCATACCACAAGCAAGTCCGGCTACCAATGTGGTAGCAGATCAAACACCGGTGGTATCTACGGAGTGGCCCTCGCAGCAGGATCTACCGTCTATGCGCGACATCTCATTCAATTTTGACATCAACGATGACCCGGGACTGTGGGAAGAAGTGTTGGATCAAATCGATATCGATATGGATACGGACTGGATTGAGAATACTTTGAAGAAATAGTTTACTTGTCAGACAACCACCCACGACCTTTAATAAGGCTTATTAATAACTATTCGCAATAATTCCATGTTGTAGTTTACACCTATTGTGTGCCCATATACGAACTCCATTTGACGCGCTTAGCTTCGGGGAGGTCACGCTACCGATTCCGTCATTTGATCCCTTCATGTTAACATTGTCTACGCTACTTCCAACCCCTTAGCTGCAAATTAGGTCCTATATTCGTATCGCAAGAACCACAGCAGATGATACCATCGGCGACATCGGTCCGGTCCTGCCGATCCTCCGAGGCGTCGGCCCGACACGTGACCCGTGTTATCGTTATCGGGCTCCTCCCCCTCCATGGGGAAGCAGCTATTTTAACTCCGGGCATTCCCCTCCTTTAGCAATCCCACATTTCTCTGTCCCATTGTTCATCGGTCATCCTGTCATCTTCATCCATCATGGCCGGGACTGGGAAAATCACAATCTCCATCGATCGCGGTGGAACATTTACCGATGTACATGCCGTCGTTCCCGGTCGCCCTGACATCATCCTTAAGTTACTATCCGTTGATCCCGCCCACTACCAAGATGCACCCACGGAGGGTGTTCGCCAGATTCTCGAGAAGGTCACCGGCGAGAGCTTCCCTCGTGGAAAGCCCCTGAAGATGGACGCCATTGGCAGTCTACGGATGGGAACTACCGTAGCCACAAATGCCTTGTTGGAGCGCAAGGGAGCTCGATCAGCCCTCCTCACGACCAAGGGTTTCCGCGATCTATTGCACATCGGCGACCAATCGCGGCCGAATATCTTCGACCTGTCCATGGCCCGACCCGGTGTTCTGCCAGAGGGTGTCGTCGAGATCAATGAACGAGTCCTCCCCATTCATGCGGCCGCTGATAAGGACTGCTTTTCTAGCTCTCGCGTGGTGGAGGGCGTCACCGGCGAGAAATTCCGCGTGGTACAAGAGTTGGACGCCGAGGAGGTTCGAACTGAACTTCAGCGCTTGAAGGAGCAGGGTTACCAGTCGTTGTCTGTCGCTTTGGTCCATTCATTCGCCTACCCGGAACATGAGCGCATCATCGGAGATTTGGCCGAGGAGATGGGCTTCTCCGTCACTCTGTCCTCCAAGCTGCAACCCATGATCAAGATCGTGCCTCGAGGAATGTCGGCCGCTGCCGATGCCTATCTTACCCCCGTCATCAAGACCTACATCGACTCCATCTCATCTAGCTTTGAAGGCGGTCTGGACCAGCAGCGCGAGTGTCGGTTCGAATTCATGCAGTCGGACGGTGGTCTGGTTGACTTCCGCAAATTCAGCGGCCTGAAGGCCATTCTGTCTGGTCCGGCTGCTGGTGTTGTTGGCTTTGCAGCGACCAGTTGGGATCCCGCCGAGAAGACGCCGGTCATCGGTTTTGACATGGGTGGCACTTCCACTGACGTGTCTCGCTTCGATGGCCATTTGGAGCATGTGTTTGGGTCAAAGGTTGCTGGTGTCCTGATCCAGTCCCCCCAGCTGGATATCAACACAGTTGCCGCTGGTGGTGGCTCCATCCTGTCGTATCGGAACGGGCTGTTCTATGTCGGACCCGAGTCCGCGTCCGCCCATCCCGGCCCTGCCTGCTACCGCAAAGGAGGCCCTTTGACCGTCACCGATGCCAATCTTTTCTTGGGACGTCTGATGCCGGAATATTTCCCTCACATCTTCGGCCCTAATGAGGACCAGCCGCTTGACCTCGAAGCGACGACCAAGCTCTTCACTGAGTTGACTCAGAAAATCAATACTGAGCGCAAAGAGAGTGGCGAGACAGAATATACGCCTGAGGAGATTGCCCTCGGATTCTTGAAGGTTGCCGACGAATCGATGGCTCGCCCGATCCGGAACCTGACTCAGGCTCGGGGCTTCGAAACAGCTGCTCATCACTTGGCCTGTTTCGGCGGAGCTGGTGGTCAGCATGCCTGCTCAGTTGCCGCTTCGCTGGGTATTTCTCGCGTCATCATCCACAAGTACTCGTCGGTTTTATCGGCCTATGGTCTGGCTTTGGCCGAGGTGGTTAAGGAGTCGCAGGAGCCGGTTTCTAAGGACTACTTGAACTCGCAGTCAACGCTTGAAAGTCGCTTTGATGAGTTGATCAAGGTTGCCACAGAAGACATGGAGGTGCAAGGATTTGCGGCCGACCAGGTCCGGCATGAATTATACCTGAACATGCGATATGACGGATCCGATACGAGTTTGATGATTCTGAAGCCCGAGGACGGTTCCGATTTCCTGGAGCAGTTCCGAGTCCGCCACCGCCGTGAGTTCAATTTCAACTCGGAGCGGTCGGTTCTAGTCGACGATATTCGTGTGCGCACTATTGCTTCGTCCAAGGTGCGGGAGGAAAAGAGCCCTCTTGTGCAGCTGAGGGAGGCTACTCTGCAAGACGTCAGCGCCTCGCCAGATAACACGACCCAGGCATTCTTCGACGGACATGCCAGCCGCATCGACACTCCTGTCTATCTACTAGACAAGATCGATAAAAACACCCGCGTCCATGGACCTGCAATCATCATCGATAACACCCAGACAGTTGTGGTAGCGCCCGACTCTGTGGCAAGCATTCTGGAGACCTGCATTGTCATTGATCTAAAGGATCCGCAGAAGAATGCTGAGAGTGGTGCTTCTTCCGGCATTGACCCCATCCGGCTGAGTATCTTCGGGCATCGATTCATGTCGATCGCAGAACAGATGGGCCGTACGCTACAGAAGACGTCGGTATCCACGAACATCAAGGAGCGTTTGGACTTTTCGTGCGCTCTATTTTCTCCAGATGGTGGACTGGTCGCAAATGCACCTCATGTTCCGGTGCATCTCGGGTCCATGCAATTCGCAGTTCGCTTCCAGCACCAGAAGTGGCTTGGTAATTTGAGAGACGGAGATGTACTAGTTGCCAACCACCCAAGCTCTGGCGGCACGCATCTTCCTGATATCACAGTAAGTGGCTATTAACACATTTGTAGAAACCTCACACTGAAGTTTTCTAGGTCATCACCCCCGTGTTTGACAAGCCCGGTGGCAGCGAAATCATGTTTTACGTGGCGTCTCGCGGCCATCACGCCGACATCGGTGGTATCCTCCCCGGCTCCATGCCACCCAAGTCGACCGAGCTGTGGCAGGAAGGTGCTGCCATCGAAGGTGACAAGATAGTCAGCAACGGTGTCTTTAACGAAGACCGTGTCCACGAACTTCTGGTCCGGAAACCCGCCGAACACCCGGGCTGTGCTGGGGCCAGATGCTTTAGCGACAACCTGTCGGATCTGAAGGCACAAATTGCCGCCAACACCCGCGGTATCACGCTTATCCAGAGCCTCTTCGCCGAGTACGGCGTTCAAACCGTCCAGAAGTATATGTACGCCATTCAAGAAACCGCCGAAACCGCCGTACGGAATCTCCTCAAAGACCTCCACCAGCGTTTTGGCGGCCAGCCTCTAGAATCAGTTGACTACATGGACGATGGCACACCCATCAAGCTCAAAGTCACCATCAACGGCGACGATGGCTCCGCTGTTTTTGATTTCGCAGGCACCGGCCCCGAAGTCTACGGCGGCTGGAACGCCCCGATCGCCATCACCCACTCCGCCATCATCTACTGTCTCCGATGCATGATCAACGCGGACGTTCCTCTCAACCAAGGCTGCCTGGCCCCCATCGACATCCAAGTCCCCTCTCCCAGTATTCTCTCCCCAACCAAGACCGCTGCCGTCGTCGGCGGCAACGTCGTCACCTCGCAACGAATCACAGACGTAGTTCTCAAAGCATTCCACGCGTGCGCCGCCTCGCAAGGATGCTGCAACAACCTCACATTCGGCACTAATCCCAAAACGGATCCGGAAACCGGCGCCACCATCCCAGGTTTCGGCTACTACGAGACAATCGCAGGCGGCAGCGGCGCAGGACCCAGCTGGGCTGGCGAGTCAGGAATCCACGTCCACATGACCAACACACGGATCACAGACCCGGAGATCCTCGAGAAACGGTATCCGACGCTACTACGGCAATTCACTCTTCGGGCTGGATCTGGCGGCGAGGGCGCGCACCGCGGTGGCGATGGCGTTGTGCGCGATATCGAGTTCCTAGCGCCTATGGAGTGTTCGATTCTCTCGGAACGGCGCGTCCATCGCCCGTACGGTCTCGAGGGTGGAGAGGCCGCACAGGCAGGCCTAAATCTGTGGGTTTCGAAGGACGAGGGGACGGGTGGGGAGAGGGTGGTGAATATCGGGGGGAAGAATACGGTGTCAGTCAAGACGCATGATCGCGTGGTGATTATGACGGCGGGGGGTGGTGGATGGGGGAAGAAGTCTGGATGATTGCATTGGTCAAATGTATGTATGTATGTATCTACCTACGTGTACTTAGTGAGCCGCTTATTTCACCGATTTTGTGCGGGTAGTTTGACAACTACGTTTAGTTGAACATCGGACATATACTTTGTGATAGCAAATTTGGTTGATAGGGTAGTAGAGTTAACGTGAATTCTATGAACATTCACCTAAATAGTACGGCAACAAAACAGCGTAGGGCTACGCAGTGGAAGGGGATTGTCCTGACGAAGGAGTATCTAAGCTTTTATTCTCTTTGCCGAGTTCCTATACTTACGACCAGGAGCTATTTTATTGTTGTCCAATTACTAGTGACGATAGCAGCTCTAATGCTAGGCCCACCCCTATCTCTAGCCCTGCTTCTAGTGCCGCAATTGTGATTGCTTTTGTAACAACCATGGTCAAAACCTCACGCTTGGCTGATACCTCAGGCAGATAGTTAGTCTTATACCTTCTCCACGCTTAGAATTCAACATCTTTCTCGCCTACGGGCTCGCTACGTAACCGTAGAAGGGTTGCAGCAGCGTATGTCCTGCGGCAGTTGTGCTGTTCTACCAGCATTAGAAGCCATTCGGCTACGTAGTAGGGCCCCGAAGGGTCCTATACTCTGCCATATCCATATCCTTTCTGCGGCTGTCTGTTGGGGTTTGCATCAACTGGGTTTTCTCTTCCCACCAGGCTGAGCGGGCTGAGCGGTACTGAGCTATTTCTTATTCGCCTGGGCTGTTAGCTTTGATAACCCTTGCAAAAGTCGGGCTCTGTGTGGATCAGATGATAGACTAACTACACTAGCAAGGAGAAGCGGTCCAACCGCCGAGAAGGAGTCTACCTAACATGCGTTGCGGCGCAGCTGCATATTAGCCAACTCCAATATAATTGAGGGTTGCAACTGGGCTACTTAAAGACAGCCCAGCCCCCTAACCCCGCTTCTCGAGCATGCTCTCTGTTCTCAGACCTCAATCCTCTCAGTATCTGAACTCCCGAAGACTATGGAATCTAACCTCTCAACCCACACATCACGTCGCGCGAAACGATCTAAAGCTCCAGTCCAGAAGGCAACCGTGATCAAGTCCGCCGAAGTGAGTCCCAGAAAGACCAGCAACAACAACATCGACCAAGGGATCCTTGACAAGATCCAAAAATGCCTGAGTCGTGCCAGACACGCCTCCGCAAACGAAGGCGAAGCAAAAGCCGCTCTATTCCTAGCCCAGAGGATGATGGCCCTATACAACGTCACACATGCAGATCTGCTCGCCAATGACGACGTCGCAGACAAAGCGCAGTATGGAGGTCGGAGCGTGGTGTCCATCCAAAACGCCCACGACCGCACCAAGCGCGTCAGAAAAGAGACGTTTGTCGACAAATTAGCCAATGCCATGTGTACCCTCTACGATTGCAAATGCTATTCAGTGGATAGGCATGTCTCTATTGAGTGGTCGTTCTTTGGCATTGCGGCAAACACGGTCACGGCAGCAGGGGCTTTCGAAGCGGTGCATAACAAGACGCTCCAATGGGCATGTGCGTACAAGGGAGGGACGCCAACGTTCAGCTACCGCATGGGTCTTGCGGATGGACTGGTGAGTATGGCGTATCGGATCAAGCGCAGAGAGCTAGTTGAGGTTCGGCGAAAGGAGCTGGACATGATTGCCGCCAGCGATCGAGAAGAAGAAAGGCGGCGAAAGGAGGAACTTGATCGTATTCAAAGGTTAGCGCCGTTGAAAGTCGATGATGACGATAATAACAGTGACGATGATGATGATTTCGCCAATAATGACAGTGGACCGTTCATTACAAACCCCTCTGACAACATGGATGTCGACGAAGTCGGGCAGGTTAGGGATGGGGGTGGAAGAGCCGATTTCAATGAGCATGATATTGAGGTGATAGATCTGACAGAGGATGTGGACGACAACTTGGAGAGATTGATCAAACGAGAACGGCCAAAGAGCTTGAAAATGGACAATATCCGTCAACATCCGGTCAAACCCGAGCCTTCAGCTACGGCAATCAAGGACGAGAATACCTCCGCTTCTCCGTGGGCCTCTGAGATGCAGCTGGTCCGGTTCCGTGCCATGTCCGAACAGATTGCAGAAGATTATCTCAAGAAGCGAAATATCAAGCCTCGGGAGAGGAAGGCTCGGCCTGTGGTTGCTCGACACATCGATTCTTATCGTCAAGGCTGGAGGGACAGCAGCAAGATTGATATCCCACTCCCTTCTACTGTCACTTAAGATATGCACGAATGTTACTGTTTTCTTGTTTCCTAGTTAGTTAGCATAGTGGTTCTGACGTCTCACCATAGGATCCCGCCTCAAGGATCTTGCGGAGCGAGGTCCTCGTAAATGGAACACCTTCTTCCTGCATTATGGTCCCACTCATGATATTTGCAAGTATAGCAGGGCCAACATGCATAAATCCCACCTGCGGCACAGTGACGCCATATAACTGTCGGAAGATGGGTTTTTCCCCTGTGCTTGGGTGCCAGGCTGCACAGATTAGTAGTTAACTATCCAAAATGGTAGTGATTTAGGTGCAATACTGAACTTTGCAGAAGCATCGGAGAGGTTTCACAGCCGCGCGCCGCCGGGCCGCAGAACTAGACTGCGGCATATTGTACGATACTAATAATGAATTACTATTATTACTAGCAGGCTGCTGAAAACCCATTACTTTTTGATCGCCTTGTACCACACTGTCTATCTAATATACAATAAAGCACAGCAGTCTGTTCTATCACTCCTTTTCATTTCCTTTCCTTTTAGTTGCACATCCACCACACCTCCATTCACCCCCATGCCGCCAACGAATCAATCAACCTCCTCCCGCCTCCTTTTTCTCGTTACGATATCTCCTCCAACTAACTCCCATAAACAACACCGACACGAGGACCCCGAGCCCGGCAAGTCCAGTACCCAGATACAGTGCGCCCCTGTACCCGCGCAGCTCGTCACTTCCGCCGCGATTGACATTCGACTCCACGGTGCCTGCGAACCCGAGGCCTAGGGAAATAGAGTAGTTGACTGTCGTGGTAACCAGGGAGGCGGCGAGGCCTTGGTGTTGGCGTGGCATGGAATTGCTGAGGATGAGCGTGCCGGAGGGGAAGGACATGTCCCTGCTTTTAGTTAGTTTGCCGTCTTAGACTGGGGATCAGTGATATCTTGGTGTTGAGGAGAGGTGGGAGAGGTATGCAAATAGGGAAAGATGGCAGAGGGACGCAAAAGAGGAATGGAGGGTGACGTACATTCCCCAGCAAGTGATCAGACTGACTACGAATGCCTGGGCCCAGTAAGTCTGATCTACCGGGACGGTAGCGAAAATGGCCAGACCAGCGGTGAAAGCGCACATGGAACAGAACATGATGACGCTGGCCGGGAGGCGAGATAGCAGAAACCCGGTGGTCAGGGCGGCGAGGGCGCCGGAGGGAGAGGCGGCGATGAACTTGACAGTTGTGAGGAGCGGCGTGTCGCCCTTGATAACGAGCATGAACTGATAAAAGTAGTAGATGAGGATGCCGAAACTGGACCAACCCGCTGCGATGCATGCGAGCACCCAGGCGAGGTTGCCGGTGAGGACGGACTTGGGGAGTAAGGGACAGGCGGCGGAGCTCTCGATCCAGGCGAAAAGGCCCATCAGGATAAATCCGACAATCAGGAGTGCGTAGGTGTATGGTGTCTTCCAGCCTACCACAGCGGCTTGGTTCCATGCAAAATTGATCAGGATGAGGGCCGAGATTCCTGCGGCGGCCCCGAGGAGGTCGAGTCGGACCCAGAGGGGCATGGAGTCCTTGAAACGAGGCCGAGGGGTCTTCGGAATGACGAGGAGGCCGAGAACCGCAAAGAAGGAGCACATGATGCCCATGACCCAGTAACCCCAGGGCCACCAGACGAGCTGGGCGAATATGGAACAGAAGACGCCACCGACGAGGAAGCCGCTAGGCGCCGTGGCGCCGAACAAGCAGAAGACCATCTCCTTGCGGAGACCGGGCGGATAGGTGCGACCGAAGATAGCAATCGCATTTGGCAGCAGCAGGGCCGGCCCTATGCCCTGGAAAGCCCGGCAGCAGTCGAAGAAGAGCTCGTTGGACCAGACGCTGAAGCCGCCGAGCAGGGACCACAGACCGAACCACGCGAAGCCGATGACGAACATCAGGCGATGACCGAAGACATCGCCCAGACGGCCCGCGACGAGGATAAACGTGCCGACCGTCAGACTGTAGGCGGCCGCGAACCAGCTCAGCTCACCGGGACTCGACGTGTTGAAGCTCTCGCCGATGATGTAAACCGGGGCGATGGAGATGGCCAGCCCGGCCTGGGTCATGAATTGGGCCATGCAGACCACAAGGATAAACGGGACCTCCTGCCATAGCGACTTTGGGGGCTCTATGGCCGAATGCGAGGTTTCGACTCGGGTCAGCGCTTCAGGGTCATCGTTTCTCTCGGTCGGTTTCTCGTGCAATTCATCGCGCACGTCACTTTCGGAGTTACCGGACGAGACCGACGAGTCTCGGGGATCGTTGCCACGAGAAGCCTCCATCTCCGAGGACGCTCGGGATTTCCGAAGAAGTTCTCTTGAAATCGTTGCAAACCTGCACACCAAGGGAAAGTTCCAACTTTCCTCCGGAGAAGCTGCTGAGGGTTTAAGCTTCTTTAAGAATCGAGGATGGTGAAGACCCACTCGTCCCCCTTGTGTGGTCTGGAGCTAGACTGTAGGGGCGCGATCCATGGATCTGCGCCGATTCCGTCAGCGCGGACCAAATCCGCGGTGATTGATAAGACTGCAGGATTGTCTTGATTCCTGGTGCAGGGCACACCTATAAACAGGGAATTGGAAGGTATACCCTGTCGTGTAGTCGAACGACATACTCGCCTGCAGGAAGCGGTGCCTGGATTATCAAGCCCCAGAACAGGATATATATCCCGCTATACAGGACTCGCAGCGAGCCGTCCAGGCCATGCTATAAACATCCATGCTCCATCATGATGTCGCAATGCTATTTTCTTGTCTGATTCAATTGCAGGTCTTTGATATCCACATGTCTTATATCAACTCGTGCTGTCTATCACACACAATCTCCCCTTCTGTCTCTCTCTCTAAGTTTCTTGGCGAACGTAAACTGGCTCGAACATCCTGGGGCTATATGTGTACTAGGCTCGCGAATGAGGCATATGCTAGGGAGGTCCTACCGCAGCAATGGCATGAGGCTAAGATGCATCGACCCGTCATACCAGGACAAGTCCGAGGTATCCCATTGGCACTTCATTCACGACCAATTGAAGCGGTGGGAGGAAGTCAGCCGGACGTACGTTGTGTGACTTGACCTGAAACTGTTTGCTGATGGTGCATCGGCAGAGCCAACGGAGGTCCAGAATGGAATCATTTCACGACTTGACAGGAGCATAAAGGTCAAGGAGAGAGAAAGAAAGACGAGTCTACAAGAACCGCAGACCACGCTAAGCCCCATCGGGACATCCGCGGAGAAGGGCGATGACCTCATGGCTGACATAAGCTCATCACATGCCGGCCGAGCAAAAGAGACAAACGCCAAAAAAAGAAAAAGCAACAAAACGTGACTCGACGGGTTTGCTGCGTTGCTGCCTGCGTCGTCCGTTGCATCTCTCGCTTCTCCCTTCATCCCTCATGCCGACGTGGCTTGCCGCCACTTTCGATGGCAGTCAGTGACACATCACCTCACCTTACTTCTTGGAGTCCCGTCTGATCATGTTCTCCTGATCTTCTACCCCGCCGGACTTTTCCAGACTCACCTGAGCCCAGCTTCCCCTCATAGCCCCCTTTAGCAGGCTGGTCGGGGTTTTCGTCTTCCCCTCTTAATACCTTTGTTCTGCTCTGACTTTGTCAATTTCCCTATTCGACTGTCTTTCCTTTCACCCGCTGTTCATGTAATTCTTAGTTTGTTGCTCCCTACCCGCTGCTCTTTCTTCCGCGGTCGGAGTGCCATTTCCACCCGCTAGAGCCCACCATGGGGAACCCCCCAACGAGGATTATCATTGCCAGGTGGGTGCGAACTCCTTCAAATACGTCAGGATGGAATACTGACTCATTTTACAGGCACGGTGCCCGTTTGGACGCGGCCGACAAAAATTGGCATCTGACATCCCCCACTCCTTACGATCCGCCTCTCTCCTACGGCGGCTGGCTCCAGTCTCGGACACTAGGAGCGCAAATCATCAATCTTTTACAGTCGCAGGACAATGAAGAACCCTCTGAAGGAACGGGCGACCGAAATTTACCATCCTTCCGCGCGCAACCCCCCAAACGCAAACGACGGATCATCGTCCATTCATCCCCCTACCTCCGATGCTTGCAGACCGCGATCGCTGTGAGCGCGGGCATCAGTCAACACTTCCCCGAGACGGACGCCTCATTACCCCCAAAGCCTTCTGCCATCCCGAACCCAAAGACCCATACAACGGGCAAAGGCAGAGCCTCGGTTCACGGGTTCAATGCCGCCTCGGCCTTCCCCAGTCCCATTCCGAATGATCACCGTTGCCTGTTGCGTGTGGATGCGTTCTTGGGCGAATGGCTGACTTCCAGCTATTTCGAGGAGATTTCTCCACCACCGAAATCGGAGAGAATGATCACGGCTGCCAAGGCGGAACTCCTGAGACGCGACAGTATTGTCCCCGACGCAGACATAAACTACACCAAGCCAGCAGTTGGACATTTTCCCGGAGGCTGGGGCAAAGGCGACGGCTTTCCCTCCTCGGAAGAGTCCAGCAAAACACAGGCGAATCCCGATGGGCGAAGGAACCGTGCGGCTAGTCATGACACTTTGCAATCTGCCGACACACCGGGTACGCGGAGGATGCTCAGCAAGATCAACACCAGTCTCTCATCCATCCCAGATGGCCTTTATACGCCACCCACCCCCAGCTATGCCATCTCTCCGTCCGAGCCCATCCCCACCGGTTACGTTTCCCACGCGCGGGAGGCTTGTGTGAGGATCGATTATCAATGGGACAGTATGCGCGAACCTCAAGGGTGGGGCAATGGCGGCGAATATGAGGAGGAATGGAGCACTATGAACTCCCGTTTCGGTGTCGGACTCGAGCGCATGGTTTCCTGGTATTCGAACCACGACCCCTCGATCCCTTACAATCGACCGCGACGTCATTCCCAGTTCTTGGACAACACCGGCGACACAAGCTCGGGAGACGGAGAGGATTCGGCCGAGACGGTTCTCGTGATTGTCACTCACGGCGCCGGCTGCAATGCGCTAATTTCAGCCATCAAAGGGGAAACAACTCTCGTCAACGTCGGGACCGCTTCCCTCACCATGGCGGTCCTCAAGGACAGCGATAAAACCTCGACCAAGTCGTCCGATCTCGGCGGGCCCGTAGTTCCACATTATGCAAATGGAGAAAAGTCGGTGTTACACGACTACAACCTGCAGCTGGTTGCTTCGACGGAACATTTACGGCCTGGCGGCAACCCAGCAATGTCCAGCGTCTCCTCTCCCACTAGCCTAACATCCCCCACCGTGCCGTCTTATCGTAACCGCGTCACATCTCGAGCCTCTCTATCGCAGAGTCCGTTCGGTATAGGACCGACTCCAACTTCTGGGGGTGGATCGCGCGTGTGGATGATGGCGCGACCTTCGACGGCCCCTCGCACGTCCGGTGGCCTTTGGGGGTCAATGTCGGCAAAGGGTGGCGCAGACGATCTGATTCCCAACTTCGACAATGCATGGTCCGGACAGGCTGCGGAGAAGGAGAGCGACGTGAAGAAATCAACGGACTCGGAACCACCTAAACAACTGCCCCAGAGAACTCTTTCACAGCGAGGGCTTTGGGGAAGTGCCCCTCTGAACAAAGACGCCGAGACAGGCGTTAAACGACGATGGACAGTGACGGAACGACGAATATGAAAACATTTGCTCTATACCAATTTTGAATTTCCCCTTGTGCGAGGCGTTCGGGTTTTTAAAAAGGAATCTACATGGCTGACGGCAAGATCAAGGCTGGGTGCGTGGATGAATGAGACTCTCATGTATAACAAAATACCCACTGATTGCTATGCGGCTATGACTTGCTATATCCACTCTACGATTAGAACTAGCTGAATGTATCAACTGGATTGAACATTGGTTCGAGTATGCTTCATGTCCATAATTCGCGTATGTCACCTAGGCCAGTAAGTCCAAAGACTTAGGCATCAATGCATGCCTCGCTGCCTCCAGAATCAGGCGCCTGTCAGGCCGGTCATCTCCCGGCTCGTGATTGGCCGATCTGCCCGGGTGCCTGCATGGCGGGATGTTGATGCCTGAGGCGACAGTGACGGTAAGCTGATCCCCGGATTGTCTGCCGCCTCCCTTTCCTCCTTTACATCCCTCCCTTGATCACTCCTGAACACATCATCATGTCTGCCGTCGAGAAAGACGGCCTATCCATGACCCATGCCTGCGAGCGGACAGGAACCCCGGATCTCCGTCTAATTCACTACAATGATGTTTACCACGTGGAGTAAGTCGATCGTCCCGCGGGGTAACAGCTGGCTAGCTGGCCGGCTCGAATGCTAGGGGCCAGTTCTCTGAGTTGACATGCATGCTAATGCCCTTGCAGAGCAGGATCCGCAGAGCCTGTTGGCGGCGTATCTCGATTCCAATCCGTGATTAACTATTACCGATCCGACGCCCGATTCGCGGGGCAGCCGGATCCCCTTACCTTCTTCTCCGGCGATGCCTTCAATCCGAGCCTCGAAAGTACTGTGACCAAGGGGAGGCATATGGTGCCGTTCCTGAATAAAGCCGGGACGGACGTGGCGTGTCTAGGGGTGGGTGGAAAAATAGAAGATGTTGTTATTGGGATCCGACTGGCTGACATCTGCAGAATCACGATCTTGACTTTGGTGTTGCACAACTGCGCCACCTGCGCAGTCAATGCCGCTTTCCGTGGCTGCTGGCGAATGTTCTCGATCCCGCGCTTGGCGAGGATGTCCCTATCGCGAACTGTGAGAGAACGGTCATGTTGACCTCATCTACTGGGGTCAAAGTGGGAGTAATTGGCTTGGGAGAACGCGAGTGGTGAGTAGGCTCATACTTCAATGTTGTACTAGGGGCTAACTGTAATTGCAGGCTAGGAACGATCAACTCCCTCCCGCCCGATCTGATCTATAAATCTGCCTCCCAAACGGCCATCGAGCTAGTTCCGCGTCTACGAGAGCAGGGTGCCGAGATAATCGTCGCCGTCACCCATCAGCGCGAACCAAACGATTATAAGCTGGCGAAGAGCGTCCCGGAGGGACTGATTGATATTGTTCTTGGAGGCCACGACCATTTCTACGGTCATGCGGTGATCAACGGCATCCATGTTTTGCGGTCGGGGACCGACTTCAAACAACTGAGTTATATTGAGGCCTGGCGCAAAGAAGGCGGATCTGGCTGGGATTTCAACATCGTTCGGCGGGATATGTATCAATCCATTCCCGAAGATCCTTCTACGGTGACGCTGGTTGACAAACTCACGTCTAGTTTGAAGTCCAAGCTTGAGAAACCTATTGGATACACGGCACGGCCGCTAGATGGGCGGTTCTCGACGGTTCGACAGAAAGAGTCCAACCTAGGCAACTTTGTCTGTGACCTGATGCGATTCTTCTACAGCGCTGATTGCGCCATCATGGCCGGTGGAACCATCCGAGGTGACCAAATCTACCCTCCGGGCATCTTACGGTTGAAAGATATTCTGAATTGTTTCCCGTTCGAGGACCCAGTTGTTCTGCTGCGTGTGTCGGGCCGCGCATTGATGGACGCCTTGGAGAACGGCGTTAGCCTGCTTCCAGCTTTGGAAGGGCGTTTCCCCCAGGTATCGAACATCTCGTTCAGCTATGATCCGTCCGGCCCACCGGGATCCCGCATCAACTGGGCCAAAGTTGGAGGCGCGCCTATCCAGTTCAATCGCACTTACACCATGGCCACACGTGGCTATATGGCCCGCGGAAAGGACGGCTTTGCATCATTGCTCGTGAAGTCCGCTGGTGGAGAGGTAGAAGAGATCGTGGACGAGGAGAGCGGAGTCTTAGTGAGCACTCTGCTTCGGCAGTACTTCCTGAGTTTGCGAGTGATGGGCAAGTGGCAACGCTTCAGTAAAAGCATGACACGGCACTGGACCGACGTGCACAAAAACCTGCACTCAAACGGATGGCTCAAACCGGCCTCGTCCAGCACGTCTCCGGTGTCGGAGAAAATCCCCTACACGCTGCGGCGCCCGTCGTTGAAGCGCAGCAAGCAGTACCACTACGGACGATTCGCCGATGTCGACAAGGACAGCGGGACCGATAGAAGCGGCGAAGACGAGGACATGGACTCTGATTCGGACACTGACCCGGACATTCTGACCTCTCCGCAGCCGACGACCAACTACGTGACGCTGCCGGCGCGGTCCTCGGTCGAGGAAGAACACCGACTGCGCATCGCGCGATGGGCCACGCGGAAATGGATGCGCAAGGCTGGATTGCAGCCATCCACGGTGGAAGATGTCGACGAAGGACCAGGCGTCACGCCAACTTGGACACCAGGAATTGCGCCCCGACTAGAGGGACGGATCATGATCGAGGGACCGAAATAAATTGACTTGGAAGAACAGTATGACTTACGAGATATGATTATAGTTGATAGATGTGAACAGAGTGCATTATAACAAAGCCCCTCCCCCTTTTATGTCCTTCTATACAACGGATCCTCCAACCCCTAGGCTAGAAGGCGGACTTTGTAGCTGTTTCCGGACTCGGCGTAGCCGTATAGGGCTGGGGGCATTTTATTGGGGTGGCAGTAGTATTATTTTCGAAGGGGAGGCTGGAGGGGAAAAGATAGATCGCTAGAAAGTGTGTGTGTGCGTGCAAATGAGCTACGTGCATAGTCACGGGCCAATGAGGGGTATCATATTGGTTGAACCTAATGTGTTTACGTAGTTCACACCCTACCCACCAGGGTCCACTGAATAAGCCACCTGTCCACGATCTGACTGTCTATCCGACTACTTATTGACATTCTGCCCGATTGAGCCATCAATAAGAGATGCATTTCCCCAGTAGATTGATTACAGCCAATCAGCTGATGGAGCGAGATTCGGCTCGACCCGTCACCCGCTAATCCCTTTACGGCAGCTCTAGAGACCCTCCGATTTCCTGCCTGAGTCCTGTGGCATCGACATACCTGGCTTTTTGCGATAATTTGTAAGCCGACAACGCTAACTTGCACTTGTTTTGATCGCCCAGTATCTCGACCACTGAGTGTTTCTGTTTGTACTGCCTGAAGTTGCCGCGGGACGATCACGTGCATCGCTGATGACGTCGCCAAGCCTTATGGAGTATAAGACGTTTCTCCGCGGACAGCAGTTCACATTGCGTCCAACTACCCGTTGATCTCTATCAAAGTACACCGACGATGTCGTTGCAAGGATCTACCGTGCTCATCGTAAGCATGCTCTTACTATTCATGCAATCTTCACTGCTAAACAATATGCATACACACAGACTGGAGCGTCGATGGGAATCGGCGAAGCAATCGCCCACTCCTTCGCGCAAGAAGGCGCCAATCTGATTCTTTTCTCCAGATCTGAGGTACGCCTTGCTTCCTGCAACTGTCACTATATACTAACAGTTTGCCAGGACAAACTTCAAACCATCGCATCGGCCGTGCAAAAAGAGAACCCGTCATCCAAAGTTCTCGTCAAGGCCGTTGACATCCAAAGCTACGAGGCCGTAGAAGCAGCCGTGAAAGTAGCCGTCCAGGAGGTCGGCGAAATCGACATTCTCATCAACAATGTCAGTTATTCGCCCTCTTTTCTCCCCATCACCTCCCTAACAGATAGAATAGGCTGGACTGGCTCTTGGCGCGCCCTCAACTTTCTCCGACCTCAAAATCAGCGACATCCTGGCCATGAACAACACCAACATCAACGGCCTCATGTTCACCACCTATGCCGTCCTAAACGCATCCATGATACCTCGAAAGGCCGGCACCATCCTCAACGTCACCTCGGTCACGGGTCTCGAGGTGCCCCCGTTCCCTGGAGAATCCGTCTACCACTGCAACAAGGCGGCGCAGGAGGCGTTCACGAACGCGCTCCGCAACGAGCTCTGCGGGACGAATATTCGTGTCTTGGCGCTGCGGCCGGGATGTGTGGCCACGAACTTTCACTCTTTACGTGTGGGTCATGATAAGGAGAAATATGACAAGTTTTTTGAGGGTTATGAGTATGTCCTTCATATTTCCATTTGTTTCCGAAAGAGGGTCACCGATGCTAATATGTTGATTCTAGGCCGCTCGTTTCGCAGGATATCGCCGGCGCAGCGGTGTATATGGTCAAACAGCCATTGAATGTCTCGGTGAAGGCGATGGATATTGTTCCTTCTGGTGAGTGTTTCCTGGATATTGGACTTGGTTCGTGAGCTGATTAATATAGCGCAACGATCTTTGACTGTGTTTGATCGGGATTGGAGTGCACGGAATGCGTGATTTCATAGACATTATGAGGTAGACAAAGAACGAAAGTGCGTGCTTTGTAAGTTGAATTTCTTTACTATCTTCTTTCTGGCAGCCAGGTTAGCTGAGTCAATATGATGAATTGGACCAGACCTTTCCGCGATATCTATTTAGAAAATAGTTGTCTTTCAAGGGTTTACAGCAATGATCTTATAGACTCTGCAGTACGGTTCTACACAAATCGACATGATTGAGTTGAATAACAATGTACCTGTAGACCTTGGCGCCGCGGTTCTGGATAGTTGTATACTTTCTATACTATTTTTAGTTGATAGGACTAATTACTTTTATATAGTCCTTCTATCTTACTCCATTCAAGGTTTCATACCTATGGGTCTTATACTAAGCATAGCCTTCTCAGTTATAGGCAGTCAGTTAATACAGAGATCCCCACCCAGCAGTGCCATCACTTCCCATGGACGATCCTTGTGTCTCGGTTGAACTGTAGATCCGACGTAGATCGGTCAGAATTGTACTACTTCAGATCTGGGAACTAGTACTCAACTACCTGATTTGTGTCTTCGAAGCATGTTTTTGTTGAGAGCATAATTTCGGCTTCTTGGGTCCAGTGGATATTATGATGTGGGGGTTTCTCGATTGTCCGAACAGGGGGCAAGGCTAAGTTTAGAACGTATGACGTGTACATGTATAGTAGTCAGTAACTACAACACTCCGACTTGCGCGGGTCATGCCCTGTTGGTAGAGCATCAATCTGCTGGCTAGTTAGGATCAGGGTCATTAGCGTGGAGGAGCTGCAGCGGATCCTGAACGGGCCGACCCTTGAGAGCTTCAATTTGCAGTGGAGAGTCCAACCCATCCTGCATGCTGCCTGCATGCTGCCTGCATGCTCCCTGCATGTAACGCTGGAATGTCCTTTTCAGACTTCCGAACCCCTCATTTAATCTAAATAGATTGGACTACCCCTCACAGCGCAGGTCTCGAACTTCCAACCTTTCGCCACAGGATGACACCCTGTGATCTTTACCCACTGTGCTACACTCAGCCGTACCTACAACCGGTTCTGCCACCCGAGACACCTGAATCTGGCAAATGCAACTTGATTTCTGTGTGCATTAGACTCTAGAGAGCCCTGTACGTTCTACGTGTACTTGCGTGAATACCCATGGGCGCACAGTATTGCATGATAGCAGAGGCATTGTCTATAAAACCCCTCACCCCCCCCCCCCCCCCCCCCTCATACTCATTGACATTCTGGGAACGAATTACTATTCATCCATCATCTTCCTAACGCAAAAATCATACTTGCTTCGCAGACGGAAAGCTACAACAGTCTACAACAATTCAATATGGCTTCACTTTTGAGGGGTGCAACGAAAGGTGTCGTAGACACAGCCGAGAAAACGACGTCTGTGGTTGACAACAATCTCAAAGACATCTCCGATAGTATGTTCTGTCGTCAAGAGCCCCGAACTGATCGCCCTCGTGGGCTAACTATTCCCAGGCCTAGGCGGAAACACGGCCAAGGATACGACCTCTTCCAACCCGGACAAGGCTGCCGCAGCTGCTAAAGGTATGCCCTTTGCCACATCCACCGAGGGAATCCCTCCTGATCGGAGACTAACAACAGTCCCCAGTCCTCAAGGGCGGCGCAGCCCCGGTCCTCCACGTCTATTCATATGACGGACAAACCAAGGTCATTAAGGAGAAAGTCTGCATTGCCTTCTCCAATGTTGACGAGGAAAACATGGACCTTTCCGACATCCGGGAGTTGCTTATTGGCGAGAAATCATTGGAGCCGAGGCTGTAAAGAAGACCTATTATCCTCCGATTTCTGAGCTGTGCTAATTACGAAGCGTAGACTGACGAGCAGCTTCACAAACCAATGTGGAGCCAAGGTCGCAGATACGACCAGCTTCAAGACATATCTGCAGATCCTGAATGAGAAGGTAAGTCGCATGAATATGCCGGATGGTGGGAACCGTGCTAAATTACTTTCTAGGCCACTGAGCTCGGGGTGAGTATATGGCGTATACAACCAGTGTCGGGGGTGTCTAATGACAAGTCTAATAGGACAAAGCTCAAGACAAAGCCGGCACTTATCGCGTGTATCTCAGGTCAAAAAAGATCCTCGAGACAAATCCTTACTATGGCCTTCTTGAAAGAGGTGAAAGGGTTGCTGTAGACGTAAGAGCCCTTGTCCTAAAAAGGAGCGCGTGGGAATCTGCCAGCAATATTGACCCCCATACAGAAGAAGATCCTGGATCTCCCTGTCGCTCAACAACCAAAACAGGTCGACGGAACCACGAGCTTCAGTCACAATATTTTTCTCAATCCAACAACAACTTTCTCGATCATGTAAGCAGTCTTTTACCCCGAAGGAAGCATCTGGCAGCTGACACGTCGATTAGCCATCCTGCCGACATGTCTGAAAAGCATTGGTCGGTCGTGATGAGAAATAACTCTCTGCTCCATTCTTACAGAGTTGTTGATCACAATGGCGAGAAATTTGTCGAGCGTTCATTGTACCCCAGTATGTATTCCGAATGAACCGGAACCCTTGAAAACCACGTTACTGATCCAAGGAATGTAGGCTTTGTCTTGAAACCGCGCAACTTCTGGAACTACCAGATCAGCGCGACGGCTGAGGTGGACTCGATTTCTGACCAAAGGGTGCGATCCTTGAGGTCCCTATTATCCCCGTCCATTGGACTGACATGCTGCAGCAATCGCTCCGAATTCCACGTTTCCAGATCGAAGACGACAGCTATATCAGACAGTATGAAACGAAGCAATCGGTTTCTCGTGCCATTGCTCAAGCATGCCTGTCCGAGACTGACGCGAAGCTGGCTATGTAAGGCCCGCCCCCTTAACGTCAAAGTATCCAAGCTAACGATAGGCGACTATAGCGAGGGCGGTGCATTCGGATATAGCGCCAGTGCATCTGGAAGCTGGAGTGAAAGCCATTCGTCAGCCTCAGGCTCTAGTACCAGTCAAGACAGTCGCGTGATGACAATCACTTACAATGTCAGTCTTCCCAAGTGGCATCCTCCAAGTCCTCAATCAAACCTTTCGGCTGACGCGCATCCCTCCAGTTCCCTCGCGTTATCATCGACTTCGACCCTTCGAGTCTTGATTTGAGCGAGGAATGCAAGGCCGACCTGGAAGGTGTCAATACCGCCGAAGCCGTGGAAGCTTTCAAGAACAAATACGGTAAGCCAGACTGGGCTACCACGGAGAGGATAAAGACCTAACACTATAATAGGTCGGTTCTTCGCCACCAGGATTGAGCTGGGTGGTCGCTTGCATAGTTCCGAGGAGATCCAATCCACCGATGCAGCTGCCAGTGCCCAACAGGCCAAGTCGATGAGGGCAGCTGCGGCCCTTTCCTTCTCGGCGCCGTGGGCCCAGGCATCGGCCAGTGCGAGCCATAACAATTCGTCTAGTTCCAGCTCCGAAAGCAAGGAGAGCGTCTCACACAGCGCGATTAGCTGGGAAGCCCAGGGCGGGGATACTCTCCAGTGTAACAAGTGCGTCAAATCATAGTATTCATTTCGAGTTCTACGGCATACTGACTAAGAAGCCAGTCCTCCTGCCTGGGCTTACACCGTCGGCTCGTTCTACAACTGGCGGGCGATCAAAAAGTCAAAGGTCCTCGCGCTCGAAGAGATCATATCCATGGTGCCCGGGTATCAAGATACCAAGGTCAAGTTTGCAACCCTCCTGGCCGCGGCGGCGAAGCCAGAGCAGGAGAAGCCCGACGTGGCGACCGCCGGAAGGGTAATCAAGTTTCGACTGAGTACGGCAATGGATGACGTGGTAGTCCCACCCACTGGAGAGGACATTAACATCGGTCAGCTATGCCAACTTATCCTATGAGCCAAGCAGTGTTCAGCTACTGACCGTTCGTGCCACAGGCGACATCCTTCAGACACTGATGAAAGAGGACAGCGTCCTTACCTCAGAGCGAGTGAGCTTTTTGATGCAGCTAGGGATCAATAGGGAGAATAGTGTACCATTGCAGTGTGTCAAGAGCGAATCAGGCCCAACCGCATTTAGCATCACCACCTCGGCTGAGCTGCCGGAGGCAAAGGTATCTCTTCCCTTATTTTCCATTGTATAACATCATATTGATCGCTGACTGAAACAACCCGTTATAGCTCGTATACAACCAGTTGTATAAGATCCAAACCACCGATGCAGCCGAGGGACAATGGCTTGGTGTCAACCCCGTCAAGTCCGGTTTCCTGACCAAAACTCTGATCTGGGCAGGCGACGAAGAAGATGCAACATTTTTCGCCTTCTTGCCAATAAACGACGGCTCGAAAAACAACTACATCGCCGGAGATAGAATGGTTATGATAGCTCTCTATGACAAAAACCTCGACCGGATTGGATTGGCGTCGTCTATGTCGTCCAACATCGGCAATGACGTGGAACGCGTGCGCGAAGGAATTTATTTCAATGTTGATTACATTGAGTCTTAGATCGAGTTGGAAGAGTGAGGCTTTCAACAAGTTGAGGGGGAAAGATTGTATACCAATCCGGCTATAATGCCCAGGTACCGGTTCAATAGTCAATACATCCTCATTTCTAGATCCAGGATCAATTTCAGTCTAGGAAATTCAAAGCTAGTAATGTAGATATTATGACGATAGAATAGACATGGGGGATCATGACATCCCACCAGGCCTACTTTTATTTCCACTCCTGCACTGCCAACTCCCTCACATCCTGCGTCAACCCGTCTGGATGCTCTAGCGCCGCAAAATGACCACCATCATCTCTCTCTGAAACAAAGTCAGCCAATATGTTATAGCCGAGTTCACCACCCATTATAACGGCCAAAAGGCCAAAAGGAAACATACCTCTATAAAACACCAAATTGCCCGTCCTCTCAACCGCCCTCTTCGACGCAGGCTCCGTGTCCCAAAAGAACGAACTAAACCCGAACGGAATCCGAATGCGATTCTCCGGCTGAATAGCAAACTCAGCGAAATGCTCATGCCGCAGATTCTCGTAATAACATAGCATCGACGGCATGATGCAGCCGGTGAAATAGTACAGCGATGCGGTCGTGAGAATGGCCTTCGTCCAAAATGGATGTTTTTGCTTCTCTGGGTCGGCGGCCTCGTTGTATTTCTCGCCTGCCCACATGAGAATTCCTATTGGGTTGTCGTGCAGTGCGATGCCGATTGTATGGGGCTAGCCAGTTAGCAATGAGTATAAATCTGTTCTACAGAGCAATGAGGGAGTATAGAAAGGCATACTCTCGTCCGCATCTCGACCGCATACCCCATATGCCAATCCAACCAATTCTTCACCCTGTGTGCAACATTCCTCTCTCGCTCCGTATACTCCACCCCCTCTGGCAACGGACTCGGTGCGAAATTAGTATGCAACAATTTGCACGAATCCGTATACTTAGCGCCCAGCTCCCTTCCCACAAAATGGCCCCAATCACCACACTGCACCATATACTCGTCATAACCGAGCCTCTTCATCAGCTGGTCGAACACGCGCGCGTTATCGCGCAGTGTCCAACACGCGCGAGGCGGCCAGTCCGACCAGCAGAACCCCGGCATACTTGGGACGACGACGTGGAATGGCGGGTCATCCGGGTTGGCAGGATGGGAGAGGGGACCCCATACCTGGCTGAATTCCCAGAAAGAGCCAGGCCAGCCGTGGATCATGAGCAGAGGGATAGCGCGGGGATTGTCCGCGCGAGCGTGTAGGAAGTGGATGTTGAGGTCTTCGATGGTGGTGATGTAGTGAGGATATTCATTCATTTCGGCCTGGACGGAGAACCAGTCGAAGTCGTTAGTCCAGGCGTCGTAGAGGGTTTGAGCCCATTCATATGGAGGTCCTGTAGTTCGTTAACATAGGTGTTATGTTGGGCAGGGGCTAAAGTCTGGGAACAGACCATATTTATCGCCTGCATTGGGGACGATCTCGCGGCCAGGGAGACGAGTGCCTTTAAGTTTGCGCTGGAGTCGTTCAACTTCTTCCACTGGGACGTCGACTTTGAAAGGGCGAATTTCGGTAGACATGGCGGGCTGAACAGTGGGTTGGGTATATGAGGTTCTACGGAGTATGATTTACGGGAGATGTATAAAGGAAGAAGATGGACGTTGACGAACTCGTGTAGATATTGAATCAAGCAGTATGACATCAGGTCAACGTGGGTGCCTGTCATCGAATAAACTATCGGATTATATACCCACATACATACATCTACGCGACGGCACGATGAAGAAGAATCCCCGTTCCTTGGCAATCGGATCCTTTTCAAATTGATGATTGACGGAATTGACTAATGAATAATAATAGTAAAAAGTCCTAAGATAAAATCATTTGTTCGGGATGAATCGAATTAATAAGCATGAATACAATGATGTCACACTGTAGTTTAAATCTCGCTAAGACACCCCATTGGCCAGTCTTTAGATCTCGCTTATGGAATTCTCTGGACTACAACTTTCCCCCATTTTCAGAAGTATGCACGATCCTCAGAGGTATCCACTCCAATAATTGGAATTCCCGCTTCTCGCATCGAGCTCTGACTGGCGATGCGTCCGAGATTGTCTAGACGAAGACTCCGAGTTACGACCGGTTGGTCAGTAACCCACTCACCGGACATCTAGTTGAGATGACCCGCAAATCATTTTGGCTGACCTTTGCTAGTTTGACCTGTCGTGCTCGGCGTGTCAAATGCGATGAAAGACGGCCAGTTTGTCGGAATTGTGCGAAAAAGGATCGTCGATGTCTATATCATGTTAGGCCGGGTGAGACATCAACGGATGGCCTATCACAGGGAGCAGTTCAAGCTCCCTCATCTGCAAACAGGGAGTCCCGTCATGCAGAGACAGCAAGGCCTTTGATAGAGACAGAGTCGAGAGCTTTGGACTCATCTCCCGACGCTCGAGCAACCCAACTGTCAGTTGCAGAGCAATCTGAACCCATCTATGCAAATATCACAACATCTGAGCCAAGCCTGGCCGACAATGACTCTCCAATACATCGAATACAGCCCTTGGAATCGACACCTGCGCCGAATCTTTGTGCTATCCTTCAACACACCAACTTCACAGGTTCCTCTCATCCGCCCAGCCCGGCGAACTCGCCCGCACAGCCACTCCCACATCACCAACCATTCGAAGAACCATCACACCACGACCTCATCCAACGAACTTTCTACGTAGATGATCCCATCCAGCTCTCATCTACTGAAGTCCTTATCTTCCGGAACTACGTGGAGCGAGTCTCAAAATGGGTACATCCATTTCCCTTCTTACTTGCATACCAATAATCAACCCGCTCACAAAACACAACACGCAGATCGACTAATTCTCCCACGACCAGCCCTTCTACAACCGGGTCCCATCTCTAGCCCTTCACTGTCCGATGCTACTCCATGCCTGCCTCGCCGTGTCCGCCAAACAGCTATCCCGCGCTCCTCAATCCACCACGTCCCTCACCCTCAACACCTCCCCGGTCTACTACTACCAGCAAGCCCTGCGAGAAATGAGCCACTTTCTCATTGAACCAAGCTACTCTGGTAGCGATGAGCTCTTAGCATCAAGTATCATTCTATCTACGTAAACCACTCTCCCCTCCTCTCTCTCCATCCCCAAATGCAACATTTACACACCCACAGACCCCACTAACCAACCCCACCCGTTCAAAGATACGAAATTCTCGATGTCTCCGGCCCAAGCTTCGGTTCTCACCTAAAGGGCGTCGCCAGCCTAATCCGCTCCCACCGCATTACAGGCGACGAGACGGGCATCCGCGGTGCAACGTACTGGACATGGTACCGACACGAAGTATGGGTCGCGTTTCAAACAGGACGACGAATGTTTCTCGACGAAGGGTACTGGCAACCGAAGGACGTGCAGGAGGGGTTTGAAGGGATGTCGATGCGCGATGTGGCGAATCGAGTGCTATTTGTGTTTGGGCAGTGTGTCTCATGGTATGGGGATTTGCATGCAGGGGGAAGGGATAGGTCTCGGGGAGAGTTGTGTACTACCCCCTCTCCTTCTCCTAGTACTATTAGTACCAGTGCTACTGCTATGAGGGCACAGCAGGAGGATGTTGAAACGCAACGAGCTCGTGCGAACGAGCTACGAGGTGCATTGGAGGAGTGGAAGAGGAAACTCCCCGTTTCTATGAGAATATATTTCCGACAGACACAACCCCAAACCCAGAGTCAGACCCACGGCCTGCAAGAAAACGGCTCTACAGCATCAACGGGACAAGAGATCAACCAGTTTCCAGCAACCTGGTACGCCTATCCAGAAAGCGGTACGTTCCCTACTTACACGATCTATCATACACCCAGACTCCTAAGATACCCACCCTCCTTTTAGCAATTTCGCACCAACTCTACCACGCCTCCAAGATCCTCCTAGGACTACACACCCCCTCGTCCTCACCCGGATCCAGCAACTCAAACGAAAACAACCCCCTCCGCACCCGCCGGGAATTAGAAAGATCACGCCGCGAGATCTTCATGATCGCCAACTCTCGCATCGATCAGACCTGGGGTCTTATTTCGACCCAATGTCTGTACGTCGCGGGCCTGGTCACCGAGGGGATCCTGGAGCGAGAATGTACGTTGGAATTGATCGAAATGTGTCAGCGGGTGACAGGGCGGCAGACGGTTTGTATTGCGGATCAGTTGAGGGGGTTTTGGCAGGAGGAAGAATAGAATTTAATACTAATATCCATACCTTGTAAGACTAGGCCTGTTGCTATGGATCAGGTATTGAGATAGGTATAGTGAGTCACATGTAGAAATGTGGTTACGGCGCAGAAAGCCCTAACGAATACCGAAAACGAAGAGCCATAAAGAAAGGTTATACAGAAAGCCAATGTGGGTCGATATTCTACCGTTGTACGCTATACATCCAATAGAATGATTGTACCTTAGCAACAGCTATAGGTAAATGTGTCACCACCTGATCGACCCACTCCAGTTAACTTCCAAAAAGGATGATTTGCGGTTGGTAGGCTTCCGGCTGGACATTCCAAGTTGCGTTAGCCCTCAGGAGATGATGTCACAATGTGGAGACTTTAGATACAATACTACGGTTGACACATGCCCTACGTACTTCGCTTGCACCATTGCATCTCGATCTGCAGCTGGCCGAAAAGGTTGGGGTTTGCTACTCTAGCAGTCTAACCAGTAGTGAGCCACAGTTTCATTGCAATTGCGGGCCCTAATCCGGTAATTATTGGGCTTGTTTCAATAACGACAGTCTTTCTCCGAGGATACTTCGTATATTCATCGCTAAAAGAGCGATTCTATTATGTGACAGAAAGGGACAGGGCGTGTGGGTGGAGACTGTGACTCACGGCGCTCAAGTATATAAACCAGGACACTTTGGGTCTTGCTTGAGATGTATCTGTCTTCCCAGCATTATTCCATTCGCACATTCTTCAAGCTTCTTTCAAATCTATTCTAATACCGTATCCTCAACATGGCCGCCGCCAAAGAATACAAAGTAGCCGAATTGACCCCCGCCGATTTCGAAGAATGGTCAGCCCTATTCAACAAGTATCTCGACTTTTACAAAACCTCGCTTGACCAGGAGCAGTACAGAAAGACCTTCGAACGTCTTACCCAGAAGTGTAATGAACTGCAGGGCTTGGTCGTGAGGGAAGTGGGCGACGAATCCACCATTGTTGGGTTTGCTCACTTCTTTCCCATGCAAACTACTTGGAGTGAGAAGAGAATTATGTTTCTTGATGGTTAGTAAATGTCTTCCAACACCCTATCTTTGCCATCTTGCTATTACTTGATGAAGTCTTGATCATGCAGGGGGAAGATGTTTCTAACAGGGCTATTAGATCTATTTGTCGACTCCTCTGCTCGCAACCAAGGTCTAGGACGCATTCTAATCCAGTCAGTCGCAGAGATTGCAAGGTCTAGTGACTGCCTTCGTGTGCAGTGGACAACACAACATGATAATCTGACAGCCCAAGCACTCTACAACAAGATGGCCACGAGTCTATTCAAAGAGTATCGCTTGGCGCTAAACTGAGAATATCCTGGGTAGTTCCTATCAGACTTGGTAATAATGCAGTGAATATGTGGTGAACTGGTTTAAAATGGGGACTGGTCTCTTTGATGTTTCTTTCTCTAAATCTCTCAGGTGAATGAAAGTTATTTTCGGAACAGTTGTCAATATACGGAGCTGGGTTATGACTCAGGTTGTCATTCACATACACTCACCATCATCAGATACTTCCACAGAGCCTGCCATGCTCCAGCACGTCCCATCTGCGACTGATATGGAACAAGCAACCCATGTAAAGTTTTCTTCCTCTCATCAGCTCGAGAAATTTCCTCATTCAGTGCATTTTCTATAGACACACTCACACACCTCATACTTCACAACTAAAAACCAAACCATGTCCCCACTTCTCCATTGAGAACCATATATTACCTAGTTTACTCTCATAGTTAGACCCAGGCAATAATGCTACCTATTATGAATATAATATCTAGCAGATGTATAGCTGCTCTATGCAAAATTTCGGGTTAGCAATACCATGACCAAGCCAGCCCTAAACCCGAAAACGGAGACCCAAAAGAAAACCCATACCTATAACCCCAAAGCCAAGACACGATTAGATTAAACAAGACCACACCCTTACGTAGACACACACAAGATCTACACAAACCATATTCAAACCATTCAAAGCCATAATCTAGGCCCCGTTATCAACGATAGATATAGAACGAACCAAAACACAGCCACAGCCAAGCCCGACTACGCCACTCTGCTAAGCACCCATTTCTCTCAATCAACTCCAATCGTAGCTTGTACCGAGTACCCACATACCATACCCAAGACCAAGGAACCCCCCAGGTCAATACACCGACACCGGTGTAGACAATAAGCATAACGTCGGAGATCGAATGCTATCTCCATGTACCATTAGGCAGCATCAGCAACGTGCATTAGTGTGCTAGGCTATTTAAATCAACCAATGACAGAGAGGCTTTCATACCGGTTCCAAGGATTCGTCTAGAATGGATTACGCACGACGGTGTAGCATGGAAGATGTGGTATAGAGTCGAAGGAAAAATATAAGCGGGTTGCATGGGACTAAGGAATGAATTGTCATGCAGTATCATCTGTGGATTGTTGATGATAGCTCAAATCAGATTGTACTCGAATCCCTAAGCAAGTATAGGAAATGTCAGCTGAACAGGGACCCTCAGAATCCGGTTCGACAATCGACTCCCGCATAGCGTTGGTTCAGATGCCGTCGCAGGCTCAGAGCCACGGACCGGAAGATGACTGGACGGGGGTTGTTGATCCAAAAGAACGACGGAGGTTACAGAATCGGTTGAATCAGCGGGCTCTAAGTAGGTGTATGATACATTGGTGCTTGTGGCTAATGCATGCTAAATTATGTACAGGAAATCGAAGAAAAATGTCTAAGAACCTGAGTGGAGCAGCTGCTAGAAGCGGATCCCCGCAGGAGTCATCGCACGAATCGGTCTCATCGAATCATACAAGCCCTGCTCGATTGGCTGTTGTGCAGGCCCCACAAAGAGAATGCAAGACTGCACCCCGCAACGTCCATGAATTGATGCTCGAGGTCCAGAACCGGACGTTGCGGAACCATCGGCTCGGAACGCCCAATATAAACGATTTAGCCACGCTGAGCAAGCTGAACATGAAGCGCGCCTTGATGGACAATATCGTCGTAGTGGGAATGACCATGGCCTGGGTGGCGGATGATGACTCGATTTCCATCTTCAGTATGACACGTCCTGGTTATCCAGACCACACAATTCCCGATAGTCTGCGCCCAACGGAGTTGCAGCGAACGAAACCCCACCATCCATGGCTGGATATATTTCCCTTCCCTCAGATCCGGGACAACCTGATCACTGCACAGGAAGACTTCGATGATGACGAGCTCTGCCATGACCTGATGGCATTCTGGGATACGGAAAACACAGAACCCGCGGTGTTGATTTGGGGGAGTCCATGGGATCCGAGAAACTGGGAGGTGACGGAAGCCTTCGTGAGAAAATGGGGCTGGGTATTAGACGGCTGCTCGGAAATTCAAGAATCAACGAACCGGTGGAGACGGATACGAGGTGAAAAGGCTCTTTTGATAGACAGGTAGAACGATTTGACCGGTGTCCAGGGATCTTCCACCGCCAAAACCTGCCCAGTAATCGAAAGCCTCCTGCGCACCAACCACAAAGCCATTATGCTCCAACAGGTCGTGCACTTTTCAAGTGAATCACTCGGCCACCGCCACCCCCATCGCGATCACGCTGCACCCACCCGGGAACGCTATCAGTATAACCCTCCCGCGTTGAGATCGTTTGCCAGACGTTGGGAAACCCGGTAGGCAAAAGGCCCCGAATCCGGGCACCGGGGATGACGAACCGAGGGTTGCGATGCGTTAGATAACCACCCATTAGGCCTTGAGTCAAAAGCGAAGCAAGGATGGATTCGAGTTCACGCAGCAGTTTGGACGGCTGCTCGGAATCGTATTCGCTCGGGTCAACGGCGTATGGATTCAATTCATAGTCCCGGTAGCGATTGGCCGGGGGCTCCTGGTCAATTGCAAAGCGGGCCATATTTGTCTCTAGATTCCCGAACTTGTCGAAATAGGCGTCTGCAGCGAGGTAATCGTCGTATTTGTTCAACAACTGATCGCGGTCCAAGGTCAGGTCGGCTGGGAAGGGCTTATCCACGTATTCGAAATCAGGGTCGATGTCCTTGTAGACGAGCTGTGATCCAACCTCGTTGCTGCCGGCCATGGCATCTCTTCCGCCCTCAGAGGAGTTTGCTTGTCGCGACTGGATCCATCGCACGACTGTTTCTAGCTTACTCAGGTAGAGGTATGGAGGGGGTCCACGCTGGGTCGACCCTTGGGGTTCGCCGTGAAAGCCGCCGTGGACAAACACCTTGCGTGCCAAAGACCGCCAGACAAGAATTTCGCAGCGATTTCGTAAGGCAAGCAATATCCCCTTTCTGGCAAACCATTCGGATGTGGGCGAGTCAATAGCGAGATACTGTCGGAATTCGATGTAATCGCCCTTGGCGATCAGTCTGCATAACGGAATGAACTTGTCTGCTAGCGGCTCTGCTTCGGGCCGATCGACCAATGCTAATGACGGGAAACGCCCCATTATGACATTGCACGAGATTAGATAGACGAGAATATTGCGCTTCTGATTCAGTGCGCGATGATGACATTGCTCATAGGCGGACTGTAAGGCGTGTTGCGCGGGATAGAAGAGGTTGTTTAAGAATAGGTATCGTCCAAGATAATAGAGGTAGGTCACTCTCTGAGAGGCCGGGTATTCCTTCAACGGCGGAGATTGCGTAGTGATACCAGAGAACAGGTTCTCCGCATTTCGGAGTTTACCGCACTAAACGTTGTTAGTCCAACTCGGCAGAGGCAACAAGACCGAGGACTAACCTGGAAGAGCAGTTTCAAACACAAGTTGGCCATGAGGTAGATTCCCACTCTTTTCCCTTCAGGCTTCCCGGTGTTGCCGCTGCGGTCCATGATGCATTTGATAAAAGCGTCCCGCACAGCGTTCGCCGCCTTTTCGACAAATGTCACCTTCTCAGCGCTTTCGTCCGCGTTGGCATTGCCGTCCATCTGCTGTAACTGCGCGACCAACGCTGGCCGACAGTCCAAACCCGTGGCCAGCTTTGCCAGCACTTTCGAAAGATACAGAACGGTGGGCAGCATAATGATGCCAGATTGGGAATCTCCTAGTGCTAAAACAGACTGACTAGAAGTAGAGCTCGTGTTAGTCGTTTTTATCATGAAGAGCATTGTTGCGATGGCCGGGTCAGCAAATACAAAGCAATAAACGTACTTCAATAAAGCCTTTAACTGTTCATATGTCTCAAGAAGGTTCTCGACATAGACGTCCCGAAGAAAGGTGAAGTACATCCTAATAAAAAGCGGAAACGCCGACCACGTACTGCCGTGCTTGGAGCTTGGGACGAGCTGTTCACATCGACGCAGAAGTTCCTTATTCTTCGCCGGGGTGTCGGGATAGTCATATCGCAATTCCGCCACCATCTGCTGGTATGTTTCATTCAACGGGGGTTCTAGCTGTAAGAAATCCTGCAGCTTGGCGCCATCGCGATTTTTCACCAACTCCGCAATCGCAGTCATGAATTGCTGCAGCACATTGCTGCCTTGGGCCGACATTGTGATATGTGATCGCAGGTACGGTTTATGAGTTCAGGGAGAGGAGCGAGGATCGGAAGAGTGGTGACAGCCGGCTCGTGTCGCTGTCATGAGCTGCGAGGTACGCGCAGGGCGCAGATTGGAACATTCAACGTAGGTTTCGCATTGTGGTGACAAAGAAGAAAGTTGAAGGAGCGCGACGGAGTACAAAGGCGGGGTTTGGTAGAGGCGAAAGACGGAGGGGCCTCGAGGCCAAAGGAACCGCGATTCTGCCTTCTGTTTTTGTTCTTTCGACTCGCTGTCAGGTCAGGTGACATCACCGGTCGCTGAGGTAATCTGTTTGCAAACTGAGCAAACATCACCACGTGTTTCATCATCATCGTCTTTCATGAAGAGTCGACTTCCCTGTTTATCTGATATTGAGAATCACAGCAATCACGAACCTGGCTGCCTGAGTGAATTGCCCGGCTCTGTCCGAGTTGTATACGAAATAGACCTCTTTCGGAAGGGCAGGCTTCGACACCTCAGGCACCAGCGCGCCGACAATTCTACAGGAGCTAGAGCGTCTTTCTAAGATTAGATGGGGTATAACAGATTATTTTGTTTTCAATTATCTCGCTGAATTTGTTTTGATACAGTAACTGGATATCATAAACGTCATAACATTTCGTTTAGATGCAAATCGTCACTTCGGTTTAGGCTCGTACGTCCAACTACTGGTGCTGCTTGAGCAACTCCTTCCGGAAAGCCTCTTCTTGCTTGACCACTTCCAAAGGAAGAGTTCGTCCGATGCCGAACAGGACGAAAGGCGCCCACTTCCACCGGAAGGGGTTCACTACAATACAGAAGACAAACCAATAGATGAGTTCGGAGTAGGTGAAGAAGTCAAAGGCACCAGTCGGAGACAGTTTTTTCATGAAGCGCGTGAAGTCGATCCAGGTTTTCATGCGGCCTTCGGTAGGGCGAGTCAATGGGTCGGTCAGAAACATGAGCAGGAAGCGAGTGTAGATGCCGATGTGCATGTTGCCGACGGTTCCGATGGCGTTGACGTAGGTACTGTTGTTGGCGCAAAGGCTGGTGTACTTGGGCGGGAAGACCTGGAGATACCAGCTGGGAGGGCCGTAGGGTTCTTCGAACACCTCGTCGGGCAGGAATGAAAGCGAAGGACGTTTGAATCCAGTAGCCATAATGATGACGTCGCCGGGGACCACTTCTTCGTGGCCGGGACCGCCTTTCGGTACGCCCTTGGATCGGAAATTGAAGAGAATGCCATCTTCTTTCACGGCAACAGGATCACCGCGCAGCCAGCGAGCTTTGCCTTCTCTGATCTGATCGAAAAGCTCGTCGTTTGCCATGGGGGTTGTGGTATACAGGCCGCCAGACGGAGCAATGTCCTGCAGATCGCGATAGAAGAACTTATGCAGAAGCCATTCAGGAATCCACGACAGCGAGGTCTCCTGCCCAAAGATGTTCATGGCCAGCAGAGATTGTACCAAAACGTTGCGAGGGATGACCCATTTATCTGACCGAGACAACACGTCGATCTCGGCGGCCTTTGCCTTGACTGCAAACTCGAGCGCTTCGATGGCACTGGCGCCGCCTCCGATGATGAGCACTCTCTTGCCTTCGACATCCTTGCCATCAAGCTTGGACGAGTGGAAGATGCTGCCCTTGAACTTCTCCTGATCGGGTAATGGGGGCTGCTTGGGATCTCCGCACACTCCTACTGCAGTCACGACTCCGTCAAATCGACCGTATTTGTCGTCGTTGTTGATGATCCATTTGCCGTTTTTAGCTTGCTTGACGGACGTGACGGGGGTGTTGAAGACGGTGTGCTTCTGGAGGCCGTAGCGTTTCCACACTTCAACGATTTGCTCCTTGATTTCCTGCTGAGTAGGGTAGGCAGTGTCGTATTTGACCGACGGGTGGAATCGATACATAAGGCTGTGGATTTGGAGCGAAGAGGTGGAATTGACGCGCTGTGAGACGTCGTCAGCAGCTGCTCCCTCTTTCGACTACCATGGCGGACTTACACTCCAGATTCCTCCCAGACCCTCTTCCTTGGATCTCTGCTCGAACAATTGCACTTCAAATCCATGACCGACACAATGAGCGGCCGACGAGACACCGGTCAAACCGGTTCCGATGATCGCGACTCTCTTTTTAGGGAGGCCATTGGTGACCGAGGATGGCGGGGGCGGGGCGGGAGCAAAGATGTAGTTGATGATGGCCTGGAAGACCATATAGAGCAAGGTAAAGGTATTTACGATTGGATGTTTGATGAAGTCCACTATGGTGGACTGACCTCGAGATTCCGCCATAGATGAGGATGAAATGGGCAGACGTCAAACGCTGAACACGATGATGAGAGATAGTAAAATCTATGGATGGACGAGGAGGAGACGGGGGAGATGAGAAGGGTATTTGGTCTCACACAGTCGAGACCGGGCGAGCGCGGCTTTATGAAGCGAGGAAGGACGAAAGCCTCGCATTATCCTGGTTGCTGCCGATGACGTCGATGTGGACCGATGATGAAAGACACATGTGAAAATGGCCCTGGGTCCATCGCTCGGTCGGGGATGTTTCCAGTAATACGCCTTTCTAGACAGAGTCGATTCTCTCTGGTCAATTCCACTCTAGCTCCTTGCAATCCGTTTTTCAGCAAATTTTGTTGTTTCGTGGCTTTGCGAAGGTATCAGCTATACTCCGGTGGAGCGGTGATCTGCGGACGGTGGCCTGAGGCACTCTTAGCCAGCCGTGAAAACGCCATCTTCGGAATCTACCGGCTTAAGAACTTGAGTACTACTAGCATGCTCATGCTGGTCTCACAAACCACCAAGCTTCCGACAGTCGGAAATTTCTCATGGTCAGACCCCGCGTAACCCGGGCACGGTCGCCGTTGTTCGAGACTAATGCAGTATGCAGCCCATTCCTGGTGGAGCCCTTGCGATTGCATTGGCATTGTTACTGTTAGCCCCGCCGGTCCATTCGTCGGGCAGGCGTCATCGTTATGTCTCTCTTAGAAGGATCTGGGAGATTGTGTGATCTATTCGTCCCATTTTCATGTGATAGGGAGCAGCAATGCAATTGCCTACCCCTGGGTATGTATTACTGAACACATCGACTGCCCATGAATTACCATTTACATTAGAATTGAAGAATCGCTTTGTTCAACTACATGCATACACCAAACTCCTCGCAAAATGAAAAACACCAAAGTCAATCCCCCTTAATCTCATCTGCCTTCTGATGAATATCAGACACAAGGTTTCCCCCCTTGAGCATGTAATTCGGAATATACCCATTCTCCTCCAGCCATATAAACGGCCAAAAGAGCCACGCTCCCCAGACGCAAAACAACGTCGCGAAAAAGTGGAACAGCCTTACAAACCAATGACCGAAATGCGGGAACAAGAACTTGACGAACTGCGTCGGCTGGTACAGATCCTCCTGCTTCTGGATATAGTAGAGCGTCTTGTCGCCGTTCGTCAGATTCCGATCGCCCGAGTCCGTCGTGAGGTCTAATACCGTCGTCAAAGTCACAGGGGCGACGTGGAAAGGGACGATCCAGATGGTGAAGATCTGGGACATCTGGACGTAGAGTTTTAGGTTGGCTTCGTCGTATGCTACGGGTTCATGGTTAGCTTATCGTCCACGGATCAAACATGAGCGTGGATATGAGTTGCTAAAGAGGCAAACGCACCCACAGAATGCACCTCCAATTCTATCCGCGGCGACATGACCTTATACCATTGGTAGACCTTCTTAATGGCCCAGCGACTGTCATTGTAGCTCCATACTTGACAGAAAGGGTGGACGAATGCGGCCGACGACGTAAAGTAGCGATTGATGGTCTTCTCTTGGAGGGATGGAGGAGCTTGCGTGAGCAGCCGAATGACTGTAGGGATTTCGGCGACTATATATGCGTCAATTGATGCTCATTATACCTTTGCTGGGATGTGCCCTGCGCAATTTGGACGGGAAGACACGGTAGGGGGCAGACAACGCACCTGGATTCTCCATGTTGCTGCTCTATTAGATATTATAGATTACCCTCGAGCCTTTTGGTAGCTTCTCGGGCGAGACCAAAAAGCGTTGTCAATAGTAAATAGAAAGTTGCGATTCTGGCACGGTCGATGAAGGAATGCAGGCAATGACGTCATATCCACAGGCACCGGGTGGCCGCCGGCGACGTCAGACTCGGCCAGGCTTTGCAGGCAACAATCGGACCTTCACATGAAGAGAGAAAATGTGATTGAGACTTGGAAAATTATTTACAATCCGGATCAAAGAACCGCCCATGTGAAGATCAGCAGTAGGTCTGGATTTGTTCCACACTTCCATTCTGAGATACGTACCATCCGGTACATTGCTTCAAGGACAGAAATCCGCCACGAATTGAGTCGGAAAATGAAAATGAAAAATGGTAGAAGGAAGAGAGAGAAGGAGGGATGATAAGCAAGAAGCAATTGCTATTTCACGTAAATGAGAAAGAAAATTGAAACAATTACAATGATGTTCTAGTTGCAATGCGGATCGGCCGTGCGGCCTGAAATATATACTCAGTTCCACCGGTACACTCGATAAACCTATAGATCACATCACAGTAGACTGGATACTTCAACAACATTCAACAATTGGGATTCATAGATATACTACACTACGTAAACGTTGTATCTGTCATATACTCGTACGACAAAAGGAGTTAGAAGAATTACCAATAACTTTTCAGTGGTATCGAGAAAATGCTAAACATCTCTAACAGTCTATCTATAAACACACTACCGCTTCCAGCTATCCACCTTCTTCCTTCGCTTCTCAAAGATCTGACCCACGCCAGCCCCGTCGTCGCGAGGTCCATCATCCGTAGTCTTTCGTTTCCGGCTTCGGTCCAAAGCGCCGCCGCTTCCCTTGGCCCTGCGCGTAAGTCGGGAAATGCGATCCGCACCCTCAGTGAGGCCTCTCCATTCTTCACCACCAAACGTGCCCTCGGGGCCGCGTCGGCCGCGCTTCTTAGCCTTCTCCTTTTTGCTCTCGCCCATGAGACGGGTGAAGTTGGTTTCCTCGTAAGCGGTCCGCTCGGCCTCGGTTTCCCTCTCTTTCTTGGACTTCGTGTGTCTTCCACCATGCGTGATAGTACTGCCAATGCTGGGCTCGGCCATCGGAGCGGATGACATCTCGGCGGTGACGAACTCGTCGATAACGTTCGATTTCCGGGGTCCGCGCTCTTTGCGCTCTCTGGATTCGGTGGTGGGCAGTGCTGTCGGCATGATCTTCGGCGGTCGGTAGATGCCGTCGTTGGTGCTTTCTCTGTTGTCTGACCGGTCGGCATTTTCTCTGGGCTCGAATTTCTTGGCGAACGCGGACACGTTGGGTCGGTATGCCATTTCGTCAATGTCCTCGTCTCCTTCGCTCTCGTCGCTGTCGCCTTCGCTGTCGCTGTCGCCCTCGTCATCGTCGCTGCCCTGCGCTGCTTTCGCGGCCTTGGCCTTGGTGGATGCCTTGTCGGCCCGTTCGGCGTCCTCTGCAGCCTTGACCACTTTGTCGACTTGGTACTTCAACCGTCCCTCCAATGGTCGCGCGCCGCGGTCCAGGTAGACACGTAGCTCGACAAGCTTTTTCACAATGTCCTCGCGCAACGAGGGATCGGCCTCGGCACCGTCACTCTTGTTCGTGGAGAGTCCACGTAGTTCATGGATCATGAGAAAAACGAGGTTGTGAATGTAGGAAAGGAGTAGTTCGGATTTGGTGTCCAACAGCGAGATACCATCTTGCGGCGGTTCGATCGAAACGTCGGAGGGCTGATCGCGGGTCGCTTTGGGCAGTGACGAGCCGACGGTGTTCAGACTGCCTGTGACATTTTCCAAAAGGGTGGAGATGCTCGAAAGGCTCGAGCCTTCGGGTTGCGACGCGGCCATCGCCATGGTCAAATGAATCAATTGAATTTGTTGACGAGACTTTCTATTGAGATTCGGGGCGCCGAAGAACCGTCGAGGGAAATTTTTTGGAGGCGTTATCAGCACGTGATGATAGAGGCCTGGGCCATCACGTGTGCCAAGACCGGCTAGTTGGCCTCAACGGGCAGCGGGAAGGGAGCTGCACTTCTGTCGCTGATTCTACTTCAATTTCCCTTTCCCTTTCCCTTTGGCGGCTCATTGATTCCGCATTCTCGCTCTCTCTGTGTTGGTGGTCTATCAATTTCCCACGACACCCAATCCATGAGATCTTGAGGAATTCTTCGTCCGTGGTGTGGCTGCTGTAGAATCTGTATGGCATCCACAAGCTACTTGAACTATCTATCCTAGACCCGACCCAGTATCTCACTAGAGCTAATACCGCGCCTTTCGCTCAGACATCCACCATGCGGTTCAACACGAGAACGTTGTCCGCTTCCTCCCTCCTCCTATGCACCCTGCCGTCTCTGTCCGCTGCTTTCTATCTACCCGGCGTAGCTCCCACTTCCTACGATGAAGGCCAATCCGTTCCGTTGTACGTCAACCATCTGACGCCGGGGCTAGCCCAGCAAGATGACCAGCTGCACTCGGTGTTCTCCTTCGACTACTACCACCAGGCGTTCCACTTCTGCGCGCCGGAGGACGGACCAAAAGATGTTCGAGAATCGTTAGGAAGTATTCTGTTTGGCGACCGGATCCAGACGTCTTCGTTCGAGCTGGCAATGGCCAAGAACGAGACGTGCAAGTCCGTGTGTCGAGAGGTCCAGTTCGACTCCCGCAGCGCCAAGTTCACCAACCGCCGCATCGCGCAGGGATACAACATCAATTGGCTAGTGGATGGTCTGCCGGGAGCGCAGATCAACATCGACTCGGGCACCGATACCAAGTTCTATAGCCCCGGTTTCGCGCTCGGTACCTTGGACGAGAACGGAGTGTCGCTTTTGCACAACCACTACAACATCTACATCGACTATCACCGCGTGGGCTTCGGCAACAAGGACAAGTTCCGGGTGGTCGGCGTGCTCGTCAAGCCGGAATCGCGAGGCAACTCTCACGTGCTCGAAGATGGCGCGGCGGACTGTGGCAGCAACGAGACCCCCGTCGTTCTGAACGAGGAGGGCGACACTCCGGTGAGCTGGACCTACAGCGTCTACTGGACCGAGTCGACCACGCCGTGGGCCACTCGCTGGGACAAGTACCTGTACGTCGAGGACCCGAAGATCCACTGGTTCTCGCTCATCAACTCGGCCATCTTCGTCGTCTTCTTGGTCGGCATGGTCAGCATGATCCTCGTGAGAGCGCTGAAGAAGGACATTGCGCGGTATAACAGACTGGATATGATCAACCTGGACGATCTGGACGGCACGTCTGCTGCCGTGGAGGACGGCATCCAGGAAGATTCCGGATGGAAGCTGGTCCACGGAGATGTTTTTCGCTGCCCTCGATCGCCGTTGTTGTTGAGTGTTCTTGTCGGCAACGGCGCTCAGCTCTTCATGATGACCGGTGTCACCGTTAGTAAGTTTTGAGTGGTCCCGGAGTTTTCTGGCGTTTTGGTACTAACGTGCTTCGAGTCTTTGCTCTTCTCGGACTGCTGTCCCCCTCTAACCGCGGGTTCTTGGCTACGGCCATCCTTCTCATCTACACGTTGTTCGGCTTCATCGGTGGATACGTGTCGGCCCGTGTGTACAAGTCGTTCGGCGGAGAGTCGTGGAAGCGCAACATCATCATGACTCCCGTTTTGGTTCCCGGACTCATCTTTAGCGTTTTCTTCCTGCTCAATCTGTTCGTCTGGGGCAAGGGATCCAGCGGCGCCGTTCCGTTCACCACGATGCTCGCCTTGGTTCTTATCTGGTTTGTCATCAGCGTGCCGTTGAGTTTTGCGGGCAGCTGGCTTGGATTCAAGCAACAGGTACGTTGGAAACCTCCACTGAAGGACCATTGTTAACCGTTTTGTCAGGCCGTTGAAGGACCGACCAAGACCAACCAGATTCCACGCCAAGTGCCCCCGATGACCGGCACCCTGCGAACCGTTCCGTCGTTGCTGCTGACCGGTGTCCTGCCTTTCGCGGCTATCTTCGTGGAGCTGTACCTCATCACCAAGTCACTCTGGACCAACCGCATCTACTACATGTTTGGCTTCCTGTTCCTGTGCTACGGACTGATGGTGATCACCTCGGCCGCCACGACGGTGTTGCTGGTGTATTTCCTGCTGTGCGCCGAGAACTACCGGTGGCACTGGCGAGCGTTCGCGGGCGCCGGCATGACCGGGGCCTTCGTCTTCCTCAACGCCCTTCTTTTCTGGGCGACTCGCGTCAGCTTCGGCGGTTTCACGGGGGCAGTGCTGTATCTCGGATACTCGGCTTTGATTTCATTTATTGTGTTCATTTTGACCGGTATGCTTATCTCCCCTTCGTTTTCTCTTCTTTTCTTTCGCTTTCCGCCAAACTTTTGCTGACCAATGTTCAGGCTCGATTGGATTCTTTGCTAGCTGGGCGTTTGTGCAACGCATCTACGGTTCGATCAAGGTCGATTAAAAACTTTCGACGTGAGCCATTTTGACCTCGGCATGTACGACGACTCGTCGTACATAGTTCCTGGTAGACCCGGCCTGATGGCAGGACAGGACCGCCGAGTTGTATTTTCCTATAGAACGATGACGAATGATTAGTGTCTTCTCGGATATCCCCTGTATAGTTGGAAAGGGTCGGAATGAATGCAGCGCAATACCCGGTGACCTCCATGTATGTACATAGCGAGCGATGTGAGAATGTTCAATGTACTCCGTAACTGCGCATTGCGTAATGCATGAGATGAATGCCAAGGCCGGCGGAGGTCTGGACCCGACGGGTTGAATTGCCACGGCGGAGTTCTTTCGCAATCACTTTCTCTCTCTCTTGTCATCTTCATCGCCTCTACTTTTTGCATCCATCTCCCTTCCGTGACTATCTAGTCTCTAGTCTTGTCACTAGTGCTTCGACCCCCGTCCCTGCTGCCCCTCGGCCAAGCGGCGCACGATCTTATCAATCCCAAGCCAAACCACGACTACCCCGCGCCTTTTCCGTGCCTCCGTTTCAGCCGATTCCTGCTTGGGCGCATGACAACCGCGGCCTTCCGATCCCCGACTTGTGTGCTTTTGGGCACTGCTTTTACGTGATTCTATTTTCGGACATTTTGTTGCTGGTTTTTTTCTGTCTTCTTTCTGCGTGGCTTGTGGACAATGGGCAAGTCGTAAGTGTCCGAATCCAACCCTCTCCGGTCGCTCCGCTTCCTCGTTCGGGTAGGATGGAAACAAAGAAACAAAAGATCGTGGGCCACAGCACGCGCCGCTGCGATGGCGGCGGGGACTTTGCGACCGCTGCAAATTCGCGATACTCTCGTGCGGGCCTTCGATCTGTGTTCGCGCGGTCGACCGCTTCCTGTAAAGTCGCTGGCTAGCTGGCTAACCATGTTTTATCTCTGTCTAGTCAGTCAAAACTTTCCCCCTCGCAGCTCGACGAGCTCCAGAAGGCGACCCATTTCGATAAAAAGGAGCTGCAGCAGTGGTACAAGGGTGCGTAATACCCCGACGATCGGAGACAGGGCACACGGAGAATACACGATCGGGCTAACGCACGCGGGCCAGGTTTTCTCAAGGACTGCCCCTCGGGGACCCTGACCAAGGAGGAATTCCAGAAGATCTACCGACAGTTCTTTCCCTTCGGCGATCCGTCATCATTTGCAAATTATGTCTTTCGCGTGTTCGATTCGGATAATAGCGGCATGATCGATTTCAAGGAGTTCATCTGCGCGCTGTCGGTCACGTCGCGGGGCAAGATGGAGGACAAGTTGGACTGGGCCTTCCAATTATATGACATCGACGGCGACGGCAAGATCACGTACGACGAGATGTTGGCGATCGTCGAGGCGATCTACAAGATGGTATGTTGTCCTTTTCCCATTTCGGTTTCCAGTTTCTGTTTTCTCACTGACCTGGCTAGGTGGGCTCGATGGTGAAACTACCCGAGGACGAGGATACCCCCGAGAAACGAGTTCGCAAGATCTTCCGCATGATGGACAAGGACGAGAACGGCAGCCTCGACATGGAGGAATTTAAGGAGGGCAGCAAACGGGACGAGACGATCGTCAGCGCCCTGTCGCTGTATGACGGGCTGGTATAAGGAACGGCCACTATCCACCACCTCCGAACGCCCCCTTTCCCACCGTCTCTCTTCCACACCGGCGAATCCGGCGCAGTTGAACATTTTCCTTTGTCGGGTTTCCTTTCACCCTCTGTTTTCATCCTTCCTTGCTGGTCATTTGCGTCTTTAGGATTCCCATCACCGTTTCTTCCTCCCTGTGCCGATGACCAGCCATGTGTCTCTGATATTGATGGCGATTTACGGTTGCATGACCCTATCTGATATATTACTTTCTTTGCCTTTATCTTGCCCTCTCCTTCCATTTGTTTTGATTAGCTGAACGTCTAAAATCCGGTGGCATACTGTGTTTGATTGCTTTGTACTTGCATAGGTAGGCGATGGGCGCAAGCCATGGAAGAGTGAGAATGATAGCACTTTGTATACTGGAGGCCCTGGCAGTAGATGGGCCCTTTAATCTGTATGTCGGTGTTTACAGTTTATTTCGAGAAGAATTCTAGTCTCAGGAGTAAAGGCCCCGTTGCAATCTAAGCCGAGGACTGGTCGATGGGGCCAAAACGAGCTAAAAAGATCGGGTCGATGGCTAAACTTTACCCTGAATTCTCCACCACTCCGTCGGATCCTTTTATTCTCATCCCAATCTCTCTCCATGTCGCCTTTGCCGGATACGAGGTTCGTCGTCATTCTTTGCCACATGTGCAACCAGTATGGTGCGAGGTACGCGCTGTCAAAGCGGCGTCCATGCGCAGCTTCAGGTCGGTGTTTTGTTTCCTTTGTCCTTCTTATTTTCTACTCCTGATCCCTCCACTTGGTTCGGTCGCGACGTGGCAAATCCTGCTGCCTGGAGTTGGCGCCGAACAAGACTCCATCTACGATCTGACGTGCAGAGAAGTGGAGCCGGCAATGCGATCGAGATCTACCTATACACTATTTCTCCCTCGGCAGATATCTACTCGTCATGTCTCTGATGGACCTCATGGCTGACCCGGATCTAGGGTGACGATGGAACTGCGTGCGCGCGATGCAAAGACCTGAAGGTGCGATGTCTGAGACACGGCAGCCACTATGTCCCATCTCGAGATGCCTCATCGTCATCCCAACAACAACCTGCAACTCTTCAAACCCCACGCATGATCGCCAACTACCAATCGATCTCACTGCGCATCGACGACACGATCTCCCCCTCCCTCACCGTGACCGCGCTCGCCGACCAACAGACTGAAGTGTTCACCAACTATGTCCTCGCCGTCTTTCCCTGCTACTTCAAATGCACCGAAAAGCAAGTCCCCGTCAACTGGATCGAGTACGTCGATAGCCGACGCGGCTCTCCATCCCCGTCACCCTTCGACTGGGCTCTGCGCGCCTGCACATTCGCATACACGGGGGCTTTACACAACGACCCACGCTTCACCCACGCCGGACGAGACCTCTACCTGCGCTCTCTGCGCGGGCTCGCCATCCTCCTCTCCTCGCCAACCACCGCCGCATCGGACGAAAGCCTCGCAACGGCCATCTCCCTCGCCATCTACGAAAAGCACCACTGCACAGAATCGGACGCCTGGTTACGGCACGCGGCTGGAATCCGCACGCTGCTGAAACTGCGCGGACCAGCCGCCCACGTCCACGGATTCGGACGCGCCCTGTACCTCGCCTACCGACATTTCTTGATCACGCATGCGTTGATCTCTGGGGAGCCGTGCTTCTTGGAGACGCCCGAGTGGCGCGCCGTGAATGAGCAGATTGTCGCGGATAACGCTAAACTACCGGACTCGTCGCTATATACGGATGTCATCGAGCGGGCTAGTCTCGTGGTGATCCAAATCCCGGGACATGTGCAGGAGGTACGCGAGCTGCAGGAGAAAGAGAAGAAACCTAGCAAAGAGCAGACGACGGCGCTGCTGCAACGGGTCCAGGCGACGCGCGCAGCACTTCGAGGCATCCATACCGAATTCGGTGTCGCGGTGTCGATGCTACGGGCCGGACAGGCACAGCCACAAGCACAGGTACATGGCGAGACCCGATCTCGATGCAGGGAGAGTGATAGTTCAGGACGAGGTTTCATTGGTCCCTTACCGCATTTATTCTTCGATCGGTACTCCCGGCTCTTCGACAAGGGTGTGCGGTCGGGGTTACGGATTCTTAATTACTGTGTTTGGATCCTCGATCCAAGTCAGCGGGAGACTCTGGAAGATGAGATCCGGTTGTTGGAAGATCGGATTGAACCGTCGCCGTCTCCGTTGCCGTCACCACCATCTTCCTCTTCATCTATAGCCTCTGTATTCGATACCGAAGATGATGCATTCCTGCTCACACCGCCTGATTCTCCAGGGGATGGGGAGGTTAGATTACAGATCAAATCGCTGATTACACCGGAAACAAAACGGCCGCCTATCACGCCGTGGATGGATCGGATTATGACGACGATGGGGCTGGATGGGGTGGAGGTTCGGTTGGGGGAGTTGTGAATTTAGCGTTTCTGTTTCTTCTTTGGTTCAATTTGGAATTGATGAGTTTGTTTTCTCTGTGGAGATTGTGGATTTAGATACCCTGGTGGTGGACTGAGTTGCTTAAATTGATACTTTATCATGTTTCATGAAATTGCTTTTTCAAACGTAGAAGACACCCCTTTTAGTACTTTGACATGTTGATAGATCTGGTATTTCAAAGGAGAAAGGCACATTGCACTGTTATTCCACAAATTATTCCCAAGATCGAGTGGATCAGTCATAGCAATTCAATTTGTAGTATGATCTCCTTTCTTTGCGCTACCCTCGCCCCTTGGAGGACAGCCCAGAAGCCTCAATACATCCCTAAAATACCCCTTATCCCACAATCAGAAGAATAAACCAGAGCAAGCCCGGCACATATCCTTCGGTCGAAGAGTTGCCTCACCCGATCAAATTACCATTATGTTTGTGGGCCGATAAAGAATAACTTATGGATGGGAGTGAAGTTGTCTCACTGAAGTACTCGTTCCTCCGCTTTTATGTTTTCTTTCAATATCGTAGCTTAGATGACCAACCACTTTTCCATATATTCCCCGACAGGCGATCATCGTAGTCAGCCGCTTCTAGCGCTGCACGCAAGGGAGGAGCCTGGGGTGAATCGACCAGTCTTTCTTATGAGACTCATCAGCCCGAAGTTTGGGAGAGGCATTGTAGATTCTGGTGCCATAGCGTTGAGCAAACACAGGATTTTGGTAACGGAGTTCGCAAATCGAATTACGACCGCCATGTTGGAGCTGGAATTTTGTCGTAAACAAATATGGGGCGTACAGATCGATGAGAGGTTTCTTATTTATTATCTGGAAGGTTGCCCGTTCCCGCTGAGCAGGAAATTGCTCTTGGAGCTATAGATCCGGGCTGTCGCATGCACCACCGTATCTGTAAAACAGTCTCGGCGTAAGTATCTGATGTAGGCATAGGAACATGCCCGAAAAACGACAATGCAGGGGCGAACGCAGGGTCGACAGCTGAACAGACGCAGGAGCAGGAGCAACACCGGTAGCAGGACCAGCACAGTTACTCGTAGTAACATCGACCAGTAGCACCGACAGTGATCAATGCAGCGAGGACAGCAGCGGGACTAGGCGCAGTGGCAGGCTTGCGGGCATGGATAGACATCCTGCTCATTGCGTCTGCGATTAATGTCACGGAGAACACCTTGGGACGGCACTGTGAATCGTATTCTGCATGGCGTGCTGGATTGCGCTGACATCGCCGAACGCAGGAGCACCAAAGACGAGGGCGAACTCTGTATAGGCCCGATGGCAGAGAACACAATCAAATTCGCATAGTTGCTCTCCCGCATTTGCATCCTGTCAATGCTTGTCCCCGGTGTGATGATGGTCTTCAACGCACTGTGCTCGGTATGCAAGCAGTTTTGATATGAGTTTCGGGGAGTGATCAACTAGCGAACTTTGGCTAAGCACCTCACTGCAGCAGGCATTCTCTTTCGCTAGAAGAGATGTAAACAAGAATGATATAGTTGTTGTGCTTCATCTCAAGCGCCACGGTATCTGCGTCATCTAGTCAAATGACACCAACATTCTAAGGACCGAGCTGGGAAAATAAAAGCAACGTAGGAAGCGTAATAGCAGACTCCCAAAGTTGGTTCGCCCATATTCGTTACTTGTCTGTGGTATGTTGCTAACATCGGCCCTAGAGCTGGCCTAGGCATGGGGGTATTTCCCTCCGTTCCTTAACAGGTGGTCGGTGACGGTAAGCTCGAAAAGCTCTTCATCTGTACGCTCCACATTCCATATATTGTGCGGGTCGAATGAGGTATTCTCCCACTAGTGAGCCACATAGACGGCTTTTTAACTGATGATGTACAGGGCTGTGCACCCCTTGATGCCTCGAGCTTCCACATTCGATGGTGTCGAAGATCTATAATACGCCTATTAACGAGATACACAACCCGACTGAAGAGTGACTACACATGTAACCGAGTACCTGGGTCTCGATGTGCAGTTCCTCGTCTGAGGAAACAGATCAGAGTTTACTCAATTGCTATTGTTATATCAAGGTCAAGGGGCTGCCAAACACTGTTCGGAGCGAAGATGCAACGCAGTGTTTTTCAGGTGGAAGATATTGTCCTCCAGTGGTGAAGATCTCGTCAACAGCCTGATTGCTATTGAGCCTGCACGCCCATAAGATGACAACCTTCTCGTCGTGGTCCTTTTACCAAATGGTGTAGTCTGCCGCGACCTGGATTCGAAGTCTTCCATACTCCGACAAAGTTTTCGATATGGATAATTAGATGAGGCACGGATATTGCAAAAACCGCCGGGCTTTTGATAATGGTTGCGTCGAATGTCGGTTTCGAATGTGACTGGCTGATGATCATGAATATGTAAAGGCAGATTGACAATTTACCAATGGAAGAAAACATCATGCATGATGGGGGACATATCCGTTTTCTCTCGTGAATGCTAGACATAAAAAGTGAGCCGCTCTCCATGTGAAGAGCAATAGGGTGGTGATTCATACTCTTGTCTCGATTAAGTAAGGCATCAACAAAGGCACATAGGCTGGGCACGCAAATGGCGCTTATCCATGTCAGCCACTATCTGTCAAGCTGTGGAGATTATGTCTGCAATTGTCAACTGCGGTATGGCTTCCATTCCAGTGTTATGTCATAGATGGTCGCATATCCCGAGCCATACAGATGTTTTATCCCGACTGGCACAAACGTCAAGACCTCAACAGTGCCTACTGAAGTCGAGGTAGGTGTCCTGGGCTTGACCGAACCGTATTTTCAGAGGCTTTGATGGAGGTCTCAACTTCAATGCGAACATGAATTTGTGCGGAGGGTAATTTGTCACGCTGTTCTCGGATGAGCTGGTAGTCGAGATGACAGTTCCCATCGACGCCTTTCGTCCACGCAGGTTACTCAAAGTCGATGCTGCGGCGGACTGTCTTCACTCGATGTTGTACGTTCAGCAGGTAAGTTTCTGGCATCGCCAGCTCTTTTCGGTTGTATCCGGGTTGTATCCTGGTAGCCCTGTATGTTTGCGATGAGTGAGGGTTATTGTGCATTCGTTCCCACGCGGAGAGTAGCTCTCTGAGCTAACGGCCTACGATATTGTGGGGTAGCCCTCAGTACTAGTCGCCATTGAGTACTGATATCTGGATGTCCTCGCGAAGTAGAGAAAGATAATGTTTTGTCATAGATTCTTTTGCAACTGTAGCTATCCAGCCTGTGGACTTGTTAGTTTGATACATCGAAAACACTGGATGTTGTCTACTTACTTTTATAATCACTTGCTTGACACTAGAGAGTAGAGCATGAGATATGCAACCCCGAATGCATCTTGTTTACGCGCCCGTATGTGTGTGTCGTCATTCGTACCATCAATAAGTAAGTTTGTAGCGACATCATCTGTACGGTACTATTTGATGGATAGTAGCTTGTTGCATGTCATGGCTACCAGAATGGAACGCGTAAGGCAGATCGACACCACAATGGAGCTTTCTGGCCGCTGCAAATGCTGAAGAAGATGCAGAGAAGAGAGATGATGGGTCTACGTGAAAGCCCTTCTACTACGGGTTTTGACGAGCCATGGGATCATTCACAGAGCTACTTACAGGAAGAAGAAACAGAGGATAAGTGAATTACCTAGAGTCTGATGGTCATTAACCTTTGAAGTTCTCGTCATGTATTCCCTGCCCTGTAGAAAGGAGCCATCGGTGAATTGGTTGAGATGCCTAATCAGCAAGACTGCAAGAAAGATGATACTGAAATTTGCCTTAACCACCGGATCAACGGCGCTAATCATCAAGGGGATCAGATCATGATTGTTGGCCACATTAAACCTAGAAATAGCCATAGAGGCAACATAAAAATGACGAGGTGCTTATGAGTTCGCATACGGAATATAATGTTACTGGATTTTGGACAGAGATAGATCAACTGAGTCTACAAGGTGCCATTGTGCTATTCGAAAAACAACTAATTTGACGCTCCAACAAGTCATCTGATAGTACAGGGAACGACCTGGATTAACAACTATCTCGAGTCATTTGGCTGGCAAACGCTTGTAGAAGTTAGGCACTTGTTTGTTTTGGCTGAAGAAAAGGATGCGCCGCCAGTTCTCCTGCTGTCTTTCTCACATCTTGACGCCAATGAAGCATTCCCTTGGCGAGATTCAGAAACTCTTTCTTCTCTTCTCCATCATGGAGGGAAACTGTGTCCTCTAACTTCCGGTCGGGGATTAGGTCTTCGTAGAGAAAGCGCCCTAAAATGGTTGATGAGTCTGGAACTGGTCGTTTGATACTGGGAGCTAATAATACCATCATTGTCAAAGAATGGCCCACAGAAGTACTCCTCCGCGGTTTCGCATATTCTGTCATCTTCGCGCTTGACAGGTTGCGGCCATCGGTACTCCCGCATGAACTGATACCTTTGTATGATCTCTGAAGGAGGTGGACCAAATAAGGCTATCATTTCGGCAATGTGTAGTTTAGCATTGTAGCGACCTTGTTGGTCATGTATATGTTGAAACAGTTCCTTGCCTTCGATCATATCCCACATCTTGTCTTGAATTAGTGGCAAGAATAACCTGGGAGAACGAGACGCACCAGAACACCGAGATTCCAAACATCTGCTGGCATTTGCCATCCATTACCGAGTATCACCTCTGGCGCTCGATAGTGGTTTGGCTGAATAGGCCAGACGCCCCAGTCGTCGTCTTCCTCAAGCCTGGTTGCTAAACCAAAGTCGACAAGTTGGGGTATACTTCTCAGGCTTCTGAGTGGCCCAAAGTCATTACGGGACTGATACACCGGTCGGCCCGCCGAATCAATCTTGGAAGCCATCGGCGTTACAAGCTGGTAGTCCATGTAATCAGAGAGCACGGCTGGATCCTCGCATGTGACCATGACATTTTCAAGCTTCAAGTCTAAGTAGCCGCGCAGGCTCAGTATCACAGGAGGAGAGTAGGGTCGAAGAGGAACATACCCGTATGAACTGTTCTGCATTTTTTGTGAAGATAATCAAGCCCGATGAGAAGAAAACGAACATATGTTTTAACAAAGGGCAGTGGCATTTTTCCATCCTTAAAGCGCCGCTGATACATCGACAATGGCTCTCGCATAAGCGGATATACAAGACACAAATGAGAGCCTTTTGGACCTTCAACTTCAAAAGATTCCAGGAATGTTCGCATAAGAGAGCGACCGCGATGTGATGGATCGACCGTGGAGATGTGCTCTTCAACCTCGCGCTCATGACCAGCTGAGTTCGCATGGTTATTGGCGATTTTTAGCGCCACAACCGTCTCTGGCTCTTCATCACGCCTGTATACTTGTTAATGGGGCTTCGAATTAGACGGATAACTATTTTCTGAGACTACCCCTGCAAATCGCGCGCGAGCCAGACTGTTGAAGACACACCCCAGCCAACCTTGACTAGTGTCTGGTAACGATCGGCGAATACCTCTCCTGGCCTCGCTGGGTAAAAGTACTTGGAATCATATACGGGTGAGATCTCTTCATCGACGAGTATGGCGGGCGGTAAAAGTGGTCCAGGAGAAGGCATGGGAAATGGTTTTTTTCGAAGGAATGTGGACAAGCGGGAGACTGACGGCCTCATAGTGCTTATTATAGAGTGGCCTCCTGTATGTCGACATGAGAATTTGGTAGACATGGATGAAGAAGGAGAATTGATCAAGGAGGAGCCCGAGCATGGGCGGGCGAACGCGTACCTATCGCGGTCACGTGGCAAGGCGCGCGCAGTTTGTTGCACGTTATATCGCCTTTCTAGGACTCCTAACATCTGCAAACTTAGCTAAAAATCACAAAAAGTGATTATAGTCCTACACTTAGCTTCATCATAAATATAGATTTTGGTTCGTTTCGTGGTTATCTGGGCTGATATAGACCCACCTCGGGGCTCGGATCTGCCAAGCCCTACCTGTAGGTAGTGGAGCTCAACACCGAGTCCCGAGCCCTAGTATGCGCGGTCTAGAGTAGAGAAACTCACTTTGGCCTTGTATTGAGAGTGCTTAGCAGACATTGCAAAGTGTTGCTATGCTGTTATTTCTAGTCCCCCCAAGGAAGGGTCTCAAAGAGTCTGGGGTAACAAACCCTAAATGCGTGCACGTGACACATTGAAGACAATGAAAAGCACCCAATGGGAAATCCTATTGTTCCTCCCGACTGGAAGTTAGAATTCGCACAGAAATTGCGTCGGAGACAAACTGCAATCATCATGCTACATTGTGTGTTGCAGAACCCTGGTGGTTTGAACGCATCCGATCAGTTCGAATAACTTACCCTTGAACACTCAACAACATGGAAGATCCGAAGCAGGTGAATGGACATGCGAATGAGATGGCAAATGAGCAGCTGGAGCCCATCCCCGGTCCTAGAGGTTGGTTGCGCAGCATTCAATTGCCTTCAGGTGCTAATGCGCTCCTGTAGTCTTACCCCTGGTCGGGAATCTTTTCGATTTGGACCTGTCGAATGGTCTTCAGGCAATCTTGGACATGGCGAAAAAATATGGTGGGACCAGATCTCGTTTATGGAGATGCAACGTCTTCCTAACTAACGCATGATAGGCCCGATATTTAGGATCACCGTTGCGGGCCAAACGCAGGTTTTCGCAGCCAGTCGAGAAATGGTTGACGAGTTCTGCGATGAATCCCGATTCCAGAAAGTAGTTATGGGTGGAGTTGAACGGCTGCGCGTCGTTGTAAAGGATGGATTGTTCACAGCACACAATCATGAAGAGGGCTGGGCCATTGCACACCGCATAATCCGGCCTGCTTTAGGCCCAATGAAAATACGGGAGATGTTTGGCAATATGCATGATATCACGACGCAATTCTGCTTGAAACTGTAGGACAGGATCCCCAATGTACTGATGTTGCAAATGAAGGCTTACCCGGAATTGCATACAAGTGCTCGCATGGGGCCCACAAGTCTGATTGACATAACCGAAGAGTTCACGAAGTTGACCATGGATACCCTTGCGTTGTGTACAGCGAGCTTTCGGTTCAACAGCTTCTACCGCGGCAATGAAGAGCATCCCTTCGTACAGGCGATAAATGAAGTTCTTCACGAGGCCGACCTTCAATCGTGCTTTCCTGATTTCATCAATGCTCTGCGCATCTTCGCAGCGAGGCGATTGAAAATGAACATGGATTTCATGAGACAAGTGAGCCAGGATATCATACAAGACCGACGGAACACATCTGCCCATTCTAACGACCTGCTTCATGCATTATTGAGTGGGCGTGATTCATTGACAGGCAAGGGATTAACCGAGGACCAGATAATCAACAACCTGATTACCTTCCTAGTGGCCGGCCATGAAACCACAGCCGGCATGATATCGTTCGCTGTTTACTACCTGCTCGCCAATCCGGATTGCCTGAGAAGGGCGCGGCAAGAGGTCGATGACGTTATAGGACCCGATGAAGTTAAGGTAGAGCATCTTTCTAAGCTTCCATATTTGGAAGCTGTGCTGAAAGAAACACTTCGGTTGATGCCCACAGCACCTGGGTTCAGTGTTGCTCCATCCTCCCCTCAGACCGTTGGCGGAAAGTATCTGATCCAACCTGGGGAGTCCGTAATCATTCTGTCCGCAGCATCTCATCGTGATACTTCAGTATTTGGTGATGACGCTGACGAATTCAAACCCGAGAGGATGCTGGAAGAAAAGTTCAATAAGCTCCCACGCAATTCGTGGAAGCCCTTTGGCAACGGTAAACGAGGGTGCATTGGCAGAGCATTTGCTTGGCAAGAAGCGCATCTCGTCATATCCATGCTGCTCCAGAATTTTGACATAGAATTCGATGATCCTTCTTATGAGCTCAAGATTCATGAGACATTGACTATAAAACCAGAAGGCCTTTTGATTCGCACCAAACTTCGGGAAGATAGAGAATACACTGGCCTGGCTATACAAGCTGCGACGAACAAGGGTGGGTTGACGCAAGCAGCAGCCCCCAATGAATCAATTGGCGAGCCGATTACAATACTTTATGGTTCCAACGGTGGGTCATGCAAATCGCTGGCTTATCGATTGGCCTCAAATGCCATCTCACATGGATATAACCAACAAAAGATTCTTACACTCGATGAGGCAGTGGGCAAGCTGCCGACAGATCAGCCCGTCATTATCGTGACAACGAGCTATAATGGCGAACCGACTGATGACGGAAGAGAATTTGTTTCATGGGTAAAGAGTGTCCCAAAGCAGGCTTTCGCTGGTGTCTCATACGCCGTATTTGGCTGCGGCCATCGGGACTGGATACAGGACTTTCATCGAGTCCCCACACTAATCGACGATAGCATTTACAAGGCTGGTGCTCATCGTCTCAATAGAAGAGGAGCTGCCGATGCAGCCATCAGCGATCTCTACTCAGACCTAGAGAAATGGGAAGAAGACCATCTGTGGCCCGCAATTCGTGCCAAGTTCCCTGCGGCGGAACTTTCGATAGATCTATCAAAGCTGCCTCAGGCTGAGGTGCACATAAAGCCGCCGCTTAGAGTATCACTGGACTCACGGCTTACTAGAGTGGTTGTCACCGAAGCTCATCGTCTGACAAGTCTTGAAGAGCCTGAGAAGCGACATCTCGAATTCACCATACCACCTGAATCCAACCTTTCGCTTCGCCCTGGCGATCATCTGAATATATTGCCACGAAACCCACCGCGTGATGTAGAGCGTGTGCTGTCACGGTTCCAGCTTTCACCAGACCACTTACTTACCGTGACCTCTTTTCATGGCGGTGGGATACCTGTTGATACTCCCTTGACTGCTGCGGAGCTTTTCAGCTCATACGTCGAGTTGGCGCAACCGGCTACACCCAAGGTAAGTTCGTTGCCCAGAATATGTTATTTGGGCTAATTATAGAAAGATTATCCAAATGCTTTGTGATTCAACTGATGAAGAAAACATTAAAAAACGATTGACCCACATGATGGATTTACCCGACGAATCGACCAGACCGAACCGATTATCTGTCCTCGATCTTCTCGAGCAGTTCCCAACCCATTCTCTTTCATTGGCTAGTTTTATCTCCATGCTGCCTGGTCTACGGCTGCGGATTTATTCCCTGTCATCCTCGCCTACGTACAATCCCGGCCATGCATCCCTAATGTACCTAGTCCTGAAGTCACCATCTCAAAAGCCAATCAATCCGGGACGCGAGCATCTCGGAGTTGGGTCTAATTACCTCGCCTCTCTGACTCCCGGGTCCGTACTCTATGTATCAGCACGCCCAGCCAAACCCGCATTTCACCTTCCTGACGAGCAAGCAACGACGCCGATCATCATGATATGTGCCGGGTCAGGGCTCGCACCATTCATGTCTTTCATCCAGGAAAGAGTCGCGTTACTGAGTACAGGAAAGGAGCTTGCGCCTGGCCTTCTGATATTCGGATGTCGGCACCCAGGCCGCGATGACTTATACTCCGACGAGCTCGCAGAATGGGAAGGTCTAGGTGCAATCCAGGTGAAACGGGCCTACAGCCGAGCAATTGTTAATCCTCGTGCGGCTGGCTGTCGTTACGTGCAAGACCGGCTACTGACAGAATCGAAATCCATTCTCTCCCTGTGGGACCAGGGGGCAAGGATCTATGTTTGTGGGGCTAGGCCCATGGCTGAGGGGGTTAGGGCGGCGTGCGAGGATATTCTTGGGACTCGTCTGAAGGACTCCGAGGACGCGGGACAGGAGAGATATGTTGCGGAGATATTCTAGAATGGGTCAGGAAGAATCTGGGACCTGGACCCGGATGTATCAGTTGTATTACCGACCTTACAATCTAGCTGTTAGTTGAGTGGATATTTGAGGTATTCTTTGGAAACTTACAACAAGAGATAAAGACAAAGTAAATGGTTGCACATACGCTCCTACTACAGTTACACAGATCGAGAGTGACTAAATCAAGATCCTTGCTCTCTCATCCCTCAAATGAACAGACTGTGGAGAGCGAGGATGATGCATATAGGCTAGTTGTACTAGATGTAGATCGCATTCCCGAAATGGTGCCCGCAATGTAACGGATCTCCGCCCCAAGATACCTTCAGGCTACCAATACGAGCCTGCCGGAGTCACAATGCTACACAAGCCCGTTGACTCATCTCCGGCCCAGGACTGTGAGTCAGAAGTAAGTGAGACTGAGGGGAGGCGGGATCTGTCCCATTCTGTGGTCGTAGTTTGAATATTGGTAAAAGAACACGAACTATATAAAACTGCTGTAAACATGAATGGAAATTCTTGCTTTGGAAAATAGAATCGAACTACTCAACTTGTAAGGAAACAGACTGACAAATATAGGCTTCAAAACCCAGGGAATCAAGCAGTAAGTACATTTTCCTCTCTCATACTTTCTGATGCAAAGTCTCTGCTTTATGATGATGCATTTTCACTCGCCGAAATGAAGCTATTGGAATTGCTTAAGGCCGATAGCGAGAGGATTATCGACTACACGCAACTGAACAGAGATCTTCACATGTCAAATCTCATAAACTCTTGAATCAAATGCCCCGAACCCAGGAATGCTGACCAGAACTCTAGGTATACACATCCGCTCCCGAATGGAGGCAGAGATCGCACATGTAAAACCTTGAAGGAAGGTCCAGAAAAGATGAGTATTGATGAGGACATAAGTATACATAAATATATTATAAGACCAATTATAGGGAAGCATCTCAACATCATAGAATTAACAAATAAGCAACAAGAACCACGGGTATAGAACGTCAGGCATCAATTCCCTAGCCTCAGGCAGTAAATGTCCCGAATAGGCTAGTGGATGTTGTTGCAACCCCAGGCATCAAAAAGGCGGTGAGCTTCTATGGCGGCTTTCTGGTGAGGTTCGCCGTGCGCGTCGTTCCTATGCATCTCCGGAAACCGGATGGAACGCGATGAGAAACGATGCCCGACCCTGTTCTCCACGAGAGATTGGCAAAAACGTGTGACCGCTGTCGCTCACGCAAAGTTCGCTGCATTCGTATGTCAGGTCCTGTAGATGAATCGATGAAAAGTGTGGCTGATGAATGATAGGATCAAGAGAAGCTCAGTCGGATTGTGTCAACTGCCTGGTAGGTTTTTGTCCGCTCTACGTACATAGTTTTTTCGGTCGGGATTTTGACATATCGCAGAAACGAGGCGAAAGGTGCAATTTTAGCTTTTCTAAGAGGAAGTTTCTCGTCGCAGATCAATCCTCGCCGGAGCGATCGCAGAGCTATGAGAGCCGTGAAAATGACGTAACTGCTGGCCGGGCCGGCGCAGCGACGGCAATGCACAGTATGTGATCATTTCAAGGGTTTCGGAATTATCAATTCTCTTTTTGACTTCTATAGACTCATTCCCTACTCCCCCGACATTCCATGGTGATAGCACACAAGAAACGGCCGACCGACAGCCACTCTACATAGACTACCTGATCGAGAACCAAGAAGCCACAGGGAAAGCTCACGACTTAGACATACCTTTTAAAGTAAGTTAAAAAAGAATGGTCGTATGGAATGTAATATATGGCTCACACCAATATTAGGGGGACGAAAACCATAGTAAGTCTGGTTCCTGTGGAATTGTTTTATTATCACTGACACCTGGAACCAGTCGCCAGTGCAAGTGTGGCATACTTTTCGGAAAGCCGCATCCAGGCAATTTCAAGGAAGTTAGGTAACAATGGGCTTGGAATAGTGCTAGAACGAATTTCAAGGTTCATTAATAACCGTTATGAGCGCTTCCAAAGCGCGCCTATCGTTGCTACCATGTGGGCCAAGCCCGATGAGCTTCCCGTAGTCTCGACGGAGACAGCAAGAGTATATATCAGCGGTATGTAATATACCAAATTAATCCATCCAAGAGGTACTGATGGCGGGTACCTTGATCAGCATACTTCAATCAGGTCCATCCTGTTTATCCCTTCCTTGACAGATTCACATTTGAACAAAGGATCGCACGACCGGAGATGGCAGCCGATCTGGCGGCAGATAAGCACTGGACCGCATTATACTATACGATTCTGGCTCTAGGGTGCCAGTATCATGGAGGTGGCGGCTTTGAGCCTCGAACAGGAGAGGCCTGGAAATTCTATCAATTGGCCCTCAGCCTCTTTCCAGATATCATTATTACCAAAAAGAGTCTTGCGAGCGTACAGGTGAGTCAGACGAAATCTTTCATCTTCATCACTTTTTCTAATGACCTCTAGGCACTTACTGCGATGGTCCGTATCCGTTAGGATCTATTATTGCGTTAGCTAACCATGATAGGCTATCTTCGCACTTAACCTCTCATACATGCACATAGATACTCTACTCATCACGGAGGCAGCTAGGATAGCCCAGGGCATGGAAATGAATGAAGCTTCGAAAAGCCCCGATCGAGATGCTAGATATCGGACGTTCTGGGTAATCTATATACTGGAGAAAACATTAGCATTTACCCACTCACGAACCTCGGTAGGTCAGGACCTGCGATTGCGTCAAATACGAACTCACGCGTGGAAGGTTATTATGGATTGCAACATAGGATGCCCTATCCCTACCGTCCCGGAAGCAATATTCGGTGACTACAACTGGCTTCTTACCTCTGCAAGCTTTGCTCGCATCGCCTCAAGGGCGTCCGAGAGTCTCTTCTCTCTCACTGCGACGCGAATCAGCGAGGAGGTATGCTATCAGAGATTGGATGTCATGAGTAACCTTCTAGAACGGTGGCGGCAATCGATTCCGCTACCCTTTCGGCCTGGAGAGAAATTTCGAGCCCAATCATTTAATAGTCCCTCTGAGACACACATTGCGCTGCGAACGCATTATTACTACTACGACGTGTTGATAGCTCTATGTCGGTTGACTCTAAATCTGGGGAAGAACCGAAACGACCCACGCGAAATGAAAAGCAAGATGGTTCTAATGCAAGCGACTCGATCAATTATCGAATTATCTCCACATATTGATATGGAATCGTATACACCTGTCTAGTAAGGGACAACAACCATGGCGGTGATTTGTGGCTAACCTTGAAAAGCATACTTGCCGTCTTACCCCTAACAGCAATGTTCATCTTATTCGACTTTGTCGTTCACAACCCAACGCATTCGGAGACATCTAGCAACCTAGCATTATTAGAAGTTGCCGGTGGTCATTTCAGCCGACTCGAATACGTCACAGGGGGTTCGCTACCTAGCTCGATCTTGGCTGAATTTGCATATCTCGCTCGAACATTCGTTCGTAGCCACGAACAGCAGAACGGGGACGATCAGCCTCTTCCTACTACGGTCACAGATCACCCAGTGGCTAGGCAGGAGCCTAACTCCGAGCGGAGACCGTATGGATTGGAAACTCCGGTATGTTCGTCCTGCTCCATTTAGTTATTGTCCTAACAGCAATATAGACGGCCAATGGGGCTCCAATTTCGGTGGACCCGCAGGAGTCAACGCCGCTTCATCTTTCGTCGTTTGACCATATGACACCGGAAATTGAATTTCCTCCAGGATTCAATGTCATGGATCTCTTCGGAACATCGGTCCCATTCGATCAGTATTTTCTCTTCGACAATGTCTAATCATCCACTTCTATCGAGCGGGTAACTTCCTTTCCAATAGATGATGCACCCACTGAATCAGAGGGGCGACTATTAGTTGCACAATGACTACTCATCGGAGGTACAGTCGCTTGGAACATCACAATTAGAATCATCTTGCGTCCTGTATTGATATCCATAGGATAAAGCTCAAGCCGAAGCCAAGCAAATTTGACAACCTGGTAGCTTGCGCTTGGGGCGAGCCCTCTGCAAAATCGATAGAAATGCTCTTGCCATCCAAACAAGCGAGTTCAACATTCTGTACATGATTGCCTGATAACTGAAGCACGCGATTATCACCACTTGTGTCACCATCCAAAGGATATGATTCCATCTTCAACATTTGTCCATCGCTGTGCTCCCAGACGCATTCATAATGGCCTTCACTCACTTTTGATGCTCTGCCTGTCCATCCTCCTACAAAGTAAATTATTGAGACCTTTCCATCCATGCGATGGGCAGAAGTCTGTCGGATCAAGGCAATCAGGCTTTCCTCCTCGCTCGTCCCAATCCCGTCCCATATTTGACTCTCACGCCGGATTATGTGAAGATCGTTGGCCCTTGACCTTCTGTCGGCGCAAACTGGTTCAGCGACCCGTGGTCCGAAGATACCCGGGTTCCAGATTTCAAGGACAGGACAGGCATGCCTTTTCAGGGGCGCTGTTTGTATTTGAAGAAGCAATCGTGGTTGTAAACGAAGACGCTGGCGGAGTCTCGGCGGGGGAGGACGCGCGATGAACAACAGTTGCTTTGTCCGGGTGTCGCTGTTTGAAAGCCTGACAATTTCCGATGATGTTAGCACATGTGTGAAGCTCGCAAACTCCCGAGGCGACAAACATCGATTCACCACTGCTATTACTCAGACTCACAACCGATCCTGCGTCGCTAGCCAGCACACATCTAAGGTGACCATTGTCCGCATCCTGTTTGGGGCGGGCAATGTGTCTATAAATCAGGAATAGGAATGGTTCCCTTTCGTGTGTTAGAAATGACGCCCTCCATGAGGAACGGCAGAGTTTATCTCCACTCCAGGCACCTTCTTTCACCTCTTGGCTTGGTCTTTCAATTCTTATCCTTGTCGATGCTCGGTCTCGGTGCTCGGGGTTGGCTGACTCAGGATGCTCTGACTCCGCCCCCCGAAACCAAAAGCAACCGAAAGCCGAGATGAGTAGCAGGACAACAACAGAGATGCACGCTCGATAGGTTTGGATTATACGAGCCAGTCAATCCTGATCAGATCCTTTGCATGTAACGGTGCTTGGTCTGCCAAAGCACTGCCACGTTCAAAACCTATTTAAATACAAACGTTGTACTCATCACTCAGGACATAACTCGGACAAGAAAAAAGGTTCCCGCATAAATGTTTTCATTATTCCCGCTGAATATACTAGAGACCATAGATTTCGAGCCGCCCTTTGATATTTCCAAACCATGGACCAGGAAGAGCTCGAGAAGGGCTGTCACGCTTTGATTGACGGCGTTGAAACACCATATGACTACCAACCATCACTACCCTCGGGAATTACATTTCTGGTGCTTTTCGGGTTGTCCATGATAGCACACACCATTCAGCTCGTCTGGAAACGCCAATGGTGGTGTGCTGTGTTCTCAATTGGTTGCCTGAGTATGGTCGCCCAACCAAATGTGATGCAGCTTGACTGACTAAATATGAAGCTGAGATTTTGGGATGGGGCGCACGAACTTGGTCGGCAGTTTGCCCGTATTCGATGGATGCCTTTCTCATGCAAATGTCAACTCTTGTCATTGGTAATGATACATCGTCCTGGGCGGCACAATCCGTTACGTGCTAACTTATCCTAGCACCAACATTTTTCACCGCCGGGATCTACGTCCTCCTCGGCAGTCTCATCCGAGCCGTCGGGCCCGAAAGCTCCTTCTTGCGACCACGATGGTACCTCTGGATTTTCTGTACCTGTGATGTCATCTCTCTAGTAATTCAAGCCATTGGTGGAGGAATGGCCGCATCTGAGGCCAGCAAAGTGGACGGAGATACCAAACCAGGAACCCATATCATGATAGCGGGCATCATCTTCCAGATGGCAGCCATAACTGCGTTTGTGGTTTGCGGCATTGACTTCCTTCGGCGGTCACGAAAGTCTCACCTGCGGGAAAAGTTCACCGTTCGTATGCGTTACTTAGTGCTGGCGACAATCGTTTCGGTGGTTGCGATATATGTCAGAAGCATTTACCGGACGGTCGAGCTGCTGGAAGGCTGGGAGGGCTACTTGATAACGACCGAGTGGTTCTTTATCGGCCTGGATGGCATCACTATGGTGTTGGCAGTGGTAGTTTTCAACTTTATTCACCCTGGTTGGTTTCTGCCGGAGACGACGGTCAAAGAGATCTTGTCTGTGCATAGCGATGAAATTGCTCTACAAACTATAAGCGAGGCATGAGCGTTGCTTACCTGAACCCGTCTTGAGCATATACAAAATCCATCAATGAACTCCGATGTTATTAGAATGTCTAAACATATTCCAGCTATTCTACATGAACCTGTCTCCATCACTGTATGATAAATGATAATCCCACCTACGGATTCAAAATCACCGTCTTCGTCTGCAAGAACTCTTCAATCCCCCATTTCGCCCCGAACCTTCCCCAACCACTCTCTCCCTGACCTCCATGCGGCAACGTCGCCTCATCATGCACCGTCATCCCATTCACATGAATCGCGCCCGCACGAATCGACTCAGCCAGCTTCAACGCCTTGAAATGCGACCTTGTGAAAATCGCCGCCGACAAACCATAGGTGGATCGCTGGATCAGGTCCATCGCCTCCGATTCCGTCTTAACACGTACAACCCCAACGACCGGGCCAAAGGACTCCTCGGAAAAGAAGTCCATGTCAGGAGTTAGACCCTCAATCACGGTCGCTGGGAACTGGGCGTCCTGTAGAGCAGAGAGATCTGCTTGATGGATGGACGCGCCTTTAGAGCGAGCATCGTCAACGAGGCGCTGGAGACGCTGTTTGCTGGCTGGTGAAATGACGGTGTGCGGATCCTTGATGGTTTGAAGGTGAGAGAGAATGCTGGGGATCAGGGACTCTGTGATATCGTTGACGGCGAAGACGAGGTCCGTAGACATGCAGATTTGGCCGTTCTGGAGAAGTTTGTCAGTACTGTGCATCGCGATCAACCGGTCATGGGGGACTAACGTTCAGAAAGGCACCCTTTACAATCTCCCCTGCTGCGAACTCATTGTCTGCGTCGTTCAGCACCAGCGCGAAATTCTTCCCGCCGAGTTCTAACAAAACAGGCTTGAGGGCCCACGCGGCCTTTGATGCGATGATCCGACCGACATTAGTTGACCCAGTGAAGTTGCATTTACGAATAGCTGGGTGATTGATCATAGTTTCGAAGGTCTCTGCTGCGTCTTCGGGGCGATGAAGGATGAGATTGACGACGCCCGGAGGGAATCCAGCATCCCTAAACAAACAGGCTAATAGGTAATGCGTTCGGGGGCTGAGTTCAGAGCCCTACAGTGTCACAGTCAGCTAGCTGTCGCCATTTCACCGCAGCGCATGAGGTAGGATGAGATGGAGATACCTTCAGAACAACCGTATTCCCCGCCGCCAACGGCGCAACAACACCTCTGAGCCCCAAGATGACAGGCGCATTCCACGGAACCATAGCCAAGACGACGCCCAACGGCTCCTTGAGCACCATAGCATACGAATCGCCCTGCGAGACGGGGATCTGGCCCATCATGGAATCGGAGATCAAGCCGGCCGTTTCCCTCAGCAGATCAATTCCCGCTTGGATGTTGGCCTTTGCCCAGATGGTCGGCGCATGCATTTCGCCCTGCAAGCATCTGATAATCTCGTCCGATCGCTCCTTAAGAAGCTCGGCAACTCTGTTGAGGAGGTTGCGGCGATGAGAGGGCGTAGTTTTCGACCAAGCTTGAAAAGCCTCCTCGGAGGACTTGATCGCTTGGAGGGCGAGATCCGGCGTCACGCCTTGGAAGGGCGTCGTTGAGGCGGAACATGAGCCGACTCTGTCCGGGGGCGAAAGAATGGTGTCTTGTCCGTGGATGAGAAGTGGCGTTATTTGCATTTTGACCGCGTTACACTGAATATGTGTATCGAAAGCAAGGGAGGGAAAGCAGAGATCTAGACAGCTCTGAGTATTCAGAACAGGAGAAATAGAAAGTGCAAAAAAACGCGAAGGATCAAGAAGGACGTTATTAAAGAATCCCTCAATCGGCACGGCACTCCACATGGCGATTCCCCAGTCCCGAAAAGCCTCCCGACTGGGCGTTGAAAGGTCACAGTGGATCTGACATTTCGTTCTTCGAGTTAAATCCGGGCTTAGTCCCCTGGTTCACCCAGTGGCGTGCCTTCAGTGTATTTCCCTAATTCCGCGTGCCCCACTCCGGAGTTAACAGGATTCGTATATCGAGCGAGAGAAAAGTGGACTTGCCGGTGGCGGCTGCCGAGAGTGCGGAATTATGCAGAATTTCTTTGGTAATCAGTATGGAAACAGGCAAAAAGATTAAGGTAGGTTTTTGTTCAAAGGGGTTAATAGCCAAACAGAGAGTCAAGGCTATACAAATACAACGAACCTATCCTGATCTGGCCTTTCTATCATGGTACAACCTTGACATTCAGAAAACACATCCTGTTCATGAGGTCCCTAGTCTCGTCGCGCTCGCCTTGCTTTTTGCCTTGAGTCTTGCCCTTTGTTTTCCGGACATGTCAAAATGATGGGAAATGAACCATGACATCCTCGTCGCAGCGGCTGATTGCCTCCGGTGGTTATGACTCTACCTTTGAATTAGCGGCAACAATGAGGGCTAACTAGATCACGGGACCCTCGAAGAAGTCACCATGACTTTCAGAAAATTGCCGTTTGTAATATGAGTATTATGTCTCGAGATTATTTTAAGAGTACCCATTATGCTATCTCTATCCAATCATTGTTTGTTTAATGAACATATAATGTACCACAATCTCTTGTGTTGAGTCAATATTAACAACTGAACCGTTCCCGTTGACGAAAAAGTTGAAATCCGCCCTGTAAGTTGCATTGGAACTCAACAATACCCTCAATCACTTTAATGCTACAGACTGAAAGGATATATGATTGGCCTATGACCACCGCTTGTCTCACAGATTAGAATTGTTGGGATGCCTCCGCCTGATCAAGAAACATGCTCACAAACCTGAGTAGCTTTGATCTTAGAGTTACAGAGGAGTTAACTATCTATATTTACTTATTTTCTCTTGCTTTATGTATATCAGAGCACCATGGAAACTTCAGATTCTCTCCAGTTATCCCTCATAAAAAATGGAGTCAATCAATCCCTGAAGCCAACAGGGCATGTCATGGCCAACAAGTAGCAGTTTTAGGAACGATCTGACTTTGTTCATGAGAAATCATATATATTGACTTCTAGAAGCACTGTGTCCTAGAACCACCACCTGCTGGGTTCTATTGGGCAGGATGACTTCTAATTTGTCAACTTATAACAGGTTTGAAACATTCTACGTGTACCAAGACCACGTAGGTAAGGAAAAGGAAAAGAGGGGGGAAAGAACATCAATCAAAAGGATTAGAACGAGACATTAAATATGAAAAGCTAACGTGCTATCATCGAACACATGCGAAATGTTCTTCGACGTTTGGATTGGGACAGTTGTCTGATACTAGGCGTTTCCCTCTTAGTTCCTATCGCTTTTTGCCACCTCTTTCTAATAGGCACTACACTCTACCAAGAACTATGACCATGTGGCATGCATCTCAATTGTTCGAAGACGGGCTCAGGGCTGATGCATAATGACGAAGGAATTCTTGTTCTGACCAGTTCTTCAGCGCAATTTGAAATCCAGACGCATGTTTGCTACTCGGATCCAACTCGGTACGGCTATCATAGGCTAAATGAGACTGTGCTGAGAAGCATTGGAGTATGCCCAGCGTCATATGCTCCCCCCCAATACAGGTAATGCGCTTTACACCTGCATACATGTCATGTAACCATTAGCCAGCTTGCCAGGGCTGATGTCCAGGTACGTATATAGTAACCAGGCTTGACCAATAATGATGGAATGAAGCGGTTCCGATTCCCGGTCTGTGACGAACATACGCATACATGGCTTGACCAAAGCAAACATTTGCTCCAGCCAAGATCCCAATGAGTTGTTTACTATCGTGGGGAGATCTGCATCCGGAACCCTCTGGATCGTCGGGTAGTGGGGACAGCATGCCCCATCTGCGCCCCCTCAACAGATAAATAAAGCGTTCGTTCCACCTTGAATTTGGATGAGACAGTTCTTACATCCATATTTTGGCAGACTTTGCAACCTGAGCCCCACCCTGCTGGCATGTTAGACTGACCCCCATGTTGTCTTCATACCTCAATCTCACGCGATAAATAGATACAATACCTTCCACCAAATTTCAAACAAGATGTCCGAACGAAAGGTACGATGCCTGACATTGGAAGCAGGCCCAGCCGGATGCTTACATTAGCCCTAAACAGAGAATTTACTATACCTACAAAACGATCGAGGCGTGGGAGCAGCATGATGCAGCGGTCAGAAAGTGGGGCCAGTCCTCTATACAACCTTTATTCTGCTGACCTGCCTTGTAGGATCATTCAAGACGACACTGGAACTGACGTCTGGGTCTGCAACCGAGCTCTTCCTCCAACCTGCTATCCCCCGTAAGTACGCGAAATAAAATGATTTGGCATTGAATACTATAGCTAAGCATTTCACTGCTGCCAGCCCGGTCACCACCGATGCGATCGACAAGATTAAGAAACTCGATGAAGATATCGTTGTTGGGGAAATTGACGCGGACTGATCTATAAGACTCAATGGCTGGGAAAGCTTTTGCTGCTGCAGTTACTAGTTTCTTCAGTATAAATGAAGTCTTTGTGCCTATCTTATCTCCCTACACCTTGCGTTTCCTCGACGAATCATCAATCCTTTTCTTCGGAAGGATGATATTGATTTCGTATACGTTATACTGTATTCGAACTCTTCTAGTTGAAGTATGCACAGAAATTTGGTCCATGAGTTCATGGAGTATTTAGCAAGCTAATACAATATAAAGACATAGACCCTCCCGCCTAAGGCTTCACATCCTCCTTCAGCTGACCAAATCCAATTCTGGGATGGAAATCATCAGCATGGTCTCCTCCAAAGTCAAAGACAGTATAGAACCGCTGCATCAGCGGGGTTCCAATAAGCGCCATGCCCTCATTATCACTGCCTTCGAAAGGAGGGTAACAAGCATCATCTCTGTAAGCGAATCCAGGGCGAGCAAACTGGTCACCGGTCATCGTCAAGTTGGGGTCAAGTGCACCTTCGCCGAAGTTGAATGTGAAAGACCAACTCGAGTTGAACTCCGAGCACAGTGGCATATGCTTGCCGTGGAGAATTGCCTCATAGTCCCAGCCGATGGACGCGTAGATCTCATCGACAATGCTGTTGGGCACAGAGATTGATCCGGCACCGGTGTCAAAGACTGCGTTGCCGTACATGCCGAGGCTGTTGCTGGCAGATTGCTTCTTTCCTCCCTTCTCGGTAGTACCAGTAATGGAGCTCAGCACTGTGCGCCAGACCTGGTAGGGAGTTTCATAGCGGAGAGGCACATAGGTGATCTCTCCGTCAACATACTTCTCCTCGCGCGAGCCGCCAATGGTGAGGACACCATCGAGGTTAGAGCCGGTGGTGTTAAACTCCTTGCCGTAGTAGATGCCAAAACGGCTCTCGTCCAGGTTGCCCTGCTGCATCAGGGTCTCCACGACGGTAGTGGTGTTGCCGTCCGAGATTGAGTTGAAGGCCAAGCCCATGAATCCATCCGAGCCCAAGTTGTTCCAGGAGCTCTGGTCGGCGGACAGAAAAGACTGGGTCCATTCAAAATTGCCGTCAGGAACGGCGAATTTATCATCGTAGGTTGGGCCTGCTGTCACTCCCCCGAAGTAGTCCATGCTGGCGCGGGCGCCCCGAGAATGGCCAGTGGATGAGGCCGAGATATCATAGTATGCGCGTTCGCGTCTAAGTCCGTCAGTTCTGCTCTACCTTACGTCGAGAAACTCTTGATCAACATACCCAGAGGTGTTTGAACAAGCATCGCCGCAGTTCTTGTCGTTCACCCATGTGGTCGACGATCCCGTATCGAAATGGAGCATGTACGATTGGGCGGGCGTGCCGATCTCTACCTCCACATTTGCCTAGTTTGATGTTATTAGTAGGATCGTCATGCAATGGTCTGGCTGACCTACATAGGTATTGAAAAAATGGATGGGCAGATCCAGAGTTGCCGCCAAGGCAGTAGGCAGGGTGGCAGCCGCAGCTGCTATGGACAAGAGGTGAGGCATTCTGATGGTGTTTCTAGACATGCAAGTTCAAACAGATGCTGTTCACATCTTGCCGACGGGCTCTCAAATCGTTATATAATAATTGCTCCGCACAGAATCGTTCTGTGCCTGACACCGGCCTCGCCGGAAGATAGGGGAATTTAAGACATGGAAGTGGGGCAACCTCATGGCGAGTGAGACACTTAGATTAGGTTTCACGTTTAAGTAGATATTGAACCATGGCATAGGCAGGAATTGCTCCTTCATTGGACATTACTATACTATCATAATGCGTAGTATAATTATCTATAGCGTCCGGGCCAACTGTTCAACCTGTTAGAGGGGTGTTCGGCCCTAAGGAAAGTGAAATCGAGAAAACCCTTTCGGGCTTCAGGCAGGTCTTTCGGGATTTGCCGATCATGTCTCGGAGAGCTGAGGGATTGTTTCGGAGAACAGTGTGGGTGGAGATGAGCACGATATAAATAACTAATCCAATCTCCGTGGACCGAGGAAATCAAAGCAGTCAACTAGGGCAATTACTAAATTAACCACACTGATTAATTATGCCGGTCGCAGGAAAACGTCAGTATCACGTCCTGGGACGAAGTAGACGCTTTCTCTAGCAAATTTACTAGAACTTTCGATGGTTTAGAGGTTCATGGTTTTCGTTTTATTCTCATCTCTATTTGTTCTCCTATCTATTGTAGGTACGTCTCGACGATATTCGGTCGATTATATTTCTAGAAGTATCAATAACAAGACTACGTGATCGGTATCATTTTCGCAAAATCAAGAATATTCACGATCGTAGTCTACGGTAAGACTTTCAGGTAATAATAGAGCTGTAACATATCATAAGTCAGCTAAAGTTAGAAACTTCGTTTCTACAAGTGAAAATAAAGTAGAGTGATATATCCAAAAACTACATAGCTAATTTACAATATTGAAAGTTAATACATCATTCATGACTTGATCGGCAATGAAACTTGGCGACCATGGCTCAATTATGTGAAGAAGAAAAAGGCCAATATTTACGCCGTGTTATCTCTAGAATCTGAAGGCGTTTTGCGAAGGTTCATAACGGCCATGTACTAAAGCTCAAGAGCGCGTCTCAGGAATCACCAAGGGACAATCACTTACCTAGTTAGCCCTCTCCATCTGACAGAACGCGTCGTCGTGATACCAAAGTAGGCCACGTATATCCGGAGGACGTGGGGAGTTCCAGGAAGGTCACTCTAGCTGGCAGCTGGTCTTTAAATTGAACTAGTATGTCTATTCCGAATATTAGACCTGCTATTAAAGCTAAAGAGATAGTTCAACGACATGTCAAAAGAGGCGTCAAACGACTACCCCTTCCATCGGAGCAAATAGTAAAGACAAACTTTGTGATCTCACAAGAGGCTGTGTTTTCTAGGAGAATATTGTCGCATGAATAACTGCGATGAATTAATCCTTTTTTATAATCTTCATCCTCAGACTATTTACCCCTTTCTCACTTGAATTGTTCTTCTGCGATAATGGGTTTCTCCATCCCTTGAAGCATTTTGAAAACGAATTGGTCAAATTGATTCCTTTCAAGATCAGTTACCATTCCTCGAACAAGAGTTAATTTCAAACAAGGCCCCCCATGCTGCTGTCTACTTCGAAGCCACGCACCCCGACCCAGAGCTATACAAGTACATGAATATCAGGCCTTTCGAAACACTCCCTGAATTCGAGCTTATATCCCGAATCCAAGCCGACCCGACCGAGGTGTGCTTCGCCATAATCGACAAGCGATCACCCCCTAGCGCCGTCAGCCCAGTCGGCGAGCTTTCCGGTCTAGTGACCTGCAACGAAGGATCCCCGGAACATAGAACAGTGAAAATAAGTCACACAATTATGATCCCGAAGTTTATTCGGAAGAGTACCTCAACCAACGCAGTGGGATTGCTGTTGCGGCATTTGCTTGCCAGTCCTTCTGAAAGAGGACTCGGCCTCTTGAGGGTCGAGGCATTGGTTTCGAGAGGGAACAAAGAGTGTGTTGAAGTTTTGACGCGTGCTGGATCTCGGCAGAAAGGAATATGCGGTGGCACCGCGTAATGCACAATGCTAGTCAGAGGAGAAAGATCGGTAATGGGAGATCAATGCCCGAATACTACGCTGATCAGGGTGACGTCGGTCGGGATACGGTGTGCATGAGATTTTCTTGGGAGGGTTGGCGTGATGGTGGAAGAGAGACGCTTGGAAGGCTCATCGGACCGGAGATGAATAGCTCAAGATCCAAAGCAAGCTGTAAATGGAGTTGCTAATCGCTTGGAGGGCTATCGATCAGAGTGTGTTCAATGAATTAGTATGGTGCTGGTTAGGGATTAGAAAATTGAGGCAGCGAGGACTTAGTATGACCGGACTCTTTGCACGCTCCCTGTCATGGCCTATAGAACCCACCTTTCAAGTCAGTTTAAGATTGAGCTTGCGTGTACGGATACTTTGATTGTTCACACAATGAGTCTTCTGTGGCCCACACCGCTAGTTAAGATCGATCGTCGGACATATCTTGCATATATGACCTGTAAGTCTTCACGGAATCTGCGTGTGATCTACGGAGTAAAGGAAGTTAACTCCCTTTGACCGCTAGTCCCATGGGCAAGTTTGAGAACGTCATTGACCGATTTATAACGTTTTGTTCTGCCAGATTCATATAAAATGGCTTTTATTCGCCCCTTCCCACGATCTTTCAATCCTTCCACGCCACGACATTTGTTTAATGAATGAAAATGACGCGATCATTCGGCCCATCCAAGCGCGCCTTGAAATACAGTGGCTATAGTTCCTTAGCCGACGTGAACGACATCGTAGATGATGATATCTATGACCCGGAGACCAATCCAGATGGCATTGTCAATCTCGGAACGACGATGAACCCCCTCATGCTAGACATGCTTACCGAGTTCACTGAGAAGAAGTATAAGTTGCATCCCAAACTAGGTAGACCAGGGCCCCTCGCCCTGAGCAAGAAATAAACTTACTCAGACATCCTCAGCAAATAATTACAACTTCTCAACCGGGTCGCCCAAGCTACGAAGTACTGTCGCCGATCTTTTGAACAGACACTTTTCCCCCTCCCATCCAATCGACCAACGGAATGTGGTTTGCTCGAATGGCCTCAATGGCCTGATCAATTCACTGATCTACACTCTAACTGACGAAAACGAGTCCGTACTAATGCCGACCCCAGCATATGCTATGCTAGCCGATGTTTCACAGAAACGGAACGGTGTGAAGTGTGTATTTGCCGATGTCGAGCATATCGACCAATTCAGCGCTTCCGCCATCGATGATTTACTGGCCACAGTTTCCTCCACTATAGAGGAAGCGCAGGCGCAGGGGAATCCGGTCAAAGTGATTATGATGTGCAATCCGCATAACCCGGTCGGAAGGTGCTACGATGCCGAAGTCATGGGGGCGATACGGCAATTTTGCCATCAACGTGGACTACATTTGGTCGTGGATGAGATATATGCGCTATCGGCCTTTGGGGAAACATTCTATAGCGCATTGAGCTTGGAGGAGATGCCAACGGACAACGTGCATGTCTTATACGGGATAAGCAAGGTGTGTTACATCAGCCAACCTTATCTCTCCTTACATTTAACTGGTATTCTAGGACTGGGGTTGCAACGGGCTGCGGATGGGTTTCATGATTTCATACAACGAGCATGTTATAACAACACTGAAACGAGCTGTCGGGTAAGATTTTTGGGCATTTTGTTAAAAATCAAAATGGAAGCTAAAGATCCCGACAGGCGTCTCACCCGATTCTCTTACTTATCCGAAGATTTCTTTGTCTCATTCATGTCGGACCATGCCTTCATTGACGATGTATACATCCCCACACTTCGTCAACGCTTGATCGCAACACGGACAAAGGCCATCAAGTTTCTTACAGAGTACAAAATCCCGTACATCCCGTCAACTGCCGGATATTACTTATGGATTGATCTGAGTCGCTGGGCGAACATGTTCGAAGAGCGCAATTCAGAGACGCCGGATATTCAATTGGTGCGGCAAATGGTTAAGCATGGAGTGTTCGTGCAGCCAAACAAAGTAAGTTGAATGACTACAGGTCCTACCTAAGTCTTTCTAACAGACCTAGGCGTTCATATCAAAGGAGAAAGGTCGGTTTCGCATTGGATTTAGCCGTGATGCAGTGACTTTGAGTGAGGGTTTAGAGCGGTTGCGACGGGCATTGGGAGAGGTGGAAAGCAAGTAATCCAAGATGTAAAAAGAAGCATTTTGACTGGTATAGAAATATGTGTACAATAGATGATACTAGCCTAGAAAGAAGTAACGGTTCCTCAATAATCCGACAACCCTTACTAGCAGACCTGGGAATGTGACGAGTTCAATATTCAAGCAAGCAAGGAGGGCCCGTAAACTTCAATAACTATAGCAGACAGATCACAATCTGTCTTGAAACAAATGAGGGGGCAAAATATTATCAACCTTTTTGAAAAAGACCTAGAGGAACAGATGTACCAAATCAACAACGCGCCCTTTGCCCAAATCGGCCACCACAATGAATCCCCAAGAATCTATAGTCCTCGACTACACCCTCCACAATCTCTACAATATTTAAAACACGTCCAAGGAAATAATTGTTCTCGTATATGCCTACGCACCACCAGCCAATATCCAGCCAACGTCTTCGACGCCTGTTCTGAAGAGATTTCCCATTCAGTCGCCGCTCTGTCCGATATACGACAAAGAAGAGCTCGCCAAACAGCTGTTCTACGGCACTTCGCGGCGATTTGGTTTCCGCTCTGGTCCTATGCGCATTCCTTTTTTCTTTTTTTCCCGAACACAACAATCAATATTCTCCTCTGTTGTCTCACCATAGATACATACAATGTGTTCAACCAGCTATCGGAACATCAAAGGCTACTCCAAGAATTTATCAAAAACTCAGCATTTCTTAAACTGGACAGCAACTCCTATCTTGCGATAACCGTGCCCCTGGACTGGATCTCTCACTTCCCGCACGTCACAAACCCCAACGTTCACTACAATCTACTGTCAATAGGCGGGCTTGCGCATTCGAAGCTGCCAACATCCAAAACAACTGTCACTGACACGCAGCCCACACCGGACCGCCCGTTCACTGAACCCGAGAAACGCGAAGAAGTAACGCGCATGACACAGCCAATCCGCGAACATACACTACCTTTCGTCCTCAACGTACCGCGTTTGGTCAGCATAGGCCAAGGAACATTCATCATGCGCACAGAAAGCGGACGAACAACCGCAAACGCTGTATTCGAAGACACGATCAGAAAGATGCTACGAGACCTAAAGACGTCAAACGCACATCTGAACCCCTGTAACGTGGTGATTCAGGAGATGGTCGACGGAGAAACAGTGGGCATCACATTAATCGTCACGCAATCTGGCCGTTCCATTTTCAGCTGCTGCACGAGGCAGGAAGTCTATGAAGCGTATTGCTGGTCACGCGGATTCGTCTCTTACAACGAGCAGTCTGGCCTAGAGGGGCGATACCGTGAGATAATTAATGAGCACGGCTATTTTGGATCCGCTGGAATAGACGTCATGACAGACAGTCAGGGGAATCAGCTTCTTGTTGATCTCAATGTTCGGATAACTGCAACATATCACCTGGGGCCTCTTCAGTGGCACTTCGTCCGGAGGGGCTTTGTCGAGGCTGCTGGACTGGCTAATCAGTGGATCAAATGTACGAGAGAGGTCTTTGGGCAAGTGCTTGAGGGGGAACTCAACGAAGGGAGCATTGTGGTTACAGCGTGGGTTAACGCCAGCGAATGGAGCTTTGTTACCATGACGGTTGCAGCAAATTATATGCAGCATCTGAGAGGGTTAATTCGGATAGTTGTTCAGTACAAGGAGCTGTGCTTGTCAGGAGGGAACAAGGTTAGCTCAATGGAACATTCTGTTCTATAATACTCATATTCATTGAGTCAACTGAGCTGGTCTTCTAATTCTATCTGTCATAATAGCTATATGGCATATAGGGTTCCCTGGGATGGAGACATGAAGATCATTGCGGCGTAGGGAATCTCAAGGCACGTGTCTGTGTGGGAGTAGGGGCAAGTTAAAGTAAGAACCTACTGCAGAGGCTGCTGCTATCGACTGTGAGGCTGAGCGATATGGACAGATCACGATCGGTATTGATGTAGGTATTATATTAATATTAATATGAAAGCTAGGGTCGAAACATATCCAAGAAAGATCATATATACAACATGAATATCAACAAGGCCTATCCAAGCCTAAAGCCACCACTAGTTCTCTTCTGGAAGAACATCTCCGGATCATACCTTTCCCTCACCTCTCTGGCATGATCCGTGAATTTCGACCTCCCCCAGTAATCCTGCGCGTAGTTTGCATCGTTCAAAAAGATAGGCCTACGTGCGTCAGGGAGAACGCCCGCATCGACGTAATCGGAAATGAGATCGTCGAATCCATTGAACAACCTCTTGTTCGCTTCATCAATCTTGTCATCGCTAGCCGCGAATGAGTAAGAGAAGTCGAGCTCGATAACAATGTAATTGGTGTCGTCCGGGAAGTCGTAAAGGTCCTATGTGATGTTATCAGTTGGATCGTTCTCATTAGGCTTAGTTATGGTGCGCTTCGGGGTGACTTACGCCGCCTCTTTCCTTGGCCTTGCTGGTAATTGCGCCAGGCATAGGCTGGAGGGCCAGCGAGCCGATTACGCCAGGGACACCGATAACTGACTTGGTCACGTTGAACCAGTGGTCGTAGTATGTCTGCATGACTTCTGCGCCGGCTGTCTTATTGGGGACGGGAGTAGTTTCGGTGGCGATTGTGTAGCGTTGGCCTCTGTTTTGAGTTAGTTCACGTTTCCTGCAACTCGAAAAGAGGACATGGAACTTACTTCAGAATGAAGAAGTCGTTGTGTTTCAGCTATGGGGTGTCGTTAGTTTTGACAGATATCCGAACTGGGTGCAGGAGACAAACCAGATCATAGTAGCTATCCCAAGTCTTGGTAGTATCCGCGGGCTTCAAAGCCTTGAACTTGTCGAAGACGCCCTCTGGAGGCTCAGGTCCGTCATAGAACAAGAACATGATCCACGTATTCAAGAGAGCGGCATGCTCAGCCGTCACGATGATGGCCGCCTTGTCGTCGGGGTAGTTGTCGGTGAAATCGCGCACGGCCTCGAGCACCTCGGCCGTCTGGGAAGCTTTGAAGATGTAGTTTCCACCCCAGACCTTGCCGATCGGGTGCGTTTCCAGGGTATACGAGGTGACTATGCCGAAGTTGTTGCCGCCTCCTTTGAGGACGCCGAACAGGTCTGACTGTTCATTAGTTATCCGTTGCCGTTTAATAGAGACCAGTTGAAATGCATACCGGCATTATTCTCAGCGTTGGCATTCACGACAGTTCCATTGGCGAGCACGACTTCGAAATTAACGACGTTGTTGGCAGCCCAGCCGTATTGGGAGCTGAGGAAACTCAAACCACCTGGTCTGTTGTTAGATGTGTTACGTAGTGGCACGGGGACAGGAAGCCCTAACCTCCGAGCATGTAACCTCCCACACCCACGCCGCCGAGACGACCTCCAACCACTGCTCGGCCGGCATCCACGTCGTCGAGCCCTTTCTGCGCTTCCTCCCATGACAAACCAGGTCCGATAATGGCAGTCTTGTCGTCGGGGTTGTATATCACCTGGTCGAGGTTCTTTGTGGAAATGAGCAGTCCGTCCTGAATGCTGGCGAAGCCGTTGTTGGGCATGTGACCTCCAGATTTCACCGCGAAGGAGGTGTTGAAGTTATGTAGCTCCTTGACGACCTGGGACATCTCGAGGGTGCTCGACGGAGCGGCAATACATGTTGGTTTTAGGTCTCCACACGCGGTGGACCAGTAGTCCTTGAGATCCTGGTGGTAGTCGATTGTGAGTCGCTTATCGATCGTTACCCCCTCGGCCTCGAGCTTATCGCAAATATCTGCCGTTGCAAGTGCTGCGAGGGATGCTGTGATGGCGGCCCGCCATATTGAGGTGCGGGTCATAGTTGAGCGGGTGTCAATAATAGATCAATGCGAAGAGTGCTGCTACGATGACACCTTGCGCAATCAACTTCTCAGCGAGTCCAGGGTGCATACAGTTATTTATTTCTAATCCAGGAGAACGGCCGAGCTTTGGTTCCTCGCGCTTCTTTCCGGATCGATTCGGACAAAATAAATGACAATCATTACCCAGGGAAGCCATTCCTGCGAAATATCCACCCTACAATCGTACACGAAGACCTAAAAATAAGACCAAACAGCCATAAAAAGTACCAATTGCGGGGATGTCAAGTTCTCCTGAACCCGCGAGAAAACAAGAACACAAAAAGGAGAAAGCAGCTTGGACTTCGGTTATGCTGGCCTCGGGCAATTCTTGCCAGTTCCAGAATTTTAGGGCCTTGAGCCCGGAGGAATAGACAACATTTTCCGCGCTTTCCATGCCATCTCTGGTACCTGATCGGCGGCGATATTACGGACCGCTAATGGCTGGGCACTACCGTTATCAGAGCGGATCATCCGTGCCAAGGTTAGCAAACACTCGCTTACAAGATAGCAACCCCCAAAACCAGAGCACTGTGCAAGAGCCATCCAATCTAACGTTCTTCTCCACACGGCAATCGCTGTCAGGGGGATTGGCAATTGCACTCGCCGCTTTCAACGCCGATCACTGTCAACCGATGAGGAATGCCATCTTCGATCGTCTCAAATGCCGCGGTCACCACTCCGCATCGAATACGTCAACCGAATGGGCTCGTTGTCAGGCCATCCTCGCTCGGATGTCTTACATGTGTCGTGAATAATGCACTGAGGGCAACTAGGTCGCAGATCTCCTTGGTCAGGAGCAAGACCGCAGCAAGGAAATCACCATGTCAAGCCTCGGGTATTCGCGTATATCAGGGCATCGGCTGGTCAACTAATGGCTAGCTTATGCATGTTTGGAGCAAGTTGGTTAGCGCGTTGATATTACCACTTATGTTGGTGGCTTGAATAAATCAATGGTGTGACTATGCACGCGATCCTTCGTGAGGTCCACATCCCTATTTGGTAGGTGCATACAGGCTGTATGTCTCTAGAGGGTGAGTATGACATACAGATGTTTTGGCCACGATTATTTGATTTCACTGCACTTAGAAGAGAAGCAGGTATAAGATTATCTATTTTTCCACATGATTTCTACAAGTCATCCCCAAGGTCCAACTGTTTACAACGCGACTGTCACTCCAGATCCTTCCTCCTTCCAGACCGATCCGCCAGGTGGAGAACTGAATCAGCAGCGCGCAATTTCCAGGAAACATCCTTGTCGTCCTAACTCGACCGATTCTTGGCGGCTTACATAGGAACAACATCGGATGCCTATGGGCCGCGTTAGTCTCAGCTGCATTTATCCTAAAGGTCGCAAGGAGGGCTTACAGTCAACCGAGACCAGACATCAGCAAACCCGAGAAAGTCACAAGGATATGGCATTTTAGATGTTATGTACTGGCTTTCCGAGGTAGTCGGGTCGGTCTTCATGGCTGTAGCCGACCAATCAATGGATCAACCCAATTTCCATTAACCTGCTCCAGCCCAACTGTTTCGATATTCCACCACGTAGGAGCTTCATCGCATGGAAGCAAGAATGTGAGCACCTGTGGGACTCCTAAGATCCAGCAATCGCAAGGAGCATATAGCCAGCGCACTGCGAAGCCTCATGGAAGCTCTCGAAGGCAAAGTGTCCGGAATGCTTGGAGTTCACCCCGCTCTCTGCGTTGAGCCGACTACCTATGGCTTCGGCCCCAGAGCCAACGGCCTGCGGGAGAACATTGATCATCGCTTCGATCCTGCGAGTCGTGGCGACCGTGCCACGATAATCCTTCGTCTTCATCCGACTTCATTACAGTGGCTCGAATCATAGAATCCCAGTCAATGATAATCAGATTTGCTCGTTGCCCTGTATCTAATCTGTCGTCAGGACCTTGGGGATGTCAGTGGATTTCACAGCGCTAGCCTGCACCATATTTGCTTCTTGGAGGGTCTTGACTGCCCCCATGTGCAAATAATCAATAGACACTTGTTTCTAACCAGCCACCGAGTTGGAGTTTTACTAAATGTCCCAAGTTTGTTGACCCATCTGTTTTCACACTCATTTCCTCTAAATCACGAAGGATGCTCTCTATATAACCTCCGGCACCACTAAGCTTGATGATCAACGCAATTGCACGGTGGACGGCAAGAAGTCGTTGAGATGGTGGGTCGATGGTGCAGTTGGGGCTCAAGGTCAGGGTGCGAACGGCCGGGAGTAACGGGTCACTCAAGAATGATCTTGGTTCTGTTGACTTAATCTCATATTGATATGCGTTGCCTGTGTGTTCAAAGTATATTTTAAATGCGCCGAATAGTTGATGGTACTCGTGGGTTAGTGTCAGAGCGTTTAGTGGGCTATCGATCTTCGGATATTCTATAAGATGGGTAATTCCGTGGTCGAACATATTTAGAAACGGGAGAGCATTTTTCTTCGAGTCATTCTATTGGGTATCTCAGTATAATGATTGTGGCTAACGATGGACCTACCTACCAGGTCTGTGTTGTTTGAAGCAGCCGACGTTAGGGAATGCGGTAAATTATGGGCAACTTCCAGAAACTGGAATCTGTCGTTCAATTCGTTTCGTAGTAGGTGTCCATCATCATCTTTACAATCTTCCCCGTCCTGCTCGAGACGTGTCTCGGCTTCGCGCCGATCGAATTTCTGAGAGATCACGCACCGATGGTGATCGCGCACAAGGCAGTTTTGCCTTAGGGTGGATATTCGTTGTCTTGATGAATTTGGTCGTAGGCGATTGTAATGAAGAAAAGGATGCGGGCGTGGGTTGTGGTGTTTTGACCGACGAAGCTCTAACTACAACTCGCATCCTTCAGTACATACTTTCAAGCAGCATGTTCAAGTTTAGATGAAAAGGGATCATACGTGGAAGTAGTAAATTCTCAACGATATACTCAGCAAAGTCCTCGATTGCGCCTTGACTGCTTCTTGATCCTTCCAAATCCCAAGACTGAAAGTCTTCAAAATAGCGTAGATAAAGAGTGATTTCCTGTCCATGTGTGTCATTTGTACTCGTGCACATGGACTCTAATAAGAAGGAGAAGTAAAAAGTCAGAAATGCATCTTTGGACGAAGCATGGTCGAATGTGGCCTTGATAAGATCAGCAGGTTTGTACCCGCGCCGCGACACCTGTCCGAGACCATAGTGTTCAATCAGTCGATCGAAAACCAGTCGTGCAGATTGGCTTTGATCCGGCGCTAAGGTTAGTGGGTGTGAAAAGTCCAAGACGTCCTCGAGGGACTGCTGATGTGGGTTATGTCCCAGAGGCATGTTTGCTGGCATTGAGTTGGAACCAAGGAAGTTCACCTCAACTTGCCTATCTGCTTATCGGAAATCATCCCATGTGGGGCCTCACGTGAGTCGCAGTCGCGCTAACCACCGGATCATCTGTTGGACCGAATACCCGATAACGGTTAAGACCGTTAAGTCCATTCACCCCCCTGTGTTTAAGGTAAATCCAGCGATGTTTTATGGTAGCCACGACAGAAGATAAACCTAACAGATTGAATCCTTTTGTCCTGTTTCCTTTCCCAAAATTGAAGACAGCATAGGCTATAGGCGATAGTATTGGAATCATTTCTTTTGTGCTCCACGACTTGGTCTACTGAGAACGAGGATGTCTCGAGTAAACCTTTTCTTGACTTGAAGGTCCTACTCTTCGATTAGGCTTAATTTTCTTATCATTCCTAGTCGTAGGATTACATAGCGTCTCCAAAAACAGTAGATACTAGATGGATCTAAAGTACTTTCCTAGCTGTCGGTTGACACTATTATCAGCTTTATTGTGCCCCTGTTATATAAACTCGTGTGCAAATCCCTTAAATAGAATTTATTTATCATTATAAGTTGAAAATATAACACTGCCAAAATAAAACTCGATACTCGCTAATGATATCCTTGCATCCAATTCAAATGTACCGCTTGACGCTCCGAATAAATACGGTCTTTCTATTAAACAACTTAGCATATCATCAGACTACTTTTACAAAGACACGGAGTACTACTCGCCCGGGTTCATATATTTAACAAGACTACCTCAATCGTAAGATACTAAGGTATTTCGGGAAAAAATAGTCTCAACCCAAGATCCCACTCAAGATATATTCCATCCGAACAACGAAGCATTAGCACATGTTGCATCATTACCATCATCCATTAACCAAAGCACGCTCGAATCAAATTCCAATCTGAATAGGAGACAAGCAACTTAGCAAATGCAAGAAACTCGTAACTGGCATCTATCACGATCCAATTCAATAATAAAGAGAGAGAAAGAATCGCCCGGATCGAATTTAATTCTCAGCCCAATCAACCAAGAAAACCCGACGATCCTGCAATCTACTATTCCCGCAACGCAATGCTTTCTATCTTTTTTCTCTTTCATGTACAAGGGTATCGATGAGAAACCGAAGGGTTAAGAAGTACCCGAATCTAAATGTACCAAAGGGGGTGGATGAATGGATGGGTGGGCGTGTGTATGTAAAAAGAAGGGAAGGAAATCAACGTCACGAGCATAAATGAAACAAAGAAACTTCGTTGCAAACAGAGGAAGAAAACAAAGACATTCATCTTCGGCCAGATTCATATCATAAGCACAAGGCATGATGAAACAAAGATATGGAGAGGATATCGACGTGCCAAGAAATGGAGGGAAAGGGAAAAGAAAAGGCGTGGTTTAAATATCTTCGATGAAGGGATAAAAGAGACAACAGAAGAGAAATCGTGGATCATCGTCGATCAAAGAACCAGCTGGTGCGTTTCCCCGTCTCCTGAGACTGGACTCCGGCAATGGGAGCGTTGCTCTCTCCTCCGCCGCCACGGAGCGGCTTCGCAATTCTCGAGCCGCCAAAATTGAAACCGCCACTGCCATCCATAGCTGGAAGACCCCTGGTCGATCCCTGCTTCGCGGCTTCAAGTCTCTCTTTGACAGCGGTGAGTTGAGCTTCGAATCTGAGTGAGAGAACAAATGTGTTAGCGACTGCCCCAGGGCAGATAAGACCACGAGGGGCCGGCATACCTGTGGTTGGCTTGGGTGAGTTTCTCCTGGCTCTCCTGGAGCAGGCTCTCCAAGCTTGCAATCCGCTCATTTCTGGCGATCAGTTTTCGCTCCGCAATGGCCACTTCCTTCTTCAGGCTGCTGTTCTGTTCTACCAGCTGGCGCTGCACGTGGGTCAGTTGTTCCAGGTTGCGTTCCAGGAAGGCCATCTTCTTCTGCTGGGCCCGGTTGTTTGAAGAGCGGAGCACGTTGTTGTACTGCTCGCGTGCATCGTCCAGGGAGATCTCCAGCTCCACCACACGCTCACAGCGGTTCTGTAGGTCGCGCATCAGGGACTTTTTCATGGCGTCAAACTCGGCAATCTGCTGCTGCAGGTTCTTGCCGGCGGCGCCATTGGTGGACACCCGAGACTGGGAGTCCGCAAGGGACTGACGCAGCTTGCCTAGCTCTTCGTCCTTGCGTGTAATCTCACCCCGAAGCTCAGTAGCGGCCTGCAGCTCGGTCTCCTTGCGGGTAACGTAGACCTTCTCCAGCCGTTCCCTAATCTCCTCAACGTCCCCTTCGCCCAGGTTTCGCTCCAGCAACTTCTCATAGTCCCGCTCGAGATTCGTCAACTTCTCCTCAACCTCCACTCTACGGCTGTCCTGCAGCTCGCCCAGTTCACCCCGATCGTTCATGGTGAGTTCGGCCTGACGGATGAATCCCTGGGTCTCCATGAGGCTTGCTCGGAGCTCCAAGAGATCATCGGGGGCAATCGTCTCGCCCGTTTCGCTGACCTTGTGCAGGGAGTCGACCCGCTGGATGAGATCCTGCAGCTTCCGCTCGTTGTCCGAGAACACGTCGCCGCCAAGGTCAAATCCAGCCATCATCTTCGCCATCTTCTCGGCCTTCTTCTTCTCCTTTTCGTCCAGAGCAGCGCTAGTCTCCTTCGCCTTCATCCGGACATCCAGAAGCTGTTGCTTAACATCGTCCAGCTCCGTGGTTAATTCCGAGTTAGCCTCCCGAAGACTGTCCATCGTGATGGACGCTTCCTTGCCCTCGTACGAGACCTTCTCGAGTTGCATGCGGAGTTCATTGACCTCAGTGTTCAGTTTGTCGTTGTCTTTGCCCGAGCGTGCCGAGTTCTCCTTCATGCTCCGGAGCTCCTCCCGAGCCTCACGAAGGCCCCTCTCGACGTTGGCGATGTGCGACTCTTTCTCCGCGATCTGATCGTGAAGATCATTTTCCCGTCGGAGGAATTCCTCTCGCTCATCTTTCTCGAGAATAATGCTGGGGGTGCTGGAGCGATCACCGATGCGCGAATCCGGTCGCGGCGTCTCGGAGCGAGGGGTGTCTTGAAGTCGAGAGGGAGTGGCGGGACGCGGTGCGCGCGCCTCCGCCTTTGCAGCACTGACTATTTCATTTCCTCGGGCGGGAGTCCATCGGTCCTTGGGCACCTGGTCACCACTTCGCCACGACTGAACCTCCATCTCCAAAGCCGAGATGTAGGTCTCGAAGTTGGTGACCTGACCCTGGGCTTTACGCAGCAGCGCCTTCAGTTCGGCGGGACTCAGCTCAGCATTGACCTTCGCCTTGTTCTTAATCGCCTTGGCGCGCACACCGAATCGCAGGGTGGAGATGGTTTCGGCATCGTTATAGCTACTGGGAGAGCAGTTGATGATCAGCGTGGTCCGCGAATTACCACCCAAACTCTCCTGCAGAATTCGAGTCAACTTCGAGTCACGGTACGGGATGTGACTCGATTTGCCGTCCGTGAGGGCGTTGATGACCATGCCCAGGGCACTCAAACTCTTGTTGATCTTCTTGGCTTCCTCGAGGGTCTGGCCACTGGCACCGGTCTTGCCAACCTTCTCACTACCGGCCAAATCGACCAAGAACAGCTGACCGCTCTTGGCGGAACCGGTCTCCAAATTCTTCTGCGTAACGGTGATGACGAAAATCGAATGGGACCGCGAAGACTCCTGGTTCATGTTGGTCGCGGAGACGGCCCTAGCCGCACCACCACGGCGCATCACCTCGTACACCTCCTGCACGCTAGACACGTAGACCTCCAACAGGCCCTTCACGTAGACTCCTCGCGACTTCTCCTCGTGCACGGGCAGGTTGTCATTGTGGGGCACCAACAGATCGCGGATGCGTTCCATGTAGATCTCCATATAACTGACTCGAACGGTGTACTCCATGTTGCTCGGGCTGGTGAGGATGCTGGCGAAAATCTGCTCGACGATACGCGGAATGACACCCTTGCCCATATCGTCCTCGATATCCGATCCCATCATGGTGTAAGACTTTCCTGCACCAGTCTGACCATAGGCGAAAACGGTTCCGTTGTATCCATTCAGAATGTCGTCCACGGTCGGTCGGATGGAGTAATCGAAGATGTCGCTTTGGTGCGAGTCCATGGGAAACACCCGATCGAAGGTAAAGGACCCGTTGCCTTCGCGCGACTAACCACGGAGTCAGTACCACCACCCATCTACCTATCTTCCCAAGGGTTGACTCACGCTGATCTGACATGATTGCTCATTTTCAAAGTCAACGATGGGCTCTCCGCCGGACGCTAATTCAACTTTGTTTTGCGGTCGGAATCTCGCAACGACTAAGGACAAGGCAAAAACGTGTTAGTCGGATCGACCGCACGAGCGAGCTAGAAGCAAGACGGTCCACGGTCCACGTACCCTTGATGGTGTTGGGGCCAGATGACCTGTCATTCAAGATATATGGTCAGTGTGTGCTTTTCGGGCGGGAGGTATGGTGAAACGAGGGCTCGAGCGGGAGACACTTACGCCATGATCGCTCTGACCCAAGCTCAAGTTCCAAACCAATAATAAAAGGAATAGAGTAATGCGAAGAAGAAACAAACCCCACGGGGGGAGGGGAAGCAAGAGGGGGAAGGATTGCGGTATTTCACAAGCCGGTCAGGTCGAGGTCGAGTCGGTGGGAATTCCAAGACGGAGTGGGCGTTGTTTGGGTCAGGGGTCCACGTGCCGGGCACACGCAGATAACGTGGGCAGCTGAAGGGATCACCGACCCGAGATACAGGACAGAGTCACGACGAGAGTCCCGGAGAGATCACACAGCAAGCGTCGTGCCGTGCGAACAAACTTCACGGATTGGAGAAGGGCGCAGAGAAGCAAACAGACGACGATTCTTGAGGAGTCGGTGGGAAGAGCGATTCGACACGACCCGTTAGTCTCGGTCTTGGCAATCCGCCCAACTCGGACGATGTTTACTTCAACGGTTCAAGAATCAGATTCAATTCAAGGAATAGCATTAGAGAGTCAGAACAGAAAGGACCGGAAAAAAACAGATAGAAAGAATAATAGAATGTCCATTGAATTAACACAAAATAAAATGACAACTAATCACAATGACGGCCGTAACAGCTAAGCCTTATGCACTAGGATGCAGCAACGTGAAACAAGACAAGAAATGCAGTTATCCACAAGACCGAGCAGAAAGATATTTACCAGGCGCCAAAACCCCGCGCTGTGCATGTCATCAAACGGCGTGAAAAATTCCCCGATCACAGCACCCGACAAGCCTGGCCGAGGCCGCTTGTCGTCTGTTTTGACATGAGCGGACAAAGTCGTTCCATCAATCAGACCATCAACAAACAAAAGAAAGAAAGAGTCGAGAGGTATATGAAAAGGCCAGTATAGTAGAAAAGGGAACAGAATAAAATAGAAGGGGAAAAACCAATCAATCCTCCCAGCTCTTCTCGACCGTTTCACGCACGCGCTTGATGTATTCCTTCCGGTTGTCCTTGTAAAGGTTCGAGGCTTCTACGTTCGCTGGCGACGAGGTGTTCGGGTCATTGAGTAGACTGTGAGTGGCGGCGAAATAATATTAGTCTGACATTCTTGCATCTGCACGGCAGCCAATGAGACTTACCTCTGAATACTAGTGAGGATCGCCGCCACGTCATAAGTTGGGCTCCAACGGTTCTGCAAAATATCGAGGCACAGCTCGCCAGTGCCATACACATTGGGATGAAACATCTGACTGATGAACTTGACGCCTGGCGGCTTGTTTGGGTACTGTTCCTCGAAATGCATGACCAGACGGAATGTTCCGTCCTCGAAGGGAGTATCGGCGGGTCCAATGATCACGGCATTCCTGGAGGCGAGAGTGGTCAACGCCAGCTTCTTTCAACAGTGTCACGAAGCCTTACCAAGTCATAACATTGTCCGCTACTGGAGATGCGGAAACGCCGGCTGGGGGGTCGGTTTGCATACGCTGTTCATCAAGGGTTCGTTAGCGCACGAGATCTTGCCAAAGAAGAGTTTCCATTAAATTTAAAAGTTGACTAAGTCGATTGAGATATGCCACGGGGATGAATGATGCTTATCTTGGGACATAGAAACATCGACGGATCTATAGGCAAGGAGCACAGGCAAGGAGCACAGACCTTAAAGTCACGCATGAGACGGCGGCGAGCAGAGGTCGACATCGCGGCGGGGTACGGGAGACTCTCGGGAGGAAGCTATCGGGCGATAAAGGATAGGGAATCGAAGATGCCGGGATGCCGATGAGAGCTGCGAAGCCTTAAGACAAGGAGACCCGAAGGCAGAGGAAGGGGAGGTGTAGGAAGTGGCGAGTCAGTCGAGCCGGATGGGATGAAATGGAAACGAGAGAGAGGGAACAATAAGGGAAGGTGGAAGGAGGTGCAGATCCCGCCGCTCGTGGAACACCGTCGGGTGAACTCTCTTGATGGAGAAACTAGCTCTTTCGGGCGCGCCTCCGATAACGCTCGATTATGTCATTGTCTGCACTCCAGTCACATGATCTGAAGTCACGCCGCGGTGGCCAACAGCCTCGGTCCAACGCGGGCGGGCGGACAAGCGGCTACAGGCGGAATACGTTATTGCGGAGAAGGCATGTAAGTAGTGTTGCCAGCCACGACTCCTTCACTCATCCCTTTTCTTCCTCACACTTCTGTTCATCGGTTCTTCTCGTCACATTAATTTGTATCAGGATGGCCATCTACGCATCGACAGGGCAGGCAGCCCGCCTGTTCTCCAAGAGAGTCCCGGCTTGCCAGTGGCAGAGACACTTCAGTGCTGCTCGTCCGGTGTTCAAGGAGATCCAGGATGCTTACATTCTCAGCGGCGCCCGCACGCCAACCGCAAAGGTGGGAATTCCTGATTTCCGGCCTGTCGTCCCAATTGCAAATTCACTGACGAACTTAGTTTAACGGCTCTTTCGCCTCGGTTTCCGCCCCCGAGCTGGGCGCAACGGCCATCAAGTCGGCCGTGAGCAAGTCGAATGTCCCCACTGAGAAAATTACAGACGTGTACATGGGCAACGTGCTGCAAGGGTCGGTGGGACAATCGCCAGCTCGGCAGGCGTCGATCTTCGCCGGTTTGTCTCCCACCGTCGAAGCTTTGACGGTCAACAAGGTGTGTGCGTCTGGTTTGAAGGCCGTCGCACTGGCCGCGCAGAACATTCAGCTCGGTCTGGCCGAGGCCCAGATTGCCGGTGGCATGGAGAATATGTCTCGGGTTCCGTACTATCTTCCTCGTGCCGGCCAGCTGCCTCCGTTCGGTGATTTGAAACTGGAAGATGGTTTGATCAAGGACGGTCTTTGGGATGTTTACAACAAGTTCCATATGGGCATCTGTGCCGAGACCACGGCCAAGAAATACGACATCTCCCGGGAAGCTCAGGATCAGTATGCGATCCGGTCCTACGAGAGAGCGCAGAAGGCCTGGGCCGAGAACAAGTTTGCGGATGAAGTCGTGTCCGTCACCGTCAAGGGTAAGAAGGGAGACACCGTGATTGAGCGTGACGAGGGCTTTGAGAACTTGCGCGCCGACAAGATGGCGACTCTGAAGCCGGCCTTTCTCAGAGACGGCACCGGTACCGTGACGGCCGGCAATGCTTCGACCATGAACGATGGAGCTTCTGCCCTGGTCATCACTAGCAAGGATATTGCCCGTGAATTCGGCCAGGGCAACCGTGCCTTGGCGCGTATCGTCTCTTCTGCCGATGCTGCCATCGATCCCGTGGACTTCCCCGTTGCCCCCGCTAAGGCTGTCCCAATTGCTCTTGAGCGAGCTGGTATCACGAAGGAGCAAGTTGCCGTGTGGGAGTTTAACGAAGCGTTTGCCGCCGTCATCAAGGCCAATGAGAAGGTAAGTTTCCTCAAACTCTGCCATATCATATTCGTATTCTAACGGCACCTAGATCTTGGGACTTGAGAACGCTCGCGTCAACCCTCTTGGAGGTGCCATTTCCCTAGGACATGCACTTGGTAGCTCTGGATCGCGTATCCTAGTGACCCTTCTGCATCAATTGCAGCCTGGCGAATATGGTGTTGCTGCTATTTGCAATGGCGGTGGTGCTGCTAGTGCCATGGTTGTCCAGAAATTGGATAAGGTCGAGTAAACACGAGATCCCCGCAAGGCCTTGTCTGCTAGTTCCTTGACATGCAACATCCGCTTTCACTCAGTTCACTGTCCTTTCTGCACCTGATTCCCAGTGCTTATCCCACGTCTTCGCTGGGCTCTTGGTCAAAAGCAACCACATGAATTCTATACCCGTCATCTGCCTCTCAGGATATCATACATGTATATAATTTCCAAATTATGAATTCCCTCTGCCGTATAGGTCCATAATTCTCTTGATCTATCTCATAGTTCATTCGACTTGGCACGTGACGCATCATCATAAGCCATTCCTCATTGGGACGTCACATTTCGCGCTAACCCAAAGCATCCGCAATGCATCTGGATCTGAATCGCATTTCACTTGCAACAAACACAGAACCGCGAAAGTTTCGCGACGAAGTTCTAGTTTTCATTTTTTCGGATCTTCTTGATCATGAGCCACAATCTACCCTCCGCACTCTAGTCTCCAAAAATGCCGGACCCAGTCGAGCTCCAGCTGTTCCCCTCATGTCTAAACTGCCTGTCATGGTCGGAAGACGGCGAATTGGCCGTGGCAGCCGGAGACCATGTTCAAATCCTAGTTAGCTACCACTCAAACCCTATCTATCAAACAGAAGAAATATGTACTAACATCCAATCAGACCCCCAAAAAAGCCACCGAAGGCGCAGAACCTGCATCTAGCGCTCGTCAGCCAAGCGCGTGGCAGATCGCACGAGTTCGTACAAATGTATTCACGGACGAAGAATTGCCGACTATTCTGGGTCAGCACCGAGACTATTTTTCCATCGGACGCGAGCAGTCGCTCAGTAATGTTGCCGGTCTGGCCTGGTCGCCGCCGGGAGTGGGAAAGTCCCGACGCTGTGTGCTGGCAGTCTTGACGTCGAACATGGTGCTGTCGCTTTTTGAAACGGTCGGTTCACAGGGAAAGTGGATTCGTGTGGCTCTTGTTAATCAGGTGTTGAGCCAGCGGGCTCAATCGTTGACGCAGAGGGAGGGGGAACGGGTGCGGAAATCGTCAATTACTTCGTTTGCGTGGTGTCCCCCGCTCAAGGTGCCTGCTTCTGAGGATAAGGAAACGAGGGGGGCGGAGAGTAAGTGGGGGATTCAGTTACTCTCGGTCGTGACGGATGAGAATGAGGTCATCCTGCTGCGTCCGACAAGGACATCTACTGGATACTCGATAGAAGTGCTGTCGAGTGTATTCATCGAGGATTCCCATCTGGAGTATCCTCAAGTCCAGCCCGGCTCGGTCTTATCGACCATACTTAAGAAGCAAACAAAATCTTTGTCTCTGGATTGTGGGCCCTGGTTCTACCGTGTCGGTGGGAAGGGCACGCAAGCCGCCTCGTCTGCAACTGCAAATGTGGCGGTTCTGTATGGCACGACTGTCAAACTGTTCACATTGGATATTTCGTTAGCGAGGGATGAAGAGCAACAGCAGTCTCAACCACGTTACAAGGTCACGGCCAACTGTCAAGAGAATACCCTTGTTCAGTGGCCAAACATGAATTATTATCATTGCACGGGCCCACTTCAATGGTTATACAAGGTAGCAACCGTTGTCAAAGCTCAATTTTATAACCCTGCTTACCATCATCAGGACAAATCTCCAGAATTACGACTCGCCGCTGGCACCCTGGGTGGCATGCTTCAAGTAATTATCCCATCCAGTTCGTACGACGGAACAGGTGCTGCCAGTCAACCGCAATTACAAGAATCAATATTCGAGACAAACACAGACAGCGCGGGTAGTGAAGAACGGGGACATTGGGAAGCAATAGGAGGTAAGTAAATCTACCCAGACTACGCAAACACCCGCTCACAAAAGACAGGAATGGCGGCCATATACGACAAACAGACGGACAGTCAAACCCTGCACCTTGGCACCATCGGAGGATACACATTATCCATGATCCCTTCACCAGACCACACGAGCTACCAATTCTCCGAGCCTCCATGGAAGCAGCAATTCGACGGTATCCGCGAGCAATTCGATATTGATGGTGACCTGGGCGGACTAGCCATCGGTCGCATCTGGGGTCTCGCGAATTACCGGGGGCTTGTTGCGACGGCATTTACTTTAAACCCAGGAGACCTGATCGAATACCGCACTGCAGCGGAGGAACGATCGACGATTATCTTTTCCCGGGCATATGAACCAGCTCGTGAGTCGGACGATTCCATCATCCGTCCTGCTGAACCGGACCGTTCTCCTAGTTTTCTGCGCGCAATGCGTGAAGAGATCCTGAGCTACATCCTCTTCTCGAACAACGGCAAGTTCGACCAGCAACCGTGGGGCCCCAAGTTAATTTATGCTGCTGCGTGCTGCACGATTGTCGAATCCCAGGATGCGAAGTTACTGTCGCAAGCCCAAAAGGCACTTCAATGGTTAGCCAAAACAACGGGAGTTGATCTATCCGAGGAAATGGACAAAATAAAAGACAGGATAAACAACCGCTCGGCCCCAGGGACTGCTGTGGGTGCTAAATCTGCAGAACAGCTCACAGGGCCAGGTGAGCGAGTGTTTGAGAAATGTGAGGTTTGCGATGCAGGGATAGGGTGGCATTCAGGTCAAGAAGCACAATGCGCGTCGGGTCATTTATTTGGTATGTCCCCTAGACTTACACATTTGTGTTTGATTTTCTCTAACATTGCTTGCAGTTCGATGTGGATTGACATTACTGTCTATCCAAGATCCTGGGATCTCGAAATTCTGTTCTTATTGTGGGACAGAATTTCTCAACGAGGAACTTACGGCTTCTTCGCAAGAACCTGAACTTCAGAAAGCGAGCACTCTTTTATCCGATGTTTTCGACACGTGTATTTACTGCAATGGCAAATTTCGGTATTAGCATTATGTTCTTTTTGACTTTGTATATTATTATTCCCTTTGATTTACGTTTTCTTTGGTAATCGTGGTGGGTTTGTGTTTTGCTCATTTGAATGTGGATGGGCCAGCCAACTAAATAAATATACTGCCTCACGATGTCAACCCGAACAGCTTCCCAGCAACAGGATCCCACTCATCTTCCCAGCGACGAGTGCTTTCCTTGCGCGCACCAATTCGCAAAATTTCAAGTTTACCAGGGTTTTCGAAAAGATCTACAAGCTGTTCAACAAGCTCCTCGGAGCTTCCGAAGCCCCTCCCATTTATGCCCTCAGTCACGAGTTCCGGCCACGCTTCGAACCGATTCCAGCCCACGACCGGCAGACCCGCCCCAAACATATCAACAACCTTCATTGGCAGATCCACGCCACTGCTACTCGTATGCAAACTGACGCCTAATGACGCGGACGCCAAGAGGCGTGCATAACCGGTTGTACTGAGCCAGGCGGTACGAATGGTGACCTTCTGTAATTTCCCGGACTGTTCAAGCTCGGAGATCCGTTTCAGGTACATTTCCTTCTGCGGCCCTTTACCCGTTATGATGGCCAGCACGGTGGGTAACTGGGGGTTCACAGAAGTCGCAATTTCTGAATACCGACACAGGGCATCGATAAGCAGCGAGAAATCCTCGTCCGGTGTCCAGGACGTTGAGCTGACCAGAACACGCGATTCTTCCGACTTGATCAATGGCTGTACGGAAGATGCTTCAGGTAGCGAGAGGAGAAATTCCCGTCGCGCGTCTTCATTCTCAATGGGCTGTAGGTGTCTAGCCGGGCGGTCGTGAAGCGGGAGGATGGGGGCCTTCAGTCCGAACTCGTTCTTCAAAACCGAAGCCATTGCTTTCGTCACACACAGGTGCGCCGTGGCATACCTGCAGAATGTCTTCTCGTACCATTTGGAGAATCGCACGAGCGGGTGGCTGTCTCCAAGTTTCAGGGCCAGAATGCTATATCCGAAATTATGCCAGTCGATGACGAGATCGGTGTTGCGCAGGAAGCAGCTGACGGAGGCGATCGCGAGGGAAGGGATAGACGGGGGATTCTACGAGAGAGCCAGTTAGCCTAGGTCCTATCGATCTTGAGGGGAGCTGCAACCAACCTGAACAAGAAGCCATTTCACCGGCTTGGTCCGATAACACAATGTCAACCACAAACAGATGACTTGAAAGAGGACCTTTAGCGGACCGAAGGCTAGGAACAGAAGCTTATTGCTTGTTTGTAGAAAGGACGGATGGGGAGGGAGGGCGACGATGGAGATTCTCGAATCGGATGTGATGTCAGGATGAACTTCGGATTCTATACAAATGGGCTTCAGCTTCCTTGAGTCTTGCACCGAATGATAATGAACTTCTACCTTGGTACCCGATTATTTCGACTCTGCCTCCACCTCGGGCAATGCTCAGTGCATGGTATTGCATGCGCGGACTGCGCCCGATGTCTCCCAGGACTAAGATTTGCACTGAGGTTTTCGGGTCAGTCGGAGCCCTTTCCTTGCGCTGTTTGTGGTCATATTGCGACGGTAGCAGTAGGAGCGACAGCGTGAGGGCCGTCGAGACGTAGTAGGCGACGTTGATGATAGACTCGATCATGGTGAGCTATGGGGTGAGAATCACACAGACCGGGGGTAGATCATTGTTGAGTATGTACACTGGTAGAATGGAATGCGCTAGTTAAAGCGCATTGACCGCATGGCTAATCTGAAGCTATACTGGCCAGCTGTATGATCGGTGGTGAAGGGACAGCACGGAGTAAACATGACCCGAGCGCCCCCACACAAGGATCAACAAGCGCGCGGCTATGCTGGGAATAATGAATGATAAACATCCAGATGAGGGGCGCAGAAGGTACAGGATATTATTTGTCGAACTATAAATGTCCGATCTCTGTTCGTCATGTTTCATCCTCGAGTCCGTCGGCGTCAAGAGCATCGGCTCCTGAAATGTCAGGCACCTGCAGAGATAACAAACCGGCGATCACGTGCGGCGATCCTTATCGATCAGCCATCCGCCATCCGCCCCCGGGTTGCATCTGGGGTCCAAACTCCCTTCTGGCCACGCCTGCTCTTCTCTCCCCCTCCCTCGTCGCTCCTTGCTTTTGTATTGCATCCGCTGAGTGCGCTATGCCGCGCCCCTTGTCTGCTTCCCCCGGTCGCTCCTTCAATTGAGCTGTTAAAGGCTCTCGTTACCCCCTCAGTTTCCTCAGAAGTGCCCTCCGTTCGTCGATCGCCCTAAACCGCCCGCCTCCTGTTCGTTTCCCCTTAGTCGCCGCCGATTGTCGATTCTCTTACCCACGACGGATCGCATAAGCGACGGTTGAGACGATGTCAACGGGGTCGCCGGTGTCCGGCGTGGATACAATTTCATCAGTATCGCATGGACACGGCCATGGACATGGACGTCGCGGCCACGGCCATTCTCGCTCGAATCGGTGGTCGCACGGCCCCATTTCTCACTCAGTGTCCTCTTTCGACGCCTCGACGATTGCAAATCCGCTGTCGCAGTCTGTGACAGCTTCTGATATTTCCAATGGCTCGCCGCCCAGCTCACACTGGCATGGCCACCAGCATACGCACTCCCATGCCTCGTCGATTCATGAGAACGGATGGGTCGGTGTGAACCACGTCGATGCGTTTCACACACATACCCCTAAACATAGCCATACCGGCAGTATTACGGGATTGACACCGGATACACCTTTGGTTTCTGCAGACCCTGAGCCGACGACCGTGTAAGTTGTTGAATCATTCAACTATGATCGAATTGGTCGCTGACGCTCTCAGTTATGAGAGCATTACTGGGATTCTAGCAGCATTTCCGTGGATCGTCGTATCGTGGTATTACCAGCAGTACGTACATTGGGAATCGCCGGTGCCAGTGCCTGGTGAGGATACTAGCGACGATACCTGGACGATTGCGAGCAGTGGAACGTTAGACCATACGGCGCAGAGGGCTGGTTTCCTGGCTGCCGCAACGATGGTTCTACTCGGATGTTCGCAGGCGGCTCAGCTCGCTCAGCGGGGTGATTCGATGCCAGGTATGCCTAAAATCGGTCCCACCGAAATTCGCAGTTCTTTTGGGAAGCTGTGCTCCATCGCGTTGCCAATCTATGCCTCGTTGAAGATAGGTGGGTTCCTGGTCGCGTTTGCTCTGTTACTTGCGACTGCAACTGGCCTCCCGACAATCATCTCGGGCAGCAATTCTCAGCCTGGCAACAAGGCCGGGATACTACAGAAGAAGTTGACGGTGGGTGTCATTTTGGCTGTCGTTGTTTTCAGTTTCCTGGGCATGAATACTACTTGGGACACGGAGCCTGTTCTGGGTTATTCCTCCTTGTTGTTGTCGGTCTTCGTCATCCGCCCTCCTTTTTCCGCCTCCGTTTCCGCAGTTTCGACTTCAGCTTCGGGCCTCGGTATCTCAGTGTCTGGAAGTAGCGTCGACTCGAAAACAGCGTCTGCAAGTGCCTCTCCTGTTTCGCCAGCGGAAGCAGTTCTCACTGCTGCCACAGGCTTGCTCTTAGCATTGGCAACTGCGATTACGTCCAGGGCCATCTCATTCCAAGCGATTGACTTTGTGTATATACTTTTGACCGCAGGCGCGTTTGCGGTCTCCTTGACTTTTCTGATCCCGAACAATTTGCGCTCCCCACACAAGATCGGTCTTGCCATCGGGACGGGCACTGCAGCCCTGTTGTGCGCACCGCCTATGCGCGACGGTGTTTATCTAACCTACATCTCCCGGGGTATCCTGGCTGCGCTTTCGTTCCCAGCCGCCCGGTTTGACGACAAGCATTTGCGCCTCGTGACTCATTCTCACAGCCACCACCACCATTCCCACCATGGCAAAGATGCATCACGAATAACGAATCTAATCATCCGGTACAGCGAGCCATACCCTTTGTTGTACAGCATCCTCAAAGAGAGTGACTCGCGACGCATCTTCTACTTCATGACGTATGTCTTCCAACCTTCACTGAGTAACCGACTGGCTAATTGTTCGCAGCCTTAATTTTGCCTTCATGCTTGTCCAACTCTCTTATGGCTTCATTACCGGGTCATTAGGTCTGCTTAGCGACAGTATTCATATGTTTTTCGACTGTCTCGCACTAGTAGTTGGTCTTTGTGCAGCTGTCATGAGTAAATGGCCGCCCAGTGCGAGATTCCCCTATGGATACGGCAAGGTGGACACCTTGTCAGGGTTTGCCAATGGCATCTTCCTCATGTGCGATCTTCCCACTACAGCTTTCTATGGTCCATCACTGACTCCTCGCAGGATCATTAGCATTGAAATCATCTACGAGGCGGTGGAGAGACTATCGTCCGGCAGTCAGATGCATCGCCTAGGCGAGCTTCTCGTCGTGAGTGTTGCAGGTCTTCTCGTGAACCTGGTCGGTATCATGGCATTCGATCATGCCCACCACCACGGCCATGGACATGACCACGACCACTCCCACGGAAATGAGAACATGCACGGCATCTTCCTCCACATCCTTGCCGATACCCTCGGATCTGTGGCCGTTGTTATCTCGACCGTTCTGGTCCACTACTCGGGCTGGGCCGGATACGACCCCATTGCTTCTTGCATGATTGCCATTTTGATCTTCGCGTCGGCTATCCCTCTTGTCAGCAGCACTGCTAAATCGTTGCTTCTTACTCTACCGGCGGACGTGGAATACAACGTTCGCGATACCCTAGGTGGCGTGAGCAACTTGAGAGGCGTTGTGGGATACACTGTCCCTAAGTTCTGGTTGGACGACACGGCAGCCTCGGGCGATGATCATCATCACCATGGTCACGGCCACGGCCACGGCCACAGTCACGATCACTGTCATGACCACGGCCATTCTCATAGCCATCACGATCATTCGCACTCCCACTCTCACGAACATAGCCACTCTCATGATCACTCTCACTCTCATGACCACGAAAAGACCAACCCCAACGTCCTCGGCGTTATTCACGTCATTGCATCTCGCACTGCAGATCTCGAAGATGTTCGACAACGAACCGTTGATTTCCTCCGGGAGAAGAACATGGATATTCTGGTACAGGTGGAACGCGAAGGCGACGGACGATGCTGGTGTGGTGGTGGCAATAAATCGTCTTGATTCTCACGTCGGTATGTCCCCAAATGGGGCAAATTAAGCAAAAAGCCCCGAAGGAATTCCTTAACCTTCTGATATTGTATTCTATGTTTTTGAATGATGGTACATATGGAAAGGGCGGTGTGCTGTATATGAATGCCATACAAGTGTTGATAGCTGTCTAAACTGTGCAATAATCCATAGAGATTGAGGCCATTTATCCTCCATCCCGGATGCTCGAGCATCCAGCCCGGACGAAGATCCCACGACCGCAGTCTAAGGATGGAGAACCTTTTTAGTGTTTTGATGGCAGTGACGCTGGAAGTGTCCTGATCTCCCCAAGCTCCTTCCGTCTGCAACAACATCAACACCAACTAATATACAAAGAAGGTAACGACGAGGGCCATCACTACCATCAAGTTTTTGGATCGATGGATTGTTTCCAGTACGCACTGATCGTGTTTCCTCCAGGCCATCATTAACTTATATCACCCCAAACCCAGCCCAAATCATACTACTATCGAATCAGCTGGCATCGTGTCATCTTTATCAAATTTCGACTACCCTTTACTTGTTTGCAATTCCCAATCATCTCTTCTATTCCATCGGCTCTTGATCCTATTCTACAATGCCTCTTTCTGCTTTACCCCTCGAATTACTTTGGTCGATCGCCGACGAACTATGCACTCGGGACATCTATCATTTGGGCCAGGCTAACCGTCGCCTGTACACTTCAATCGATCCATATCTATATCGACGAAATATCCGGTGTTCGAACTGCTCTGCTCTACGATGGGCAGCATTTTACGGCCGCACATCAACCGCTCAAAAACTACTCGACGAGTGCCCTTACCCTAACGCAATTGCGGGTTATCCTAGGCAAATACTAGCGCTGGCGACTTCGCGGGGCAACGAAGGTGTAATCCGGGTTATTCTAGATAAGGGCATCGACGTTGTTTCGCAAAGAGGATATCAGCTTTCGTTAGCAGTGAGGAATGGGCACGAGGGTGTTGCGAGGCTGTGGATCACGCTTGGTGCAGACCCTTGTGATATGGACTCAGGCAAAACCTGTTTGCACCTTGCGCCCTTAAGCAAAAATGTTGCTCTTGTCAAATTCTTGGTGGAAGAAATAGGCTGCGATCCGTACGCGTTGGACGAACGGGGTCTCACGCCGCTCTTTTATGCCCTCCAGGAGAGCGCTTGGGATATTGTTGTATATTTGCAAGAGGCGATGGGTATTCCATGGAATATGGTCTCACACTATGCCGCTTGATACGGAGCTTGAACCAGTTGAGATCGATCAATACCTTGGCCTTTGGTTAATCCTTACCCGCGCGATCCTCCCTCACAAGTTCAGTGGATAGAACAAGGAAACAAGAAACGATTCGATTCTGACAAACTCAACACATAAAGAAAGACGTAGACACTCTTATAGCAAGAATTAGCTGTATACTCTAGATCTCACCCAATGGGCCTGTACTGAATCCTAAAAGGTAATGAAACACGTCGGCGGGCTGGAAATCGAGACTTTCTATCAATTCAAGCACTCTGCATCCACCACCCTAGTCAATTGATAACGTGAGCTCCAATGAGGAGCTTGCAAGAACAGTGTGTTGAGAAAGGTGATGTAAAGGTCCTCACTCTGGGGATGAAGGAGCCTAGGGTTGAACAACAAGCCTTTCCTGGGAAGTCAACAGGTATGGCGAATCGAATAGTCGTTTTTTGCATTGGGTTCCATGGGGCATTAGGCTTGGGGGCATCTCGTAAATGCTTCCATAGTTTTGTTTTCATACAGGTTCACTATATATCAGCCGCTGATGCTGAAATAACTTATCCCTTGCCAGTGCGTTCCTTTTATACGATCGTCTATGGCCTTTACAGCATGGGATTGTTAAAGATACTTTGGCTTATGATAGGTCCGATACAGCCAAGCAACAGGCACGGCAATAGAAGACTACGGTGCCAATTGATCTTTGATCTCCTGGAACAACTCCCGCCACTGATCATCTTCTCCATCACCAGACACCCTATCGAAAGGATCCTTATTAACACCCTCCGAATCTACGTAAATGTCATCCCTCAGCTCTATCGTCCCCGCCGCAAGTTCGGGCCCCATAGCCTTCAATGTATCAGGTAGAAGGCACGGCCCTGATTCCTCAGCCTTCTTCAGGTCACGCCACACCTTGACCTGGAACTTCTGGCCGGATCGAAAGAAGAAGCCGCGCGGCAGCCTACCTTTTCGGACGGAAAATGGCTGCATAGGTGCTTCATGAACGTGAGTGAAGCAGAGGATAGCACCCCTCGAAAGCTCGCTGTCGTCGATTTCGGCGTCCAACTCGAGTTTCACGTTTCCTGCAGAGAGCTCGATGTTGGGAGACTTTAGCAGCATATGCGAAATGTGGCGCTGCGTCCCCGTGCCATATAGGTAAAACGGCATGAATGTATTTGGGTACTTTGTATCGCGGTTTCGGGAGCTTAGGGAGCGGTTTTTAATTATTCGTGTGATGCTCACCTTGATTTGCCCGGCTCGCTTGCTGATAGCTGTAAGCACCGTGTCATCTTCATGATGATGAACTTACCCTGCTGAGTTGAACAAGGCTCCCTTGAAGATTGCTGGCATATTTCCCTTAACCTCGTTCAGTAATGACTCAAGAGATGTTTGATCTGAGGACCTGAGAATGACTGCATCGCTAGAGCCTTTGACTTTAAGGTATTTATTCAAGTCCTCCGTTCCGAGGCGGGCACGAAGGATGAGTTGACGGCGGTGTTTAGTCTCTTGAAAGCACGGTTGATATACCAGGAACATCTCATCTGCACCCTGCATGATGAAACTATGTTCAGTGGGACCAACAGCGTTTCGTTGCCGGCAGACCTAATCATATGCATGTCAGTTCTGGGTTCCGTCTATCGAGGTTGACTAGGTAATACCTCGACTTCCTCCTCCACGATAATCCGAAATCGCTTGATCAATTTTCTCATAAAGTCATTCTCTGTTGGAAAGGCACTCATGACCACATTGCGCAGCACCATCAGATTTTGCTTGCACACGTCAATGCCGAGACGATCCATGAAGTTCTCGGCGCAGGTGCCATACTCCTCGTGTTTGAACTCGGTCGACGTGAGATAGAAGTCGATATCAGTGGGTTTATCATTGGGCGTGCTGATCGACAACCGCTTGAGGACACGCTGCATCAAATAGTTCGCCTCTTCGATATCATCGTTGATAGTCCCGTCTGGATAGCGCCAATTAATCGCAAAGGCGTTGATATTTAGATCTGAACCTAGGGCTCGGAGCAGCGTCATGGTGTGCTTCTCCGCATCGCTGGCAATAATTTCTGCATTGGACTTGCACAGGATCTCGTCGCGGATAAACTTCTTCTGCGCCTCCACGTCTCCACCGCTTATCTCGGCAGGGAGCCGATTGAGGGGAACGCAGATGAAGGAATCTGTGCTAGTGGTCATTGCTGCCCAGTGAGCGGCGAGCTGGGTGCATGGTTAGTAAGACACACGCAAGTCTGCTGATGGACTAACCCGATTACTTGTGAAGGAAACCTCCTTTAGAAGGGCTCCGTACCCGTCCTCGCCGAGCCCAATGCACTGGTTGGAGAGCCAAGTTGACATGGCCGCTGCTCCAGGTTTGCTATTTGCTGTCAGCATGTGTGATAAGTTCTTAGTGCAACATGAGCGACTTGCCTCCCTTCAATACCATATATACCAATATCGGTCAAAGAGCCCCTTCCAATATAAGGACACGTCCATGTAACCAGATATCTCATCCTCTCATCGCGATATACTAGACTTCCAGCCGGGTACGGAATATACCCAGCTTTATGTGGATCAATAGTAACTGAATCAGCGCACTTCAACGCCAACAAGTCTTCCTGCGTGTCCACCTTCAAGCTTAGGTCCGGTCCAAACCCTTCACTACTTGTCTCGACCCCTTCGAACGGGTCTTCTTCTGCAGTCTGGGCCATGATCTTGCGAGGCAACATACTAGCAAAATATCCGCCCCATGCAGCATCGGCATGGACTAGGAAAGATAAGCCTTTTCGCTGGAACTGTTGACGGATCCTGAGGATTTCGCTTAGTCGATCAACAGCCCCTTCTTCGGTAGAGCCTATGATGGCGACTACTGCGTAAACAGCTTGCTGGTTCTCCAGGCTCTGCTCTAACTTTGCAACGAGATCGCTTAGGTCGACACGCGCTTCGTTGTCAACTTTGATGCCGAGGATGTTTTCCGAGCCGATGCCGGTGATTGCTACGCTAAAGGTTAAGTTTCGAGTTTATCCAGTTATATTTGTAGACAAGACATACCACCTCCTTTAGGCCACGAGTAATGCCGGGTAGTACTGAGCATGTAGCGGATAGGCTTTTGAATATGGAATCGCTGTTCCAACAACGCCTTTCCAATTGACTGGACGTTGTATTTTTTCATGGCGTCTTCAATAAATGTAGGTGAGATGCCCCACTTATCATTCAGCATTTGGGGTATATCCAGGATAGTGTCTGGTTTGAGATTTAGCAGTTCCCAGGTAGACAACTTCGTGAATTGTTTCATTGTCCCGCTGCAAGTCTCAATTTCGAAACTCTCTGCCACAAAATGCAGGTCTCCTTCCTGGATAGCCAAAGATAGCGACAGTGGGTAGAACTTCAGGTTCCTAGCTGCAGAAGAATTAGCCACCAACCAAGATACCTATCACCCCTGCCTCAGTAGCCCTAACAGAAAGTACTCACCAACCCAAATAGACTCCAAATTGGCGACCGTTCCATCACAAGTGATATGACCCTTCCAGTCGGCAAATCCTGAATTCCATGATTATTATTATACCCCAACAACTCACAAAGCTGCTCGCCGACCAGGATCTCCGCAGCCGTAGAGAACGGACTAGCCTCGATGGCCACATTATTCGGATTATAAAGCATGGTCATAAAGTACCCCAGCAAAGAGACCATTGTACAATCGGTCGCCATATGCGCTTCATATCGTGGGGACCAGAACGGGACGGAGTGCTTGCCCATCAGATGTGCTGCCTTTTGGACTGCATTTCGGAAGTTTGTCGTCAGGCGAACGAACTCTTCGGTGCTGCGGATGTCTTCGGGGATGAATCTCTGTTATGGTACAAAAGGGGTGTTAATTATCGTGAGGGGGCTTTGGGAATGGGTGAGTCGTACCGGTGACTCAGGAAAGTAAGCATCTCTGGCGTTCTTTACTTCCGTTAGGATATTGTCGATGTTTGTTTTGAAGTGGTCGAGATTCTCCGCTCCAGGGCCGATGAAGTATGAGCTGATGGCTTGGTGGGCGATATCGTCGGGGTCTGTCATGGTGTCCTTTCTCTGAAAGAAAGGTGTTGAAAGAGTCGACTGGTAAAAAGGAAACAAAGAGCGCTCAGTTGGTATTACACTTTGAGTACTGATAGCCGCTTAGGGATACTTATATTACAAAAGCCCCTCTTATATGACGACCCAGCGTCTACTCTTCTTCCCGATAACGAGCGTCTATCAACCCCACTATTCTCAGCAATACAAATCATCTATCCCTCGGAGAGATTCAACCACACAAATTCTGTTTACTTGCCATGGCTTTCAAAGCCATGATGTAATGTCTGTCAGCGCTAGTCACCTGTGTTAGATATTGTAGAGAGAATATGAGCTTTTGTTATTATCTGTAAAGTACTTCAATTGTAAATACAGTTTGGATTTGGTAAAGGAAAGCAGAGGATCTTGAGCGTTGATCCATCGCTACAAAGGGTTCTCAAAGCAGATTCACACACGAGACCAGATGCCAACATACATACAACTTCAATTTTTAATCCTGCGGTTGCTTGAATCCTCGAACTACAATCTAATCACTGAGAGAATACACGCTAACCCCAATGCTGACACCTTACGCCATGCTCGTATGCAAGGCTAGTCAAGACCACGCCGAATCGAACCACGAGACCACGTGCGTCGCACCCGCCCAAGGTACACAGGTAATCTGTGTAACCAAGAATTCAGCTAGAACGAGCGCTGGTTCGTCCATGTATGACTGATGTAGGAAAAAGCGGAAGGATGGACATTGAAATGGGGTTTGTACAGCCAAGAAGAAAGTCTCACTGCAACAACTGCATCATCAAGGCATTGTGACCTAGCTAAGTACATCTACAGGGAAACAAACAGTCAGAAACCGGGTTGGTGCGTCGATTTTTCATCACCTCATCAACCCATTGAATGCAAAAAGTTGCATTGACCAATTTCTTCAAATACTTTACATGATCCATTTGAGTATCTGTCAAGCTTAAGAACTAGGATAAGTATGGGCTGGTGTCCTCATTTCGGGTGATCAGGTTTTCGATCATTGAATTCGTTGAATATCGTACTATTCCCTGCATGTTATCTTGTCATCTCGTCTATGACCTCCTTTTATGCCACAAAATTGAGCTAAGCCGTTCATTTCACTCATTTTCTACCCCTCTTTCCAGATTCAGTTCCACTCATCACTACTTTGAACGAGGACACAATAAGGTTACCCGCATATCATTGCTGTCGGTTCTTTGCTCGGCATATGCCGAGCCAAGCCGAGCCTATCGGCAGATGTGCCAAGACCCACATCCCAAAACCATAAAAGATGTTCTAGTGGATTTCTAGGACCAAGATAGTGGATATCTGGTTTAATGAGCGTTGATGCCTCATTGTGATTCAGAGAGGAATAATACTCGTGCAGGTTTGTAGCAGTCCCAACGTGCGCCGATCAATTCAGCAGATCATCATGACAGTAAATGACTCATCATGAACCAGCATGTGTCGGTACGTATAGAAGAAAGTTAAACACTATATAAGCCACACCCTATATAAGCCCTACCTGCGTTCGCATTGAGATAGTCGACTAGTCCACTGCCAATTTGATCTCGAAATTGTATGCGTGACACTACCCACACCACAGACGAACCTCAATCATCTACCACAATGGATCAATATAACACAAAAGAGGATATCCTCAAGCTAGGCATCATCGACCCGGAGCTCGAAGAGGTAGGCCAGCATAGAGTACTTTCTGAATACCTACTTACCAACCAGGTCCTGAAACATAACCCACCTCCAATCATGGACTTCTCGCAGCCTATCGAGCAACCGCGCCAAATAGTTTCGGCAATGGAAAAGGCAGCATACGAATCCTGTCCAACATTCGATACGCAGGAAACTACCATTGACATTCACATGCGCGATGGATATAAAAGCAACCTTCACATCGTCAAGCCCACGAGTTCATCTTCAGGCAATCCCGTGGTGGTTCTTGTATTCGGAGGAGGTTTCGTCATGGGCACAAACATCCAATCCATTGTCTGGGCCCGCACGATCGCACACCTGTACGGTGCTACTGTGGTCCAGCCCTCTTATCGCCTGGCACCGGAGCACAAGTTCCCGATAGCGCCAAATGACATATGGGATAGTGTGCAATGGATAGCCGCCAACGCGTCTGCACTTGACGCGGACCTAACAAATGGATTCGTCATTGGCGGCGGATCAGCCGGTGGAAACCTTTCCATTGTAACAGCGCATCGTTCCGTGAAAGAGAAGCTCTCTCCGCCCATCACCGGAGTTTTCGCCAGTATCCCAGTCTGCATGAGCGAGGAGACCGTGCCAGAGAAATATAAGGACCTGTGGGTATCTCGGGAACAAAACGCGAATGCGCCTGGAAATCCAGGTCTCGATTCAAAGTCTATCGGCGGATACGAGGCTCTATATCAGCAGGATTTCTTGTCGGAGGACTTTTCGCCCTTCAATTCGACAGCGCCATTTTCTGCGCTTCCACGGACATATATTCAAATTGCCGGGCTGGGTATTCTCCGGGACGACGGTTTGATATATGGAAAGGTCCTGAAAGACAATGGTGTTGAGGTGAAATTTGATGCTTACCCTGGTGTGCCGCATGGCCATTTTAATCTATGGCCACGCCTGGAACAGTCAATCAAGTGCCAGGAGGATACTATCTGGCATTTCGGATGGCTTTTAGATCGCCAGGTACCTAGGGAACGGGTGGAAGAGATTGTTGCTTTGATTGTGAAATGACGTCATCTTGTGAGTAGTTGAATTATGAAGTCAGTGACATTCATTTATCTGTCCTTGTTTCGTGGCAGGCTTGGTTTCAGTGTAAGCGGTTATTCCTAGAGCAGTCAGAAGCGTACTGAGGTTCTTGTTTCTTGTTCCTTTCCCGGTCAATGTTTCAACTCTGGAAATCACTCTATAACTAGATCTGCTCCAACATATCTATAAGCAATCGCTCATCACCCAAATAACCAGCACCTTCCTGTTCTTCCCCAACAAGAACGGTTGGTTGGATCATATACTCGGGCGTCAAACGGTCAAAATACCCCACTGGATCACAAAACGAGTCCGGATCAGGCCACTCCAGCAAGATAAGCGCCTGAATCAAACACGGCGGACGAAGAAAGATTTTGCGCTTACGGAATTCTTCCAGTCTAGGAACAAGCGGGATTATCTCGAAGAGCTTCCGAGCGAGAAACTCCCACACGAAGAGCGTCACACGCAGGATATCGAGTTTCTCGCGCAGCGGTAGAGGTCGCCGACCTGACCACTGGTCGTAGATAATGGTATGCCAGTGGTCCCGGGACCCGGGAGTGGGATACACGGTTGCTTTTGCGAGCGCTAGGGATTCTATGGAGAGCCAGTGAGCGGTCAGGGCTTGGTAGAATCGATGGTAGAGGAGTCGTTCTTGGTTACTGACTTGGTGAAGTGTTTGGTCGCAGAGTTGAAGAAGAGACGGGTTCCCCAGTAGACGGGGCTGTGTGCGCCACCATAGCGACCAGTCGCTCAGGTATATGCTGTAGATAGTACTGTTACTCTACAGGGAAAATAGAGAGCGCATACCATACCAACGGCAGAAGATCGCCCATACTTGTGTGTCGGATAGTTCATGTGGATGGTCTGGGAATAGTGCTTGGTTAAGCACATTTGGACCAGATCTGGGGATATTCTGCGCATTTGCGTCGAAGGGGTCTAGCGAGGAGAGGTAAGCTTAGTTATGGGAATGGAGAGTGGTCAGCTTCACATCATGCATGTGCTGACTTTGGTTCTGCTATGCAGAGATTAGTTGGCTGAGTCGTTCGTGAGGGCAATACGTACAATGATGACACGGAAGATATTCACACGCGGTAAGGAATTATTGAAGACGTTGTTTAGCCTTTTACAAGCTCTTCCGAGATGCAATGCATCGTCAATATCGTTAAGACTTTGATAAACGAGAGGCAGAACCTCTACAGGAAGGTCGACGATTCGCATGGCAATGGTACCGCAATATGTATGTGTATTTGCTTGGCACACGGTTCTCGGAACCCGAAAGGAGAGCATGCAGTGATTCACTTCGAGAATTGGCACCTTGCGTGAACCCTAAAGTAATAATAAAGAAGAGCATTCTAGATACAAGTGGTTTAAGAGCGGTACCACAACCAGCCAACCGTCGCTGCGCCTGACGGGAGAACAAGCCAAGTCAGCCACGGCTTGAGCAGCCCTGCCAGCCTTACCCAAAAAATTATATAATGAAATTTCGCAATGAAATCACCCTCGTTGACATGCGGGAATGGATGATCTGGCGTCTCTTTTACCTTCCCGATAAATTTACACAGGGGGTCCCAACCATCCTAGACCCTGAATTCCAACACCTCGCGGCCTCGCCTCCGCGCAGCGGCACATACCAGCTCATAATGGGCAGCATAGCCATCGGGCAAACGACTAGTGTTCTTCCAGTTGCCGTTAGTCCACACAGATAGTGGAGATCGGAGAAGTGGGATGTAGAGGCCAATGTAACTCTTGTAGAGCACTGTTAGCAAATAAGAGAACCCCAAAACGAACCATGAGTTGGGGGTACGTACCCGATCAACAAACTCCAAATACTTCCAGCGCTTCCAGCTGAGAATGGTGTAGAATGTGCGCTCCATGGAAGCCAACCAGGACTCGACGGGGCGAGCGGTCAGAATAATCCTTGCATCGGTATAGGCATCCATGAGCTCCTCAACAAAGAGAATACAGGGGATATCGGTAACCTCCTTGGACTAGTGTCAGCCACAGCCCACTCTCACATGAAAAGGGGGGTAGAAGTACAAATTCACATCGTAACGCCAAAGCATCTGGTCGAAGTCAGCACCGGAAAACTTGCGACCGTTTCCGTTGAATTTGGCATCGATTGCGCGATTCCATAGAACTAAGGAGTCGCTGTGCTGGTTGAGAATACATTCTGCCATGTGGTAGCAGTTGTATCCCAGTTCTTTCAAGGCAACGTAAAGAGCTTTTAGTTCAGTCAGTCGTAAATGGTACCGTGATTGCAGTGATTTATTGACATACACATAGTCCCAGTGCGGGACATGCCCAACGCGAGCACTTTGATCCTCTTCTCACGCTGAGCTGGGGGCTCCATCCGATTATATGGCACCGTAGGGAAAGGAATGTTGTCCATGGGGGGCAAGATGGGACAATCAAGGCTCGATAATGAACGCGAAGATGTGAGAGACTGGTAGTGAGACTGTTTTCCAAACGATGGGAACCCAGGATACTGATAGAGAACGTATGTACGTACCATAAGGCGCAGTTCTATTTAAGTTGCAGCAATTGACCCAGGTCTTTGTTGGTCCATTTTCTGAAATTTGTCCGCCCTATAGCGTACTGTACAACGTCACTAAGCCTGACACGTAAGTGACTTTAGTTTCCCCTCGTCCCTGCTAGGCTCTGACCAACTCTCAGGACGCAGGTTTCTCATTTCATCCTCACTAGCACAACTCGTGCTATTATCATGGCCCTTGTTCCGTTTCTGGTAGGCGTCTGAAGTCGTAACATTGGCAGTCAACCAGGCCCACAGGCGGGAAGGAAGAGTAAGTGCAAAAGGGGGCGGTATGTCAATAAATTGGCGCATAAGATAGCCATCCACAACTGTGCTGTCAGCGACTCATTACTAGTATGGACATTCACTGTGGCATGGTTAATCTGTGTTTGTAGCCCAAGGGTTTACACCGACGGCACCTACCAGACGACGAGGGATGATTGGCGATGATATCAATCCGAATCAAACCAATCACAGGAACCCTGCAGGTTTTTAATTAAGACACGGTATTGGTATAGATTGGAAGAAAGTTCTTACGTCCCACCCAATATAAAAATCAAACATAGTGAAACCCTTTGTTTCCGACCCAAATGCAGCCGTTTGACGACGCCGATCGGCATCAGCGCAATAACCAAGTCCTGGACGCAATTGATTGGCTGGACAATGTGGAAGAAAAGCATAAAGTCGATGCACCGCCCCAAAATTGTGTGATCCCAGAGCGCCTGCGGCGGGATACAGTGCAGGATCGTAGCAAATAAGCAGGCGATCATCCACGCCACGATGGACCCCCCAACTATGAGGTTCCAGATGCGAAATTTAGGGGTAGCAAACACCCGGTGGTAAAGGCAGACGATACTAAGCTTGGCAAAAGCGATGGTCGGTACCGAGAAAATGGGCATGATATATGACGTCTATGATCGCAGCCGTACCTGCTCAGCCTTGCCTCGTCAGGTTCCACGGCACCTTGCCTGTGGCGATGACTTGAGGTGGCGGTAACAGTGAGGATACAATTCCCAGACCTCCCTGAGTAGCACCTGCGAAAAGATTATAGTCAGTTACCCACCTAGTTGCAAAGAAAAGTATTCTTACCCCAAATTGCGGTGACAGAGAATCCCCATTAACATAATATTGAAGGCAAGATCATCCAATCATCCACTCCAAAACGGTACTCATTCTTCATACGAGCAAGAAAACGAAGGAAAACAGACAATGTCGCAACCGCTATTCCTGAGATGGAAATAGCAAGCCCGCGGGTCTCGTTTGCCCATAGGTCCACAGTTTCGGGACCAGCACCTCAATAGTGAAATGCGTACGATAGAGATTGTGAAGAAATAGCCAGAAGATGGCTGAAGCACGCGTTCCAATATCCCATATATATTGACGGGGGGGCGCTTCTGACGCACAGCTTGACCCATTTTGGCCCCCATTGCTTACATGCAGAATATCGTAGAGTTTCTCGACTAAATCTTACACTAGCGATACGTACCTGAGTGTAGTGCTGCAGATGCGCGGGCCAAATGAAATTGGTCCAACCACAAGAGCTTTCTGGCGGTAAGAGAATGTGATAAGATAGATAGCCTGGGTCGGCCGCCTGTTTATTAATTAAACCACCCCGGCGTCACGCCATATTGATAGAGAGAAACATCCCTGGTCACCGTGGTGAATACGTAATAGTTCGTATCAAGTAAGGGAGCGCATGGGTACTAGCTTGATGAAGAGGTAAAGATAAAATGCTGAAGAGCAGGAAAGCATACAGAAAGGTCCTTTAGTTTTATACCTATCATAGATCTCATTGATTAATTACTTAACGGGATATAGAATAGTATAGAAAAATCACAGAAGACTACCCAAGTGGTAGGCCTCGCAACCTGGCACTGACCAGAAGAAATGTTGCCAGCCTATGTCATCAAGGAACAGCGAACCTCGAATTGGAATGCCTCAAGCGTTTTCATCAAAGTCATCAAATGGGAAATGGTCCTTAACTGCAGCTGCTTCAGATGGGGTAACTGCGGCTTTGAGCATCTGGGCTTTCATCTCCCACGCCCATGCCACCGCGGCATCATATTCATCATTTGGTACCCATCGCATAGCATCGACACCCAGTGCCTCTTGCATTTGCTCCATCGCAGTATCTGCTTCTTTTTGGCGCATATCAAGGGCAAGCGTGTCTTGAACAACCTTTTCTGAGTACTCGACAGGGGGAGTAGAGCACGCCCCGCTACCATTTACCCCGGAATCCGCCGAGAACTGGGTCCAATTCTGAATGATGCGTATCATCTCAGCCCTCAGTGTAACTGAATCACCTTCCCAGGGCGTTCCTGCACCCTTAAAAAGCCGCTGACGTAGTATAGTAGGGTTGTCGAATATCGCATCGTAGTGTTCCTCATTCATCCGCTTAGTAAACGCAGCGTAGAGGAAATGGACCACTCGTTTCCGAACAATTTCTCGAGCAAAGGCCTGCTCGGTATGCGAAAGACTGTCATAATTCGATGGAAGGGCAAGCCGAGGCTCTCTGAGATTGTCTGATTCTGGGTCACCGTAATTTTGGAAATGTTTCGGTATCCAAGCTGCAAGACCCAATGGCAGGATAGTGGAATGTTGCCAGTCAATGAATCCCAGGATTTCCTTTTTCTCGGATACGAGAATGTTATTCGGCTGGAAGTCAGGGTGGCGCAACACTGGCCGGTGTAGCGCCGTTCCAGCTTTGAAACCAAGATAAGGCACCATCGAGAGATAATCGCAGAGGTTTTTAAGGTGGTCATCCGGAGCAAGGTTTCTAAAATGGTACATCCCCCTATATAGACGCTCATATGGTTGCCGGGGTTTCGCGTAGTGTTTAGTCCAAGCCAGCTCTCGTTCACCAACGGCCCGGAATATGTCGACCGAAGACAACCCTAGTTGGGGTCAACAAGAAACGGCCATAATAATCGTTCGTCATAGGAGGCTTTACTTACACGGGCCCCTATCAAGGTCCAACGCGCGCCTATGCCCATGCCACCAACTATAATGTGCTATTGGACCTATACAGAAGGCAGCATCGCGCTCGTCAGGCAGCGGAAACCTCTTCTCTGACTGGAGATCATTGTGGTAGTACAGACTTCCAAATGCGGGAAATTCCAACGACATTAGGCGTGCCTCCCATTCGACAATCTGTTTCATAATCCCATGCTGCTCCTTTGGTGTCATGGAATACCATATATCGCCAAGGGGAGTGCCATCCACTTTTTCCATGATTATATACTCAGAGCCGACGGGGTTCGTTCTTTTCGAGCACCACGCATACACCTTAGGGGTTTGGAACCCATGCAGACGAAGATAAGCCAGAGTGGCTACCTCGCTCGCGACGGTATAATGTTCGGGCGCTGTGGACGGATACGGTAATCTTGCGAGAACAGATCGTCCGTCACTGAAATTGGCTTGGAAGATCCTGTTGAACCCACCTTCTGCCAGTTTAAAAAGGAGACGATGTCGGAGGATGTTCGACCAGACGCAACGGCAATAGCGTCTTGAAGGGCAGACACATTGAATTCGAGATAGCGTTCTGACAGCCGTATATTTTCATTGAAACTGCAGACGTCAACTTGGATCCACGTCCGCTGAGGAAAGATGCATACATCCATCTCCCAGAAGTATACCTAAACAACTCATTGTTGGGATCTTCGGTGGAAGGCGTCATGGTTCCCATGGATCGAGTGCCAGGTCTTTGGAAACGCATGGGCCGAGCCCGTAGAGAGCTAAGAACATTTCTTATTCGCATAATGTGGCAAGGCGGTTCCTTCAACCCGACATGACCGTACTACCGATTCGTGCCTCCGGGAGAATGGGAATCGGTCAACCCTGCCTTCATCGCTGGAAAGGGGCTGGACAGGTATTATTTCGAGGGTGGATGAAGGTTCCTCCGGTCGGCGGCCGATGGCGCAGCAATAGAATCCCTTGGCTCCCTCTTTACATATCAGAGCATGAAATCCAAATCCATCTTCTGTCTGCTTCCTTTCCGGTTGTGCGTAGATTTGGAACGAAACGATTTGGTTGAGATGAGCTTTGAATTGATCAATCGCTAAATATTTGGCTTACCTATGTCTAGTTAGGGGAGGAAAGATAATTCACAATGAGCGCCAATGAACCACACATCTAGTAAATACATACAAGAGACCTATAAGAGCATATTCCAGCCAAATGAATTTCTGTTGCAGCAAAGGCCGCCTCCATCAGCTGGACATGCATACACCGAAGCCAGGTCGCTTTTTGAAGGATATGGAAAATTGAAAAAAGTGTTCGGCCAGATAGTCTTTGGTAATAAATCGGATCATAGATAGGTGCAAGTTCCTATCATATGTGATTCTATTCATCACGAACTCGGACGTGACCAATTGACAACAGCGATCGCATCAGTTCGGTATGTTGATAATACAGCATGTTTGGAGTATGGCCCTGCGAAGCAGCGCATTTCTGCTAAACTGCATCAACGTAAATACCGGCTCAAGCCCATAGCAAGAACACAAATCAACCTACATCGATATGTCACACCTTTCAAAGGTGCTCTGTCCCACAACCTCCCCTTCTAAATTCCCAACTTTTTCTTCGGCCAAGTCCACGCCCCTTCTAATCGAGGATCACCCAAACGCAAGTCCCTCAGCAACTCTGCCCCCAGAGAATTAGCCGAATTCCGAGCCCACCAAAACTTCCCATCGAGTTCATTCAGAAGAACAGCCCAGTGCATTAACACCAAGAGTGAAATAGGCTGACGGCCTCGCAGCGCATGCACAAACTCCTTATCCACCGTCGAGAGCCACGAAATGACCGACGCGGCGTCATGCGCATGAGCAAAGCGCCGATAACAGCGACGCAGCAGTTCAATGGCATCATTCATAATACGATGTTGGTCTGGGTCTGTATTATTCAACATGAGATCATTAGTGGCGGTTAATTGCGTAAACGAGGATTCTGTATCCGCGTCCAGAGAAGCGTAGGGCACGTCGAAGAAGCCGCGACGAGAGGTGAAGAAAGTAGTCTTCAGCCAGGGGCGGCTGATCTGGAGGATGTTGCTGACACCCTGCAGGAGTTCGAACACGACGAAGATGTTCTCGGTCATGGTGGTGCTTTTGATACGGTCGGCAGTCAGCTGGGGGAGGGCGATGCCGATGACGGTGGTGATAATAGCGTGCGCGAACACCGCGTCGCAGTTGATCGGGCTGATATTGTCGATGGCTTGGCGGTAGGGCGCTGAAGCCTGATTATGGTACTCGAGGGCCGAATCGATATAGGATAGGGCTTCTGGCGAGTCGATCGACGCGGCCGTGTGCAGCGAGGCGACGGCCAGCAGGCCGTTCATGAGAAAGTCGAATTCAAGAGCCTTGCGCGGCAGAAACATCTGCCAGACCTGGTAATCGGCGGGTTCATTGCTGAGACTCTGGTAGGTCTCGGTAGAGTACTTATGCATCAACTCGAGCTCTTTTTTACGCGAGAAATTAGGCGGACTGGTCGTGCCGGCGACCGTGAAGGCATGGCTGGCAGCTTCGAGGTGCCGATGCGCGGCGTGCGACAGGGGGGCGGGACTGGCGGAAGAGGAATTGGCGACGGTGCGAGCGGCCGCCTTCCTTGTATACGTGCAATGCAGTTCGCGAGAGATGCAATTCGAGCAGGGTGGGCCTCGCTCGTCACACTAGACATGTTAGGTCCGTGAGAGAGAGGAGGATATCTCCAGCCGAATTACCTTGACGCGTCGCTTCTTGCATTGATCGCATCCGTTGCGTGACTTGGTATGCGCCCTTCGCGGCGCCATCCCGAATGGCCGACGACTCCTAAGGGCAGGTAGCACAACCCATCAGGGACAAGGAGACATAATTGGCGATGAATGACGTTGAAAGACGGAGAAAATCACAGCCGCGTGGGGAGAGACACGTGGGGGTGCGTCACGTGGGTCTCTAAACCAACAACAGTCAGGCTGGGCCTCGATGTAGATTTTACATTGTGAATATCTACGGAATGGATCTAGGCAGCATTCATACCATGCAGAATTGAAAAGATCGGCCGACTGAGTGGGATATCTGGACAATGACAGGCAGCCACTTCTGTCAGTATGGAGTATACGACGCAGATCAGCCAGGAGAAAGAATATCTTCTAGAACGCTGTCATTCTGATTGGTCCCCCAAGGAAACCAGCATTCAGCCTCAGAATCAAACATCCAGCAACATTTCAAATTGACTGTCATCCCTGAAACCCCTGTCCTTTGAGGATAACATGCACCCAGGGCATGGATATTCTTAAAGCATAACTCCATCCCCTGCATTTACAATCCAATGCACAATGGCAATTATCATTGACGAGGCCTCGTTCTCGGTTTCGCTTACTGTCGTCTGCCTATTCCAGCAGCCTCTACACATCGCAACCGCTCCAGCCCCAGGGACCGGCGTGTAAGCACAAATTGACAAGCCGAGAACGAACCGACCACCCTTGAACCCTTGGCATTGCAGACGCAGCCGCCAAAATTAAGTTGAACGCATACAGGCGTACATCCGACACCCACGTTAGGACATTAGATCTGGATCGCATCGATAACAGAACCTCCTTCTCGTAAGATATTGCAACGGCTCAGACCGCAGGGCCCGTGGCGCCCCACATGGCTTCCTATCGAGTGGATCTTCCATCATTCCAGATCTTTCTAACAACGCTGACTGGTGGACAACTCGCTCTCGCTCTCGTTTTCGCTCTCGCCTTCGCGTTCGCACAGATTAGGCAAATGCCAAGCGCAGCACGGACTGGACCCTACATGGATATGAAATCAACTCTGTTGGCTTAGGCTTGGGAGTCGAACCTAGCTACCGTATTACGGCATACTACGGACTACGGGGGAGGCTTACATATCGGGCTGGATTCGTTTTCTCTTTTCTTTCGTCTTCGTCTTTCTTTTCTTCGGTCGTGTCATCCTTGGGTTGGCAGATTGATTGATTGTTTGATATAAAGGTTTGCAGGACCTTGTTCATTCGGAGATTTCTTTCTTTCTTGTCTTTCATTCGTCTACTAGATTGTCTGCTTTGCATAGCGACATTGTCTTTTTTCCTTTCCCTTTTCATCTCGAGTCATATACTACCCACGCAGTACATTCGCCATCCACCACACGGCTCCTACCTCGCCATACAACGAACCCTCAGACCGATCTCCCAAAATGAGCACCAAAACCTGCCTCGAAGTCTCCCCCTCCTGCCCCGTCACCGCAACAACATACGGCTACTACCCGAACCTGGGCGGCAACATCTTCTTCACCATCATCTTCGCCCTCTGCGGCGTCGCCCAACTCTACTTCAGCCTACGTTTCCGATCCTGGACATTCGCCATCGCCTTGATAATCGGCACATTCCTCGAAATGGCAGGGTATATCGGCCGGATCCTCATGCACTCGAACCCGTGGGACGCCGGGGCATTTAAACTGCAAATCGTGGCGCTGGTGCTCGCGCCGAGTTTCATCGCCGCGGGCATCTATCTCACCCTGAAACATATCATCTTGAATCTGGGCAGTGAGTATTCGAAACTCAAGCCGAGGCTGTTCACGTGGATATTCATCGGGTGTGATGTTGGTTCGTTGTTCTTGCAGGCGGCGGGGGGTGGAGTCGCGGCGTCTGCGGAGGATGATCTCGATATGACGACGACGGGGAATAATATCATCATAGCGGGGATTGTGTTCCAGGTTGTCACGATGGCGGTGTGTGGGGTCCTCGCGGTGGACTTTTTCGTGAGGGTGTATAGACGCGGAGGGGGGTTTTCGGCGGCGGCGGCGGCGTCGCGAGGTGAGAAGATGGTGAGGTTGGATGAGATGCGCGGGGTGGAGTCCCGGGTTGAAGGTGCCGATGGGAATGGGGTGCTTGTGCAGGGCGCGGCGACTACGGCTGGCGAGGGCGTCACGGCGAGACAGTTGAAGATTGTCGTGGTGGCGGAGATTGTGGCGTATGTGACGGTGTTGATTCGGTGCATTTATCGGTATGTCTCTCTCTCTCTCTCCACATGGACACATCTACCTTCTCCTCCATGAAATGCAAAAAACCTAGAAAAGACACTGATATCAAATGATATAGAATCCCCGAAATGGCCGGCGGATGGGGCAACCCGCTGATGCAGCGCGAGGACGAATTTCTAGTTCTTGATGGGATGTGAGTATCTTTCTATTTTCCCTTCCCTTCCTCCCCTCATTCCTTCATACCATCAATATATCGATATACTAACTAAATAAGGATGATTGCTATCGCCTGCATCACACTCACAGCCTTCCACCCGGGTCTATACCTTCCTTCGTTGCGAAAGGGTGCTTCGAACAAGACATAGGTATGAAAACTATATAAAACTATATAGGATAGATGGACGATAGAGAACATAGTAAATATAGAACGTGATTAAGGAAGCGAAGCAGTCGATAATCGATAATATTAGAATGCAAAGACAACATCGCAGTCCAAATCAATCATATATATTATCCATAGAAAAACCGCAAAAGACGATGCATGACGATTAACTCCAACCAAAATAACGAGCCATCATTCAAAGATAACGCGGAAAGAAAATCCAAAGATCTAACGACCTCAAATGCAAAACAAGAAGACTTGACATCGAATAAAAAGCGCCATCAACGCACTCAAAGCCGAACGTAGCCATAAAAAAACCATAAATAGAGATAACCCGGCCCAGCAAGAAGGGCTTGAAAGGATTACTCATCCCCCAGGCTCTCCCTCACGCACTTCCTCACCTGCTTCTTAAACTCCTTCGGATCCTCTCTCCATAGCCGCGCCGCCTCCACGTTAGCCGGGCTCTCGTCGTTGGGGCTCGACAGCATCGAAATGACAGACAGAAGGATCGTCTCGGGCGTTTGCACGGGACTCCAGCGCTCCGAGGCGGATTCGTACCCGTATTTATCTTCCTCGGGGGGGTGCAGGATGGAGATGCAGACTTCGCCGCTGGGGTAGACTGGTCGATCTATTAGCATCTGTTGTATTCATCTCTGTATCTATGGCCATCATGCGGGACATATATCGCATTCCCACATCCCAGCACATCGACACAGACACCCAAATAACCAACCAGACAAGGAAAGAAAGAACATACTATTCGGATGAAAAAGCGACGGTTCGAATTTCATCTTCGGCGGCATATGAGGATACTCCAGAGGAAAGGAGAGACGAGCCCGAAAGAAACCACCTAGACAACACACATACCCATGATCAGCCACTTATCTTATCTCGTATCCCGCAAATCCAGCCATTCCAGACCTAGAAACTCACCGCCATAAAGCTTCACGTCATCCGAAATCATAAGCATGACCTCCCATTCGAAGACATTACTATCGACCAGACCGCAGCTGATCCCGTGGGTGTTGTCGGCTTGCATCTGCTGCAGCTGTCGGGACAGCATACGACCTGCGGGGGTGGTGGCCATGGTGGTTGTGAGGGGTTGTCGAGAGTTAGGATAGACGGATTTGAGGCGTCGGGGACGGTCGGGTCGATGGAGATGTAGTGGAGATGAGGTGTCAGATCTGACAAAGTGTTATAGACCCATACAGAGCAAAGCAGTGGGATGAACAGAAGGAGGCGAAATCCAGGGACTGTTGAGAGAAGTGGGGGACAAAGATTGCGCTGATGAGAGAGGGCAAGACGGTCAGGGCGGTGAGTTCGCCAAGTGGGGTGGGCGGGGCGCTCCTCAGGCACCCGGACTAGCCTCTTACGGGGATTCGAGGACCTGGTGGGTGCATTTCTAATGGAAGACACGAGAAGTTGAAGGTAAAAGAATGGGCATTCGTGTAGACTAGGCTATTCACAGGGATTATTCAAAGTTTCTGGTAATACATCGGACATGCAGCAACATCGCTATGACATCAGGTGATTATCAATTCGGTGGCGTCATAGGGGAGGGAAACCCCCTCGCACAACACTCAGACCAAAGTCCACCTCACGCAGCCAGTCCACGAGAGACAACCTTCAGGCTATCCTTGAACATGTAAGCCTGACCAGCGAGCACCAGGGTAAAGAAGGTAGTAATGGCCATCTGGATGGCAAGGGCCTTGAAGATCGCCTTGAAGTAGCGGGCTCGAGCAGCGCCGTCAAAGGTCTTCCAGGCGCCCGAAATGCTCAGTCTGCCGCTACCGCCCAGGATGGCCGGTACCACCTTTCCGCCAAATGACCGGTCGAAAGGCACGATGGCCTCGTCCTCCTCGGGCAGCATGGACGCCGCCACGCGGATGAAGACCGCCCGAGCCGGCATCGACACCAGCAGGGCAAACAGAAAGGGGATGGTGACGGCACCAGCCACCCGCGCGGCAGTGCCAAGGTTGAGGTCGGCTTCAGTCGTGGGCCAAATACGGAGCGACGGGATGGACGAACCGACCATCAAAGGCAGGAAGAAGGCACCGGCAACGACCGCCTGCTCAAAGGCATACACGGGCGCAATGTTGACCCAGCTCTTGTATCCGGGGATGCGCTGGTAGAAGCGCTTGGGAGAGGGCTCGGAGATGACAATGTGGATCCAGGCGAGGTGCAGGTTGGCGAGCAGAATCCCAACGATCATGCGGACGATGAACTGGCCGAAATAGTTGGACATGGATACGGGAATCATCGAACCAAGAATACCCTGGGCGTTGAGAAGCACGACGAACATGGCAAACCCACGGAATCGAGACCAGAAGCCGGCGCGGGCGCGCAGGTGCTTGATGGTCGTGCGCAGCTTGCTGGTGATGGGACGAGGAGAAGTCACGACGATCTCGGCATCCGCGTCGGCAGGGTCGATGGGCTTGGTCGGGTCCTGATCGGTATCGATGCGAACAAAGATGTCGGGGTTCGAGTCCTCGATGGCAGCCAGCGTCGGGACCAGCATTCCGTAGGTGTAGTCCACCTGTATATATTAGCCGGGATTCATCAATATTAGGCTTTCAGGCTTACCGCTATGATAGAGAAGATGAACGCGATGACGGTAAAGCAAAGCAGGCCGGCCTGCCAGCCTTGGAATTCGATGGATCGGCCGTCGGGGTTACCGGCCTGCTCTTGGATGAGCTCCATGCCCCTTCGAACGAACGAGTGGGCGATCATGGCGATGTAGTCAATATAAGACGATATACGACGATAGTATAGCACGATGATACGGTCGGGGATGAATATAGTGATGAAAGAGAAGGGAGAGACGGTAGTTGGATGGACGAAGAGAGAGGATAAAGGAGGACGAGGCGAAACGACCGAATTTAGTAGGCGGGCGGGCGAGGCAGCAACGCGGCTTAGCGCAGGCAGCGACGGGGCGATTTGTTCTTATCGGAGGTCCGTGACCTCATCCATTTCTTTTCAGCCTTTGGTCGGGCTTTTTGTCGCGCTAATCTATTGTAATACTCCTGATGCCAGATTTTACACATTTATTGCGAAGTATTTGTCAAGTCCATCCATCTGCCTGAGTTTTCCTGTTTCCCTTCAGCCCCGAGAATTCGCCCCAAGCAAACTCCGATCAGGGTCGATCTAGCCGAATGCAGTAAGTCGCAGCCTTCCCTCTGAGGCAGGGAAATGAGCCTCGTATCGGATCGGGCCTCGCCTATTTCTCCAGTCACCTACAATCTACTAGATATGGGCTAGACTAGTTCAAGTTCAAATAATCTCAAAATACCACTCATCAGCCAAATGCTTCGAACTGTGGGTATTCCTGGCCACCAATCTAACCAGTCTATTTACAATAAGGGTAGCGAGAATCAACACAATATAAAGCCAGAGAAAAAGAAGGAAAAAGCTTAAACACAAAAATTAAAAGTAAAAGAGAAAGAGTTTCTGCACCTAGATACTGATATACTCAGGATTTTAGCTTAATACAGATTCATATGTTGGTCTATGATCGGGGCAAGGTAAATCCCTCCGTATATAAAAGGCAGCATCCCATTCCCATCCCTCCGCACTTCCTGTTCTTTCCCCACACCACCAGATGAACAGGCACGAACTCCAATCCCCAGGGGCCACCCACTTCCCCAGCCATTCCTCTATATCAGCATAAGAGCATCATACTTGCCATATTGTCAAACGGTCGCAATCACAGATGCCTAAATACTAGAAGAGTCACCACCCCTGCCAGTAACTCCTACTAGTCCAGAGATGGATAATCCATTTATATAAAAATCAACCCATCCACGCCAAGATATCACATGTGATCTGTCCATCCACGTGCCTTCCTTGCCCTCCATTCGAGCGCATTTAGGCACGAACTATAAACACTAATCCGGTCCGGAATAGACGCCAGAATAATTGTAGGAATTTTAGGTGCCAGGGGTAGGCTACCGAAGTGGAAGAAAAATGAATGAATTGCTTGACTTGTTGAAGCTTGCTTGAATGCTAACTAGGGGGTAGGAAGGCCCTTTTTATCTTCAATATCACGTGGTCTTCATGGCCGATTTCATGGAATCTTCCGCTTCATATAGAGGCTTTTCGGAACTTGCCTTTAGCGAGGGTTTGGCGGATTGCTCGAAGCACCTGATTCTTCCACAATAATCATTAACCGACTTATTTATATACCTACTTAAAGCTTATCATCACTTGGAGATGAACAACGCATAAGTAGTTAGAACAGCGCAAGCAGTGCCTCAACGAAATAGTTTTGTGTTGGTCGGTCAAGGCAAGCATATATATTTTCCTAGTCTTGGCTTGCAGCAACCAAAATAGAAAAAGTGGTTCCAATGAACTCAAGCTTCAAGCTTCCAGATCATGCAGATATGCGCATAATAGATAATAAAAATAGAACATGAAAAGGATAGATAGGACTTGCTTGTTCCGAATTTTCTGTTCCTCGTCCATCCATCTCGATAGGAACAAATCAAAAATGATTAGACTTATTCGTGCATAGTAGGCCTATTAATACGAGAGAAGATGATAAATGGCAATGAATGAACGAGCTCAACCAGACTAATTAGATTCAGCAAGAAAATGTCATCCGAATGTTACACATGAAAGGGTTGGCAGGTGGCAGCTCAAGTTTTTAGTATCACATGCTGTCTAGAGCAGTCCACCAGAAGTTCAAAGCTTGTGCAACACAATCATACTCGTGGTACTCATGTACATGCAACAGGTTTCTTGTAGTACCGACCGGAGAATTTACAGTAACAGATTCTACATTTGTCCAGACTAAACAAAATATAAATTAGATGCTCATTAGTCCGTGCTGGCTTAGCTCCGGCCAAGTCGCACTATTATCTACTTGTCATTATACCATGACCCGTAATTAGCATATACAGTACAGAAAAAAGGTGTCCCATCCGCGTAGTTCATCAACCGTGGATAACAAAACATGCACGTAGTGGCTTGACTCATAACGCCGTTTCCGTGTCCCAAGGAAATTTGGTCATAAGGCATTTAGAGAACAAGGAGAGCAGCCAGGCCCAAAGCTCCAAGGGCACCGCCGCTGATGACGTTGCGAGCAGCGCCAGAGTCGGCGGTCTCGGAGCTGGAGGGAGCAGTCTCGGTGGAAGTGCCAGAGCCGGAGCCACTGGTAGAGTCCGAGCCGGAGCCGGAGCCGCCAGAGCCGCCGGTGCTAGTGGCAGTGGTCAGAGTAGTACCGCTGGCGTTGGTGCCGGTGGTGTTGGACACCTGGTATTATTAGCATGAGTATAACATCACAAACCGAGGAAAGCTTACAGTCTGGGAGCTGCCGGTGGCAGTGGAGGAAGCGCTGGTGCTAGTACCGGTGACAGAGCCGGAGTTCGTGCCAGTGGCAGTGCCAGTCGCGGTGCCGGAGCCGGTAGCTCCAGTACCGGTAGCACCAGTGCCAGTAGCGTCGGTGCCGGTCGCGGTACCGGTAGCAGTGCCAGTAGCAGTACCCGAAGCATCAGTGCCAGTCGCGCCGGCGCCAGCACCGCCAGACTTGGTACCGGTAGCAGAGCTGTCGGAAGCAGTGCCAGTGGAGGTTCCGGTGGAGGAGCCAGCCGAGCCTAATCACAGTCAATTCCAACCCTCGACAACGATATAACAGGAGACATACTGGAGTCGGGGCAGGCGTTCAGAGCAATGTTGACGACAGCGTTGGAGTCATCGTCAGGGCAGGCCTGGGCGGTGCAGTCACGGATACCGAACTTGTAGTTGTCGGCGTTGCAGAGACAAGCCAAATCACCGCTCTTGCAGCCCAATTCGGAGGCCTTGTCGTTCATGTTGTTGATGCACATGCGCTAGAAGACAAAATTAGACATTGATCGACATGAGGTCTACACGTCGACATACCGCGCACTGGCCAACCGAGATTTCGGCGGTGACCATGCTGGCGGCGGCCAGCAGAGCCATGGAGAGCGAAAAGGTCTTCATGATGTTCGTGGTAAGATTGAACGCGTGTAATGAGAACTGAGTGATGTCGATATGAGTTAACCCGGGCTGGGACTGGACGGGAGGCGAGCAGAGAGCAGATGGATGGAGAAGAAAAAAAGTAGAAGGTTGGATGGATCGTCGGGGGGAGAGGCAGGATTTAAAAAGGCAGGAACCAAGGTGGAAATCACCATTTAAAGGCCCTGTCGGGGAGCAAACCAAGCTCTCGGTGATTCCATGGCCGAGTCTGTTTAGGTTTTTGTTTTTGATTTATTTTTTTGGTCTTCTCTGTTGTCTCCAATTTTCCTCGACGAAATGGCGATCGTCACTGGCTCGCGACCAGAAATTCCCAGGTCTGGTACCCAGCCAGGCCAGCCAACGTGGCTCACTGGCCGAGGGAGAGAAGGGAAACGCCACGGGCCAGGTTCCAATGCCGGGTGAAGTCATCGATCATTTCCACCATCATCTTAGCCTGCAAGGTCGAATCCCAGGGTTTCAGGACCCATCGACCCTATCGGCCCAGCCGCGCGGACTCCATGGCGATCCACCAGCGACCTTGCGTGGCTGCGGTGATAGGCGCAGAGGCTTGATCCCCACGGGCTTGACTCGATTTATTGGGGCTAGTGGATAATAGTTTTGGTGGGCTTGAGATCGCTGCTCTGGTAGTCGGGTTAATCCATGGATATGAAGGATTAGTGCAGTTGAGATTTCAGATCTGCGGAAAAGGAGGCCGACGCGGAATGATTGTTGAGGATGGATGCCATGGTATGCAGGATACAATAGGAGGGGAAGAATAACATGGGAGTGTACCACTGAGTGTGACAATGTGCAGCCTACTCCGACAGAGGACAGCAAGCAACGGACAGAGACAGTTGGAGGTCAATGACGCATCGAGCCCAAAGAAAAGGCCACCGCTTGAGTGGCTGAAGCCTGCCGGGCCAGCCACAGATATTCCACTAGTGTCCACTGTATTCCCGCCACCCACTTGGACTTTTCGGCGCGTTCAGATTTTTTCTTGTTATTATTATGAGGTAATTCGGACCTGTTGATATGGTGACCACCCCCATATGTTGGTCCTGTTCTTCATGAGAGGTGACACAGTGTCGGACATGCTATGAAGTACAAACTGCTCACCGCCTTCGAATGATTCCCAGCCTCTGCAATTTGCAATTGCAAACATGTCTGGTATGTAGGGGATGGGACTACCTAAGGGAGTATGGCAGACGATTCCTGGCGATGGCTAGCGGAATTACCAGCCGCCGCAAAAAGGACGAGCGGAGAAGCGATCAAGCTCTTCTCCGTACAGCGAGACTAACGCAGCACCGTTCGACTTGCCTGATCTGTGGCGGTGCGCTGATCGTTGCCTCCTCGGCCGGTCGGTCGCACTCCGTCTTGGTTCTTCTCCACGACGTCATCAGCCGGCGATCCCCGATTTTTTCTTTCTTGACCTACTATCAAATCTGAACTCTCGAGTTTATCAGGTTGTCTACTCATTAATTGGTTCCGATTCTGAGTTCTGGGTCTGACATAGCTGTCTGACCTGAGATCACATCCGAAATGATTCTGCCTAGTTCTGATACTCCAAAGTCTGGAAAATTCGCCCCTGTCACTCCTCGCAGGTTCTTGGCGCACATCAACAAGCTGTAGCTAGTGCAGCACAGGGCACTCGGCGGGGAAAATCCTGGAATGGGCTGTTGGTGTCCTGCTGGGATCCTGGATGGTGTGGTTGTCCTCCATCTTGACATGGCAGTTACATCACATCGCCTGCCTACGGAATAAACTTTGATGCAGCTGGCACTGGGCTAGACAGAGTACACAGTAGCCTGGTAGTCTGTGATGATCCCAACCTAGCCAGTAATAGAAGTTCCATTTCCAGCGAGTAACAGGTGTCGGTTTGGTCTGTCGATTAGCCTCGACTCTGCCCTACGAGGATGGTGGCTTGAGTCTCCGCCCTCCCCACTTACTTGGCTTGGTTCTTTACATGGGTATGACTGATGCTCTGTTATTTGATTCTGCAGGGAGCTTCACACAGCAAGAGTTCATGACGTACTGCGAGTGTCCAGACTGACCACAGGGCTTCAGCATATAATTTAGGCTGCGAGACATGCATACTTGCAACAGACGAAATAAACGTCACAAGTGGTCTTGGGTATAAGATAGAAGTATTATGGGCTTGACTGCGATATCAGATTAACAGTTAGTGGATTGCATGCCAGGAAACCAACGTACATGTTTGATCGTTTTAGCCAATGTGTTCGAGTGGATTAAATGACCTACCTAGAGCTATGATCGTGATCTCGCAGATAAAACAATTATTCCTGAGTTTGCCAATCAATATTCAACGGACTGGCTCTTGTTTACCCATCTTCATGAAATCCGGCAACTACACAGTATATCTCTAATATTGCCCCTTTCCTGCAAGACTTCTTCCGTCTACCACAACATCATTTCTACTCAAACAAAACCTCAGAACCCCGCTAATCTAGCTCACCCCTCCATCAAGCAACAGAACAAAAAGGGGATGCCCACCCCGCCCACCTCAAACCCAACGCAAGGGATAACCTAATAGGCAACATTACCAAACAGATCACAATCCTTCAAATCCAAGACGAGCCAATAAAACAGCACACATAACCCCTCCTGTTTGAGGCATCTCATACGAGACGTCTAATTAATGTCTCATGTAACATGAACGCATTCCACTAGCCCTGTAGATCCCATTTCCATCAAGATGAATGTTTCAAGTCAGATTGTGGAATAGAATGATGATTAACAATACAGGGCTGTCCATCTGTAAGGGGTCTGACTACCTATCTGTGCCTAAATCTGAAACATGCGTTCATGTAGGATCGTGCTTCGATGCATATTCTGCGCTGCTATGCTCTGCGCGGCGCTTCTCTGCAGTGGAAACTGGGAACTGGCACTTTATCTTGGAACTTAAGGTTTGATGAAGGGTTTGGTTATCTGTGGAAGGGTGTTCGCATGGTCGGAAATAGTCTAGATCGTGGTCTAAGTATAGATGGGTTTAGGTTTGTTGATGGCGTTCCTTGCGTTTTGGTTTTGAGGGGTTGTTTGGTTGGTCAGGTGGAGATTGGAATCGGCGATGAGTTCGGAGAAGGTGGTGCATGTATGGAATTAGTGATATAAGAGGGGAGAATTCTTCTGGCCGCAAACGATCTATATTCTCATTCTCCTAGAGTCTCAACTCGGACAGTAAAAGCTAGATTGGATTGAATAACATGGCATGAGGTGAGTATATTGTAGCGGATTATCACACTGCCATTCTACTCCATAAGATGGGACTATGCCTTGAATTAGACCAGAAACGCACCCCCAAGAAGCACAACCATCCCCATAGCATAATCGTTTGCCCAGGTTCCAGACATTAGTTGATTGGATCGGCTATGCTCAAGCGGTCAAGCCCCTAAGTTGTAGGCGATTGAATGCCTGAGGCAAGCTGCCAAGCATATCGCCGTTTGCTTACCCCTCAAAGGCACCTTTTACGAAGACAACATCATGGAAGACTTTGATCCTACATTACCAATTAACCAACTCAATTATTAGCCTTACTTGAGATATCCATCCGTTCAAGTCTGTCATCGCTTTGACCATTGCGGCCTCCCGGCGCCTAGAACGTCTATAGAGCGATGATACTTGATACAATCTTCAAGATGACTTCCACGACATGGGTGGAGGGGGAAGCAAACGGAAATGCCTTGCAGCTCAGGCATCCAACATCCACCATGCAGGTCACCTGCCTTGCTTGGTCATTAGCTCATTTCTAAGTTAACGGCAAACAGTCCTTAAGGCTCTCTGTACGTTGAACCCGTCCAGAAAGAACGTATATTTTTGTTTCCGGAGGGGTCGGTTACATACTTAGTGGGGACAAATTCTTGGTACGCTAAAGTGCCAAGAAATATGAGAAAGTTAAGTATTGGTTACAATCCAATCCTCCTAGTCGTAAACCACCACAACGAGATGAAGCTTACCCTACTCCCCAATGAAGCGCTACATATCGTTGCATCCTATCTCCCTGGTCAAAAAGATGTCTATTCCTTAATCAGAGCCAATCGTCACATATACTACGCGCTTATTTCTTTTCTCTATTACTTCAATAGCCGCTACCATCATGCGTCCGCCCTCTCTTTCGCTGCAGAACACAAAAATATCACTGGAATAAAATATTTGATGAACAGCCTACGAGCTTCCATTGGAAAGTACCGATCTCCTCCATTCCAGTCGGAGTCCCGGGGCATATTGTCACCGGAGGTGGAACTGGAAGACAAAGACGAAGACGAAAACGAAGAGGATTGGATAGACGATGAAAGGGACTTTTTCCTAGATTCCTACTGGGTTGACATTGCGACTCACCCACTATATAATCAGGGCTGCAGCATTGTAGATGTTGTGAATGTGCAAAGGGCCCTATTTATCGCTATTGATCATGGATATGAAGATATTGTGTCTGTTCTACTTGACAATGGTGCGCAGGTTAACTTCTACCGCGGAAGGCATCGGACTCAAGGGCCTGGACCAAGATTCCCTCAAATACGTTGGCTACAAATCAGACATGATCCACCTCCTCTATTCCTTGCTGTTAAACGGGGGCACACTGGACTGGTCAGGCTCTTGCTGGAGCGGGGTGCTAATGCAGAGCTATATAGCCCGTCGCCATTGTATCGAGCAGTTGACGATGGCCAACGAGAGATTATTTCTTTGTTGCTAGAGTACAGCGTGGGGCCCCAGGCAAGCGCTTTGAAACTGGCTGTTCTACGAGAGGATGAGTCTATGATTAGATTTCTTCTAAACAACGGCTTTAACGTGCAAGAATATGCCCACTCTGCGCTTTTCGCCGCCAAGATGAAGGGCGATCAGAATATAGTCGGCCTGCTGGAGTCAAGAGGAGCCACATTAGACTTGCATTCTAACGACGACGAGGAGCATTGGGATAAGGAGGATGGGGATGGTGTTCCTAAACCATTACTTCGGGTTTTCGTGTCTGAGGAGGGCGCAGAAGTGGATGAGAGCGATGCTGACGATGACACATCTAACGTACAGTACGAATCATACGATTTTGTCTTTTTATTGTCGCATAGTAACATGGTACAACATCGTGCATATGCCAACATTAGCCCTGATCAATCTCCGACGTAGTGGATCTGAACCGATTGTAAAAGGTGTTACAAGCCCATTATCAATGGGACTGCAGGGATTATCCGGAGACCCTCCGAATTTTTGGGCCGAGTGAAAGAACACTATTGACTTTTAGATCCAAGCCTCAGTTAGAAGGTTTACTCTGGAGTAGTCGGAAATTACTCCGGAGTACCCTTGCACAGCAAGTCTGCCGAAGTTCTGCTTCACCGACAGTAACCCGTGCTTTTCAACTTCCTTAAGCCCGGAAGATCTGCGGGCTTGTCCAAGGAATACAGCCATTACTTTTTTACAATATGATCAAACCAAGTCTTCTTCCAGTTCTGTTCCTGGGTCTGTCTGCTGCCGCCGCATTCCAGCACGAATGGAAAAACGGCGATTCGGCCACTGGATTTACAGATCCAAGTGTAGTCGATGGGTGCGAGTTTTGGGTCGACATCGGCTACGATGACACCTGCGAGGCCATTGAGGACTATTTTGGAATTACAAAGACCCAGTTCCGAACCTGGGTATGTCAATAGTAACTTCTCATATTTTGGTTCAGGGCAAATGGCTGAATCTGTCTAGAATCCCTCTGTACCACCCTCATGTACTCTGACCCGTGGCTCGAGCTACTGTGTTGCGGGCCCTGAGGATATTGGCTCCTCATCCAGCACCACTGCTCCTAATCCAACGCCAGCTGGTACTCTGACATACTCTGGTACGGCAGCCCCGACGCAGAGTGGCATCGATTCTGGCTGCAGCAAATATTACCTAGTCAGAAGTGATGATACTTGCTATATCATCCAGGACAAATTCATGACTTTTACATTAGAACAATTTTACTCTTGGAATCCGTGGGTCCCCTTTACTATGCACAAACATAGCTTTCTCTAACAGAATATAGTTCAATCTCTACCGGGTGCGGGGGACTTGAGCCCAGCTATTTTGTCTGTGTTGGGGCCATGTCCTCTTCGATCCCTATAACAAGCACTGGGCCATCAAGCGCGCCAGGCCACCAGCCACAGCAAACCGGCATTCCATCCACCTGTGCGTTTATTACTCCCGTCTGGTCATACAGGATGTCCTTGAACAATGTTCTGACTTTAGTCCTCGATCTAGGTAACAAGTGGTACTGGGTAACCGAGGGCGATGACTGCCAGACGATTGCCCATAAATTCCACATCACCAAAGACCAATTCTACTCCTGGAATCCGGCCACTGGAGCCACTTGCACAACTCTTTGGCAAAAGGCCTACTTCTGCGTTGGCCCTTCAGGTATAACAATCCCTAGCAGTTATCATCTACTCACATCAAGTATCAGCCCACGCCGTTGACAATGATTCCAGAGTCCTCGACCTCTCCCTCCGCAACAATCACATCAGTCACAGCTACATCCACAACTGCTACAGGCCCATCACCCACCCAAAGTGGCATCGCCGCTAACTGCGTATCATACTACAACATAAGCATATGATGCTCTACAACCAAAAGGAATGAGACCATATATTCAATTTCCGGATCGTATATGAATGAGTATTGGACAAAGAGTCGTCGCACGAGATGAGAACTATCGAAATTTGATATCAACGGAGAGGCGCGATACTGAAGGGGAAGGTTACTTTGAGCAATAAGACGACTGCTTCTCTTCCTCTCCTCTCTGCCTCATATGAAGGTAGAGTATCCTCAGAGTTTAGAGTGGATGCTGCTGGAAGGATCATATACATAATCCATTGCTCGTCCTTAGCAGCTGCTATCGTATTCAAGTTATTGTTTGTTTTCAGGAGTAATAAATAGGAAGGCAATGCGAACATAATACCGTCTAGTCATCAATTATTATTGCCTGGTACCTACACTACTACTATTCAATGTACTTCGTAGCCAAGACCAACCGGCAGTTTTTTTGTTCTGGCTACACAAGCGGCGGACCTACTATAGGTACATATACCACACACAACCTCAAATGTCCTCCTATCTTGATTGAACAAGAACAAATTGGCAAAAAGAAAAACATACAACAGCCTGTATATGTCGGTGCTTATCTACTGCAGCACCAGCGGGCTTACCGCTTTGACGCCTACGCTCCGGTAGCTTCGGGTGAAGCCTTCAGTCTTCTCAATATTTTGCACCTAGATTATCAGAAGTCACATTTTAATATTGATGTAAAAATCAGAAACAAGGAACAAATACAATGTTATAAATATGGCGCTTATACTCTTTTTACTCTTCATCCTGTTATGATCCAGGCTATTGAATTAATATGCATTAAATTTGAGCGGAGAGATTTATATGCGTGATTAATCTTAATAACTATAATAATAAAGAGATAAAATAAGCTGTTCTCTTAAAGATAGAGTTAGATTATAATTAAGCTCTTAAGATATTTAACCAGTAAATATATAAGTTAGTTTATAGAGAGTTTCTACTAATATTTCTAGTTTCTTAGAGCTGCATTTGACTGCCTAATCTCCATCTAATATCTCAATTTATAAAGCTTTTTTTAAGTTTCTAGTTAGAAAAACGGATAAATAAATTGAGAATAAATCTATATCTTAATAATATTTAATATTAGATAACTAGACTTAATTTAATAATTTAAAAAATCTGAAAAGTTATTTATCTATTATAGCAGTTAAACTACCTGTATAAAACAAACAGAAAATAAGTATAGTAGAACTTTTGATTCATCACTCAGTAAGTACTTAGTGAGTATTGACTAAGTATTTATCTTGTGCTTACTGAGCGATGAATTGTGATAATGATTATCTACTAAGTAAGTCTCTAAGTGTTCTGAGTAAAGTGGCAATTTTTATAACAGGAAAGTTACGAAAAACAGATATGTATAGTGACATAGATACATACAGAGCCAACATTTTCTGGTCTGGGTAGGTGTACATTCACTGGTGCCAATAATTTCCTGCTCAACCAACCAAGAACCTAAGCATTCACTGGCTTCATTCAGGCAACTTCTCACTACATCACCTGTTCATGTCCCATCTCGACCACCATTCCCTCTTCCTTCACCACCTACTAACCTTCATCTACTCCTTTCTCCTACACACTCCACATCCATTCAACATCCACCAACCTCGCAAAATGCAACTCACAAGCATCAACTCCCTCCTCTCCTGGGGAACCATCGACCCCGAGCTGGACCTTGTCTGTCTCCTACATCGCAGATTCTCCACCCAAACGGCCTACCCTACGCAAGAGAGACCAACTAACAATTAAATAGTACCTCCACGCCAACCCCCTCCCCGAATCCAACTACGTCAACACCCCAATCATGCAGCTCCGCGCACAGAACCAAAAGATCGAAACAGCGACATTCAACGCCTTGCCATCCGATGGGATCAACGAGACCGTGATCACGATCCCCATGAGCGATGGCACTGAGAGCTCGATTCGAATCTGCAGACCTCTCAAGGATTCCAGTTCCGCTGAGACCGAAGATGAAGAGAATGATTCAGACCCAGAAAGCCTGACCCCCCTAATCGCCCTCTTCCACGGCGGCGGCTTCGTCGTCGGCTCGAACCTCCAAATGACCACTTTCGCGCGCGCCTTCGCAACCCTCTACAACGTAACCGTCGCATCACTCTCCTACCGCCTCGCCCCCGGACACCCCTTCCCAACAGCCCAAAACGACGCATGGGACGGGATCCGCTGGCTCAGCGACCCTCGCAACGCGGCCCATCTCAACGCAAACCTCACAAAGGGATTCATCGTCGGCGGGGTCTCAGCAGGCGGAAACCTCGCGATCTCAGTCACGCATCGCTCGATCGTCGAGAACCTCCCTTCGCCAATAACCGGCCTTTGGACTGCGATCCCAATCACAGTGCCCTCGAACGGCGAGACTATCCCAGAGGAAGCGCTGAGCGGGTGGATCTCACGGACCCAGAACGCAGACGCCCCGTGTCTGTCGTACCAGGATCTCGTGTACCTGCAGAGTCTACTGCGCGTGGATCCGACGAGTTCGGCATTCTCGCCGTTCGTCGATCTCTGTGCCTTTCCGGCGTTGCCGCCGCTGTATGTCCAAGTTGCCGGGATGGATCCGTTGCGGGATGATGGGCTTGTGTATGAGGCTGTGGCGAGGGAGATGGGGGTGCAGACCAGGGTGGATGTGTATGGGGGGATGCCGCATGGGTTCTTTTTTTATTTTCCTGGGTTGAGGCAGTCGGGAAGGTTTTTGGGGGATGTGGTGAGGAATATGGGGTGGTTGTTGGGGAGGGAGGTGGATGAGGAGAGGGTGGGGGATGTAGTTGGGAGATTGGCGAGGGGGAGGGGTTCTTGACTAATCTTGAGTTTCTTCTACCTTGAAGGTATTTTGGACAGTGTGCTTCAAAGGATTTGATTGGAAGGGTACATTATGAAGTGGAATAATCGTGGGATGGACATGTGCAGTATGCAGACAGAATGATCATAACGACTGACTCGATCTTCAACCTCAACATCTCAAAAGAACAAACAAACTCAACGTATCTCAACTCTAAACTCCCCACCTCTCATCCTCAACATCATCCTCATCCTTGATAACAAACTCCCTCAACAACCTCTCCCTCTCTCCCGCATCACCACGACCATACCCATCAAGATCAACCCCCTGCCTCAGAACAACCGGAACCCGCACCATCCTGCCATTTCCCATATCCATACCCATTCCGATACTCATACCCATAACCTCACCTTTATCTTTCCCTCTAGCCATCCTCCCCCTTACGCACCGATAAACGCAAATAACAACCCTCCCAACAACAAACCCCACCACACAAGCCATCACACCCGCCGCGGCGCCCAACACAGCAGGCAACAGGACGGGCTTGACAATCCGTCCAAAACCCCGATGGAGACCGTGTCCGTGCCACGAGGGGTGGTGGCTTCGATAGTTGTGGTGGGGAAGAGTGCGGTGGGGGTCTTTGGACTTGGAGTCGGGACTTTTGTCATCGTTGGCGTTGGCGTTGTCTTGGGAATTAGAGGTAGAAGGTGAGGTGGAGTTAGACGGGTACTGATGATAGTGGCGATGGCTAGGGGGAGGAGGGGGGTAAGGATGAACAAGAAGGTGGATGTATTCTTTCGTGGTGGTTTTGATGGCATGAAGCCAGGATTGAGCGGTGTTGATGTTATCGTTGGGATGAGGACGGGAGTGGTGGTGATGATGAGGAGGAGGAAGAGGAGGGAGAGGGGAGGTGCTGAGTTCGGTGATTGTGAGGGAGTCAGACTCAGGTCTGGACTCAGACGGAGATCTAGAAGTAGTCAATCCGACCATAATGACATGATCGCTTGCCCGTCGACCGAACGCATCCAGGAGCTTCAACTTCAGCAGGTACACATCTCCCAGTTCAGCGTCCGGCGAGCGAGGAATCGGTCTAGTTTCCAGCGCGTACGACAGTCTGACTTGCTCGTCTTGACCGGATCCGGAGTGTCGGATGGCAGAGATCTCCAAGGGTAGGGCGGAGGGGAAGATGGCATCCTGGTTGGCGAGGAGGGTGTTGTTTTCAGTGGAAAAGTTGATTGTCTGAAGTGGTCAGTCATTGAGGGAAGAATAGGTCCGGATGAACAAACTAGGTAGCTGTCTCGATCGATGACCTCGGAGCACTTGGAGTCTTCAGAGAACGCGCACTTCGCACAGGGAAGAATGACTTCATGAGGAGAAGGCTGGACGATAGGTGCCTGGTCGAGAATGTCGAGACGAGGGAGAGATTTGGCAGCGGAGGTGGTCAGAGTCAGCGCGATGCTGGTCAGAGAAAGAAAGCGTGGTAGCATATTGATCGTAGAAAGAGCGTGATAAGTAGAAAGAAGTTAACGAGAGTATTTTGTGTCTGCCATCGATCGAGTCGATCGGTAGGAGGTGGTAGTGGATGAAAGGAGTGAAAGAAATCCGACCAAAGGAAGAAAGGCGGGCCAGACCAACCCTATATAACAACGGAGTCAGCTCTGTTACACAGACAGGACTAGACTCAAATGAATCAAAGCGATCCGGGGAAAACGTGCGAGAGGCTGACGGAGTATATCTGATTGAATCTGTAGGTTTGCTCACCACAAACATCTGTCCTATGAATATTCTGTTCCACTCGGAGTATTCCTCTACCTCGTATAAACTCACCATTCCCTTCCATCTGCGACAAATGAAATCCCTTCAAAAGGGCAATTGTGGTTGCCTACGGTGTCCTCGGATCCCGCCAGCGACAGGCGATCGGCGCTGGGTGGAGACTGGCACGAACCAAGCTTTGAAAAATTCTCCATGCAATGCAACTGACAGGACAGGAACAGATTGTTTCAACTACAGTTATTCTCTTTGTCCTCCGTATGTTGGATGTCACCCCTATGCTTTACAACTTGAGCAAGTCCCCAGGGGAAAAAAATGAACAGATAAAAATAAACCCAACTGAAACATCCAACACCACCCATCGTGGCTGCGCAGTCCCAGCCAGACTTCAAGTCAGACAAGTACGACAGAAACAGACCCTGCCTAACCCATCACAGCAAAGCTAAGCATCCCACCGAGACATCAGGGGCTCCAATAACGGGACACACGAAAGCTTGGCCATTGAGGTTATCGCGTAGTACAGTGGGTCTGCGTAGTCTGAGTCCAGTCATTTCGTTCATCCGCTAGGCTGCCACGATATAGATTGGTTAAAGGATTGAAAGACAAAGGGGTCAATATCCACTAAGTAAAAACCACCCCCCCATCCACCACCATCGTCTGCCCCGTCACATAATCCGAATCCTCGCTCGCCAAAAACCCACCCACCAGCCCAGCCACATCCTCCGGCCGACTCGTCCGCCCCAACGCAACATTCCGATCCGAATACAGCCTCAAACTCTCGCCCTTCCCCCGGCCCTGGATCGCACCTAGTCCGGCATCGATCTCCTCCCACATATTCGTATCCACGATGCCCGGCGCATACGCATTCACCGTGATCTGATGGCCCGCCATCTCCATCGCAAACGCCTGCGTCAAGCCACGCACGGCGAACTTACTCGCGGAGTAAATCCCCAGCGTCGCGAAGGGTTTATGCGCGACGATGGACGCCGCGCCGAGGATCTTATACACCCCTACACCGGCCGCGGCGTGGGGATCGCCCTGTGCGATCATCTGGCGGGCGGCGGCGACGTAGCAGTTAAACACGCCGGTGAAGTTGACGGAGAAGACGCGGTCGATGTCGGCGGGCGTGCAGGAGAGAAGGGGTTTCACTTGGGCGATCCCGGCGTTGGCGATCATGAGTGTGAGGGGGCCGAGTTGGTGGACGGTTTCTTGGATGAGGGTCGATACGGCGTCGGGGGAGGTTACGTCGGCGGGGATGCCGATGGCTCGGGGGCGGGGAGATGGAGGTGGCGTGGAGGTCTGCGTAGTGGTAGTGGTAGGAGGAGGATGAGGGAGGTTGTTGAGTTCGTCGACGACGGAGTGGATTTCGGTCGCTGAGGAGGGAATGTCGTTGACGCAGACGGAGTAGCCATCTTGGACGAGGCGCTGGGCGATGGCTTTGCCGCTGGGAGAGTTAGTATGGGCTGGATTTAAGGTGGAGAACGTACATTCCGCGAGCGGAGCCGGTGACGATAGCAGTGCGACGAAGCATATTGTCTGGTTCAGAGGTAGGGATTGAATAGAAGAGAACGTAGGTAGACTGCACCTATATATAGATATACTCATCTGTTGCAGTCGGGAGGGGAAAGCGGGGAAGAACCAGGATTCGCTTCATCGCGCTCGATGATTGATGGAAGGATGAAAAGTCAGTCTTGGAAGTAATCGCTGGCCGTGTAACCTGCAAGGACGATTGAATTTGAAATGGATCTGGAATTGACGACATAACAGTACGATAAAGTTCTATAGTATAACCTTCAGTACATTAGCCTCCGATCTGCTACCTTGAATTGTATGGTATACAAGAACAAACAAAATAGGGCCTCATGGTCAGTTCAACAGGCTACTAGTACCAAACAACCAGGAGGCAAGTGCATCTTGGCCGATATACCTCTTTCCCTGCTCCCAGGTTCCTCCCTCCGCACACCAACCAACCCAATCCCCTCACTCCGTCCGCGACACCGACCTCAAAGCCTCCATCGAATGTCTCCCCTTATGATCCACCGCACTCAACACCATAGACGGATGCAACGCATTCATCGCCACCATAGCAAAGAACATCAACATCGAATCAAACACATACATGAACGCCTCATGACTAATCAAATACCCATCATTCCCCTGCGCATACTCAACCAGACGAAAGACCGATCTGATCAGAATCAAAACACTCGCAATGTACAGTCCCCACAGAACGGATTCCCAACCACGACCGAGGATACCCGGTGGGGCAGAGGTTGTTTGCGATGTTGGTCTGGCGCGGATCCGCAGGTGGAAGACGACAGAGGTGATTAGGAAGAAAGTGAAGAAGACGAGTTGTACGCAGAGGCCGCCGATGGTGATGTGTTCGCCCGTGTGCATGGCACTGATTGTTCCGCTGGCCATGATGCCGCCGCCTGTGAGGAGAGACTAGGTGGTTATTATGTGTTCGAAGGGTTGAATAACATGTGTTGAATTCACACACACAGAGCGACAGGAGGAGAGAGATACCTGCAGCTTGCATAACAAAAGCAATCACATCGCCAGTCACAAATATCCCCGTCATCCATTTCAACGGTACCATACTATAGCCCTCAGCACGGAGATGGCGAATCAACCGCCCAAGAACCATGTAGATCGACGCCGCGTAGAGCGGGGGTGCCAGTAAGATGAGGATAGTTTGTATCGAATAGATAGGTACACTTTCGGTGTCGGAGTGGGCTTTCGCTCGTGCAATATACCCGATTATCTGAACTTTGGTTTTAGGAAGCTTTTGTTAGCACATTGTCGGGTCCATGGCTTGGGTTCAAGAATTGCGTACAGATTCCACCGAGGACGAATGCAATAAAATACCAAGAGCGGCTTTTGACGAGCTGATATACATGGTAGGCAGTTGTTCCAAGGAACAGAATGATGAATATAACAGCCGCTGGGACAGACGGTGTATATCTGTAGAGTTGGAAATCGATGTGTCCTTCGGAGTCACTCATGGCGGACTGATCGAGAATGAGGAGGTCGAAGTGGTGGAAAGATTCGAGAAATATAGCGACAGAAATGAATTGGGTCCGGTCATGGCTTCTCTTTAATATCGGGTTGTCCCTTAACATTGGAATTCGTACCGCTGAAATATTTTCTCTGGTATTCCACGAATTTGGCGCCATAGTATATCTCTACATTAGGTTTAGTGTACGACCATACGAGACCCAATTGGAAGCAAGGACTTCAGCGGAATCTGTGGGTCTTTCCATCTAGATTCCATGCCGATCCCAGGCAATCAGGGCATCTGTACTTCCAATTTGCGGAATAGAAGAGTGGATTCCTCGTCCACTGCAGTACACACTCCACACCCTTGAGATAGAGGAAGGCTGCGGAAATAACCAAGAGTTACTTGGAGCATCTTGGCGACGAGCGGATACGACAGTACGATTGCAGTCAGCAGCCTAGTACTTCGGGCCAAATTCCCTCGAAGGAGTTGGTTTCTCTGTTCAAACACACATGGTTGCGTTTGCGTTATCCATCCAACTTTCCAGTTAGTCGGAAAGATAACTACGGAGAGTCGACGCAGAATGGAGAAATTCCTCACATTGCAAAGGACCTCTGACAAACTTGAAGCCCCTCTCCAATCATATACAGAAATCCACAAACACAAACGGGGTAGATATTTAACATAGCTAGAGCCCTCTCTCAAATGCATCCGCCATGTCCCCCAGAGTGTTAAACCTCCAGTCATACACATACTCATTCATATTACCCATGACCGAACCCGGCCTAACAATCCAGCTCGAGCGAATCCCCATCTTCCTCGCAGCATGATGATCATGAAACTGACTCTGCGCGGTTTGAACAACCTGATGCTTCGGTATCCCAAACTTCTCCTGCGCCATCCGCAGCATATACTCAAAGTTCCTCAGATCCGGCTTATAACTCCCCACCTCCTCAGCAGTGATCACCAGATCAAAAGGAATATCCTCCAGAGGTCCCGCATTCGATCCCTTAAAAGACCCCACATCCACGTTGGAAAGACAAACCAGCTTAAAATGCTTCCGCAACCGCTTCAGGGCGTCAATATTGTCCGGAAAAACAGGCCAGTCTCGCACGGACTGCCCAAAGGCGACGCTTTGCTCTGGAGTTGGCGCGGGAAGGCCCAAACGGGCTGCCATCTGGGGATTAATGGCGGCAACGAGATCGGTGTATTTCATGCTGGGAGTGGCGGCTTGCTGGGCCCGTTCGCATTCGTAGTATGCGGAGAGGATCTGCTCGCGAGAGCGGTGGATCCCGCTGGCTTCGACCAGAGGTTGGAAGTTGTTTATGGCGCCGGTCTCCCAGTCGATGAGGGTGCCGTATACGTCAAGGGAGAGGAGGCGGTATTCGGAAAGGGTGGTCATGGCTTATTTATCTGCAAGTGGGGAAGGAGATGATTGTTTGCGATGACTACGAGTCTAAGGGGTTTAACCGGTAAAGTGTAAGGTTTAGGGTCTGAGAAGATTCTGGGATATGGATGAGAGTGTAGAGAATGAATATGAGAGAGGACCCGAGGGCAAAATTTTATCGCTATTTAAAGAACCCGTTGACGTGAGAATAAAGGGGAGGGGTCTCAATCCTCATCGCATTTGATTCCGGTTCGCTTATGATTTGATCGCCTCATCGGAAAGCAACCCGACATTCTTCAAGTAGAAGCTCACTCTCAAAACTGGCATGATCCCCGAGGCGCTTGCATTGGGTTACATTGAGTCGAGAGCATCGTCTTAGTCTATAGCGGTCACTCATCCGGTTGGTGGCCACTCTCCCGGTCTGTGGACACTGCACCAGTCGACAGTCTGACTATGCTCGGCTGCCATTTCTTTGAACCTGTGATTTATTACTGCCATTTTTCATATGGAAGCTTACAGCAGGGAAATCCAGGAGCATGAACCCGTCTTGTCCATGCACCGATGTGTTCCAACTGGCCACACCTGAGCCAGAGTCTGCTGCTTAGGAGTGGCATCAGAGCCCTGTATTTGCTGCACGAACATTGACACATAGAGCTAGAGAGCTTGCACAAACAAATTCATAGTCGCGATCCTAATTACTAGTATTTTCAACTATCCCCTTATCAACCATATAGCAAGCATCAGAACCATAATATAGCTCTAGATTTACTTGTCCATAACAGTCCCAAGAATTATATTACATACAGCACACAACCCACATTGCCTAATTCAACTCTCTCTCAGTAGACAGTCTGGGGTTTACGCAGCACATTCCAACCCACAAACCCTCCTCGGCCACCTGATCCACACCTGCATCTCCTCAGCCAAGCTATCCCCGATCTCAACAATGAGCGAACGGCACCAACCGCACAGAAACCAATACCCGTCGAGCCGATGCAAAACGACACAATAAAACGCCGTAAGGACCAACGCCAGCGGCGCCTGTCGCTGCATGAGAGGTATGAACTCCCGTTGCAACAGGATCGGCCATACGAACGCGGCACCGGGCTCAAGTGGTTCATTGGCAACTCGCATGAATCGCAAGGCTGTGTTTAATTTTGATAGAGCGTCTAAGTAGATGGTTTGCTCTTGGGCCGGGAGGTCTTGGGTTTTGATGAAGTCGGCTAGGGCTGAAAGTTCGGTTTGTTCTTCGTTTGAGGATGAGGGTTGATTGGGAAGATGGCCACTTTGTCAGGTGTTAGTGCTTCTTTCCTATTGCGAATTTGCGGCGGCTCTGAGATAAATGTACAGTACCTTGATATATTGATAACGAGTCTATAATCCTCATGAAGCAAAGGTCGCAAGGAACATTGATAGATCTCCCCCCGATAAGGAGCAAGGATAGTCTCAACGCCACGACACATATTAAAGATTTTCACCAGCATGGCAAGAGGCGAAAGTGTGCTCTCCCTACTATGGGACGGGTTCTCCATGGCAGATTGCGCGCAGACCAGAATGGCCATCAGAGAAGACAGGCCGAACAAAGGCACACAGTTCGCGGCTGAGATATTGGCGAGGTTCTCTCTAAAGCGCACTAGCGATCTTTGCAAATGATATGTAGAGAGACCTGCATAATCGTGTCGTTTTGGCTCGCTATTTACCGAATTGATATGCAATGCGGACAATGCGAGCAGCCCGTCCATAAGGTAGTCGCATGTGTACGCGTGTTGGGGAAGAGCTATAGCCCACGTGTCCTGGATGTCGCTGCGATGGGACAGCGTCCTGGCGACTGACGTGGTGAAGTGATGCATCAGTTCAAGATCTTGCAATGCAAGGTCCGCTGTGCTAGAAAAGTCATAGAGCGAGGAGGGCCCTGCGAGCAGTTCCATGGCACCAATGACGGAACCGGAGGCGGTTGCATCAGCCGTGGGTGTGGGATCCTTTCCACGAACTGGGCTTTGCCGTTGCTTCTGGCCTAGGTCCGTCTGATAGATGCATTGGCTCTGATATTTGAGACAATTGTGACAGGGCTGTTGCTCATTGCACTGCATGGGTGAAGAGGTGAGCTGATCCGCGAGAGAGGAGAGAAACAAATGACGGGCCGAATACCTTCACCCTCCGCCTCTTGCATTCGATGCATCCATTCCGTGATTTTCGATGAGGTCGTCTAAGTGGCATGATGCATCTATAGTGTCCAGTGGTCAATAATTAGGGATGGGAATATCGCGAAGTGCTGCGGTACGCCAAGATGTGCGGAAAAGGAGCGCCAAGCCTTGCTCTTGGCGGGCCTGATCTATGGTGCCTGTGTTCTGTTTATCAGACCCTGTAAACTAGTCACAGAAAGGGATTCCGTAGGAGCTTAGACATTGATGTCGATTCACTGTAGTAACCGTGATTCGAGAGTATTTACGGTACTACTGCACGAGGAACACATACTTGCTGACCCTGTAGCAATTTGCCCTCGCCTGTGTAGCCAAAATATACTATCTCAACATAAATCCCAAAAGACAATCCCATCCTCAAACCTCACGCACCCACCTCGCGTATATCAAACGCAAACATCCCATTGGACTCCACCGAATGCTCATTCTGCAATTTAGTCGCACACTCAGCCCCCGCTGCCGGAACACGATACTCGAACCTCTTGCCCGGCCCCGGCAGTTTCCCGTCCGCCAGCGCATACGGATAGGGCAGATACTCTGGCATCAAGCCCAGCTGCACCAGCACCGTCGCTTGGTCCCAGGCGATGTGCTCGTGGTAGAGCCTGTCGCCGCGGATGTTGACGATCGCTGTGAAGGGGACGTGGAGAAGTTTGCCGGTGGGTGGGATTCCGGGGATCCTTTTCAGAGTTAGTTGGATCCTTGTGTGGGTGTCAAGAGACATACATCCAATCAATCTGCATATTATGAGTCATATGGCAGATAAATTCATCTACGACGCGATCCACGCCGACCGTGCGACTGATCAACTCGAGCTGGGTATCAGCCGGATTCTGGAAGATGAAATGGTGGAGGTAGAAATTGCTGAGTTTGGCTCGCCCAATGCCCCCTGTCAGCTATAAACCAGTGAGTATGTCTCTTCTCTCTCGCATGTCAAGAACCACGATATCTGACTCACCGTCGTCGTGTGATTCACATACGGCTCCTGCACCATCGTCGCCATGGTCTTTTCGACCGACCGCTCGTCAAACTCGTAGAACGTGTGCTCTTCCCAGATCTTCTCGAGATCGAAATACGGTCCGTCCAGATGTTTCTTCACGAACGTGAGAGATCGCGTATGTGCGACTCCGGCCGCCGAGGCGATGAAATCGGCATGTCCGGGGACGATGAACTGAGAGGACGAGGCCTCGGGGTACGAGTAGACTTTCGTCTCTTGCGAGTGCGTCTGGTCACCAACTGGGCCCGCAAGATGCAGAAGCACGGGGACGTTGGGGATGCTGTAATCGGAGAAGGACAGCACGGCTGCGAAAGACCGCGCGACTTCGCGAAGGAAGGTGGTGAAGGAGGGAGGGTAGTCGTCCCTCGAGCCGTAAACTGTTCTCACCAGTCAATCCGCAGAACCTGACTGGAAGGATGATACAGACCCAATAGCCCCAACTGATGCTTTTCATCACACTCAGGCAAAGAACGTAGCTCGTCAACCGCTCGAGTTACCCGTTCCTGTGGCGACTCGTCACCCGGGTTGATGGTGACCTGCACCACGGCATAGCTCTCCTCGGCCCACTTCTGCAATGGAGCCGGATCCAGCCCAGTATTTTGGTCGTTACAAGATGCATGACTTTGCGGGCGTAGCAGCACTAGCCCCGGACCCTTTCCGCAGCGCGAGAGTGGGGTTTGGAGAGTCATGTCGGGGCCGAGGGACTTGGCGGGGGTAAAGGAAGTGGGAGGGGAGGAGGTCATCGTGAGTATATCTTTACAATATTCTGATGGTGGATGTGGTAGAGGGGAGGGTTGAATAGGTGCTGTTGGTGCTGTTGTTTGGGGGAGGGTTCGGTTCTTTATCAAGGACGATCCAGCAGTCTTTAAATGTCTCCACTTGGCGATGCTCGGGATCTGCTTGGAGATTGCATGATCGGGGTAGAAGTAGTGATATCGAGATCCAGGCGAGTACAAAGGGAGAAAGAGAACGAAGGTAATGTTGGACTTTGCTAGCCCAGGGTAGAAAGAGGAGAACTGTCAGCTTATGTGTTGGGTAAACAGAAGTAGACATGACCCCGCATCGGCAATTTTAGAGGAGTTGAGAATTTATCCTTGAAGATGATTGATGGACCAGCGTCTAACCGGAAGACGAGAGTGCCATGCCAATAATGGGCTCGAGCATATCCAACCCCTACCATCAATACCCCAAAGCACCAAAAGCACCAGGATTGCAATCCTTCCAAGTGACTAGCCATTCTGCCCTCTGATTGGTCCATTCGGTAAGACACACGTGACCATACCCATCCACATCACGTGCCTCTCTTTGTCCAACAGCTCCAGCTCCAGTTCGATCTCCATGACATCTCTGGACTTCACCTCCCCTCCCAGGCCCCCTCCCCTCAAAATGAACGCTCAATTCCAAGCAACGCTCTCCGACTTTGAATCTAAACTCAATGCCCTAATCACCAGCCTCACCACCTCCCCAACCGCCGCCGGCGCCCCCTCCGCGGCCGTGAGCCTCCTCAACGCCGACGACTCGCTCACCTCCGCCGTGGAAACCCTCCGCCAGCACCAAGCGAACTACGCCCGGATTCTCAAACTGCGCGCCGAAGCCGAGAGTCTCGAAGATCGCGTGAAGTCGATCGTTCGCGACGTGGTTCACTACGAGAACGAGATCCGGACGACCTGCGACGAGGATGACGAGGATAGTGATTCGGATTTAGACGATGATGAGGACGAGAGCGATCTCTCTGACGAAGAAAGCCGACCCCGTCGTACAGGCCTCCGCAGGACAAAGGAAGTCGAATATAAACTCCTTCTCGACTTCGCGCGACGCATCAGCAAATACAATCTGCAAGCGGCGGCCGACGCAGCGGAGGGGATCCACGGGAACGAAGCAAAGACGCGGAAACGGATCGAGCAGGAAGATCAGAATCAGGATTCCGAGATGACAGGGACGAACAGCAACGCGAACGTCAACGCCAACGGCACAGAGACAGAAGGAGGACCCGGCGTGGAGACGGTTTCGTCCGTCACGAAAGACGCGACCGCCTGGCTGGACGAGTCGGCCAATTTGACGCGCCAGGTGTACATGCTGCCGTATCCAATGGAGGATCGCATTCGCGGCGGCCTGATGGGCCAGATCCAGCTGGCCGCGGCGGAGGGACGACCTGGGTTCGACGCTGACGGGGAGGTGGAGCGGTTGATTCGCGAGGCGGAGGGGTCTGGTGTGGCGGATGCGATGACGCCCGTGCAGCCTGGGGAAGGCGCCCGGCATGCTGACGAGGCGGCCATGGCGGCGGCTCATGCGGGTTCGGCGGCCACCAGTGCCGGGAGGACGGCTGCGCCGCCGCCAAAGCCCAAGGCGATGCTGGATTTGGATCTGTATGATCCGGATGAGGACGATGTTTGAGGGGGAAGGTATGCTACGGTACGGCATTTTCTACAGAACCTGGATTGCTGGGACGGCCCTGTCTGGTGAATCTGCGGACATGAGTCTGGTTCTCGATGTTCTCCGGCAAAACCCGGGAGATGATACTCTATCATGCCTGACATAGATCCGGTATCATGTACACGGTATGGCCTATCGACTGCCGTCAATCACACCCGGAGCAGTTCTGGCACATCCGATGTGTCACTGACAAACCCGTCGGGATTCCAATGTATTTAACGATCATTACGATATCAACGGACATAACAAACAGAAGTGTACATTCACCCTCCAACAAACGTAGAATCTTTTCTCAACCTACGTCTGACACCACGCATGCTGCAACTTTCGCACCTGCTCAGCCGTCACTAGACCGAGATCTGCCTCTATGCCCCTCATCAAATCCCGCACGATAGCCCGCTCCTCAGGACTCTCAAAACACTGCCCCACAGCATAAAGAAGCGGCACCATATAAACTCGTGCCGCGCTCTGCGGCCTCCCCAACGCGATGCCACAGATCTCTTTGCACCGATAATCGGCCTCCTTCGTGAGCTCGCGATACCCCTGGAGCCGATCGAATGCGGTACTGGGGCCGCTGACGGCGTCGGAGGGACGGTTGAGGGCCAGCGCGAGTCGTCCGAAATGGTACTGCTGCATGGCCGCGGCGCAGGAGGTCAGACTGTAGAAGATCTCGGGGAACGGCATGTGGTGGATGTCGGGGAGTTTGGAGAGGTCCTTGGGATGTTGGAGCCGGAGGCAGGGGCGGAAGGTCTCGGGCATGCGTTCGAGCCAGGCTTGGAATTCGAATTGGAGTTTGAGCCAGGTGGATGTCGTGGGGTGGGTAGCTGTTGGGGTTATGGAAGTGGTGGCGGTCGGGGGAGAAGGGCTTGGCGTCTGGCCGGTCCATTGTTCCACTTGAGATTTCTTGGACACGGCGAGGAAGTTAATGACTTTATTCAAGAGCCAGACGAGGTTGTTTGCCGAGAGGTCTTCGGGTGAGAAGCGTAAACTGGAGGAGTTGGAAGATGAAACATTCCCCTGGTCGTCGATGGGTATGCCGGCGGCTCTCCATAGTGGGATGTTCTGGTGGTCGAAATGTGGTGGTAATCGCGTATAGTACGAGCTCAGATAATCTTGCCGAGCCAGGTTCCAAAATGATGCCACAGTGCCTTGGGTAAATGTGGGATGAGCAGAAGTAGAATGGTGTAGTTCAAGCAACGAGTTGAATAATGGTCCGATGCCACGAAGCTGCCTGGAATCCCGGGTGTTAGCATGGTATTGATACGCATCGAATGGAAACTTACAATTGCCAGTTATCTCCAGATTCATCCAGCAGTTTGTAAAGAATCAGAACCGTAGCAGCTGCTAGCAGGTTTTCTGTCTTCTTCCAGAACTCGCCAGCTGCGTGCTCTTCTGCGAGGGCTTGGGACCGTGGGTGCTTCGTGTGCAGGCTCAGCCACCGACGAACGATCTCGACCGGCGATTCCAAAACAGCAGAGCTAGACACAGAGGTGTAAGCATCTGAGACGCTGGCGTTCATTTGAGAAGCCGCCAGATAATAGTAATTGGCAGCTTTGAGAAACCAGTCCACCTGCGCCGAATTGGGGTACGTTTCCATAGTAGCGGGGCTAGTAAACATCCCACTACCAACGTGCAATGCCGCGCCTTTCATGCGCCCAAGATGCTTGGCGGAAAGAGCGGCAATGGAAAATCTGAGAAACGAATCATTGATGGCACGGATGGGTACAAAAGCTCCGAAGAACTTGTTTGAGTCAGAGAGATCCAGCCTATGGGAAGTGAGCAGAGTTCAAGCTGCATCGCCCAGGACGATATACGTACCAAGGTCCCAGGGTTTCTGAATAATGTCGTATGAGAAACGCTATTTCATGCTCGGTTCCCGTCATCAGTTCAGAGAAGATGTCTTGAAACTCCTCCTTTTCGCTTCGTTGGGACGGGCTCGCAGACTGCGTCATCTCGGCGTTTGGTGAAAATGGTTTTTGCCTGGAGTCGCTATATACATTGCCTAGATGATTAAAGCCTTCGTTGAGGGCATTGATCGGAGTAACTGGACTAGGGCCGACACTTCTACTAGAAGCGCTGTACGACTGGGTGGAACCTGTCGTATCAGCCGGTCCTGTTTCTACACGCGAGGTTGTTGTGTGGCTCGCTAGAGACGCAGAGAGAGCCGGGGGCGCAATCGCGGAGCTGATTCTCAAATCTTGCATTGGCGAGTGCACTTCGGGCTGATGTACCCCGGTAGGCGGCCAATGGGTAGGAGGTGCCAATTCCGACCGAGGAGAGGCGTTGTTAATCGGATGATGATCCAGATTGCGACTCACGGCCACCACGGGGTCGTTAGCTACCTTTTGAGATGTCAACATTCATGAAATGGTCATTGCCAAGAAAGACCAAGCCTCTTACATCCTCGGGGGTTTTGGGTGCATGCGGCCGGAAGCTGCCGTCTTGGTAAGGCGCATATCGACGCCGTACCGAGGCACCCTGATCTATGAACTTTCGAGTCTGAACATAGCCGGGGCATTGAACGCCAGCAGTGCTGCAACGTTGACAGTGCGGACGAGTCTCGTCACACTATGGCGGTTAGTAAGACCAGAGAGAGAGAGAGAGAGTGAATCACGCAAAGAACGAACTTTCAGATGCCGCTTTTTACAACGCTCACAGGCCTTGTTTGACGGTACCCCGGGCATTCTTGCCACGATTAGGACAATGTCCTCTAGACAGTTGGGCAGTGAGGTTTTCTGGTACGAGCACCAGCTGTAACCATCATCTCACGGTGTATCCCTGTAACACCGTCAAAGCATGCAGCATCCAAGAAAGCGAGGACATTCTTGGAGAAAGTGTGAATGAGCAAGGAGGGCGTTCGGTGGAAACTCGGCGAGTTTAATCAGCCACGGCACGGGACCTGGATTATCGTTCTTCCAGTTTTTTATCGGGTCCCGATCGAGTATATCATCGACGCCTCAAATTGTTTCATCTTCTGTCTATCTTTTACGGATACCTTCTGGCAGATCCACTTCGTTGTCGCTGGCAATGCTTCGAGCCCCACCTGACATTCTGGGTACTTCGCAGCCACGGACGCTGCAGGGCAGCCTGCCGCATCCTCATTTTCACCGTCTAGATCGCGAGCGATCGATGCGGCATTTGCCATCGGCGAACAGTTTGTCGAGTAGCGTATCTGGGGCCGAAAAACGTCGGATATACGATGAATGGACCAGTCAGTATTTGATTCCGAACATTCCAAATCCAGTTCGTGCTAAAACCATTCAGGCGTCGGAAAACCACACAACTTGATCTGCTCCCATTGTCGCAATCCAGATGATTTGATCCCTTGTGAGACCTGCTGTAGGTCCTACCACGCGGCTTGCCTTCAAACGCTTGAAGGGTTCTTTCCTCGTGGGCCTTTTTACTGCCCGTCGTGTAGACGGAATCAATGGGATCAATCGGTTCAATTTGACACGCCCCTTCCGTCGTCCAATGTGTCGCGGAGCAGCACTCCGAGCGTGCACGGCTCCAGCCGGGTTAGTAGCCCTTCGGGGTACAATGCATTCCATCAGAATCGGTCAATAGAAACCGTGGGATTGCCAGCTAGGGATCTTCCCAATGCGTCTATCACATTTCCGCGGCAATTCCGACAGCTTGAGCATACTCTAGCTATTCAACCCGAATTACTTTCCCAGGCCAAAGAGTTTTTGATGGTCAATGGAAATTTCCCGGCCAATCAGGAGTTTCCGATCGAACTTCTGTCCAAATTAGGATCGATGATGGCGGTTGTAGAGTCTCAGAGCCCACTTCAATCTGAGATCCGGAACTTGAGAGAGGAGAATGCAAGTTTGCGAAATGACAACGCAAACATGAGAGATTATTTCAATGCTAAACTACCAACCCGTGAGCCCATGATAACCACTCAGTCATGGGATTTGTCAACAGATACCCCGAGGACGACAGCCGACACAGGCGACAAAGCATGGGACAGGATCGTGTCTGATATGATTTGAGGGCTCTTAGTTGATTTATGGTACTATGCCATGGCCATCAATTACTGAACTAGCAGAAGTTTTGTCGGAGCCAGCCACCAACTTGCGGACAGGCCACGGGGCCGCGTTGTCAGCGGAGTTCTTCGAAGGGTCCTGAGATAGTGCGCTTTTTCAACGCGTCAGAGCAGCCTGTCCCATAATATTTCTGTTGGAATTCTCCTAGCCTAAGGATCAAGGAAAAGTGTCCATCTTTCTGGGCTCATGCGTCCGGCAGAAACCTCATGTCTCTAGAAAAGACCAATGCCACCGCAAGTCGTGGGGTATTAACAAGGGTCGGGCGCTTAAACCCCTGTTACCCTCATGCGCCACTCTCTTCATTCGGGCGCCGACACGATGTTGATGATGGTATGATGATCGCGGAAAGCGCCTTGCCAAACTATATTTAGAGACGTTTTAGGCGCCCGCAGTGCACAGCATTGTGCCTTTTGCCAACCCTGCATTGGCCATTTCATCTGTTTACAATGCTTTGGGAAACCCGTGTCTTTTGGCAATCACGATACAACGACGATACACCTTGAAGTAATGTTGACTTAAAAGATCAACTAATTTCTATGACCTTGGTGGCCGCCCCGCATTGAACCTCTACAGAAAACACTCCACCCTGGTCTTCTGCGGAGTATGAAATGCGGGCAGAAAATTGAGTCGGCAGCCGATTTTCGAATTGTTCTTTGATTGGACTGAACTCCGCCCCCTTGCAGAGTTACATGCGTCAATATAGTCACTGCACGATGTGACCGCGGCCTGTTGGACTACTATTCTAGGGAATTTCTCTGCCAATCGCCGCTGCCTTAGCTGCTGTGTGCTCAACGGGCGATGGGGAGGGGTTCCACGCGTGTTTCATAAATGGGAAATAACATGGCGAGAATATCCATGGCGAGGGCGCCTTCTATTTATTTCCCACAGGATTTGGAAACAGTGGGTTGAGTTTGTTTTGCATACCATTCCCCGCATCAACAACTGTGGAATGTGGTTCTGCGTGACGCCTCAGTTTATTTGTTGTTAATCCAGCCGACCTTTACAGATCTTGGGTAATGAATGCTTGAGGACCTAGGTGCTCTATTCCTGCAGAAATACCTGTTTCTATCTTCATCTAGCCGGACGATCCATATCTCCTGAAGTAACATCGCGTCTGCATTTCGATCCACAACATGGCATCAAACTATCGTTTTACGAAGTTTCAGAGCATTTCCCTACTCTTCTTATCGCTTTCATGCATTGCATACGCTCAGAATGGCGAAGAAACCAAAGCTGACGTCCTGGATCTTGTCGATCCGCTCATCGGAACCGCCAATGGAGGTACTACAATCGAACCTTTCTGCATAGCCGTGAGCCTAACCAGACAAACCGCCAGGACATTCTTTCGCCGGAGCTACTCTTCCATTCGGTGGGTCCTTAGATCGTAATAACTTTCGCACGCTGCTGCTGATGAAAACTAGGCATGGCCAAAGCTGTAGCCGATACCCAAGGAGAAAACCAAGGCGGGTTTGCATACGACACAACGAAGGTCACCGGGTTCTCTCATATGCATGATTCGGGAACTGGGGGTGTAAGTCGCTGAGACGGTCTATCAAACATGGACTCCTGATTACTCACACTGCATAGGCAGCTTCTTTGGGCAATTTTCCCATTTTCGTCCATCCCAGTTGCCCGGAAAATGATTCGAGCAAATGCAAATGGCAGCAGAACGACAGAGCAACAGTATGGAAGAAAGACTCCCCCAAATCCAGGCCTGGGTATTTTGGCATCAAGCTGGAAAATGGTGTCCATGCTGAAATGACCGTTACCAATCGGTCGGCTCTGTACCGCTTCAGCTTTCAGGATGTTTCCGAGCCACTCAGTCCGATTGTTCTTGTTGACTTAATGGATCTTCCGCAATCGCGATCGAAAGGCGCCGCCTCGGTGGATGGGTCTACTGGGAGGCTTACTGGAAACGGCACGTTCAATCCCAGTTTTGGACAGGGGACCTATGATCTACACTTTTGTGTCGACTTTAAAGGGGCCGCGGTTCGCGAGACAGGATCGTGGAATAGGAATTCGGTGGTACCTGACCAAAACACCATCTTGATTGCAGAAGGAAGCGCTGTACGCACGGATTCGGCTGGTACGTATACACGATTCGATGCTACAGAAACGGACAGTTCTATTCTTGCCCGGGTGGGTGTAAGCTTCATTAGCGTGGAACAAGCCTGTGGGAATGCGGAGAAAGAGCAGCCTGACTTCGACTTTGACGGAACTGTTTCTGCTGCAGAGGACGCATGGAGAGACAAATTGAACGTCATCAGTGTCGATGCGGGTGGAGTTTCAACTGATTTTCAGAAGGTTTTCTGGAGTGGGATCTATCGCACCATGATCAGTCCTCAGGACTACACCGGAGAAAATCCCTTGTGGCAAAGCGATGAGCCGTACTATGATAGCTACTACTGGTGAGGAATGTCTTTCCGTAACATTGTCATCTTAATCACTAACACGGGGATAGTATCTGGGACTCATACCGCGGTGTTCACCAGCTCTTGACGCTGATGGACCCGTCCTCTCAGTCCTTGATGATCAGAAGTCTAATTGATATTTACCGTCACGAGGGATACCTCCCCGATTGCCGCATGTCGCTTTGCAAGGGTTGGACGCAAGGCGGCTCCAATGCAGATGTTTTGATCGCCGAAGCTTACCTGAAAAAGGTGGAGAACATCGACTGGGACACCGCATATGAAGCCGTCGTTAAAGACGCGGAAGTCGAACCCCCGAACTGGGATGTGGAAGGGCGAGGAGGCCTTCGCAGCTGGAAAAGTATTGGCTATATCCCCAAAAATGATATGGACACAGAAGGCAGGGGATTGCGCACGCGGAGCGTATCTAGGACTCTTGAGTACGCATACAACGACTTCTGTATCGCAGAGATGGCCCAATCGATGGGCCATGAGGATGACTACGAGAAGTACACACTACGTGCGTCCAACTGGAAGAATGTTTTCAAGAAGGACCAGAAGTCATACATCAAAGGCGTGGATACCAATTTCACCGGCTTTGTTCAGCCCCGACTTCCCAATGGGACATGGGACTATCAAGATCCCATACTCTGCAGTCCTCTTATGAACTTTGATTCGTGCTACTTGAATGCCAATGGTCACGAAACCTATGAGGGCAGTTGCTGGCTTTATACATTGTACGTTCGCTCCCCTTCATGAACGAGCTAAGCCTAACAGGTTTACTGCAATAGCTACGCACCACAGGACATGGGCTCGCTGATCACAACCCTCGGTGGCCCAAAGAGCTTCACTGCGCGGCTAAACTATCTCCACGAATCCGGAGTCCTGTATGTCGGCGATGAGCAGGCCTTCCTCACTGTCTTCCAATATCACTACGCAGGCCGACCCGCTCTTTCAACGAAACGAGCGCATTTCTACATTCCTTCTCAATTCAATACATCCGTCTCCGGAATCCCCGGTAATGATGACGGCGGCGCCATGGGCTCATTCGCAGCATTAAGCATGCTAGGCCTATTTCCTGTCCACGGACAAGATGTCTACCTAATCAGCGCGCCCTTCTTCAAGGAAATCAGCCTCCGAAACAAAGTTACCGGGAAGATGGCCACAATTCGGAACATTAATTTCGACTCCAGCTATAAAGCGATCTACATTCAGACCGTCAAGCGGGATGGGAAGCCGTGGACGAAGAATTGGATCGGGCATGACTTTTTTGCCGAGGGGGGTGTCTTGGAGTTGGAGCTGGGTGCGAAGGAAAGTGCATGGGGAACGAAGATTGAGGATCTGCCTCCTAGTATGAGCGAGTATCAGTGGTAGTTGTGTTGGGGTTTGTGTTCACATATCCCATTCCTGATAACGATGTCAGGAAATAAGTCCATCATTGAGCTTAACCATTCGGAGGGTATATACTGCACACTTAAAACGATACGCGGCGGAGAGACACAGCACCGCCTTCCTAATCGATAGCCATCGAGGCGGCTACCGGCGCGGAGTATCTCTTGCTCCGACATATGCAGTACAAATATGCAGTGATGACTAATCCCGAGATATGCATCACCGACCGTAAACGTAAATGCCTTGGTTGAATTCACCTTCTCCTCTCCCACTCCATATATCAAGGCTACTCGCCCTCTCTCCAGTCCTCCTTTGATGCTGGGAAGATGCGTTCTGTCGCGCCCGCGGCACCATTGGCTTCGACTCCGCAACCTTAAGGTTCAATCTAGCTTACACCACCGAACCGTCACCAACATCTCCACCACCAGAGTTCCAATCCACCAGAAACAGCATCATGTAACCAGCGTTCCCCGACAACGCCGGGCCTTCTTCACAGACGCCATTCCCACCGTACTACTCCCACCCACCATCTTCACTGCTTTGCTTCTCGCTCTCTGGACCTGGAAATGTTTCTGGATCGTGGTCATGCAGGACAAACTCCTGTACATCGCGTGGCTGCCGCCGTTCGCGCGTTCCGAAAAGATCGCCGACTATGAAGCCCAGTGTGGTCCTGTGCAGTGGGAGGAGAAGCAGATCCGGAGTTTGGATGGGACGAAACTCGCAGTTTGCGAGGGACGCATGAAAACCCCCTCTGCTTCCCATGCGGACACTACTGCTACGACTATTCCTCGCCACAGCAATCAGGAGACGGTCGCGAAGCGTAAAAAACGCATCGTGATCTGCTACTTCCAAGGAAATGGCGGATCGACGCCTCTCCGGCTCCCGCTGCTCTCGGATACGCTGCGCACGGTGACGTCAGCGTCGGAGGATGACCACGTTGAATATATCGTGGCGGCACTGTCCTACCGCGGATACTGGACGTCGTCGGGTCGCGCGACGCAGTCGGGGATCGAGCTGGACGCGCAGGCGTTCTTGGCCTGGGTCTCAAAGACTTATGTAGAGCCGGACACCGACCTGCGGATGATTCTCTGGGGCCATAGCCTCGGATCAGCGGTTGCGAGTACCGCTCTCGCGACGTATCTGGCTTGTCAGGGCGGCGGAGGTCCCTCGGTGCCAATGCCGAAAGAAGACGGTGATCAGGCAGGGGTGGTGCCAATCACCGGGCTGGTTATGGAGACTCCGACGTCCAGCACAAAAGATATGTTGATCAGCTTGTATCCGCAGAAGTGGCTGCCGTATCGGTATTTATGGCCATTCCTCTGGAACAATTGGGACATCTCGGTAGCATTGGAACGGATGGCGGAATGGAGGGACCAGTGCCGATCGAGAGAGGCGGAGATGAAACAGGGTGGATTTGGTGAGCAGACGGCGGTACTAGGGTCGGGAACTGCGAAGCCGAGACCGATGACTTGCTCGCCGCCTCCCATCCTTATGCTCTCCGCTGAAAAAGATGAAGTCATCCCACCCCACGCAGCAGATCAACTAGAGGCGGATGCGAGGAGGCTGAAGCTGGTACTGCAGAGAAGGCATGTGGCAGGTGCCATGCACACCGAGGCATTGGTCAAAGTGGGAGGCAAGAGAGCGATGATGGGGTTTTTACTTACATCTACCTAGCTGCGTTACTAGCGGTGAACGAAGAGGGGATGAGCGAGCCAAATCTTCTCCCAAACGGAAACTTGTCAATATGTGAGACCAGGTGCTCGACGGAAGGGCGAACCGAGCAACGGTAGAGTTTACACCGTTGTCTTCCTTAGATCCAGAAAAACAGGTACTGTGACTACAGCCAAGGGGAATGAGAGAGAAAAATCAATATTGTATTCTGGGAAAGATAACTAGATCCCGAGATGCTCCCGATTTCCCACTCTTGACCCTAAGATCCGACAGATTCAATCCTCCGGGGGGTACTTAATGTTGCCTGGGGGAGCTTTGAACGTTCTGATCCTCCCGGGATACGCCAGATCCAGGATATTGGGATATGGGGGAATGTCCCAGTTCTCGCACGAGTCATCCTGGAACCCGGTAATCTCGTCGGGCTGAAGAGGCTTGGAGACCACAACTTCGGCTGCACACGACATGGCTTCCCAGATACCGCGTTCCGGAGTCATCAACAATCTATGGACCGCAGGCCTAGTCATGAGAACAGGATAGCGGCCGGTAAGGCAGACTTCCTTTTCAGCAACTCGACTAAACCAGTGCGAGGTAGACAGTGGTTCTTCTTCATCATGAGCAGGGAGTCGGTTTATAGGCGTGAGCAGAAGGCCCCTTTCTTCAGTCCCCGCCCAAGTAGCCAGGATTGCCATCCTGTCGAAGAGCCTAACTAAGCTATCGAGGCGCGTTTGTGCCTTATCCGAGTCGGTCAAAGGACATAGCAGCGGATACACTGGGTGCGATTCGGACAGCACTTTTTTCGCAAGGAGCTCCGCCGCCGACTTTCGGTGGTGAACGCTCCGCAGAACCACAGACTCATTGTAGCAGCGTTTGGCTCTTGCGTCGCAGAACATTCGAAGGGTTTTGCAGCGCCACTCCTCAGCACCCACAATATTAACTGTCGTGTGTGGTGACCAGGTTGTTAGCGAACAGCCCAAAAAGACCACCAAACAAGTATTGAAGGGGAACTCACTTTTTCGGATATGCTTCCATGTCTTATACAGCTCCAAGCCCAATGGTGGGGGCACGCTTTGGATCTCATCCGTCTGGTTGTCCATTGTATCCACGAAGAAGAAAGGGTTGGCCAAGATGGTGTCAAAGGCCTCCTTGGACAACAGAGCCTGGGTCAACAACGATGGGAGGAAGGTGTGAACTTCTTGGGGGAGGTATCCTAGAAAGGTATCCCATTCCTTGGAGATGCAGTAACCATCAAGTGCATCCAGGATAGCCTGCTTTTGATCTGCAGACATCAAGTCTTCGACGGGCTCTGCATTCTCCGTCCCAACTGCATACTGCATTGTCCAGTTGAACGCGAAGCTGCGTAACTGGTTCTTTATCTCATCCATTTCAATATTACTCCAAGCACCCATGGTATGATCCGTCCAGGGCACGCCACACGATCCGCTGAGTTTCTGAACTCTCCTCAGGTCGAATGCCCACTTGGGGTTCAGTGGCCCCCAGCGCTTGTATTGCTTGGCAGGGCCGGTTCCAAACCAGAGGCATTCGTCAGAAGGGGGTCCAGGGAAAAAGTATTCACGTTCTTTCTGCTCAGTGGCGTTGTTGTGGTCCGGAGGTTGTTGCTTGAATGGAGATGCAACCGTGGCGCTGGGGACAGACTGCTCTTTCGCCTGTCTGGGGGAGCGGCGCTTTTTCTGGGTCGCAGGCTATCAGCAGGAGCCAATCAATTGGCGGTATTACAGGCTTGGAGACTTACCGCACTTTCCTTCCTTGCTGCCTTGGTTCTCTTTCCGTTGCCCATGATACAATCGGTGTTCGACAAGAACACGGAAACGAAACAGCAATGGTAGTGGGAATCCACAAAAGATACGACAAGATAAGCAAGCACCGACGTGAGAGAGAAAGGGAAAGACAGGGAGTGAGTAAGTGAGTGAGAATGTTCGTGTGTGTGAAATGGGCAGATACAAGATCGTGAAGGAAACACAAAAGTATGGTAGCAGAAACAAAGGATTGTTGAAGTCTCGATAATGAAGGAGATACTTGATCGATGTATTTATCCTGAATAGTGACCGGTCAAGCTCAGTACTCCGTAGGTTCTCACAGCAAAACAATAAAAAAAAAAAAAAGAAAGAAAGAAAAACAACTGTAAGCAACAAACCGTTGAACGTAGGTATGTATTAGCGAAGAACAAGCTGCCTGGAGTGCAGCAGCTGGGTGTGGGAGAAGCCCTTACTTATGATACTAGCTATGAGTTACATGACTACCAGGAACCGGGAAGTTCCTGGCAGGAAGTTCCCGATGGAGGGGTCCTATCGGCAGGTTCCTAACAACAGAGTCTTTTGTTTGGACTAATAATAGAACTATCAAAGAACAGAACATTTGGTTGCCTGGCTGGTTAGTGGTAGCCTTTGAAGCCACCGAGAGCGAACTTTCTTTGTGGTTACAGTGGCTGCGGACCCAAGTGTTTCACGGAGGCAGTCTCTGCAACCCAGCCAATGGACAGAAATGACGCATTGACGAAAATCGATTCGCTGGCCTATCCGTTTGTCGTCGCTCCGGCACAATTTCTTCTCTAGAGTCAGGGAACGGCTGCCTGCAGCGGCGGGGAATCAAGCCGTTGGATTCTGGCAGAGAGAGTCCTGAGACGCTTTGTGAGGTTTAGAGGTAATATATTAATTTGTTTCACTAGAACTGAGGCCATATGACACTAGAGGTGAGCTGGGAACCGGTGCTCTGCTATACAACATGTCGTGGGCTTCTCCACTCTGGCCGAGCTGAACAGACGGTCTCATAGAGTGGGCAGGAATGTAAGATATGTCGGTGAGAAGCTGAGACCTTCCCAGCCTTTGCCATTGGCGACGCAAACAGGGTTTCACTTTAATGTCGGGGAATGTCTACAGACTTCCTCGGCATCCAATAAAAGGAGGGTATTGAACGACTATCACCGATGTTGTCTTGCCCTCACGGGTTAGGTAGGCAGGTCAAAAGCGAATGCCAAGTAAAAGTGGCTACTACGTACCTAATCAGAGATTGGGTCTGCACATCTCTTGCATGATGGCACATTGACCGATTGGATCGACCACCCTGACAGCAGAAGGCCCCAGATGTACTGTACAATCGCTTAGCGTTTGCCGTGAGAGGAGTCCAGGTCCATCATTCTGCTGTGGTAGGAGTAACACAACACTTTTTAGGGCAATGGGAAAGCACAGAGGCAAAAGAGGGTACAGCTCTTTTTACTCCCCCACGAGCCACTTTTTCACCGTTTACCCCTCTGCCAATTTATTCAGATCTTCTTCAACTTCTATTAGGGACCTTGACCTTCATTTCCACTACTCTCTTTATTCAAGAATCTCACCATCTCGACATGGATACCAAACCCGACCTGGTGATTTCAATTGACTTGGGGACGACATTTACAGGTCTGTGGAAATTTTCTCCCAAGTTGAAAGATTCCACTCTCAGCACTTGCCTTTTTTCTTATTCCTTGTATTTGTCTTCTTATGTCTTTGTATTACCTCGTTGTTCCTGGTCCCCCACCATCTTGGTTTCCGTATGTCTATTCGCACAGATCACTAACGATCCCTGCTTAGGTGTTGCCGCCAAATATCTCGGTGATGACATGAATATCGAAGGCATCCATACCGTAGACGACTGGCCTAACCAACCTGGCGGCGACATGACTGGTAAGGTGCCAACTCGCATCGCTTACCCGAAACAAAATAGGCCCCTACCTGCGGTGCGATGGGGCTACGGAGTCGAACCCGGAATGGTTGCTTGTTCCTGGACAAAGTTGTACCTCGCCGATGGGAACCAATTCGAAGACGAGGCTCTCGAGTTTGCAACAAAAATGAGGATTCTTCAAATCCCTCGCGGGAAAACGCACGAAAATGTCCTCGAGGACTTCCTTGTGGAAGTACTACAATTTGCCTATTCCCGGCTGAAGATAAGATTTGGGGCAAATCTGGCAAACATGCGCAAGGAGATTGTCTACACGTTTCCGGCCACATGGCCTGCAAAATCCATCTCTGCGACCGAGAGTGTTGCCAGAGCAGCCGGCTTTGGGGAAGAAGGCTTCTCTAAAAATGCCAAGATTTCAATGCTAGGGTTCACTGAGCCGGAGGCCGCAATGGCCCTGGTTGTCGGTGAACCAACAGCATTTTCTGGAAGTATTCTAGAAGTATCATACCCGAACCTGTATACCCTAGGCCGTCTACCTCTATCCCAGGCTAATGTTTGTGCGGCAGGGAGGCGACTGCCTCATGATCGTTGACTGCGGTGGCGGTACGGTAGTGAGTCTGGCATACAATGACAGATGTGTCTCATAAACTGTGGAAGCCTACTAACAGCTCATAGGACCTCACGACTTACCACGTGGCTGATGCAAATCCACTTTTATATGACGAGCTCACGAGCTCTATGGGTAAGAAGCCTCTTTAACTCTGATGGGATGCCGACTGAATGGCTACAGGCGGTCTATGTCGGTCATCCGCTATAGACCGAAACTTTTACCTTTGGATGAATGACCAGTTCGGATCGAGCTTTACAGAGCTCCCATTAAATCTCACCGGTCTGGGGAGCGAGTTTATGCGCCATTTCGAAGATGCAAAATGTCAATTTGATAACACCCAGCAAGAAGAGGTTTTTTATCTTCCCTTGGCCATGACAACCAGGGGCCGTATTCCTTGTTACGACAAAGACAGCTCTCTCGTCTATCTCAGCAGGTATTGATCACATCCTTATGCCTGACGAGAAATATTTTTGCTTTAAATCTACTAACCAAACACCCAGCACCGTTCTTCTCGGATTTATGGAGCCAGTTGTCATGAAGATCACTCGGATGATCGATGAACAAATTGATGCGACGAGGGTGAAGACACGGGGAAAATCCGTCAACGTATGGTCGTGGTTTTCTTAGGTTCTAGACAAGATGTTGAGCTGATGCGGATGTAGAAGTTATTTTTGGTCGGAGGTTTCGCCAACTCGGCGTATCTGTGTGCAACGGTTGATGCTCATCTGGAAAGCAGAGGAATCCGGATCTGCACGCCGGATAAACCGTCTGTGATCTTTTTTCGTTTGATTCGTGTGCTTTGCTTAACCAAACCTTCTAACTATGATCGATAGACATTTGGCAGTGGCAAAAGGTGGCGTTGTGCGAGGCTGTAACATGCATGGCCCTACACGACGGATTTCAAGATATTCATTTGGCATAGAGAATATGTCTGAGCCCAACGCCATTGTTGGGTTTCCGCCGGAACAAGAGATTCATTGGCTTTTGACAAAGGGGGATTCGTACGGAGATGATGATACCAGGTTCAAGACCATTTCCTGCACTCACATTGTACGGGAACCCCCCGTAAAAACAGTCCGCATCTTCGCGACAAAGCAGGACCCTCCTCCAACTCGATTTGGTGATCTTGGTATGAGACAGCCATTCCCTCCCACATCTTCTCCATCACTGGTTTTTATCTCTATATCGCGTTCTAATACTTTTATCTTGATCAGATACCCGAGAGGCTGCTAGTATACGCTGCGAACTGTCGGATATGGGGCAGGAAAATATGTTCCGAGCAACTATCAATGGCCGAGAGACCTATCATGTCCCTTTAAAGGTTGAGATGATACTCCGGGCGAGAAAGGGTTCCATAGAGTTCAAGGTGACTTCATTCCGGAATAGGTTGCTGGGGACTGCAACCCTGCGATTGATTGATTTTTGGTGAGCTGAAAAGGTGATGCCTTTCATTCGCTGTTTCGATCGTTATGAAAGCTTCCATCGTTTGTGTATGTGCATCGATCGTCCTCCGGCGCATATAGTTTGTTCATATTCATCCCTCGAAGTCGCTGTCTCCATCTCTAATACCTGTCTCATCACGTTTCCATTAGACCTTCTTTGTGTGGTTCGTGTACCTTTCAAGACATGGCTTATGAAGCCTGAAGCGTTAGTTGAGAATACTTTATCTTACTCCATACCCCAAAGCATTCCTTCAATTGAAGCATAAACGCGCATATATTGGGTCAACCAGCCTAAACCCCATCCTGGAACATAAGTCTAACAGCCAAAAAAAAAAAAAAAAAAAAAAAAAAAAAAAACACAAAAATGAGCATCAATCAGCTTGCCGTTCGCTCGGTCTGAAAACGTTCTATATGTTGTTTCCCGCAATGCATTTACAGGTTCCACATTATATTCCCGCGACAGCCACCACAACAGCAGCAAATAACCCGGCAGGATGATTCCAGGCCGGAGAGCCCCGACGCCATCGTCGGACACGTCGTCCACTTCATCTTTCACATCATCCTTGATATCGCTCGCTCCGTCCTTGATGTCGTCTCCAATGTCACTGGCTTTATCTCTGATCTTGTCCAACACGCTGTCGTCGTCATTGTCGTCATCGTAATCGTCATCGTCGTTATTGTTGTCTTTGTCATCATTGTCGTCGTCGTCATCTCGAGCATATAATTGTGGAAGGTGCTTATCGCTTATAGATGGAATCGCGGACCGATCATCAAGGATGTGGATTGAGTTTTCCTCGGGGGCGTCACGGCGCATGATATCGAGCGTTGAGGAAGAGGGCGGCCTTATGATTCCAGCGAAGACGGAAGAGGCAGAAAGAAGGAGGGCGACGCCGATCGTTGAAGGTTGGGGGTGCATATTTGCAGATGTTATAATTTCCCGAAAGAATCAGGTGATATAACTTTGCAATTGTTCTCTGACTGGTAGCTCTTGATATAGAAGATATGACGAACTATATTATGTATATGCGGTGCTTTGATCTTAATGAATTGACATAAGGCAAGAAATAGACTGAGGTAGAATTGATGATGGATTTGAAGTTATACGGGGCTTTGGACGATATTAAATATACTCAACTAGGAAGCTGAAACTCCATCGCAGTCATCTCTTTCTGTCCCCATTTCTCCCGAACGGGTTCAACAATGCGCTTTTTGCCAGCGCCGTCAGATGCCAGCGCCACAACGTCCGTCTATGCATACCACATCCACCCATACAACCGGGCAGTGTCAGCATGCTGACTTGTAGGGCTGGCTAGCAGCAATGGGGGCCGCCAGTGGTGAAACGAACGCGCCGCAGATGCAAATGACGCAGCGCCAAGACCTCCATCCAACGTAGCTCGAATAAAATTCTTCTAGGTACGAGCTAGAACGTATTGGGTTTCTACTTAACTAGAAGTATTTCCAGATTCGGCCAAATGCAACGCTCGTTCGAGCTGAGCCCCCAAATGCGTTATTGCTGTGGCTCGTATTGGGAATGCTAATCAGTCTTGGCGTCAGCACAGTAGTTAGTTCTAATGTTATTAAAGAGCCTTTCCTGATGTGAGGAATATCTTAAGCCAGTACAATTTCAACTTGTGGTTGAAGGTCTTGGGGTATATGTCCGAGACCCATCTCAGATCCGCTTTGGGGCCGGGGAGAATATGCTAAAATGTAGACACATTTCGGTTCTACTCTCTGTAGGACAGGATTTGCTTCTCGAAGGGAGTGTGCTGTCTTACTTCTGGACCTGCTTATGTGAGTATAGGCCCAGCCATACCTAACTTCGATTTCGCTCTATAACAAGAATGTTTATTAGCAAACTTATTAGTCAGCCTTCATTCATTTGAAATCATTGATTCCTCTAGGAACTGAGCTACTCATAACATGTTGGGCCTAATTTCGGGTCATATAAACCATGTTTATGCCTCGCCGACTTGCAATACGGTTTTAGACTATCGTACGATATCTATCAATCTAGTCATTATTATCACAATTTCGAAATGCTTGGAAGCATCAATATAGGCCCCTGAGCAAAATGAAGGCTCTAGAACACCTCGACTGGCGGCAAATTCTGATCTTTCGTCGACAAATTGCGTTAAATATAACAGACAGTGATCCGAGTTGACTACGACGAAGCTAAATCAACTGGGTATAGAGACAATTACCGTACGGGACCTTCTACTTTGAGGTTGGTTGGTTAATCCTGCCATCAATTCTTGTGCACGCAGCGGTATTAGATCCAGTATCAAAATTTACTAGCAATCTGAGAGATAACTCGGAATGACCATGAGCTAATCGATATTACCTACAACGCGTAACAGAATAATGAATCAGACAACCAATTTGAAAACACAATAAATCCCATATACTCCCGCAACTAGAAATGGGTATAGCAGCGGCCTTACCCTAGCATCACAGTCATAGGAAGCCCGCGCAATAATCCAATCCTGAATAGTTTCTCGCGGTGCGCCCTCCGTGAAGAACATCAATCCCATGAGCTTCTGTGTCAGCGCCTGCGCCTTGCCCCCTCGATCCATCAATTCCTTCTCATATCGCACCACGCTGTCAAGCTGAGCGTACAAATCCCGGTCTCTCGTGCTTATTATCGCTTCGGCCAGTTTCATTGCATCTTCTAGCGCGATATTGACCCCTTCGCCGGCAAATGGTGTCATGAGATGCGCCGCGTCACCGACAAGAGTGACGCCCCGTCGAGACTCCCACTCCGTTCCCACGGGAAGCATATACAATGCCATGATCCGCATATCGCCCACTGTCTTTCGGACCATGTCCAACAGCTCCGGCGCCCAGTCTTCGTATTCTCGGCAGATTTCCTCCCTGGATGGCTCCTTGGCCCGCATCCCTTTCGCCCAAGATTCATCTTGCCGTGAGTACATTGCCACCTGGATACTTCCATCGCCCATTTGCTGTCCCATAATGGACTTGCCGTCGGAATAGGCAAATAATGATCCGCGATTCACCAGCTCGTATGCCTCAGGGGCGTTTTCTTTGGCATTGGGGATAGATAAATTGAAGCCTGATAAGCCCGAGTATTCCGGTTCTGTGGACGTTATCGCCGCGCGGACCCGACTCCAAGCCCCGTCAGCGCCAACGATCAGATCGTATCCTTCTTCGATGCCGTGGGCGAATTGTAGGTGCTCGTGCTCATCTACCCGTTCAAGACGGTGGTTCCATCGTACCAGTCCGTCGGGAAGGGACCGCAGAAGCAGCTGTCGAAGTTCGAGGCGATCGATCTCGGGGTTAGACGCGAACATACGAGGGAGCTGGAAATAAGGTTGAGCTTTTTTGTCGGAGACAGTGAGTGTTGAGCCGTCGAATCGCGCATGCTTGACGAACTCGTCGTACAGGTTTGCTGCCTTCAAAGCTGCGATGCCAGTTTTGGGATGCAGGTCGAGAGTCCCGCCTTGAGTGCGAGCGTCAAGCGACGGCTCTGCCTCGAAGACAGTCACGCTGATGTCGTGAAGGTGAAGGATGCGTGCGAGTAGACAGCCGGCGGGGCCGGCCCCAATTATGGCGATCTTCAAAGACGACATGAGTTACTGTTAAGAGAATATAGACTTGAGGTGTAGAGATGCGCAGAGACGGAAGGGGCGTGCATGAGCCATTTAACATGGAAAAATGGGCGATCACGTGGTATCTATATCGCATCAGAATGACATGATTCCTGACGCTCCAGAGCGGCAATTATCCGTGTGAAACGATGTGCTATCCTACTACACCCAAATGACTGCCTAGATCAAGTCAGGCAACAACATTCTCTTTGGCCTTTGTCAACCTCACTCTATCCTCCATAGTATCCTACTGGTTCTAATATTGACCATTTGAAACTAGCAGGTCCGTGATAGCTAGGCTACGGAGTAAGTTGGCATTATCCGATGCGGTCAATGCGCAAGCCCGAACGAACCCACTCAGTATACTTGGAAGCTCTCTCAATGGCCGTAGCCATGATATCCTCTTAGTGCAGCTCCACTATCCATGAGCGGAAATGAGCGGGTTTAGCTTTGGCGGTTAGCAGGTTTATTATTTTGATGGCTGACGCTAGGGGTCTTGATTGGCTTATCTTATTATAAGCTTGCATATTATGGCCCCATACCGACTCTCACATCGCCTAGAACTGGCCTCGCGAGTACGATGGCTGCCTATTTGGGCGTAGTGTATAGATAGGCATCAACGTCTAGATTCATCCCATTTGCCGGTCCCAGTCCAAGCGCCCTTAGTTGACCGCTACCTTTTCCGTTCTGGGCGATACGAACAGTTAATGAGGGGCGTGTCTCGGGCGCTAGACTGGGGTTCAATCCTCTCGAATATCTCGGAAAGCCCCCAACGCCTCTCAGGTAGGTTGAATGTTGTATATTCCCATGTACTAATTGGCTCGCAGGAAGTGCTCCGTTTCAGGATCACGGAGCCACCTAAACAATTCCAACACTGCCATCAGAGATCCCGTTCCAGATGCCAGTACGGTGAGAAAGGTAGATATAGCACTTCCGAGCTCATCATCAGTATGTTCGACAAATTCTACGCTCATATCATTCTCGCTTTCATCATGTCAGAGTACCAACTCCCTGACATCCCTCCCTGTACACCGTACGACCCTAGCGTCAGTCCAGGGAACTACGGTTACCAACCAAGCCTAGGATGGAGCATCGCATTCACTCTTCTATTCACGGCTATAGCTGTCGGACAGACGCTTCATGTGCTACGAACTCGGGCCTTCTGGACTGTTCTGTTCATCGTCGGCGCGATACTCGAGATCATCGGCTGGGTCGGGCGGAGCATCAGTCACCGATGTCCATACTCCCGAACATGCTTTCTCATGCAAACGGCAACATTAATCATGGGTATGACCACATTAAACCTATTTATTTATCCGCCGTCAAACCTAGATCGCTAACGCAAAGAAACACAGGCCCCTCATGGACCCAAGCAGGCATCTACGTCACCCTCTGGGTTCTAATCCGTGACATCGGTCGACACGTATCTCCCTTCCCACCCAAGACCTACCTAGTCATATGCTTTATCATTGATTCCGTCTGTCTCATCACCCAAGCCGTCGGCGGCGGCCTCGCCGGCTCCGCATACAGTAGCGGGATCTCGATGCAAGTAGGCACAACCACCATGGTCGTGGGTATCATCACCCAGCTAGTCGCAGCCGTGATCTTCTCATTCCTTCTCGGCATTGTGATCTACCGCGGTGCGTCCGAGCTACGTACAAATCTCCCCTTGTTCTACGTGGCTACCGCAACCGTCTTCTCTACGGCGATGATGATCATGCGGAATGTGTACCGCTCGATTGAGTTGACAGAAGGGTGGAGGGGGTATCTTATCACGAATGAGCGGTTTGTTCTCGCGTTAGATGCCCTGCCTATGGTGCTTTCGATGGGGATCTATGTCTTTTTCAACCCGGGGGAACAGTTTTGGAAGCAGAGGGTTAGTGTTGATGGGCAGGAGCTTGTTGGACAGGATGAGGTAAGGAATCATGCATTGCAGAGGTATTTGAACTTGTGATGGAAGTTTTGCGGATGGTGTGTACTCAGGGTTATTAACTATAGCCTGGTGGCTTTGGCTCGTTGCAAAGGAAAGGGATAAATAAAACTATAAACAATCCACTTCTAGACAAAGGCCCCAATGTTCTGGAGTAACGGTATACTATTGCGGAGGGTTATCACTTCGTAGCACCTGTGGGTCATTGAGAGCACTGTGGAAAATCTCTCTCATCTCACCATACAACCTTTTGTCCTCGCTTTCGCGCCTCTTTCCATTGGGAAACACCACATTCCGTAATCTTTTGATCCAGGGGATCAGAGGTTGATAGTAGGCTGTGAAATATTGACTCGTTGTCTTCATGAAATCGCCTTCATGAGAGACTTGTCCTTTTTTCAGCTCCGCCAACTCCTCAGTATCGACATAGTTCCACTTTTCAAAGCGCTCGACTATTCGACTTTCACCTGGGCCTTTATAATGAATGCAGATCCAGAAAAACACCCAGAAAAAAGACTCTAGATCGTGCATAAAAGAGTGCTGGTCGCCTTGTAATGCGCCGATGGCCATGAAAGCCCTTGTGCCAGTTTTTCCTTGTGCTCCCGACACGCCATTGCGTTCCTGTCTTATGGCAAGGTCTAGACCAATTAGGAAGGCTGGCCAGGATGGGTTCCCTATGTCGTCGTTCACCATAAGATTATTAATGGAGATGTCCCTATGAAGAAAACCGCACTCAAGTAAAGATTGATGTCCTTCGATGCAACCTTCTAACCCAGCAAGCAGAGCCGCTCGAGATTTTGCTTTGTAGATCGGCTTTCCATAGTCACGAAGGATGACCCTCCGATGGACCCTATTGGACAATGTGTCGATGCTAAGCTTGGCTGAAGGTGATGAACAAGATCGCTTACTCGGCGGGAAAACGGCTTCAGTCTCGCTAGACGGCCTTTTCATACCAGTGCCGCTGCTGCGACCTTTCTGTTGAATCTTCGCGGCATTCGTACTTGACAGGAACAATGAACGCGGTTGACGATGATTCGTAGCATGTACTACCTCTAGGCCTTTGCGAATATTGGTTCGAATATCGTCATCTGCACCGCCGACCTGGACAGTCTCGTGATAGTAGTAACGAGCTGTGTTGACCACAGCCTTGTCAGTCACTTCTTGTAGTATTTCGCCTTCTTCATCCCGATCAGTGTACTGCCATGAATCTTTGATAACCAGTCGGGTATGTGGGTCGCTTCTACAATGAGCCTTCCAACAAGTCGTTGCGCGACCAGCAATGCAGCGCGTACGTTTCATCATCTCGTCCAGAATGAGTTGCTCCGTCTGACCATCGCGTACAATTTCAATATACCTCTCATCATCGATGGCGATAATCGTAGGATCGAAGCCAAGCTCTTCGCGGTCCATGCAAAGAAATCCGAGTATTGACATCAAGAATTGCAGACTACCAGCCTTGTTGATATCGAAGCGTTCGGAAGCAATCCCACCCAGCCGATCAAATAACCACACTCTCATGAAGGATCCACAGAGGGTAAAGCCCAAAACGAACCGGCGGGTGTCTTGGGCGGCAAGCACCTCCCTGGCGTAGGTCGCGAGATCGATCCACGACATTGAGGCCTTGTCCGCAGCTGTGTTGCTTTTCAACTCACCGGGGATGAGTATATGCGACCAGTTATAAGTAGATTCTTCTCCTGGCTGACTAGCCACGAAACCTATGTCCATGCTGCGTTTACCTATGGAGCCTGCAAGTGGAGTTTTCGGCTGGGCCAACAACTTCCGGCCATGTGTGGAGATTGAATGATATTCCTCCGCAAAAGCCACAAGTTTTGGGATCAGACCACCAAACCATGCCAGAACGCTGCTTTCTTTGGCCTCCGCAGGCCAACCCGTCCAACCCTCCTCGCCAAATAACGGGTCCTCGCCCTCGGTACATCTGCGCAAGACTTCTAAAGCAGTTGCCTCAAGACCAGGCACACTTCCAAAGAAAGTCTCGCAAACGTTAGGAATACCGACATAAAGGGGTCCAAATTCGAATTTAAGTGCTCTATCTACGTCCAGATGAGGTTCTGACGAGTTTACGAGGCTGCTCGTTGTGTGTTGCCATGGCGTCTGCTCTGAGGAAGAGGCAGCCGGGCGGGGAGGTGTAGGCTCAACAGCGATGGAAGACACTAGATCCCATATCACTGCATCATGTGTCTTCTCCGAAATTTGCTACTTTTAGTAGAGGTTTTATACGGTTGAAATCGAAGCTATCAGAGGCGACAGCAGATATGATTCTCAGGAGGTCGCTTCGAACGGTGCTTCTCCCTGACTTTGATCGCAGGAGACGGGTGATAGGAAGGATTTGAAGAGCAGTGAGTAGGCTGGACGTGAGATCTTGAGCATCTGCAGGGGCTGTCAGAGAAGACCTCGTACCCGGATTGCCTATCTCACCTTCTAGGTCAAGATGATCAAGGTCACCACCTATACCAGCACAGATCAAGTTGAAGGAAGCGCGAAAAGAATCGAGCCCGTGTCCGATCGGGTGTTCGTCGATTAATCTCGACCACGCTTGTTCCGACATAGCATGGCTGTGGTTCTGAAGGCTTTCACGATAAGAGATTCAAGGAGTTTCGCGTCAAGACCAAGCTAGTTAGGTCACTGTGTGGGGCTTCGACTCATGTTGCGGACGGAGCTGGCGAAATCGTCCAAATCGCCAACGTGACGACCGTCGGCATCGGAATGACAGATCTTCCGACCACGGCGAATGCTCTTGGACTTGATGTTGATCAAAGACAAATATTCATAAAGCATCAACTTGATACAACTTTCAACAATCATCCGATATGGTGTAATGGTTAACATCGCCGTCTCTCACACGGCAGCTCGGGGTTCGATTCCCCGTATCGGAATAACCATATGAACATTTCTTTTTTGTTTTGTTTTTGTTGCCTTGCGCCCCGCCCCGCCCGCTTATTACCAATTTACCATCTTTTGACTTCAGCTCAGACCACGCAATCTATTTTTTTCCCATCATCCATCCCGTTTGACTTTTATCTCGGAATGTTACCCTTCTGTTACTGCTGTTACTGGAAAGAGGGGTTACTCATGGGTCACTCAGAACTCAGCGACTGGAGATGATGTCTTGAATATATAACGGTACCTAGTAACATACACTTCGATTCCATTTACCTTTACCCACCCCGGGTGAGTTTCATCGCACAAAACGTACATGTAAATAATATACAGACATTTTCGCGCTCGGAATAACTGAAAGTGCTTATGGAAAAACACCAGGTTGCTGGTGGTGTTAGATCGTTTCGAGCAAAGTCCTATAAATGTGATGACACTACTTAAAGCGGCAAACCTGAAGGAGATTATCTATTGAAGTCAATTCATATGCGGGCGCTTGCACGAAGCCTAAGTCCGTGTTGAACGCTGATATAACCTTGAGTGTAAGAGAATCGACTAACTCCGAGTCATAGAAACATTCAATTGGTACCAGGAATGCAATCGATCCTCTCTATAATCTAAGAAGGTATACCTACACTCTAGTAGTCGCAAGATACACAGGCTGCGATTAAGAATAATCAAGCGCGTGAGTTGATAGTAATCAGAGCCAGTAGAGTAAGGGGAACAAATCAAGTCTCAGGTCCCTATCCAAATGACCGTGGGCAGAATATACATCATGTGAATATGACGATCATGCTATCTTGCTGATTGGAGGACTTGAAGGTACTCGAAGACAAGGCTCGGTAGAAGACTGACCCGGAAATATCTTTCTCCTACTCTGTTTGGCTGATAGGTATCGGTCGACTGAATCATAAGCATCGCTACAAATCGAAAAAAAAGTTCGCTCTAGGCCGTAGACCAACGTATCACAGATCACCATGAGAGATCATACGTTCAGTTGAGTCAGAGTAGTGAGCGAGCTTCCATATAAGGAAGTCCAATTAGGGTTCGCCCGGACCGGCCGATTGCCACGAAAACAAGGCTCCAACGACGCCATGTGACCAAGCAACCAGATGATCCGAACAAGCCGAACCAGAACAAGCAACTGTCGAAGAGACAGGGCCCGAATAGAGTAGGACCGTTGCATGTGGCAAGTGGGCCAATCCATCGTATAAATTCGCAGCCCTGTTAGCCCGTTTCTCCCCCCCGCAAACTACCATTCCACCGTATCCACAGAATGCCAATCCCGGCAGAATGCACGGTATTAGTAGTCGGTGGAGGACCTGGGGGGTCCTATGCGGCGTCGCTGCTGGCCCGAGAGGGGTTGAACACGGTTTTATTGGAAGCTGATGAGTTTCCGCGGTATGTGGTTGTCCCTGACACCTTTGGTTGAGGATGTATATCTGAATCAGATGGGGTAAATCTCTAGATTTCACGTCGGTGAAAGTATGCTTCCTTCCATCCGCCATTTCTTCCGATACATTGATTTGGACACCAAGTTCAAAGAGCATGGTTTTACCAAGAAGGTAGACATCATTATCATTCTCATGCGACATTATCATCGTGTGAAAGCTCTGACAATCACAGAATGGCGGCGTGTTTAAATTGAACTCAAAACCAATAGCCTGTAGGTTCTCGCTTCTTCTCCACCGGAATAAGGTAATGGCTGACGTGCAAAGACACGGACTTCGTCGGCGCCGGTGGTCCTGAGAACTATACGTGGAATTTCCTGCGATCGGAATCCGACGATCTCATGCTAAAACACGCGGTCAAGTGTGGTGCCAAGGTCTTCACTCCGGTTCGAGTCACATCCCTGCAGTTTGCGCCAACTGGAGCCAGGGACAACTCGGCGCAGTCGACTCCTGATAATGCCAGCCATAGTTTGGGGCGACCGGTGTCTGCAACGTGGGCTTCGACGGAAGACTGCGGAGCCATTCGATATAAGTATCTGATTGATGCCACGGGGCGTTCAGGAATCGTGAGTACGAAGTACATGAAGAACCGGAAAATGAACACGGCGTTAAAAGACGCCGCAACCTGGGGATACTGGGAAGGGTGTGGCGTGTTTGGCGAGGGAACGCATACGGAAAATGATCCATATTTTGAAGCCATCAGAGGTGTGCTGGTTTACTCTCTCCTGAAGGCAAAGCTAATAAACATAGACGGCAGTGGCTGGATCTGGGCAATTCCACTGAAGGAGATGGTGTCGATCGGGGTAGTCATGAAGCAAGAAATTGTGGTGGCCAAGAAACGAGAACGCCGCTTATCACCTTCACAGATCTATGTCAATTCAATTGAGAATACCCCAGGAATCAAGAATCTCCTGGAGAAGGCGGAATTAGTTTCGGATCTGCATTCCACGGCTGACTGGTCGTATAATGCCACAACATATGCCAGCCCGTATCTGCGAATCGTCGGCGATGCAGGATGCTTCATTGATCCGCTCTTCTCGTCCGGGGTGCACATGGCCTTGGTGGGAGCTCTGTCCGCTGCGGTAACCATATGCGCGGCGGAAAGAGGGAACTGTGACCAGGCCGTCGCAGCCGATTGGCATACGAAAAAGATCGCTGAAAGTTATGCCAGGTTTTTACTAATTGTCGCCAGTACCCGCAAGCAGATTTCTAGTCGCGAGGAGCCGGTGTTGAATGATCCGGCGGAGGGAAGCTTTGATCGCGCATTCCATATATTCCAACCCGGTATGCACAATTAGCCCGGTTAAACCAAGCATATGCTCATAGCGTCAGTAATCCAAGGTGCCGTCGACGTCGAGGATGAGAGGCTCAACCAAGAGGAAGTCGCCAGGATATTTGAGTTTTGTGCAGAGGAAACATTTGGCAGTCAAACCGATATCGAGAAGATGGCCAAAGACGTTGGGTTGCCGCCAGAGACCGTCGAGCGCTATCGGGCTATTCTTCTGGAGAACAACGGGCCGGATACGAATGACCTCGAAAATGAGGCCTTGGATGGGCTGAGACCGAACATGAAGCCAGGAGCGCTGGGACTGATTCATGCGTGCTGATTCATTACGTTCGCCTTTTTAGAAATCCTTTGGTGGCAAATATGTCACGCCCCAAAAAGCGTCAATTCTTGCTTTTAGCGAAGTGCTATTCATGCATACCCTGCGTGGTGACAATTAGGCAGTTGTCCTGCCACTGGGGAGAACAGATTTATACTACCAAAGCTTTCTTCAGATCAGGAATTGCGTTGACTCATTGCACACAGCCCAGCCATAGTACACTCCACAATAGTTAAAACGCAGAACTGCACTGCGTTGCGGCCCCATAAGATCAGATGTCCCCCTACGTGGTCCGTGACCCCCGTCGGGTTTTGCGGGTTTTGGCGGAAATTGTGGACTGAACATAAATACCAGTCCATTCAGATTGAAGGACTCGCTATAAATTACTGCGCATTAGTTCGCAACCAAATCAAAATGTCTTCAACTCGATTCTTGCCCAAGTCCCTGAAGTCCACCGCCGCCGTTGCCTCCGGCTTCGCGATCCTCGGTATCGGGATCTACAGCGTGCGATCGGCCTTCCCGACAGCCCAGGCCGAATCTACAGAGCCACCAGTGATCTTCTCGGGATTCAGCCCCACCACGTTGCACCTGCAGAGCGTCAAGACCGTGAACCACGATACGAAGCGTCTGGTGTTCGAATTCCCGGACAAGAATGCCAGGAGCGGACTATCTCTTACCTGTAAGAAGCACATATTCCTCGATCGTAGCGAACAAACAGGCAAAGACTAACAGTCATACCCCCATCAGCGGCGCTTCTCACCATTTCTCGTCCCCAGGGTAGATGGCTTCCTGTCCTGAGACCATACACCCCTATCAGCGATCTAGGTAAGTGTATCTTTCACCACCATATCACAATTTCTCCTAACAATGGCCCTATATCTAGACGAAAAAGGCCATCTCGAACTCCTCGTCAAAAAGTACCCCCATGGCAAAGCAAGCACACACCTCCACTCCCTCGTACCAGGAGACACCCTCACATTCGCAGCTCCGCCTCCACTAAAGGGCTTTCCTTGGAAAGCGAACCAGTTCTCCCAAGTATATCTAATCGCGGGCGGAGCGGGAATTACGCCGCTCTACCAGCTCCTGAAGGGGATATTGAAGAACCCGCACGACAAGACGAAAGTGGACTTGGTTTTCGGGGTCAATACAGAACAGGACCTATTGCTCAAGGAAGAATTGGAGGAATATAAGAGGCGGTTCCCGGGGAGGTTTGATTACGTGTATACGGTTACTAACGGGGAAGAGGATTCGGGGCTGAGGAAGGGCTGTGTGACGGAGGAGTTGTTGCGCGAGGTGATGAAGGAAGGACGGGGGAGGGATATGAAGGTGTTTGTTTGTGGGCCGCCGGGGATGGAGGAGGCGTTGGTGGGGTTGAGGGGATCCGGGGAGGGCATTTTGGGGAAGTTGGGGTTCGAGAATGATCAGGTATATAAGTTCTAAGAAGGGTTGTGAGATGGAAATGTGGGTATGTGATTTTACATAGTGGGAGTTTATGTAACATATAATGGAGTTAATGGATGCCTTTTGCATAGAAAAGAGACCGTCAATAGAGGTCTGATTACACTGCGGAGGAGGTAACCTTAACTTCAGGATATATGCGATTGAATCTATGCAAACATAGTACAAGAATAGGAGAATCCGTATTGTTTCACGCCAGATCTCGGCCAGTAAGCCTGGACTGCTCTAGCGCACGGGCATAGACGATCGGTCAATGTCTACTCGAGTAGACATTGACCACCGCAGACGGTTGATTCCCCGCATCCTCGCCTAAACCTCTTCGTGAGTGTGTTATTGAAAAGAGATCGCCCGTTGAAGCTACAATCTTCTTGCTCAACCTTTTAGACTCTCCAAGTTTGACCATGGCCAGCATCGACCAGTATTCAGACCAGTTAAAGGAGGTCATCTCTACCAAAACTTCAAAGCTTGTGGCCCTTACTCGCGCTGCGGGATATGTTGTGGGTTATACCTGATTGTTGATCGATTGATATATACCGTCTAAAGTAACGAGCACCGATCCCCCCATAAAAGAGAGCTAAGTGCAATCCATACATGTACACCCCTCCTGCAAACACAAAAGCCGATCAATTTCCTCCGGAATCTCATAAATCCCAAAAGCAACAGTATCAATAAATCGCCATTTCTTCCAAACCCGAAAAGCGTTTTCGAACCGATCCTCACGGTCGAATAAAGTTGACAAATGATAGATCATTCCGTCGTAGACCGCGTGAGGGTTGGTATACTGCCGGGGAGGAGGAAGCTCGCTGAGATGGAATGTCAAAGCTAGGCGCGTGCGGCCGGGAACAATCTCTCCCAGCGCATCTGGCTTTCCCTCGCGGTGCTGTTCTAGCTTGTTGCAAAGCTTGTTGCAAATATTCCCAATGGGTTGTTCCATTGATCTAAGGCTGATATCAATGAACAGCATTACTTCCCAGCTGTTGCGGTACTTGAAAGGGAGCACTGGGCCATTGATGGGCTCATCGATAGGCTTGTAGGGGTCAAGAACTGACATTCTGAGAGAAATGCTAGGGTTTGTTGGAAAGGGATAGATGGATTTCAGTAAAGGAATGGTCGGAGAGATGTTGGTTATTTGATTCGGACTGTTTGATGTATGAGTTGAAAATACTATTTATAGTTGTACTATAAACATGAGCCCTTGACAGTGCAATGGAGGAAAGTAGGGAACATCCTATACAAGCGTAGAACTCTACCGAAAAAGGCACTTGTTGGAAAGAATCCATTGTTAGAGTGCAACGAGCGGCAGCAAAGGGAGACAATGACGTTCTTTTATTCTAGTTGTATGAACAAAGAGTATTCCACCATAGCAAACTAGAACCGTTGAGGAAATTAGTGGCTGCAAAGGTACAACTGAAATAATCAATGCTCTAGCCGTCAAGGCAAACATGAAGATCTTGGACATTCCATAGCTATCATAAGGGTGTTTGTGTTAGTGTGCTGGACGAAAAAGACAAAGACAAGGGTACGAGAAACCCTCAGGAAGGTTCCGGACATATCTGCCAGGAAAGGCCATCCGGAGGTGAGCATGAATCCATCATCAACAGGATCTTGATATTGGCTAATGATTGATCAAACTTAGAGAGATTAAGATTGAACATATGACTGAAATCACCTAGATAGAGATCTGGACTTTGTTTTGCCGCTCAGGCGCCACCAAAATAATCTTCCAGTACAACGACGGCGCCATTGAACGCAAAAGTAGGATGAATTGAGCCTAACTATAACCAAATTATATGTCTAAACCAAAACATAAAAGGAACGCTGTAACATACGCAGCGCTTGCTGTGATAGGTTTTATCTGACACCCAACTATAGGAATGATGCTTACAGTATGCTAGAAGCAATTCAAGAAGAAGAATCATCAAATTATTAGATACAGTTATACCCAGGTTCAAAGGAACTCGCAATATTGCATAGGAGTTCCCTGTCATTCAGGGACGGAACAGCTCGTCATCCTGTCCACCAAACGAACTGCAATCGGAAAGCTCAAAAGCAGCTAGTTCCGACAAATCAGAACAGCTACTCGCAAGCCACTCATCGGGTTCATACTCTAGCTGTGAACTCGGTTCAGGCCGAGGCGGATAAAAGTCAAACTTCAAAAGCACAGACTGACGAAACAAGTCTGGATCCATGAGCTCGAATGGTCGGAATGGTCCTTGAACATTCTCCACAAGCTTCTCCAAATGACCATTGATCCTCCGAAGGGCTGGAATGATGTCCTCTCTGCTGGTCTGAAGTTCTGTACCAATATCAGTCATCAGGTATCTCATAGAGATACGCTGGAACCCATCAGGCGGAGGTTCGTTAAATTCCTCGATAGACGGGAAGGAAAGGTGTCGCTTCACGTTTTTTACCTGCTGAGGAACCAGGCGACGAAGGACATGGTAGCGCACTTCTTTAGCGGTGGCGCTCATATCTTGGAGAACAAAATCGCTAATGTCAAAGTACATGTAGAGGAACTCGAACTCGGCCAACTCGGCCTTGGCTCGTTTCATCCAACCTAGGTTAGCACTCCTGGTTTTGGGGTGATAGACCTTTTGTCGTTTACATTGCTTAGCTTGCCCGAGGTTGGGCCTGGGAGTAGTAGGTGAATCCATTTTGCATTTTAGTGGTGATGAGGCTTGTATGTATGAGTGGAGCTGGGATTTATATAAGGTATAACAAAAGTGACTATTGCCATATCTGGATACTGAAGATGGAAATTCCCGTAATAAATATGAAAAGAAAGAAAAAGGTGATGCGCTACCGGAGAACATGTAATTGGATGTTTTAAGGTGAAAGGAGAATTTCAGTCAAACTTTACAGCTGGTTGAGGTTGACGAAAGCCGTAACGTAACCTAAACCATATGCTAGTATCGCTAGTGCCTTAGACGAGCAATACAAAAGTGCGCTCGATGTTTAGATTGTCAGATAAAGCCTGCATTCTCACCTAGAAACACACCATTGAGACTAAAGATAATTAAGAATGAGAACATTCCAACACCAAGAACCGTACACATAGAACTTTGCAATAGCACGTTTAGTCCTCTTCTTACGGTTGGCAAGATTGATGAGGAACCTCCGTGGAGAACCCTAGAGGTATCAAAGAAAACCATAACTCAAGACATGGAATAAAGAAAACCATATCTAACAATGAATAGTGAGACTCCCATGCAAATATCGGTAAAGACAAAGAAGGGGAATTTGAAGAACACTTGGAAATCAACGGGTATGGTACACTGAAAATAGTGGCCACAAGGCAACAGAGCACGATCACGAATGAATCGAATGATACTAGTAACCTTTACGTTGGGATTTGATATGATTGAGATTAGGAAATTTCTATATATATGGGGCTTACGAGACAGTGGAGGAGAGAAGGCTGAGGAATATAGGTGCATAATCAGTTAGAGAGCTCGGAGTCTATGTTTTATAGGTTTCTTTGATCATTGTCTAGTTGTAGCTATTTTCGAGCTCTGAGTCGAAAGCAATCGCCTGACTGACACATTTTGAGTTTCTAAAATAGATGCAAATGATCAATTCAATAGACTGAAAGTATTTACTGCTCCCGGGAAAAAGCTTTAGAGCGACATGGTCAACCTCATGAAGTACAATCAATGAATACCAGTATAGTCAGCAATATGACCAGTCCTGGAACAATCCAGTTAGCACCACAAAGTTCCCCATACCTTAGTAGACTTGTATAATAGATCGGGAACTTACGAACTAGCTGAGCCTCCTCCCGAGTATTGCGCTCGTTGCGTGCTCCCCTTTCCTAGATCCTGCTGAACCGGGGCCTTGCTCTTATCGACACTAACCCCGGTTCTAAGCTTGGAATCCGGATCATTTAGACCGCCTCGGGCATTTTGTAACTTCTCCTTGGACTTTTCGATAAGAGCCTCTGATGTAGATGTTAGGCTCTTTTCTCAACCGCGTTTTGTCATGGGGCATGGCATATGGCATCGAGAGCCGCCACCTGCGACGTATTGTTGACTAGTGTGCACAGTGTACTTACGTGTAGATGGTTCTTTGTGAGATAGATCTGTTAAGTTCGACATCTTTACTTTGATTGTGAGATTTTTGTGCAGGACTGTCGAGAAATTAAGAGGTTTACTGAGGCCTATATAGGGTAGGTTACAGCATTATGCGTCATTATGTGTTCATATGGGCCAGTCTGACCACTGAGGTTTTGCTTTGAAGGTAAGTATCATGTGGTTACTGATTATAAATAAAGCCTAAATCCTACCTCCTTGCAGGATGTAGCATAAGTAGCATAAGAAAAAGGAGCTTGTGAACGGTCGATGGCTGCGAGGTGGTATTAGTTTACTGCTGTTATTCTCTGTCTACGGTGTAAATTATACTTTGAAAACCATGAATATAAGAATCTGCATTTCCCTTTTGTCTATATAAGCTGCCCTCGCGATGTCCCTTTTTTCCCCGGCAGATGAAGGAAAAGGAATTGACAAGTTACTGTATGTAAATGTTTGATTGTCGAGTTCTTTTATTGTTCGCAGGTTCTAAGGCTCTCAGGCTTCAAACCGAGGATATCAGGCAGAAAATTACTACTTCAGGTTAGTGCGATGCCAATCATGGATTAGTGTGACGGCGAAAATGAGAGCTGGTGACACTAATAATTCTATGCCTCGAAGTGTTGCTTCTACCTTTTTACTTACAGTGAAAGTGTCTTTTATGATAGAACTTGAAGGTATTCAAGTGAAAGAAATACAACTGTCGAGACCATGGGAGTGTTGTTGCTGAAGAATGCTGCGATGTACAAAGCAACTGGTGATTGCTAACCTTCCACAAACGCCGACTATCTCGAAATCTAGATATTGTTAGTAGACAACACTAATGCAAGAACTGCCTCTCCTATCCTTGAAATTGACCCAAAATCATTAACTGGACTACTCTATGCAGTGTACGGTGTACGGTGTAAGTCAGCATGACGCTCGGATCTACTCGTTTTCCCAAGGAATAGGGCCTGCATACCGCTACGTCATTCTGATGTTATGATGGCCTCACCGAGCGACCATACCGTAGCGATAAAAAGGAGCATTTGGCGCCCAATAGGTTAATTTTACGCAACAAAGCCTATCTATTGAATCTTGAAACATTTGAAGCACCTTCCCTGAACATATCCAAATTTCGAGTTGCGACACAATGCCCCCGAAGAAAGTCCTCATCGTCCTTAGCGACGCCCACTCCTTCCCGATCAAAAAGACCAGCGGCCCAGAGGCCGGCAAAACAGTCAACCAGCCGTCCGGATTCTTTCTAATGGAGCTAGCCAAACCACTGCAGAAATTCCTCGATGCTGGACACGAAATCACCTTCGCGTCGCCCAAGGGCCAAGAACCGGCTCCGGATCCAAACAGCGAATCGCTCCTCGCATTTGCAGGGAACTTCTACGAGAGACGACGCGAGAACGAACTTATCGAGCGCATGAAGAAAGAAAATGGATTTAGTCGGCCTCGACCATTCAGCACCATTAGTGATGATGAGTTGGCCACTTTTGCAGGGGTGTTTATCCCAGGGGGACATGCACCGCTGAGCGATCTGGGAGGGGATGCTGAGCTGGGAAGGATTTTGCGGTATTTCAATAAAGAGAACAAGCCAACTGCGGTGATTTGTCATGGGCCGTATGCGCTGTTGAGCACGAAGAAGGCAGGCGACGGATCGTTCGTGTATAAGGGGTACGAGATCACGTCGTGGAGTGATGCCGAGGAGAAGATGATGGAGACGATGTGGGGTGGAGAGGTTGAGAAAGTTGAATCAGCCTTACGCAACGAGGGAGCAAATATGGTTGAAGGAACGAAGGAGGTTACTGGTGGTGTGACACTTCACAGAGAGTTGTTATCGGGTGGCAATCCGCTGGCTGCCGAGGAGCTTGGAAATCGGTTCTTGAGAATGTTGAGTGTATAAGCGAATGTGTTCATACTACATTTATCGACTTGTTGAAGGTGTTTTTTCTGCTCGCCATAATTGAATATATTAGGGCAGTCCATAGCACACCGGGGATGTTATATTGGTTAAAGTCCCGAGCAATAATAGAGAGAACTGCTACGAGAGACTTTCTCAGCGAATGATGATACAGGTATGTGGAGTCATGGATATCAAGGGTTATCACACGAAATCTAGCTTATGCGACACTTGCTATCAGCTGACAGGAGCTACAAAATCAACATACTATCACCAAACATGTCAAACTTATATCCACCATTTTCAACGATCTCCTCATAACTGCGCTTCAGCAGGTCCTTACCAGCAAAAGCCGCCGCAAGTACAAGATGCGTAGAGCGAGGCGCATGCAGTTTGGTAAGCAGCATATCCACAACCTTGAATTCAAACCCAGGATAGATATAAAAATCCGTCCACCCTCTTGGGGTGTGATAACACCCCCGGGATTATCATTTCTGCCTACAGACTCCAGAGTACGAATGACAGTCGAGCCGATGGCGATCACACGGCGGCCCTCGCTGCGGGCCTGGTTGATTTGCGCAGCGGCCTTTTTTCCGAGCTGAAAGTACTCGGATGGCACTTTATGATTTTCCACGTCGCCTTCATTGATAACGCGAGATAAAAAGATTTCAGTTGCCCCAACATGGAGTGTGATGTGGGCTATTTCAACCCCCTTTGAGGTCGCCTGGGCAAGAAGTTCTTGGGAGAAATGAAGGCCGGCAGATGGAATCTGCAACGAGCCTGGCACCTTGGCGAATACGGAGCGGTAAGCTTGTGGTTTGTTCTTGAGATACTCTTGCCTGATGTTGATGCCTTCATTCAGACGATGTCCATGCTGCTCCAGGGTTGGTGTCAAAAGCTCTGCAGGCTCGACTTTTCCTTCCAGAGATTGCCAGGCTCTGCCCCTATGAGAGTACAGCTGAGTCGGGTATCATTGTTCGAAACCAGGGTGATACCCGGTTCACCCCACAGTTTAATCGTTTGCACTGCGATGATGACCGTTCTGTCTGGCTCGAGGCCGGATATAGTCAGCTGGGTGGATCCCTCACCATGCTGGAACCACAGCAAATTGGGAAGGAGGTAGCTGTCATTCAATACCAGGAGATCCCCGGGGCGAAGATAGTCGACAATATTGGAGAAAACCGAGTTTTCGACCTTTGCGGCGGAGCGATCCAGTACGATCATTTTTCCGCTGTCGCGACTCTGGCCACGCAGCTCGACGGGGTCATGGGGCATGGCCCCCGGTCAAGAGTGTAATCCAGCTCAATGATTTTCATGATGCTTGATTCACTGGTCTTTAAAAGCTCAGATGATAGAGGAGTGATTAATAAATCTGTGGCATGTGTGCTTATATAACAGATGTGGAGGGATGGTCACTTTCATGTCTGAATCACCCGCCCTAGACCGAAAGATCCACAAAAACAAAGGGCTACATTCCCCTGAATTGTTTTCTTTCTTGTCAGTGGAACAAGACAGAGCATACGTAGGAAGAGAAGAGGGGTAGAGGGGTCAAAGCTGAGAATCGATGCAGCATATGTAGGAAGTTGTGGCAGTTCAGGGGTTAGTAAGAAGTAGCTACAGTAGTTAGTCTGCAGATGTATTACTGTATTATATGCTGTATTAATGTGGCCTTCTCCCGATAGGTATGGCACCTCTCACAAGAATCTGCAAGATTATCCTTCAATGCAGCTTCTCTTGTCCATTTTAGAAACCAGTCTATTCGAGCCTTTCTTCGCCTTTTCTCCAAACAAATAGTTGCCTAATTCTATGTCACAACGAGACAAGGAACTCGCTGAGTTAATATTTCCGTCGTCGGAAATAAGTGGGTAATAGTAGGTGGATCCGCCGCGGAGAAAGCTGCGCCCTCCACGGTCGTAGTTACTGGCCTTGGTTTAGTCGGGAACGCTGAAGAATTCTGTGAATCTGCGGGCTCGGCTCCTCGGAGTTAGTAGTTTACATGGGGTTTTCTAGTTTCCAAAACCCAGATTACAGCACCTATCGGAATACCGAGTTTGTCTCTTGAGCTATGCGCCCAGCGTCTAATTTCCAGATAGGTTCTATTGCGAAGGCACAGCCTAGTTGACTAGATAGTTGTTTTGATATATCCTGGAATGACCAAGGACTGTTCACTTTGCTATCGTCATGAGTACCTACATAGAGCGCTGAAAGTTGAGTCAATACTGTCTGTCGTGATAGACTTTTGTCTATTTGAGATACGGTTGCAAATGCAGCTTGACGCCTATCCCGGCAAAATACCATTAAACTACAAGAGAAAAGTTAATGGAGTGATCCATGAAAAAACGCAAACAGAAAAACAATAATGCCTAGGAGCTTGACAGAAGGTAGCTTCACAGGTGAGAACAGGCTGCGCCAGTGGGTAGGCAGGAAGCCACGGATATACTCCGTAGGAAAGGACCCATCACTGAGGAAACCTAGTTCGCTTTAAACTTTTAAATTAATGCTTGTACCCGCGGAAAGTAGAGCGGGGGAATCGGACTTTCAATAACGGATTCGGAAATATCTGGGCCTGGCTCTAGTTGAAGGCTGAGTGTGAAGGAGTGAGCACAGAAAACGGCTGCCTACTTTGCCTGGTCAATTTCCCAATTCCAGTAAGCTTCGGAAGACCGATACCCCGAAGGATCTTCCATGCGCGGTCATAGAGAATAATATAACAGAGGCGTCAATTTGGAGTGCGGTATTTGGATATTAGTTATGATCTCCGCAGAGAGGCTCCCGCGGAAAACACCATTGCTGTGAGGGTTGAAACGGAACACTGGGAGCTACTGAAAGACAAAAAGGAATGGACAATAAAACCTTTCTCGGTCGTCGCCTTCTCAGTCTATCTCTTTCCGAACCAAAGTTACTCTGTATGCCCCTCACCTTTCTAGGGCTCCACTGCTCGGAGATGTCTACTTCTATTAGCCCAAAAGTCCGAATGGACCGTAACGGTTGGATCGCCTGATACAATGAAACCGAAAGCCATACATAAGAACCCCTGTCGCCGTGTGATCAGATAGCATACTTCATCAGGCATTCCTAGGTCTATTGATCACATCTGAATGCTTTTACCCTTCGTTTTTCGCACGCCATTTTACCCCATGCCGTCCATTCTTCTTACCACCGTGGCACTTTCTGCGCTGTTGAGTCAGGTCCCCGGAGTTTCCGCCGCGCTGTATGATACTGTGATTCACACCAAATATGGACCTGTGCAGGGGTATCCCGCTTTCAACAGCAGCCCTATCAGCGTAAATCTCTCCAACTGGAAGGATATCACTGTATGGAAAGGGATTCCCTTCGCAGCCAGCACTGGCGGTCAGAACCGTTGGAAAGCACCGCAGCCAGCAAAATCCTGGAACGACACCTTGGATGCGAGGGAGTTCGGCAACATCTGCCCGTCGAGTACATCGGGGGCAGCAGGATATACGGTCGATGAGGACTGTCTGAACCTCAATATCTGGAGCGCCGCTAAGAATCCCAATGCAAAGTTGCCCGTCGTGATGTGGAGTTACCCAGCCTATTCCACTGCCGCAATGCCCACCTTCAACGGAGGAGGCATGGCTGACAAGGGGGTAATCTACGTCAACTACAACTACCGAACTGGCCCCCTTGGATGGATGGCTCACCCAGATCTCTCCCGGGAGTTCGAAGCGGTCACTGGCCACAACAGCTCGGGCAACTGGGGCATGCTTGATCAGTTCGCGGCGTTGAGGTGGATTCATGAGAATATCGCCGCCTTCGGAGGTGACCCCCACCATATTACTGTCATGGGACAGTCTGCCGGATCTGCTGCGACACAGCATATTGTGAACAGTCCATTGACGAAGGGTTTGATTGTTGGCGCCATCATCGAGAGTGGTGTGCGCGACCCTCACGATCCGCTCTGTGCCGAGGTCGCCGAGAACTACCGCACGCTCGACTGGGCTGTCAACCAGGGCGTGAAGTATCTTGCCTCCAAGAATGTCAGCTCGATTGCGCAGGCTCGGAAGCTTCCGATGAACGACCTGGTCGAACCGAGTCAGTTTTCGCTGGGCTCGTCGGCTGACTGGGTGTTCACGGCCACTCTGGACTACTATGCGATTCCCTACACCTATGAGAACACTCTCCGGAAGGGCGCCGCGAATGACGTCCCCATAATCACGGGCAATGCAAGGGACGAGAACGACGCTGTTTATGGCCTAAACATCACCGTTTCCCAGTACTTGGAAAACCTGAATTCAACCTTTGGTGCAAAGTTTGGGCAGAAGTTCCTCGCTCTATATCCCGCGACCACTGGCGCAGAAGCCTCCGCCGCCCAGAACCTGCAGTACACCGAGCGCTCCAAGATAGGAACCTGGCGCTGGGCCAACCAGTGGCGCGAATCGGCCAAGAGTCCCGTCTGGACCTATCTCTGGGATCACGCCCCTCCGGGTCAAAATCAGGGTGCCTTCCACATGTCCGAGATCCCTTACGTGCTGAACAATTTGTACGGTGTGGATGCTTATCCCTGGACCGAGGAGGACTACCATATCGCCGCCACTATGAATGCGTACTGGGTGAATTTCATCAAGACCGGCAACCCCAACGGCAAGGGACTAGTGCAATGGGATAGAAATGACCTACAGGACTTGAACACGCAGGAGCTGGGGGGTGGTTGGGGGAAGATGCGTCTGGGTTCGAAGAGCAGGCTGGAGCTTTTTGCCGAATGGTTCAAGACTCTGCCTGCCTATTGAACTCTATCATCATTGGTAAGGCTTGGCAGATGCAGATATTTTCGGCCGTCCCTTAGTCTCCCATCTCTATGGTCAGAAAAGAAGAGGTATTAGAAGTTCTTTCTCGCTATTTTTGTATTATAAGCTGTCAAGATACTTCTTCAAAAGCCTCTTTTAATTTGGATAACTAGTAGAGTTCCTATTGCCATAAAAAATTAACTATAGTAATTAGGGTGAGAAATAACGAACTAAAGCTGTCTGCTTACATTATATATATTGACATGCGTAGTTACTTGATCTGCCATAATAATAGTGCGCAAAAAGGGCCGGCTTCGGAGCACTCTTGCCCGAGATATTGGAGAAATTAATTACTCTGTACAAGTTCTGCAACTTTTTCTAGGCGCCAGCGCCAAGATCAGCAGATTAATCTGATTAGATCATCGGCTAGGAAGGTAGGAAGCGAGCGGTCAATCAAACCATTATACGAACTCTGCCTTCCTTCCGGAATGACCTTCCTCCTATCAAGAGAGCCCTTACTTTTCTTTGAGTGATTTTGATGGAGGCATTAGAGAGGCTGGAGCCGGGGCTGAACGCGGAAAAAGGGGAAAAACAGAGATAGGTCCTACTCCGTACTCCGTTCAAGATCCGGTACTCCGAGTCGGTTAATGATGGTGCCAAGAGTGAAAGATTATACACATTATTCCTAACTGTCTCTCTAGTTTCCTAGGGTGACCCCAGAGGTGTTATGGCTTTTTTTGGCGGGAAGTCTCACGGTGGCTCCTTTGATGCGCTCGGAAAGAATGCGGAGGACCCCAGACTGGTAATCATGTGTCAATGCCGTGGTCGTGATCCCAAAACTCCTGCCATTAGCAAATAGGGTTGATGTCGCTATGGCCCAATTTCTTCTGGAGGTCCGGTTTGTGAGAAAGAATTCCTGGGACTCATCCCGTTCTGACTGCAAAAAACAATCACGAGAGCTCTCTTCCGCCTGTCTCACGAATTACCCCCACAATTTTGCCCAAGATAAACAGGTTCTTATCAATCTAAAGATATTTTGGTTGGTTTGTGGCATACTAACCGCCGATTTCGGGCCCACCCTAGTCGAAAGCTAAACCGGGCATTTGCCCAAAATGGGTTGGTCAATTACATGAGAAGACACCTTCCCTAGCTTAAGGATGGGGGCCGGGCTCGTATCTACGTCTAATCTTCGTTCCAAAACACATTCCCTTCGAGTGGGGTAGCTGTTGCGGTGTAGATCGGACAGGTTGTCTCGAAGCCTCCTAATTAGAGACTATCCCATTCCATGCAATATCGCATTGAAAGCCTGCATTCATTCTAGTTCTTTCGCAGGAATTGTGTCTCTATGCGAAACCTTCCAATCCTCTGCCCCGTCTACGGCAAAATCGGTCTAGGTAGGAGTGGCATGGCAAAGGGTTGTACATCAATGCCCATGGTGCCACTCAAATGGAGATAGGCTAATGCACTCTAGTTGTTGTGCGTTTTGTCTAGCCGCTTGGCTCGGTGAATGGGAGGGTGGTGGCGCTGCGCCGAGTTCAGAGATTTTTTCAGACTGCCGGTCAGAGGGCTTCCATCTGCCAATGACTCGACACCGTTGCTGAATCCTTTTGAGCTTCGGGAATAAACCATGCGTTTATGAAACCAAGAAGCAAAGAGTTGGAGACATACTTTGCGCTAGAGGCTTTCGGCGACTATTGCATTTACTATATTAGGAAAATTAGTCAATGAATCTGATCCTTCTATCGGCCTGTCACCGTCTGGACCAACTGAACAGTACGTTAATTGACCTAAACGGTAAATGTAAAATCCGAGGCCTCGGTTACACTTGAGCCTTCTAGCAGGGCGTTGCAGACTATTTAACCATAACCCTCACCTCTTCTCTGGATGGCTCGCGTTGTTATACCTGAAGTATTTCTATACGTCAAAGCGTTCCGCAGCAATGGCGATTAATAACCGGCTGCAACTGCTCTTTAAACATAAGAAAGCCGACGCAACCCCAGATGCTACATCTAATACTAATAACGACAGCCCGGCTAATCAAAAGACCGCGGATGTATATGACAGGGAAGACGGCCTCGGTGACAAGCCCAGCGATGAAGCTGTCCCGACACAGGATGCCCAAAGCGGTATCCAGAAGATACAAGCTGCGACTCTGGTCTGGAGCCGATGGTCGCTTGCCGGTATTCTGTTCTCGTATGTTTTCTCCGCTGGTCACCGCCACACTTGGGCACTTTTGTACCAACCGCTGAACAGTCTCACAGGCTCTGGCTTGTTACTCTAGCCAACGGTTTCCGGACTGCAATCCAGGCCAGTTTGACACCGTACGCTACTAGCGATTTCCAGAGCCACTCACTCCTTACCGTGATCAATATTGTCTCGGGGGCCATGACATCTGCGCTATATATCCCTGTTGCCAAGTTAGTGGATGTTTGGGGGCGTGCGGAGAGTTGGCTCTTGATGGTGGGATTCTCAACCTTGGGCATGGTCATGATGGCAGCGTCAAAGAACCTCGAAACGTACTGTGCTGCAGATGTATGTGTCGTCCTTTTTCTTTTTCTCTGTTCTTTTTCGAGCACCCTGATCAATACTCTGGCAATGTCTAATCACTACATATGATGCAGGTGTTCTACTCCGTTGGCTTTGGTGGAATGAACTATATTCTCTGCGTCATTGCGGCTGATGTGACGAGCTTAAGGAATCGTGGTATTGCATTCGCATTCACCTCGTCCCCATGGATGATTACAGCTTTCGCCGGCTCCAAAGCCGCCGAGAAATTTCTTATTAATGTCGATTGGCGGTGGGGGTTTGGCGCTTTTGCGATTATCCTTCCCTTCATTGCCTCCCCGGTTTACTTCATTTTGAAGTTCAGCATGAAGAAGGCCGAGAAACAAGGCCTGATCGCTCCCACAGCGCGCAGTGGCCGAACGCTCTCAGAGAACATTCGGTTTTACTTCTTCGAATTTGATCGTAAGTGGAAGCATGATGTAACTCCCCGACAACTTTCTTCGACATCGTGCATTGACTGTGTGGATCTCCATAGTTCCCGGCGTGGTTCTCTTCGCAGCCGGACTGACCGTCTTCCTGCTGCCATTCACTCTGGCCTCCCGTGCTCCCAACGGCTGGGGAACGGATTATATCATCGCCATGATCGTCGTTGGTTTCGTGGTTTTGGTTCTCTTTGCTCTCTATCAGCTATATCTCGCACCTGTTCCTTTTATCAAGCACAAGTTTCTGCTTGACCGCACCATCATCGGTACCTGCCTCCTCAATGCGACCTACCAAATGGCCTACTATTGCTGGAATAGCTATTTTACTTCCTTTCTCCAAGTGGTTAGTAACCTTGGAGTAGCAGAGGCTGGCTATGTGAACAGTACTTTTCAGGTCGTCTCCGGGCTGCTTCTCTTCATGGTTGGTTATGCGATCCGCAAGACGGGCTACTTCCGCTGGCTGCTCTGGATTGGCGTGCCCTTGTATATCTTTGCACAGGGATTGATGATCCATTTCCGACAGCCCAACCAATATATCGGATACATTGTCATGTGCGAGATTTTCATCTCCATCGGCGGCTCCACCTTTATCCTCATCGGGCAGCTATCGGTTCTAGCAGCGGTGGACCACCAACACGTCGCAGCAGCCCTCTCGGTGCTCTTCATCTTTGGTGGCATCGGAGGATCCATCGGCAACGCCATTTCCGGTGCCATCTGGACAAATACCTTCCTGCCTGCGCTGCAACGCAAGCTCCCCGCATCGGCCCTGCCGGATGTTTTGACCATCTATTCCAGTCTCCCTGCACAGCTGGCCTATCCGAAGGGCACCCCGGAACGGCTCGCCATCCAGGAATCTTACGGCTATGCCCAGACGAGGATGCTGGCGGCCGGAACTGGATTGATGGTGGTGTGCTTTGCATGGGTGGCGATGATCCGCAACTATAACGTCAAGAAGATGACACAAACCAAGGGAGTTGTCTTCTAGATCTGGAATTGAACGTGTGGAGCGCTCTAGATAAAATTTAAGTCACGAACAGTAGTTATATGAGGCTGCTGATATAGTGTCCTGTGGGGCCCCTGCAACTATGAGAACTTAAGACATCATGGATACCTAAGTCCAAATGTCTACTGACTGAGTATAGCATATATGTACATTTACGCATGTTCTGCTTAACTTGCAAAAGTATACTATAATGATGGAAATATATTATGTATCGAAGAAGAAAGTTAGCAATCATGCCAAATACATTTTTAATGGCCTTTTTATAGGTGAATAAAAACTGTACCAGGTTAGCTAGCTGGATGTTCGCTTCAAAGCACCCACTCTAGCTTAGAACCATGTTATTAAATTGGGCTGTACAGGATACATTGAACTATCAATAAGTTTTTCAGTTACTGATAAACCTTCGACGCCGTTTGATCTCAATCATATGGATCTATGTGTACTCTTTCAATAATTATAAGGGCTTTCCACAATGTTTCCAGAATGATGAATCCCTGTGTCCTGGCCAAGCGCATTGCGCCAATATCAGCCAATATAGTGCCGGGATTGAATAATCCAGTATTTACCGACCCATTATGGCTCCTGGAATCTGTATAGACGAGTGAGAAATTTGCACAGTCATGAGTAAGGCATGCCGCCTAACTGCCGCAACAGAAACAAAGCATGCGCTTATGCAAGGCTCGAAAATGGCATTCCTTTCCCATGAATACGTCTCTTATATTGTCTCTCCTTCTTGAATCTACCCCAGAAACTGAGATCGCAACTAACAGAGGCTACTACCGACACCCATGAGTATGCGAGTTAAAGATATGATGTCCAGCCAACCTGGCAGTATAAACTCGCAGCTGGGCCCACGAGGGCGACTGAGTTGTAAGGAATACTGATAAGCATTTCTGGTCGGGCTTTTCTTGTTCTTATTTATGATATTATCCGTGGTTGGCACTATCAATATGACATCTCTGGCATCCACCCTCCTATCCTGGATTTAGCAAGGGCTTTGATTTGAGGTTTCCATTTAGAAGACCATAGGTGGGTTCTTAAGCTCCTGGTTAACTCTCCAAAACCTTTATGGTCAGCAACCAGTGCAAGTAGGCCCCTAGATGACGCGACTACGGCAAAAGTCATTGTTATACCCTACTGAAAACATAACTTTTCAGGTATCAGTTGGAACCAAGGAAATAGATTTTGTTAGTGCGCCAACCTGCATGGATTAATCCAACCGTTTAGCCTACAGTAGAATATTCAAGCCCTTCGCCATTATTCGCTCGACTAACATTACAACATGTTAACCCATGACGCTTCCAAGTCAGTAGTTCAATAAGTTGCCTTTTTCTCCGGCAACGGCCCCCAGATGACGAAGTCTCGCAAGCGTGCGCAGTAGGTTTCCCACGAACGAGGCCCCAGTGATGTTGATGATCCCGGTTTCTCCAATGCCTTCATTACTGGCTTGAGTGATAACCACCCGTCGCAATTACCGGGCAGGTTACAAGCTGATAGAACAATGAAAGCTACGTGGTGTTCTCTGACCCTTGAAGTATTTAAAAACTCAATGAAGATAACTCTGAAACATATGCTGGTGGCAACCAGAGGACGCTGCCACGATTTATCGCCCGGTAGTATGGCTCATAATAATTACCGAACGGATTAGATATAGGAGAGTCTGGCTTAGTGGCCGCCCATTTAAGGCAGTCTGGGGCCAGGTATCCTGCTGAAATTAATGTCTTGAGGGCCCCAGTGCCTGAGGAAAGGAGTAGCTTTAAACGCCGGTCATCTTAGACAAGAGGGATCGGAACCAGCTCTAGGGCCGGGACCTTCGGATTAGGCGTCTTAGGGGATTGTAGGACGAAGAGCTTAATGGTATATTAGCTACTACTATCGGATAACTATAGTGATACAATATTTGCGCCGTAATCAATCCTATATGGCTAGAATGCGAGGCAGCTGGGCCCCGAAACAAGTCAGAGAAGTGGTCAGACAAGGGTCCGTTCCATGCATACGGCACGTGGTGGCAATCAACACCTTCTCCGCGGCGATTTTCTATACATATTTACACAGCAGATTTAGTTCAGGGCCCTGTCGAAAAAAAAAATCAATTCCTGCTTGGGAAATATCTCCGACTTTTTTGTTTAATGATGTATGATTGGTGTCGAACTCTGCCTGTGGGTCGTGGAGTCAAATTTATCCACTTTGGCGTCTGCTGACGACCCACCAATGTCCGGTATCTCCGGATTTTGTTCGGATATCTCAGAGTGACAAGCCTTTCTAGGAACCGGACCTTCAGTCTAAAAGCATAAGCCCGGTATCTCCGTTGACCCAAGGGCAAATACCAGTTTTACGAAAGGCTTTAAAGCATACCTGTTTCCCTTCGTTCATCTGTCAAAGCGACATCTTTCCTCGAACATATCAATCAAGAATACATTTTATTGTACTCAAATGCAGCGCTTTGAGCTCAAGCTTCTAAACAACGGCATCGTCTCAGGCGTGCAAGTTATCCCGCCGCTCTCAGCATCATGTGTCAAAAATCGTCCCCTCATTGTTGGTCTTCACGGTGGGTGCTATGATAGTCAGTACTTTCATGGCATTCCCAAGTACTCGGCTTCTTTGGCGAGTGAGGCTTTTGGAGTTCCTTTTGTTTCCATCGATCGTCCATCCTACGGAGGAACCAGTTCCATTTTGCCTGTTCCGGAGGGATCTAATTTCTACCAAGAAACTGGGTTCTGGCTGCATCGCTACATTCTTCCTACACTCTGGTCCGAGATCGGCGCACCAAACCAGTGTAACTCGATTGTTCTTCTGTCCCACAGCTTAGGGGTGATGGGAGGAATCATAGCCGCTGCTATGCACGCGCAAGATGACGCGCCATTGTATCCTCTTGGTGGGCTTATTGCCAGCGGGATGGGGAATAAGCAGTCCACGTTTATGACGGATACCGCTACACCCTTCATAAATATAGATGCCGACCACGTACTATTCCCTCCAGACAAAAAGGATGCGATTATGTTCAAACCAGGAACCACTGTCCCTGAGGTTCTGGAGCTGTGCGAACATCTTAATGCGGTATCCCCGCTTCTTGAAATAGTCCAGTTTCCTGATGTGTGGCTACCGGTTTGGAAGGAGAAGTGGGCTGCCCATGTGTCAGTTCCTGTAATGTTTTCTCTGGTAGAGGATGACCCCTTTTTTACCGTTAATAAGGATGAACTTGAAATCTGTGTGCAAGCATTCAAAAATAGTGTTCGTGTTGATGCGAGTCTCTTGAGAGATGCCCCTCATTGCACGGAACTAAGCCATTGGTCACAAGGGTGGTATGCTCGATGTTTTGGGTTTGCTATGGAATGTTCTGCCAGTTTTGTTATTTCCAATTGAGATGGCATCACCTACGCGAGTATCTCGAAAATGGTTAATGGAACTAAATAGCCTTGGCTTGTTTGTACATACAATACTGTGAGAAGATCAGTTTATATTCTTGAATCTGGTTTAATTACCCAGATTCATTCACAAAGTCAAACTCATCAACGCAGAAATGCAGTACTTTCGTAAAGGTTTCAACGTAGGTCTTCACTTTGTTCATTGACACACTGCTTGGCTTTCTGTTTGGTCCATCCTTCGTATAGGAGAGCAAAGTCCGATGCTTGACGTTATCTTCTCTTTATCAAATATGAAAATGGAACCGCACATCCCGTACAAGTAAAGGCCAGGCTTACAAGTAGATGACCACATATAATTTCTATGGATGTTTATACATCAAATACGGGCTAAGGACACAACCCTGTTTCTTATCGAGTTAGGAAAGGCCAGAGAATAGATATGACTGAGTATGAGCAAGTCGAGTTGTGACTAGAGTGAGCGTTGCATGACATTATGTATATTAAGGAAGTTTGGGCTTGAGTATCAATCTTTCATCAGGTAGTTTGAGGTTAACTTAATAACTGAGATAGGACAGAGGATTTGCTAACTTGGTAGTTGACCCACTAGAGATTCTAGTTTCTGGCCATCAATGTAATGGTCAAGTTTCATCAATGTCAATATCCAATCCCAAGAGATCGAGGGGGAGAAAGGAAACTAAGTTAAATCGACCTACGGTCGCAGCTATGCACGGGCATTCCTGTCTCCCCCCTCCTGGTAGCTATTTTAAGATCATGACTGACAATGGCATGTGGAATGTAAACAAAATTAAATTTCAACGACGTTACTCAGATTCGTTAGGCCGATGATGAGGTCTAAAGCACCGATCATGAAAGGTTATGTATACTAAATTATGCCGACGGCTCGGGGTTCCGTTTAACAGCGGTGGGACATTGTGACCCAGGAAACCTTTTCCGGCGAACGAATGTCACATTTGACAACAGAATTTGAGTACCTGGATCTTCGAAGCAGGAATCTTGGACATAGTCCATGTAATTGACTATTGATCACTATTCGAATAGTTCTGCCGTTAAAACATCATACTTACATAGTTGTGTGTTCTCGACCTGGAAATGAGTCTGCTTCAAGCCTGGACCTGGTTTAATCCTCAGTATGTCATGGAAAAAACTTTCCAGGCCAGGTAAATCCTGCCATGAGCTAGCTGCAGGGAAACCTACGTAAATTCTAAAGTCCTAATTTCCCGAGTAAATGCCGAGAAATGACCTTCAACATCCACCTCCAACTGCAAATTGCCCATAACTGGCCGGTCCCCACGAGCTGCCTTTATTTACCGCCAAAGGAATGGATATTATTGACAGTAATCGACACAAACTTACCATGACGTGCACTGTGTTCAGACCGGCCAATCAAAGTGCACAGAAGTAGCCTGACCCTTCGGCTAATGCAGGTCCGGCAGATGTTGAGCGACCCACGGAGACAGATTGAGTTCAATAGTCATAAAGTTCGGCAGCCTGTTCCTGGTTCCATTACATCACACCACTTTTTTTTCATCTGATCGCAGGCTAATAACAGACTGATTGTCCGATCGATCACTCACCTGGAAAGTTCGACCATGCTGATCCCTCCAATTCAGCTATTTTCAAGGCTTTAATTCTCAATGCATTTGTCAATATCTGGGGTGAACCGTGGATGTCCAACAGCACGCACTATTGTCCTCGTGCCCGAGCTTGAAGATCTGCAACCATGCGTCATCTTTATCTGCTCGTGCGGCCTGGGCCCGATTGACAGCCAAATACTCATTCTCGGCATATTTTTTCTCTTTCCATCCTCTTCGTGTCTCATCATTCAGTCATTGCAAAGAATTCTCATTGTCTTGAGAACGCTACCATGGATATCCCTCCTATTCCAGATAATCGACCTCGGCCTCATCGCTCCCATCACTCGTCTTCAATACTGTCGGATGTTCCCACAATCCAAGTTTCGAACCAGGAGCAATCAGTCACAACGTTTGAAACATCTAGTCAGAATTTCTCACTGGATGAGCAATGGTATGCACAGAAGGCAACAATCCATTCGCTGTAGGCGCAAGCAGCTAATACACGGTGCAGCCGACCGGCGTCAAGCACGAGTGAACTCAGGTCTCAGCCATCCGTCAAATCGCTTAATCGCCAATACACAATAAACGAACTCCCCGTTCTCCAAGAAACCAATCCCTACAATGGAGCCGAAGAATTCAATACAGTCAACGAGGAAGGATCCTTCGATCTCGTCGCTCCATATGAGGGCGACGGAATTCCTCTTCACAGCCTCGAGTGTCAAGCCGATTTGATGTTCTCTGCGCGACACATGGTTGCGATTCTGTCAAATCCGCGATACTTGGCGCGCTTTCGGGACTTTTTGGCTGAAGAGCGTCCACAGTCGATACCTACATTAACCTATTACCTCAATGCATGCAAAGCACTCAAAGCCATCCAGTATGCGAACGCTTTAATACGACTATCAGTTGATATACCTACCGCTGGTGTCAAGCAGTCCAGCCCCATCGGCATTGTCGAGAGTCCTGCTCTTGAAAAGCGCGTACAAGATGCACTGATTGCGCTGACAGCGGAAGAACTACCGGACTTCATTACGGCAACCTGTATCAATATAACCAGTAAAGTGGTCGAAGAACGGATACGTGGAACGCTCCCAGATCGGTTCAGAGGAACGGCGGACGCATTGGCCGAGGTATTTTGTTTGACGGATCCTTCGCGCCCGGATAACCCGATCATCTTTGCTTCGGAGGGTGAGTGTTTCCTCGGACGAGGGATGATTAGATTTCGCGAGTACTGATATTTGTAGAATTCCATCGCACGACTCAATACGGTATGGACTATGTGCTGGGGCGAAACTGTCGTTTCTTGCAAGGGCCGCAGACGAATTCCAACAGCGTGCGACGACTTCGCGAAGCGATCAAAGAAGGACGACATCATTCGGAGCTCTTCCTGAACTAGTATGCCTTTCTCAAAATCTCCTTTGTGCCTAAAGCGCTCACAAATTGTATAGTCGCCGCGACGGATCCCCATTCATGAACCTCCTTCAATGCGCCCCTCTTTGCGACAGCCAAGGCAAAATTCGGTACTTCATCGGCGCTCAAATCGATGTATCAGGATTGGCAATGGATGGCGCACAGATGGAGTCTTTACTGAACCTCAAGGCGCAAATCGATTCATCCGACAGAGAAGGTGGCTCTGATAACTATCGGCAAGAATCGAAGAGCGAATTTCAACAGCTTGGGGAACTATTCAGTCCGAAAGAACTGCGCAATGTCAATGAGCACGGAGGGAGCCTCTTCCAGCCCGTTCTCGACGCCGGTGGCCGCACCTGGTTAATGCCGGAATCACCTCGAGAGACGGAGGGTGAAGTGCGCATTGGCAGCAGCGTGCCGACAGCACCAACTCCCAGCAGCGGTTCTCTGGTTGGAGTTTATAGACATGTATGTCCCAAACTTCTTCCAGGAGTACTGATGCAACGTTGGAGGACGCTACTAACGGAGTGATTTATGTAGTACCTGTTAGTCCGACCATACCCATCTCTCCGAGTCCTCTTCACGTCGCCTTCCCTTCGAATCCCTGGTATACTTCAATCGTCATTCTTTGCGCGTATTGCAGAGTCGATAGAAAGAGATGAATTGCACCATGCTATGATGGCCGGACGGAGTGTCACGGCGCGTGTCTTTTGGGTGACTAAGAACAAGGATCAAGGGCGTCCTCGATGGGTCCATTGTACTCCGCTGCTGGCTAACAACGGACAAGTGGGTGTATGGATGGTGGTAATCGTTGACGATGAGAATGAGCATGTACGTTGGAAGGGGAGCTGGCCGTCATCTTGAAAAAAAAATAAGATCATCGCTTCCTCTTTGATCTCCATGTATATATACACTCTTTTCACTCTAATTGCCTAATCAATAATTGATCTATATCGATTCAACCTGACTATTTTAACAGATTATTTTAGAACCGTGGATGGGTGCGCTGCTCAAACACAATCTCTTTGACGCCATGAGTTAATTACTTCAATCCTTCCTGAGGAATAAGCGATATAAAATCTTTGACGAGTCTTTGTTCCCATGTCACTTCAAAGTTGACAGCGACCCCTAAAGAGACGTGCGGATAAAGCAAACAGCCACTTGATGTGCGGGTAACAATAAATTATTAGCACCGACAATGAGAGCCGGTATTGATAACGAACATCGAATTCGTACCAGGAAATATCCGTGTAGATATGGGTAAAACCTCTCCTGGCATACATCATACCGGATGTTGTCCTAAAAATGATGACTAATAAGGAAATCCCCTGAAACTGTGATTTCTGAAAGCTAGATTTCTGGGATCTAAACAATGAGAGTCCAACATAAGTATAGCCTTAAACCACGTTGAACCTGCTCTAGCCTACCAACCCAACCGTCACTTCATACATCAATTGAACTTTTTCGAAATTACCCATCTATACTACTACAGCCGGTATGAACCAGCGAATCGAAGCCATGGCATCCTCCCCGATGAAACAAAATGCACTTACTAAGAAATTCTTCGATCGCCGGGATAGGATGGTGAAGGACGGTATTCAGTTTCTGGACCTAAACTCGCCCTTCGAGGTTGTCCTATACCGTACTTGATCACCTGACGCACGCCCCCACCTGACGCACGAAAATCGATTCTACACCGATATTTTGATTATCTTTAAACCTCAATATCATCATCAATATGGCTCCTATTGACGAGGCGATTGCAGAATTAAACTCCCTGAAGCTTGAAGATAGACCTACTCTTACTTTTATTGCGAAAAAGTATGGAATTCATAGGTCAACGCTATCAAGAAGATTCCGCGGCGTTCAGCATTCCAAAGATGAGCAATACCAGAATCAACGATTGCTTAATGATCGACAAGCGAAAGTGCTTATTTCTAATATCAATCGATTGAGCGAGAAAGACCTTTATATATCATTTGAAATGCTGCGAAATCTAGCTCACGAGATCTCTGGTAATCGTCCTGGAAAACAGTGGCCGAGCCGCTTTATAAAACGATATAATGATGATCTTATTTCTCGTTATACAACTGGGATTGACTCTTCTCGAAAAAAGGCTGATTCTACGTTGAATTACGCATTATATTTTGAACTTTTGACTTGCAAGATTTCGGAATACGATATACAGCAGGAAGATATCTATAATATGGACGAGAAAGGTTTCTTGATCGGAATGCTTAATAAAGCGAAAAAAATCTTTTCTAAATCATTATACGAGAAGAATAGAATGAAACAACGACTTCAGAATGGAAATCGAGAATAAATTACAACGCTCGCCTGTATCTGCGCGGATGGGATCTCGCTATCTCCAGGTTTTATATATCAAGCAGCCTTTTCAAAGCTTCAAGATTTCTGATTGCAGGATTTCGATCCTTCTTTTCATTCTTGCTTCTTTACATTCTCACTTTCAGGATGAACGAATGACGAATTAGAATACGCATGACTACGAGATATATTCGATTGAGAGACAAAAGCGAAAACGAGACGGCATTGAAGACTTCTTATTTTTAACAGTCACGGATCTCATGTTAATATGAAATTTTTCGAATACTGCGAAGCAAATAAGATCCTTTTAATGACTTATCCGCCTCATTCTACGCATTCGTTCCAGCCACTTGACATTGGAATCTTCGGGCCTCTCTCTACAGCGTATAGTGAAAGATTGAAACGATTTTTTCATGAATCTCAAGATCTTTGTCATATTACAAAAAGAGATTTCTTTTGCCTCTTTTGGCCGTCATGAGAGAGCGCTTTATCTAATAAAAATATCGCTTCTTCGTGAAAATCAGTAGACGTTTGACCGTTGAATCCTGATATCGTTTTATCACAATTTAATCGAAATGACAATAATCGACCATTTTCTAATGAATCATCTCGCTCAGTGCTTGGTGCAGAGGATTGGAGAAAGATTGAAAGACTTCTTAAGCATAACTATAGTTGTTGACTTATATAATCAAAAGGCAAAAAAATTGAGTTCGACGATGCATCATTTCTCTACAAAAAATGTCCTCTTAAAACTACGCTGCCAAAGCCTTGAAGAGGCCCTTTTTCAAAAAAAAAAAAGAAGCGTCAGCGAGACAAACCTCTTTTATCTGAATCACGGGTCCCTGAAAACGGCTACGCGGTGTTTTACTTTTCTAAGAAGATTCAGCAAGCTCGTGACTTTCAAACAGAAAGAGATGAGACTGTACAGCTCGCTAAGGCTTCAAAAGAAGAAAAAAGGCTTCGTAAGCAGCGAGAGAAGCAAGATCAAAGGCTTTTAATTGAAGAGCGTAAACGAATCCGCGTTTTAAATCGAGAAACGCGGGTTCGTGAGGCAGAGGCAAGAAAGCAGAAAAAGCGGGATGATCAGCTCGCTAAGCAAGCTGATATACAGCTTCAAAATGACTTCAATATTGCTCAGACAGGCGAGAATAAGGTCTCTGTAACTCCAAAGGCAAAGAAATCGAGTGGTAGAGCTGCTGCAGAACCTGAGGTTGTTGATGAGGTCCCCCCAACGCTCAATCGCCGCGGTAAACAGATCCGCCTGCCTGAGCGCTTTCGGCAGTAAAAAATGTTGTAAATAGTTTCAGTATAATGCATTGATTCATCCTTCTAAAAATCTCTGTATAATACTGAATGTGTGTGGTTGTAGAGCTTCATTTCTATATAGGTGCTGAGGTAAAATTCGTGCGTCAGGTGGGGGCGTGCGTCAGGTGATCAAGTACGGTATAACGTAATCAACGGACGAGCGACGAATACGGGCGAGCAACGAGTTTTGTGTCGCGCCCATTACTAAATGAAGCTATTCAATCATCAACTCCGTTGAATTGATTAGATAAATATATAAAAAGATAATTATTTATTAAGGCAATTTCAAATTGTATATCCAACTATCCCACAATCATTACAACGTTGCGAAACTTGTCAACAAAACTAGACTTCCGCACAACCCAACATAACCCGGACCCAACCCGGACCCAACCCGGGCTGGGTTGGGTTTTGGGTCGAAGACTCCGACCCAGCGTTGGGTCCGGGTTGGAATTGGGTAACCCAGCCTGGGTCCGGGGCCCCAACTTGGGTTACAAACAATGCAAACATAAATTATGCAAAAATACATATGTTCTAGAGTTGTTTTTACTATATTACTTAGAGTAATATTTGTATCTAAATTATATTATATAATTATAATAACATACTAAAAGCTATAATATATAGAAAAGATAATTTTATTAATATTTATTAAAATATATAGTATATAAAAAAGTAGTGTGTCTATACTCTATGAATTATATATATCTTTAAAATCATTATAAAAATATATCCCGCTTTTTTTATTTAATGTTTATTATAATATTTATATGATATATACTAATAAATAGTTATTCTAAATATATATTACTTAATATAAAAGGCTATTACCTATATAGAAAGCTAATATACGATGTATTAGACAATACTAATGTATAATTTATAATCATTTTATATAGATTTTTATGCAAAAATTGGGTCGAATTGGGTTATATTGGGTTTTATTGGGGCCCCAATATTGGGTCCGGGTTGGGTCCGGGTTAGAGAAGTTCAACCCGGACCCAGGCTGGGTTGGGTTTTGGGTCGAGATCTTCGACCCAAGTTGGGTTATGCGGAAGTCTAAACAAAACATCGAAATAGATTCTTCAAACTATTCATTAAACCGTGTATCAAGCTGCTAAACGCAATTTTGATCTTTTTATACATTAAAAAACCGGTCATTATCTAATTCAACACGCTTTCTTGTCTTCCTCCGACTTTGTCATCCATTTTCAGTTTGTAAAGTTTTAATTCGTTCTTCTAAAATGAACTGGATTTGCATTGTCATTTGCATCATTTTCTCAAGATGTTGAATATGAACAATCAGACTATTAAAAAATTACCGCTTTTTATTAAAACTGTTTTGTAGATTTCGGATCTTTTGATCTAATTGACGAGTATTTTGCGGAATCTGAAAAACAGAGAATATTGAGCCTTCAACTAATGATAATGCAGATATAAATGTCACGGTGCAGACCTTGATGTCTGAGGCACCTTCTAACTATGGCCCGGAAGGCCATATTATCCGTTCCGGGATCTGCATATCTTCCCGCTTGCTTGAGAATCCTGTTGTAACTTTTTGAACTACATCTTGTCTATCAACCTGTATATAACTTGATTCTGTAGCAATTCAGAAATACTGTGAGCTATTAATCTATCTGCTTGCCATTAGCTCTATCACTTCCGTCAGTTCGCATCTTGACACTACGTAATTTCCATCCTTAAAGCTGGTGTCCGCCCGAAAATGACAGCTATTCCAAATCCCCCGTCTTTCCCGAACAACCCAAAAGAACTAGCCCAGCATGTTGTTGAACATATCTCGGAATGATATAGTTATTGTGAAAAGATTCATTCTTATGCAATAAATGCCGATCAGAATCTTAATAAAAAAGAATTATTGTTAGCTTTTTAGATTAAATAATTTCAACAAAAAAAATAAAGATAATTCATCAACTGATTGAAGTTATAAATGCCTGCAATATAGCTCTTAAAGAAAGAGATCAAGTTATAAAAAAACAAAATTAGATTATTCAGATAATTATATCGATAATTAACATTCTGATCCAGATCTCTAAATCATTCATTGAAAAATCTTTAATTATTTCAACAAAAACATCTACATCAATCAATTTTGGATCTTCTGTTTTTGCTTATCTTTCCGAACATCTGTCCAATTCCGATAAATTTGAAGATATCCGATCAGATCTTCGTTGTTTTATTTTTCAAATTAAAAAAAAATGACTGTTAATCACAATCGTTTTTCAATATTTCAAACTCACATAATC